TACTTTAAAAACGTGATTATGGCACAAATATAGAAAACAACGAGATCTAATAGACGTTTCAAATCGCTTGCAAAGCTCACATTTGTTGACATTCCACTGGTTTAGACTATTGTCAAAGAAACAGATGTAGGTGTTATGGCAATCCTTTAATAAATGCATTAGAAACACTTTTCCTACGTTAGTTTCGTTTATATGTCTTTGTTAAAAGTGGTCAAAAGTACGTTAAGTAAGTTTTTGATTATTTGTACTGTTGTACATCCAGTCCGAAAATAAAGATCAATAATATGGAAATAGCCTGGTCGCTCGATCGTTCAACTGTTTTATACTTTTTGCAGTATAACATATTGGTTATACTGACTACATTCTACTCACAAAAATTAAAAACAAAGTTTCTTTGCGAGTAAAGTTAAAGACAATACCTTTTTCATAAAACGTCATGTTGTTAGGGAAAAGTTTTCTAGCATCAACAGCAACGGCAAACAAGATCAAAATCAATAAAACTGCCTTCATCCTGTAAAACATAAATCATTATATAGGAAGTAGTGTGACGTTAAGATAACGTCAGACTTATAACTTAGCCTTATCATGCTGACTCATTTTTATTATATAGTTACATTCTACTTTTAGTTACATTACGTCATGTATTGTAAATAGTAATGATGCCATAATTATAAAAAGGTTATTACGTTATACTTTATAATTAGCTTCCAGACAATATGTAAGCAGTGGACAGCTAAAGCGAGAACGATTGTACTTTGGTGAATAAGTAGTAAATTGATTTTACATTGGCGACGAGGATTAAAGAGCGCCTGTTAAATACATGGTTATAATGCTCCTAAACATATATGATTATAATGCTCCTATACCTACATGATTATAATACTCCTATACGTACAATATAGTACTCCTATTCATACAATATATCCATGTATGTGTAGAAGCATGATAACCATATATATATTATTTTACATATAAAAAACATATTGCTTATAGACAAGAAGTCATTATGTGCGAATTATTAATCATTAAGAGGCTTTTTAATTGACGATGGAATTTAAGTAACAACTCCAACTGATCACATGAGACCCATACGACATGCACGTGTATAATGGCTTGACGTCATTCAACAATGATTTTTGGCCTTTCATAATCTCATGACAGGATTGCATGATAAGAACAAAGGGGTAGACAGTTGAAACAGAGCTGCATAACTTAGGTCTGTGATAACAAAAAGTTAGTAAGGTTAGGCATTAAATTAAGAGCACCCCTAATTCAAGACATTCGTTAATAAACTTTCTTGCTATTTCAGGAACGAAACACTTGTATAAATATTATACATAAATTTTTAAAGTTTATCCATCACATTCTGTGCATGTGATTGATCTGTGCATGCAATTCATCGTTTTAAACTAGAATGTATTGTAAAAACGTACAATAGAACACAGCATTATAAGATGATTTCATGACTACAACCAAGCATTAGGTATCATAAATCTTTAAGTTTATCCATCACATTCTGTGCATGTGATTGATCTGTGCATGCATTCAGTGTTTTAAACTAGAATTTATTGTAAAAACGTACAATAGACTCAGCATTATAAAATGATTTCATGACTAAAACCAAATGTTAAGTATTTCATTCTTGTGGTATAAAATACCTCTTTGCAGCTATCTTTCTCACATTTCACAAATTGGGAAACATTTGCTAGTGGCATTTTAAATATCTTCTCTGTTAGACATATATGTATAGACTATGAAATTTCATGTAGGATTTACCTTTCTTTTTCTTTATTTTCTGTAACAAATAAAGAAACAACAGAATATCTTGGTATTCTAACTTCTATTCTTTGTTCCTCTTTCTTTTTTTATAGCTTAATTATGAATAATTGACAGCATGAAACTTATACAAAATGTGCGCGCTTGTTGCTTTGAGATCAATTGACCTTGTTTTGCAATGACTTGTCTTATTTTGTCTTAAACATTTTTCACATGATGTTAGAATCTCATGACATGGCAGGATTGTATTACAAAAAAAAACTTGTTATAAAGTATAATTTGGCCAAAAAGCAGTTTCGTGAACGCTGAGCTCCTGAGCTGAACTTCTTGCAGTATTTTGATACTATATATGCTATATGTGAGCCTCATTTATACGCATGTTGTATGTAATAAAAATAGGTTTTTTCGAAGTGAAATTTACGCATATTTGAAAAAATTATACAGTAGGGTCTTAACCAGGCCAGTTAGTAATTGAAATATAAATATTAAAGCCCAGCATGAAACTGTAAAGTAGCAACAAAGGAAAATATTATTTTTTATTACAAACTACGAATGATAGCAAACAATTTTTCTAAATCCAAGCTGTTCAGATCCACAGTTTATTACATCAAACATTACATGAAATGTATGAATGAAAAAGAAGAAAACAGTTAAATATACTTATTGTTTTGTCAAACGCATGTGAAGTGACATTGTAAAAGGTTACAAGTGAAAAACGTATAAACATGCTTAGAATTGCGTTAAATGTGCGTTTGCGACCGAACTTTGGGCCTCTTAGGCTATGTTTACATTGTATGGGATCGATTTTTGCTCCGCTCACAAATTCCCCCTAGGCCAACTTCAGAAGTGTTTGTTTTCGGTCCCCTGTGGTCATGGCAACGACCAACTTCACCCTCCCAGCATCAACTAGCACTAATTTTATAGTAAAAAGCAAGCTTAGTAACAATTTATAGGAGAATTATAACCATGTATGGAAAACTGTTTTCTGTTTTAACTTAACAAAGATAACATTTAATAAGCCAAGCAATTTCTAAATTGAACCTCGCTTTCAACACATATTATAAAATTTTCATTCACCTTGAATGTAGATTCAATGTAGAAAGTAACTTCTCTTCTCAAGTAATTTTGCGATTATAAAAGCACACTTTTTGGATTCAAAGGAGTTCTTTTGAATGCATAGAGACAGCCGCCCAATTTATTAAGTATCTAAGCGTATATAAAGCATTTCCAAATCACGTACAGAATTTCCTTTATATGACCAAATTACCGTCTATTTAAACGATGTATTTAATAAAAAGTTACTTTGACAACTGAAGCAAACCCTCCTTTTTCCAAGCATTTGCAACACCTCAAATTAATCCGAACTCTTGAATATCTCGCAGTGTAGCCGAAAGGAAGAGGCATCAAATCAGGATACTCATTTCCAACATCACAGCCATTTTGATTTCTTCCTTGATATTTTTCAGCGTGAAGCTTATCTGAAGTGATGTGATTGCTTAAACCGTGCGACATGGGATTTGAAAAGATAAAAGAATGTCCAAGAAGCCGCTATGCTAAACATTGGTTAATGCTCTCCGGATATAGAAAAACGTTAACATGCAGCATTCTACTGCCTTATGCTTAAGAAGGTATCGGGAAGTATGGACCGAAAACAGGGGTTTTTGCTTTCGAATTTTATCTTTTTGCTTATAAGAGTTCTTCTCTTTATAAAATAAACCAAGCAACGTTTCGATTAACTTCTTCTGACACTGTGCTTTTTTCAGGCACTTATAACTTAAGACAACCTTAAGCATGTTTTACACAATTTTTATTGGTTTACATCTTTCCGATTTAACGCTCGCATTTACTGTTTTCTCATGTATCACGAGCAAACCATCCACGGGCTTCATGGCAAACAACGATGATGTGATTGGATGGGGTGAAGTATGATGTAGATCGCGTCAGTTATATCATGAGTTGTTGTTAAGTGTTTATGTTTGGTGAAATATAACCACTTAACCACTTAAAGAAACACACGTTAGGTTTGGTTACCGAAACCAATCAACCGGTAGCGCTTGCTTTAAAATGGTATGTTTTGCTTTGACAATCACATGAATCACTTTGATAGGAACACGACTGGTGAACATGGAAACCTTCGTGTAACTATTTAGTAACGTAAGATTTAAAGTCTTAAGCCTAGTTTTCACTAGAGACATAAGCATAAGGACAAACAAAGAGAAAAAAATATACAAAAGAAGGCAATGAAGCGATAGACACAAGCATCGCTTACACATAAGAACAGCAACTTGACATAAATAAGGCAGAAGAGAAACAAATTGAAAAGAAAATCCTTTTTCTTTTATTTTATCCAATGTCTGGAGAATAGGCTAGGCTTTGTTTTATCGCTTGTGCTTATCTCGCTAATGAAAACTAGGCTTAACAAACAATTGCTAAGTGCGTTAGCAATCTGCACGGTATCCCAAACAAACTACTCGTCATTGAAATCACCCTAGTGATTTCAATGGCGAGTGAAGTTCCTTCTGATAACGTTAACGTCTTTTGGGAGTCAGTTACTGCCGAATCATGCAAATTTTAAATGTCTGCTGCTGAATTCAACGATGAACAAATTTTTTATGATGCCCTGGAGCTGCTAAAATGGCTAACGAATAGAAGATCAAGAAAATGATACATAAAAAATTTATTTAGAAATCACTATAAAAATAGCAAGCCCTTTTAATATCTCTATACCAAATGTGGAATACTGGTCTTCTCTATAGATTTTGTAAACAATGACAAAGAAATCGTGATTACTTAATATTTTTGTTCTTTTTTCAGATTTTTTTCTACTATAATTTTTTTCCTTATATTTATGAGAGAATAAACAAACTTTGTAATTTGGTGGCGATTAAGATAATAACAGCCAGTTAACTGTATTTTCTTAAGAGTTCTGTGATAGCTTAACGCATCTTGATAGCTTATTTTAAGCCTTGAATGAACCAATCACATTTTACATACACAGCACCTGTACTAAACGCATTATATGCAAATGTTATGTCAAGTAATAGGTAGACATTGTAAATTAGAGCTTTGAAAAGACGTCTGTGCAACTTCTCATAAATGTAGAGTACTTAGGAGTGTATAGCATGTACTACTACTGATGTTGATTCTTATAGGAAAACCAAGAACTCTACGACTAACGATGATGAATTATCTGGTGAACAACATGAAAGCAATTTCAAAGTGGAAACATCCAACAACAGTTCTGGTGATAATTTTGAGGTTGACAAATGGCTGGATGATAACGAAGATGAAAATCTGTTGGTGAATCTTGAAGATGACTTTGAAAATCAATCTGTTCCAACGGTTGTAATACTAGATGACGACATTCCACATGATGTAGTCATAGAAAAGGAGTTTGAAATTGATGATGATATTCCTAACGATGTTCTAAATGACCTGGATGGTTATGAATGTTAGTTTGATGATCTGGTGACAATGGAGATCATTTGAAGAGAAGTGGAATCATGGACAGCGGTATGTTAATGAAGATTTTTATAAAAAATTTTTGTACATTTTCATGTTGACGAGGATGTATTGAATCTCTCAAAAAAAATTAATGTTCAATACAGCTGCCTTGTTACTGGCCTTTTGATTATTTAAATTTTAGTTTTAGGTAAAGTTGGGCGGTATTGAAATGTTGGGAACATTTTCAGCACCTTAACATACCACAGTATACCAATATATAACGTTTAGATCTTGTATGTAAATGTGTGATCTACTGTAACTGCTGTTTTTACTCAATAATCCAAGGCAAATTCAATATTATTTTATTAACGATCATTATTTCCGTAAGATTCAAATTATGTCATGTTTTACAGAGACAGTAACGTTTCCAACTAGCAACAGCTACGTATTAATCATACAACTAGCTACTTCTGATTTTGTCAGCTCAAGATGCGATTTTGCAAAACACTACTTCAGCTATGCTGTAAAAATGCACTATCTGTTTTGATTGGTAAACCTTTTTAGTTTAAACTCAAAGAAAAACTAGTGAAAGCCATAGTACCTTTATTATGTTAGGTTATTTACGAAATCAAAACCATTTCTGAAATTCACATGTTTTACTCAAAAAGTTCCATGAACTGTACATTATTTATCAAAATGAGGTTATACATAGTATTGTAATATTTAGGGTAATATTATAATAAAAAAGATGTCAGCAAATGATTCAGCCATTTTGTACTCAACAATCAAGGCAGGCTGCCAGTTAAATACTACATGAAGCAGTAAAGAAGCCTTAAGTCATTATCTCTTCAAGGTCAAGATTTTATAGCATACAATTGTACATATGTACTGACTAAACATACACGTTTAGTGAATACTAATTCGTAATGTCAGTAAGTATGAATCAATCAACATTTCTCATTTACCTGACAATAAAACTACTATGAAAGATCATATCTTCATTTAAGTAAAACTACTGTTAGGTTCCTAAACATCAAGTTAATGTTGATAACTAGCTACTATTTTAATCCTCCCAAGATGAATAGATGAAAACAACTGAATTAAACAACTGAATCAAATGTTTGTAGCATTTATTCCTTCCTGAATTCCTTCCTAAAAGTTCTTACATATTTTGAATTTCATTTTGTCCTCTAATCTTCATCCTCGTCCTGCCAATCGTCATCGTCATCATCCCATTCAGATCCTGTTTCGCTCTCAGAGTCTGAGTATTCCACAGCAATACGTCGCTGATGTATAGACGTAACATCCATACCAACATTTTGTTGTTCCTTCTTCTCCGTTTCGCCTTGAACTTTCCTCAACTTCATCCCTGTGCGGATTGCCTCAAGCAAATCAGTGCGAGCATCAAGTTTCTTTGGTTCTGGAGGAGGAGCAGTCATTCCACCTTCCACAGGAGGTGGTGGTGTTGGTGGTGGTAATGGTGGGCGTGGGGTGCTACTGGAATGTTCATACCAGGGAAGGCTGGTGTAGGGGAGGTGGTGGCATATCTGATGACATATTAGGGGGAATAATTGATGGTGGTGGTGGTGGTAGAGGATAAATTAGGATCTATTTGACTAGGTACAGGAGGTGGTGGTGGGTGTTTGGTGGTTGGTTTTGGTTTCGATGTAATACCTCGTCTGGAAGATACTGTTCCTCTTATTTTATCATATTCGATGAACTCTTTGGTGTTTAAATTAACAGAACCATTTTGTACTGGTGGTTTAATGTCATCTTGTGCAGAGGGAACACTATCCTGCACCGAGTATTTTGATTGAGAGAACTCCTTATCCTGACCATCATACACCTTCTTTCTTAGATGTTTCACTCTAATCTGGGATTGCTTTCAGCCACCTCGATGTTGCCTCTGTAAGAAAGCATTCAACAAAGATATAATATCATTCTTTGTTTGAATTTTAATGAAGGACGATTTCATTTCCTTCTAGTGACATGATGGATTGAAATTGAACAAATACAAAATTTACAAATATCAAGAAACATTTTATGGAAAGCCTATTTAGAATAAATGGATCTTTTTAAGCTTTCACTAAAGAAACTCTGTTCATCTACTTAATGTCAATGCAGAGGAACTGAAATATTAAACTGACAAGAAAGTTTTGCTTTGACATGTTAACTTCCTATGGTTATGTAATGATGAAGTAGAAATGGTTTTTTAACGGAATTAATTCCAATGAAACTTATAACATCCAAGTAACAGAGATGAAGAATGAATACCTAATAACATTATGTCGCGATTTCCGTGTTATTCTCCATGTAATTATCCTCAAACTATTATGTAATCTGTACTAGCCTGATTGAATGATTAATGATTTACAATAGATGTGTATTACGCTAAAGTTTCTTTTTGGAATCGGATAAGATAAATATAATGCACATGCAGTTCATACTTTTCAATTCTGATGGCTATTCACGTCCACGTCGGCTTCACTGGATATTGATTTATAAAAAGCTTATCTCATTTGAAAAATTTCATTTTCCTAATCAGAAAGCCCAACAAAGACATTTACGCAACTTTTGAAAGGTCATCAAGGCTTTCTGTGCAAAACTAGTGTATATTCATTGTTAGAGTGCTGAAGTAAACTTTAAAGAAAGTAACTAGCTATTAACTTAGTTATTCAAAACATCACTTACCTGATTTGGATAAGTTAGATAGCGACTCATGGTCAACGACGTTGTAATGCTCAACTCTTAGAACTAAACATGATCACGATTTATGACATCCACGTGGCCCATGGTTCATCGTTCTTGGACACACTTGATCAAGATTGGACATATGCAGACATGCTTAAGACACTTTGCATTTTGCTGTATTTACTTTATCTTGTTTGGCTCCAAAGATATTAAAAGGAGTACTAAAATTATTGTACGATAGCTAAAGCAAAACTACTTTGACGTACATTGGAAAAAATTGCTACATCCTGTTAATGGAAATGATATTAAGATGGCGTGTTGTTTGACAGATATACAAGGTGGAAGGGAGTAAATTATTTGGTTGTCCCATCTTTTTTTCTTTGGCTCGAGAGTCCATAAAATCACCAATTTAATTCATAATTCATTTTGTTGTAGTGACGAAAACATCTGGATTACATTCTTAGAGAAAGCGTTCAATTTGTAAATTAGCTATTTAAAGCAGTTTCAGCCCGCATTCTCACTCCATATCTTTTTTTTTTAATACGTTCAATATTCGAAGTTAATTACCGCATTGCAAATGTTAAGCCCGGTTTTCGCATAATCGTTTAAATCATCTGTAGTCTGAAAGCGTGCAGGAACGATATCGCAGGCAATCGTTTCAATCGTCTGGTTATATGGATTCCCGGGCTTTATCCGCCTCAGCTTCGCCCCGGCAGATAGCAATGACATCGCTCTGAATAATTCCTGATATCATGCTCAACCTCATTCAAAAATTGCTTATTAGTATCCATGTAATAAAGATCACTAAACTGCATCTCATATTTTTTTTTCAGCCAACGCTTTCATATTTTTAATTAGCATTGCAGAAGATTTTAATGACTACATCCTAATTGTTTATTGTTTAGTACATGGATTTAAAGACTTAAGCTTAGTTTTCACTAGGAACATAAGCATAAGGACAAACAAAGGGAAAAGAAAATACAAAAGAAGGCAATGAAGCGACTGACACAAGCATCGCTTAAGCATAAGAACAGCAACTTGACATAAATAAGGCAGGACAAAAACAATTTGAAAAGAGAATCCTTTTTCTTTAATTTCCTCCAATCTCTGGAGAATAGGCTAGGCTTTGTTTTATGGCTTGTGCTTATGTCGCTAGTGAAAACTAGGCTTAACAAACAATTGCTAAGTGCGTTAGCAATCTGCACGGTATCCCAAACAAACTTTTCGTCTTTGAAACCACCCTATATAATTTGTACGATTCAACAATAATTGCTACCCAAGAAGCCGTATACGTGGTTAAAAACAACAATGCGTGAAGTTCCTTCTGATAACGTTAACGTCTTTTGGGAGTCAGTTACTGCCGAATCATGCAAATTTTAAATGTCTGCTGCTGAATTCAACGATGAACAGATTATTTATGATGCCCTGGAGCTGCTGAAATGGCTAACGAATAGAAGATCAAGAAAATTATACATAAAAAATTTATTTAGAAATCACTATGAAAATAGCAAGCCTTTTTAATATCTCTATACCAAATGTAGAATACTGGTCTTCTCTATAGATTTTGTAAACAATGACAAAGAAATCGTGATTACTTAATATTTTTGTTCTTTTTTCAGATTTTTTTCTACTATAATTTTTTTCCTTATATTTATGAGAGAATAAACAAACTTTGTAATTTGGTGGAAATGTTAAGTTGCTTTAACATAAAAAAGGTGCGCAGCGCGCACACGTTGTTGGGCTTACAAAAACAAGGTCACAAAGGTCACATGGTCACTTGGATTTGAATTTCGAACAAATGACATGCACATGCACGTGACTCATAACTTCATTATAACATGTTATAGCTTTTCGTTGTGTAAAGACACTGTTGTATATGTTATACATGTCACAATCATGTCACAATTTGACCATATTTTGTATTTAAGTAGATAAGGCTAAAGGAAATGGGAACTATAGTCCAGGAGGTTAATGCTATCCTTGCAAACTAATGGGAACACTTAGACGCTGTCTACATGAAGAGAATTTTTCCAACTAGGTAGGTTAAAATATAGGTGATCATCACTTACTATCAAGAGGTATCCTAAGGTAAGTAGGTGGGTAAATTGAAGGTGACCATCACACAATATTAACTTTTATCAAAAGGTATCCTAACTAGGTGGGTTTTTATGTGTGATATACTATCTTTAGTGTTTAACTCTTCAAAATAAACTGCCTGAAAATGATCAAACTTCTTGAATTAATGATTCTATCAATTCTTTTTAGTGCGTATTTCACAGTACACATTTGTAAATTAGAAAAAGTTGTGTAAATAAATCAATGAAAAAATCTTGTATCTTTCAACACAAGTTCATCATGCAATTGCACAGCAATTTCCTACACCACGACAGCTGCCACATCTATACAACACTGGCAATATATTAGGACAATATGATGGAAAACAATATCCAAGAATATTGTTATCAATGTCGCACACACAGTCTGGCTCCCAGCCCTTATATCTTGTTTCTAAAGAAGAGAAAAACAAAAATAATTTCTGTAATGAATGACGGTAAATTTGTGCTAAAATTTCTGTGCCACGGGGTTGTGCAACTTAGTGCTGTATATTTTGATATACTACACACGTGGTTAATCCCCCATCTAGCCCCTGTTCCTGTTGATCATAAACACATGCAAAAAGACATTGTCACAAGAAATTATTCCTACGCAACAGGAGTACGATTTTCTTCCAGTGCACTGACTTACTGTTTTGCTCACAATATGTCATTAAGTTTACTTTGTATGAAAAAATTTTTGAACAACATATGCAGCCAGGACCTTAGCTACAAGATTTAATGATAGGGGAGGGAAGTTATTCATACATTAAGTTATGCCAGATTGATTCCTTTTAAACGTGCTTTGGCTTTCTAAAGAAATCAGTTGGGCACAATTTAAAAAATTTGAAAAACCTCCCTCTCTTCCCGCTCCAATTAATTTCCTAACAACTATCCTCAAAATTGTGTGTACTTTGACGCTCGACAAAATTAAAGAGACAAAGCCTTCATCAACAAATTCGACAAAATATCGACAAAATATTGACAACTTATATCTTTTAGGGATAGATGTATGTAAAAATTGCACCTCGGCTCTGTCTGTTAAAAATTAAGTTGTCAAATATTCATAAAGTTTAACCATTGAAATCCAAACAAAATGGCGCTGAACATGGCAGTGTTAAAAAAAATTTGTAAGGCACCATTATCTTACGCGTACACATCACACATTTCTACTTTAAAAACGTGATGATGGCACAAATATAGAAAACAACGAGATCTAATAGACGTTTCAAATCGCTTGTAAAGCTCACATTTGCATGACATTCAACTGGTTTAAACTATTGTCAAAGAAACAGATGTAAGTATTATGGCAATCCTTTAATAAATGCATTAGAAACATTTTTCCTACGTCATCTGTTTTATACTTTTTGCAGTATAACATATTGGTTATCCGACTACATTCTACCTACGAAAATTAAAAAAAAAGTTTCTTTGCGAGTAAAGTTAAAGACAATACCTTTTTCATAAAACGTCATGTTGTTAGGGAAAAGTTTTCTAGCATCAACAGCAACGGCAAACAAGATCAAAATCAATAAAACTGCCTTCATCCTGTAAAACATAAATCATTATATAGGAAGTAGTGTGACGTTAAGATAACGTCATACTTATAACTTAGCTTTATCATGCTGACTTATTTTTATTATATAATTACATCCTACTTTTAGTTACATTACGTCATGTATTGTAAATAGCAATGATGCCATAATTATAAAAAGGACATAACGTTATACTTTATAATTAGCTTCCAGACAATATATAAGCAGTGGACAGCTAAAGCGAGAACGATTGTACTTTGGTGAATAAGTAGTAAATTGATTTTACATTGGCGACGAGGATTAAAGAGCGCCTGTTAAATAAATGGTTATAATGCTCCTAAACATATATGATTATAATGCTCCAATACATACATGATTATAATACTCCTATACATACAATATAGTACTCCTATTCATACAATATATCCATGTATGTGTAGAAGCATGATAACCATATATATATTATTTTACATATAAAAAACATATTGCTTATAGACAAGAAGTCATTATGTGCGAATTATTAATCATTAAGAGGCTTTTTAATTGACGATGGAATTTAAGTAACAACTCCAACTGATCAAATGAAACCCATACAACATGCACGTGTATAATGGCTTGACATCATTCAACAATAATTTTTGGCCTTTTCCTTAATAAGATTTTGTAATAACACGTCATAATCTCATGACAGGATTGCATGATAAGAACAAAGGGGTAGACAGTTGAAACAGAGCTGCATAATGTAGGTCTGTGATAAAAAAAAGTTAGTAAGGTTAGGCATTAAATTAAGAGCACCCCTAATTCAAGACATTCGTTAATAAACTCTCTTGCTATTTCAGGAACGAAACACTTGTATAAATATTATATATAAATCTTTAACGTTTTTCCATCACAATCTGTGCATGTGATTATCTGTGCATGCAATTCATCATTTTAAGCTAGAATGTATTGTAAAAACGTACAATAGACACAGCATTATATAATGATTTCATGACTAAGACCAAATGTTAAGTATTTCATTCTTGTGGTATAAAATACCTCTTTGCAGCTATCTTTCTCACATTTAACAAATTGGGAAACATTTGTGAGTGGCATTTTAAATATCTTCTCTGTTAGACATATATGTATAGACTATGAAATTTCATGTAGGATTTACCTTTCTTTTTCTTTATTTTCTGTAACAAATAAAGAAACAACAGAATATTTTGGTATTTTAACTTCTTTTCTTTGTTCTAATTCCTTCTTTTTTATAGCTTAATTATGAATAATTGATAGCATGAAACTTATACAAAATATGTGCGCTTGTTACTTTGAGATCAATTGACCTTGTTTTGCAATGACTTGTCTTATCTTGTCTTAAACGTTTTTCACATGATGTTAGAATCTTATGACATGGCAGGATTGTATTACAAAAAAAAACTCGTTATAAAGTATAATTTGGCCAAAAAGCAGTTTCGTGAACGCTGAGCTCCTGAGCTGAACTTCTTGCAGTATTTTGATACTATATTAGCTATATGTGAGCCTTATTTATACGCATGTTATATGTCACAAAAATAGGTTTTTTCAAAGTGAAATTTACGCATATTTGAAAAAATTATACAGTAGGGTCTTAACCAGGCCGGCTAATAGTCCAAATATAAATATTAGATATTTATATAAATGTTTATAAATAAATATTAGATTACAACTGGACTCATAAAGATGACTGGAGGGGAAGAATCGATGGAGGATATAATCTCAATAGATATAAATAGTAAAGACATTATAATGACTGATTGTATTCAATAAAATAGATCATTTTTACAAAATCAATCTGATAGTGAGAATTGACATCCAAAACACTTAAGTAGGTGTTGTTGCATATTTTTTGCAGGCATCTTGTAGTCATGATTTATGATGTGTTGCGTTACTATACAATGCACATTTCAGACATGAAATTAGTAAAACCAAATGCACATTGCAAAGCAATATAATTAGAAATATATTTGACAACTGACAGTACACAACCCAAGCAAAAAAGAACCACATATTCATATGCTTCAGTATCTAAAAGTGTTAAACTAAGATTCATAATAATATAAAAAATTAATACTGCCCCATTTCATTTACTGATATTAACTAAAAACTTGAACAAGTGATGTTTTAAAATAAATATTGTGTTTTTATGTTAAACACATTAAAACATCCTAGGATAAACTTTAGAGATGAGCAAATTAACAAGTATTCGACAAATATTACATGTAAAACTTTATGGATTGCGATGTAAGTAAAATATTCCCACAAACCAATCAAGGCTATTGTATAAATTATAGTTATTTACATTCAGAAAAGGTTTTTTATAAGTTGCTAGAATGGCTGCCTGGCTAAAAGTCGGTTTACTTGGGTAATCTTTTTAAATAAATTAGGCTTCATATTTAAATGGGAAATGTTTTAGGTCTATTATGTACATTTTTAAACATGTTCCTTTATACAATTATTGATAAGCAATTGCATTTAAGGGTAAAACGTTCATATAGAAACCGTTTTTAAAACCTACGATGCAAAATAACGAGTTCATAAGCATTGTTGCCAATGAAGTGCCAAGCGGGAAACGGATTCTCAATATAAATAATAGAGCCCAACAAATAATTTTAAACATAGTCTTAAACAATTTGGTTTTATGAAATTTATTAAAATAGTGACGTTTCGTCTTGACTCAAGACATCTTCAGACTAATCGGAAGTTAACAATCCGCACACTATTCAAACGTTTCTACAACGCTGCTTTCCCTCTTTTCAATGTCAGATTCGTCTTTCGTACCCCCAAACGAATCTCTTCATTTTTTCCCGTTAAGGATAAAATTCCCAAGTCTCTGAGATGTGGTGTTGTCTATTTATACACGTGTCGATGCTGTTCCGCGTCGTATGTGGGTCAAACCACACGCCACTAACCCACCAGAATCTCGGAACACTTGGGGATCTCTCCTTTGACTGGAAAACGCTATACTAACCCATTATTGTCAAGTATTCTTTCTTATAGTAACTCCTCCAACCACCCTGCTTCGCCAGACGATTTTAAAATCATCTCATCCTGCTCCGACACATTCGACCTCATGATCCACGAAAGCCTCCTCATCTCCAAACTAAAACCTTCACTTAACACCCACGGCAGCTCCATTCTTAAGCTTTTCTAGTCTCAACACCTCACCCTAACAATACATCACATCACACTTAAACAGCCACAGTAATCTGATACCTCAAACTATGTAAATAGCTCTCTATATATCTATAATTCTTGTTAACTTCCCTATTAGTCTGAAGATTTCTTGCGTCAAGACGAAACGTCACTATTTTAATAAATTTCACAAAACCAAATTGTTTATGACTATGTTCAAAATTATTTGTTGGGCAATAATATTTATTTTGAGAGTTCATAGACAATTTTGTTTGGGAATAAAAGGCAAAACGACAATTTCCTCTTTGAGAAATTTGCTGAAGTCAACAATACAATCTCACCCATTGAAGTAAATATATCATGTATTTACTTCTATGATCCTCACCATTGAGGGAGTGGTATAAAGAAGTGGAGGTAGGTAGCAACAAGAGGTCTGGGAACTATTGTCAATTCGTAAACAATTTGAAAACAATAATGACTGATGGTTTTTGTTTGACAACTTAAGTTTCTTACTACTCCAGATGGTAAGCAATGCAAAACCTTCTACTTTTCCACATAAAGAGCTAAATGCAAGATATTGTTTTCACCATCTTATCGTGTGAAATCATTTAAGTGTAATTGTTCCACAGTGATGGCCGACGAAGAACGAATTAAGGAATGGGCAGAATGGTTGAAAGTTAAGTCTGTGTTTGTAGATCTGGAATGGCTGGAAGCTTGTGTTAGATGGATATTGTCGCGTGAGTCTATAAACTCCGAAATGGTAAGTGTTCTTGTGAAATGTTAGTGTTCATTTTTAAGTTGTATGACTATAATTTAGACGCGGGAAACTTTGCAAATTTGAAATCGTTAACTTTCGTCGTACAGCAGTATCACCTTTTATAGAATAGTGCTTATCTCCATCAAACAGAAGTAAAAATAAATAAATACTAACAGTGCTTAAATTTGAATGGTTCAAAGAGCAGGCTGTTTTGTATGCTCGAAGAAATTTTAACATTTCCGTATGGAAAATTTAAATCTCAGACAGAGAATTCCTACTTGTAAATGCACAAAAGGCCCTGGTGATTTTGGTTTAACTTATGTATTTGACAATCTTTGGTCAGGGTTGCCTTCCTAAAGATGTTCAGAAATTGAAATTTTCGAGTAACTTGTGCATAATTTTTACAAATTCACCATGTACAATATATTTCTATGTCTCTCACCTCTTTAATTGAGGATAAAGTTTTGTGTGCACAGTGCAAGTCATTTCACAGGGCGATCAGAATTTATTACGATTTAGAGATTGTGAAAAAACTAGTATCTTTGTGTGACTTTGTTTGAAGAAAATGTAGGAGAAAAGTGAAGCATGTTAAATTTTCCAAGCAATTTCAATTAATCTTGTGAGGAAGGATTAAGCCTACCAAGGCCTCTCTCTCTCTTCACTTCAGATAAGCCTGTTCTTGCACGCATGGAATAATTTGTAGAATGTCACAACAATATTAACTTTAGTAGTTGTTTTTGGGTTTTGAAGATCATTTGTTGTTGAGGGGGGAGACAAATAACTTCTACATACGCATGGTCTTCAGAAATGTCATAAACTATATTACAATGTTTGTTAATAGTAAAGAATTTTAGATAAGTATTTATTATCTTAGATATTTCTACATGATTGCTTGTTCTACTTTAGGAACTAAAAAATGCCATTTATGAACAATGGTTAATGTCTGATTTAATGGAAAGTGGAAGCAGTACTTTACCACAGTCTGTGGCAAGTATTCCTAAGATGCTGACAAAGTCAACAATTGTACTTCAGGTTATAACACATTATAAAGTTATTATGAACTTGGTATTTTGTAGCATTCTAAATCAAAGAACATAGATATTTGACCAGTGCACCAGTGCCATGTAGCCTTGTGGGTGCTTACACAAAATGGCCACTTGAAGAGTTGCACCAATTTTTGCATAAAACAAGGTTAAATAGTTGGAATTTTATTAAACAAAAAGAATGATAGCATAATGCTTTAACCAACAACTACAAACAATAACGACCTTATCTAACAACATTTGAGAAATTAACCTTCCACTCCTCTTCCTTGTAAACGAGACAAGTCTATTCAAAAGCAGAGAGCCTTATATGCTACAAGTCCCTGGCTTGTGACCGATATAGCAGAGTTAAAAGGTGAAAGGTTTATCATAGATTAATCAACTGAATATTCCTGCTCATTTTTGTTTCGAAGCATGTTAAACAGTTCATATGGACAAAGCTCAAATTCCATATTAAATAAACAGTTACATAGTTCAGTGTTAATGTTAGACAATACATCATTGCCCTCAGTGAAAGCATTCAGTTGATTAATCTATAACACTTTTTACTATTTTAAACAGCCTTCTTCAAAGAATATATTTTCAGTTTCAGTAAACTATGTGTTTGCCAAAAACTGACCATTCTTCCTTGCAGATGAATTCAATTGTAAATATTGCTGAATCAGCATATAGTCAATTAAAGAAACTAAAAAATGAAGACAATGATCTTGATGACAATGTTAACAAGAATAAGACACAAGTGGTAAGATATTTTTTTGAAGATTAAATTTGAACATCAGGAGTTCTTCGTTTACTTTTAAAAGAATATGAAATTATATTTAATTTAATTAAAGTAGTTTAATCTTGTCAACAAAATGATATAATTACTGACAAATTCTTGAATGTCTATTGGAAAGTGAAGTATTCCAAAAAGTGTTAGTTATAAGGAACATGTTTCCAATGGTGTAGCCGTCCTGTGAATTGTACAACATTTTCATCATTCATTTCTTTAGAAAATTTATTGCTTCCGCAGTAAATGAACATAAAAAATTTACATATCAAGACAAAATATGCAGGATGGTTACTAATACCAAGTGGAGTACATTTGGATATATTGCACGATAATTTATTCAAACTGCTTGGAAAATTTCAATTCAACATTTTCATGCAATCTGGTTACATACTATTTTATCATGTGTCATATTTTCCTTCCAACGACGTTCTTGTTGATGTTAATGGACACAACACAAAGGTTGAGTAAGAAAATAAAATTGTTTTATTTTAATCATTTGACAGTCGCCATCCAGTCGTATGTTAAAGTTAGATTTAACGGATGGTCATCAGTTTATTGAGGGTATGGAAGTTTCACCTATAAAGAAGTTAAGTTCTGATACTTTACCAGGAACCAAGGTATGGGTTTCAGTTATTTTTAGCTTTAAAGAAGTTAAGCATTGAAACCAAGGTTTGTGTTTACGTAAGCTCTTTGATGAATACTTCTGACGTATAGAATGTACCGTCCAACTGCTCTGCAGGAGTAAAAATTTCCCCCAAACTCTCTCTATACTACAGAATGAAGGCTGACGTTTGTACGAAGCGTTAAAAGCTCTGTTCACGATATCGCTATTCTTTCTACAATGAAACTGTGTATCTAGTTCCAGTTCTTTTCTGCGTTTTTCCGTCACCATGCTATGAAATGAGGTTACGCAGTAACCAAGGTTAATATCACAGCAACGATGCGCGCAAACTGGTAACGAGTATCAAATATCGCATGCTACATGCACAGACATAGCATCGGGCCATCATTATCGACAGTTAGGAAAACCAATAATATGTCCTTATAATAGTTATAAAATTGGGCTGAAAAAGCTAGATATGTCACCAATAGAATTACACCATGAAGATTTATGTAAACGTTATTTCCAGACAATTGAAACAAATGAACGCCATAAATTAAGAAATTTACTGCCAAACAAAAATAACTGTAAATATAGCCTGAGAAGTAAACATAAATATATAGTTCCGCTTGCTCGCACCAACAGAGCGAAGAACTCGTTCATCCTGTCCTTGTGTACATAAAGTTACACAAAGTGGCCAGGTATGGAGTTTTCTTTGTCTCTGTTGGTGTTAGCGAGTACCATTTTTAGATACTTATTTTTAGATTTTTAGATACTTATTTTTAGATACTTATTTGCTATTATAATTTTACTAATGTAGATATTTGCAATTCAGCCGCAAGGCTGCAATTAATATTTTAATAAACTACCTACCTACCTACCTACCTACCGACAGTTTGCGGTGGAGTACAGAATGAATATGTTTTCATTTTCTCCCACCAAACTTGATTCGGTGTGATAAGGTGTAGTCGGGAGGGGGTTAAGAATGAATGATTGGGATCATTTTATTTCTCAAAACCTGTCTCTCAGTTCAAGACTTCGTCATATTACAATATATAGGGAACAAATAGTTGAGCCTTTATTTTTAATTTTTTTTTTTACATCGTTTATCTACGTAAGTACGCGATTAAGATAATAGCAGCCAGTTAACTGTATTTTCTTAAGAGTTCTGTGATAGCTTAACGCATCTTGATAGCTTATTTTAAGCCATGAATGAACCAATCACATTTCACATACACAGCACCTGTACTAAACGCATTATATGCGAATGTTATGTCAAGTAATAGGTAGACATTGTAAATTAGAGCTTTGAAAAGACGTCTGTGCAACTTCTCATAAATGTAGAGTACTTAGGAGTGTATAGCATGTACTACTACTGATGTTGATTCTTATAGGAAAACCAAGAACTCTACGACTAACGATGATGAATTATCTGGTGAACAACATGAAAGCAATTTCCAAGTGGAAACATCCAACAACAGTTCTGGTGATAATTTTGAGGTTGACAAATGGCTGGATGATAACGAAGATGAAAATCTGTTGGTGAATCTTGAAGATGACTTTGAAAATCAATCTGTTCCAACGGTTGTAATACTAGATGACGACATTCCACATGATGTAGTCATAGAAAAGGAGTTTGAAATTGATGATGATATTCCTAACGATGTTCTAAATGACCTGGATGGTTATGAATGTTAGTTTGATGATCTGGTGACAATGGAGATCATTTGAAGAGAAGTGGAATCATGGACAGCGGTATGTTAATGAAGATTTTTATAAAAAATTTTTGTACATTTTCATGTTGACGAGGATGTATTGAATCTCTCAAAAAAAATTAATGTTCAATACAGCTGCCTTGTTACTGGCCTTTTGATTATTTAAATTTTAGTTTTAGGTAAAGTTGGGCGGTATTGAAATGTTGGGAACATTTTCAGCACCTTAACATACCACAGTATACCAATATATAACGTTTAGATCTTGTATGTAAATGTGTGATCTACTGTAACTGCTGTTTTTACTCAATAATCCAAGGCAAATTCAATATTATTTTATTAACGATCATTATTTCCGTAAGATTCAAATTATGTCATGTTTTACAGAGACAGTAACGTTTCCAACTAGCAACAGCTACGTATTAATCATACAACTAGCTACTTCTGATTTTGTCAGCTCAAGATGCGATTTTGCAAAACACTACTTCAGCTATGCTGTAAAAATGCACTATCTGTTTTGATTGGTAAACCTTTTAGTTTAAACTCAAAGAAAAACTAGTGAAAGCCATAGTACCTTTATTATGTTAGGTTATTTACGAAATCAAAACCATTTCTGAAATTCACATGTTTTACTCAAAAGTTCCATGAACTGTACATTATTTATCAAAATGAGGTTATACATAGTATTGTAATATTTAGGGTAATATTATAATAAAAAAGATGTCAGCAAATGATTCAGCCATTTTGTACTCAACAATCAAGGCAGGCTGCCAGTTAAATACTACATGAAGCAGTAAAGAAGCCTTAAGTCATTATCTCTTCAAGGTCAAGATTTTATAGCATACAATTGTACATATGTACTGACTAAACATACACGTTTAGTGAATACTAATTCGTAATGTCAGTAAGTATGAATCAATCAACATTTCTCAATTTACCTGACAATAAAACTACTATGAAAGATCATATCTTCATTTAAGTAAAACTACTGTTAGGTTCCTAAACATCAAGTTAATGTTGATAACTAGCTACTATTTTTAATCCTCCCAAGATGAATAGATGAAAACAACTGAATTTAACAACTGAATCAAATGTTTGTAGCATTTATTCCTTCCTGAATTCCTTCCTAAAAGTTCTTACATATTTTGAATTTCATTTTGTCCTCTAATCTTCATCCTCGTCCTGCCAATCGTCATCGTCATCATCCCATTCAGATCCTGTTTCGCTCTCAGAGTCTGAGTATTCCACAGCAATACGTCGCTGATGTATAGACGTAACATCCATACCAACATTTTGTTGTTCCTTCTTCTCCGTTTCGCCTTGAACTTTCCTCAACTTCATCCCTGTGCGGATTGCTTCAAGCAAATCAGTGCGAGCATCAAGTTTCTTTGGTTCTGGAGGAGGAGCAGTCATTCCACCTTCCACAGGAGGTGGTGGTGTTGGTGGTGGTAATGGTGGGCGTGGGGGTGCTACTGGAATGTTCATACCAGGGAAGGCTGGTGTAGGGGGAGGTGGTGGCATATCTGATGACATATTAGGGGGAATAATTGATGGTGGTGGTGGTGGTAGAGGATAAATTAGGATCTATTTGACTAGGTACAGGAGGTGGTTGTGGGTGTTTGGTGGTTGGTTTTGGTTTCGATGTAATACCTCGTCTGGAAGATACTGTTCCTCTTATTTTATCATATTCGATGAACTCTTTGGTGTTTAAATTAACAGAACCATTTTGTACTGGTGGTTTAATGTCATCTTGTGCAGAGGGAACACTATCCTGCACCGAGTATTTTGATTGAGAGAACTCCTTATCCTGACCATCATACACCTTCTTTCTTAGATGTTTCACTCTAATCTGGGATTGCTTTCGGCCACCTCGATGTTGCCTCTGTAAGAAAGCATTCAACAAAGATATAATATCATTCTTTGTTTGAATTTTAATGAAGGACGATTTCATTTCCTTCTAGTGACATGATGGATTGAAATTGAACAAATACAAAATTTACAAATATCAAGAAACATTTTATGGAAAGCCTATTTAGAATAAATGGACCTTTTTAAGCTTTCACTAAAGAAACTCTGTTCATCTACTTAATGTCAATGCAGAGGAACTGAAATATTAAACTGACAAGAAAGTTTTGCTTTGACATGTTAACTTCCTATGGTTATGTAATGATGAAGTAGAAATGGTTTTTTAACGGAATTAATTCCAATGAAACTTATAACATCCAAGTAACAGAGATGAAGAATGAATACCTAATAACATTATGTCGCGATTTCCGTGTTATTCTCCATGTAATTATCCTCAAACTATTATGTAATCTGTACTAGCCTGATTGAATGATTAATGATTTACAATAGATGTGTATTACGCTAAAGTTTCTTTTTGGAATCGGATAAGATAAATATAATGCACATGCAGTTCATACTTTTCAATTCTGATGGCTATTCACGTCCACGTCGGCTTCACTGGATATTGATTTATAAAAAGCTTATCTCATTTGAAAAATTTCATTTTCCTAATCAGAAAGCCCAACAAAGACATTTACGCAACTTTTGAAAGGTCATCAAGGCTTTCTGTGCAAAACTAGTGTATATTCATTGTTAGAGTGCTGAAGTAAACTTTAAAGAAAGTAACTAGCTATTAACTTAGTTATTCAAAACATCACTTACCTGATTTGGATAAGTTAGATAGCGACTCATGGTCAACGACGTTGTAATGCTCAACTCTTAGAACTAAACATGATCACGATTTATGACATCCACGTGGCCCATGGTTCATCGTTCTTGGACACACTTGATCAAGATTGGACATATGCAGACATGCTTAAGACACTTTGCATTTTGCTGTATTTACTTTATCTTGTTTGGCTCCAAAGATATTAAAGGGAGTACTAAAATTATTGTACGATAGCTAAAGCAAAACTACTTTGACGTACATTGGAAAAAATTGCTACATCCTGTTAATGGAAATGATATTAAGATGGCGTGTTGTTTGACAGATATACAAGGTGGAAGGGAGTAGATTATTTGGTTGTCCCATCTTTTTTTCTTTGGCTCGAGAGTCCATAAAATCACCAATTTAATTCATAATTCATTTTGTTGTAGTGAGGAAAACATCTGGATTTCATTCTTAGAGAAAGCGTTCAATTTGTAAATTAGCTATTTAAAGCAGTTTCAGCCCGCATTCTCACTCCATATCTTTTTTTTTTTAATACGTTCAATATTCGAAGTTAATTACCGCATTGCAAATGTTAAGCCCGGTTTTCGCATAATCGTTTAAATCTTCTGTAGTCTGAAAGCGTGCAGGAACGATATCGCAGGCAATCGTTTCAATCGTCTGGTTATATGGATTCCCGGGCTTTATCCGCCTCAGCTTCGCCCCGGCAGATAGCAATGACATCGCTCTGAATAATTCCTGATATCATGCTCAACCTCATCCAAAAATTGCTTATTAGTATCCATATAATAAAGATCACTAAACTGCATCTCATATTTTTTTTTCAGCCAACGCTTTCATATTTTTAATTAGCATTGCAGAAGATTTTAATGACTACATCCTAATTGTTTATTGTTTAGTACATGGATTTAAAGACTTAAGCTTAGTTTTCACTAGGAACATAAGCATAAGGACAAACAAAGGGAAAAGAAAATACAAAAGAAGGCAATGAAGCGACTGACACAAGCATCGCTTAAGCATAAGAACAGCAACTTGACATAAATAAGGCAGGACAAAAACAATTTGAAAAGAGAATCCTTTTTTCTTTAATTTCCTCCAATCTCTGGAGAATAGGCTAGGCTTTGTTTTATGGCTTGTGCTTATGTCGCTAGTGAAAACTAGGCTTAACAAACAATTGCTAAGTGCGTTAGCAATCTGCACGGTATCCCAAACAAACTTTTCGTCTTTGAAACCACCCTATATAATTTGTACGATTCAACAATAATTGCTACCCAAGAAGCCGTATACGTGGTTAAAAACAACAATGCGTGAAGTTCCTTCTGATAACGTTAACGTCTTTTGGGAGTCAGTTACTGCCGAATCATGCAAATTTTAAATGTCTGCTGCTGAATTCAACGATGAACAAATTTTTTATGATGCCCTGGAGCTGCTGAAATGGCTAACGAATAGAAGATCAAGAAAATTATACATAAAAAATTTATTTAGAAATCACTATGAAAATAGCAAGCCTTTTTAATATCTCTATACCAAATGTAGAATACTGGTCTTCTCTATAGATTTTGTAAACAATGAAAAAGAAATCGTGATTACTTAATATTTTTGTTCTTTTTTCAGATTTTTTCTACTATAATTTTTTTCCTTATATTTATGAGAGAATAAACAAACTTTGTAATTTGGTGGAAATGTTAAGTTGCTTTAACATAAAAAAGGTGCGCAGCGCGCACACGTTGTTGGGCTTACAAGGTCACAAAGGTCACATGGTCACTTGGATTTCAATTTCGAACAAATGACATGCACATGCACGTGACTCATAACTTCATTATAACATGTTATAGCTTTTCGTTGTGTAAAGACACTGTTGTATATGTTATACATGTCACAATCATGTCACAATTTGACCATATTTTGTATTTAAGTAGATAAGGCTAAAGGAAATGGGAACTATAGTCCAGGAGGTTAATGCTATCCTTGCAAACTAATGGGAACACTTAGACGCTGTCTACATGAAGAGAATTTTTCCAACTAGGTAGGTTAAAATATAGGTGATCATCACTTACTATCAAGAGGTATCCTAAGGTAAGTAGGTGGGTAAATTGAAGGTGACCATCACACAATATTAACTTTTATCAAGAGGTATCCTAACTAGGTGGGTTTTTATGTGTGATATACTATCTTTAGTGTTTAACTCTTCAAAATAAACTGCCTGAAAATGATCAAAGTTCTTGAATTAATGATTCTATCAATTCTTTTTAGTGCGTATTTCACAGTACACATTTGTAAATTAGAAAAAGTTGTGTAAATAAATCAATGAAAAAATCTTGTATCTTTCAACACAAGTTCATCATGCAATTGCACAGCAATTTCCTACACCACGACAGCTGCCACATCTATACAACACTGGCAATATATTAGGACAATATGATGGAAAACAATATCCAAGAATATTGTTATCAATGTCGCACACACAGTCTGGCTCCCAGCCCTTATATCTTGTTTCTAAAGAAGAGAAAAACAAAAATAATTTCTGTAATGAATGACGGTAAATTTCTGCTAAAATTTCTGTGCCACGGGGCTGTGCAACTTAGTGCTGTATATTTTGATATACTACACACGTGGTTCATCCCCCATCTAGACCCTGTTCCTGTTGATCATAAACACATGCAAAAAGACATTGTCACAAGAAATTATTCCTACGCAACAGGAGTACGATTTTCTTCCAGTGGACTGACTTACTGTTTTGCTCACAATATGTCATTAAGTTTACTTTGCATGAAAAAATTTTTGAACAACATATGCAGCCAGGACCTTAGCTACAAGATTTAATGATAGGGGAGGGCAGTTATTCATATATTAAGTTATGCCAGATTGATTCCTTTTAAACGTGCTTTGGCTTTCTAAAGAAATCAGTTGGGCACAATTTAAAAAATTTGAAAAACTTCCCTCTCTTCCCGTTCCAATTAATTTCCTAGCAACTATCCTCAAAATTGTGTGTACTTTGACGCTCGACAAAATTAAAGAGACAAAGCCTTCATCAACAAATTCGACAAAATATCGACAAAATATTGACAACTTATATCTTTTAGGGATAGATGTATGTAAAAATTGCACCTCAGCTCTGTCTGTTAAAAATTAAGTTGTCAAATATTAATAAAGTTTAACCATTGAAATCCAAACAAAATGGCGCTGAACATGGCAGTGTTAAAAACAAATTTGTAAGACACCATTATCTTACGCGTACACATCGCACATTTCTATTTTAAAAACGTGATGATGGCACAAATATAGAAAACAACGAGATCTAATAGACGTTTCAAATCGCTTGCAAAGCTCACATTTGTATGACATTCAACTGGTTTAGACTATTGTCAAAGAAACAGATGTAAGTATTATGGCAATCCTTTAATAAATGCATTAGAAACATTTTTCCTACGTCATCTGTTTTATACTTTTTGCAGTATAACATATTGGTTATCCGACTACATTCTACCTACGAAAATTAAAAAAAAAAGTTTTTTGCGAGTAAAGTTAAAGACAATACCTTTTTCATAAAACGTCATGTTGTTAGGGAAAAGTTTTCTAGCATCAACAGCAACGGCAAACAAGATCAAAATCAATAAAACTGCCTTCATCCTGTAAAACATAAATCATTATATAGGAAGTAGTGTGACGTTAAGATAACGTCAGACTTATAACTTAGCTTTATCATGCTGACTCATTTTTATTATATAGTTACATTCTACTTTTAGTTACATTACGTCATGTATTGTAAATAGGAATGATGCCATAATTATAAAAAGGACATTACGTTATACTTTATAATTAGCTTCCAGACAATATATAAGCAGTGGACAGCTAAAGCGAGAACGATTGTACTTTGGTGAATAAGTAGTAAACTGATTTTACATTGGCAACGAGGATTAAAGAGCGCCTGTTACATACATGGTTATAATGCTCCTATATATATATGTTTTTAATGCTTCTATAGATGCATGGATATTATACTCCTGTACACAAATGGTTATAATGCTTCTATACATACATGGTTATAATGCTCCTTTACACATATGATTATAATAATCCTATACATACATGATTATAATGCTCCTATACATACAATATATCCATGTATGTGTAGAGGCATGATAACCAAATATATATTATTTTACATATAAAAAGCATATTGCTTATAGACAAGAAGTCATTATGTGCGAATTATTAATCATTAAGAGGCTTTTTAATTGACGATGGAATTTAAGTAACAACTCCAACTGATCACATGAGACCCATACGATATGCACGTGTTTAATGGCTTGACGTCATTCAACAATGATTTTCGGCCTTTTCCTTAATAAGATTTTGTAATAACACGTCATAATCTCATGACAGGATTGCATGATAAGAACAAAGGGGTAGACAGTTGAAACAAAGCTGCATAATGTAGGTCTGTGATAACAAAAAGTTAGTAAGGTTAGGAATTAATTTAAGAGCACCCCTAATTCAAGATATTCGTTAATAAACTTTCTTGCTATTTCAGGAACGAAACACTTGTATAGATATTATATATAAATCTTTAAGTTTATCCATCACATTTTGTGCATGTGATTGATCTGTGCATGCAATTCATCGTTTTAAACTAGAATGTATTGTAAAAACGTACAATAGACACAGCATTATAAGATGATTTCATGACTACGACCAAGTATTAGGTATTATAAATCTTTAAGTTTATCCATCACATTCTGTGCATGTGATTGATCTGTGCATGCAGCTCAGTGTTTTAAACATGATTTTATTGTAAAAACGTACAATAGACACAGCATTATAAAATGATTTCATGACTAAAACCAAATGTTAAGTATTTCATTCTTGTGGTATAAAATACCTCTTTGCAGCTATCTTTCTCACATTTCACAAATTGGGAAACATTTGCTAGTGGCATTTTAAATATCTTCTCTGTTAGACATATATAAATAGACTATGAAATTTCATGTAGGATTTACCTTTCTTTTTCTTACTTTTCTGTAACAAATAAAGAAACAACAGAATATCTTGGTATTCTAACTTCTCTTCTTTGTTCCTCTTTCTTTTTTTATAGCTTAATTATGAATAATTGACAGCATGAAACTTATACAAAATGTGCGCGCGCTTGTTACTTTGAGATCAATTGACCTTGTTTTGCAATGACTTGTCTTATCTTGTCTTAAACGTTTTTCATATGATGTTAAAATCTCATGACATGGCAGGATTGTGTTACAAAAACAAACTCGTTATAAAGTGTAATTTGGCTAAAAAGCAGTTTCGTGAACGCTGAGCTCCTGAGCTGAACTTCTTGCAGTATTTTGATACTATATAAGCTATATGTGAGCCTTTTTTATATGCATGTTGTATGTAATAAAAATAGGTTTTTCCAAAGTGAAATTTACGCATATTTGAAAAAATTATACAGTAGGGTCTTAACCAGGCCGGCTAATAGTCGAAATATAAATATTAGATATTTATATAAATGTTTATATATAAATATTAGATTACAACTGGACTCATAAAGATGACTGGAGGGGAAGAATCGATAGAGGATATGATCTCAATAGATATAAATAGTAAAGACATTATAATGACTGATTGTATTCAATAAAATAGATCATTTTTACAAAATCAATCTGATAGTGAGAATTGACATTTTTCATGGCCATTAAGGCACTTTACTTTCGGAGTTTTAGCTAGGATTATAAAACTGGCCATCCAAAACACTTAAGTAGGTGTTGTTGCATAGTTTTTGCAGGCATCTTGTAGTCATGACTTGTGATGTGTTGCGTTACTATACAATGCACATTTCAGACATGAAATTAGTAAAACCAAATGCACATTGCAAAGCAATATAATTAGAAATATTTTTAACAACTGACAGTACACAACCCAAGCAAAAAAGAACCACATATTCATATGCTTCAGTATTTAAAAGTGTTAAACTAAGATTCATAATAATATAAAAAATAAATACTGCCCCAGTTCATTTACTGATATTAACTAAGAACTTGAACAAGTGATGCTTTAAAATAAATATTGTGTTTTCATGTTAAACACATTAAAACATCCTAGGATAAACTTTAGAGATGAGCAAATTAACAAGGATGTAAGTAAAATATTCCCACAAACCAATTAAGGCTATCGTATAAATTATAGTTATACACATTCAGAAAAGGTTTTTATAAGTTGCTAGAATGGCTGCCTGGCTAAAAGTCTGTTTACTCGGGTAATCTTTATAAATAAATTAGGCTTCATATTTAAATGGGAAATATTTTAGGTCTATTATGTACATTTTTAAACATGTTCCTTTATACAATTGTTGATAAGCAATTGCATTTAAGGGTAAAACGTTCATATAGAAACCGTTTTTAAAACCTACGATGCAAAATTACGAGTTCATAAACATTGTTGTCAATGAAGTGCCAAGCAGGAAACGGATTCTCAATATAAATATTAGAGCCCAACAAATAATTTTAAACATAGTCATAAACAATTTGGTTTTATGAAATTTATTAAAATAGTGACGTTTCGTCTTGACTCAAGACATCTTCAGACTAATCGGAAATTAACAATCCGCACACAATTCAATCGTTTCTACAACGCTGCTTTCCCTCTTTTCAATGTCAGATTCGTCTTTCGTACCCCCACACGAATCTCTTCATTTTTTCCCGTTAAGGATAAAATTCCCAAGTCTCTGAGATCTGGTGTTGTTTATTTATACACGTTTCGATGCTGTTCCGCATCGTATGTGGGTCAAACCACACGCCACTAACACACCAGAATCTCGGAACACTTGGGGATCTCTCCTTTGACTGGAAAACGCTATACGAACCCATTATTGTCAAGTATTCTTTCTCATAGTAACTCCTCCTACCACCCTGCTTCGCCAGACGATTTTAAAATCATCTCATCCTGCTCCAACACATTTGACCTCATGATCCACGAAAGCCTCCTCATCTCCAAACTAAAACCTTCACTTAACACCCAAGGCAGCTCCATCCTTCTTAAGCTTTTCTAGTCTCAACACCTCACCCTAACAATACATCACATCACACTTAAACAGCCACAGTAATCTGATACCTCAAACTATGTAAATAGCTCTCTATACATCTATAATTCATGTTAACTTCCTTATTAGTCTGAAGATTTCTTGAGTCAAGACGAAACGTTACTATTTTAATAAATTTCACAAAACCAATTTGTGAAATTGTTTATGACTATGTTCAAAATTATTTGTTGGGCTCTAATATTTATTTTGAGAGTTCATAAACAATTTTGTTTGGGAATAAAAGGCAAAACGACAATTTCCTCTTTGAGAAATTCACGGAAGTCAACAATACAATCTCACCCATTGAAGTAAATATATCATGTATTTACTTCTATGATCCTCACCATTGAGGGAGTGGTATAAAGAAGTGGAGGTAGCAACAAGAGGTCTGGGAACTATTGTCAATTTGTAAACAATTTGAAAACAATAATGAATGATGGTTTTTGTGGTTAGCACTATTTTCCACCCAGCAAACCGCCCTTTACTTTGAAATATAATATTTTACACAATATAATATTTTACACAATCTAATATTTTACACAATATAATATTTTATATAATATTTTACACAATCGTCGAAAAACGACATATTTTCCAGCCTGGATTATAAGTTTATAACTTAAGGTGGTTGCATGAAAATTTATACTGCAACATTTATCTGTAAATATTTTCATATGTTGATATTAAAAACTGTATTATAAAAATATAAAATTACTCGCCATCTCAAAACGACCTAGCACCAGTGCATGCATGGTTTCCTTTTAGCTTTTCGTTCTTTCAAATTAGCCGCCATCTTTAATTTATTTCCGATTGTGTAAAGTAAAGGGCGGTTTGCTGGGTGGAAATTAGTGCTAACCGGTTTTTGTTTGACAACTTAAGTTTCTTACTACTCCAGATGGTAAGCAATGCAAAACCTTCTACTTTTCCACATAAAGAGCTAAATGCAAGATATTGTTTTCACCATCTTATCGTGTGAAATCATTTAAGTGTAATTGTTCCACAGTGATGGCCGACGAAGAACGAATTAAGGAATGGGCAGAATGGTTGAAAGTTAAGTCTGTGTTTGTAGATCTGGAATGGCTGGAAGCTTGTGTTAGATGGATATTGTCGCGTGAGTCTATAAACTCCGAAATGGTAAGTGTTCTTGTGAAATGTTAGTGTTCATTTTTAAGTTGTATGACTATAATTTAGACGCGGGAAACTTTGCAAATTTGAAATCGTTAACTTTCGTCGTACAGCAGTATCACCTTTTATAGAATAGTGCTTATCTCCATCAAACAGAAGTAAAAATAAATAAATACTAACAGTGCTTAAATTTGAATGGTTCAAAGAGCAGGCTGTTTTGTATGCTCGAAGAAATTTTAACATTTCCGTATGGAAAATTTAAATCTCAGACAGAGAATTCCTACTTGTACTGTAAATGCACAAAAGGCCCTGGTGATTTTGGTTTAACTTATGTATTTGACAATCTTTGGTCAGGGTTGCCTTCCTAAAGATGTTCAGAAATTGAAATTTTCGAGTAACTTGTGCACAATTTTTACAAATTCACCATGTACAATATATTTCTATGTCTTTCACCTCTTTAATTGAGGATAAAGTTTTGTGTGCACAGTGCAAGTCATTTCACAGGGCGATCAGAATTTATTACGATTTAGAGATTGTGAAAAAACTAGTATCTTTGTGTGACTTGGTTTGAAGAAAATGTAGGAGAAAAGTGAAGCATGTTAAATTTTCCAAACAATTTCAATTAATCTTGTGAGGAAGGATTAAGCCTACCAAGGCCTCTCTCTCTCTTCACTTCAGATAAGCCTGTTCTTGCACACATGGAATAATTTGTAGAATGTCACAACAATATTAACTTTAGTAGTTGTTTTTGGGTTTTGAAGATCAATTGTTGTTGAGGAGGGAGACAAATAACTTCTACATACGCATGGTCTTCGGAAATGTCATAAACTATATTACAATGTTTGTCAGTAGTAAAGAATTTTAGATAAATATGTATTATCTTAGATATTTCTACATGATTGCTTGTTCTACTTTAGGAACTAAAAAATGCCATTTATGAACAATGGTTAATGTCTGATTTAATGGAAAGTGGAAGCAGTACTTTACCACAGTCTGTGGCAAGTATTCCTAAGATGCTGACAAAGTCAACAATTGTACTTCAGGTTATAACACATTATAAAGTTATTATGAACTTGGTATTTTGTAGCATTCTAAATCAAAGAACATAGATATTTGACCAGTGCACCAGTGCCATGTAGCCTTGTGGGTGCTTACACAAAATGGCCACTTGAAGAGTTGCACCAATTTTTGCATAAAACAAGGTTAAATAGTTGGAATTTTATTAAACAAAAAGAATGATAGCATAATGCTTTAACCAACAACTACAAACAATAACGACCTTATCTAACAACATTTGAGAAATTAACCTTCCACTCCTCTTCCTTGTAAACGAGACAAGTCTATTCAAAAGCAGAGAGCCTTATATGCTACAAGTCCCTGGCTTGTGACCGATATAGCAGAGTTAAAAGGTGAAAGGTTTATCATAGATTAATCAACTGAATATTCCTGCTCATTTTTGTTTCGAAGCATGTTAAACAGTTCATATGGACAAAGCTCAAATTCCATATTAAATAAACAGTTACATAGTTCAGTGTTAATGTTAGACAATACATCATTGCCCCTCAGTGAAAGCATTCAGTTGATTAATCTATAACACTTTTTACTATTTTAAACAGCCTTCTTCAAAGAATATATTTTCAGTTTCAGTAAACTATGTGTTTGCCAAAAACTGACCATTCTTCTTTGCAGGTGAATTCAATTGTAAATATTGCTGAATCAGCATATAGTCAATTAAAGAAACTAAAAAATGAAGACAATGATCTTGATGACAATGTTAACAAGAATAAGACACAAGTGGTAAGATATTTTTTTGAAGATTAAATTTGAACATCAGGAGTTCTTCGTTTACTTTTAAAAGAATATGAAATTATATTTAATTTAATTAAAGTAGTTTAATCTTGTCAACAAAATGATATAATTACTGACAAATTCTTGAATGTCTATTGGAAAGTGAAGTATTCCAAAAAGTGTTAGTTATAAGGAACATGTTTCCAATGGTGTAGCCGTCCTGTGAATTGTACAACATTTTCATCATTCATTTCTTTAGAAAATTTATTGCTTCCAGTAAATGAACATAAAAAATTTACACATCAAGACAAAATATGCAGGATGGTTACTAATACCAAGTGGAGTACATTTGGATATATTGCACGATAATTTATTCAAACTGCTTGGAAAATTTCAATTCAACATTTTCATGCAATCTGGTTACATACTATTTTATCATGTGTCATATTTTCCTTCCAACGACGTTCTTGTTGATGTTAATGGACACAACACAAAGGTTGAGTAAGAAAATAAAATTGTTTTATTTTTATCATTTGACAGTCGCCATCCAGTCGTATGTTAAAGTTAGATTTAACGGATGGTCATCAGTTTATTGAGGGTATGGAAGTTTCACCTATAAAGAAGTTAAGTTCTGATACTTTACCAGGAACCAAGGTATGGATTTCAGTTATTTTTACCTGTAAAGAAGTTAAGCATTGAAACCAAGGTTTGTTTGTGTTTACGTAAGCTCTTTGATGAATACTTCTGACGTATAGAATGTACCGTCCAACTGCTCTGCAGGAGTAAAAATTTCCCCCAAACTCTCTCTACTACAGAATGAAGGCTGACGTTTGTACGAAGCGTTAAAAGCTCTGTTCACTATATCGCTATTCTTTCTACAATGAAACTGTGTATCTAGTTCCAGTTCTTTTCTGCGTTTTTTCGGCACCATGCTATGAAAAGAGGTTACGCAGTAACCAAGGTTAATATCATAGGAACGGTGCGCGCAGACTGGTAACGAGTATCAAATATCGCATGCTACATGCACAGACATAGCATCGGGCCGTCATTATCGACAGTTTGCGGTAGAGTACAGAATGAATATGTTTTCATTTTCTCCCACCAAACTTGATTCGGTGTGATAAGGTGTAGTCGGGAGGGGGTTAAGAATGAATGATTGGGATCACTTAGGAGCCTGAACTCCAAGTTAGTTTAATGCGAACCGGCCGCAAATCCCCGTCTGCACCTCACCTTCCACAGACATAAGTACATTTAGTGACGACAGATATTAAATCAAGATATAAGAATGAAAATATCATCAAATGTAGGTTTTATAAAGTATTTACGTATGTAACCAATGTGTACATTTTGTTCAGATCTTGATTAAACCTAATACTCTATGTCGATCTGGCATGTTGTTTTTGACTGGGAATAACATTGAGATATTGGGAGGTCATGTTCCATGGTTTTTGGAAGAAAAATCTAGAATGAATATGCTTAACAAACTTGTTATGTAAGTGAAATATCTGTTTATTAGACTTCAATGGTACAATCTTGAAATTTTATTTCTCAAAACCTGTCTCTCAGTTCAAGACTTCGTCATATTACAATATATAGGGAACAAATAGTTGAGCCTTTATTTTTAATTTTTTTTTTTACATCGTTTATCTACGTAAGTACGCGATTAAGATAATAGCAGCCAGTTAACTGTATTTTCTTAAGAGTTCTGTGATAGCTTAACGCATCTTGATAGCTTATTTTAAGCCATGAATGAACCAATCACATTTCACATACACAGCACCTGTACTAAACGCATTATATGCGAATGTTATGTCAAGTAATAGGTAGACATTGTAAATTAGAGCTTTGAAAAGACGTCTGTGCAACTTCTCATAAATGTAGAGTACTTAGGAGTGTATAGCATGTACTACTACTGATGTTGATTCTTATAGGAAAACCAAGAACTCTACTACTAACGATGATGAATTATCTGGTGAACAACATGAAAGCAATTTCCAAGTGGAAACATCCAACAACAGTTCTGGTGATAATTTTGAGGTTGACAAATGGCTGGATGATAACGAAGATGAAAATCTGTTGGTGAATCTTGAAGATGACTTTGAAAATCAATCTGTTCCAACGGTTGTAATACTAGATGACGACATTCCACATGATGTAGTCATAGAAAAGGAGTTTGAAATTGATGATGATATTCCTAACGATGTTCTAAATGACCTGGATGGTTATGAATGTTAGTTTGATGATCTGGTAACAATGGAGATCATTTGAAGAGAAGTGGAATCATGGACAGCGGTATGTTAATGAAGATTTTTATAAAAAATTTTTGTACATTTTCATGTTGACGAGGATGTATTGAATCTCTCAAAAAAAATTAATGTTCAATACAGCTGCCTTGTTACTGGCCTTTTTTGATTATTTAAATTTTAGTTTTAGGTAAAGTTGGGCGGTATTGAAATGTTGGGAACATTTACAGCACCTTAAGGTGGTCACCCCCTCTTGTCAGATGAATTTTTAAAAATTTTTCCGAAAATTTTTTTTGGTCATTTTTGGCACTTTAAGTATTGTAGTTTAAGTCTGCAGTGTTGATTTTCTTTAAAAAATAATACTCCGTGAGAAAAATGCCCTCAAACATACCTTATCGAAGAAATTAACCCTTAGCAACGCCTTAGCAACGCATTTAGGTACCAAAATCGTGAAAAATTTCGACCAAAATCCATTTTTAACCATTATTTTTTGGTTTGTCCTTTTGGCGTATGTAATTTCAAGTCTTTTGATGAATGTTGCTCCGTGATTGGTTGCTTTTGCTAGCCTTGGTTGGCCTTGACAACGCTATGACTTTGTCTGCCATGTATAGTTCGCATACACACGCTTCTCAAAGCCATCTACGAAAATCTTAGTTTTCTCTTACATTTCACGTTAAGAAAGAGCTGTTTTAGTTTCTATATAAATTCTATTTGTTTTTTTTTTATTGTATTTTCAAAAATAAATGGGAAATCTTAAAAACAGAAAGAGAAAACGGCCTAGAATTTCTCCTAAGAATACGACGAAGAGATTAAAAGATGGCGCACCTAGTGATCAAACAGCTGGGCCTTCATCTGCAAAAATTGGCACCGAGAGTGCAAAAAATGTTCCTTTCTCGGGGAATATTGACACTATAAGAGAAGGTACCATATTCATTGATTTAATGATCTTGTTTGGCGTATTCGAAAACCTTCTGAAATGTCCTGACTGTGCTGATGATGTGAGGTGTCATGTTGACATGAGGAAGAAGCATGGCTTTGCTCATTACATTGTACTGCAATGTGTGGGATGCGATTGGAAGCATTGTTTTAATTCTTCAAAAAAAAAAAGAAGGGCAATCCCATGAAATTAATGTACGAGCAGTGCTAGCTTTTAGAGAAATTGGTAAAGGTCACACTGCTATGACGACATTTACTAAAGTTCTAAACATGCCTCCTCCACCAAGGCGTGACAACTTTAGCAAAATTCAAAACAAAAAAACTTTTGCCAGTTGTGAAACAGTGTGCAATTGACAGCATGATGAATAATGCTATGCATGTTAAGGACTTGACTGTAAATGATGCTGGAGAATGTGGGATTTCCATTGATGGCACCTGGCAGAAGCGAGGATACTCTTCACACAATGGTGTTGTCACGGTAATTTCCCTTGATACCAAGAAGTGCCTTGACGTAGAAGTGCTTTCTGACAAGTGTCAGCAGTGTATCAAGTGGAGGAAGAAACAAAGTGATGCTAGATTTAAAGAATGGGAGGCAACTCATGTTTGTAAAATAAATCATACTGGGAGTTCTGGCAGCATGGAAACGGCAGGTGCACTGAGGATGTTTGAAAGGTCCATTGCTACAAGAGGGCTGAAGTATAAACATATGCTTGGGGATGGTGATTCATCTACATATAATGCAGTCCTAGCAAGCAAACCATATGGAGAAGATTGTCTACCAAATAAATTGGAGTGCATTGGGCATGTGCAGAAAAGAGTGGGAAGTAGGTTGCGAAGACTCAAAAGTAGTAGTAAAGGAAGAAAGCTCGCTGATGGGAAGGGTATGTCAGGTAAAGGTAGACTAACTGATGGAAAAATAGATGTGCTCCAAAATTATTATGGTCTGGCAATCAGAGAAAACCTTCACAGTGTTGAGGAAATGGCAAAGGCTGTGAAGGCATCACTTTTTCATGTGGCATCAACAAAGGAGAATCCACAGCATCACCTTTGTCCAAAAGGAGTGGACAGTTGGTGTGGATATCAACGTGAAAAGGATGGTTATAACCACAAGAATGGCCTTCCAAAGTCCATTGTTGATTTGTTAGAGCCTATTTTTGAGGATTTGGCTGACACTACATTATTAAACAAATGTACGCATGGTTTGACACAAAATCCAAATGAATGTTTGAATGGACTTATTTGGGATAGATGTCCGAAGACAATCTATGTTGAACATGAAACTGTGGCTCTTGCCACTTATTTAGCTGTTTTGAAATTTAATGATGGAGACATTTCCTTCCTAAAGATATTTGAAGATTTGGACATAACACCAGGTTTCTTCACTTGCCAAGGTGCACATTTGTGACCAGGCTCGAATAAAGCTTTCAGCAAAAGAGCACTGAGAAGGTGAAGGGACAAAGAAAATCCCTAAGATATTATAGAAAAAAGTATTTAGACAAGGCTGAGGACAATGAAGGAGTTACATATGAGTCAGGTAGCTTTTAAACCCTGTATAATGATATGAAAACTTTACTATAACTTTAACTTGACTTTTCTCCATTTCGTTATTTTTGTGTGTCACCAATACTTGTGACACTGTAATTTTGTAAATATTTATTGTAGAAGCTTGATATTTTGTATATTTATTTAGTACAATATAATCTAGAAACTGACATTTTCAAATTTTAAAATTTTCCTCATAGATGAATTATTTCTGCACTTTTTTCCGAAAAAATGGTGGATTAAAACCCAAAATATCTGACAATTCAATAAATCGGCTGTTAAATTTTTATAAAAAAATTTGAAGAAAATTGAAAAATGTCATTCTCTAGCTCAGATTATTGGCTTTTCAAAAATGTATAATTTGTTTCATTGTGATGTCTTGTTCTTGAGATATCATGTTAATGCTGTTAATTAATTACGGGCTAATTAATGGCCGCCATAATGGATAATTAGTGTAATTAGCAACTTCCTGAATTTTTTTTTGTGCACATCATTTTCTATCACCTTACTCATTCAGAAAATGTTATTTTCACTTTAAAATGTTTAAAAATAAAAAAAAGTTGCTATAGAGGGGGTGACCACCTTAACATACCACAGTATACCAATATATAACGTTTAGATCTTGTATGGAAATGTGTGATCTACTGAAACTGCTGTTTTTACTCAATAATCCAAGGCAAATTCAATATTATTTTATTAACGATCATTATTTCCGTAAGATTCAAATTATGTCATGTTTTACAGAGACAGTAACGTTTCCAACTAGCAACAGCTACGTATTAATCATACAACTAGCTACTTCTGATTTTGTCAGCTCAAGATGCGATTTTGCAAAACACTACTTCAGCTATGCTGTAAAAAATGCACTATCTGTTTTGATTGGTAAACCTTTTCAGTTTAAACTCAAAGAAAAACTAGTGAAAGCCATAGTACCTTTATTATGTTAGGTTATTTACGAAATCAAAACCATTTCTGAAATTCACATGTTTTACTCAAAAAGTTCCATGAACTGTACATTATTTATCAAAAAGAGGTTATACATTGTATTGTAATATTTAGGGTAATATTATAATAAAAAAAGATGTCAGCAAATGATTCAGCCATTATGTACTCAACAATCAAGGCAGGCTGCCAGTTAAATACTACATGAAGCAGTAAAGAAGCCTTCAGTCATTATCTCTTCAAGGTCAAGATTTTATGGCATACAATTCTACATATGTACTGACTAAACATACACGTTTAGTGAATACTAATTCATAATGTCAGTAAGTATGAATCAATCAACATTTCTCAATTTACCTGACAGTAAAACTACTGTTAGGTTCCTAAACATCAAGTTAATGTTGATAACTAGCTGCTATTTTTAATCCTCCCAAGATGAATAGATGAAAACAACTGAATTTAACAACTGAATCAAATGTTTGTAGCATTTACTCCTTCCTTAATTCCTTCCTCAAAGTTCTTACATATTTTGAATTTCATTTTGTCCTCTAATCTTCATCCTCGTCCTGCCAATCGTCATCGTCATCATCCCATTCAGATCCTGTTTCGCTCTCAGAGTCTGAGTATTCCACAGCAATACGTCGCTGAAGTATAGACGCAACATCCATACCAACATTTTGTTGTTCCTTCTTCTCCGTTTCCCCTTGAACTTTCCTCAACTTCATCCCTGTGCGGATTGCCTCAAGCAAGTCAGTGCGAGCATCAAGTTTCTTTGGTTCTGGAGGAGGAGCAGTCATTCCACCTTCCACAGGAGGTGGTGGTGTTGGTAATGGTGGGGGTGGTGGTGCTACTGGACTGTTCATACCAGGGAAGGCTGGTGGAGGCGGAGGTGGTGGCATATCTGATGACATATTAGGGGGAATAATTGATGGTGGTGGAGGTGGTAGAGGTAAATTAGGATCTATTTGACTAGGTACAGGAGGTGGTGGTGGGGGTTTGGTGGTTGGTTTTGGTTTTGATGTAGTACCTCGTCTGGAAGATCCTGTTCCTCTTCTTTCATCATATTTGATGAACTCGTGGGTATTTAAATTAACAGACCCATTTTGTACTGGTGGTTTGATGTCATCTTGCGTAGAGGGAACACTATCCTCCACCGAGTATTTTGATTGAGAGAACTCCTTATCCTGACCATCATACACCTTCTTTCTTAGATGTTTCACCCTTACCTGAGATTGCTTTCGACCACCTCGATGTTGCCTCTGTAAGAAAGCAATCAACAAAGATATAATATTATTCTTTGTTTGAATTTTAATGAAGGATGATTTCATTGCCTTCTAGTGACATGATGGATTGAAATTGAACAAAAATTTAATGATTTATCAAACATAGTGTACTGGGGCAATTCCACGAATATGTCAACCTCAGGGTTGAAAAAATTTTTTCCTGATATGTTGAAAATAATGATGTCACAACTTCATATAATAATTGTGCCATTTGGTGCAGGACATTTTTTTCTGCTGGCTGCATGTCACATGACTGGATACCATTTTGAAAGTTAGTGGTCAGCCATGTGGTCAGTACCCCCAAATTGAAAAGGAGATTTAAAGACTTGTACTGCTGAAGGAAACTGCCAAAAAGTAAGTTTAAGTGCATTCTTAGTAAGAGCAAATCTTTGTTTTTTATTTTATGGGAAAAAAATTGTACTTTGGTTTGATCACAAACTTTTGTTAGCCTATTTCATGCTACTCAGAGCTTTGTTACGTCAGTTACCAAGAAAGTGATAAAAGATGTGCTGTTTCTTTAGAAAAGCTCAAAGAAAAATGATACCCCCTGTGTTCTTAGCATATGGGGAGATGGGAAAGGCAACATGCAAAGAACTTTATTTGAGCTTCATATTTAACAGTTTTTATGGTAACTGATGTAACAGTTATGGCATGTGACATACAGTAACTGACGTAACATATCCAGGTAAATGATGGCACAGTCTGAAGTTTGTGATGTATTTTTATGTAGAAACCTGGATGCTCTGAATTGATACTGTATTGATAGTTTCATTATATTAACGTGGTTTGAATAAAAAAAATAATGAAATCTTTTTCATTGCTTGGCCTGACCAAACTCATAATTTTTTCAACCTGTTTCTCGTTTGATTTCAGTTTCACTGATGTTGGATCTTTAATGATGAATTATGTGAATGTATCTTGAAGCTCAACCAAACTTTAGATAAATGCCTTATGTCAACAATTTTTCAATTCTTTTTTCAGAATGCCGAAGTCCGCAGCAGAGAAAATGAGAGACTACCGGGCTCGTATGAGTGATGCTAAACGTCAGCAGATGAGGGAAACAAATAAAGAGCAACAAAGAACACGCAGAGCTCAATGGACTGAGAAAAGAAGAATTCAAGAAAATGAAAGGAGCAAGGAAAGAGTAAAAAAATCAAGACAAGCCAAGGCCTCCAACTTGAACAGCGGCAACCAGGACAGAGCCCTAGCAAATGAGTACACTGCTTTTGGTAGCAGGCAATCTCTAGCAAAGGCAATAAAAAAGGCTGCCAGTTCTCTTCCAAGGAGCCCAAGGAAGAAAGCAGCAGTAGTCAAGAAACTGTCAGACACCTTTGTTAAACAAATTGAGAAGGGCAAACAACGCACACTTTCAGAAGTTGATAAGATCGTGGAAGAGTTTTTTTAAAGTGACACTGTTGCAAGGCAGCTTCCTGGGAGAAAGGACTTTGTAACTGTGAAGAAAGATGGACAAAAAGTTCGTGTGCAGAAGAAGATCTTACTGTCAACTGTCATGGAGACATACCAGAAGTTCAAGGCTGAATATCCTGAAGTGAAAGTAGGCAAATCAAAGTTTGCCAGTCTTCGTCCACCACACGTTCTTCCTGTCTCTGAGAAGGATCATTCTGTGTGTTGTTGTTCCTACCACGAAAATTTTGAGATGCTGGTGGAGGGTCTCAAGCAAACAATTCCTGGACTTCCAAACCCTGAAGGGCTGATTCAGATGTCTGTTTGCAGTTCCCCCAAATTGAGCTGCCACTTGGGTGAATGTGAATTGTGCAAAGCCGTCACAAAGCGGAATCTTTTTCCAGACTGTGACCTCTCAAGCTCTTGTTGTTACATTCAATGGAAAGAAAACAAAAAAATCCAAGTTCAGAACACTCTGGAAGGAACAAAAGCAGAGTTCTTTGGGCAACTTTGTACCATGAGGCGCCACTGTTTCATTTCAAAGATACAGCTGAGCCAAATCAAAGCTTTGAAGGAAAATCTGAAGAGAAAGGAAGCTATTCTGCACACTGACTTTTCAGAGAACTTCCAGATAAAGCAACAGGATGAAATAATGGCAGCACACTGGGTCTCAAACAGTGTCACCATTTATACAGCAGTGATGAATACAGAAAATGGTGCAGCATCATTTGCTGTTATCAGTGATGCACTCCAACATGACAAATTCTCAGTAGTAGCATTCAACAGAGCCATCTTAGCTTCCGGACCAGCAGATATTGAAACCCTCCACATTTTTACAGATGGTGCTGGCAGTCAGTTCAAAAACAGGTTCACTCTATCCACCTTGAAAGATCCAAAACTGATTTACAGCAAACTGAAAAATGTGGACTGGAGCTTTTTTGGTACAGCACATGGGAAAGGGCCTGTGGATGGTGTAGGTGGGACAGTGAAAAGAGCAGTGTGGCGAAGAATGCTTCAGAGACAGGTACTAGTCAACACTGCCAAGGATTTTGCTAATGTTGCAGAGAGGGCATGTCCAAACATTAAAGTGATCTTCATTCCCAAGGAGGATGTTGAAGAACTCGAAAAGGAATTTCAAGAGATTTGGGACAAGTATGAACCAAAAAACATTCCAAACATCAGAAATGCACATTTTTTTCGAAGAAATTCAGTCAATGCGTTGGAAAAGTCTATCATAACTCCCTACTTTCAGGAGTTCCAGGAGAGCATTGTGTTTGAAAAGGTTGTGATCTTCAACAAGTCAACAGCCACAAACCATCAGTCAAGCAGCAGCAAGGCCAGCTCAGACACATTAGGAGTGGGACCTATTCAACCTGAACACTACTTCGCTGTGGACTACATTGATAGGTTCTACATTGGCCGAACAATTGCAATGACAAAACCTGGATTTTGGAGCATGAAATTCCTTCATCAGGCATCCCTTGCAGGAGAGGCACTTTTCAACTGGCCACAGCAGGATGACTTTGATGTTGTGCACAAGAGCTCAATTTTTTTTGGGCCAGTCACACTGGATGGTGTCCTCAAAGACTTTAAAATTTCTGAATATAAGGACATTGATGCTGCCTTCAAGAACATGAAGGCAAAAAGAAGAGCCTGATGAATTATACATATCTATATGCTCCTGTTGCGTTGCACAATATGTTCTATCTGCAGTTCATTTTTTCTTTTTCACCATTTCTTTTTCATGTCAGTTTAAATGAAATCATCTAAATTTGTCTTATAAGGATTGTTTGATTGCTTGTCATTTGAAAGTTGAATTGCTCATAAGAGATTTGGAATGAGTTGCTTCTTTGCAAAAATCAATTTTCCTAGTCAAAATACCTTTGAATTTAGACAGTGTTACGTCAGTTACCAACCATGCTACGTCAGTTACCAAATGTTTGCTTCATCTGTTACGCTTCTACTTGACAGATCAAGGTAAAACTGGCAGGGTGTGTACTTTGACATGCAATTGAAAAGCACACAATAAACTGAATCAAACAAATGACACACTTCACAGATTTTTTCACTTATAGCCCAAGTGTTGACATGTACATGTTTGTCCAAGTTACGTCAGTTACCAGTCTTATCCGAATGCTGTCAAATGGGGAAGTTGTGAATACAAATAAGATTATGGTATATAGGATGCCTTAAGTATCCTCTATCATGATGCATAAGTTGGAGTTCTTCTGCATCAAAACCCGGGCACAGTGAGAATTTATTTGCTGCAAATGTTACGTCTGTTACCCATGGAATTGCCCACTGCCTACCTTTTTCTTCTTTTTTGGCTCTTTATTCATTTCCTCTCGCCATAGTTCGAAGAAGTAAGTTGGATCAGTGTAAAATTTGAGTGCATCCTTTCCATCTTCGCGATACAAGTTCATATCTTGTAGCCTCGGTGGTGCATCGCAAGCTGTGTATCTTTCAGCCATAGACTTGGGCAATGTTGCTCTTCCCACTACTTGTTGGTCCGTGTTCACGGTCAGCTTGAATGTCTTTTTGATGTTTATGTCTTGTAAAGATGCTGAAAAAACAACAAATTGTTAAAAAACTCAAGTTAATAGTTCTCACACAAACATTAGGTCACAGTCTCTCTTTTTGTAAAGATGTAAACATACTTTCTCTTCGTGATAACTCAACACCCTATGACATATATATATATATATATATAATGTATGTGTAGTGGTGAGAGAGAAAATCACAAAACTACAGATTCATCCCGACTTACAGTCATCTCCGACTTACATGATTTTTTTCTCAACACCACTACACATATTTACGCTCTGCTCTAGGGCATCAAGCACTGTTTTACACGGAGAATCATCAAACATAAACTTCCTATATAAAAAATGTATATATGTTCTAGCATAAGCCATTTCTATTAACCTTTGGTTTTTGTGCCAAAGCTTGGGTGAATATTCATATGTTCCGAGAATTGTGCCCATTGTAAGTGATCATGTTTTGGTAGTACGGAAAAGGTCAAATTAATAGAGATGAAAAAATACATAAAAAATTAATGAGTTTCATCACCCTCTTGGAATAAAGGCATGTCATTTTTTTGGGTGGGAAACATGCTACATTTGATACAAACCAAATAAACAAGCTCGTTTCAAACAATGGATGACTTTCTTCAAGCAAAATGTGAAAATAACACATTGCACACAGTTGATGCTAACTGTGAACCCTCAAAGATATAAATAGGCCCTCTAATGAACTGTTAAGGCAGGTTTGAATCGGGTGAAACAAAGTTATTTGATTGCAAATTGATAGCTTTTACGTAGCTTTTTAATTTCCCCAGCTTTTTAATTTCCCCATACAACTATGTACAGTTATCAAAAACTTCAAGAATCATATATTCATAATGTTGCCTACTACTCTGGGTACCTTGCTTATATACACAAACATTCCTTTGTATACACAAATGTTCACCAATTCTCTCACTTGACATTTCTTGTATATGGTCAGAAAAGTAATTGAACATATTTATTGCATAGGTAAAAGTTCCGCTGATCAATAAAGATGCAAAAAAACATGTTGGTCTGTTTTAGCTATTTTCAATTTTTTCAGAATGAAATTCTTACAGGATAAAAATGAAATTAAAGGGAGAACCCATTCTGAGGTTAATTAAAATGACAATAGTTCATTTTAAGTAAAAGATAATACATTTTTGACCTTTGCCCAAGGATGTTCTTTTAATAATGAAATTTCACAATAGTCCATAGACTTTAAGACAGAGTCATACGTTTTAATGTTTATTCAGGTCAAATTAGTGTTGATACATGTTGATTAATAGCTTGATTTACAGATGTGATTATATTCTTCTTTTTTAGATAAGTAAATCATGTTTTTTAGCAATCTATTTTCCACGCAGAAATGAAATTGACTGTTTGCGCGATAAAACTCAAAATACTATCGACATTTGAAGTATTTGTTTGTTCAATAAGTATGCATCGAATTTGAATAGTAAAGCGTTTGTCATGCATTAAATTATACATTTTCGCAACATTTAATCATGCACTAATTGGTGAATAATTTGTAAGGAATTTGTTCGATTCCACTAGAAAATATTACCGTAAAAAATCTCAATTCCCCATTGCTTAATCGTAAATTTCCTCTGAAGTTAAAGAAGTTATTTTAAAATGACAAATGATGACAGGGGAAAGATCAATCGCAACGGCTTAAACATAGTCAATCATGTGTAATAAACAAATTCATCTTTTCCCCCGAAACGGTAAAATTCCCAAAAATTTATACAACTATTGCTACAACAATACATACTTTCTTCAACGTTAGAGTCGAGTTGAGTGACTTTTTCAGCAAGTCCCGATATCCTTCCCTGTAAGGATGTCGCTCGCATCTGTATACTTTTCGCTTCGTGTAAAATCTCGTCGAAAACATCTTCGGAATACTTTGCTAAACTGCTTATCTGTCTTATAATGCCCGATAACGTGCTCACAGATACACATTCAAACTCATTAACTAGTCCTTTCTCAAGTTTTACCCGGCTGACGTAGACAGGTTGTATTTGTCGTTTCACTAAAGGCATTATGTTTTATAAAATCGCTATCAGCAACACGGATTCTCTTCAGAACATGGCATCATACACGTCTTGCTGTATAATTTAAAAAAAACTGCGGTAAATCACAACATTTTGCCGTATTTACGCGGGCGACAGACACGTCCTTTCCACAACTAGACACATTCTACTAGTCAGTGGTCACTTAATGATCCCACAATGCTTTGTGGCATTGCGGAACACTTTGCCGCCGCGTCTTTGCATACCATTGTGCATGCAAACTTCATTATGAAGCACTTCTAGCGTGATTTTTCTTTCACGCACCTTGAAATTTGCCTCGAAACTTCAAACATTTGCGCTCAGTTATAATATTATGCATTTAAATAGCTCTGTGTTAATGGTTATTTTGAAACATGCTATTAATAATTGATACATAATTTAACAACAACACCAATGAAGGTAATAAATACAATGATATTATGCCGACCAGCCGAAATATTTAACATCAAAACAATGGTGTGCTCTAACGTGATTGGCTAAACTTAGTAACTCATACAAAACATGAGATTTTAGCAAATTTAGGGGATGTAACATTTATCATGTGCTGTTTTAGCAATTTTATGATTCAAATGTGAAAATTAGAAATTCTCTATGACGTTTTGTTTATCAATGTCATTCTAAAAAAAACCGTTTTATACGATTGTTGTTGTTTTTCTCATATCAGATGCAAATGTTTGCAATTTAGGTACATTTAAGTTAAAAATGGCATTTTTTTCGTTCGTGTTTATACGATTTAAAGCTACAGATCATTTATAGGTCAAACAAACGAAAAACCTTTCTTTCCAGATTAGTGATGTTGATATTTTTTAATCGACATGCAGCAGTTTGGCAAACCTTCTCAACATTAAAACACCTAAGAAATGAGATTTCAACTTTTGTTGATTTTTCAACACAAAACAAATAATGCGCTCTATTATGTAAACGGTCGTTATTCATATTTCCAAAAACTGACAAGCGGTAATGCGGTTTGGATCAATATCACTCGAAACTCGAAAGTGAAGTATTTGCTAAACAGCACATGCCAGCAATATACTTTTTGTTTTCTTTGTCTTGTCTAAAGCAGGAGCGTAGCCAGCCCGCAAGTTTGGTCGTGCTATGTAAATTTTTCTGTGTTCACTCACTGTAAAAACAATAGATTTCTAAAGAAATGAATAATGATAATGGTCTTAAATTTACATAGCACGACCAAATTAGCGGGCTGGCTACGCCACTGGTCTAAAGTATACCGCACTAGACTTCGTTCCATAAACGGTACTAAAGATATTGTCTTTTAGACTTAACTAAACATAAAATTATAACTAAACTCGTTAAATTTTCATGTTTTCACGAGAGTTGTCAATGCGCCGCGCCATTGAGGAAGGGATATAGCAGGTTGATGCTCCCCCTACCAGTGCGAGCAGTTTGACGTCTCTTGATAGAGAGTTTTCATTAGATTTTTGGTGAAGCAATTTTATTGTGTCGTGAAAAGTTTCTCTTGTAGAAAAACGTCACTACAACTATGGCGTTTAGACATTATCTTACGATATGCACTACAATTCAGAGCTTATCACTCAACTATGTCTAAGACATTTCAATACAATTTTAAGTATGTGCATCGTTGCTTTTTACTAAAGGAGTTGTTTTAATCAACGATGTTTATGGGTGGAATAGTAAACTCTGTAGCTATGCGATGAAAAGTGTATAGATCTTCCATGGCTTGCGACATGCTTGTGCTCACTCCTGTGATTCTTGGTAAGAAAAGTTGAACATCAGGTTCAATCAGAAGTGAATTGTAGCGCGGATTAAATCCACGGCCAACAGTAGGACAATATACCTCGATCAATTTATCGCCTTGAACATAGGCGGAGTAAACCGGGGCCTGGAATCGTCTCTGTTTACGTATCTCAGACTTGAAACGTGATAGTTTTGACCAAAGAGTGCTCCTCTTCTACCCAAGTTCATCGATTGATATAACGGACTGGGAACTACTCCGGCCGTTGCGTTTAGGTGGACGCGGGCATCTTTTGTCAAGTGTGTGCGGTTAGGCATAAGCGAAGTGACCGTTGGTTTTTTCCTAGCTTTCCTTTTTGAGACTCCTAAAAATAAGTTCACCATCTTTCGTTGATGAAGTGATTATCAAATATATACCTTAAAGCGCTGAGAAGCGGATTTTAGGCCGCAAGAAATGAATGTCTTATCTACAAAATGCAAGGGTTTCGAAATCGACCGAAAGAGATACATTTGCTTTTCCTTTTCTGGCGTGGACATGATCTTTTATTTTCAAACTTATATTTCTGTTTTGTATATGTTCAAAATAGATGTCAGTGCTTAAAAATCTTATAAACGCCAAACACTACCTTTAAAACAAAACAATTGACTATAACTTTCATTCCATGATAAAAAAAGTTTCATTTTCATAACGTAAATACAATCATCTTTCTAAAACGATTGACTATTCCATGATTCAATTGAAAGCTCTATCTGGTCTTTGTGCTACATGCCTAGGGCTTAATGCAACAGGCTCACGAAGCAATTGAAATATAAGAAAAACGAATGAAGTTTAAAAATCATTCGAGGCAGAATTCCACATGCTTGATATTGTATACTTGTGTTCTTCTGTACTTGCGGGATAACGAACATTCAAGTAATAGGCTGTTATGAATTGTCAAATCTTTATCAGTCGGTTAATGGTGCTCAGTTGATGCATCATGGAACTGTGGAAATAACACAATACCTGACTTTCCTCTTATGCAGTTGTCACTCATGTCTGACTTCGTTGCTTTCACCTTCCGCAATTCTTCACTTCTGAATGATACCTAAAAATGGTTGACGATAATTGATCATTTGCTGGTAGTATTTCTCACTTTTAATGTTTTGTCGTTTTGATGTCCAACTCCTGTTCAGTAATGTGTAATATGGAACTTCACTTGCTACACAATCGGCAATCGATTGTGAAATTGTCCTGATTCAAGTTCTATCGGAATGAATGCCCGATAAAATGAGATGCACTTTGGCGAATCAAACTATTAACGCTCCCATGGGAGTTAAATGGCCATTTTCTGGATCACTTTACTCATTAAAATGAATGAAACTGTTGTGGTCACAGCTCCGTCACAGTTGTCAAAGACTCACAGCTCAACTCCGGTTTCAATCACTTCAATCATATGCACGTTGGGCAGTTGACTGACATTTGATATGCAAATTATTACTTCCTAACCTTTGACTTGTGGCGCCTCGGAGCACAATTTGTTTGATCAAATTTCGTGCTCTTTCAAACGTTCTAGCGCTGTTCTTTGTTGTCAGAGATAGTTACCGAGTGCACATGGAATTTGGAAAGATTAATTAAACCATTTGGATACGATGGATGATAAATTACATGGATTGAAATTTCATTGCCGCGTTATTCTCTACGTCTTGAAGATTTTTCTTTACACTCCGAATCAGTGGAGCATGAAATGATTTTAAGGTATTGAAAAGAGTCATTTCGGCGATTGTTGTCAGAACTTGTCGAAATGGCCCTTTACCGATTCCAATGGAGATTTTTTGGTGATACTTGTCAGCTATAATAGTTTTACTTATATTTGGGCAGAATACAGTAAAAATGTTCAAGGGAATTTGTTGTATAGTAAATAGTAGATCTTTCTATTTGCATGAATCAAATTTATTCAATTCGACTCCTGCACCATTATAAAGATGTAATTCACGTTCACTTAGTATTGACAATTCTTTCATTATTGCATCAAAAGACATCATCTATGTACACAAAAAGAATAATGAGCACAATATGTAGCTATACAATCCGTTTGGTGCTTGCAGATATAAGCGAAACGTTCATTTTGTCGTCCTCATTCCCCTAGTGAAAAATTCTTTTCGAGTTTTCATAAATATCCGTAATGAAACGCATTTCTTTGACATTCAACACTTTGGTGAAAATCAATCCGAACATTTTATAACAAAGTGCAATTAATTAGCGTCTTGTTCTTCACCCTTTCTTTCCAAATATTCTTCCCACTTTTTAAGTCTTTCCTCTTTTTCTTCCTCGGTTTCTTCAACGTCGTATTTCGTCACACCATCCCATTTCTGAGCAACGAGCCTTCGCCCAGAAAACCATCGGCCATTCATTTCCTTATGAAAGAAAAACTGATAAAATTCTCCGATCCAAAACATTTCAAGGGAATTTTTCTGAATCCTACCTTTACGCAGGTTTCTGCAGGCTCCATTTCGGCAAACCCAACAGACACGACACCATCCTCGTGTCTCTAAAACAACAACGTCAATTTCTTTGATTTCAATGCCTTGTTTCCTTTTAAAATTAATAAATAAAACCATTTTCCGTGTTGATACACATTTAATCCAAAACTATAGCAAATACGAGTGTTGATTGTTTGTTAAATGAACATTTTTTCATGATAACAAAAACTACATAGTAGAAAGTTAGTTTCAAAAGTTTTTCATTATTGACATAGTAAATTCTCCATACTTTTAAATTTGAAAAGCTATGGAGCTACGGAAAATTCTTGCGGCTGCGTTTTATGAAGAAGTATTTTGACCAATCGACGTGTAGTATTAATGAATTTTATAGTAAAGAGAATTTATACTCACATCAAAAACAATAACTTTTCGAACAACACCATACTTCTCGCATTCTTTCCTTGTGTCGTTTTTAAGATCCATTATCAAACCTGGGTCTTTCTGTCGTGAAAAAATTTCACACAAATTTTACTTTAGATGAAAACGAAGGTTTGCGCCAGTCTTTTTGAAAAACTCACTTCCATATCTTTGGGATCAAACATATTCTTTATAACCACAATTCTGTCAAGTTTTGACACTTTTTCCTCGCGCTCAACCCAGTCGAGCAACCTTGAAAATTAGAATTATATTTTTGGACATTGAACAGCTTATCAAAGCATTTAAATGGGCGAATGACTTTTCGTTAACTTGCCACTCAAGCGACTTACAAACAACAAAAGTTTTTTGAAGGCGGTTTGAAAATAGCGTTTCATTTCCGCCGTGTTCCAGCCATGTCGTTTTCAAACAAGTACATAAATTTTCATGTTTAAATTAAACTTACTTATCTTGACCCTTGCCTTTCTTATTTTTCTTTTTCTTCTTTCTTTTAGGTTTCAAAGACGGATCGAATTTTCCTTTCATTTCGAAATGTGCCTTAACAATAAAACAGGTACGATGATATTTACATACACAGTAAACGCAACAAAAAAATCACTCGGAGGGAAAAAATTTGTTGAAATTTTACCTTTTCAACCTTTATGGTTCTTCCTTTGAAGTTTGATTCATCCAAAAGTTTGATGGCTAAGTCTACACTTTCGACCTGTTTTTGAAAGAAACCATTAAAATGTGAAGTCGATCAGAAATAAAATGTATTGAGGAATTGGATGTGCAAGGAGACGGACCTTAAGATAACAGCATCTTCCGTCACCTTTCAGATTACCCTCACTGTCACGATACAGTTTTATCTTTGGTTTTCCTAAAAATTTTACAAACGCCTCATAAGGCTTGGCAAACCTAACTAAATAGTTACATGTTTGTAGATGTAGATCGTCCAGGTTTGTATAGTCCTGAGAAGGACTGTTTTTGTTGTTGTTGACTGACGTTTCGACAAACCTTAGCGGTAGTCATCTTCTGAGTCGAATGAATGAGTGTTTTGACTCTGAAGATGACTACTAAACTTGTCGAAACGTCAGTCAACTCAACAAACCAGTCCTTCTCTATACAACCTGTCTACGATGTCCTTCATTTACTTTACTAACTAAATAGTCCCAGCTAACGGTGGCTAAGGTTGGTCCAGTAGGACTTGTACGTATGATAGGAATAGGACAAAATCATCAGCCCAGATTTCTATAGCCCTGGTTATCCCCAGATTTCAATACCTCTGGTCACTTCCAGATTTCTGTACCGGTTTCTATATCCTTAATCTTTTCACTTTAGCCACCCTTTCTATACCCCTAGTCACCCCCAGTTCCATACCCCTAGTCACCCCCAGATTTCTATACCCCTAGCCACCCCACGTTTCTACTCCCCTAGCCACCCCACATTTCTATACCCCTAGTCACCCCCCCTTTCTATAACCATAGTCACCACCACATTTCTATACCCCTGGTTACTTCCACATTTCTATACCCATGGTTATCCCCAGATTTCTATACCTCTAGTTATCCCCAAAATTCTCTAGCCTTGGTTACCCCCATCTTTCTATACCCATGACCACCCCCAGATTTCTATCCACCCAGGGACCTCCCGAAGATTTCTATGCCCCTAGTCACCCCCAGATTTTTATACCCCTGGTTACTTCCACATTTCCATACCCCTAGTTACCCCTGGATTTCTATCCCCAGGTACCTCCCAAATATTTTAAACTCCTGGTTAGCAAATACATATGATGCTAAATGTTAAACAATGTCCCTTCTGCAAAACTATGATTCTTATGTGTACTAAACACTTTATGCAACAACAGTAACATTTACTGGTGTCAGAATCTTCCATGATGATGCCAAACTTGCTCATGAGTTCGACAAACTCTTCCTCGGTGGTATCTTCATGCAAACCTAAAATTCCCAATGTTCATAATCAAATAACACAAAGCTAAAGAACATCTTTAATTATAAACTGTGTGTCTATCTTTAATCTTTACCAGAAACATAAACATTAGTGTTTTTGGTTTCGTCCATTTCAAACCATGCTGTAGCAAGAAATGAAAATAAATGTTTGTGAATCTTCAATGAAATTTTTAATCCGTAAAACGTAAAATGTCATGATAAAAATATTAAAAACATTTGTTTTGAAGTTCACACCTGGAGGTTCCTTCCCTTTTCTTTTCTGTCCAATGTTTGAGATCACTTCATCTTGAGGCTTAAAGATATTTTTAAGATTGAAAAAGACCATAAGAACCGCAACCATAATCTGGTACGTTTTAGATAAACAACCTTATTGATATTGGTAGTAGTGCTTCCCATTGTTGGTTGTGCTTCTGTTTTGACCTCGTCTTTGTTACTGCTTGTTTCGTTTTGTGTAAACCCATAGTTCATTTGATAAGCTGCAATAAAATCTTCATCAATCTAGGGAAACAAAGTTTCGAGTTGTGGTTGTGTACATAATCACTGAACTGAATGAGGTTAAAATTAACATAAAGCATGAAATTTGTTTAGTTAACTCTATAGTTGAAAGAGCCATGACCAGCCGACAATTTAAAGAAGTATAATATAAAACAAATTCCGAAGAAGCAAAACATCTTGAGATTGCAAAATATGAATCAAAAGAAGACGAGAAGAAAACTGTAAATTTTCGACTTTATTTCAAAGTCATCCTCAGACAAAATGATCATTTTATAGTTGAGTTACTTGGTTTCACTAGTGGCAATGCCAAAGGGAGAGATAGGTCAACCGAGCTACAGACCGCCACCCAGAATTATGATTCCTATTAACTTTAGATTATTGGTCACCTGTGTGTAATTAGGTAATTTTACAATATTAAAGAACTATATTAGATTGTATTTTTTGCAGAAACTAATAACCTTAGGAAACCATGCTCGTTTATTTTCATCCCATTCATACTGAGTTCCGTCGTTGGGATCGGTGTATACCCTGGATCCGCCTTCACTTTTCCCATTATTTTTCGATTCATCGTTTTCTTCCTCTTTCGTAGTTTGTAATGCCGCGGATTGCTGTTTTAGTTCATCTATTAATTCTTTCGATTCTTTTGCAGCTGTGTCATCCATCTCTTCAATAAGGTATGTTGTTATCTTTATCTACAAGTCAAAGGTTTTTCTTCTGGAAAAATGTACGATTGTATCACAATATTTCAAATTCGAATTATTATTGACTCCCCCCCGGTTTGCTGAGAGTGACTTCAACACTATCCTCCACTCTATCAGACTATAAGAATAAAGAATTGCTTTGTTAACTTGCAATTTCTTCCGCCATCAATTGCCATTTCTTTTGAAACAAGGCAGAAGATTTTCACAACCTCGTGATTTTATTCCCAAGCAGTTCTTTGAATCAAATATTTAATAAATAAACAAAATAACAAAATTTGTTAGGGGGTGGACTGCTTAAACGAAATATGGCGAATGCAAATATGCAAATCTCTCAACTTTGTCGTTGCTAGGTAACAAGCTTTAAAAACAAGATGGTTGCCAATCCTGGTGATAATGTCATCTTATAGTTGAAAAGAATTGCATGTATAAGCAAAACGTTGTATTTTGAGAGGATTTTCATGTCTTTCTTGGTGTTATTTTTGAAAAATAGATGAGATTATCGGGGAAAAATGGAGGGTAGCGTTGCAGGAGTGAGAATTTTCCCAGCTGTGGTTCAATTCAACGATGCCGAACCTCATGTGCTTCACCAGATGAACCTGAAAGTTCAAAATCTCAGCAAGTTCTCAAAGTTCGTACGCTTCCATTCACCCAACTCAAAGGTAAAATTCATCTTTGTTAATGTGGCTGGCATACATAAAAAGTCCTTGTGTTGGAGCTTTTTAAAGTTTATAAATATGTTTTTGACGAAAACCGGAGATATTCTTCCGATGATATCGTTACACAACGGCTTTAAATGTGTTTTTGTTTAAATTCCTTATTGATAAATGAGGTATGCTATACTCAATATTGAGCTGCTGTACTATACTGTAATCTTTACTAAATGTTGGAGTATTTTTGCAACTGTTTTAAATGTTTGACACTTGAGCTAAGAAATAATTAAATAATTTTCAGATAACTACACCAATTATTTCATTGTGCACAGTTACGAGCCTTTTTGAAAAACAGCAAAATTTTCCAACTGTTAAAGCTTAACTATCATTAAACATATAAAACTGGACGATCTACTCATGCAGACACAAACAAATGATGGTCCCGTCAAAAATTGAAGCAAGTGCTCAAAAATTTCATTCGATTGAAACTTTGTACCGGAATTATCTCTGCAGAAACTCATTTCCATAGCTTGGATATATAGTGACTTTCAGAGTACCTTAGAGAGTTGAAAGTAGCCACCTGCTGAAAGTAACTGCCCTCTGGAAAGAACATATCACTGCCATTTTACAACTTTAAATGCATTGAAAAATACAATTTATAAACGTGTGGTTAAAGATGCCTGTAGATGTAGATCATCCAGGTTAGTAGAGTCCTGAGAAGGACTGTTGTTGTTAATAGTCCTTCTCATGATTTTTCTAACCCGGACGATCTATATCTACAAACATGTAAGAATACTCCCCGGCTCAAACCATTTACTTTATGTGGTTGAAGAGTTAACCATTAGAGTTAACGGATGCTGCAAATACCAACTCGAAACTTAGCAGCCTCTAAAGGTTCTTTTCCACTCGTCGCAAAACGTACTGGCAAGCTCGCTGCGAGTGCCTGCGAGTTACTTGCAGTGAGCTTACCATGACTGGCAGCATAGTTAAATTAATTGAACAAAATTTTTTGATAGCGCGTATACAACTCGCAAGCTCGCAGCGAGAGCATTTTGCGATGAGGGGAAAAGAGGCTTAAGACTAAACACCTAAAGGTAGACGCCATATGAGGCCAATGTTTTTACTTTCTTTATATTTAGTTCTTCTCGTTGAAAGTGAAGAATCCTGACAAACCAATTGCGCCAGGTTTGGATGTCACCGTATTAGTAGAATATTACACAGAAGATTTTGAAGACAGGCAAGATCAAACCATATTATTGGTAGATGATGACATCATAGAGATACCTTTAATAGCGTAAGTATGAAACAAGAAAATGTTCATCAAGTTTCACCTTAACATGTCACATGTCACTCTCATCCCATCTCTGTTGTGAAATACATGTTAAAACTTGATGTTATACTTAATATTTTATTCACATAATTTATGCGATTGTTGTTACGTTTTCCCGCGAAAACATTATGTATGCACATGTTGTTGTCGTTAAAATAAAGTGAGAACATACGAGTTAGTATTTCTCGTGTGTTTTTTTGTAAGAATTGAGAAAAAATGTGGAATTGTTTTAACTTTCTGAGAAAATTGCGAGTTTTAAGATAATGACTTACGTAATCAGTTTTGCTTTGTGCGATGAAGCACGCGGGTGAATTTTTGATTTTGAAAGCCCCGTCACATGTCACCCTCTCTCATCACAATGATCACAAATCACCCTCTCTCATAACCTGTCTCTATCACCGCATATCACCTTCTCCCATTAAGTGCCACTCTCTTGTATCACATGTCACTCTTTCTCACATATCACTCGATCTCGCCACATACCACATTCTCTCGCCACATACCACCCTCTCTCACCACATACCACCCTCTCTCACCACATATCACCCTCTCTCACCACATACCACCCTCTCTCACCACGTATCACCCTTTCTCATCATGTGTCACCCTCTCTCATTTTCTGTTACCGTTTCCATCCTTTGAATGTCGTAATTTTACTAAACTTTATCATCTCTATTGTAGAGTTTTTATTCGCGCGGATTTGATTCCAGCTCCTATTTTCTTTGGTGCATTACATGTCTGCCGTTCTCCGCATAAAATGAATAGTTTGAAGTCAGAAGTATTGTTACATCTATGTAGATGTTTATCTTCCACATTTGAACAGTTGAACTCAGGAGTACATTTACATATACGCAGATTAACTGAGTCCTGAGATTCACTGTTGGTGTTAGTGTAGACTGACTTTTCGACAACCTCAGTGGTGATCATGATTGAACAATTAACGTCAGTCATCACATACAGCCCTTTTTAGTCTCCTCCATAAGTGTTGTTACTTGTGATTCAATGTTTGCAGTTTCACACCTTCACCGCAACTTGAAATACGTGGCGCAGTTGATTTTGGCACGACCGTGTTAAATGGCAAGATCCTAACTGGGTATTTTTCCATCGATAACTACGGGAGTAGAGAGGGAGCCTTCTCGATCAAGTACACGGGAAAACAATCGCTGACCGTAATTCCTACAAGTGACGTCATTCGAGCCCATTCATCACTGAAGATTAAGGTGGGAATGCTCTTCGGCTGCTCAGGTTTGAGTAGGTAGAGAAACAAATTCCTCATTTTTGCACTTTGTCGATAGGCTGCGATATCACTTGGCTGTTAAAAAAGTTATAGTTTTGATTGCGAAATTTGATATTTGAAATAAATGACCAAAATTTTCACCAGCAACAGGTTGCATCTACAATGGTGTCTATTATTGTCTAAAATGTGTCGATGTTCATGAAATGCTTACTTGTGCTCTTTGAGATGTTTACTTGTGCTGGTGGAGATGTTTACTTGTGCTGGTGGAGATGTTTACTTGTGCTCTTTGTGATGTTTACTTGTGCTGGTGGAGATGTTTACTTGTGCTGGTGGAGATGTTTACTTGTGCTCTTTGTGATGTTTACTTGTGCTGGTGAAGATGTTTACTTGTGCTGGTGGAGATGTTTACTCGTGCTCTTTGAGATGTTTACTTGTGCTGGTGGAGATGTTTACTCGTGCTCTTTGTGATGTTTACTTGTGCTGGTGGAGATGTTTACTTGTCCTGGTGGAGATGTTTACTTGTGCTGGTGGAAATGTTTACTTGTGCTCTATGTGATGTTTACTTGTGCTGGTGGAAATGTTTACTTGTGCTGGTGGAGATGTTTACTTGTGCTCTTTGTGATGTTTACTTGTGCTGGTGGAGATGTTTACTTGTGCTGGTGGAAATGTTTACTTGTGCTCTATGTGATGTTTACTTGTGCCCTTTGAGATGTTTACTTGTGCTGGTGGAAATGTTTACTTGTGCTCTTTATGATGTTTACTTGTGCCCTTTGAGATGTTTACTTCTGCTGGTGGAGATGTTTACTTGTGCTCTTTGTGATGTTTACTTGTGCTCTTTAAGATGTTTACTTGTGCTGGTGGAGATGTTTACTTGTGCTCTTTGAGATGTTTACTTGTGCTGGTGGAGATGTTTACTTTGCTTGCTGGAATTTCGTGAAATTTTGGGGCAACTATAAACTACTTTGCATTCATTTTCAGGTTGAATTCATCGGTAAAACATGTGGAAAATTCCAGGAAATAATCAAGTATGTTCTCGGATTTTGTGACTTTTATGTGACTAAGTTGTGAAGATATTCGAATTTCGCACTTGATTGGTTAAGCATACAAGTGAGCAGTTACTAACTAGTGTAAAAGGAGGGCGTGTATTTAATGCAACATCACTGAAACACACAGATAGACTCTGTCTTAGTCAGTCTGCAAGTTTGGTCTTGCTATGTAAATTTCAAAGAATTATCATTTCTTTATTCATAAATCTATTGTTTTTTTCAGTGATTGAACACGAAAATATATGCATAGCATGACCAGACTTGCTGAACCGCTATGTTCAGCGTCATCATCGTAGAGTGCAAGGTGTATCAATTAGATCTTACTATTTAGCCCTCGTGGTTCTATGGTCGTGCTTCTTGCCATAACTTCCCATCGTTTCGGGCGCAGTCGGCGTCACAGAAAGCGATGAACCTTATGAAACTACATGCCACACTTTCAGTTCTAGAAACATGTTTGTTTTCTCTCGTTCAGTGTTGACTTGGAAAGACAAGACCAGGCACATGTCGAGGTACTTGCAAATGTCGTTGAAAGAAGTATCGTGTTGTTAAATCCGGAGACCTGGGCACCAGTTCAACATATTGAATTCGGTCCTACATACTACGGTACTGATCAACTACGATTTTCAAGCTGTACAACAGTGGACCTGAGAGGATCAATTTTGTTGTTCTTTTGGACGAGGACACCGAAGGACAGGAAGTGGTAAGTCTTGATATGTTAGGATAGACAATGGTAGGGTTGAGGTCGGTTTCAATCTAATTGAAAAGCATTCTTCTATTTTCAATTGTTTTTTATTTTCCAGTATACTTGCTTCACTCTTATAACATTGCCTAATTTTGATTACATCGCTGTTAAAGGGTTTGGATTTGACAAAGACTGCGACAGCCTTAATGATATCCAAGACTCGTTCCGATGAAATGGAGACTGGTGACGACTTGAAATCATTAATATCCGTGTTTCCTACACAAGGTGCACTGGAGGCCGATGAGACGATGGATTTATATTTCGTATTCAGTCCACGATACGAGAAATCCTGTCGCGGTTGGAAAAATAGCGCGAAAAATCCACCGCGAAAAGATTATGCTTTGTTTGTCAACATAGAAGTTGTTGGCGTCATCAATCAGAATGTAGAGGGCGAGTTCAAACACGGTAGGACAGCGAATTTTTTCAATTATAGATTGTTCTCTGGGATGCATGAACGTTAAGGTAAAGCCTTCCTTTCCAGGGATTTTGTTGGGGGTTTTGTGGGGAGAGAGACGGTAGAACAATATTCTCTCACTACTCATTGGTGGAGTAATAAGGCATTATTTTGCCGGAATGACGGACACTAGGGAGGGGTGCATAAAGGGGTATTCGTCTCCACTCTTCCTCTTATTCCCATAGTTTTCAAAGAAAAAAATTTTTGCACGTTTAAAGCACGAGAAAATTTTGCTTTAACCCGACATAGTTTCGTTTCTACCACTCCTGCAATATTTCATCAATTGCTCACGCTGTTTCTACATTTCGAATGCATTTTCTGTAATTTAGTATTTGTTTATCATCGAAAGACTGGAAGCTTTCGATTTGTGAATCTGAGCAATGTGTCCAGAAAGACTTTGAATTCAACTTATCTCCGTTTTGAATGTGTATCTCCTTTCTTTGTGTGATGTCGTTTTTACTCTTTTACTGTAAATATCGGCGAGTTCATAAATTTTCCTTAATAAGACGTAGCATTTTGGAAGGATTCAGCTTACATTCAAGTGCTATACAATTTTTTTTTTTGAACAGCTCTTTGACAGCTCACCCATAAAAGCATTTTTCACATAACTTTAATGTTGCCAATTCCATGAGATTTTATACTTTGATGATTCAGGTTGTAAACTGGAGATAGCTGTTTCTGCTACGGCCACACCAGTTGAAGTAACCATAACACCTGAACCTAAAGTTTTATTTGGTGAATGTAAAGTGGGTGATCACGTGGAAGCCTTGTGCAAGATCACGAATCACTCTCATCTGTTACCGATAACATTCTCGACCAAACCCAAGGCTCATTTTCACCCCAAGCCGTGTAATGGTCTCCTCGAGCCAAATCAATCCATAGACATAAGTCTGACATATCTTCCACGACAATTGGGGACGTTCGATACCAATCTGGATGTTCATTTTCTTGGCCAAGTGTTGAAAAAAATGACTGGAACAAAGTCACCTCTTTCCTCAAAGATTGTCGTTCACACACGATCTTTGCAACTTCACGGTGTCTGTAATGATCCTGGCGTTGTCAAAGTCGGGAGTGCCCCTGCACGTGCGAATCACGTGGGCTTAGCTTCGTTCAATGGATCTCTCGTGCGCGGTGATGGAAATCGCGTAGATGATAGATGCGAAATTGCTGAAGCTAACGATAGAGCGACCAGCATACGGCCTGCAGAAAAACATTTAAAAATAAGGTGAAGTACGACTTAGGATATTAATAAAGTGAAAGATTTGAACCCAGTTGACTCTGAAGATGACTACCGCTAAGGTTGTCGAAACGTCAGTCAACAACAACAAAAACAGTCCTTCTCAGGACTTTACTAACCTGGACGATCTACATCTACAAACATATAAAGTACACATTATAAAACATAGTTTGCTTACAACATATTTTCTGTTTTTTGTAGAACGCAATACACTGGTATTCAGAGATATACGTATATTGATCCTGATTTCGCTTTGACTGATGAAGAAACTCGTCGTAAACAACAACATCGACAGTTGTATTTGGATTATTTACGGGATTTGAGAACATTTAGAGAGTTCAAACTAAAGAAAAGGTTTGTGCTCCACAGTGTTTTCCAGTCTTACGCGGTTTCTCCGTGGATGTCATCATGTTAATTTTTAGAGAATGATTTTTTATCGTTGAACATAAGTAATGATCCTTAATCCAAGTCTTATTGATCATTGATCGTTAAACGTAATCCCCATTCATCCCATTATCTGAGCTTGTTCATTTTTTTGCAATGTAGCGGTCCATTTTTTTTGCATTATGGACGCTGAAATCTGCCTCCGATAAATCTTTGCCCCTTGCAACGCTACATTCTGTCTGTTAAACGTAAAACGTAATCGCTCATCCATTGAATCTTTAGGCTTCAGTTTTTTGACTTTAGATCGGAATTTCTTGCACTAAAAAATGACTTGGTTTCTTATTTGTTTGCAGGAAAATGGATAGATGGGAAAACAAGAAAGATCTTGGAATTAAACCTGGACATGGTCTTCAACCCCTGAAATTATCTGTCAAAGAAGCAAATAAAATAGAAAAAAGTTAGTTATTTGCACTGAGGTAACGGGAGGGGTGACGTTATTGAAACTGAGGTAACGGGAGAAGGGTGATGGGGTTATTGACCTTGATATATCTGGAGGGTGGGGTGATGTTATTGGCACTAAGGTAACTGAGGAGGGGTGGGTGTTGTTATTGGGACTGAGGTAACGGGAGGATCGTAGGGGTGTCTGTTGACCTTTCATAGTGCTATACTAATACCTGTCGGCTATTGGAGATTAGAATTTTATCTAGTTTTTTTTTGTAAACAGTTGAAGGTCAAAATTCTTTGTCTTCTTTTTCGTTTTTCGTGTCAACGGTTTGCTACAAAAATCATTTGTGTCCATCCCTTTTTATCTACTGTATCCTTCTGTATCCTACTGTATCCTCTTGCTTTAAACCTTATAACTTTATATTCTCATTCAGAGCATCCATAAATCTCCTATTCGATCTTTCTTTTGGTCTTACATGGCAAATGTAAACTCAGAATACTAAAAAATATTCTTCCGTTATCATCAACAAAACATAAACTGTTAAATTTTATCATATTGTTCTGCTATTTGACGAAAGATTTGACAGTCTCACGTACGTAGATCTCAAAACGTATAGACAAAGTCACTTTTTTCCAGCAACTTTCGATGTTTTTGATTGCTTTTAGACGAGGAGAATAGATGTTCAAGCCTAGATGCAATGCTTACCACTAAAACATTAGCAAGTCCTCTGAAGGTAATCTTTGAATGTTATAATTACGTTAGGAAGTTCTTAGTCAGGAGCTGATCTTTGAATGTTATAATTACGTTAGGAAGTTCTTAGTCAGGAGGTGATCTTTGAATATTATAAGTACGTTAGTAAGTTCTCAGTCAGGAGGTGATCTTTGAATGTTATAATTACGTTAGTAAGTTCTTTGTAAGAAGGTGATCTTTGAATGTTATAATTACGTTAGTAAGTTCTCAGTCAGGAGGTGATCTTGGAATGTTATAATTACGTTAGAAAGTTCTTTGTAAGAAGGTGATCTTTGAATGTTATAATTACGTTAGTAAGTTCTCAGTCAGGAGGTGATCTTTGAATGTTATAATTACGTTAGTAAGTTCTCAGTCAGGAGGTGATCTTTGAATGTTATAATTACGTTAGTAAGTTCTTTGTAAGAAGGTGATCTTTGAATGTTATAATTACGTTAGTAAGTTCTTAGTCAGGAGGTGATCTTTGAATGTTATACTTACGTTAGTAAGTTCTTTGTAAGAAGGTGATCTTGCTGTTTTGTGATCAGGTATTAATGACATTTTAGTTAGTCGACGGTCTTAACGCCATCCCACTGACCGATGTTGAAAAACTGGACTGCAAAAAGACGCTTTCTCCCGAGGATATTAAGAAGATCGACATTGGTAAATTTGTCATGTGACGTACTTTGGGTGATATCAATCATTGCATGTTTGTAGACGTTGATCGTCGAAGTTTGTAAAGACTTGTGACTATCACTGGTTGACACTGAAGATGACTACCGCTAAGGTTGTCGGGGCGTCAGTCAACATCAACACCAAAAATCCTTCTCAGGACTCTACCTACCTGGACGATCTACATCTACAAACATGTTACGAAACTCCCGGGTTCAAATAATTTACTTTATAACAATTCTTGAATGATTACTTTTTCTAGACTCTGCTCTCATAGATTTTGGTGAAGTTTGTCAGCGATCCATGAAGACGAAATATTTAACGATTGGAAATAACCTAAATCAACATATTCATGCTGTCGTTCATGTATGTTAAAATTACGAGAAATTAATGGCAGATTGTAGTGCATAGTTTCCAGGGAAACTTGGATGTTGTGATTTATTTTGCTAAACGCCAGTTCACCGTTGTTTTAGTATATTGGTAGACTTTCCTAACCCAAATGGTAGCTGCTCATCGCTGTTTTACTATCCGCAAATAACCTTTATTACTCAATGCAATCCTCTGAAAACCTTTATAACCGAATGCCTTCCATATTTCTCTTATTGTTCAATTAACTAATTTCCAGTAATAATCGTGACCTTATTAGATTGATTGCCGCGAACTGCGTCAGTCGTCGCCATTATCCCAAGTGATCCCACCTCATTCCTCTGCCAGGATTAATCTCGTTTTTGAGTCCATTGCTAAAGGGTCATTTGAAAGGTAAAGTTAAGATCTGTGTTTTGAAATGTCATCATAGTCCACAGTTGGTCTTGTAGCTTAGTTGGTAGAACATTGAAGACAATGATTATCTTGTTACTATACCTAAGTACATCACAACGACGTGATGTTATTATCTATGATATTAAGATATGAAAGAAACTAGAACTGTGTTTTGAAATATCATCATAGTCTCCAGTCAACCTTGTAGTTCAATTGGTAGAACATTGTAGACAATGATTATCTTGTTATTATACCTGAGTACATCACAACGACGTGATGTTATTATCTATGATATTAAGATATGAAAGAAACTAGAACTGTGTTTTGAAATATCATCATAGTCTACAGTCAATCTTGTAGTTCAGTTGGTAGAACATTGAAGACAATGATTATCTTTTTACTATACCTGAGTACATCACAACAACGTGACGTTATTATCTATGATATTAAGATATGATTGAAAGTAAAATATCAACTCTTTTTAAGACTTTGTACCTAAGTATGTATCGCCAACATAAACTATACTATATGACAAAATCATCTAAGTAAAACAACATTATCGAACTTATTTGTATCATCTTTTTACGATTTCTTAAAAGGAATATCCAATACACGATCAACGACAATCAAAATTTTTATGTCATCACAAAAGCTTCAGTTGTACCTGTCGCTTTGCAGTTATCCTCCGATAAACTCACATTGAAACCAAATTCATCTATGGCCACCGAGTCTGGTAAGTTATGAAATTATTATTTGTTTTTCGTTGCAATTGGAAAATACTTTTCATGAGAAATCCGTGCCTTGCAACGAATTGAAAAAGCTTTTTTTATATGAAATTGGAATTGTGTAATTTATGTTTAGGTTTTCGAGGTGTTGTGAGGATTGATAACAGACGAAATGCTGATGCAGATTTTGCTTGGAAAATTGTCGATTGCAAAGATAGTTCTTCATTTTCAATATGTCCTTCAAGAGGTGTGAATTTACATAAGTTAAACAGTGCTTTTAAACATAGGTTTTTGCTCTACAAGCAATCGAAAAAATTTCTGCAAGGTGTAGCTAAAGTGATTTGTCTTTCATGCAACGTGCCCATATTTGCAGTCTTTACAATGTTTTTTGTGCCAGCTACGTAGGGGCATATTTATTTCAATATGCAGTGAATTACAGTTATATTTTTACATGTCAAGAAAGACGAGCTCTTTAACTTTTATATACTAACTATTGATATGTTTATTGTTTCATAACAAGCAGAATTGTATTCTTAATATACTCTTCAAAAAAATGCAAGTCGAAGTTGCGTTTTTCTACTGTTGGGAATCGAATACAATTATTGAAGATTCTCCTGCTTATGATACAAGTTTTATTTGCCTTTGTTTGAAATAGCTGTTAATCAACTGTGTAAAAATGCAATTTCGATTTTCGAATTTTATTTGATGAGTACTCGATCATTTCTGGTCGAAATGAAATAAAAACACTTTATTAAAAAATTAAAGAGGTCTTCATTATTGCTATATGAAAATACAATCGTAAAACACAATATCAAATACACAATAGCATGTTAAAGATCGATTCACTTTTTTCATACACACTGCTTTAAGTGTTCTTATACATTTTTCTATGTGGTTGTTCACATAAGCCCGGGCAGCCGCCATTCAGCGAATTGTCAAATCATTTCGACAAATGGAAAATATTTAATACTTCACAACAAAAAACTCATTTAAGCAATTTCTCTATGCTCTGACTTTGCAAAATCATAAAACCTTTAAAATGAAAACAAATAATTTAGCTTGATTTGAAAGTTACAACTAAAATGACTTATGACGCTTACAAAAAGGTTGTAAGTTTTTCGCTTGAAGTTTTTACTCCTTTCGATAACTCAAAATCGTTTCACATCTCGCTGAATCCCTGTTACCCAGGCTCATGTGAACAGCTCCTGAGTTTTGAAAATACAAAGAAATGTATTTTCAATGTTTTAGGTACAGTTAATGCGTCGTCATCACTTGACTGTGAAGTCGTGTTTCATCCATCTTATGGCTCAACAAGAACCGTCCAATATAATTTCCATGTTGAAGGCGGGAAGAATTCAAGACTTGCTTGTGAAGCTCAGGTACAAATATCTGCGCATGCCCACTGCACTATAAGCACACTGTGGTTGCACATAAGGATTTTTTGGCGGGTAGTGACAGGTTGGAAACTTCAAAACTTTTCACTATTGCGACAAGTGAGAAAAATTCTTATGAGTCATACGTCAGATATTAATGGTAAACTTTTTTCGCGGGGTGGGGGGGGTGGGGTCTGGTAATCCTTGTTGCTAGTTTTTTTGTAATAATTGGCGTTTTATTGCTTCGTCAAACATTTCTGGAGATCTGTTTGAATTTTTCAGTCAAAGTTTGCAGGCTGCATTGTAACATTCCTAGTTAATTTAAACGAAAAGGCAAATTACTTTATCATTACATTTTCACTTTATTCGCTCTTCCCCTAAAACAATCCTAGTGTGCTTTGCGAGTCCAATTTTTCACACATACGTATTTTACGTGACGTTTTGTGAGTATTCTTTTGTTTATCTACAGTTTGGTCCGACGCAGTGCTGCTTTGTCGAGCGACGATTTGTGTTCGGCTTTGTTCCTCTTCATTTAACAACCGTTAGAAAATGCCATTTGAAAAACACAGGCAATCATCATGCTTATTTTAAGGTGACATAATCTCACACTTAATTAAAATTTTGTTCTACGCACGATATTGTGACTTGAAATACTAAATATCCTCGTTTGATATGTCATTAATCCTTAATCCTTGCTTTATCTGTAGTTCTTGTTTAATCCTCAATCCTTGCTTAGTCTTTCATCCTTGCTTGATCTTTAATCCTTGCCAAATTCGTCATCCTTTCTTAATCCTAAATTTGTATTTATTCGTGATTTTATTAAATCGTTTTTCTTTTGGACTTTTTAAATAGCCTGTGAGTGATTTCTTTTAATGCTCATCAATGTTTTTGTTTATTTTGTCTTAAATATATGAGTGTCTAATATTTCTTATTGCTTATCTTTCGTAGGTCCATAATACCCAACCGCTGGCCGGTATGATTGTATCACCCGAACAAGGTGTGGTGCCCGTTGGTGGTACTGCTGAAATTGAGGTAAAAATAAAATCCAGTTTTATAACCTTTCGTTTTTGTTTTACCAATCCTGCTATATTTAGATGTATTCGGGTATATAAACAAGATAATCGTTTTCTTCAATGTTCTATCAATTAAAGTACAAGTCCAACTGTGGACTATGATGTTGTTTCAAAATATAGTTCTAGTTTCTTTCATATCTTGATATCATAGATATTAACATCACGTTTTTGTGATGTACTCAGGTATAGTAACAAGATAATCATTGTCTTCAATTTTCTACCAACTGAATTACAAGACTGACTGTGGACTCTGATGATATTTCAAAATATAGTTCTAGTTTCTTTCATAAATTAATATCATAGATCATAACATCACGTTTTTGTGATGTACTCAGGTATAATAACAAGATAATCATTGTCTTCAATTTTCTACCAACTGAACTACCAGATCAACTGTAGACTATGATGATATTTTAAAACACAGTTCTGGTTTCTTTCTCATTTTATTATGATTGATAATAACATAATTTGTTACCGGCATCAAATGATGTTATTATCAATGATTTTTGTTGGCTTTGACGAAAGAAGAATCAACTTTTTTACTTCCTAGGTTGCATTCACTCCAGATTTGGTGCAAAAATTCGACTCTGTGATCGAAGTGAATATCTTGGGATGGAAAACAATCTCTCTTCGTCTTGGGGGAAATGTTGAACAACCTTGTGTTGATGCTCATGTTGATGGCGTAAGTCAATGAAATGCTTATTGAGGGGGGGGGGGGCGGTGTTCTTGAAGTTTGCCGTCTATTACTAAAGTATTAAAACATATCCCAGCTAGAGTTAACATAATAAACTCACTATAAACACAACGACTTATTCGCAATACAAACAAACGATAAACTAAAAACAATACACTTCACACTAATCCACAATGACAATACACAATTGACAACCACACTTTTTCTGTACACACAATACAATGACGTAAGAACCAGATAACAAATACGGCTAACCTGACGTTTACTCCTCATTTGACTCTGAAGATGACTACCGCTAAGGTTGTCGAAACGTCAGTCAGGACTATACCAACATGGACGATCTACATCTACAAATATGTAACGATACTCTCGGGTTCAAACCATTTACTTTATAATAAACTCACGTCAACCATCATGCTCGACCCAGTCCATTCACTCGTGTGTTCTAATTCACTTGCTTTTTCATTCTTACCATTTTCATACGTAAGCCTGAGTTTTAGTGGACTGGGACGAGAATAGTGACTGAAGTTAATAAATGTAGAAAACTTTGTGATAACCTCAGCAAAGACGGATTATATGGACGTTTTATTTATTTCTAGGGTATTCTGCAATTCAATGGAGTGTATTGTGATGCTAAAGCTAAACTTCCGTTCAAATTATCCAACAAGGTATGTTATGCAAAGGCTCACCTCCGTAAATTATAGTAATTATAGTCTAATAAAGGGGGATGTCTTCACCTAACGCAGCATTGCATATTGCTAAATGTAGTGTTAATTAATGTAAACTTTTTATTAAATCAAGGTTGGTAGGGGGCAGGGAATTGATAAATGCTCTTTTTACCAACACGGTCAGTGGTCACTGCGGATGATCGTTTATTGTAACTTCAAGTTGACTTTCCGTCTTTCTGTTTTGAAGTCAGTTCGGTGAAAGCATAAATAGTTTAGGTAAGGCAAATCTGGCTACGCCGCTAATTAGTCTATTTCTCTATTTCAATAGGCTCATTCCAAAGTCAAAGTTGTCTTTGATTTGTCTCGTTATGGCGATTTTTCGATGCTATTCAACGATTACAAAGGTAGAAATTTTTTTTATATAAGACCACTTTCCTTTCCGCTTCATGTTAGTTGCCATTTCTTTATCTAATTTTGCTGGACTAATGATTGTTCACGTGTTTATGCTGTGCATGCTGACTTCTAATGTGTAACTGGACTAATGTCTGTTCATGTGTTTGTGTTGCGCATACTGACTTCTAATTTCTAACTGGACTGGTGTTTCTTCACGTGTCTATGTTGTGCATATCATTTTTTTAATGATTATAAAATTCTTTTTCGTCAGAGGAAAGCTACTCAAGTAAAGATGGTTTATATACGACATATCTTAATGCTTCGGAAGTTATTGACTGCGTTTTAATTTTCCATCCATCAGAGGTATGATTAATGTTGTATTTTAACTGTCTGAGTTTTAAGGGGCAAACTAGGTTGCAAATGCTCTTTATTTTCCTTATTGATGTCCATAGTTTACATCGAAAAGTAACAATAGATTTCCTTTGGAATTTTTATTCAAATCCTTTGTCGCGTAAATCCCAATCCTTTTCCTTGTCAATCCAAATCCTTTTACGTGTCAATCCCAATCCTTTTCCTTGTCAATCCCAATCCTTTTTGTGTCGATCCCTTTTGTGTCGATCCCGATCCTTTTACGTGTCGGTCCCAATTATTTTTCGTGTAATTACCAATACTTTTTCCTGTTGACTCGATCTTTTTTGTGTGTGTATGTATTCTTTCGTTGTCACGTCAACAATTTAGTGATGTTTTGAATGTGTAGGAGGACAAAATTTTAAAAGGAAAGTTTATTTCGTCATATTTTTGACCGGTTCCAATTTCTCTCAAGGTCGCGTCGTATAATTATATTCTTCCTGTAACCATCAACGATACACTAGCACCCAGTCCTCCACCTTCAACAGTTCCTCCTTCCCCCGCACCATCGAGTAATAACTGGAACATACCTCACTTGGAAGCACCTTCACCCACTTTCCCCACTAAAGCAACGCCACGTCTTCGTGTCCAGGCAATAGCTTTGAGACCGCCCCTACTAATTTCTCACCGGCAACTCAAGTTCAGCCTGCCCGCAGGCTACTTTGATTTGGAGGTTCAGTCGGATGCTGGAAGGATTCAGGTGTGTTTAAGTTTGTGTCATTTTATATAATTATTAATAAATATTCACCAGAAAATGTTCAAAAGTGAGGTATAGTAAGGACAATAAAGATGTGAATGATTCTTGAAGTCAGTTTTATTGTGATATCCAGAATCATCAAAGCCTTGGTTTGCGTTATTTTCTTCAACCTACGGCTTCAACTGATAATGCAAACCTTTGTTTAGATAATTCTGGATATCACGCCCAACTTCATCCAATAATTACATAATAATGCTGTACAACTATTGATGATAATCTTCTATTCAAAATAATGTGTAATTTAAGAATGTGCCAGATACACGATTGAACCAAAAAAATTTTCTGTTTCCTTACAGAAAAGTTTTAAAACGTTTGTTTGCACATTGAACAAAAATCATCACATGAAGCATGGTCGCTAATCTGTTTTGAAAAGTAGGGATGGACTTTAAGTCTCATCTCCCCTCCCATTTCATATTTTCACCTTTGACTGGAAAGCTACCTTTTGATAAACCGTTTGGCGTACGTCTTCATGTTGTATTTCAAAATTAAAAATTTTCAAGTTTTTAAATTTTGGAATGTAGTACGCGTGCTCCAATTTCAAGTGCGCTGCTCCTTTAAATACACAAAATCATATTCTTGTGACTGTGTAAACAATCTCTTACATGTTTGTAGATGTTAGATCGTCCAGGTTAGTAGAGACCTGAGAAGGACTGTTGATGTTGATGTTGACTGACATTTCGACAACCTTAGCGGTAGTCATTTGGCTCTGAAGATTGTTACTGCTAAGGTTGTCGAAACGTCAGTCAACATCAACATCAACCGTCCTTCTCAGGACTCTACTAACCTGGACGATCTACATCTACAAACATTTAACGACTCCCGGGTTCAAACCATTTACTTTAAATAATCTCATGTTGATAGAGTTGTGTGTTGGTTAATAACGGCAACAAACCGTTCCAGTGGTCCATGGATCTATCCAAATGTGCAACTTTATTCCATGATGGTGTCTTTAAGTTCGTGCGAAGATCTGGTTCACGTTACCCTAGCTCGAGAAAGTTGTCACCAAGTTTACAAGATGTTGATGGGAACCTACAGATTGGTGAAACTTGCCAGCTTTGTATTATGTTTTCCCCAAGTAGGTGATGCAGTATTTAATTCCAGGCAGGCAGGCATTTGGAAGGGAACTCAGGCCTCCGCTTCTAGTTTAACGGAGTAATCGTTTGGTCGAAAACTCGTATTGAATTTACAACTTCATGCATTGGTTTTGCAACTTGCTATAGAATGTAGCAGGATGCTACGTAAATGAATAAAACTTTGAATACATGAAGTAATAACTATATATTACACTTACATAAAGTATCTCATTTAATTACAATCTAAGACTATTTTTTAGTACAGTAGCGAGTCTAGGGGTGGGCTGAATAATCAGTAGCATCTTCATTACAGTGCTATTGGTTAAGAATTTCCAAAGAGTCTAATGTAACCAATTAAACTGTTTGTAAAGTGTTTTGAAATGTAAATTTATCTAAGCAGGATATGCTACTGTTTGTATTTAGAATCTCCAGGTTTATATCGAGCTTCAGTGCCTTTGATACTTAACGATGACCGCTATAACCCATATCGTATTCTGGAGTTAGAGGGTGAGCTACCTTCTCCCGACGTAAAGTTTGATCCATGTGTGTTGGACTTCAAAGTCGTTCCACTTCTCATTGAAACTTCTCTTGAGTTCGATATTATTGCCCGAGGATTCAGAACGTAAGTACTTCATGTTATAGTTATGAACTATAGACTTTAAGGAGTAAATATGGACTATAGGGATGAACTATGGACTATAGGGATGAACTATCAACTGTAGGAATGAACTATTGACTATAAGGATGGACTATAGACTATAGGGATGAACTATGGACTATAGGGAAGAAATATGGACTTTAGGTATGAGCTATGGATTATAGGGATGAACTATGAACTATAGGGATAAACTATGGACTATAGGGATGAACTATAGACTATAGGGATGAACTATAGACTATAGGATGAACTATGGACTATAGCAATAAACTATGGACTTTAGGGATGCACTATGGACTATAGGGATGAACTATGGACTTTAGGGATGCACTATGGGCTATAGGGATGAACTATGGACTATAGGGATAAACTATGGACTATAGGGATGAACTATGGACTATAGGGATAAACTATGGACTATAGGGATGAACTATGGACTTTAGAGATGAACTAACGACTATAGGGATGAACTATGGACTATAGGAATGCACTATGGACTATAGGGATAAACTATGGACTATAGGGATAAACTATGGACTATAGGGAGGAACTATGGACTTTAGAGATGAACTAACGACTATAGGGATGAACTATGGACTATAGGAATGAACTATGGACTATAGGGATAAACTATGGACTATAGGGAGGAACTATGGACTATAGGGATGAACTATGGACTATAGGGATGAACTATGGACTTTAGAGATGAACTATCGACTATAGGGATGAACTATGAATTATAGAGATGAACTATGAATTATAGAGATGAACTATGGATTATAATGATGAACCATAGACTATAGAGATGAACTATGGACTTTTATTATAAAATATTGACTATGATGATTAACTATGGGTAAAAATCATTGTTTCTCCAAGTAGCAACGACTGACAGGATGTACATTATAATTTTAAAACATTCAGATCGTCTGAAATCCATGTTGAGTTACCTGAGGTTGAATTGAATGACGGTAGCTACATGTGTCTGTTGTCATCTACATTCCCAAAGGGTACGACAATATCGCCATGTTTTCGTGAAGGTCCTACAGCACATACGTGTCGAATTCCATGTAAACTGACATTTAAATCACCGAAACCTGTATCATTTGCCACAGAGATTGTTTTTGCCGTTAATGGAGCAAGGTAATGAAAAGTTTTTTGTCTTCAGTCTAGTGTCTTCATCAGGAGTGATCTGATTTTGAAACTTGAGTCTTTATATACTCCAGTCTAATGTCTTCATCAGGAGTGATCTGATTTTGAAACTTGAGTCCTTATATACTCCAGTCTAATGTCTTCATCAGAAGTGATCTGATGTTGAAACTTGAGTCTTTATATACTCCAGTCTAATGTCTTCATCAGGAGTGATCTGATGTTGAAACTTGAGTCTTTATATACTCCAGTCTAATGTCTTCATCAGGAGTGATCTGATTTTGAAACTTGAGTCCTTATATACTCCAGTCTAATGTCTTCATCAGAAGTGATCTGATGTTGAAACTTGAGTCTTTATACTCCAGTCTAATGTCTTCATCAGAAGTGATCTGATGTTGAAACTTGAGTCTTTATATACTCCAGTCTAATGTCTTCATCAGGAGTGATCTGATGTTGAAACTTGAGTCCTTATATACTCCAGTCTAATGTCTTCATCAGGAGTGATCTGATTTTGAAACTTGAGTTCTTATATACTCAAGTCTAGTGTCTTCATCAGGAGTTATCTGAATGTTGAAACTTGAGTTCTTATATACTTCTGTCTAGTACCTTCATCAGGAGTGATATGATGTTAAAACTTGAGTTCTTATATACTCCAGTCTACTGTCTTCATCAGGAGTGATATGATTTTGAAACTTGAGTCCTTATATACTCCAGTCTAGTGTCTTCATCAGGAGTGATCTGATTTTGAAACTTGAGTCTTCATATACTCCAGTCTAATGTCTTCATCAAGAGTTATCTGATGTTGAAACTTGAGTTCTTATATACTCCAGTCTAGTGTCTTCATCAGGAGTGATCTGATTTTGAAACTTGAGTCTTCATATACTCCAGTCTAATGTCTTCATCAAGAGTTATCTGATGTTGAAACTTGAGTTCTTATATACTCCAGTCTAGTGTCTTCATCAGGAGTGATCTGATTTTGAAACTTGAGTCTTTATATACTCCAGTCTAATGTCTTCATCAAGAGTTATCTGATGTTGAAACTTGAGTTCTTATATACTCCAGTCTAGTGTCTTCATCAGGAGTGACCTGATTTTGAAACTTGAGTCCTTATATACTCCAGTCTAGTGTCTTCATCAGGAGTGATCTGCTTAAAATATACTCCATTGTAAAGTTGTCATCATGAGTTATTCGATGTTAAAAGTTGAATATTTTAAGATGTAGTTTTTCTTTCTAGGTTTTTTCTTCCAGTGACTGCTACAGCTGACAATTGTTTACTCACAAACTATCCTTTCCTAACCATACATCGCAATGATTATCATATCGTCTGTGAAAATAATTCTGCATTGATCAATGATGGAGATGATAACTCCAGCATCAATACTGAAATGTTCCTTCTACCCTGTATTACTTCCAATCGTCCTTTGACAAACGGTTCGACAAGCGGGACAAGCACGACATTTTGTGTTACGTCATCATCCTACGAAGCTTCCAGCAATCCTGTAGGCTCCGCTAGTGACACCTCGAGTCCTGTCGAGGGTATTAATGTACATAACGGGATCGTTCGTCACGAGGAACTCCGGCTTGTTTCTGAGCTCAGAAACCAAGATTTAACTGATGGAAACTCGCCTGAAGAATTAAGCTTTTTTAAAGAAGTTCTCAAATCTCTTCAAAGGTAAATCTGCTTTTTTGTGTTTTTTGTTGTTTTTGTTGCCGAACAGAGTGGTATCTATGGACCAGAGATGGATCAAGAATGATTTGTAAGGGAGGGGAGGGTGTTCTATTTTGGAATAGATTTTGGTAACTACTTTGTGTGTGTTGCTGTACCATGAGATTTTTTTCAGTTAAAATCCGTCACTCTCATGCCATGATTGAGGTATGATTTCTGGAAGTGTGCCCCATCAAGCATAAATCTTTAATGCTTTCGTTTATCATTGCATGAAGTATGCGTACATTGATATATTTTTATGGTTAAAACGTGTGCACCCTCCGTACTCTTCAGTCAATCAATTCCTGGATTTGACCGAAGCGAAAATTCTCTCCTTTAGATGGATCTCACTGCAAGCTTGGTCTTCGGGACCATATCCCGTAAAGATCCCGAAGTATTTTCAGGATTCATTCGAAGCCATCGAAGATTTCTCAGTCAGCGGTCAAGGTGGCCGGAATGGCGAGGCTCTTAAAGATACCCGCACAGTATTTCAATTGGTTTCGCACCTCTGCGGTCGACATGTACCTGGGATACCTCTAAATTTCTCCTTTCCGTCCAATCGTCGTGATAGAGTACGGAAACTTCATTGGATGTACTCAGCTCTTCTCTTGTTTCTGAGGTAAGAAGGATGGTTGGTGTATATGTTTGTGAGGTAAGAGGGATGGTTGGTGGATATGTTTATGAGGTAAGAGGGATGGTTGGTGGATATGTTTGAGGTAAGAGGGATGAGGTAAGAGGGAAAGTAAAGTGATACTTTACTTTCTACCATACAAACTATTGCAGAGAAACGAGCAAACAAGACAGAGACACAACACCAAATCAAACAACAACAAAAACTTGAACGTTTAAAACAAACTAAAACACGTGCAAGACATAAACATGACGATAACTGGGTGAGGAATATTTCTTCCCGCCCATTAGACGAAACTGAAACGCGACTACTATCTTACGGACTAAAACATTCCATAACACCTAGACAAATCCCGACTGAGACGATAGTATCAAGTGTCGAGGCTGTCCTAGCGTATCAAAGAGACTTGTCAGAGACAACAAAAGACGAGATCAGAAGCAGGATAGCCTCCACTTTACAATCGTCCTCTATACGTGACAACAACTTGACAAAGACGAACAACAAGCACTCAAACGACTAAAACACGACAACAACATCGTCATTTTACCAGCAGACAAAGGACGCGTGACTGTGGTCATGGACAGGAATGATTACTTTAACAAAATGGACGCACTTGTTAACGACAGACAAACGTACGAACAACTCAAACGAGACCCAACACCATCACTAGTACGCAACTTAACAGCAAGATCTTCTCTGAGAAAATCTAACATTATATCTGAACGTATTTACTATCGACTCAGATGTTCAGTACCACGACCACCCAGACTATACGGACTACCAAAACTTCACAAACCACAAATACCCATGCGACCAATTGTATCATTCTGTGGTTCGCCTACTTACGAACTTTCAAAGTACTTGACTAACATACTGCAACCACTTACAAACAAATCAAAACACAAGCTACAATCCACTGAAACTTTCATTAAAAAACTGTGCACTATACAAATACCAGACAACTATATACTAGTGTCTTTGATGTGAAATCACTGTTCACCAGTATTCCACTTAATCTGGCACTTACTTGTACAAAAACCCTCATTACAAACACCACGGATGTACTGCCATTACCGACAGAAGACATTATGGAGTTACTAGAGCTCTGCCTCACCTCGACTTACTTCCAATACAAAGGAACACACTACAAACAATTACATGGGACAGCAATGGGCTCGCCGTTTCTGTTGTAGTTGCTGAAATTGTAATGCAATCTATAGAGGAACGGGCACTCATGACTTACAAACATGCACTACCTTTTTGGTTTCGCTACGTAGATGACACAATCACAGCACTACATGCAGACGAGATTGATGACTTCCATACTCACATCAACAAACAGAACAGCCACATACAATTTACCAAAGATGTCGAAGAAAACGGAACTCTTCCTTTTCTCGACTGTTTGGTAAAACATGACAATCAAAAACTAGGAACAACAGTTTATCGCAAGCCAACACATACTGACCGACTACTAGACCAATCATCTTACTAAATCACAAAGCCACCACAATGAACATTAACAAGACGTGCACAAATCATATGTGATTCACCGGCGCTCTACAAAACGAAAACTATCTCAAACGTGTTTTTGACAAAACAACTATAACTCTGACTTTATCAAACGCAACACTTACAAACCAACGAACCCAACGAACAACAACTCAGTGACAACAGCAACGATACCTTACATCAGGGGTACGTCTGAGACTATCTCGCGTATCTTGACCATACAACATGTGTCGCACATAAACCAATCACAACATTACGACAAGTACTAACGAACATAAAGGACAAAGAACAACCCAACGAACGACAAGGTGCAGTTTACAAAATAAACTGCTGCCACGCCTCCTATATCGGGGAAACTGGCAGGAACTTAAACATAAGACTTACTGAGCACAAACGAGCTACTAAGAAACAAGACAAAACTAATCACATTGCCGAACATCACCGAATCACAAAGCACAACATTGACTGGGACTCGGCAAAATGCATCACTTACAGTACTGACTATAGACAACGGCTTACATTAGAAAGTTGGTATACCAACTTGGAACAAACCCCCCTGAACAGATCACAGCAATTACCGGCACCTTACAAACGACTTATTCACAATACAAACAAACGATCAACTAAAAACATTACACTTCAAACTAATTCACAATGACAATACATAATTGACACATTACAACTAAAACGTCACACCTAAATCACATATCAACAAAATAAAATATTTCACTTCACACCAATCCACAATGACATTTTCTGCACATTTCCTGTACACACAATACAATGACGTAAGAACCAGACAATAAATACGGCTAACCTGACGTTTACTCCTCATTTGACTCTGAAGATGACTACCGCTAAGGTTGTCGAAACGTCAGTCAACAACATCAAAAATAGTCCTTCTCAGGACTTTATTAACCTGGACGATCATCATTTACAAACATGTAAGAGGGATGGTTGGTGGATATGTTTGTGAGGTAAGAGGGAGGGTTGGTTGATATGTTTGTTAGGTAAGAGGGATGGTTGGTTGATATGTTTCTGAGGTAAGAAGCATGGTTGATGAATATGTTTCTGAGGTAAGAAAGTTGATTGGTGGATATGTTTTGAGATAAGTGGAATGGTTAGTTAATATGGGCTCCAACAAGGGAAGATCATAAACGTGGGAGAGTGGTAGTGCATGAACTTTATTTCATTGCAGTGATCTGTGTACATTATAATATGAAATTTATGAACCCATACGCGGTTTGCTTTTCTATGAAATGAATTGAATGTCATGATCGTCATGGGAATTTGCACGACCAAATTATGGACATGTTACGCCATTGATTTTATACTTTTGTAGGTATAATACTTTTATTGCGACTGTTGTAGTTTTGCTGAGGTGGATTCAGAGAGAATATGGAGGGAGGAGTGTACTCCTCGCAGATTTGAAATGATTTGTTAGTAATGATTGTTCATTAATGAATATGTTATGCCATATTACTCACCCCTCCCTGACTAAAATCCTAAACTCTCCTCTCCTACTCGGGAATATGGGAATTCTAGACTCCCTATTTTGCAATCCTGGAATATGGAAACTTATCCAACCACCTTTATCACCTTTTCTACATTTTATGATATATTTTTTATACTTGGAAAACTCTTGCTACATAAAGTCATTTATTGTTTTTATACCCAGGGCGCAAGGAGCACTGCTGGCTCATGTTAAGGCCGAGCACTTAATGAGTCACAATGATTACGTTGAATGGAAAAAGATTGCGGATCATGAATTGCGTGATAACAGCAATGCACGTGACACAGCACGTGATGGAGATGGCAAGACACGTGATGAAGACTGTAAGACGCGTGATATAGACAATAAATCTCGTGATGAATATGCTTTGAAAATGAGTTATGAACGGCTATCGTGTCGTGCCTGGACAGATCTTCTTTTTCAGATCATCAAGGTACACTCCAGTTCTGAAGAATATAGAGATCAGTGATTGATTTCGTCATGACAAATGTTTTTCATTGCAACAGATTTTTGTCTTGGGCCGAGTTACTCCACGACAGTTCAGGAAAATATCCTACCCCCCGGATGATTCTGGTGCGCCATACTTCAATCCGAACCCCCTGGCTAGCAACATTTATGGAGTTGGTGAAAGAATCATTCTTACTTGGCTCAATCATCATTATCGAGTACAAACACAGAAAGCGTGGAACGATGACAGTAAGATTGGTTTTACCATATTGATTTTTCTTCTTCTAACTCTGAAAATATGTGTGTTCATTAATTCGAAACCAAAGGCTTAAATTGTTGGATTTTTGACAAAATTACTCACAGGAAGTATTTTTGTATTTTTTTGCTGGAAATTTTTCGTTAACTTAAGCTAGATGTTGGTGTATCTTGTCAATTTTCATTCAAGATTTTTTCTAACTTCTGTAGAATCTCTACCTTCCGCTCGCTGGATTGTAAATTTTGATTTTGACTTCATGGACGGTCTTGTATTGGGTGCCGTTCTTGCTGCACATTGTCCATTTTTGGTGAGAACTTTACACTGTGTACATATTAAAATAATTGCTCTGAACCCGGGAGTATCGTTAGATGTTTGTAGATGTAGATCGTCCAGTTAACAACAACAACAACAACAGTGCTTCTCAGGACTCTGTAGATGTAGATCGTCCAGTTTAGTAAACACATTGTGTACATATTATTGCACATTGCGTGCTTTAGTTGAAGTAACATTTGCAACATATAAAGTAAGGCCTCTCCTCATGTCGCAATTAAGTATCTTAGATAAATAAGACCTCTCATCTTGACATAGAATATCTTGGAATAAAGTAAGATAAAGTAAGATGCCGTGTCGATGACATTGAGCATAATGAAACCAATGTTTTCGTATCAAAACTTTTCCTTTCTTTTTAAATCGTTTGATTTTCATTCATGAAGTTTTTCAAAGTGTTTATTGACGTCAGGTTTAAGTTTCATTCCCCATATCATTAAAACCTTCATTCTACTTTTCCTCCCAGATCGACTCTCATTTACGCAACATGTTTCTTCATCCGACGACCGCTGAGCAATGTCTCCACAACGCAATTCAGGTCGTCGAAGCTTTCAAGACGATTTGCTTGGATTACGACGTTGTGGTAAGCTGTATAGTAGTGGATCCAGGGCTAGACAAAATAGTTTAAAAAAGATAATTTAAAATACCTTTATGACACTACCATTGGTCATGAATTTCCAAAGATAAAATCCTGCCATTCAATTGGCTGTTCTAGTTTATTTAAGCCAACGTTTGTTTTAATGACGATAATGAAAATCATTTTAACGCCATCAATTGAAGTCGGTCTTCAAAAAGTGGTCGCTATTTGTTTCTTATTTTTTGTCAAATACTTCCGCCAATTTAGGTCACAGATATTACAGAGGCAAATCCAGTGTCCATGTTGCTACTTTGTCTTCATCTGTATCAACATCTACCCCACTATGTACCTCGTGCCACCGTGGAATTTTCTGGCACTCTTCACTCCACCATTACTAAGCATGTAAGTATGAAGATCTTTAGAAAGCTTGTGATCTGTTTCTGTTGAGGCTACAGCAAATGACTTGATGTGTGAGTCAGAGATTTTACATCTTATTTTGTTGAAATTTGACTTTATGTTTTGTGAGAGACTTTGATATTTGATTTGAAAAGGTTATTTCAGAAACCTTTACTTTGTGTTAATATTGATGATTTAAAATGGATGTTTTATAGTTCAAATATGCAATTTAAGACACTCAAACTGAAAACAGCATATTCAAACTTATGTTTTATAGGTTCAAATTCAAAACCCTAGTAGAAGCAAGCCTCTTCTATATCATACCGTTTTGCTGGGTAGAGATGCCGCTGACTTCATAGTACCCATGGGAGGCTCAATACAGGTTGATATGTTGTAGTCAATTACGCTTAATTTCTTCAGTACACAAAACAGAAGTTCTCCAAGTTTGAATTTTAACTCATAGAATTATTTTGTATGATACAGGTTTCTCCGAAAGCTCAAATTCAACTTCCACTTGAGTTCAAAAGTCGTTTTTTACGATCATGTTCCGCTACATTGCTGCTGGTCGGTAAGCGTGCTGGCTCGGCATGTGGAAGTACCCTGGTGTTCGACTTGAGCACTTCTGTGGATAATATTACTCCAAGGGTTAGTGAGCACGTGATCTTGTTTTCTGTTATTTCTTGATAAGTACGTTTTTATGTGTTACAGGAGAAATAACGCTTAGTTAAAATTTAAGACTCAAGATCTTGTGTCAATGTAGGTAGTGATGAATGAACAACAGAAAACAAGAACAGTCTTTACACTACATAAAATATATAAGAAATAAGATAATATGTATCAGTGTAGTTAGTGATAAATGAACAACAGAGAAGGAGAACAGTCTTTGCACCACATAAAATGTAAAATTAGATAACGTGTGTTAGTTTAAGTAATGGTGAATGAACAACAGAGAACAAGAACAGTCTTTACACTACATAAAATATATAAGAAATAAGATAACGTGTGTCAGTGTAGGTGGTGATGAACGAACAACAGAGAAAGAGAACAGTCTTTACACTACATAAAATATATAAGAAATAAGATAACGTGTGTCAGTGTAGGTAGTGATGAATAAACATCTTTCTTTACCGCAAATATGGAATGCATTTGTTAATTTAACTTTTAGGCGACAATAAGATGCGAATCACCTTTGTATGAAGTCAACAACATCACTCTTCATGTTTCAAATCCATTTGCACGCGAAGGAAATTTCCGCGTCGTTTTAGTGGAAGCACGCAATGAAATTTACACGGGCAAAAGCAAAGAGAGAAAAGTGAAAACGAAAACTTTGAAAAAAGTGGAGTCGAAAACGGATCATGGGTAGGGAAAATGATAATTATTATAATTTATACATTTGTAAATATGTATTATTACCTAATCAAAACGTACATCATCTGTTGATAGTGATAACTTTTACGAGTCTAGTACATGACTAATCAGTAAACAGTTTTTCTCTTTATACAAATGAATTTTCCCATTAGACAATCGAAGAAGACCAAATCGTCAAAGAAACAGATCATTGGTCCAATTGAAGAAAAGGATGATTCACAAATTTGTAAGTTCTGTGTTTCTTCGTGACTGCTTTGGAACACGGGACTCCAAACTACGGCCCGCGGGCCAGATGTGGCCTGTTGGGCGTCTCAATCTGGCCCGCAGAGACACTTAAGGAAAAAAATAATAATATTATTAAACAAAATAAACTTTGTGCAGAAAGTTCACGTTTTGACGCAAGCCAACTTGCAAGAGTGGCTTACGTCAATTTTTGTCCCAACTTCCTACTGAGACAGAATCTGTTGACATGCCATATTACACTGCAGTAAGATGGTTAAGTTGTGGAAAAGTTCTGTAAAGGGTTTTTCAGCTAAGAAAGGAGCTATTTTCTTAACTAATGAAGCTTGTGTTATGTACTTCGTTTTATTAAAATATTCGCTCTTTGACCAGCGGTATACGGTTCGTCAGCCCTCAACATGCTAGATGAAAGTTCATGTGACCCTATGGTTGTAAAGTTTGGAGACCCCTGGTTTAGAATTCTGAACAAACTGATTGAAATCAGAATTATCTTGAAGAAGTTAACTTTAGCTCTACGACATGTAAAACATTTGAGGAACTAAAACTTCTCATAACTTTTTCGCTCAAATTTGGCCTTCTAACTACGTCATTGGTTGCCTAGGTACCGGCGTAACAACCTTCAACGTGAAACTTTTCAAAATATATTTACAAGCCGTCTCCGTTAAAATGTTTTTTATTTGCCAAAATTCTAAGACTTGGAGGTAGCCATCGGACTAAAATATGCAGGGAGGCTACAGGACTAAGACTTGCATGACAGCTACTGCATGACAGCTACTGGACTCGCTGGATTGTAAATTTTGATTTTGACTTCATGGCAGCTACTAGAATATGCAGGGAGGCGACTTGCAAGATAGCTGCAGGTCTAAAATCTGCCTGCTAGCTGCAACGCTAAACCTTTTGTACAAGCTGCTGGCTACGCCACTAGTTTTTTCCCTTCAATCTTTTTACATTTATTCTATTTCCAATTTCTCAAGAAATCCATTTTCGTATCATTTCAGTAGCCAAGAATCAAACGTTAACCCGAGCATTCTGGTGTTCAAACGAAAATCTTCACATCGAAAGCAACGGTACATCACGACTTGATATAAACTTTATACCATTACAAATGGGTCTTCGTCAGTGCTCTGTGCTATTTATGAACGAGAACATTGGCGAGTTTTTATATCTTATTGAAACCGAAACTGGTATACCGCTTCCATGCCGCGTACCTTATGTACCGTCGGCTCACAGTGTACGCGTCAGCAGCTCCCTTGTAGCTCATCAGAGTCGTGACGTTCACGGAAGTGACGAACGTGTGTTGTATTGGAAATGTGATTCAGGTGATAGCTTCACTGAGGAGATACTTATTTATCGAACCAATATGGCGAAGGAGAGTGCTTTAGGTAAGGATTGATGGATATTTTTTTAGGGACGCAATAGAAAAACATTTTCTCTAATTTTTTTGTGAAAGGAACTAAGAATCATGTATTATTGATGATTTCCAACTTGCTTCAATGAATACAAAACGACAATCTGAACTGATAATTCACGAGACTGGAGTTTTGAAACACGAGACTGAGATGAAAATTCACGTGACTGAGATGAAAATTCACGAGACTGAGATGAAAATTCACGTGACTGAGATGAAAATTCACGCGACTGAGATGAAAATTCACTCGACTGAGATGAAAATTCATGAGACTTAGATGAAAAGTCCCGAGACTGAGATTAAAATTCACGAGACTAAGATGAAAATTCACGCGACTTAGCTAAAATTCACGAAACTGCAGTTTCGAAAAACGAGATTGAACTGACAATTCAAGAGACTGCAGTTTTAAAATATGAGGTGAATTGATAATTCAAGAGACTGCAGTTTTAAAATCTGAGGTGAATTGACAATTCACGAGACTAGAGTTTTGAAACACGAGATTGAACTCCTAATTCACGTGACAAAAGAAGAATTAACGCACGCATGTGTTTTGGGGCATCACGCAAAATTATTGCAAGACCATATGTGTCTTTTATTTCTATTACAGCTGCGATTGGCCAGAAAAACATGTCGAAGAAAGAATTCGAACGCCGTGAACTCACGAAAACTCTAAACATCACGAGCATTACGTCAGCATTAAGATTACTGGATCTAACCCCTGACTATTACCCTAATGTTATGGATCAATATGGATCACACACCGACAATACCACGACACCTTGTCTCGCATTTAAGGTTGAGTCTAACTCAAAGTATTTCTCTGTACCTGCTACCTTTAAAATACCCATGGACTCTGATGATGGTAAGTTTATGATCTTGCCAAGCTAATTTTACCAATTATCAAAGACAAGGACTTTTCCTAATCATCCATTATCTTCTAGAGAATGGCATTCCGCTTTCTGTACGATTTACGGCGAGTAAACCTGGTCACTATCCGTGCCAGATTTCAATGAAGTCGGTGAATGACGTTCGCATATATCAGATCGAATGTACGGTGAGCCCTAGTGGGCAAGAGACCACGCTAGAATTTAACACGCCACTACATCAGTATGTCACTCAAGACATTCCTGTGGTAAGGAACGTTACCTTTGCTAGGAAGCTTTGTTTTCACCTGAGTGTGTATGTATGTGTGCGCGCGCAGTGAGTTGTGATTGGAGCAGCTCAATTGCTAACTATTTTTTATTTTCAAAGGTGAATCAGACGAAACAAGATTGGCCTTTGGTTGCATCAATTGAGGGAGAGGGATTTTATGGTCCCCCTACTCTTTTGGCAAAAGCCATGCTTACCTCCTATTATCCACTAATGTTCCAGCCTGCATCGGAACTTTCTGTTCAGGTAACACATACTCAAACTCATAGAACTAAAATACATGGAGCGCTACCTGAAGCAAATAATTGAAGCCAAATGTCACACCCAAACACTCGTGTTTAGCGTTTCGAGATTCTCTCGCGGAGTGAAAATTGAGTGAAATACACACGAGTGTCTGGGTGTAATCTCGCGTGTCTGGGCATATAATTTCACTTCAAAAAATTATTAGGGTTTTCTATTACAGGTAGCGTTTAATGTATTTTAGTTCAATGTTGAAACTAGAAGTGTTTCTGAAAAACTGTGTTACTCATTTCATGTTGTAAAATTTAGGATCGTTGAACATTTAAATTCTTCCACTATGGTTAATTGACGTTCATCTGTGTTTAGGGTAAACTCACTTTGACAAACACCTTGAATGGTAGCGAGCAAGCTTATCATCTTAAGGGTGTTGGTGATGCACCTGTTGCTATGCAACACATCGTCGTCGAAGCCGTTGTACATCAAAGGTCAGGCCCACTCTTTCATTGTTAGAATTTAGTGTTTTTGTACGTCAAAGGTCAGGCCCACTCTTTCATTGTTAGAATTTAGTGTTTTTGTACGTCAAAGGTCAGGCCCACTCTTTCATTGTTAGAATTTAGTGTTTTTGTACGTCAAAGGTCAGGCCCACTCTTTCATTGTTAGAATTTAGTGTTTTTGTACGTCAAACGTCAGGCCCACTCTTTCATTGTTAGAATTTAGTGTTTTTCATTATACGTTTAAACCCGTGGTGGATTATTGTCGTTTTATTTAGTTATTTTTTAATTATAATTCAAATACCTTTTTGACAAGGCTAACCGCTAATGGTTATGAATTTCCAAAGAATAAAATCTTATCGATCGATAAAGTGATATAATTTATTTAGCATGATTATGCCACACCTCTGTTCAACGTCATTTTTTTTGCTGTTAAAAGCATTTTGTTTGGTAAGAACTTATTCTTTGAAAATTACCAAGCAATATGTTTCAAGCTTCAATGAACTTTAATACAACTGGAAGGCTAACTCACAATATACATGCTTAGACTTGTCTGAAGCCACTTAGAAGCTTATTTGCAGCTTCGCGTGTATCTCGCGTGGACTGTTTTATTTGCGTGACCGATTGTTTTGCAAAAACTGCTAACTTGGAAATAGAATGCTAAATGTTTTATTTTTTTCAAAACCGTTAGCAAAATTTGGTTATTAATGTGTTAAGATGCACTGGGAAAGGCCACATGGAACCTCACGCGAGACTTACACGCATGCTCACGAAATAAAACTACTCGTTCGCTGATCTAAGCTTGAACAGTGAACGCTACAACAACTATTATTAGAGTTCATTGGGCCTTTCTGTTGCTCGAAAAGACTGGGAATAGTCTTGTTCAAAAAAACGACCTTCTTGTAAAGTGTTAAGTTTCTGCATCCTATCAAAAAAAATGTGAATAAAGAATACTTTGGGGAGTAAACCAAACTTTTTAGATCAATTTGATTGCATCTCCTGCTTTTTGTTGTGTTTCCAACAGAACCACCCACACCATTCAGTTACCTTTTTCGAGTCAGAAACGACGAGATTTCAAGGTGGTCTCTGATCTCTCTATTATAACTGGAGAAACATACGCCTACTGCATGGCAAGTATAACCACGAGCTACGACATGGTTGTGTTGCCTTGGAAACGCGGCGTATTTAATGGAGTCGTGTCGTTTATGGAAACGCAAATCCCTGTTAAGGAAGGGAACTCGAAGATAGGCAGGTAGGGGAAGCTTTGCAAAACCCAGTAAACATCTTATACAAACCCAGTAAACATCTTATACAAACCCAGTAAACGTCTTATACAAACCCAGTAAACATCTTATAAAAATCATAGTTATGTGAACAGTTTAGCTTGTGTACCAGACTTGACCATGTTTTTATCACTATTCATGCTTAGATTAGATTTTCTACATTATCGAACTCACCCTTGGTCCAAAAACCAAGTTTTTTGTGTTACATAGTTTCGAGAAAAATTTCCTTAAAATTCCCATAACAAGGTCAGGGAAATAATTTTATTAGATAATCAAATTGAATTTAAGAACATTTGCAATATATTTGATAGAACACTTGCATTGAAGATAAAGCTTTCATTATTCGGAATAAAGCTGTTATTTGCAAATCTTTCTATAAAACTGCTCTACAATTTGAAGATGGCACATAAGTGTATTGCTTGACGACATCGTTCGAGCGAATATCAAAGAAAACGTATGAAAAGTGCGTTCTCTCCTTTTTGTGTCACGTCCTGTGCGAAATCATCTAACTTGATGAACTTGATAACTTGATTGAAGGAAAAGTTCATGAAGATAAAATTTTTGACCTATCAAATATATTGCTAATGTTTTTAAGAACGATTTAAGAAGTCCACGACCGTAATGCTGTAAATTAAACTTTGAAACATGGATCATCTTGTTATTTTAGAAGTGATGACAGCGATACAAGCGATGAAGAAACTTCTACTTTACGCTTTCGTTCATTGGACACATCACAAACAGTGTCTGAGCGTTCCAGCACTGATTTCGTGAAGCCGTACAGGTTTTGGTACTCGATTGAAGTTCGTGCCAGTCCTGCGATGCCTGTGAAAGTTCTCGACGTTTCTTGTGCCGTATTCTCGGCTGTTGGCATCGAGATAACCGTTTCAAATCCTAGTGATGATGAGGTCGTTATGAATGTCATTATCGAAGGACATGGTCTCCATGGTGATACAACTTTGGTCCTGGGCCCGAAACAACAAACAGTTTACCAAGCGAAGTACACCCCGATAGCTATTGGCAGGGAGCTAGGAAGGTGAGAAAGAGAGGTAGAGAAGTGATTTTGTCCGAAGTCAGACATCTTTATCAGGGTTTTATTCCTGTGTGTTTTCAATATCTGTCGTACGTAATCATAAGTACTTGTATTTCTTCCTTTAGTATCATATTTCAAAGTGAAATTGTTGGAGAGTTTTGGTACGAACTAAATCTCCTCGCGGAGCAACCCCATGTGCAAAATCTTCCCACAGTTGAATGCGAACTTGGCAGGTACGTAATCGAACTGTTTGAAGAAGATCTCGCTCAATTCAGAAAGAGTTCTGCTGTGAACTTGATGGGAACATTCACACAAGAACAAAGACTTCTGCCTCTGGAGTATTTTTCATTATCTTGATTGAAATTTACTCGTATGTACGCAGTTATCACTCTTTCCCAGTAATTTGGAGAATTTTCTACAAAATCTATTGAATCTAGAGGAAGTTTTTTTGTTCCTGTTTTTTCTGATTAGAAAGATCTATACCCAGTGTAGAAAAATGTAATACTGGGTTAGACCTACACTAATTTATAGCATGTCAGTGATTTACCTCCAGTGATTAGACGTATTTAGGACTGAGTTAGAACAAATTTATACCTAGATTGGACGTATTTAGTATTGAGTTAGAAATTATTTATACGTAGATTAGACGTATTTTATGCTAGGTTAGATATATTTTTTGTCCTTTTTTTTGCAGACATAGTCATCAAATAGTTCAGCTTGAAAATCCAACAGGTGAAACTTTAATATTGACACCTTATTCGTCAAATCAACGAAACTTTACTTTCGATGTCGACAATGCAAAACAGGTTTGTTTAAACATTTGATATCTTTGAATAGGAACTAGAAAATCTCCTTATAATTGGTGGGTGTAGATAATCACCTTACAATAGGTGGTGGTAGACAATCGCCTTACAACTGAAAGGGTAGACAATCACGGTGTACTTATTTATCCATAGTTATCCTTACCTCCACATGGTATTCTTGAAGTTCCACTACGTTTTACTCCATCACAGATTGGATTTGCTAAACATAAAGCAACAATTGTTTTCCGAAGTGAACAGGTAACTACGAGGATTAGAGTGTTCAGGTAGTGGACATAACTGAGGTCACTTCAAATGACGTCATTTCTAATGACATCACTTCATCGTCGAAATTAATGATCGTTATATCGGTGTGTCATACCTGTGTGTTGCATAGCAAGTCCGTTATTACACTATGTTAGTGGATATCAAATGACAGCAAGTAAAATGACGTCACTTGAAATGACATCACTTGAAGTGACATCATTTCATTTTATCGAAGTGAATATCACTGTATTAGTATATCTTAACTACGTGGTTCTTAATAAATCATGTTTTATTTTATATCAGCGCAATATGATGTACTTCATTTTAGGCTGGTGATTGGACTTTCCTGGCTTCTGGAACAGGACTGAATCCAAAACCGGCAACACCCATTAACGTGCACGGAAAACTTTTGGAAAACTCGTCGGTCATCGTGCCGTTTCGTAATCCGACGGAGCATTCCATTGTTGTGAATGTCGGTTTGAAGGAAAGATCGTTACATTCAGGTTTGTGGAGTTGTGCCTTGGTTTAAATTTTTCCTTGGACTTTACCGAGCTATGACGTCACGTACGTCTGACGTCATATATGTATGATGTCACATACATATGGCGTTACATTGGAATGCGATTTCATGGATAGATAATTGATTATAACTCTAGCAGTTTTATAGCATCGAAGTTTCATTATTCATAAAGATGTAAATTTCTTCGTTTGCTGTTGCATGTTTTCTTTAGGTCAGCGGTAAAGAGGCTCAGTATAATTTAATTATGTTTATGAACTTCTTTTCAAAAGTACATGTTGAATTCATCGTATGAAGTACTTTTTTACATAAATAGCAAAACTTGGATAAACTGTGAAACTTGTACTCATTAAAAATGTTCTTTTGCTTTTAGGGTCCGCGTTCTTTAGTGGATTATCTCATAAAAACTCCCAGGATATGGCATTTTGTCTTTTGCTTAAGGAAAACAACGATATCCTCTTGAAACCCCAGGAGGTCCTTGATATCCCTCTCACCTTTATCCCTCATTGCATGAAATCGTACGAAGCTACGGTCACCGTCTCAATACAGCGGTACGATATAGCACCCGGAACTTCATACGCGGATATTGTACCCACGAGTATGATCAATAACCTGACGTGGTTATATCCCCTTAAGGGGATTCCCGTATCGCAGGTTATGAGCGTGTCACGTGCCATAACCGTCGAATGTCAGTCACGTGATAGAACTGAACAGATTGTTGAGCTCACTTTGACTGGAGTGATGTCAGATGAGAAGATGGGATCATCTTATCACCGGTTGGATAATGTGACGCCAATCAATTTAATCGAAGAGGATTCTACTGACATTGGGAATGATAATGTGCCGTTTTCAGAGAGTTTTAGGTAAGCTCTCCCACCCCCCTCCGTAACCACTGTCAAAATATCTCGTTTAATGGGGGGGAGGGTATAAGAGAAAACGCTTTCCGTCAACAGTGACGGATTCAGGGCTATTCCAAATAAATTATAGCCGCTACTCTTTTTTCAAATTATATGTATGACAAGTGCTTATTCGTTTTTAATGCTTACGGCATATAATCTCACCTAACGATAAGCTGTATATTATTTTGCCTCTCGCTGGATTCCTCCCCGCTTTTATACACCATCAAGGTGCATATGTAATAAACTGGAAACCAAAGCATATTGTATGTTTCTCCAATTTCTCCTTCATATCTGGGTGGTTTTTACTGGTGAATTTTATAAAGGAGCATCTCTTCATTAGCATGCTATTCTGAGAAAGAAAAGTTGGGCGTGTATTTTGTTTTTCTTAGTATTATAAAACTCAGAGAAGTTACTTAACAAAGTGCTTTTAAAAACATGATCATTTTAACAGAAGTCTAAACTCAAATACATACATAGTTTCCTTTCTTCTTTGTGTATGTATTTTGAAGTGATTTATTTATTTACAGCTACGAGTTCCAGTACTCGGACAAGAATTGTGAGAATGCGTTGGAACGATCGCTTGGTTTACAGCTTGAAAAGAAATATCGTAATAAAATCTCTGGTGTCGTTACATTGATGTTCCGTCTTATTTTTTCTCCTTTTAAACCCTTCAAGTAAGTTCTTAACTGACATATTTCAACATTTACCTTTAAACCCTTCAAATAAGTTCTTAACTGACAAGTTTCAACATTTACCTTTAAACCCTTTGAGTAAGTTCCTAACTGACATGTTTCAACTTTTGTTTTTTCTTAGACGCTATTTCAACTAAAAATGTGATCGCCAATCTATAATCTTCTTTGGTTATTTTAATGCGTTAAGTGTAAAGCTCTCTGCTAGGATCCAATCCGGAACACAATAGTTAAACTTTGATGTGACTAATCAGATCTCAACGTTTTTTGCAGTCACGTGGTACATCTAGTCATCACTGCGGGCTTAGGTGCTGTCTGGAAGTTCCCCATTCGTTTCATAGCAACAGAAGCGGAAGTTGATGACACCATTATTGTTGAAGCAGCTGGTCTCAATAAGGAGGCTGTGGTTGGATTTCGCCTTACCAGTCAGTCAAGGTGAAATCGCCTTATAATGAGCATTATAAATTGATTTCTGCTTTTTATGGTATTGTTGTGTGTCGTAAGATCCGTTTGTAGTCAAACTTTGAAATCTCTAAAACATTGTATTACATGAAGTTTTCGTACGTGGATGTCGATGGAAATTTATCAATCTTTCTGTGTCAAAATTCTTGAGAAGATTTTTTAAAGTTAGATTTTCTATAAACAAAATTGTCATCAACTGAACATTAGCGTTTTGGATTTCAATAGAAATTGGTCAATCTTCAGTTTAAAGTCTAGAACTTCGAGTTTTCATGGGATCAATTAAAATGGGATCTAACATGAAAGTGTTAAAAAGCTTTGAAAGTGTTGACAGCATCGTCATGCCTTGTCTCTTTTTAATGCTTTCTTTATGCTGTATGCCCATGAAATGGATCCATCGTGTTCATTATGTTTGCAATGAATACATGAAGGTATTCTGCGCATGCTCTTGTCTTGACGTCATAACTGCGCCGATGATGTCTTATGATCGATCAATGATACAGATGTATATATGATGTCATCTGCAACCTGTAGAAACTGAGCTGGATTGCTAATTCTAATGTCAGCGCTTAATTGTTTTGGTTTAAAGGCGAAAGCTACCAACTCAAATACAGAATATTTGTCGTAGGTTATGACAATTGAGTAGGTCTTAAAAACTATTGAAAACCAAAATAATTATTTAAGTTGAAGTACAAAATGCATTTCGGCCGACTTCTCGTCAGTACAACATCAGCTTAAAAGAAACGAAAGATTAGCTTCTATTTATAATGAAGAAAAGGGAAAATGACATCACGCACCAAAGGGGGAGATGACGTTTAGACAAGGACAAGTCGAGGACATAATTCTACAGAAATTCATCGTGTCATTGAATTTTATAGCCATCTCCTTTTTTGGTTTTCATCGAACCGAACTACTCAATCGTCATTCAATATGACAAATACTCTATTCAGAGGAATATTGTTTTGATATTTATCTCCTATATATGAACTTCTAATTCTCATCGTATTTATTCTTATTGTTCCAGGCATTCTGTTCCATTCAAAGCATCATTAACTCATGACTCGGACAAGGAATTTACTCTGTACTGTTCATCGGAAGTATTGCTACCTCAAGACAGCGAGGGAACTCTGTTCAAGATTGCCTATACACCAACGTTATATGGAAAGACACATAAAGCAAAGATAATCGTTCAGGTAGGTGTGAAATCTTGCGTTCATCGCAGGATGATCCATATTAATCAAAATACTTGATCTCCACGTACCTACGTGAGGATGGTACATAAGGAATCAATGTACTTAATCTCCTTATACTTATGTGATAGTGAGGATGGTACATAAGAAATCAATGTACTTGATCTCCTTATACTTACGTCATAGTGAGGATGGTACATACGAAAACAATGTAATTGATCTCCTTATACTTATGTGATAGTGAGGATGGTACATAAGAAATCAATGTACTTGATCTCCTTATACTTACGTCGTAGTGAGGATGGTACATACGAAAACAATGTAATTGATCTCCTTATACTTATGTCATAGGGAATATGGTACATAAGAAATCAATGTACTTGATCTCCTTATACTTATGTTATAGTGAGGATGGTACATAAGAAATCAATGTACTTGATCTCCTTATACTTATGTTATAGTGAGGATGGTACATAAGAAATCAATGTACTTGATCTCTTATACTTATGTCATAGTGAGGATGGTACATAAGAAATCAATGTACTTGATCTCCTTATACTTATGTCATAGTGAGGATGGTACATAAGAAATCAATGTACTTGATCTCCTTATACTTATGTCATAGTGAGGATGGTACATAAGAAATCAATGTACTTGATCTCCTTATACTTATGTCATAGTGAGGATGGTACATAAGAAATCAATGTACTTGATCTCCTTATACTTATGTCATAGTGAGGATGGTACATAAGAAATTAATGTACGTGATCTCCTTATACTTATGACATAGTGAGGATGGTACATAAGAAATCAATGTACTTGACCTCCTTATACTTATGTCATAGTAAGGATGGTACATAAGAAACAATGTACGTGATCTCCTTATACTTATGACATAGTGAGGATGGTACATAAGAAATCAATGTACTTGACCTCCTTATACTTATGTCATAGTAAGGATGGTACATAAGAAATCAATGTACTTGATCTTCTTATACTTATGTCATTGTAAGGATGGTACATAAGAAATCAATGTACTTGATCTCCTTATACTTATGTCATAGTGAGGATGGTACATAAGAAATCAATGTACTTGATCTCCTTATATTTATGTCATAGTGAGGATGGTACATAAGAAATCAATGTACTTGATCTCCTTATATTTATGTCATAGTAAGGATGGTACATAAGAAATCAATGTACTTGATCTCCTTATACTTATGTCATAGTGAGGATGGTACATAAGAAATCAATGTACTTGATCTTCTTATACTTATGTCATAGTGAGGATGGTACATAAGAAATCAATGTTCTTGATCTCCTTATACTTATGTCATAGTGAGGATGGTACATAAGAAATTAATGTACTTGATCTTCTTATACTTATGTCATAGTGAGGATGGTACATAAGAAATCAATGTACTTGATCTCCTTATACTTATGTCATAGTGAGGATGGTACATAAGAAATCAATGTACTTGATCTTCTTATACTTATGTCATAGTGAGGATGGTACATAAGAAATCAATGTACTTGATCTCCTTATACTTATGTCATAGTGAGGATGGTACATAAGAAATCAATGTACTTGATCTCCTTATACTTATGTCATAGTGAGGATGGTACATAAGAAATCAATGTACTTGATCTCCTTATACTTATGTCATAGTGAGGATGGTACATAAGAAATCAATGTACTTGATCTCCTTATACTTATGTCATAGTAAGGATGGTACATAAGAAATCAATGTACTTGATCTCCTTATACTTATGTCATTATGAGGATGGTACATAAGAAATCAATGTACTTGATCTTCTTATACTTATGTCATAGTGAGGATGGTACATAAGAAATCAATGTACTTGATCTTCTTATATTTATGTCATAGTGAGGATGGTACATAAGAAATCAATGTACTTGATCTTCTTATACTTATGTTATAGTGAGGATGGTACATAAGAAATCAATGTACTTGATCTTCTTATATTTATGTCATAGTGAGGATGGTACATAAGAAATCAATGTACTTGATCTTCTTATACTTATATCATAGTGAGGATGGTACATAAGAAATCTATATACTTGATCTATTTTTAACTATTTTCTTAGACTTCAGATATGCAATGGACATATAATGTCAATGGTGTCACCCCAGAGTATACTCCGCCTTCTGCTCGATCAATTGTCGTTGCTAGACAAACAACTAATGTCAAACAGCGTAAAAAGAACTACATTCGTGATAATCTCAAAGTTCACGCTACAGGTGTTTCTTCTCCCATCAAAGGAGCGCCTATAGTATCACGTATTCGGCAATCTGCCATTAAAGGAGCGCCTATTGTATCACGTAGTCAGCGGCAGAAGATGAAATCTTAATGTTATTATGAAATCGAGGAATGTTAATAGCTGTAATTTTAAACTGATTGTTGTTAATTTTTTGTTATGTTATTATGAGAAAACACTTTTATGTTTCAGAATGTGTTTTTTGAGTTTTTTAACTATTTGGCGATATGGAAAAATTATGCAACATTCGATGATAATTTATTAATTTCCGGAAGTGATTGTTTCGTCCAAAACATGTCATAAAATATTTAGTTTTTTGTAAAAAAATCCCACCATTAGATAGCCTACAATGTATGCTTTCTGCTACATTGCACGAACAGCTTGAGTCAGTTGAGTTTGAACGATGCAACAAGTTTCAAACGATCAAAGGCTTAACATCGCGATTTGAGCATTTTACAGTGAAAGGTTTCAAATTACGAGACCTACACTAAGACTAGTTGATTATTCCATGTAACTCCTACTTCAGTACTTCGTCAGTAAAAAGACAGAATTTACTTTTCTTTTTACAACGTTTAAGTGATTAATTTTCGGTTGTTCACATTTCTTTTATTGACGTCATGACTAAATTTTTTTATTGTGATTGGCTCCTTAGGAGCATATCACCTTTCACAAAGGCAATAAGTAATTCTTCAATGCGTTTAAATAAAAAAATTCATTACGATCTTCAGATTTTTTTGCGTTTTAATGTCGCTATACACATTTACGATGCATGATGTTGTAGGTTAGGATTCATGAGACCGATAATGAATTTAGAAAGTAGACTTTAATTTTGCCCAAATATTTATTGAATCTTGTATTCATATCTTGCTAACTTAAGGATAGGAGAAAGTTTAATGGGCGTTCTTGTTGACGTCATCAACATGTTAATGCCCAAATCATAATATTTGCATTACTTAATAGGCTGAATAAATTTAATTAATTAATGATTTGCGTAATATCACTGAAAAATGGTCAATCGTCATTTGCATTTTACGTATATTAATGAAGGGAGAGCATTGTTCTTTTGTTTGGCAACAAAACGTTTTGTTTTTAAAAATTAGATTTGATAGATATCCGGTGATTTGTTCAAGTACAAAGAATGAATGTTAAACAATCATGTGGAACAAAAAATATAATGACATGCTTAACACCATGTATAAAGATACTATTCACTTCGACTTTGCCACATGTAAACCACGAGGCGTCGTGGCTAGCAGATGCTGTTCATACAAGGTGGAACAAGACTATACATATAAGAAAACCGTTTTGAAATGTGTTACACACGTTCTTGCTTCGATATCATGTATGAAAATAGATCCCATAGTTGGTGAGTGACTACACTGACGATAAATGATTATTTGCTTTTTGATTTATCCCTATTGTTGTTGTGAAAATCTCAATGGTTTTTATCGATGCTACTGATTTTTGGTTTGTTTCATTACTCATTACTGAATATATACAATAAATATAAGTACACTAAATTTACCATCTGTCTCCAACGCACTATGTGGTTGAGTGCAAAGATGTGATGATTTTACAGGTTATGGTGTAGACTTGCCATGAACGTGAGCTGTAATTGTCTTTTGTACGAATTTTTACGACTCCCAACGATATTTGGTGAACAGAACGCCCTTAAACCTTCGCCTAACCTTCGCCTAGCAAGGTAAATTACTGCAAGATTCAATGAATGTTTGGACAAAAATTAAAGTGTAGTTACTAAATTCATTATCGTCTCATGAATCTTAAACTATAACTCGTGAATCGTTACTATGCATAAAGACATTAAAACGCCAAAAAACCCGAAGATTCTGATGAAATTTTTTTTATTTAAACGCATTGAAGAATTACTTATTGTTTTTGTGAAAGGTGATATGCTCCTAAGGAGCTAATCACAATAAAAAATTTTAGTCATGACGTCAATTAAAGAAATGTTGACAACCGAAAATTAGTCACTTTAACTTTGTAGAAAGGAAGGTAAAGTCTGTCTTTTTAATGACGAAGTAAAAATGAGTTTCATGAAATAATTGACTAGTGTTAGTGCAGGTCCCCGGTAATTTGAAAGCTTTCATTGTAAAATGATTTGATGTCGATGTTAAGCCTTTGATCGTTTAAAGCTTGTTGCATCGTTCAAACTCAACTGACTAAAGCTATTCGGACAATGTAGTTAAATGTTTTACCAATTTGGTAAAAAAAAACATATTGCAATTTGCTCATTCTCAATTTATCTGATCAAGAATTTATAAACGCAAACTAATGTCATATGCTGAGTTATTCATCATGAAATATTGTACATGTGTTTCATATTTTCTTATATTGTAGATCCCACAAGGATGGAGTCCCTTTACCACCTGTGTCATTCACTTCAATTACTCTAACTAGTTTGTCATTATTCATGTGTCATGGTGATTCATGGCCAAGAATGTTTATCTGTAGTTTGGATTCTTTGTTGATGTCAGTTGTTTGTTCATATAATGATGATGGGCCCCATTGTTATATGAGCCCACCTAAAGGTGGTCAGCTGATACTCACAGGAGATCAACTCTGCACTAAACATTCTTTGAGTGATGATATAACTGGGGTATTGAAGTGACCCTTTTCGTTCGCTTGAAGTTACCATAAGAGTGCATTGTAAATTGTAATCCATCGAAATGGCGATTCTTGTTGTCAGCAGATACTTTATTGGATGATGCTGGTTACTTTGTGTATGGAATGGTAAGAAGTATCGAACAGACATCACATAACGGCATATGTACGTACGAACATTGACATTGAAAGTGATTGGACTATATCCTACCAAGATGGAAAACAAGCGAGTGGAAAAACACGATCCATATCTTGTGGTTTGTAAGTTGAGTAGTCAGAGGACATAAGTGTTAAAATTAACCTGTATGAGTAACTGCATGAGATAGTTAAAAAAGGATCCTGATGGTCTATTTTTATAATTTGAGCCTTAACCACGAAAAAACCCAGATAAAAAAAGTCAATAAAAGATGGCCCTTGCTTTGAGAAAATAGCTGGCTTTCACTCGCCACTTTTACTAATTTTATTTAACGTTTATAAAAAAATTGCAATGCGTTTGTAAGATAAAAATTTTACAATAACTTTCTACGACATACACGTAAAAACTGCGCGGTGAAAAAAAAAGGAAGAGACCGACTAAGTCACCTTGATCAGACAGACCAGAACAATGTTTGGAAATCAGGTATTAAAGTTTTGTTCTTTCCAATATAAATAATTTCTGTTTTTGTTCATTCATTATGCTGACATTTATAACGTGTTTTTTATAGAGTAGCTATGTCTGTAGACCTACTAACTGGACAATGAATGAACGACCAAGTCGGACAGAAGCGCCAAGAAACAAGCGTCTTTATTGAAAGATTCACACTTGCGACTGTTGTTATGCTTAATGTTTTTCAGTTGCTATAACGCATTTTCAAATTCAACGTTAAAAATTTTCGTAAAAATAATTTTTCACAATTGCTAAATTTTCTGACAAGCAAAACACACGAGTGAAAGCCAGCTATTAATGGAAGGTCTAAATGAAGCAACCTATAAATTCTGAATCAAACGAAATTTAGTAGACATCAAAAATTGTTTTTATGCAGGTCACTATGTCACTTTGATCAATTCATTTTTCATTTTTATTGATAGGGAATAGTCAGGTCATATGTACCGAATAATTTTTTCACATGATTTATTCATTGCCTGCATGCCTAAACTATTCATGTTTTATTTTTTGTCTTTTAAAGTTTTTTAACACTCTACGGTCTTTCATTCTTTCGCTACCAAAGTTTGTGTTTCTTTTTATTTGCACACAAAATATTTGCTTTCTCAATAGGGTGGTCGCTTTATAAATTTAAATTTTTATACGACTGTGTAAGACGCACGAGCCTGACTACGATGCGTGTTAAAGTAGATCATCGGGATCATTGAAAATAACAAAAATATGAAAAATCTTAAAACTACAAAAATTTGAGGAAATTTTTCTAAATTTTTCATCATTTCTTTTATCGGAGGGTTTTTTTACCAGATCTACTGGTTTTCCCTCCCATTTCGTTTTATTTTGAAAAAAAGTGTCCACATTTGGGGCCAAGCGAAGTCATTTGTCATAACATTATGTTGCAGCTATCATGAATATTCACGTTCTTTTTCATTTCTTGGCTTTTGGGTATATCTCCCAAAACACTGCGTTTAATACATGGACATATATTTCAAAATAGGTACGCAATGCGTACATATTGGTAGCCTGCATATATCTAGCTCCTGAATGAAGTAGAGTTAATGAACCTAGTTTAAAATAAATTATATATCTAATATTTACTTCAAACTTGTTCAAGATTTTAAAATGCACCTCAGTTATACCAAGCTCTAACGGTAATACGGAGTCTTCTGAGTCAAATAAAGATGACTACCGCTAAGGTTGTCGAAACGTCAGTCAACAACAACAAAAACAGTCCTTCTCAGGACTATACCAACCTGGACGATCTAGATTTACAAACATGTAACGATACTCCCGGGTTCAAACCATTTACTTTAAAGTAACATCGTATTGTTTCTTCGATCTTGAGAATATAAGTTCGGAGTGTTAAACTGCAAGCAATTGTGATGTAAACTGTATACTTATTGTTTCGTCATTGTTAAAGTCATCAGAATATTGACTGGCGACTAGTGTATTTCGATTTGTAGTCGTATGCTTTTATTTGTGCTCGTGTGCTTCCATTTGTGTTCGTTTACATGTATTTGTGTTCGTGTATTGTGGGCCACCGTACAGTTTGCATGAAGTTGTGCAAACCGATCTGGGCTAAATCAATTAAATCAAGCAAAAAAAATTAAATTCGCAAATTAATCATATTAGTGTAAAAATCAAAACATTAGTTTTGAATTTATCTGTTTCGCATTAACGTTATTTCATAAAAGAAATAAAAGATGTTTTTCGTGTTTGCACGACAGGCTTGTGCAAACGTCGGAGACTTTTGGGAGAACTCGAGAGCAGATTAGTGCAAACTTCAACCTTCGATCTCGGGCTTGCACTGATCTGCTCTCGAGTTCTCTCAAAGGTCTCCTCGGCTTGCAAAAGCTATGTAAATTTTTGTGCCTTTAAATTATGGTGTCATAAAATTCGAAATGTCTCAATTGAAAAGTAGATTAAACAATTTGGATAAATTTTTGTAGGAATTATTTTTCTTAAGCATCATAGACTCAAGGGTTTTCAATGAAGCTTGAAGCAACATATCAGATTGTGCCTATGAAATGAAAATTTTGCTAGTTAATGTTTGCAACGACCAGAACTTTTGAAATGACAATGTAGTTTCTGAAACAGTTGAGGCATAAATCTTTTCATTCTCGTGATTTTGACGTTTTTCCAACTTGTGATGTCATATTGCACATTGAGTTCCCTAAATGTTTCAAAAAATTCAGTTTTTTGACAACTTTAGGTTGACACTAGTAGGCAGCATTTTGTACAATTAACCATTTCACAATAAAGGGAACTCTGTCCTTGTGAAGTAAATTATCGATAAATATAACTAATAATACTAATTCATTATGCAATGTTACGTCACAAGTTAGTTACGTCGGACAAAACAAAAACCTCAATACCTCAAGAATTAAAAGTGATATGCCTAAGCTGGTTTAGAATGTCCACAGTCATTTTAAAATATCTCTTCAATAATAATATAACTCAGATAGAAAAATTTTCGTTTCATAGGCATTTTAAGCGAGTTACGACGTAGCTAACAATATTTTCATATTGACAAACATTCAACAACGTATGTCAAAGTGCGAACGGTGTGCACGTGGCATCTAAATACTAAACTATTTTCGTGCGATGGTCACCAGTTCTGTGAGATTGTTACATAACGCTTGACCAAGCAAGACCTCAAAGAGCTTCTGTCTAATTGTTCATGACTCTCCCGCATGTTTACATACATCAACTATCAAAAACACGGAAATCATAAAATAGCCGTACAATACAACTGCAGGGAGCCCTTTCTTTTTGCTAAACTAGCTGCTCTTTGTATGGTATGATGATTAAATTTCCTTGTGCGTAAACTCGCATTTTTAAAAAAAGGTTTTGAAAAAGACTAAAGAGATAGTTTCTATAGCATAAATGTTTTTTTTCGCTGCCCGTGAGTCCATGACCCATGTCCACGGGTATTAACTGAGTTCGTGCAATATTTCAGAAATACAAATTCCTAAATGACTTTCAGGCAAGTTAAGAAAAAGCCGATTGTCGAAAAGTCTAAGTATTTCAAATCTTAGATATTTAATTTAGAGTTATGTCGCTTGCTGATGTAATATTTGCTAAAGTCTTATGATAGTTAAGTGTCACCAGGTCAAGTAATTCTTAAGTCACATGAAGTAAGTCCGTGATCAGTCGTGTCTCGTCTCGTGTGTGCTGTGTTTGAATACAGTCATAATAACACACGTAACTCGAATTGTAATCTACAAGGGAACACACCGTCTTCTACACAGGAATTCTATTGCGCTAAGTATGTCGCCTGGTTCTCGCGCTGAGAACCCATTCGAACTTCGTTACAATCGTGAAATATTCATTGTTGTATCAATTTTCTCGTTAACTGGTTCCGTTGCCATTATTGTTACCTATTTCCTTTGGCGTGATCTGCAGATTACAAGCAGAAAATTTCTTGTGTACATATCCTTTGGCGATTTCTGGTTTGTTTTCCCGTCATTGGTAATATTGTTAAGGAGGGAATATAAAAACCATGATCTTTCTTGTAAGCTTCAAAGTTTTATTTCAACCACTGCAATTATGTGGTCATTTTTTTGGACCACATCCTTGGCGATATTCTTGTATTTTGCCTTGGTGAAAAAGCGACACGACATTGCTGAAAAATTAATGGTGCCATTTCATGTGTTGAATTGGTCAATGCCACTGGTCTTTACTGTTATGGCTTTTTTTTATGGTCAACTTGGTTATTCACATGGTAAAGGAACTGGCGGTTGGTGTTGGATTAAAGTGACACAAAATAACCCTACTAAAAGCAAAACTGTTTTATGGATGCTTGTCACTGGTAAACTTTGGGAGATATTATCTTATGTGATCAACAGTGTTTTGTACTTTTGCATCACTCAGGCAATCAAAAAAGATGTAAGTTAACAATTATGAACATTTTGGGATATTGAGTATGTTTTGCTTTCTCTTTATTAGAATTGTTTTCTATTGCAACATGAACCTTACTCCTAGTGGATTGTTTGCAAGGGAAGTCAGGAACTTGTGGTTTTTGTTTAAGTTGTGCTTCCTCAGTAATTTTCTATTTTTTATATTTATTTGATTTGAATATCCTTGAAAAGGTTGATAATAATCTCAATTGAATGATCAATTCCTATTGCACTACATGTAGAATGCTACCATATTTTATGGGCACTGCCATCATGACATGAAATGAGAAATAGGAGTAAGAAGTTAACCTGCCTCCTCACAAAGGATCATTGAAAATGCATTTACCGCATTCTTTCTTTTGTGATTTCAGATTGTTTTCTTATTTGCCCTTCTTTTTTTCTATTTCCACCTTTTTTGACTTCTAATGAAGTAATCTTGTACAAGTCCAACATGATATGGCATAAAATCATAGTGGAATTATAAGATAAGTGTGTTCTGTCATTTGTAGTCACCCAGAGAGATCTGTGGGACTACCAGCAATATTATGATAATTTAGACAACTTTAGACAGTGTCAACTCAATTTATCTCTCACACAAATTTTTGCTTTAGTTTGCCAATTTTATACTGGGTGGGAGTGGGGTGGGGAGGCTCTGTAATCGCAATTGATTTCAATAGAAATCTGGGCTACCATAGTTCTCGGTGATTACTTGTCATTTTAAAGACCCTTTCCTACATTTTTGTTCAAAGCTCTCAACTGCATCCAAAACAAAAACTCTCGTTCTTGGTATTGTAAACAACTTAGAACTTTAACAGAACTGAAATTTTTTAAAGCGATCTGCTTGAGAATTTCAATTATGATTGCGTACTAAAAGTCACAAAATACACCAGGAACCTGGGCAAATAAAGGAATAATTAGGGTTGGCAAGGTTGAAAAGACCTGTAGTACTTCTGTAAATTAGTATGAAAGAATTTGTCAAGATAACGCTGAAACCCACACCTCCTTAGCTGCTCTCATTGTTAACATTTGCTAGTCTCCCCAATTAAAAAATAAGTTGAGTGGTGCCTGCATGTACTATGTAATTCAATAAAATTTTCCTCGCAAACACAAATGTTATTTTGGAGATTAAGAAAAAGCTTTCTTAATTCTTGTAAATAATAATGCCCTTTTTTCTTAATCAGGTTGAAGAGAGAAGTCATTTGATGTCAACAAAATCTCTACAAGTTGCGGAGAAAGGCAGAGGAAAACTTGCATTCGTTCCAGTGATTTTTGTCATTCTTAGAATTTGGGGTACGCTAAGATTTCTACTCTACGCATGTTCTTTAAAACCTCCCTCATCACTTGAGCATATTTTCGTTACGCTACAGGTATGTATTGCCTAATGAGATTTTTTCTTGTCTTTCATTATACATATTTATTGATTGATTGAGTGTTGTATTTATGTTACCTAGGTATAAATATATAATATAGATACAATCAATCGATATAAAGTTTACGGTGCACGGTCTGTTACGACGGAATGGGGAAAGCTATCGTTTGTTTAAACTATTTTTAAGTATTTTAGTACGTAAGACGTTCCTTAGACTCGAAGCGCTTAACTGAAAGTTTTGCATTTAAAATTTTAGCATAACGGCATTCTGTGGGCTTTTAAACTTTTAACTTTCACTCAGTGTTCATTATTCTCCTCCTGTTTTCATTGTTGTTAGGTTATTGGTGATAATGCACAAGGTATCACGAATTTCGTTCTGTTTTGCCTTTTGACGGACAAGTTTAAGCACGAATGTCTGCGAGTTTTAGGTATTCATCGTCGTGAAAATAACTCAAAAACATTTGGAAAATTTACTAAATATGATGGGCGAAAATTACTTGTTGAAAATTAACGAACATATTCTGCGATAAGCTGATATGCCTTCTGGCTGTCATATGGCTCAGCCGACATCAATATAAAGGCAAATGTCGTTTTCTGCCTTCGCAACTGCCTTCCTTCTTCATTCAACATGGAAAATGTAACCGTAGCTACAAGATAACTAAAAAACAATATTTAAGCTCTTAAACAATATTTAATCTAATCGAGGTCGTCTAAAGAGCTACTCTTCGTTGTTTACATCAATTCATGCACACTTTGAGGTCAAAACTAGGAAGATGTTTTTCACAGTACCACGACCTTTCAACTTCACATGCAAATGCACATGTATCTATAGTTGACGATTCATAATTTTTTTCACGAACTGCCATGCAAACGTTTGTAGTTTGGCTACCTTACTTATAACGAATAAATATCATAGTTAGATCTATAGTAAAGCCTCGTATTAGCTTTATCGATAAAATTTCACGATGTGTTTTTCAAATAAATTGTATTTGACAAAGAAGCAATGTCATCCAAAAATGAATTCTATAATTCATGCCTCGAAACCTTGTTTTGTGGTTATTATATCACATACGCAAAGCTTTATTACAAAAAAAAGTTAAACAACAGTTGTGCCAACGTAGAAGTCTAATCTCGTGTGTTTAATTTTGGTTTGCCAAATTGCCACTTTCTCATCAAATTCCATACATGGCGTTTTCCCGCCGAGACTTTTGTTGCATCTGTTTGGCTTGGCTCCGAGAATCTCGGGTTTTGATTGGCTAACAGGTATATATAAATTTATGCATTAAAAATTGTAAAATCAGCGTACGACTTTATCCGAAGATATATATTTTCGCGCGAAGCGCCGGATATTGGAAATCGCCATACTTGTTGTCATTGTATAAAAGTTGAAAATTACTTCAAGGGTGATTTCTTCTCATAAAATAAAGCATGGATATTAATCATGTTACACAGGACATTGACACGCGATGTTTTGGCGTGACCCGGCCATTTTCTCACGTTGGTGTTGAACATGACTTGCAACAATTTTGAATGCAAGTCACAAGACGAAGGCTGTGATGAAAGATTCCAAACCTTGTGTCTTATGAACACAAATATCCGCTGCTGGTAAACTATTGTTTTCGATGAAACTCTGGCAGTCTAACTTAAATATCGTAGCGAGGGATAGCCTATAATGACAAGCTGGCAATGACAAGATATTCCAGCAACTGTAGCGGGGTGATTGAACTCTTTACAAAAACTACGGAAATACAAATTCTTCAGACTGTAGTTGGAATCATTTCTATACTTGGTTCGCTTATTATTATTGTCACATACTTCATATTTTTGGATATGAAATCAACGGCAAGGAAGATACTGGTATTTATCTCGTTCAGTGACATTTTTACTGTTTTTCCCTATGTTATTAACGCCTGGTATCACTCTCATTCGAGAAACATTTCAAATTGTAAATGGCAAAGTTTTTTCACTACAACTGCTGTTATGTGGTCGTTCTTTTGGACATCGTCACTGGCCATTTATGTTTTTGTTGTAATCACAAGGAAAAATTACGATTTGGGCGAAAAGTTGATGCTCTATTTTCACTTTTTTAACTGGTTGGTACCTATTGGTATTGTAACTGTGTCGTTTGCTATTAGAAAGCTGGGTTGCTCAGAAGCATTAGTATCAGGTGGTTGGTGCTGGATATCTATGGATATTGGCAGGGAAAATGCAATAAAGTGGATGTTTATCACTGGAAAGGGTTTTGAGATACCTTCTTACTTCATTATTCTCACTTTCTGCTTTCTTGCAGCAAGAAAATTAAAGACAGAGGTAGGTAACCGTCAGCCTTAGAAAATATTACACTTAAATATTATAATTTGTTGTCAACATTGATGTTCACTGGTTAATATATATGTAGAGGCTATGGAGGCTTTTTGAAGTTGAGACTGCTTAATTATCACAGGTCCGGCAGTTTCTTTAGTTTGCTATTTATGTTTTTAATTGTTTCTACATTTTGCTCTTATCACATGGTGAGATACAACATATATCCCTTGGCGTACTCTTATCAGTTTATGATTAATGTAATTAACTTCTGATTCCAGACGTTTAAAATCAAAAACAGATGTACCGAAACATTCTTAATTGTGAATGCCTGTGCTCCCCTCATTCCGTAAAAATCACACCCCCATCTCGTAATTGTTTACAGATAGACAGACACCAATCGAGATTTCATCAGTTTCACCAGTATGTAGGTCGTGTGCGGGAATGGGTCAAGGCATGCGTATGCAATGCAAGGAAATTTTGAAAATGCGTTAAAACAAAGACGATTTCTTTGCTTAAAATGACTTGCAACGCATTTCAGCAATATAAATGTCAATTTATATCAACTCTGGTGATTTTTCTAAACTTTATAGCCGGTAGTCTTGCTGTAATTTTGCGTTTTAGTGTTTTTCAATTGGTTGTTCACAAAGAAAAGCAGTTTTCTTAACTCACGCTTAAACTTTTGTGGCAGCCAGTAAATTTCATTTTCTGACCAATAAGAGCGCTTAACTGGCTAACAGCAGCCATAAGTCTAATAACTAGTAGTTACTAAGGAAGTGCTGCCTCGGCCCCTTAACTGCGAAAATTGCCACATATATATAGGAGCAGGTACGCGTTGTGAAATTTATGGCCGTAAAATGAAGTAGATTGATGAAACTAGTTCAATTAGTATAATATTATTCATATTATTGACTCTAAACTTGTTTCAGATACTTTTTGCCATGGATACTATATGTCATTTTCATTGAAAATACTTTTTTGCAAAAAATACTATATCGTCATCAACTTTTATTTTAAAACAATTTTTTGCTGTGTACATGTTGTTCATAGAACTGATGAATCAACCCGCTACACTTAAAAAAATTTATACATACACGATTCGTTAAACTATATTTCTGACGATTCTGAAAATTACGTATGCAAGACAAGCTCGTACAATTACTAGTAATGGAACCGATGCAAAAAAAGAAAGAATTTAAATCGCCATAAATCCCTGAATTTAGTTATGAATTTAGCTACATTTTAAAGATTTCATGCATTGAAAAAGTCAAAAAATTCTTCCGCAAGACATTTACCAAAACAACTACCAAACTTTACTTCCAAACGAAGCAAAATTACGCGAAATTTTGTGTAATGTATAACATGAATTATTTTATGATTGTAAATAAGAGATCTCTTAAAACGGTCAGGAATTATTTATTTTCAATAATGTCAGCATGCTTACTTCTTGAACTATTGCTGTTTTTGTGATGTGTAAATTGGAGAGTTTCAGCAAGATCTTTCTTAAGACCGTAAAATGTTTGTGGCATTAGGCTCTTCGTAAATGTGCATATTAAACCTTTTCAATCGGTTTTGTGTTCGGGACACATAGGTTCTGCTTGCTTTATCGGCGCATGTACATAACATTAGTCACTTTCGTGGCTTTGCTTTGCATTAGATTAAAATTAAAGACCAGCATATTTTTTAAATGAGTTGCAAATGGTTTATGACACATACATATCTCCTAGCGGGACACAAAGGGTCAAATACCCTTGCAAAGGAATGTTTATATTGTTACAAAATCAAACCATACACACAAAATTTTCAAGAAAGGGAAAGGTTTTTTTCAAAGCAAGCAACAAAACATATACATTTATTAAGACCTTACTATCTTCTTCATTGCCAGGAAATGTAACACCTCTTTATTTAATGAAATTGTGTGAAATCGTGTAGAAAATAAGTGGAAATTTTTGTGTTAATTGTTTAGTTGAGAAGGAAACGTTTTACATTTTCACAAGAATCAACAAGAGTGATTTTGCAAGGAAGAAAGAAGTTGATTGCTGGTCCTGTAATGTTTGTATTTCTTCGTGGATGGGGTACAGTGAGATTTTTCATTTATGTTATCTATCCTTACTCTGATTGCAATTTGTTTGCTAAAGTCCTGGCCGTACTTCATGTAAGTATGTGTTTAAATGACCACGTGAAAATTATTTACCTCTTAAATATAGTCGAAATTCAAAGTTTGATTGGAAATTATTGTAAACAAGAAATATTAGAAAGTGTTTCTCTGTGAGAGAAACTTTCTGACAAAAACTTTGTGACTAAAACTTTGTGACAGACACTTGACAGACACTTTGTGACAGAAACTTTGTGAAAGAACCTTTGCGACAGAAACTTTGTGAAAGACGCTTTGTGACAGAAACTTTGTGACAGAAACTTTGTGATAGAAACTTTTTGACATAAACTTTGTGACAAAAATATTGTTACAAAAACTTTGCGACAGAAACTTTGTGACAGAGACTTTGTGACAGAAACTTTCTCTTAAAGACTTTGTTACACAAACTTGGGATAGCGATTTTGTGTCAGAGATTTCGTTGCAGAGATTTTGTTTCAGGTAGAGTTGTGAAACAATGTCCCTGCAGGTCAGGTTTTGGACAGAAACATATCGAAGATATTACGTATTACAGGCTTTAAAATATCTGATCTTTTCATATATTTTGTAGATAATTGGAGATTCATCTCAAGGATTTGTTTTCTTCATTCTGTATTGTTTGTGCACGACCAAATTTCTCGAGAATTGTCGATTGTTGCTTAGCGTTTGTTGTAAAGGAAACAGCAATAGAAATATTCGTGAGATACTGTTGAAAAAAGGTATGCGAAGAGCGGCTGAAAATGAATATCGGAAATATCTTCTTCCCAATGACGACACTAAGGACTACAACACCCAGGGTCTGAATGAAAAGTATACGACTATAAAATAGATATATGGGATCATCAAAGATTTGGGATATTTATTGCAAATCCAATCATAGAACCAAAATTACGAATGTCATAATCGAAGGCTTTCTTTGCAAGCCTTGAAAAGTAAAGTATTCATGTGTCTATAGTATTGTTGATGATACTTAATCATAGCTTTTTTCTCTAACTGCCATGCAAACGTTTGTAGTTTGGCTACCTTCCTTATAACGGAATAATATCATAGATCTATGGTAAGTTAGACCAGGCATTAAAATAAGTGTGTTTTTTAAACACTTTGTGTCCTTGTAAATGAAAAATGTGTCCTCTAGAAAAAGAATTAGAATATGATCCATTCTTTTTTCTTATTGCTCTACCCCAAAGAGGTTTTCGTACCAACTACCAACAATGATCTTATTAGTAAAATGCACTGAGCGATATGCTTCGTCATTTGACTCCAGTGCAGTTCAGAGCATCAACAACACTTTTTAATAGTAAGCAGCGTGAGCGATTATCAATATTCAACAATGAATTAATTTCGAAAAGACAGGACAAAGACAGTCAAAATTTATAGATTTAAACACAGATTATTTCAGCTTCAGGTACAGCCCTTTATTTCATTTAACATTAAATGCAATTCGATTAGTTTGGATTGTTTCTGTTAACGGTAGGTATTTTTGGGTTGAAAGTTGCCTAGCTTGTCGAAACGTTAGACCTGTAAGACCATACATACGTGTAACTCACGCGAGATAGCGCGCGAGACAAACAATGCATATAAATCAGGGAATATATTTACTACATTAATAATATACATGAAAAATTTCTCAATTCTGATTGGTTTAGAGGAGTACAATACCAGTGCAAAAATAGGAAACACAATGCAAAAGAAGGAAATACAGTGCAATTTATTTTTGAAAATTGCGCTCCTGATTGGTTAGTCAAACAAAGAAGTGATCTAAAAGCCAATCAAAATAAAACATTTCAAAAGCGGGAAGTTAAATTATTGTAAACAAAGCAATTATAATGGCTGGCGTAAGTTTTAAGATTTTCTTTAGCGAAGGAGTTTACAGTTCACCGTTTGCAAAGTGTTTCTGGATGAAAAAAACAACACTTCTAAAAGTAGATACCTTGTTATAGCTCCTTGTGCGCAAGCTATGGTGTTGTGAAAAGTAATAATCAAACGGAATTGAAAAATACGAGCCGGAATATCGATGGTTGAACTCGCCGGCTGATATGTTCGTATGCTGAAGTTAAAAATCAACCGAATTGAGAAATTTTTTTGTGTATATTATTAAGCCCTTAATAACCGAGCGCGAGGTCTTTACGGAGAAATAACGAACTGAGGTCTATTTGTACAGACCGAGCCCGTAGGGCGAGGTTTGAACAAAAACAGAGGTCTGATATTTCTTAGTAAAGATCGAGAAAGCGAGGTTATCAAAAGGATTATTATATGGCATTATTTGACCTGAAACGAAGCTTGCTTTCTTTCTCGTCCTTGCTGTTTTGTACGGGTTAGCTTTTACTTATCTAGTTGGCTTTTACTTTTTGTGAGTTTTTCAAAAACTTCAAGTCCTTCGGACTCGTGTATGTTTGATAGTCTTTGAAAAACTCTCTCGTGCATGTTTTCCACAAATTGCACTCGAAACCATGCTATTGCCTATTACCTATACAAATCGATTGCATAAAAAAGCATAAACAGATTTCTGGGCCGCCTATGGTTTCACACACAAAGCTTTATTACAAAAAAATTGAAAAACGACTTTGCAAACATAGAAGTATACCATTTGCTGTCGTGTGTTTTGGTTTGCCAAATTGCTATCAAGTCCATACATGGTATTTTCCCGCCGAAGATTTTTGTTGTATCTGATACGCTTGGCTCCGAGAATCTCGGGTTTTGATTGGCTAACAGGTATATATAAATTTATGCATTAAGAATTGTAAAATTAGCCTTCGATTTTATCCGAGGATTTATAAATTCGCGACGCGCCGGATACTGGAAAACGCCATACTTTTTTCTCATGTACAGAAGTTGAAAATTACTTCAGTGGTGGTTTCTTCTCATAAAATGGATATTAATCCGGATATTGGCACGCGATGTTTTGGCGTGACCCAGCCATTTTCTCTCGTTGGTGTTGAACATGACTTGCGCAATTTTGAATGCAAGTCACAAGACGAAAGCTGTGATGAAAGATTCCAAACCTTGTGTCTTATGAACTCAAACATGCGCTGCTGATGAACTATTGTTTTCAATGAAACTCTGGCAGTCTAACTTAAATATCGTAGCGAGGGATAGCCTATAAGGACAAGCTGGCAATTATGACAAGATATTCCAGCAACTGTAGCTCATGGATATGGATTGAACTCTTTACATTAAGGGGAGAAATACGAATTCTTCAGACTGTAGTTGGAATCCTTTCTATACTTGGTTCGCTTATTATTATTGTCACATACTTCATATTTTTGGATATGAAATCAACGGCAAGGAAGATACTGGTATTTATCTCGTTCGGTGACATTTTTACTGTTTTTCCCTATATTCTTGTCTCCTGGTTTCCTCACGACACTAACCTACACTTGGAAAATTGTAAATGGCAAAGTTTTTTCACAACAACTGCTGTTATGTGGTCGTTCTTTTGGACATCGTCACTGGCTATTTACGTTTTTGTTGTAATCACGAGAAAAAATTACGATTTGGGCGAAAAGTTGATGCCATCTTTTCACTTTTTTAACTGGTTGGTACCTATTGGTGTTGTAACTCTGGCCTATATAAAGGAAAAGCTGGGTGGTGTAGAATCTATAGTAACAGGTGGTTGGTGCTGGATATCTACCGACATTAGAAAGGAAGAGGCAATCAAGTGGATGTTTATCACTGGAAAGGGTTTTGAGATGTCTTCTTACTTCATAATTCTCACTTTCTGCTTTCTTACAGCAAGAAAATTAAAGACAGAGGTAGGTAATTGTTAGCTTTAGAAAATATTACACTTAAATATTGTAATTTGTTGTCAGCATTCATATTAACTGGCAAATACGTTTACAGAGGCTATAGATGCTTTTTGAAGTGGAGATTGCTCAAACATTCAATAATTAAAGGAAAGGGGACTAAACAGCCAGCTACTTTGTTAGACCAAAAACCATGACCAGCAGAAAATTTAAAGAAATATAGTATAAAGCAAATTCTGAAGAAGCAAGACATCTTGAGATTGCAAAATATGCATCAAAACAAGACAAGAAGTGAACTGTAAATTTTTGACTTTATTTGAAAGTAATCCTCAGACAGAATGTCAGACAGAAAATTTACAGTTCACTTCTCATCTTGTTTTGATGCATATTTTGCAATCTCAAGATGTCTTGCTTCTTCAGAATTTGCTTTATACTATACTTATTTAGATGTCTGTCAGTTTCTTTAGTTTGTTATTTATGTTTCAAAATATTTTTACATTTTCATCATATCCCATCCCAGGGTCAGATACAGCACAACATGTGGCTAAATATCATCAGTTAATGTAGAATTTCCTTTCAGAAACTTAGAAGGAATTTTCACGCTGCAATTTATTGACAATTAACTGAAATGGTGTTTAACTATTGCTGTTTAACCCTGCATCAATTTATTGTTGATATCTATGTACACTAGACAATTGCCGCAAATTTCCAACCTTGTTGAATTATTTTTTGAATTCTCTGATGGTGTTAAGAACTAGGAGAGCCCCTTCAAATTGAAATGTCAGTAATGAACTTGCAACAGGTCTCTTTACTACAAAATTTGTTGTGACTGTTGGAAAACACCTCTTGTCTTTCCAGTTGCTGGTTTGATACGTAACACTCAGGATATATTTTTCAATGCATTTATTGAACACACATTCGACAAAACCTAACTACATTAAATTATTTACATGTATTTATAATAAAGGTTACACGAACTTAAAACATAACATTTCAAATGCAATACAAACTTCTACACTTACTAATAGTGGAACTTAAACAAATAAACAAAGAATTTAAACAGACATAAAACACCAAAATTTAGTCATGATTTTAACTACATTTCAATAATTTCATTTAGAGTAATTTATTACAAACCAACAACCAAACTTTAATTTTAAACAAAGCAAAATCATGTGAATTAAAGGGGTATGACATGAAATATTTGATTATTGTAAATAAGAAATCCTCTTCCGAAATGGTCAGGGATTTTTTTCAATAACATTAGCACCACTGAAAATTTAAGGACAGACATTTTTATTTACAAATTCAATGTATTATTCTTGCATACTTTAATTAAATTTAATAATTATGTAAGTGATCCATAGTTCAATAATGTGATTTAAGAAATAAAAGATGTTTACTGTGTTTGCACAGGCTTATGCAAACAGAGGAGACCTTTGGGAGAACTCAAGAGCAGATCAGTGCAAGCCCAAGACCAAAGGTCAAGGTTTGCACTTACTCAAGACTTTTCACAAACGTCCCCAAGGTTTGCATAAGCCAGTGCAAACATGAAAAACATCTTTTATTTCTTTTATAAAATAACAATAATGCGAAACAGACAAACATTCATGATCAATTTGCAAATTCTCTTTGACTGATTGATTGTTTTGTTTGATTTGATTGGTTGAGCTCAGATATGTTTTTCACTGGCTAATGTAAACATAGCTCTAGACCAATCAGCGCACGCGTTTCATTGTGTTTATTTTATAACACAATGTAAGAAACATACAGTGTGTGGGGCCACTCTTTGTCACACATAACTTATTAGACATGTGTTTACCATAGTGGTAGCCAGACAATTGTTTTTTCTGACCACCAGGAATATACAAGCTGGTTTGTGATGAAACGTGATTTTAAAAAAATATAAACGGGAAATGACTGATCAAATTTTCTCAAATTTACATTTGACTAAAGCTTCAATAGTTCAAGAAATAAGCCTAAAAGCATAGCATTTATTATTGTTTCTCTTTTTTAAGACGGTATTGTTGATTTTTTTAAGATCTTTTTTTAAGACGGTAAAAAATTTTGTTGCGTTTTTAACCATTTCAATTGATTTTGTGTTTTGGAGACATAAGTTCCAATGGCGTTTAAATACTTTATTAAGACCATACTCCCTCCCAGTTGCATCTGTGGTGGTTGACAAAGTCACATTTCTATCTGCCTGCGTGCCGTACTGCTTGCGGGAGATCTGCTTACTTCATGTAAACAGGGGTGGCGCCAAAGTGGGTAGGGGGGCTATAGCCCCCTGTCGGGAAATCCTAGCCCCCTCCCCCACGTCGGGAAAATTTGACGATTTGTCGGGGAATGAATAACGAAAAATGTAATTTCCAATGTCGATTATTGCCGTTTGTTTAAAGTAAGGTGAGCCCTCAGCATCAGCAATAATCTTCATACACGCCAGCTATCCCACATCAAATTTATAAAAATAATAGAGTTACTCTGAAACACTTATATTTGAATGTTTATTAGAGAACAGATATGCAAATGCGACATGAGATTAATTTGTATATGCGATCGCCACGACACTTGCCCGCTATTATTTTTCTGTCATGTTATTTGCAACTCGACTTTCGAACTTTGAAAGGAAATTTTTTGTAAAAACTAAAAAACTCTGCTGTTTCTGTTTCAAATCAGCAATGAGCATCAGATTCTGACAGTTTTACATGTATTGCGGCTATTGATTTTGATAAATCACCATCAAGCGTCTGGACAGCTAATGATGTTAGGAATTCATTGTGATCGAGGAAGCAAACTTGATTTGGTTACCGTAGTGAACAAGTTCAACGTTAAGTTTCCCAACTGTAGAATTGTTATCTGAACATCAAACAATCAAATCAAATGATTCACCGTTATATCTTACTCGTGCATTATTATATCTTATTCGTTATTTACACACAAGTTATACACTTGTGTGTATAACATCAAACAATCAAATCAAATGATTCACCGTTATATCTTACTCGTGCATTATTATATCTTATTCGTTATTTACACACAAGTTATACACTTGTGTGTATTGCCTCTTATGTTTAAAAATTATTTCCTAGCACACCACTGATTCATTATTTACATGCAGTCAAAAAGAACTGCTCACCAGCAAAAAAGTTTAACAGCGTAACATCGAGAAAAAGTGCCAAAACATGAGATTTAAGTTAAACAAGAAAAAAATAATAGTGTATCTAATAACTAATGGATCGTCGTCTTACTTTGATTGCAGCTTTGTGTAGGTTTAAGAAGATGTTCAATATGTTTATAAAGCTTTGACGGAGATAATTATTATTTCATTATTACTATCCAAAATTACTAGTAAACCCAGGGCTTTTTTTCCTTAATGTATACCTTTGTTATAGCCACTCATATGTATATCCCTGGATTGCATGCACGACTCGCAGGGCTGTTAGTACAACGATGATTAGTGGAGATATTCATAAATTTAGTTGTGTCAGACTGACTTCTTTTAAAATTAACTTTCTTTTCGAAAAAGTCAATTGGGCGCAACCAAATATATGAAAAAACAACCCATCCCCCAATATAGCGTTCTAGTTGCGGCTCTCGCAACTAGTCGAATACATAGTGTACAATTTTTCATGTAGATGTAAATTATTATTTCCAAAACAAACTATATGTTTCAACAATTTAGAAACATATAGTCGGGGACCCTAGCCCCTTCGTCGGGGAATTCCTGGCACCACCCCTGCATGTAAATAACACTTGTCTCTTTTGTGGTGTTGCTTTGCATTACATTAAAAATTACATTAAAATTAAAGACCAGCGTATTGAGACACATATGTCTTGACTGCACATAAAAGGTTAGGTACTCTCCGGGACGGCGCCACGAATTTGAACCTGAGGGGCCATAGTGTATTTAATGAAGGATTCATGCTGAACTTCAATGTCTTTGAATGTGCTTGGATTTAAATTGAAAAATTAAAGGCTTTATAAGCACCTGAATTTATAAACATGTGCTTGAAAGTGCTTCGATTCAAATTTTTTGGTCAAATTTTTGTAAACATGTCATCGCACTTCTCGAAGGGTCAATGTCTGAACTTTGAAGAAACTACCAACTTGGCGGTTTTCAAATCATACGAAAACACAATATCGGTTCAATAGAATTATGTGTTATTTGTTTAGGTGAAGAAGAGTCGTTTTATATTCTCGCAAGAATCAAAAAGTGTGCTTTTGAACGGAAGGAAGAAGTTGATTGCTGGTCCTGTATTATTTGTATTTTTTCGTGTGTGGGGTACTGTCCGATTTTTCAAATATGCTGTCTATTCCAATCCTGACTTTTGTTGCAATTTACTTAATAAAGTCCTTATCGTACTTCATGTAAGTGTTTGTGTAGACTTCATAAGAATTGTTTAGTTCTTAAATAAAGTAAAATGCAAAGTTTGGTTGAAAAATATCGTAAACAAGACGTTTTTGAAAGTGTGGCTAGAGGGCAGTTTAGCGGACACCAGTAGCCAATTTGCGGTGACCATGAAGACCGTGGGCACATATAGCAGTAAATGGCGGGAAAATGGCAATCAACAACAACACTTACGGCAAAACACCGTTTTACTCTTTAACAAGTGTAAAAAAGAACAGCAGCGTTCGAAATTTGAAAGTTAATCTATGCTATTGACATATTGTTGAACTCGCATAACTTTTTTGATTCTTTGAGCAGAAGGTGTTTGCTAAACTGCACTTCAACAGACACTTTGCGACCGAGAGTTTGGGAGAAGCTTTGTGACAGTAACTTTGGGACAGTAAGGGCCTGTTCATATGAGCCGGGGTGGCCCGCTTTACCGAGCTAGCCCGGCAGTAGCGAGATCTCACCTCTTGTAGTATTTAAATATAATTTCAAAATTTATTCCTATGAGATGCGGGATGTCCCGTCTTGCTGGAATTTCGGCACAAACATGCTCATGTGAATGCACTAGACGGGCTAACCCGGCATGCCGGGCCAAACATCGTACTAGTGCGCATGCTCATGAAACTCAATACGATGAGAAATAGAGGGCAAGCAAAAGAACAACTTTCGGTTGAGCAAACACTAATGCATAATATCATTGAGTTTCTTTCAGCTTATAAAAGTAATACGAAAGATCGGGATTTGGACTTTCATACTGCGTGCGTGTTTAATTATTTCTGTACTTGCCGGCCAGCCCGCCTCATGTAAATCAAATAATAAACTGGCCCGGCATAGCAAGCCAGCCCGGCTCATATGAACTGGCCTTAACTTTGTGACAGTAACTTTGGGACAGGAACTTTGTGACAGGAACTTTGTGACAGGAACTTTGTGACAGGAACTTTGTGGCAGGAACTTTGTGACAGGGACTTTGGGACAGTCACTTTGGGACAGAGACTTTGTGACAGAAACTTTGTGACAGGAACTTTGTGACAGGAAACTTTATGACAGCAACTTTATGACACTGACTTGTGACAGGAAACTTTGTTGCAAGGAGAGGTGGGAAACAAAGTCCCTGCAGGTTCATAAACCGAAAGGCTTTGAAGAGAAAAATATCAAAGATCTTATTTTTGTTGATCTCATTCATTTGTTTTGTAGATAATTGGAGATTCATCTCAAGGATTTGTTTTCTTCATTCTGTATTGTTTGTGCACGACCAAATTTCTCGAGAATTGTCGATTGTTGCTTAGTATTTGTGGTAAAGGAAACAGCAATAGAAATATTCGTGAGATACTGTTGAAAAAAGGTATGCGAAGAGCGGCTGAAAATGAATACCGGAAATATCTTCTTCCCAATGACGACATTAAGGACTACAACACCCAGTGTCTCAATCATTAATATACTACTATAGAATAGATATATGGGATCATCAAAGATTCGGGATATTTCTTTTCAAATCCAATTGTTCAGTCAAAATCACGAATGTCATAATCTAAGGATTTCTTCGCAAGGCTTGTGAAGAATTCCTAAATGTGAAGATTGTTGAGATTGGAAAATTTGATCGTCTAATTAGCATTTTTGTAAGATTGCAGTCATGGGATATGGTGAAGAATGTGCTATACATTTAGGCTCCAACATGAAGTCTTTACTTAAAACAACATTTACTGTTGCAAGTGTTGTCATTCTTTATTTAATGTGCTATACATGTAGGTTGCAACATGAAGTCTTTACTTAAAACAACATTTACTGTTGCAAGTGTTGTCATTCTTTATTTAATGTGCTATACATGTAGGTTGCAACATGAAGTCATTGCTTGAAACAACATTTACTGTTGCAAGTGTTAGAATTCTTTAATTAATGTGATATACATGTAGGTTGCAACATGAAGTCTTTACTTAAAACAACATTTACTGTTGCAAGTGTTATCATTCTTTATTTAATGTGCTATACATGTAGGCTCCAACATGAAGTCATTGCTTGAAACAACATTTACTGTTGCAAGTGTTAGAATTCTTTAATGTGCTATACATGTAGGTTCCAACATGAAGTCTTTACTTAGAACAACATTTACTGTTGCAATTGTTACCATTCTTTATTTAATGTGCTATACATGTAGGTTCCAACATGAAGTCTTTACTTAAAACAACATTCACTGTTGCTAGTGTTACCATTCTTTATTTAATGTGCTATACATGTAGGTTCTTTGCTTAAAACAACATTCACTGTTGCAAGTGTTACCATTCTTTATTTAATACACTATACATGTAGGTTCCAACATGAAGTCTTTACTTAAAACAACATTTTCTGTTGCAAGTGTGAGAATTCTTTAATGTGCTATACATGTAGGTTCCAACATGAAGTCTTTACTTAAAACAACATTTACTGTTGCAAGTGTTATCATTCTTTATTTAATGTGCTATACATGTAGGTTATAACATAAGTCTTGATGAGCGCATATAAAAGCAAATGTTTTCTCACCAATAGGGCTGTTCTCTTTCAGAAAATCTTAAATTAAGACAAACAGCAATGGCGAATTGTACGTTCCGGCGGCTGACGAATATTCGAGTTCTTGAAACATACCGTCTATTTTTATGTGGTTTTTACGTAATCGTGTTCACTATCTATTTATCCATCTTTCCGATACAACGACATAAAGAATTTTCTTGCTGACGCAAGCAAATCCTTAAAAAGTAGAGCCTCGGAATATTTAAAAGACCTCATTTCATTCTAAATTTTTTTTATTTTACAAGATATACAATAGCATTACGTACATTTTTACATATATTTGTAATAAATATATTTTTGTCATATCATTTTTCTGTTCTTTATCTCCAATTACTTTCTATTTGGTTCTTTAAAATAATATGATAAATATACAGCAATATTGGTCTGTTCATCAATATTAAACATTGAAGTTATCTTTAATAGACGTAATACTATCGTTAAAGTAGTACTACTGAGAGGTTATTAGTCTTTAGGCTCTATATAAACAAGATTCTTGAAAGTAACATGCGGAATTTATGCAATTCAAGTAAATTGTACTTCACTGTTTTTTCAAAAATGACATTTCTCGAGTATTCTGATTATTCTGATTATGTATTTCATGTTTTTACGAATATATAAATGTATGTATATAACTAGAAAAAGCAGGCGAATGGGTTGCATGACATACTATGTGAATTCTTTGAATCAACTAACAAGAAGTATTTCATGTACAAGAATGTACAATAAGATTTTCAAAATGGCGGACTCTTTGGTATGGCACAAAATGGGGACTCGGGAAAAGTAAGCTTTCTGCATCTATTACTATTTCATAAAACTATTTAGCAAAAGATTTTTACATTGATGTCTGTCAAGTGATTAGTTTCCCATGATCGAGGACATCACCTGCACGAACATGAACTATTTCTATGTTGTCTCAATCGTCATCCTGGCAAAGTTGAAAAGGAAAGTTTGATCTTTTCAGAAGACCACTGTGATACAAAATCACAATGAGGGACAATTGGAACAGTATGTATTATCACCAAACATATGAAAACCAATGTTACTCAAGTCAATATGGCAGTCTGCACATTTGAAACAATCACTGTGCCAAAACAGATTGTTCGTCGTCAGATAAGCACCTCCCTTGATCTTCTTTCCACAACTATGACATTGTTTCGCAAACATATCTTCATAACATATATTACAATAACGAAGACCATCACGAAGTAGAAATTTACGCGTCGACAATGGTTGTTTACAATTGTGACACACAAAGCAGGCGTTATGCCATATTTCGTTGTCATAAGTAATACCATCTTCTAAAACGGCTTGTCCGCATTGCTTGCATTTTTTCGCGAACAAATCGCGATGACAGTCGGTACAATAGAAGAAACCGCTCTTTTCCTTGAATTTCGATGTGATTTCCCTCTGACAGTTTTTGCAACGGAAGCATTCAGCATGATAGAACAGCTCGTCATGCTCAAGCCATTGTTGGCCCGATTTGATTGGCTCGCCACACGTACAACATATTCGATTGTTTTTTTGTTGGTAGCATTTACTACACAGCACCTTACCATTGCCGAGTTTGAAAGTACCTCTGACCATCTGTACATCGCATTCATCGCAAGTAAAGCACTTCTCGTGCCAGTGTTTTTGTCCAATCGATAGGGATTTTTGTCCTAAAGTTATCTTTTTCCCACAAGATACACATTCCTCGGCATAGTGAAGCTTATGACACTCAACGCAAACAACTTCGTCATTTTCGGTGGTGTATTTACCTTCGCCAATCACTTTCTTACATATTCTGCAACGGAAATGCTCCGCGTGGTACGTTTTTCCCATCGCGCGGACAATTTCACCGGAGACGATAAGCTGCAAGAAATGACAGAGATGAGTTGCAATATTACGGATATTTGGAAACTGTAGCAATTATCAAATATTTGTAACAGGTGTTAAGAAACTGTTGCAATCGTCATGGAAGTTTGCAACTTTTAAGACGGTCATGGAAAGTAGTAATTTCTTCACTTTGCAACTAAAGATGTACGGTGTGTAGTTGGACACCCCAATTTAATTTCCCAGTTGGGCCCCATGGCACAATGTCGCATAGCCCAGTCCGAGCTTGATACAAAAGCTAAATTCAAGATTTTCTCTTAGACGAAGTGAAGATCGTTGAAGAGTAGTTCCCACGATAATTATGTGTAAACAATTTAGTGAAAGACTTTATTCAATATTTACCTCGTCGCATTCGTAGCATCTTGGTTTAAATAACTCGGCGTAATGTCGACCACAGTACAACTGATGTTTATCATCAGAATAGTAGATGAGTTTGGTGAGAAATTGGTGACAAACAATGCACGAGAAACACGAAGGATGACGAAGACCATGACCAGTGGATACCACCATGTCGTTCTTCGTAAATGAATTACCGCACCCGTCACATGACTAAAATATAAAGTTTGAATTGTCAGGATTCATATATTCGTTGTAACTCAACGATCTAGAAGATATTTTTGTTGGCAAGGAATTGTGTACTTCCGGTTAACGAGTTTTCCTCCGACCAAAGACACAATCAACCTTTCCTCTTCGTTATAACTTCCCAGTATCAAGAAAGTCCGACCAACATGTGTCGATCATTATATGCTCGTTTAAACGCTACGAAGCTTATTGAAGTTTTTCTATTCCTGGGTGAAGTTTTTATGTAAAGTTGACTGTCTAACAAGTTAACAAGAAATTGTGAACGAATGTAATGACACCTGTGTGAATATATGAAGAACATATGGAAAACAGGTGCAGCGTTTAATCGAGAGCTGCTTTTATGTTTCTTTGATCCTGAGGGCAGCGGTTAACCTCTAAAACGACCATTTACGGTGTTTCACGACATCTACCCGTTCCCCTGTCCAACTATTCTGATCTTTTACATGAACTATCCACAGAATATCGAAGAGAGTGACAAAAAATTCAATATAATATGATTCATCAACTTACATCCGTATTGTTGTCTGAGATCCTTATGTATCCCGTTCCACGTGCCTTAAGTAACGTCATATAAAGAGCTTTGAGTGTCGTCTCCTGAGCCTTGGTCAGGTTCTTGCAATGACGTGGATCGGCGTCTTGTTTGGGATTTTGATGGGCTAACTGCGCATTAAAATGAGCTATACCCTCCGGAGTTAACATACTGGGGACGCTGTCGAGCGGCAACGAATCCATGAACGATTTTACCTAAAGAAATAAGAAACAATGTGCATTAGATTTTATATCCAAGAAAAAATTTGTCAGCTTTGAAATATGAATTATCCAAGATGAAATAAAGTATAATTTTAACAAAATGATTAAATTTGTTAGTAGAAAAGTTATCATGATTTAATAACGACAAAAATTGTAAGATCCTCTCGACAATTTCAAGATCGGAAACGCTAATGCTGAGAATCCACGATGTTGACGATACTGCACGTTGGTGTACCTTCGAGTTTTGAACAACATACTCGATCATAAATGTTTTTGTTTAATCAACGCGGACAAATAATACATATACAAAACAGCCACATGGCTTGATAGGAGAAGTCATTGTTTAAAATTAGAAAACACGTAACAAGAAAACCATCTTTGCCAATATCAAGACACCTGTTTATAAAAAGACATTGCCCCCAAAGTATCACGATCCTTTGCTCTCAATTCATCCATACAATCAAAATTTCATACTTTTCTATGTTTTACTAATTTACACAGAAGATATAATTGACGTTCTTTGTTGTGTTTATAATGCTATCGGTGAATGGACGCGTTCCCTTTTTTTGTTTCAAAGAAATCATCTGTTATTAATCGTTTGCTGACAAAATTTAACTGTATCATTCAACCTTTTGTTACTAAATCTAAACCATTAAAATAATGCTTAAACTATGAATTTTACTGAGTAAATACTAAATGCCATTTCCAAAGTATTTGAGTTTGCCTATTTCGCAAATCCAACCTGTTCTCTTCCTTTCTTCTGCAATGTCGGTAACGTTAACAAAGAACGTAAGACAGTTCAAAAATCCTTTTTCCTAAAATGGGCTCTTTTCGCACTTTCCTTTTTCATCCACAGTTTCGTAAGTAATAACTGACAGCTTCACGCAATGTTTATATGCATTTAATTTGCATGCGGCGTGCTTTATCAACTTTGGTATATAAATTATGTATTTTTCTCTTATATTGTGCTTCAACGATAAGATTACTTGGACACAGCCTGCTTTCCATATATGGCACTTGATGTATACCAAAGTAAACATTTACTTAAAACCTCGATCTTAAGCTCTTTCTCACGAGAACTCTTTACTTTGTAATGGAAGTCTAATTTACTTGTGAATAATAGTGATAAAAACCAGTATATATATTTTATTTCAAGTAGAAGTTTAATGAAAGCGCACGCGTAGATCGATCGAATCAATATTGACTACCACTTTATATTAATGCATTAAGCATAAGGGGAGGAGATTGCTAGAAATAGAGGGTGACTTGAGAATTGCAGGAAAATCCACGTTAATCCTTGATTAAAAGCACAGGCGCATAAAACACAGATTACGTATTTCCCAATTCTCATAAAATGAAATTGCTATGCCCCTTGAAAAGAGTTTCCTTCTCAGTCGAGTCTTGTATCAACATTCACACATCCGCGGATGTGATTCGATTGTTGTAGGTCGTTGTTGCATGCATATCTAATCTAGTGTCCACTTCAGTTGACCTATAATTATTTCGTTAATGACAATTATAATATTCGCGTAAGATACGCAACATCTAGCGTTTAGTTTATTTTTAACAATATTGCCGAGGTTCCATAGGTTACTATTACTAAAAACTGCTATAACATGACTTTTGTGTCAGCAATATAATTTAATAGTTCATCGGATGGTTGCTAATTTGCATTGAGTAAACCCAGGCAAAATACTGATGCACAATTATGTTTCATGAGAAATATCAAATAAACTTGTACAAAATTTTAAATAAATTCAGTAACAGCTATATATAAATGCCGATGATCCAAATTTGTTTTCAATGTGGAAATTTCCACTGAGGGTTCTCTGACATTTGTTCATTAATTGCTTTATAATAATTGCTATAAAAGCATCGAGTTTCACGTTTATTATACAAGGGAATGCCGTAATGATTTTATATCTCTGCATCTAATTTGAAATTTCATGACATAAATTACGCCTGCTTTTAATCTGTTATTGAAAGGTATTGAATTTATCAACAGCGGCAATCGGGTGAATGTCAATATTATATTGAAATAAGTAAATGGTAAATAGCTACAAAAAAAACACTTCATAACAATGCTCTGTATCTTATGACAATGTTATTGGTTATTATGAATTTTCCTAAAAATAAAATCTTACCAGTCCAAATATTCTTGATTTAAAGTTATACATCCAAGAATAAGTTGTTTTTAATTTTAATCTGTTTTGATATACTAGATACCCGCCAGTGTTTATTAAGTCCCCTACTGCCCCACTGTCGTTTATTGTGGACATTCTGTCACATTCACAGACATATATTCATTGATAGGCTATTGTGAATACACAAATAATCGCTCTGTGAAAAACAGCTTTTCCTTGTCTCAAATTTAGCTACATGGCCAAAAACAATAACCACCTCGTGATTTTGTTTTCTTTTTCAAGCAAAAAAAATTAATTATGGTCGACCATGTCGCCAACCACGGGAATAAGATAACTTCGCCGTCACTTGCACGGTTTTACAAATTGAGATCGATAAAATGATGTTTTAAAAGCAAAAAAAACGGCGTTTGTAGTACTATAATTCAATCTAAAATCCTTTTATTCGTCATATATTTTTCAAGCAGACCAGGCAATATTATTTATGTAATTTATTATTTAACAGTTGACCAAACAGCTGACAAGCAACTGCTGGCATTTCGTGGTCTACCTCAAACAAAAACATCTATCCTCCATCGCAATAATGTGTAAACTTAGTCTCCTTGATTAAATTATTTAAATTTATTAACTAATTTATACGCTTAAACCGTATTGTTGTCATATATTAAAAACTAACCTCTCTCATATTGTGTCCGTACGATCTCGATAAATTATTAATAACTTCCATTGGAGTTCTGACAGTTGATTTTAAAAGTGTACATGTACCAATGTACACAAATTTTGCTAAGTTTGTTGAAATTTTGATTGGTCTAATAATGATGAGAACCGACCTTAGTCAAAATAACATCTGTCAACGAGTGTCGATTGAAAAACTTTTCTGCATTTGAGCAAATCCGGTGTGTGTAGTGGAAATAAATAGTCGCGGCTTTTGACGTGGGTATAATTTGACGACAGCATGGAGTGTCGGTTTCCTTGTGGTGACGTTTATGTAAATTATCTTGCACAACCGGATGTGATGGGAACAAACTTGACGAGAATATTCCCGCCTCGTCTGGGCGTAATTTTTTTGCAATGTGATTGGATGGATTGTCGGTCGTTATTTCGTCAATTTTCTTCGGGAAGTGTCCATGCTGACATTACATTAGACGACGTTAGTTATTCGTTAGTCAAAAGAAGTATTTTTGAATTGATACTTTCATTGAAGATTGTTTCAACATAACTGAATTGTTGAAACATTATGTCGACCGACAGTGTCGATGATAAACTAGAGATCTTATTTCAAGCCGCTACTATGACGGGCAAAGTTATCTATTTATCTTTATATTGTGTAATGTCGAGACAAGTTTTCCTGGTTACGGCTTTTTGAGTCGCGAAACGTACAATTCGTGCCATTTGAAAATTAAAGAAAACAAAAAAGCTGCTTGTTGACGGCAGACATCTTGTCTTTGCTATCCAGTTGCTATGATGATATGAAATATTGTTTGTTCTTGCCAATTGTATTCATTCCAACGTTATAACAATCGATGTATTGCCCATTGCTTTCATATTGAGAAAGTCTAGAGCGGTCAAATCTCTTTAGTGGGCTTATCCTTAACATGTTTTGGAGAAAAACATGTCTAGCACAGATCTAGAAGTATTACGTGTTTGCGTTTGTCTTTGTCTTATCTGAATATTATCTCATAGACTCATACTTCGCGTAAAATTCACGTTAATCTCAGCTTATCGGACTTGTGTTACGATAAATAGGTTGTTATAGTTTTATCCCCGTTGTGAGCATGTTTTGCTTAGGTTTAAGTGTGGATATTTTGAATTCCAAGCTTTAATTAAAAGCTAAAATTATGCTTTGTCTAGGAGAGTGCGTTTGCATTTGTAATGCAATAAATCGCTACATTAGAGGACATTATACAGGATTTTTTCATACTTTCCATTCCTCGTTTTGCGATCATTTCAAAAACAAAATTTTATTTCGTACAGTACTTTTCATTGGACAAAAAACCAAAAAATAGAAAATGATAATGGGGCATTGGCAGTTATGACGTCAAGACTGCGAAATTGAAAGGAGGGGTGGGACCTAAATAATGGTATGACATGCAGAGTCCATTGTATGGGTCAATGATTTGAATGGGTATGCCTAGCCCAGTCGCCTGGCCATATGATTACGTCGAACTAAACATGGACATTAATTTTAATTTGCTCACCAATTATCATCTCTCGAAACTGTTGAGTAAAGAATTTCAATAACATTTACAATATGGAAAACTCTTACCTCATCGTTGCTTAGTCCTTCTGGTTGCCATAGATACGACGACTCATCAGTAGGTGTTCGTGGGCTCTTGTCAAAATTCCTCCCACTGTAATGACCAGAGTCGACGCTTTCTTGGGAATCCTGTGTCGATGTACTTGAATCACTACTCAATCTACATTCCTTGTTTTTCATGATACCATTTGATATTTTTTCCTGTGTTCCGCTGCTTCGCTTATAATTCCGCCGAGTTTCGGGCTCTGTCTGACAACTGATCTCTTTGGACGTAGTGAGACGCTCATTCGAGCCCATAAACGTTTCGTTGCCCATGCAAAAACTTTCCGTTTGAGACGAGTTATCACGCGTGTTTACATCATCAATCGTTTCATAAATATGTTCCTTACCAGTGTACAAACTAAAGTCGCTCTCAATCATGTCTACCGGAAGTTCAGGGAGTTCTCTGTCTCCTTTCGGCCTTTCCTCTATCTGAGGTGGTTCAATCACATCGTACGTTCGTCCGGCGAATAATTCTTGGTAGTTTTCATAAATTTTCGGTTTCTTGTCATGACCTAATCTCAATCTTCCAATTTGCGCTTTCTCTGATGGTCCATTATTGTTGTTATTTGATTTGCTGCAAGAAGGAAGAATGAATACAGTTTTAAGTAACGGTTTTTACAGCTCTATTGCATAGTCATGCGCAGTCCCTCCACATGTAAGACGGGAATATTTCCTAACTGCACGCCCTTCTCTGTCCAGCAGTCTGTGGGGGCTGCTTCCTCGCCTGCCGCCCGGTACGCGCGGCCACATTTCTTCCTATATCCACCATAATTATTTAGGTCACATGACAGCAACTTTCGCGCGTTAAATATTTACGAGAAAATAGTGTACATGCTTTTAAACTCATCAAGAATACTCGCTGTAAAGCTCGCTTGCGCTCATACTTGGGCGAAGACGAAAATGTATGAAATGACTTGTGTGAATGGTTATCATTAGTTATGAAGGTTATTTAAAGAAATGACTTTAATCTATGAACAATAGTATCAATTTTTTGTTAATACACAATTATTATTCACATATGCGAGCTTCGGCTAGCAAACTTACTGTAAAAATTGCACGAAACGCAAAAAAGCACACATAACGTATAGAAAAGCTGATATTTGGAAATTAAATTGTCGTTCATTTTATGACGAACTCGTAAGTATGACAACGGTCATGTACAAGTAAATTGTATTTTACATGGAAAGCAATGTTCTGATGTTGAATTTTAGACATATTTCTTCAATTTACCTTCGAATGTGTCTATCCTCAAACCTGAGATAATGAACAGGCAACACTGTCAACATACTGTCAAAGTAGTTTCCTAATCAACCCTATTCTTCTATAAAACTTGTCTTCACAAAACTCAGTGATCCACTCGATGTGTATTAGCTGCGCGCGTCGTTCCACTGATGAATTTTATACTTTCTGTGTAATAAATTTGAATACCATTTGGAATTCTTTCCCACAATATAAGACGTCCAATAAGACATAAATATTCCTAGCACAGAGACTGGACTTTGTTTTCAAGTAAAAAGATCTTAACGTCTTTTATAAGATAAGGCGCCTACTTGACGTCAGATAAGTCAGCGAATCTCCAAAGAACCGGATGGCCTAGCAAAAACTAAATTGCGCGTTCTCACACCATGAAGTTTATAAGCTGTTATCTCTATTCAGGAAACACGATTCTTATATTCTATACCTTTTTTGGTCAGTCAACGAAGTGTCAATCGCAACATTGCTAATTCGAATGTGGGCAATTGAAATTTATATTAACTTTGTGTTGTGCCGCCAAAGAGTGGAAAAACAAATCATCTGTCCAGGTATAGGAAGTGTAACATGCCTTTGAATAGAACAAACATTAAAAATAATTGAAAGCTTGATTAACCATTGTAGTCTGTACAATATTTCATTCTAGAGGGATCATTTGGTAATGACTCTAAACTTAGAAAGCTAGTTTTAAACCAAAGCAAAGAACTAGAAAGTATTCTGCATTTCTACTGCTTCCATGTCGAGCACTATGCGTTTTTTTTAAACCAAAACTGATTAATTTATAAATGTACTTCTACCAATAACGATTTGAGGCTGTGTTTACACTATACCGGATTCGCTGATCACGACATCTTCATTTGCTTTAAATGTAACTGTTCGGAGTAAAAGCTTATTAAGCTGATAGATTTAGTCTATTTGATTGTGTTTCTGACGTTGAACAATTTCACTGCCTTTTAATATAAAGAATATTCAACCTGCCTCGATAGCAATACTGTATTGTGTAAACGGGGCCTAAGAATGAAAGAGGTAATGACGCGGTTAATTTGGCACGCTGTTAACAATAGGTCTATTTTCAAAGGTCAACCTTCTTTGTACGCCATGAATTTAGGCATGCCGCGTTTAGGTAGGTGTCGTGCTTCAAATGCAAACATATACAGGAAGACACAATTATTCATCGTGGGAATTTTTCAAATTATGGATCTTTACCAGTCAATATAGTTGGTTTGTGTGTAAATTAAGTTTTCTTGTGTGTTACCTATAGCTATAGTACTCGTCACTTCATTCAAGTTTGCCATATAACGTACGTCAGCAATAACGTTTTATGACTAAGAATAGTTTGGTTATGCATGCGGAAAAAACACGACAAAAATTTAACACATCATTTTTGCAAGCAATTATCTAATTATGTGTCTTGATTGTTCTCAAATCCGCTCGAACAATTACTCATTTATGGCAAAACTATTATCTTCTAGCATAGGGAAGTATATATTCACGCGAAAGCTGTAGAATTGATAGCTCATTTTGAACATTATAGCTACACTCTGGAAAATAAAAACAACAAGTTCATAAATAGATATGTAATCCTAAAGCTTCATTGCTGGAAGTTCACATCGGCTAACATAGAAAATCTGTACCAGTTTACACTTTGCACCTACATTCATGGTATTAAAAGAAAGAACGTTATATATCCATGATTTTGTGGGCAGCATCCGACGTGGGTGAATGTTATTGTTTTCTAAAACACTGAAGGTGGATTACAAGCCAAACATTAAAAATTCTCAGGCTATAATCATAATAGTGTCTTTATCTTTATCGTTTTAATACATTGCTCAAGTAGGTAGTCATCATGGCTATATACAGGGCTGTGAAAGTGTGAATATTAAATGGCTCCACCAATATGGAGGGAAGACTATCAACTTGCGGCACTGATGAAATCAATTGATGACATAAACATCACAACATACATGGCTGTTGTGAATCGACAAAAGTTGCAGCCATTAAGCCATGTAATAGACCACCATGACAGCCATGAAAATTAGCTACATGGTAAGAATGACAATCACCAGGTAGCAGACTAGCAGGAATTCAACATTATGCGCAACGATCGAGTTTCGCTTCTCTGCTCAGTTAGAACTGTTGCTATTTCTGGAAATATTTTTCGCATTTCGCTTGTTGCTGGAAAAATATTCTTTTAATTCTTTAAAATTTGAGGTACCTAGCCGTTTAGCTCCAGATTAGTTAATGGTATCGAGTTCTCTGTTGTGTATTACAGAGAATTGATTACGTTTGTACTGTGTACATGATATTTTGATTAAAATTTTGATGATGTTTATGTAAGAGCATAATATCAAATTTCTGCAAATTAAACAAGACAGTTTTACTTCCGGAGCAAGTCTGAGTTGAGGAGTTGGCAAACTTTTAAATCTACAGGTGACAAACTAACGACTTAGCATTAAAAAATTATGCCAAGACCCACGATTTATATTATAAATGCAATACGATTGTATTTGCCAATAGAAATAAATATAATATCAAATGCCATATAATCAAAGTTTGTCGCCACTTGTGCCATTTGACTTTATCCGAAAGCTTTGACTGTTACTGAAGAATTAAGAATGTAAACACAACAACAACATAGAATTTTTATGCGATTACGAGTCTACCGGACCACCCCAAAGATAGTTTGAAGGAAAAAATTTCCAGAAATATGAAATATAAGGCTTTGTAACTTTTCCAAGCTGTCGACCGCAGTTGACAGGAAGTTCTGGCAAGCAAAATTACGTCATCGTGGGAATGTTTTGGCAATTGTAATTACGTCATAGTTGCGTTTTCTGGAGAGCACAATTTACGTCATTTTGACAAATTAAGAACATTGTTACCCATTTCCAGGTATTGATCGTTTTAATTCTATGCAGATATTTCAACAACGTGAGCATATTTGGAAATTGAGTTCATCTTTAACATATGTGGTAGTCCAAATGTTAAATACTCGTAAGATTTGTGGCTTTCAAGTACGATCATCAATAGTCAAAAATATTTTTTCGTGTTAACTCGATCTTAGACATAAACTTACACTTAACTTGTGTTTTCTACGCACTCGAGAATCGAGATATTGCACAAATCGTAAACTAATCACATGCTGCCTTTCTTTCGTATATTATTTTTATTCCTAAGTCTACATAATTAGTTTTTTAAAGTCACGCAAATATGTAAATCCCATTAGCAAGTTGCTCAAAATTAATACTTTAATTAAAACGAAAGTTGTCCTTGACGACAAAAGATATATTTGGAAAAACATTTTACTATGTTTTACTTCGTCTCCAACGTATAATTCCAAAATCAAAACATAAAATTATAACAATGGCTTTTATCTTGGCCGTAAGAAGTCGATAATTGAGGTTGAGCTCAAATTCGTACATGAATGTAAAACAATAGATTTCAAATAAAAGGTAACTTAACACTTAATATTATGAATACATAAATATCCTTCCTCCTCCATTATTGACTTCCACCGCCATTATCGACCATCCCACGGCCATGAAATCAATGGTAGCTAAGAAGTACATAAAATAATGTATTCAAGATATAGTTTATCAAGTTGTTCTGTGAGAAAGCACTTGGATCATTAGTTTCTCGTTTGTCCTATTCTAGTTTAGAGTCCGGTCGAGGATAAGGATTAGAGTTTGGGTTATGATTAGACTTAGGATTATGGTTAAGATTGGGATTAGGGTTAGGACTGAGATTAAGGTTATAAGTTGTATGCTATCAATAATCACAGATGATGCACGCACTATGAATGTGCGTTTTGTTCTTAAAGATGATCTTTTTAAGTACAACGTTAACATTGTGCAAATGCAATGAATGCGATTATAAGTATCTCTTAAACCAGACATCAGTACCAAACTGGCATCAAAAATTTAATTTACCACTTCAAGTTTAGTTAGTTTACCCTTGAACGTTGAAAGAAAACGAGCAGAACTACTGAAATTCGTGGTCTATGAGAGGCTATGACGAAATGTTTTTTGCCATGGTAACGGAAAAACAACTCACAGATCGAAATGACTGGATGATTTTTTTTTTATAATTTTTTCGCCATTTTTTTGTGAACTCTCCATGAATCTCATATAAAAATTATGAAGTTTTATTTTATTTGCTTCCAGTTTCAGTAACAAATATCTAATTCAGCTATTTCAATCAATAATGTAAGAATATGTGTCGAACGAGTGAAATTTCATCCTTGTAATCTACACTGTGCGGTAGCTAGAAGTTTTTGCAAGTGGGAAAGGCCAGAGGGAAAGGCCAGTTGATTAAATTGTGATTATTGTGACAAAGAATTCATTAAAATAATAAACTTGGTCATTTGTCATAATTCTTTGCCGAAACATGCATGTTTGCTGGACGTTTTACGAAATTGATATGACGTCTACACGCATCCTCCTGTGTTTATCTCTCATTATATAATACAACCGTACAATAAATTTACAAAAACAAATATGAAGAATTTCAACTGTGCCTAGTTTAATAGCAACTGCACTGTGTGTATCGTAGCAACTTAACTGACTAATTCAAGAATACACTTTCATGTTTTGAAAGTTCTTATGAGTGCGGAAAATTACTATGTTGTTTTTGCCTAAAATTCACTTCATCTGTCCATTACACGTGAAAAACTTTAATGAAAAGTTTGATTATCTTTGTGTTTGCCTTCCTACGACGAGACATGTGGAGGTTTCTTTTAGTTGTTCATGTTTGAATAAAAACTTGTTCAAAGTTATATAAACTAATACTCGAGCTTTAATACTTCAGTATAATTCTTTTGATTATCATACCTTGGTTGCAGTCCCATTTCTATGTAGATGATTAAAAGAATAGACTATAAAACCATGAAGTAAACGGAGATGTCTGTCCCGAATATAATTCAATTGAAACGTATTCATAGATTAAGATAAACTTCCCCATGCAGCTGTTCCCTTAGGTAACAAAGACGTATACGAACTCATATGCAAACTATATATAATAAAGACACCTGCTATCTCCGTGAAGGCGTTTTGCATACATCACCAAAAACAAGAAATGCTTTCTCTTTGAATATTTCGATGCGTGAATTTATAACTTCCCGTCTTTGAAACCGCAAAATGATTTGTAATTATACGTTATACAAAATGTCGTAACTATATGTCGTAAAAACCGGAAGAGGAATTTTATCCAACTGTTAGATGACAAATTTTATGCTTTTTGTGATGCAAATTCAATGCGAACAGAATCTTTTTGCTTCAATTGATTATATTGTAATTAACGGACATTATTGCACTTCAAAAAAGATATGAGAAGTATAGAAATACGTCTCTTCGTTGCATTGTCGGTTGCTAGAGGCGAGGACAATGGATGTCAAAGTGGGGGTTGAATCATTCGGGGAATGTCCGCCACTTTGTGAAACAACACGTTTTTAAGAATGCTTACATTGTGCTCGAATGTATAATACAATAATTCAAAATAATTTCCTCAGCCATATTGATAACTTATGGATGTAGTTTGTGTTTCGGATAAATTTTGAGTTCGTAGGTGTTGGAGTAAAAATTAACCTCAACATTCAAAACAGAGCACTTGTACGATGAGAAGCTAATCAAACCTTTGGTACGGCAACTGATAAAAGACTTTTCCCTAATGCCAATTGATAACTTCAAGCAATGACGCTGTGTTCTCGTTCGAGTCACAATTAAATACAAATCTGTGTATCTATGATGCCGAGAAGTCATGCGCTAAGATGAAATGTTCCCATAAAAAGTAACGAGAAATCCTCAGAAAATACTTTATATAAAATCAATCCTGCCAACTTATAATCTTTTTGGTTTTAATGGATGAAGAATTATGTCAGTATCTGCATTTGTAAAATAATTTTTATTTCTCGGCAATTGACATCTTTTCAGATAAGGAGATTTGATGAAATCAAACGAATCACTTCTTTCCATTATTGTTTCATCAATAATTTATTTGCTATGTCTACAAATCACACGATAATTGTATTTCGAATTTTAAAAATTAACGTTTCGTTAGTACAAATAATTGTTTTTTTATTAGTATTTAATGAAAACAGCGTAGCGGGCTTAAAACCTCAGAGTCCAGAGCCTTCATTTTTATGGACGAATTTTAAACTGATAAAGCAGTTCCTTCTGTCAGGTGATTTGCCTAAAGTTACGTGTAATACAACACAGTTGACTTAATCGACGTCCCAAACCTTTTCCTGCTAAAAGAATCCATTCACGACGCAACGAGTAACACTTCAAAGCTTTTTGACAGATTAAAAGTATTTTTTATTCATCGATACATTCGATCAATAACAACGGTTTTATCTTTTGTTGGCGACAGTACAACTGTTAAGATTTGTGGAAAGGTGCTAAAACAATTGGCAACTCAGGAATCCCCGAACAATTCAGTGTCATGACAACAAATAGCTACTTTTCTCCTTGTCGACAACTAAAGTGTGGGCTGAACTTTTCATGACACACTGAAATGCGAATATTTTAACGCGCTATCAGCAGATGTATGGGTATGACATACAATACATCTGATATTTTCGAGGAAAAAAACTTTAAAGATCTGACTTTTACATAATTATGAATTCTTTTTGAACTTGGCAACGAATGAGAAACATTGCCGACGAAAGGAAATTTGATTCAATTGATTGGTATTTTATGGAGATCAAAAGATTTCTGAAAAACAATGTTTTTTAAAACAAAAATTGTTTTCCAGAAACCTTTTCTTAAAATACATCTCCAAGCAAGATTACCACATTTTCAAGTACTTAATATCTAGTTGGATGAAATACATTCGTGTTGTGATTTTTATCTGCCTTTTCTTTTTAACTACAAATAAGATGAATATTTTCAAAATAATTTACTCGTTCGTTGACATAATTCCTTAATATATTTCTCAGGTATGCGTAATTTTATTGCTTTAAGAATTCCGATGAGTGTTAAGCTGTGCAAAGTTTTTTAACAGCAACTTTTTGGAGATTGGTATCCTAAAATGATATTTAATAACATTTATTTTGATATACTCAGGTATGGTAACAAGATAATCGTTCTCTTCAGTGTTGTACCAACTAAACTACAAGATCAACTGTGGAGTAGGCTGATAATACAAAAGTTTAGTTTCTTGACGTTGTTTTGATGTACTCAAGTATAGTCACAAGTTGATCAATGTGTTTTCAATTAGATCAAAACAATCAAAGTCGTCAGTAGAAAAGTTATTCTTCAACGCCTGTAAATACATATAACTACCAAACGAAAGCAAGCGTTGCTGGGAAGAAAAATGCCATAAGTGAGTCTATCTATATTTTTGAAAAGCTTCATGTTCGTGGAATATTAATGCTCGCCTACTGTCGGATGTTACAATCGATCCGGTTTATATCATAGCAACTGCCATTCATTGCGAGCAGTGCCAAGCACATCGTTCTAAATAATCTCTAATAAAATTCTGTCAATTATCTTGTGTTGCAAATATTTAAGATATGTCTACTTTTTAGAAAAATGTCTACATTAGATATTTATCTGCAGTCAAAGCGAGTAAGCAACGTCTATTTGAGAAAGACTCCCACCCAAGGGAAACTCTTAATTAGTCAGTACATGCTAAGCATCTCAGCTTATTCAGCTTAATACCAGTTCATCCGTCTATTTTTACCAAAATAAAGAGCTTTTTGAAAAGCATATTGCTCTTTCAAAAACATGTCTGGCGATTTATTGGATACGCGATATTCCGTCTTTTCCGATGACTTTTTTGTGGTTTGTGGTTCATTCACCTGCTTATCATCAATAAACAAACACCTTTAGTTTCATTGTCTTAATCCGATTGACAGAATTTTACCCTTCCGGGCGTTGATAGCAGTCGCAAAGTGTTCAAACGTCGCGAATCCAAGACCATCTTAATAATTCAGACTTCGGCATACGGTTTTGAAGCGTACAAATGCCATTAAACCTGTTTAGTTTAGTTTTATTACAAATACACAATTGTTTTCCAGAATTGATTGTCTATTCAAGTGGGGAGGAAGCTTCGACGCCACATATAATTGCATACAGCAATGCTTTTGTATCATTGAATACTAACTACAAACAGACGATTCTCCTTATTTTCTTTTTTAAAAATGTAGAAGTTTTGCACATTGTTTCTAGGGAGATTTGGGATTGTCATGTTGTCATTTGACTTATTTCATTTATTCCATTCCGGAACGCATTTCTGAATTCTCAAATCGAACATGAGAATTCTTAGATACTATATAATAAGTTGAAAAAACCGACGGACGCTGCTCTACCTTTCAAAAAATGCATATCAATCGCTTTAAAAGCCACTTCATTTACTCACTATACAGCCAAAAGTGTGCGCGTCTATGTTTCCATAAAAAATTCTTTTAAAAACAAAGAGCACGACAACAAATGTGTGAAATGTGGTCTTTCAGAAATTCAGACCAATTTCGCAATAATATTCACGGTTCGTTTTTCTATTCATTTATAAAAACACGGTTCCTTTACATGCAGCCATAGGCGTGTTTATTTGTCATTCTTTGATTTGAACAGTTTCATTTAATCGCTCACTGCATGATTTCGTTTAAGAAATAATACAGTATGATTTGAACTAAAAAAGCGGGACTTTAAAACGATATATTACCTGCTTTATAGTAAATAGGTTTCTTTGATATGTGACAATAAACTGACCGTATTTCTCATAATGGCCACGCGCAAAAAAAATTAAACTATCGTTTATGTATTTACAGAAGGATGTTTGCTGATATCATTTCTGTTGGCCCAAGCTTAAAAATCTCGACAAAAAGAAGACATATATTTCCAAATTATTTGGAATCAGTATAAAATGCGACCTTCATTTCAGACTTTTATCTTAATTCATCGGTTCTCTCCTAGGCTTATCTATACTCTCACAAGTACATCGACTTTTCACACTTCACTAGTAACGGCCTATATGACTCTCACAAGCACTTTATTTCCTTCATGTGGAGGGAAAATGTTTTAACACAACAACCTGTTGATCTTTCAAATCAAATTTACCCTTGGATTAAAACATATTCCAGAATTTTGATTTGGAGAACAGGTCCGAACTTGATTTATACGTCTGTACAATTGTTTCCACAGAATAAACAAAAGAACAATCTCAAGAGCGAGATTTAAGTTCTTACCTTGTAATATTTAGTCGAGGTGGCTTGTTCGGTGGCACCTTTTTGTTTTCATTTGAAAGAATCTGATTCATTATTTTTTAAATTATAACACGTCTCACGCAATTTATATACGGGCGAAGTTATTGATAATCCAAGCTCCGATTTCACTTCGATTATTTCGTTTGTGTTTTGAATCCCTTTGACTTTCATCACATAGCTATTAATGACCGGAGAAGAACCTTTCGACAGCCTTCACGTTGACACAAAATATCCTGTTGTTCGTTATTTAAAATGCACGCTTCGAAATGTATTGAGCTTTGATGTTACTGCGATACGCTCCTAAAAGTTTTCATGAATAATGTAAAACCGATTAAGGAAACAATCTTCACCTGACACCTAATGCAAATACATCACTCCTTTTCCTTTCGAGGCGGTCAAAGTTTTCTTCACAACAATGTATCAAAGGATGTGTGGTCAAAACAAAATTTGATTGCGTTGTGATGGAGATACGATCTTAAATTGCCACACAAAGGAAGCTTTAAAGTGAAAACAAAGTAGAAACAGAAATGAAGTTATTTAAATGTGACAGCGTATCTCTGCTCTATCTTTTACGTCTGAACCACAGGGGTCTATGTCATAAATTAATCGTCCCTTTTGCATGTCATAAACATGTTGCCTTGGCATGCTGCTAATAAAATGATTTTTCTTCAACATGTTTGGATCATTTAAGTCCATGGGGGTAAGAAATCGCTGCATTCCGGTCTTAGACATTTCATCGAACTCTTTAATAGAATAACGAATGACAAGACTTGGTAATGTGTTATTGACTGATTTCGACGTTTCCCGCTGCGAATGGCTTATCGTCCCCGAATCGGATGAATAAGCGGGAGTCTGTCATGAAGGCATGAAGTTATGATTGAGTCAAGGCTTATACTTTATAGTGAGAAAGGCATATAAGAAATCAATGTACTTGATCTCCCTGTACTTGTGTCATAGTGAAGATGATACATAAGAAATCAATGTACTTGATCTCCCTGCACTTATATCATAGCAAAGATGGTACATAAAAAATCGTACTTGATCTCCTTATACTTACGTCATAGTGAGGATGGTACATAAGAAATCAATGTACTTGATCTCCTTATACTTATGTCATAGTGAGGATGGTACATAAGAAATCAATATATTTTACCTCCTTATACATATGTCATAGTGTGGATGGTACATAAGAAAACAATGTACTTGATCTCCTTATACTTACGTCATAGTGAAGATGGTACATAAGAAAACAATGTACTTGATCTCCTTATACTTACGTCATAGTGAAGATGGTACATAAGAAAACAATGTACTTGATCTCCTTATACTTACGTCATAGTGAAGACGGTACACAAGAAATCAATATACTTTACCTCCTTATACTTATGTCATAGTGAGGATGGTACATAAGAAATCAATGTACTTGATCTCCTTATACTTATGTCATAGTGTGGATGGTATATAAGAAATCAATGTACTTGATCTCCATATACTTATGTCATAGTGAGGATGGTACATAAGAAATCAATGTACTTGATCTCCTTATACTTATGTCATAATGAGGATGGTACATAAGAAATCAATGTACTTGGTCTCCTTATATTTACGTCATAGTGAAGATGGTACATAAATTTAAAATATTTTGATCTCCAGCCCATAAGTTTTAGTCCTGCTAACTTTCAGAACATCATTATTCACTTCTTTAGAAATCTTTGTTTCTCAGTGAGTAAAAGAGAATATTAACAAAGCAGGACTAAATAAGCATGTTGCCTAGCCGCCATGCCAAATGGTCAAAGTGAAAATGTTGTACAAAAAATATATGTTCAAAATTTTTCCTCATTTTTTGTGAATTAGGCATATGTTATACAATCTCCCCCAAGCATAATTGCTTGTAAGATAATATTGTCATATTTTGCTACAATATTCATTATAGATTTGATTGCTTGAAATATGATCTTGAATGATTGAAAATACAAAATTTTGCAATATGTGCAAGTGACATAATCAGGGATGTACATTGGGGTGGGGTGGGGGCAGTGGGGATGTAAACACCCCCTAGTTTTTGTTTGTAAAATGCAGCTTGTAAAAAAAGTTGCATGGAAAGTGAGCATTGAAATGTTAGTTTGGATAAAATTGATGGCTATCAAATAACAACACTACAAACACCGGTACCATAACCCAGAACATCCCTAATATTTTGTTATGTGCATCTCTGGATGTAATGGGATATTAAGGACACACTGGGATATTACAAATGACACATGCATCACCATAGCACATGTCCAAACACCAGCAAACCATGTGAAGAAGTCATGTACAAAACTAGAGACTATTATATCATTAACACATGTATTTTACTGTAAAATAACCATCAAACATTCAATGATAGTAATTCTTAATATAATTGTTGCTTCAAAATCCTGGTATACGTCCGCTTTTTTTCTTTTTCTTCATATCTATACGATCTTGAATATTCTTTTGTCTTCTCTCTTGTCTCTCTTTCATTTGTTTTCTTTGGTTCTCAGCCCTCTCGTTCCATTCTTTTTGATGTTTTCTTTTCGCTTTCTCTTTACGTTTCATTGCTTTCTTCAGCAATGCCGGATCATCCTTCTGCTTCACTCCTTCTGACTTCCCGAGTGCTTTCTTCCATTTCACAGTTTCCAAAACTTCTTTTGAAGTCTCATCTCCTTTGTGTTTTATCTCTTCAAGTTTCTTTTTACGGCTTTCCGCTTTCTCCAGCAACTTTTTGTAATCTTTCTTTTTCCCAGTATCTTTGTCTTTCATTTTTCGAACATCAGATGTGAAATCAAATTTACTAAAGACCACCGTCCCTTGCTCGTTTACAATGTTTTTCTTGTGATTCAAGGCTGGTTTCGAGTTTATTTGTGCTGAATTTATGGCTTTAGTCCTTTTCTTTCCTTTAGTATCTTTCTTCCTTCGTTTCGTGATTGGTCTGTGATCTGGTAAAGCTGTAGGAGCTTTTCGCTTCTTGCGCAATAACTCGATGCGAGCTTGAAGTTTTGAGTGAAGATCTCCCAAATTTGAGCAAGATACATCTTCTACACTAAATATGTGTCCATTTTCTTTCGGACGACTGTTCTCTTCTTGAATTTCAGGGACTGTTTTGTGTTGTTTAGGATGAAGCCTGTTCAACTTGGCTTTCTTAGTTGCCTCTTTCACAGCCTGTTTTGGCGCTTTGTGACCTTTATTCTTATAAAACTTATTGCTTTTCTCTTCTTCATTATCAGGAAAATAATACTTTGCCGGTATAAGCCCGAGCAACGAATTAAAACAGGTAGAATGACTCAATAGTCTCTCTCTTAACTCTTTGGTGTCATCTTCGTCGTCCGCCATAGTGAATTCTATCGCACGTGTTCAAACTCTGTGGGGGTGGGGGAACTAAAATTTAAGCGGCTGCAGTGCAATAGTTGTCTAGTTAATGCATAAAAGAGCTATGACGCAAATTAGAAATGGAAAATAAGATATTTGAAAAGCTTTAAATGCTACTCTACAGACTTTAGACAAAAAATAGCTCTAAAAAGTGAGTGTTTTCAAAACACTTTTTGCCTACCTCTCCCTCCCCCCTACGAATGTGCTTTGTGTAAATAGGTCACGTGGTCCATCGATGCAACGGCATGCTTTGCTGTTGCTCGCTCTGAAGTAAACTGGACAAGAAATGGACGCTGGTTTCTTTCGGGTAATTGTCAAATATATTCTTATTTCACTTGTGTTTTCAAGCGTTTTCCGCTAAATATCCATTTTTTTGTGTAATTTAATAGGGCACGAGCTCCGAACAAGATAACAGATTTATCAATAAACAGAAAAAATTGTTGAAACAAATGAGATTTGATGATTCGCTTAACGAAAAGGTACATATATTCATGAAAGAAAACAAGTGTTAAATGCCAGGAGTTACACCATTATACACCGATTTTGCAGTAGTTCTTCATATGTTTATTGCATTAAGACATCTTTTCCATTCCGATGCCTGTGTTTGTGTTGTCATCTTCAGTAATATTAGATTACAATCAGAGATTTGATGTCATAGTAAAGTTTCTAGAATCAGAACAGAGCATCCATAAGCTTTGATGGGCCTCGTGTCGTTTTAAAGACTAATGGATTCTTCTTGTGGTCACTTTATAACATGCAATGACTATTTTTACAAATGGTGATAAGTATTTAGGAGGTATCGATGTCTGGTTAAATGCATTGAACTAGCTTCAAGGCAGTTTTCCAGAAATGGTTGTTAAGTGGTTTGCCAAGCCAAGGAATTTGACTGCCAAGTTAGATTTGTTTGTGAATTACATCTCTTTTATGAAATAACAATAATGCAAGGTGGACAAATGAAAGAGAAAGGTTTTAATTTTTCTCTAACATGTATTCATGATTGATTTGCTCTGCAAACTTGTTTGCATGGCATTATTATATGAAACAGAAGACTGCCAACAATGAACCTGAAGATGGCACACAGCTTTTAACATATATCATGTTGCATCATTGTAGATTCTCAAACGACCAAAATTGTTTGCATTTACTTACAGAAGTACACTTCAACATTTATTACAATTACATATTTTTAAATGTAGATAGTTGAGGTTAATGCATTCCTGAGAAAAAACTGTTGTTGTTGATGTTGACTGATGTTTTGACATCCTTAGCGTTAGTCAAGATGACTACCACCAAGGGATGTAAAAAAGTCATTCAGACTGAACTAGCCCGTACAATCTGTAATGGTGCTCCATCAGCTTTAAACTATTCACTCGAACATTCTTTGCTAGTTTGATCGTGTATAGAGCTATATTTCATATCTTTTAAGGTTGATATGGAAAAAGTGAACTTGGACACTATAAAACCATGGATAAGTACTCGTGTGATAGAGCTATTGGGTACTGATGATGATGTCTTGTTGGAGTTTATTATTAATATGCTGGAGAAGGAACAGGTAAGGATATAGTAGGATATGAAGAGTGTGTGGTATGGTGTTAAGGGTATATTATGATATATTAGTGTAGTTGGATATGCAGGACATTGTAGGATATAGTGGCATATGAAGTGTGTTGTATGGTGGTAAAGGTATTTTATGATGTATTGGTGTTGTTGGATACACAGGACATTGTAGGATATGAAGGTATTATACAATGTAAGGGAGTATGATTTAAATGGTTCAATGGAATGAATGTATAGTGTCATGTATGATTTAGAAGTTGCCTGAAGGATATGTATAAGGGATATGTTATGTTGCAATTTAAACAGTCTGGTGGGATGTAAAGGTTGCTGTAGGATGCATTGGATATTTATGCATCTAAAGGTTTAATGATATTATATGGGTTTTGTACAAGATGGAGTGAAAGTTTGAGTAAAATGTTGAACGAGGTTGTGAGATGTGTATTGTTTCAAATTGAAATGCGATTAAAGAATCCACATCAGGCCAGGGCTGTGTTGTACAATTATTTCACTGAAAAATATCTATTGTGATGAAGTACAATTTATCATAGGCATAACTGAATACATACAGACTGTTTATCTTGTTCTATACTATTTATCTCGCTTGTAAACAGTTTATCATCTTCCAAGTCAAGTAGTAGCATTGAACTAAAATACACGGAACGCCACCTGTAATAGAAAGCCTAATAATTTTTTAAAACCAAATCTTACACCAAGACATGCAAGATTACACCCAGACACACGTGTGTCGTCAATCAATTTTCACTCCACAAGAGAATCTCAACACCTTTCACATGCGTATCTGGGTGTAATCTCGCTTGTCTGGGTAAAAATTTGGCAAGTAGCATTCCATGTATTTTAGTTCAATGAGTCTTCGTCATGACATGAAGGTCTTCATATTAGGTGTTGAAGAGTGTTAACATAGAATGTTTATGTTGTTGTAAACTGTTTATCTTGTTGCTATGTAATATCTAAAATTACAAAATATTGCGGATGTCATGTGCTCATGAATATAACCTTAACCAATTTCAATCTGCAGAAATTAGCCAGGGAGATTTGATGTTAGCAATTTGCAAATTGGAAAAGTGAATAAATTTTGTTCACCACAGTTTGTTTATGCAATAGCTTACACACACGTGACATACATGCTTTGGGGCAAGGTTTTCTTCAATGTTGCAAAGGCCTTATGCCGTGTGTTTAATAATGCAAGTTAGCAGTATGCATGCCATTTTAAAATTTTTCTTTGAAATGTACACTCTCTGCAACCCCCCCCCCCTTCCCTCCAATTTATTTCTATATATTATAACGAGGTGGAAAATTAATTAAAAGGGTGTGTGTGGATGAAGGGGGGGGGGTTGACCCCACTTCTGTAGTTTATTTTTTAAGCAAGAATTATGCAGAGTATATGGCTTTATGCACAAATTTTGGAAATTTACAGCAAACTAATGTTTGAATTTTTTTATAATTTGTTGAATAGTTTTTTGCAAAGTTTGTTGTATCATCCGTAGCATCCTGATCCCAAAACAATGCAGATCAATCTGACAGGATTTCTAAATGGAAAGAACGCCAGGGTGTTTATGAAAGAGCTGTGGGAACTTTTGCTGAGCGCTCAGAATAATATTGGTGGCATTCCAACCATGTTCTTGGAGAAGAAAAAAGAGGAGATTCGACAGAGAAAGGTAATTTTTGATTGTGCTTGCTTTTAATGGTGTTTTTTTCTTTCAGTTTTATTCATGTTGAGAGTCTCTCTCAGTTGAAGTTTAAATATTTTGCCATGCATTTCCTCAAATATAGTAAATACAAGAAATCCTTTGTTTATGAATTTCCCAAGAATGAAATCCTACATAACCTATGGAATTGTTTTAAAACATGAATAGTTTTGATTCATTGTTTTACAATTCTCAAATTTCCTTTGTTGAGAAAGACCTAAGTTAAATAATATCATTTTCTTTGAGTACCTGTCTATCCTCAGTGACGACATTTATTAACAATGACCACATACGAGTGTTGACTATATCAAAGTCACATTAATATGCTCTACTTGCAATCAAGTCACATGACACAATGACATAATTCTCTCAATTTCTAAAAAATTGCTCGGGAACCCTTCCGTTCTATAAAAATCACGTGACAATTTTTTTTGAAGTCATGTAATAAGCCCATTCTTGTAAATTAGTCACGTGATAAGTCACGTGATAAGTCACGTGATACATCTTCTTGTGTGATAATCACGTGATGGGCGTTTTTAAAAAAGCGAGTTCACTTCTCACTGATATTGATTTCAATTTATTGCTAAAACCTACGTAGCCCTACATGAATTAACGAAATAAATTCTCACAAGTAACATTTAACGTATTGATACCCCTTTCGCAGTAAATCCTTTTTTCCCAATTTTCTGGTTACGGTTGATAATATTTAAAATACTTTTTGCGTAGATGGAACAGGAGAGAATCCAGGCGAACCTCAGTGAGAAACTTGACACTACTGAACAACTTGAACCAGACAGTACGAATGCGGAGCGATTGGAGAACGAAGACAAGGAAGATGATGAGAGGAAGAAGAAAAATGAAAGCGGATCTGAATCTGATGAACATAACAAGAATAAGGTTGGTCATTTCTTATGTGTATGGTGGATGGATGTTTTGGAACAAATGGGGATAGCATGGGGCAGTATATTGAGTGATTTGTAAAGGGGTTGCCTTCATCACGTTGGTCTAACAAGTTGATTTTTAACAAGTGCTGAAACAAACAGAACATTTACAAAGATACACGTATAACTGAAGATACTAAAATGGGGTATTACTAGTGGTAAGGCAAATGGATTTCCTTTTAAATGTTATCGGAACTTGACGTATAGCCTTTTTGGTGGATGAAATGAAAGTAGCGCTTTCTTTTGGTGGATGGAAAGTTTACAATGTCGAACCATTCAGAGCATTTGCATCCCGTAATCATTCTCTCTTAAACCACTGGTTCTCTTCTTTCAGAGGTTCTGTTGTGGTGATTAAATACTCAGATATTTTGAACAAAATTCCATTGTTAAGTATAAATGGAAGATGGTGTTGTATCGTCTTTTCACATATTTTTTGGCATTTCATATCCACGCACATCTTTTACGGCATTCTTTTACAACATCCATGACCATCGTCTTCGTGCTTCTGCAAGTACGAATGAAAAAAGAAAGCCCCGGTAAGATTTTCTTACTTAAAGTACAACATGTTGTCATTATAGAATTCCGGTGTGATCAGTTCATTTCAGACGAGGCGCAATCGTTTGGCGTCTTCTAATGCGCCCACGGTCATACCTTCCAAACGCATCAAGGCCGGCTGGCTCGAAGATCATATGGGTTTTAAGAAATTAGTGTCACGAGGAGCGGACCCTGACGTCTTACTTATCGGGGATTCTTTAGTCAAAGGTCTAGCTCGTTATCAGAGTGTTTGGCGAAAACATTTTGGCGACATGTCATGCCTTAATCTTGGTATTGGTGGCGACCGCGTACAGCATGTACTGTGGCGCTTGAAGCACGGTGAGCTGGACTGCGATCCTAAGATCATCGTTCTTCATTGTGGCACCAATAACATCGGCAAGGATTCTCCCAAAGAGATTGCCGAAGGTCTTCTAACTTGTGTTGATCAGATAAGCGAAGATTGCCCGCACACCCGGACTATCGTTACCGGCTTATTACCCCGGGATCTTGAACCCTCCGACTATCGTAAAGATATTGCCGAAGTGAATAAATTGTTGATGGAGAACATCGAGTTTAGTGACGAAATGAAAAATGTCTTCTTTCTCGAGACCGAGAAGGACTGGATACTAGAAACAGGTCGCCTGAACGAAAGCCTCTATTTCACGGACTGCCTGCATCTAGTGGAGGCGGGCGATGAAAAATTTGCCAAAGCCATACGGGGCAAAATCGACGAAGTCCTTAAGAATATCGAAAGCACGAAGGTAGTTGGATTCATATTAAGACTAAAGGCGATTTATCTTCGATATTCCTGCATTTCCTCTTAGTGGATCCTAACTTCCGTAATCTCGCTTCATTGTATCGGCACAATTTGTTTCCATGGTTATGACGAGTGGTCGTCATTGCTCTTCCCGCGTATTTTGATGTAGTTTGGAAAGAGTTGTTTTTGAAGGCGGGCGGCATTTTAGTTGTCTATTATGGCAGACGTGGTTCTATGTTCAATTTTTACATTTATAAACTCCAGAAAATTTTATTTTCAATATGAAATGATCCACTATCAATGGAAATGCAAGAATGTCTTTCTATCTTTGCTTTTATACGTATTTATTAAAAAAGAAATAAGTTTTTCGACTGTGTAGGGCTGCATCATCATGTGTATAGTGGATGATTTTATGATTTATCCATCATGAAGTTCAGAGTATGAATTTCATCCTGATTATTTTCTCTCCTATGCATAGGCTGCGATTATCTTTTAGATGTTTTCGTTCGTACGCTTCATCTTGTTACTGTTTCATAAAAATAGCTGTTATCATTTTTAATAACATGATTTTTTTGTTTCAGGAGAAGAACAAAGATAAGAAAGATAAAGGTATTGTAATTTTTATAATAATGTTATGAAACTGAGGAGAAGTACCTCCCCGTAATGTTAACATGATGCAAACTATCTTGCGCTAATCACGGTAAGGAGTTCTCTGGTCTCCCCACGCAACGTTAGCCAGATCCAAAATTTCCTTAACCATTCACGCGGAGATTTCTTCCAACTTCATTCAATGGAGCACAAGAATTTGTAGTCTTCACCAACTTTTCCTACATTTCCTACGTTTCCTACATTTCTCTTATTTGCCGAAACATGTTTGTATTAAAAAAGTTTGTTCTCTATATTCAATGTATTTTTTGAAATCGTGTGAATGCTTTTCTCGTGTTTATTTCTCTGTTTTCTTTAGATACAAAGAGACGAAGGAGGTATTCAGTAAATTTTTATTTTTGCGTTTATTAAATCGACCATTGAACTAAAATACATGGAACGCTACCTTAAGCAAATAATTAGATTTTACCCCAGACACGCGTTTGAATGGTTTCGAGATTCTCTCGCGATTGATTGACACACACGCGTGTCTGTGGTAAAATATACTGTGGCTGGAGTAATATCTCGCGTGTCTGGTGTAAAATCACGGCTTCAAAAAATTATTAGGGTTTTGTATTACAGGTAGCGTTCCATGTATTATAGTTTAATGAAATTAACTAAAGTCAGCAAACATTCATTCTCACAGAACTTTCTATTTTCTCACAGATCCTACTCTCGCTCTGATTCTCGTTCCCCATCCTCCCGTCGTCGCTCACGTTCGCCTTCAACTCGTCGTCGCTCGAGGACCCCACGTAAAAGGTCGCCATCTCCTCGTAAGCGTTCGCCACGTCGACGCTCCCCGTCACCAAGAAGAAGAAAACGAAGTTACTCCAGATCTCCTTCGAGATCAAGAACGCGTTCGCCTGTCCGTCGTAGATCTCCGCCTCGAAGATCGTACTCACGACGCTCTCCGTACAGATCCCGAAGATATTCACCTCCCAGACGTTCACCTCCGAGACGACGCTCCAGATCACCTCGACCATCTCGAAAGTAAGATGCACGCTTTCGTTTTAAAGTTTTAAACTTGTATTGGCTTCGGTTCTTGCCAGACCTTTAGGACCAGCTGTTAAAGTGTCTATAAATTGAGATATTTTAATGTCTTAGATACGTACAAGATCCTCTATAGGCCCGTTCACACGATCCGATTGTTCGGTTTCGACTTTTGGTTGCTTGTTTAAACGGTCTGATGATTTTGTTGATATTTATATTCGTTTAGATATTTATAGTCGTGTGAACAGCCATTTTTGTTATCAAGTACATTTATCGGTATATTTTTCTTTTTGTTATTGTCTAAAAGTCTTTTGCGTCAATTTTCCTACAGTATAAGTTTGACTTGCAACGACGACGAGCCACCAAAATCTAACCCGAACTATAACAACCCTCCCCTCCCTTCACAAAACCATCGGTAATCCATTCCTGAGTTTTTGTACTTCAATCGCGGAAGAAAGACATGATTGTTTATGGTGATACGTATATGTATAGCTACGTAATTTTATATTTTTATTTGCACTCTATGTGTACCTGTTGCTGATTATCCATGATGCTTCTGGGTAAGGGATGAGTGCTAGAGCAATGTTGAGCAATGTTTTTTTTTTCAACTCCTTCCACCTGCGATGTGTTTGTGATAAAAACTCATATAACTTATTTTTAGTTTATAACTTGTCGACAGACGAACGGATTTTAACATCGGTCGATCTCATTACACTGAATATTTGACGGGAAATCTACACTTAGTTGAGGATACCTTTGATGTCTATACCTGCACGCAGGCAACTTTTACTTACTGCCAACCTACGTGTTGAGAAGTAAAATATTTTAACTTACTGTCTGTTGAGCTATCTTTTGTCTGTACGTGAAAAGACTGGAACTAGTTTTATGGCTCGATTCCAATTTTGGCGGGAAGTAGCATTCCAGTTATGTTGAGTGCAATTGTTATGTCTGAACTACCGTTTTATAAGGATCGTTCCAATTAAAAATATATAAAATTGCAAAACCATGCTGCGATATGATGAGTTTGAATTAAAGGATTTTTCAATTGCAGATCGCGTTCCCCCTCTCCTCGACCTGTTCGTCGCGGACGTTCTCCTTCCAAGTCTCGGTCTTATTCTTCTGCATCTTCAAAATCGTCGCGGTCTCCTTCGGTTGCGAAAGGAGAAAAGAAACGGAAAGACAAAGTGGAAGTTGAAGCCAAGAAAGAGAAAGTCCGCGAGGAAAATTTTGAAAGTGAGACATACTTCCTGTTTACCTTGTGTTTTCATTACCAATAGTTCAAGTTTTCATGTTTACCTTGTATTTTCATTACCAATAGTTCAAGTATTTCATGTTTACCTTGTATTTTCATTACCAATAGTTCAAGTTTTTCATGTTTACCTTGTATTTTCATTACCAATAGTTCAAGTATTTCATGTATTTCATGTTTACCTTGTATTTTCATTACCAATAGTTCAAGTTTTTCATGTTTACCTTGTATTTTCATTACCAATAGTTCAAGTATTTCATGTTTCTATTGGTTTTCGGGCTCAAATTATATGTATCGAAGGTTGTTTAAGTCATATACATTCTTGTACATTGTTCACCGTAAATTCACATTACTATTTACAAAACTGACGTCATACTTGTTATTACGTCACCTTTACAAAATCTCTGTTTGGCCTGCTTTCGTAGGCTTTTGAATTGGCGTGTGTTTCTCTGTTTAAGACTTTCATTATATGTTAAACAAAGGTGAGAAGAAAGTGGAAGAAGATGATGAAGAACAAGAAGATATTGACTCGAAGAAAGAAAAGAAGAAAGACACAAAGAAGAAAAAGATCAAAGCAAGAGAAGACAGTGAAAGTGATTACTCATCAGATACCAAAACAAAACCGGATAAAGATTCTTCAAAGAAAAATAAGAACAGAAATTATCGTCGCCATTCTCCAACGTCTTCAGATTCAGACCGCAGTGATCGGGAACGCTCGCCTGACCGTCGTGATCGCCGACGTCGACCGTCCCCCAGACGTCGAGAGTCTTCACCGCGCAGACGCAGAAACAGCCCTCCCCGCAGACGGGATTATTCGCCCCCACGAAGAAGTCCTCCACGTAAAGACCGCGAACCTTTACGTCGTCGACGAATGTCTTCCGAAGATGACTCGAGAAGACGACGACGCCAATATTCTAGATCACCGATGAGACAGAAGAAACGCGAAAGATCTCAATCGCTTGAATCACCTCCAAAAAAACGAGCACGAAGTCCTCCTCAGAAAACCCGCAAGGCTTCTTCATCGCCCTCACCACAGCGAAAGGAAAAACCCAAACCCAGAAAACAACGCGAGCCTTCAAGTTCTGACTCCGAAAGATCCCCATCTCCTCAACCTAAACCCACTTCTCAATCAAGAAAAAACTCCAGGAAGACTCTCCTTCCCGCAAGCAAAGACGTAGAGAAAGCCCGGAATCAGGCAAGAAACAACGCAAAGAGTCTCCACCTAGTCGCAGGAAACATAGAGACGACTCTCCGGAAGTGCTTACCCGGAAATCACGTGAAGAACCGACAGAATCACGAAAAAAAGAACGCGATGATTTGTCTGAAATCCGCCAAAAACGTCACGATGATTCTGTCGATAATCGTGGTAAAAACAGCGTCGGAAGTCTCCGGAAGATTCGTCATCCGAAGCAGATGTAGTGGAAAAATATACCGAAGATACATCGGAGAGAGACGAAGATGTGTCTGCGAAGAAGAGCCGAAGATCTGGCGATTCGTCTGGAAAGAAAATGAAAACGGCACGACCGGAAACGGAGATGCAACAGGTAAAATCCAGAAGATCTCCGCCACCAAGTCCTCGTCGTTCCAGTCCTCCGCCCGAGCAATCAGGTGATGCATCAGAAAAAGAGGAAGAAGGTATTGTGATTTTGTTGAAAAATTGAAGCCAAAATTTGACCGTTTTATGTGAGAGTGGGCGTTATTAGTTATCGTACTATTTATCGGATTAGTTATCGTACTATTTTATTTGCATTTCCGGATAACTCATGGTCAGTTACTTTACATACATACGCATTTCACTTAAGCTGGGGGGAGGCAATCTTCATGTATTAAATTAACAAACGTGAACCGCGTGTTGACACAGTAAATTTCCCATTCTACAATTGAAACCAAACGTGAGGGATGATGCCAGCTTGGATGTCGATCCAAGTCTCCACAATTTTAAGTGACTCTGCCTTGTATTGTTTATTGTTTTGCTGGAAACTGAAGTTTGAAGTATAAACTTAATGAATGAGAGTTTGGCCCGTTAACTGCATGACGGTTAAAGTAAGCCTGAAGTTTGACCCGTAAACTGATGGTTACTTTAAGACTGAAGTTTAACTAGTAAACTGATGGTTAAAATAAGCCTGAAGTTTAACCAGTAAAATGATGGTCAAAATAAGCCTGAAGCTTAACCAGTAAAATGATGGTTAAAATAAGCCTGAAGTTTAACCAGTAAACTGATGGTTACTTTAAGACTGAAGTTTAACTAGTACACTGATTGTTAAAATAAGCCTGAAGTTTACCACCATGGTTAAAATAAGCCTGAAGTTTAACCAGTAAAATGATGGTTAAAATAAGCCTGAAGTTTAACCAGTAAACTGATGGTTACTTTAAACCTGAAGTTTAACTAGTAAACTGATGGTTAAAATAAGCCTGAAGTTTAACCAGTAAAATGATGGTTAAAATAAACCTGAAGTTTAACCAGTGAAATGATGGTTAAAATAAGCCTGAAGTTTAACCAGTAAACTGATGGTTACTTTAAGCTTGAAGTTTAAGTAGTAAACTGATGGTTAAAATAAGCCTGAAGTTTTACCAGTAAAATGATGGTTAAAATAAGCCTGAAGTTTGACCAATAAAGTGATGGGTAAAATAAGCCTGAAGTTTGATCCGTAAACTGATGGTTACTTTAAGCCTGAAGTTTAACTAGTACTGATAGTTAAAATAAGCCTGAAGTTTGACCAGTAAAATGATGGCCAAAGTAAGCCTGAAGTTTGACCCGTAAACTGATGGTTAAAGTAAGCCTGAAGTTTAACTAGTAAACTGATGGTTAAAATAAGCCTGAAGTTTGACCAGTAAACTGATGGTTAAAATAAGCCTGAAGTTTCACCAGTAAACTGATGGCTAAAATAAGCCTGAAGTTTGACCAGTAAACTGATGGTTAAAGTAAGCCTGAAGTTTGACCAGTAAACTGATGGTTAAAATAAGCCTGAAGTTTGACCAGTAAACTGATGGTAAGCCTGTTTTACCAGTAAACTGATGGTGAAAGTAAGCCTGAAGTTTGACCAGTAAACTGGTGGTTAAAATAAGCCTGAAGTTTAACCAGTAAACCGATAAAATAAGCCTGAAGTTTGACCCGTAAACTGATGGTTAAAGTACTGAAATTTGACCAGTAAACTGATGGTTAAAATAAGCCTGAAGTTTGACCAGTAAACTGATGGTTAAAATAAGCCTGAAGTTTAGCCAGTAAACTGATGGTTAAAGTAAGCCTGAAGTTTAACCAGTAAACTGATGGTTAAAATAAGCTTGAAGTTTAACCCGTAAAATGATGGTTAAAGTAAGCCTGAAGTTTAACCCGTAAACTGTTAAAGAAGCCTGAAGTTTGACCAGTAAACTAATGGTTAAAGTAAGCCTGAAGTTTGACCAGCAAACTGTGAACCCTGAAGTTTGACAAGGTTTTGTTTTTATAAAATTTTGTGCAAAATAATTATGAAAACATTTAATTTTGTGTAATTAAAATGTTTTAGGTAAAGATGAGCGAAGTGAAGCAAACGTTGACGAGGAAGCTTCTTCAGACGAAGAAAGATAGAAAAACAAAACGTCGATCCGCATCTCCACCGGCAGAAGATAAGGTACGCTCAGTCAGTTTGGCATTGTGTGATATTTCAACTACAGAGAACTTAGACCCATACACAGACGCTAAATGTTGTATAGTACATAAGTGCAATTCGGCATTACTCTAAAAACAGTGGAACGCTGTTTATTAAGGTTAACGATCTTGTTCTTTGTGGACGCAAGGCGTCTTGTTCTCAACGATCTTGTTCTTTTGTGGACGCGGGAAGTAATTCGTTTTCAAATTAGCTTTATTCTGATGATGACTAATCCTCGATTGAGTTTGATGTTGTGGATCTCGATTGGGATTATTTCGAAAATGAGCCATTTGCTCTTGAACAAACAAAGTTAGATGAAATTCCTCGCCACGATCCACTCTAAAAGCGCAGTCGATACTCTGTCATTTATTAAGAACAATCCAACATTGATCATGTACGAAACGTGAACTTATGGCGGCATGCTTTCTTTCTCAAAAAAATTGTATATTTTTTTGCCACTTTGTAAATTGCTGCGACCAATAAACTTGAGAAATTTTAATCAGATTTGAATCTTGGTCTCTCATGCGCGGGGACATAAATTTTTTTATCTTATGTTCCGTATTTGACATGCGTGTACTACACGGAGTCATCGTGATAAAAGTTGATATAAATACAATGTGAGTTACTATTAACAGCTAGCAGAAATTGACACGTAACGCCTGATGAGTTTTCTGCCCAAATGCATAGTTCTTATGCATTTCTGAAAACTCTTGGGTTATTTTTGAAAATGTGTTTTCAAAGTAACCACCACAAGAGATTGTCTGTTTTATTTAAGAACTTAGGTCATCAATTTTCTTCAAGACAATTGTTCAAACATCGATCTTTCTCTCAAGATTTTCTGTATATTTGTCTAGGAAAGCTCGGGTGAGGAAAAAGATGAAAAGTCAGAGTAGAAAGACAGAAAAGAAAAGGAAACATAAGCACAAAAACGAGGGAGAAAACATAAAAGCATAAAAGCATAAATCGAAAGACAATCTGAAGTAAGTTTCTTTGTTAGGAATGGTCGTATATTTGTTAGGAATAGTCGTATATTTGTTAGGAATGGTCGTATATTTGTTAGGAGTATCTCGTATCTTTGTTAGGAATGTTCGTATATGTGTTTGTAATGGTCGTTTATTTGTTAGGAAAGGTCGTTTGTTTTTTGTTAGGAATAGTCGTATATTTCCCTAGGAATAGTTGTATCTTTGAAACCTCAGTTTCACCATGTCACGAAGTCTTTATCTTTCCTTATAAGAAATTGGAAAGCGATGACGATGAAGATGAAGAAGAAGAGGAAGAAGAAAATCTTGATCTTGTGGAGAAATCACTGCGTGAAAAAGCTCTAGAGTCTTTACACAGACATAAAGTCAGAAATGAAGACGAGGACCACGATAACGATTAAATCGTCCTGTGTTTGAGCGATAAACGACCACAAGGAATCTCACCATTTTCGTTGATTCCACGATGTGAATTAGAGAAATCCCACAGTCTGAGTATTTTAGCTTGTGTTGACCGAAGGAATGTCAAATCGCTTTAACAGATCAATTTTTTTATTGTATAAATGTCTACCTACTTTAGCTTAAAAATACTTGACGTGTTTTCTGTTAGAACTTGTGCTGTGACCGTCACTTGTAAAATTTAATGAATTGGTCTGCATAGTGCATAAGTTCTGCATAGTCTGCATAGTGCCACTTTCAAAAACTGGAAATAAATGTTTACCGATTTTAACAGTCTTCTTGTGATGTTTATATTTTGATATTTTATGCGGTATTCAGAGAGGTCCAATAATTGGACTCGCTGAGCTACTGAGGCAAAAATAAGTCTGGCATCCGGGTTATTCTTTGTTCTACATACATGATTGTATGTCGTCTTCTATTCGTCGTCATCCTCTGTGTAGCTTAATGTCATCTATTGCCATCTTCAGTAACCTATTGTCATCCTCAGTAGTACACTGTAAACTGCTTCCAAGGCCCGTCCATTTTCATCTTCCGTAATCTGCTTTCATCCTCTGTAAATTATTGTCAACTACCGTCATTCATTGTTATCTTCAGTAACCCATCGTCGTCTACTGTCAACAACTGTATCCCACCGTCACCTGTCTTCATCTACTGTGACCTACTTTGATCTTCTGTCATCTATTGTCACCAACATTAACCTATAATCCCTTACCTTACATGTACCTATCGTCACCTACCGACGTCTACTTTCACATATTCTAACACCTTCATACTGGCGTATGAAGAACATGGAATTATCATACGCAGATAATTATTTCGCCAACAATAATACTTTTACGGCGACAAAAAATCGCACAATTTATGTTCGACAAAAAACGCGCATCAACATTCTCACGTCAAACGCGCATCAACATTCTCACGTCAAACTTTGAATAACGGAAGTACATTCCTAAAAGTATACTTTGCAAACTTGAAGACTTTTGGAGCATTTCATCAACAAAAAGGGCTGAGAAATGTCCAGTGAGGACGTTGAGAAGTTTGACGCTACGTTCTTTGCCATTGCCCAGCAATGCGAAGGTGGAATTCAAGAGGCGAGAATTTCCTGAATTTTGTTTTGTTATGATATAATTCATATTGCATGGTTCATTTACACGGTTTAAGCAACCATCCCAAGGCAACTTTGTGTGATTAATGGCGTTGATTCAATACTGGAAATGTAATGCGTTCTTGTGGTGTCTAAAAACCTTTCCAAAAAGTCCTTGAGTGTTAAATGGCTTACTTTCGAGTGTATGTCAGAATGTTGAGCACGTGGTTTATCGTTCAGATGAGAGTCTATCAAACCAGATTTCATTTTAACTATTACCTCGTGCATTTCTTGCTCGATTCTTCGATTATTTAACAATGCTCTAACTTTTTTCGTATTATAACTCGCTGCATGACAATTCATTGAAAATATCTAAAGAGGGAACAAGTCATACAACCCTTGCGGAGGAAGCCATTTTCATTTTGAAAGTTTTATCGTGTAATGTAACTTTCCAGGTCAACAGCATTCGTTATGTCTTTAGAAATATTTTTTTTCTGCGAGTGACCACCAAAATTATTACATAGCACAGTTTAACTTTCCACATGACATCATGGCTTGTTTTCTTTTGCCAATTTTTTAAAATTCTGATAGACTTTCTTTCATGAGAAAAAGCATCCTTACTGATCAGAGTCAGAGAGAGATAATCTTATCTATGGGGTTCAGTCTATGGGATGATCCAACTTTGTAGCCCAACAGAGTTTTCTATGATTCTTAATAATTTCGAATGACTATTGAAATTGTTACTTTTTGAATATGTAACCAATTCAAATGCAACCTGAACCTCACAGTGCACCGTTGATTATTCGAATGATTTATTAATGATAAAAAACTTATTCGGCTACAGTGTGAGGATCATCATTTATGTTTTCACTACAATGACAGCGAAGTGCCAGGTGGGAAACGGATTCTCAAAATAAATATTAGAGCCCAACAAATAACTTTGAACATAATCATAAACTAACCCATTAATGTCAACTATTCTTTCTCATAGTAACTCCTCCAACCACCCTGCTTCACCAGACGATTTTAAAATCATCTCATCCTGCTCCGACACATTTGACCTCATGATCCACGAAAGCCTCCTCATCTCCAAACTAAAACCTTCACTTAACACTCAAGGCAGCTCCATCCTTCTTAAGCTTTTCTAGTCTCAACACCTCACCCTAACAATACATCACAACATACTTACACAGCCACAGTGATCTGATACCTCAAACTATGTAAATGACTCTCTATACATCTATAATTCTTGTTAACTTCCTTATTAGTCTGAAGATTTCTTGAGTAAAGACGAAACGTCACTATTTTAATAAATTTCATAAAACCAAATTGTTTATGACTATGTTCAAAATTATTTGTTGGGCTCTTATATTTATTTTGAGAATGCAATGACAGCATGAAAAATGCGTGTGAACTGTGAAGTAGAGGGTAGGTAAATGTATAACTTTCTGTTGAGGGCATTGATTGCAACTTTTACTGTGACGTTGTATGTTTTTTGATAATTGTTTTTCATTTGCAGTTGCTTGATGTTTTCTTTGGTTTCCTTGGACGTAAAACTGATTTTTTTACTGGTGCGAACAGGGGTCAGGCAGAAAAGGTAAGATAATCATACATAACCTCTTTTGATTGTGAAGTGTTTATTACAGAATCATTAAAGTAAATGGTTTGAACCCGGGAGTATCGTTACATGTTTGTAGATGTAGATCGTCCAGGTTGGTATAGTCTTGAGAAGGACTGTTTTCGTTGTTGTTGACTGACGTTTCGACAACCTTAGCGGTAATCATTTTCAGAGTCAAAAGAAAAAAAAATTTACTAATCTGGACGATCTACATCGACAAACATGTAAAGAATTATTGTCAAACCCTCAAATGATCTTCGTGGCCATTTTCTTGGTTGAATAAATAGACAAACGTTGTATCAATATGCAATTTTATGCATCTTTTTATAAGTATGGATGTTTTATGCACCTTTGGTGGATGTATAAAAATTTGTGTTGTTTTTGAATCAAATAATTCTTTTCAAAAGCTTGCTGGTGATTTTTTTTATAAACGTATTTCTTTGCATGGGCAAATAACTATCCAAAACTATGGCCATCTGAACGGTTGAAAACATGCCTAAAAGAGGAAGACCAAAAATTGTTAGCTACTCAAATAAATACTTCGTATTTGGAATCAGACACTTTTAACTATTGTTGAAATTATACAAAGAGAATGATCATCCTGTGTTGGAATAAATTATCATATTTAGCATGAATATGATGAAACAAGAGGTGTGCATTGCATTGTGGTTGACAATGATTCTTTAAGAAACTGGAATAGAGTAAACATGATTGGGAAATGAAGCAATAGTGGGTTCACAATAGTTTTTTAAGGGTGGGGTGGGTGGGGTTCTCTAGTTTTAATTAGATTTTTGTTGCTAATTTGTTGCCATAGCATGCCAATGTTTTTTTCTCAAATTTTTTTTTATTTATCATTAAGAGATTTTTGGAAGTATGCTCCATTAAACACTAATCACATTTCCTTTACTCAATTGCGAACACATTCTCTTGAATCCATCCCTGCAATGATGTCGTCTTCTGTATCCAGGCTTCCCCCTTCATGTACCCATTACCCCACCAACCTATCAAATACAAAAAAACTCCATACCTAACTAGTAAGTGTACTTCCCCCTTTTCTTCCCTCTTCATTATCCTGGGCCGTGTGGTTGCCGGCTTAGAATTGCGCCAACGTATCCTCTGCGTGTCGTAAAAGACGACTAAAAGGGGTTGGTGTAAGGAAGGGCATCCTACCGTAAAACTTTTGCTCCAACAAAATTCATGAACTTTGAAAAGAAGATATGGCCCCCAGTCCCCTTCAGCCCTTCAGTGGGCAGAATCTCCGGATCGAATGTTGGGAAGTGTCACCCTTCAGGTGGGCACAGTGAACGTTGGGACAATGAAGGAAGGAGTGCAGAAGTGGCGACATGTTGAAGAGAAGGAAAGTTGATGTGTGTGGGTTTCAGGAGGTAAGGTTTAAAGGTGAAGGTACGAGAGTCATAAAGGGTGAAGATAATGGAGCGAGATTTAAGTGGTTTTGGAAGGAAACGGAAGTGGCACGAATGGTGTTGGCTTTGCGATAAGAGAGGATTGGGCGAAGTCGGTTGTAGCAGTGAAGAGTTTGGACAGAGTCCTGAGAGTTGATGTAGTTATTGAGGCGAAGTTGTGAGTTTCGTTGTGGTGTATGCTCCGCAGGTGGACGAAGTGCGGAGGAGAAGAAAAAGTTCTACGACAGCGTGTATGCAGTGAGAGCAGACATTAGAGGGCGATGTGTGATGCTTGGTGATTGGAACGGTCATGTGGGAAGCGTAAGAAAAGGATACTGTGTGCATGGAGGTTTTGAGTTGGTGATATGAATGCTGAAGGCGAGGCGATATTGGAGTTAGCAGCAAGTGGGGATGGTGAATACGTGGTTTATAAAGGAAGAAAAAAAGCTTAGACGTATGAATCTGGTGGAGTAGGACGGTGGTGGATGAAGAAGAGAGGAATGGATGGTGGATGGAGAAGAAATGACCAGCTTCAAGCTGCTGGTCATGGACTGGAGAATCAGAAGGTGAAGAGGAGAAATAAGTTGAGGGTAAAGGCAGGCTTTTGGCCATGGAAGTTACGATCGATAGAAGGGAAGCAGTGTTTCCGTGACGAAATTGCGACATTGAATATTGAGGGTGAGACGGTGGAGGAACGATGGACGTGCTTGGAGAAGGGTGTTTTAACGCGGAGAAGGTATGTTTAGAAATAAAGGCGGTGTAGTAGAAGAACAGGTATGGTGGTGGATCAACGAGTCAGCGAAGTGATTGGCGGAAAGCTGGATTTAAAAGGTGGAGAAAGTCGCGGACTGAAGCAGATAGATCGATTATCCGGTTCAAGAAAAAGGCGCGGAAAGGAGGTGGCTAAAGCGAAAAAGGCATCAGTGAGCTTCCGTAAAATGCAGGAGAATGGACGAAAAGCGTTTTGCAGAACGGCTAGAAGGAGCAAAGAAGGAGAAGAACGATATTTTTTGCGCCCCGGGCGCAGAAACCGATGGGGAGTTGAAGGTGTTATTGGAAAGAGGTTAGAAGTGTGGAGGGCGTACTGTGACCGTTTTGATGAATGTAGAGAATGAATGGAATGGAGAAGGAAGCGGATGAAGTTTTGGGGCCGTGGGAAATGGTGACTGTTGATGAGGTGGTGGCGGTCTGCAAGATGAAGAAAGGAAAGGACTGGAGTGAAATGAGAAGGAAATATGGACAATGAGAGTTAGAAGCGAATGGAGGGGCTCAAAGATGGAAATGGAACGGAAGAAAGGAAAGGGAGTAGTGAAGGGGAACAGGAAGATGGAGGAAGGAAGATGGAAAGAAGGTTGGAAGTTGTTCGGATGGGGAAGAGCGGCGGATTCATACCGGGAGAGGAACGATGGATCGTGTTTTGTGCTTGAGACAGCTGCAGGAGAAATTTTTGGAGAAGGATGGAGAATCAGCGGTGTTTGTAGATTTGGAGAAGGCGTTTGATAGAGTTCCGAGAAAGGTGACTGAGTACGCGCGCTGCGTAAGAAAGGTGTGACAGAGAATATGGTTCGGGCAGTTATGGAGACTTATGAAGGTGTAGAGGCGGTGGTTACGGAGGAAGGTGTTAGATCTGGTGTTTTGAGGTGTTGGTGTTCATCAAGGTTCAGTCTTGTCGCCGTTACTGTTTGCTTGTGTGATGGATACCAAACAGAGGAAGTGAGAAGAAAGAAGGATGCTGGTGTTTGTTGTATGCAGATACACTTGTCTTTCTGGTGCGGAGTCGAAGAAAAAGTCATGGAATGGTACCGAGAATGGAAAAACGGCAATAGAAGTCAAGGGACTGAAAGTGAATGGAGGCAAAGACGAAGGGCATGAGATGCTCGAGGCAGGTGGAGGTGAAGGACAGGATAAATGGCCATGTGTGTGGGAAAAGAGTTGGAGGAATTCGATAATGTGTGGAAATGCAGTAAGTGGGTTCATGGAAGATGTTCAGGTGTCCGTGGTGCATTGACAAAGTAACTGATTTTGAGTGCGGGACGTGTCGAAGTGGTGGGCGAGTCGCGATTGAACGGTTTGAACTGGGTGACGTGAGTTTGGAAGGTGTATCGGAGTTTAAATATCTGGGCGATGTGCTAAATGATGGTGGAGGGTGCGAGCAAGCGGTGAGGAACAGAGTTCAAGCAGCGTGGTGGAGGAGTTAAATGGAATAAAGGGAAGGGGAAAGGCATAATGGAAGGAAAGAGGAAGATGGAAAGGAGAATGATGGATGGATGGAAGTGAAGAGATAGAGTGAAGTGAGAATGGAAGGAGGGAAGAAAGCTGAAATTGCAGAAAGTTGCAGACATTAAATATGAATGTTGATGGAGTCCGCAAACGAGGTAGACCGAGAAAGAGATGGATGGATGCTGTGAACAGTGATATGAAGGCGATGGGTATAACGAGAGATATGGCGAGAGATAGAGACGTTTGGCGTGGAAAAATTCATGGACCGGTCAACCCCCCTAGCGGGGATTAATACTGGCCGGTATATAAATGTTGTTTGTTTGTTGTTTGTTCATTATCCTATCAAGTACATAACAACTCCATACCAAACTAGTAAGTGTACTTCCCCCTTTTCTTCCCTCTTCATTATCCTATCAAGTGCATAACAATCCTATACCTAACTAGTAAGTGTACTTCCCCTTTTTCTTCCCCCTTCATTATCCTATCAAGTACATAACACAACTCCATACCTAACTAGTAAGTGTACTTCCCCCTTTTCTTCCCCTTCATTATCCTATCTAGTACATAACAATCCCATACCTAACTAGTAAGTGTACTTCCCCCTTTTCTTCCCCTTCATTATCCTATCTAGTACATAACAATCCCATACCTAACTAGTAAGTGTACTTCCCCCTTTTCTTTCCCCTTCATTATCCTATCAATTACATGACAACTCCATACCTAACTAGTACGTAAATGCACTTCACACTATCTCCTTCGCCCATCGTCTTATAAAATAGACCATTACTACGTAACTAGTCACTTGCGACGGAATATTTTTGTACAATTGGAATTTCGACGGATGGAAAACTAACCTTGGTTCCTAATGTTATATGATGCGAACAAGACATCTTGCTTTCACCATGTATAACTGAAATCCATCTTTTCTGCTTTTAGATTATTTTAGATAAATTTAAAGAACACGAGAAGAAGGCCGTCAAGGTAGGCTATGGTAAAACATGAACGATTTTTCACTCTAGGGTAAAGAAACGCACGATTTTTTTCTTTTGGACTGATGCACGAGAAAGCTGAGCATAATAAGTTTTCATTACGTTGCTCTTTCGAAATTATAATTCTTTCACGAGCGGGCAAAATGAATTTCGTAATAAGGCAAGAAAGACTTCCCAAACCGCAGCTGCTGTAAATCAGCGTTGGCCATCTTTTATAAAATTGAATCAAAGCAAGAAACAAGTTTATGAGCTGCTAACTTCCTTTTCAATTGATTATACTATTTGAAATTTTAACGAGAAAACCGCTAATTTCGTTGATTGCCAATACGGTATCACTTAGTCCCGATGCAGCAAGCAGCAACCACAGGCTCGGAATTTCCCACTTACCAAGCATGCGCAGAATATCCAAAGTGGATTATTCAAACTGGAGAAGTTTTGAGACGGTTACATTACGAAATGTCCTACGTTAAATGGTTCGGTTAATAGTGCCACTTAAACATGTGTTGCTGAAAACATTCGGTGTTGAAAGGCCTGAGATTTTACTAATCCTTAATTTCAAGATGTCTAAGGCTTGGCGTGTACATTTATTTTGTTGCTTTTAGGCAAAGGAGAAGGAGAAGAGAGAACAGGAAGAAAAAAAGGCCGCGAAGGAAAAAGCAAAGAAAGCGAAAGAAATGGAGGAAGGTAAGAAGAAGAAAGAATCTGCTGACGAACCAAGGATAAAAGAACTGACTGATGAAGAAGCGAAAAAATTAGAAGAACAAATAAACTTAAATAACGGAGAGACTATGGATGACGAAACTGATGTGAAAGCGCCCGAGAGCAAGACAAATGATAAGGATAATAAGGTTTATATCCTATATATTGGTGTTTTTCATTCTACAGTTGATTTTGTAGTTTAGTTGGTAGAACATTTGAAGACAATGATTTCCTTGTTACTATACCTGAGTACATCACAACAACGTGTTGTTATTATCTACGATATTAAGATATGAAAGAAAATAGACTATGTTTTGAAATATCATCATAGTCTACCGCTGGTCTTGTTGCTATTTGGTAGAACATTGTACACCATGATTATCTTGTTACTTTACCTGAGTACATGAAAGAAACTGGAACTGTGTTTCTTAGTATCATCATAGTCCACAGAATACATGGATTATACAATTGCATCATTAATAATTTCCATCATTCAGAATGATAGCGATGAAGACGAAGATTCCAAAGGCAAACTAAAACCAAATGCTGGAAACGGATGCGATCTAGAGAACTACAGCTGGACACAGGTTGGTGCTCTTGAACTCCCGTCGTTATAGTCTGATAAACTTATTATTTCTTGAGTTCTGTGTCACAGCATGCGTAGAATAACACAGGTTTGAGTTTTTCTGGAGCTCGTGTATCCACTTTGTCTGATGACTTTTCAAACTTTATTTCCAACTTTAATAGGAGATTTAGAGTTTGTCCTCCGAAATCGATAACTATTTTAATGAAAGCGGGAGGTGTCACGTTTTAAACTTTTCATATCACTCACCTTCTAATGGCTTCACTATACTGTGTTATTTCTGTCTACAGTAATGTAACGATACTATTTTCAAACTATTTTTCCTAATCATTGCTATTTCATCTCCTTTCTCAGGTTCTTTCTGAACTGGAGGTACGTTAATGAAGTCGGGATTACTTTTTAATTACGTCATTATGTATTACGTCATCATACACGTTCGTCATTGCAAGCATGGGCAATTGGAAAATTTTATCGACGTTGTGAAGACTATTGCGAAAACTGTTAATCACTGAAACGTCAAATTGATTTTAATGTTGAAATTATTACTGGTAGTTGTGGCCGTTTGTTAACATTTGCGAGTCTTGCATGCTTTTTTCTCGAAGATATCGGTAGATTTCTGAAAGATTTGTTTCTAAAAGCAATTTTTAAGGACCTGTTTCTTACAAATTTGACGTGACAAAATGATCAGTTTGAAATGGAATTTAGGAGATAGTTTCGTCACGAGTTTGTTGAATGGTCGAAATTTGCGTCCTAAACTTTGGTAAATTTTTCGAACTGTCTTTTACTTTATTTCTTTATTATTACAGCTAAGAGTACCGTTGAAGGTCAATTACAAAGTCAAAAGTAGAGATGTTGTAGTCGATGTTAAGAAGAAGGTAAGTCAAAAGTAGAGATGTTCTAGTCGATGTTAAGAAGAAGGTATATATTTTTTTATATGATGCTTTTATAATCAAAGGACGAGACATTTAAGTAAATAATGATTATGGTGAGTCCAGGATAAGTGATAATAAATTTTAGCAGCGCAATTTGAAATTCAGAATACCATTATAAAATGGAGATGACTACCGCTAAGGTTGTCGAAACGTCAGTCAACATCAACAACAATAGTCTGTCTCAGGACTATACCAACCTGGACGATCTACGTCCACAAACATGTAGCGAAACTGCCAGGTTCAAACCATTTAGTTTATGACAAAGTTAGTGGTGCAAAATCTTTTTAACTCGTCAACTGATGTTTCGAATTGTTTTTGACGTATCCAAGATCACGATGTTGTTGTTTATTTTGACTGACACTGTATTTGACACTGTTTATGAATGGTTTTAATGTAAAGTACGCTACAGAAATAACAAATCCAAACACCAAATAGTTTCTGTTTATCGCTATTGTCTGATTCACCCAATCAGGTAAACTATTCATTTCAGTCAGGTACTTAAAGAATGCTTCTTATACGGTTGTACTAGTCGTCTCAATTCACTCGTTTCAGTTTTCTGGATACAGCTCAGTCTTATCTGTTTCCGTTCTAAGGACGACTGAGAAAACTGAAACGACTCCGGGCGACTATTCGAGAACCAGGCTTATCTGACACTGACCGTGTGGGGTGCATTTTTCTATGACAACGAAAATACTGGATGTATACATCAAAATTATAAAGCGTACCTCATTTAACGACTGCATTTTACCAACGTATGCAGAAAAACATATATATTGCAAGTCATTTTTGTTGTAACCCATTTACTCAGTCGAAGATATAAAAAGTTGCAACGAAAATAGTTGTGTCTCGTGTTTTTCAATATTTACGTAAATTGTATTTTCAGACCATCAAAGTTGGTTTAAAAGGTCATCCTCCCATCATCGACGGTGAATTATATAAAGAGGTATGTGCGATGTTAGTTATACACGTGTTTTGTTGTTTGGAAATTGTTTGGGCGAAGATTTGCATTGTGGGATATTTAAATGAAGATTGACGTGTTAACTGTCACCTTACGCAGCTAAGACTTTGTCCTGCAGTCACCTTTAAGTTGCTCTCTGCAATCTTAGAAACAGCCTTGGAACGATTTTGGCTGAAAACTAGCTTAAGACAATTACTTTTGAGATTTGATCTTTGCAAGTGCTTGAATTTTCCAACTTGAATACAATTTGCAATATTCTGTTGATATCTAACTCATCGTACTCCATAGGCAACAACATGTGGCAATTGTTTTACATACAATTAAGTTGCCAGCATTGTGTCATTTGGCAACAACATGTGGCAATTGTTTTACATACAATTAAGTTGCCAGCGTTGTGTCATTTGGCAACAACATGTGGCAATTGTTTTATACAATTAAGTTGCCAGCATTGTGTCATTTGGCAACAACATGTGGCAATTGTTTTACATACAATTAAGTTGCCAGCGTTGTGTCATTTGGCAACAACATGTGGCAATTGTTTTACATACAATTAAGTTGCCAGCATTGTGTCATTTGGCAACAACATGTGGCAATTGTTTTACATACAATTAAGTTGCCAGCGTTGTGTCATTTGGCAACAACATGTGGCAATTGTTTTATACAATTAAGTTGCCAGCATTGTGTCATTTGGCAACAACATGTGGCAATTGTTTTACATACAATTAAGTTGCCAGCGTTGTGTCATTTGGCAACAACATGTGGCAATTGTTTTACATACAATTAAGTTGCCAGCATTGTGTCATTTGGCAACAACATGTGGCAATTGTTTTACATACAATTAAGTTGCCACCATTGTATTATTTTTATAGGTGAAAATGGAAGAATGTATATGGGTTTTACAGGATCAAAATACTGTTGTAGTTACGATAGAAAAGGTCAGTCCTTGTCTCCATGGAAACTTTGCAGTATTGCAGTTAGTTGAGAAAATTCGAACGAGTCATACATACAGTACAGTAGATAGTGTAAACTTTCCATAATGTGCACGGCTTCAATTTAGACTGTGAAAATGCTTCGGCTTATTTAAGGTGAGCATTGTAAAAACTTTAAAGTGATAAAAGACAGTTTCCTTGGATGTTATAGTTTATTACATGCGAAGAACTCTAGTAAATAAAAGACATATTTCGAAAGCAAAAATTTCTGTTTTCGGTCCATGCCTCCCGATACCGTGAAATTAAAGGACACTAGAGCGTCACATATAGAGGTTTTGAGGGACATTTCGGCCCCTCCACGCTATCCTACTTGAGGATAGTATCCTACTTGAGGATAGTATCCTACTTGAGGATAGTATCCTACTTTAGCATTCATGTAATGGAACTGTTACAAGCTGTATACATATTGCATGGCGGGAAGAGTTAACATACGTAGAATCAATGAAATTAAGCATTTAGAAGCAACTAAGTTGTTGTTTACAATTGTAGGTGAATAAAATGGAATGGTGGTCCAAAGTGGTCGTCACTGATCCTGAAATAAACACGAAAAAAGTTCAACCAGAAAATTCGAAGGTAACTTTGTTGTTCAATTTTTCTGGGTATTATCCGGGAACTTGAAATGAAACAGCACTTTCGTTTCCAATTTTTCTTAGACCGCTTGCCCACTTATTTAACAGCTCAGTTCAATTGTTTAATTCTGTTTTAGACAATACACTTTGATCTATCTTCAGATTTGCCGACAGGGGAGAGGGCAAACAGGGGCATCTTGCTTTGATCACTCCCTATTTCTCTGCGTTATCTACTGATATTCCGTGCATGCTGTTAAATAACGATAAATGTGTCCTTATCAGTTTCCGGCTACTGTGTTAGCTGTAAGGTCCGAGGATTGATTTTAATTCCTGAAACGACTTCAAACTTCAATAAATACACGGTATGGTACTGTCATGAGAACAGAGATTTCTCCCTTTCCTTTTAGTTGTCTGAGCTTGATGGTGAAACACGTGGTATGGTTGAAAAAATGATGTACGACCAGAGACAAAAAGCTGTAAGTCTTTTCCCATCATGCATATTTTTAAGAAATTTTTATGCAAAATCTTTTTGATAATCGCATCTGTTAGATAGATAAAAGCATCAACAATGGGCTGTTCAAACCACTTGCGACACTTTCCGATGACTCATATATTCGTGAAGTGTCGATATGCTAGTACATAGCATCATTTTCTGTCTTCTATCGTGATCTTTCAACTGTGCTTAATGAGATAATTTTCGTAAAATACGCCAACGATTAGACATTTTATAAGTTATTCTAAGCAGAGCTCTCTATTTGTAAGCCGTTAAAAGTAGGAGATGTTTGTTTTATAATTGAAATACAATTGTTAAAAGTTATTGGTGGTTTTCCATTATGAAAAATGTAGTCCATCTCTCATCGAACTAAATATACATCTAGAATGATAGGTTAAGGTAAATATGTCTGTACTGCTAGAAACAAAATATATTTTCAGACACGCGTGTTAAGTCCCGTATTTTTGCTTACTGATGTAATGACTTTTATATGGGCCGTGCATTGAAAGACTGGAACTAGTTGGATTACTGGCTTCCAACTTAAAAGCAGGTCGTCTTCCAGTTATATCCAGTGGAGGGTGGATTTACTGGCAGGGGGGAGGGTGTGCGCAGAGATGTATAACTTGCGTTGGGTTTTTTGTTTGGAGACTGTGGTGTCTACATAAAATATGTCTATGAGGCTGCTTTGTTGTTGTGTAATGTTAAAACCTGCTCTTTTTTTCTTTTCATATTAGATGGGATTACCTACTTCGGATGATAAGAAAAAACAGGATGTTTTGAAAAAGTAAGCGATTTCACTTTCTTTGCTTTAAACGACGAGTGCAGTGATTTCACTTTCATTGTTGTGAATGACGGACGCAATGCGATTTGCTTGTTCCAGATTCGATAATCTTTACAAACGACAAAGCATTGTAACTTCTTTATCATTTTGATCGTTTAGATTCATGGAACAGCATCCAGAAATGGATTTCTCACAGGCTAAATTCTCATAATCATGCAAGCTGTTTTTCATGCATATTGTACTGTCTGGAACATGTTTTCATACAAATTTCATGATTTTTCGTTTGACTATGCTCAATGCTGCCGTAGAAAAGGAAAGTAGCACAAAATATCAATGTTTACTGCCATTATAAGTTGTCAATTCTCGCCTATCAATAGGTCCAATGGTGGAGCTTGCGTTTGGTAAAATAAGTGATAACAGCTCGTATGTATTTACGTTTTGAAATAATTTGCACTCAATTTGATTGGAAATTTTGAATTTATAATTAAGCTGCTATAATTTATTTTATCTAAAACGGTGTGTCTGCTCCGCAGATATGTTTATTAAAACTCTGTAATTTGATGCAAGGCATACATCTTGTGTAAAATTTTCACGTCATATTTGTTTTGCTCGAAGCGATCACGGTTTTTTCCAAATTAAGCCCAAACTCATCAACACCGTCGGTGACTATTATATTGATCGTCAAAACAAGTCAACGTAATATTATTCTAGATAAAAAGTTACTCCAATAGCAGCTGCTCTTTATGTATTCATGTATAAGTTGACAGTAGCCCACTTCGTCTGACTGTGATGCCATCAAACTTTTCTTAAGTACTAAGACATTGCATAGCGATCAATTATTGGCTTCAAAGGCGGGAAAATGAGTTCTTTAAAAGATGTTGTGTTTAAACTGCGAGATATTGAGCCTGCAATGGTGTCGGCTTGGAAGGAAGCGTTTCATTCCATTCGTTTTGATTGTAATATCGAGGTTAGTTTCCTTAATTTAGTGCGTAAAAAATCTGGCGTCTTTGTCTCCATTTACTTAACGTAATATTTGAAATGAAAAGCTTTTCTTCTTGGTAATTTGTCTCATTTATACTGCAGTATATGTAAACTTTCGGTAAAACGTCTTTGTTTGATTTTATCTATTGCGCGTTATTTGTTGTTCATGGCCAAAATGCATCTCAACTATACAGAACGTTGTTGTACTCCGTGCGTACCGAATTCTCAAGGTAAGTGCGACGGTAGATGTCCTTCAAATTTTTAAGTGAGGCAACTGATTCAGACAGACGACAGCACACTTCATGTATGCCGAATACAAGTTCCAGAACTATTCGTGATAAACATGGTAAATTACCCATAACAATGTCGAGTTTGAAACATCTGTTGTTTCTTTCTAATTTTCTACAACGAACTCATCTGCGAAATGATATTTTTCATAATAGAACTTTCTCGCACTACGAATGTTTACTCTACAGCGCTTCATACAGGCTACCGGTATCACCCTCACCTTTGGGGGCTATGTTATTGGGAAAGGGGAAAGCATGACGGTCGTATGAGGAAATTGAAGCTTTTTAGGGAAAATGAGCAGGACATAGTGGCAGCACTAATTATTTACTGGTTACGTGAAGTACAAGGTACAAGTGGTACAAACCGACTAGGGAAAAACATTTTTTTAACAATAAATTTTGTGTGATGGCATTTCAATTCACAGCCCCAGAAGCAATAAACACAGACGTCGCTATCAACGAAAATGAAAAAACTCAAGAAGCTGTAGCAGTGGAGGAGAATAATGCTAAAAGTTCCGAGCGCACGAGTTGCTTCTCAAAGTCATGGAAAGGTAGTGACGTAATTCTTCAAGTTGAAAGTAAAGATATTCATGCTCATCGTTTTATTTTGTCGATGCAATGTGATGTGTTTGAAGCCATGTTTAACAGTGAATACGCCGAGACAACGAAAGAAAAGGTCGAGCTGAAAGACGATAAATACGAGCCAATGATCGATTTCTTGTTATTATTGTATCCGGCCAATATGATGAACGAGGAAGTGAAACTGCGCGACGAAAATATTCTACAAGTTCTCGAAATAGCAGACAAATATGGAGCAATAAATGTTGTAAAGCAATGCATGAAGAAGGTAAGAAAGATTCGACCAAAGACAGCGATGCATTTACTGCCGTATGCTGCAAGATTTAACCTACCGACGGATGTTATAACCGATGTGATTGTTCGCCATGTTTCAGCGAAAGATTTAAAGAGTTTTTTCACACGAAACTGATACTGATCTTTTTTTGCGGTCAGTAATTAAAAAATGTGAGCTTTTAGAGAGTATTGTAGAACGAGGAAACACTTTAATAATTCAACTAATTCAAAATGTTCTACAAAATTGCGAGACAACTCAGACAACTGCTTCCTGTCACGACATGGGTTTTTCCTTGTCAAATAGTTCGAGTAACACTCGATACCTTGCCAGTAACAGCATAGGATCAAAAGGAAAACAGAATAAAATCATAAAATTTGCATTACCCTCAGATAAACGTGTGAACTGTTTGAAACATGGTGTAGGTTATCTCGAGGATTTCAATGAAGCGAGAAAATGCGAGAATTGTTTGTTGGCTTACGAGAAGAATTACGTTGTTAATTGTGCGAAGAGACTTGTTCATTGGAACGATAAGAAACTATCCATCCTTGAATTACTTAAAGATAGTGATGACATAACAGCATATAGAAACCCAGTGGGCAAAACAGCGCTGAAACAATGGTCATCTCGAATGACTGAATGAAAGATCGTGTACCTCCGAATTAAATGTAATACTAAATACAATGATAAATACAATTAATCAGTAATTAATATAATTCTATCAGTCTCAAACTTATTGTAAATAGATTTAAACTATCAATGATTTGCGTTTATATCTATAAAAATCCACATGCAAATACGCGTCCATCTTTTCATGTTGTGAACGCGAACGCTTTAAAAAGGGGGTCCAGCACTGTGCGTATGTTTTAATGCCTTTGTTGTCGTATCTGGTCTTTTTTAGGGCATTACACCACTACTAACACAAAAGTATATTTTACGAAGTCACCATTGCTATGGTTACTCAGTTTAACTCCCCATAATAGTAAATAATGGTGCATTTGTAAAAATGATATCTAGCGAAGCTAAAAGATTTTTTGGGCCGCCTATGAAATATACCGCTTGAGTTTCAAATCATTTTCTTGTCAGATTTCTTGTGGTGACATCTTCAATGACGCTCCGTGGGCAGACGCCATTGTCTCGCCTTCGAATAGTTTTGGTTTTATGGATGGTGGAATCGACTTGGTAGGAAAACATAACGTACTTATAATTTACTGCTGAAATGAAAACGCGGGATCATCGTTGGACTTTTTGACGATGATTTTGATTTAGAATTCCAAACATTAAACTCTACTGAATCTACAACTGATAAAGTAAACTATTGAACCATTAAAGTGGCAGTATAGTGGGACCGGTCGCACGAAGCCTGGATAGCGTTATCCATTGGATAGCGAAAATTTTCAAACTTGTAAAAAAGTGTTATATTTTTCTTATGACAAAGAAATTTTGTATTCTTGGAAACAATGTTTTATTTCAGTGATTGCACAGCTCAAATCGCATTAGTTCAGAAAAATTTTGGTATCCAGTGGATAACGCTATCCAGGCTTCGTGCAACCAGCACCAGATCTGCAGCAATCACTTAACGGAATGAAAACCAACTTTTTTAAAAATTTGCCACACGAAGGGTTAAAAAAACTACCAACACAAAACTGAAACCTTCAAATCCGTAAATAATATATATAATTATGTTCACAGAGATATTCAGAACATTTTGGTTGGCAGCTTCAGGAGCGTCTTCAGAATATCCTAAGAAATGAGCATTTTGGCGAGCTTCCTGTTGGCGAAGCCATAATTCTTCAAACATTTGAAGACGACCAGCCTGAGGTTGAACATGATTGGATGAAGTGCAATGACGTCAATGAGGGTTATCCAATCAAGTTCGTTATCAGCTCTCCGACGACAAGAGTTCCAGCTGACGTTAATAATACTGTAAACGCTTATCTTGCATTTAGAGCTGTATGTGTGGCTGGTAAGTGAAGAAACGTTTTCTTATTCTTCATGCATTAAGAAAATTTGGTTAGCTAGCGACGAAATTTTACAGAAAACTTTCCAAAAATTGTAAGTTTGAAAATGACTTAGTGACTTTGGGTTAAAAACTTTAACATGCAATATCTTAACTAGTATAACGCTCAGCGGACGCGTTTGATTTTTGAAATTTTACGAATGACTTTTCATAGTACATCGACATAATCAGACCGTAAACAAGCAGACTATAAGAAGTGTTCTATGTCCAGGTCTTGCAACCTCAGGTGGTCAAATGTCGTTTGAGAAATGTGCCATGCAAATGAAGATCGCTTACGAAGTATGCGTTCTTAAAGACTGCAAAGCTATTTTGAAGCCGGAGTCATTACTTGATGCTCTCAAACATCATTTGTCTATGGAAGAAACGGATCGTCTGGCCTAATTCATCTTCCGTTTAACAATGGAAATAGAAACGAAAAAATAGAAACAATTTTTGGGAATCGTTGCTCCAAAGTAGTTCGTATATGGACCTATGCTGGTTTTGTTTAGAATATTCAGAGTCTGTAATATGTTGAGACTGTAACGGACTCATTGTAGATCAGAAACATTACTATACATATGTTTCCAATGGAAAATACTTTTATAGCTGATACTAATGGTAATGTTTTCGTCTATTTAAGAATATTTTTTGAAATTATGGCAAACAGCGCTGTAATGTTTAAGTATTTTGGAGTCAAAATCATCAAGTTTATTATATACTGAATGCTAGTGTTAGTAGTTAGTCTTTCCATAGTACACAAAACATCAACCGGATGATGTACAAATTCATCTTTATATTATGTATACTACGAAAGTAGATAAGATACCAATCAATAACCAAACTGCGCATGCTCTTCGATACCTTACACTAACCGTATACCACTAGCGGACATTATAGTGAAAAAATTAATTTTGTATGTTGCATTGTTGTCTTTACAAGACATTAAAGAAAATGAAGTTCAACAAGACAAGACTGAATTTCTAAAAACTTCTATTAAATATTCGGGCAAATGGACTTTTTTCTATCAAAATCTTCAAAATGTGAGCAGTTAAGAGGTTGACAAAAATCATTTTGTGCGAATATTTCGCTTGTAAAAATCCGGATTTTCATCACAAAATCTGTAAATTGTAAGTAATTGGTCATTGAAAGGGGAGCACAAAATCAGCACTGCCCTTCAAAATACACTTCGCATACAGCAGCTGTAGTTTAGGTTTCTTATGCGAGCTCGGAGTTCTCCTAGTTGAGCTAATGATGATTTAGTTTAGCTTTATAATAAGTTGTTCTTTTATAGACAACCTTTTATACATGAATTATAAACATGAATTAAGAAATTCTCAAATGCAAAAATTAAGTTTTGTCATTATAGTTTGGTAAGCTAGCAAAAGCAGGGGACTGTGGAAGGTCGGTATTTTCTTTGGGGCATGTTCACATATGCATTTTAAGCATCATATTAGTTTGCATTGAAATCAACACCCATCGCTACCCTTATTATCGACTTTCCGCGGTCCATGAAAAGCCATGCACGAGAAGTGAGACCAATATTTATCAAGCGCTTTGAAGTAATGTTGGGCCGTAGGATGCGTAACCACAATATATGCAATTCCGTCGCACTACTTGCGAGACTACATAATATTTACATGAATAGTTACATAACTGCTTAATTCATCTTTATTCGTATAATTGTTCATTAGCAGAAATAGCATTTGTTTATTGCTGAATAGAATTTCTTTGTCAACTTTAGCAGGTTTTGTCTAGTGTTTGTCATCTGTCGCTTTTTGAAGTTTTTCCAGATTTGGCAGGGGGGGCACCCTGCAGTTCGGCATTTACTTTGAGCTTATTTTTCACATTTGAATCTTACGAACTTAGAAAAGCGCATGAAATATGATAAAATATTTGTGGAAATGCCCTTTATTAGTTTCATAGCACGACAAAAGAATGATTTTACATCCAAAGTGCGTCTTGCAAAGCTCGGCTGTAGGCAGATGTGTTTTTTTTTATCAATTTGTAAATATCTTTATCATAAAGATAAAGGTCTTAAATTTTTTTCAACATTAAATTCACAGAGGGATACGAAAGACATTGATATTTCATGTTACGAGTAGTTGGTCGAATATTTCAATTGACACCAAAAAGGTTTAGTTTGTGTTTTTAACACCTGACAAAAACTGCAATATATTTAAATATAATTGCCAGACGTAATTGCTGTAAATTATAATTACCGGGGGAGGGAATTACTGGAGGTAAACGGCTCGTATGATTAAATGTAACAAGTCACGTGATGTATATTGCCGTCGGTGCCGACGTGCCGACCCTCCCATATAAACTCTCTTGTCTCCGGAAAGGAAAAGTGTTGACTTTAGATGAAATTTAAAATATGAATTCGAGCAATATTTTGTCATCCAGCGCTGACCTAACGTGGCTTTAAAGACCAAAGTTCACTGCAAAAGATTGAACCTTCCACATGCTCATGGTATTGTATGCATAATTGAATATTTAGATTTATTATGCGGAGTTAATGTAGTCGCACGAATATCTTCCTTGCTCAAGCACTTTCAACTCTCAACACTGTGATAATGGCATCTGCGTATTTTTATCCTTTCTATATTGCTCAAATATGATTGTCGAATGATATTTTGCCTAGGTGAGTTAACTATTTCCGAGATATTTTGCTTAAATTACGTTTAACGACGGACGCCTGTTTTAGGAAAGAAGTCTGAAGTGAATGTTGTAGCTTCGGAATAGCTTGTATGAAAACGAAAGAGTTTGGGACTTAATTCATATTAGCTTTAGCAATGATAATGTTTTAGATGAAATGAAATCGTCGACTGAGTTGGCATGTCAATGGAGTTGTTTAATTATCCTTATAGGAAGTACTTTAAGGCGATGTTGTCTTTGTGGAAATTTCAATCATAAAATATCAAATACTCGTTATTTCGTAAAACTGCCTCATCGGAGTTATTCGTTACCTGCATGTTTTCTTGCTGTTTGCTCAGATATCGCTTAGACTATGGCGTATTCGTTACGCCTTGATTTTTTTTGATGGTAATTTTCGACTTTTGTACTTTTGTCAATAACTTCCTGCCTCAATGAGTATGGATGGATTTGAAGGTGTTGTTTTGACCTGGTAGAATCTTCCTGACGATCTCGTACGTACAACAAGGAAACCTATTTCGTTAATATAAAGCTCTTCCTGCGCTGTTTGGTCAGTGCAAATTGCATCAACAGAATCTTATAATTTTTGCAGCGTTGTGTGCATTTGCGATACCTAAATTGAATTTATCTTTAAAATCATTCCTTTTACCAATAATGTCTAAATCATTTCTTTTTTCAAAAGCAAAATACCAGTGATATCTGGTTGTATCATTTTAGAAACCTACAAGAATGGATCATGAACGACTGCATAATGACTTGGGAGATAAAATGCTACGATTAAATTACAAAGTTAAAAATGAGAAAGAAAGACCTGAACCAAGTAAGTAATAGATGTTTTAAGTGTAGAGTGTTAAATATAGAGTTTACATCAACGGAGGTAAAATATTACCATTGACTCATTGACCTAAACTCAATATTTAAAAGAAGGAGACTACATATGACCATAGGATTGAACTATGAAGTTGAAAAGTAGAGAGAAAAGCCATGCCCTAGGAGTAAACTAAATTGAAATAGAGATTGATTAATATTAAATTTTAGTTACCACATAATTTATGTTTTAATTATTATATTTATAGCAAGTAAATCTGTGCGAACCATTGTTTTGCCACCACCTGACCATTGGTGGAAGTTGAGCATGTCAAAATAATTTGCTGTAGCACATTTTGGCATATATTTAAATTTCTAAACAACTTAGAGGCAAATCCATTGGTAAAATTACATTCTTTAGAAAATAAAAACCAATAGTGCTTTTCTGAATGTAATTTAAATCATCACATCGATTGAAGTTTTTGATTAATGTCTACCCCCCCTGAAACATCACATCTACTAAATTTTTAACTTTATGTCTGCTCCCCTATCATGTCCACTGAAGTTGTTGATTTTGTGTCTCCCCCAAATATGTTTACTGAAATTGTATACACAATTAATAGGTGAACGTAAGAAACGAACTTCTCGCAAAACAAGCTCTTCAGATGTTGTCTTTAAAGAGGAACCGTTTAGTCTCATCCTCGATCGTTCTTCTGAATCCAAGACAAATAAAGCTGCCCTACAATGACTTTTGAAAATGCTCTCAGTGAGAATGATGAATTAAATGATGACATCATGTTATCGTCAAGCTCTGCTAATGTCTCACAAAAGACAAATCAACGATCTAAAACATTGCCGAGATTGCCAAGCAGTGAACAAGGTATAACAAAACCAAAGCAAAAAACACAATCGCTAAGTACCAGTCCCACTGCAATCACTCGACCTCATTCATTGTGGAAACACGGAGAGCATTCACCTCGTCATATGTCAGTGCCAGCACCCAGGATACAACAAGCAACTTTATTACAACCTACGTTTTTCCCTACATCTTTGCAAACATCAGGTGATTCTTTACATGAATTTAAATGAGCATTATGCTGCTGCTAAACTATTTTTGTAACCACTAAATCAACATGATCATTGTCTTTTTGTTTGTTTCTTATTTTCTCAAATGTCTTCACTTGCCTTACGTTTATGTCGTTCATGTCTTATGGTCAATGCTGACATTTCCTCGTGCATTGTTTGTATGATTTTAGAACTACCTGATATGGACAATACAGATCATCAATGGCCACAAGCCAGTCAACACAAACTCTACTTTAATACCGATCCTCAATCCCTGAATAATGTATTTGATAATCCTTCAGAAAACCAATCACTTCCATCCAATGTTGTATCAAGTCATCAAGGTAAATATTTCAACATTCATACAGACCTTATAGGAGGAAGGGGGAAGGCAAAATTATTCAAATAATTTGGTCCAATCTATGTAATGTATCAAAAACCAGCTATTCGTTTCTCATGTATTGCTTGCACATATGCAATGTTGTTGCAGCTAAGCTAATTTCAATGAGTTTCGGTGGTGCAAAGGTCAAACTCGATGCTTTCCATCAGTAAGTTACAAGTTCGGTCCCTGGTCAAGTTAAAAATTGGCATGCAATTGGATACAGCTTTATGCGGGATAAGTTCATGAAGTCTCGATTAGAGCTCGCAGGTTTTTTCAGGTACTCCAGTGTCAAGGGGGTGGATGAATATAGAAAGCAGGGCCTTCAGTGAGAACAGTTGTATAATTTAATGAGGTCACCCTGGTGTAAACAAATTAAAAAGAAGTGCTCGTTGTGTACCATGGCATGTTTTAAACTATCATATAAATTTTTATAAAAGACTGCACATTTCAAATATAAAGACATCTGTGTGGAGTTTAGAAGGTCATTGTACTCATTACATTGGAAGTAGGGAGGTTTCATTATTACATGTATTACAAATGTGTTTGTATGATTGACCTTGTATAACTTGGAGGAGGGCTTAATAGAATGATAGCTTACACTTTGGAGGGTTAGGATAATGTTATTGGTTAAATGCAGTTGTAAAGCCAGCCTGATCTTTTACTTTCACAATGCTAAATTTTCAGCCATAGTATTATTCATTTCTTTTGGAAACAAATTCCATTCATTGTTTTTTAGTTACTGAACACAATATTATTTGTAATGTAGAAGCAAAAAACGAGCAGGCTTTGCTCTCTGTAATATGTGTAATATGGTTAAATAGCATTCAAGCCATGCATAACTCAGTGAGGGAAATATTTCCGTTTATCAGTTTTTCAGCTTGAATCCTAGTTTATGTAATAAACTGGGGGGGGCAATCTGCCATTTGAAGTATTATTTTACATATTGTACAGATCATATTTATTGTTTAATAAATTGCCTATTTATTAACTCTAGCTGTAATGTTTACAATTAAAGTGTGCATGTATGTGAGCAGGGGGTGCGTAAACCCCCCTGTTTTAACGAGGTACCCCCCTAAATGATTGTATTTACATTTTTTCAGCCAATTATAGCAATTTCATTCTCACATAAATTTTCTACATTGCACCTTCCCTCCCTTCGACGCCTTTAATTAATTATTGAAAAATTCGTGGCTTGTCGATATCACAGGTCTCTGAAAGCGTATTGACATTGCCCTAAAAACGATTATTAAAAGAAAGGCCTTTAGTTTACTTATTTCATACTTCCGCCTGCGGATATTTTGTATAAAATTAGCATGTATCTATTGGTGTTGTTGCCGTTGTTATCGCTCTTCAATAATTAAAGAATACTTTGGCAAATGTTCATTTTAAGCTGAAAGAAACTTTAAGACCGAGGGAAGATTGCATGAAGGTAATAATAACTAGCAAAATACCGCCTTGCTCGCTAAAAATTGGATTATTTGTGAATTACGTGCGACTGTTGACAAAAATTGCTGTGTTTTGCAATCACATTTACGCGTTCGTTGTTGTTATCTTATGTCAATGTCGTAGAGATTGTGCCAGCGATTTAAATAAACCTAAATTATGATTTAATTTTTATTTATCAACGCTCTTCAGGCGGTTTGATTGTTGCTACCTACTCTCATAGTTGTCCTCTTTTTCGGAGTGATTTTCTTGTTGCATTTTATACTGTACGTACGCAATGTGTCATTAAAATATTTTACATATATTTCTTTCTTTTAATTCATGTGTAAAAAGAAGAAGTCTTAAAATTTTTCTTGCACTTCATAATACTGTCGAAAGACCATCAACTGCGAACTGTCAAACTGCTCATTTGAATGTTATTACTTACCTAGGTAGCTAATGTCACAGTTATTTAGTGCAAACATGATTATTTTATTGTTAAATAAACATACATACTAGTACATAATACTGTTTAACTCTGTGATAGACTGTATAGAAGTAATCATAAACTTTATACCACTTTAGATAGACTGTATAGAAGTAATCATGAACTTTATAGCACTTCAGGTAGACTGTATAGAAGTAATCATAAACTTTATACCACTTTAGATAGACTGTATAGAAGTAATCATGAACTTTATACCACTTTAGGTAGACTGTATAGAAGTAATCATGAACTTTATAGCACTTTAGGTAGACTGTATAGAAGTAATCATGAACTTTATACCACTTTAGTTAGACTGTATAGAAGTAATCATGAACTTTATACCACTTTAGGTAGACTGTATAGAAGTAATCATGAACTTTATAGCACTTTAGGTAGACTGTATAGAAGTAATCATGAACTTTATACCACTTTAGGTAGACTGTATAGAAGTAATCATGAACTTTAACACTTTATACCACTTTAACAGAGAAAAACAGTGCGCCCGATGCTATAGAAAACAATTCAAAAATGTGGCAACCGAGGGGAGGAAATCAAGGCAGCTGGGCTGATTTTCCAACATCATTCAATGGAGTATATGTTAGCAATGAAAAACCTTGGAATGAGAAAGCTGTTGTACATGAGGATGACAACATTCATGCATCAAAAAGGTGATTTGGGATGCCTTTGGCTATATGAGGTCAACTAGCTTTATTTAGGAAAACATTGATGGATATAAAGAGTGACAAGGGATTCCTTTGGGTGTTTGGGGTTAACTAGTTCACTTGATATTAGCATTGATGTATTTAAGGGGTGAACAGGGATCTTTTAGGTGTTTGGGGTTAACTAGTTCATTTTTAAGAGAATATTGACAGATCTAAAGGGTAAGCAGGCATACCTTTGGGTGTTTGGGGTTAACTAGTTCATTTTTAGGTAGACATTTATGGATCTCAAGGTTGAGCAAGGATTCCTTTTGGTGTTTGGTGATAACTAGTAAATTTTACTTAAACAGGGATGGATTTAATGCATAAGCAGAGATTCTTTTGGGTGTTTGAGGTTAACTAGTTGCATGTTGAGAAAGACATTAATGGATCTAAAGGGTGAGCAGGGATTCCTTTAGATGTTAGAGTTAGATAGTTGCTTTCTTTTTGTGTACTTCAATTGATACATTTGGTACAAATTATAAATCTTTCAGTTCCAATTCCCCATCAATATATTTTGTTTCTCTATAGAGAGAGGAGCTCTAGTCACTCATCAATATCATCAAATTCATCGGAAGATGATATTGCAGAGACAGAGGAAAGTGTGTGGAAAATCAACGATGAACAAAAGGCTTATTACCTCAACCAGTTTAGAATCTTGCAGCCTGCAGAGATGGGTGTTGTCTCCGGTTAGTGTTATAATGTCCACAGCAGAATTACTGTAGATTCTCAAAAGTAGCTATCCTGGCTAATTTTGGAATAAGTGGCATTAGGGTTTGGCTTTTTTCTGGGAGCACTTAATTAGTTAATTAGTTTCAAGTTGTTATTTTCAGGATTGGTTAACTCCAATGGTTAACTCCTAATCCATGTTTCATAAACAGTATTTTTCAACGTGTTAAAAGTTGTCTAAGGTTATGGTAGTTGACACTAATGTACAAGAACATTTTATCTGGAGAAAAGTATGGATATTGTAAAACTCTTAAAAGTTCTATAAGGAGAGTTTTTATTTACACGATTCTTTAAGTACTTAATTTCAATGAAGGAGCCTCCATTTGAGGAGGTGGTAACACTCAGTGAGAAACTACATCTGAGACTCTGTAGTGCATCCATATACGTATATGTACATGTTTGGCTGTTGCTGTATTTATAAAAACCAATGCATATGGATGTTTCGAAAAATTATCAACCTTTTTCTCCATTTCTATGCAAATCTTACCTTCATTGCCGATTGTTTTGTTTATGACATTGATTTCCTTCAAAACCATGATTTACAATATTAAAATTACTTTGAATTTATAGGTCAAAAAGCGAGAGAATTTTTCCTAAAATCTGGATTGGGAATGGATGTTTTATCGAAGATTTGGTAGGTCAATTAAACATTCCCTCAAATTTTGTTTCATCATATTTATAAGTAACTGGTTGCATGTTACATAGTGGTCGCCATGTTGGTTGAATTTTCTTGTTCACAAAGGATTTTTCTTGTTTACAATTCAAATTCCAACCAACATGGTGAACATCTCTTTCTCCTTTACTCCTAGGGACAATAGACTTGCAATCCACAGGTCTATTTAATGTCATATTGTTCCTAGCAATGTGATGTTATGTGTGTAATAAACAGCTCCCTTTTGCATTGTCAAGTACATCCCTGTTTACCATGAATGATGTAATAAGTACCCAGGGCAATTGATAGATTATTGTGTTTTAGGGTGAAGGGGGGGTAATAGACGAGTGCCGTTTATGAAGAGGCCTTTTTATCATTTTTATCTTTTTAGTTTGAACAAATTAAAATGAAACTACAACAAAATATTGTTGTTTATTTTCATCCCAATCAACACCCCCCCTGCTGTGATGATAATATAACAGTAATAGCTGTAAGTGTGGGCATCTATAAGAGATGAGGCATTTATTATAGAGAGCATTTTGATATGCACTCATGCTTCAAGGGAGGTGTTAGCTAGATACCGTACAAGATGTTTATTTGACAGGAAGCATTTATTGTACACTAACTTGTTTAATATTTAGGAATCTTGCGGACCTGGATGCTGATGGTGCCCTTGATTTCGATGAGTTCTGCATTGCAATGCATATTGTTGTTGCAGTTAGGCACGGTTTGGAGGTACCTCAATTTCTTCCATTGCATCTGGTACCGAGAAATATGAAAAACAATGTGAGTATAAATTAATATGGATCAATATTCACACTAGTATTAGAAAAGTTTCTTTCTTTTCAAGCATCAAGAGTTGATTCAACGCTTTGCTAAGTCAATCTCTATACATTAAGATTAAAAATACAACTACATATGATTTATCTTGAATTTCACTTTTTTTAAAGCGAGTTCTTCCATACCTCAAATGGATGCTAACAGCCAAGGATTATCTGCAAAAGACTCTGGACAGGTAAAATAACAAAAAATTCCTTTATTTAATTGTAAGATACAAGTGCAGTTTAGTGGATGTAGCTGTTCAGCAAAGAAATTTGTTGCAGGCTCACAAATTTGGGAAAAATGTTGACAATTTCCACTGTTAACTGAAAACTTAACAAATGTATTTTTTACTTTACTTTCCATATCCTAATTGATGCAACATCTCTGCATAGTCTGTCTTTGCAAGAATTTATGAAGTGAAAACATTGCCATCGCATTCTTTGACCAGACGTGCATCCATACATTTATTAGGAGGCTGTCCTTTGGAGAAAAGTGTGGGCTTTTACACCCACCGACCCCTCCCACATACACACTTCTGCAATCATTACATCTAAAGTTAAAATAAAACATAGTCCAAATAGAGGGATCTTATAAATTCAAATTTTAGTGATGATAAAACAAGACAATTTGTAACATTTCGGTTTTATTTCAAAATCGTGCATCAGACAGTATAATGATTGTAATCTCATCGTTGGTGTTTTGTATTTTCTCAACAAAATACGTAAATTGCGCCAACAATTTATGTATGGTCACTCAGATAGCTACTGGTTGGTTTCTGCTAAACTTCCACTTGTTCAATATTGAAACATTCGTTTAAAGAAAATGAAGAATTGTCAGAAGTTTGAGCGTGTTTTTTACCTCGTGGTTTGAGAACTTACAGGTGTTCTGGAGGGGTATTTAGGGTTATATAACTTACTGAAATTACGAATGATGCATTTTGGTGATTTAACCGTTGGGTATTTTTCAGCCCTGGGCAAGATTCTCGTCTGATAGTCGCACGAATGTTGAAGTCGATGGTCCTGAGGTAATTTGTTTGGAGTGATACTTACGTAAGCTTATAACAACTATGTTGTCTTTGTTTTTGACGTTCAGGATTTTTAGGATCTCTTACGCTGGGTCAGTGGCGCACACTAGGGTGGGTCGAAGTTGGCGCACACTAGGGTGGGTCAGTTGCGCGCACTAGGGTGGGTCAGTGGCGCACACAAGGGTGGGTCAGTGGCGCACACAAGGGTGGGACGAGGGTGGCTTGATTAAAGATCGTGCGCCAAATCGCTGAAATCACACCTATTTAACATTATTGTGACGCTAAATGATGAATGTTTGATAGACTTTAGTACTGTACACATACCAGCAGATGCATTCTTGTGAGTGTAGGATTATGTGTACGTTGGAATCCTTAAGTTAAATTACTGGAAATAAAATTTGAAAAATATGCTTATTGGCTTGCCCTGGGATTTCCTTAGAAATCTCATGCCTTGAGGACGAGCCCATCCCCCCAATATTTCACTGTCCGCCTTTATGTCCGCTACTGCTTATCACAATTTACGGCTTTATTTATGGATGGATCATTAATAGTGGACTAGGGATTCTTGTCACGATAGCTTTCTTTAGCTACTTATTTTCGAGGATCTCTCAGGATGGTTGAGGGATTCAATGCGTGGCTTTCTTTTTAGGTTCAAAACAATGGACAATTGGGGATTTCACAACGCCCTTTAACGGTTGATGTTGCCGAGCAAAGCACGAATCAACACATTTCCCCTGTCAGTCATCACACGCAACAAGTCAATCAACAACACGCGTTACTAACTAGTCAGCACGTTCAGTCTGTCAACCAACACGCTGTACAAAGCACCAATCAACACATTTCCCCTGTCAGTCATCACACGCAACATGTCAATCAACAACACGCGTTACTGACTAGCCAGCACGTTCAGTCTGTCAACCAACACGCAGTACAAAGTAGCCAACCGTTGACCCTGCTGTACAACACGTACAACAGTCTGGCAATGTAACACAAAACTTGGTGCAACAAGGACAAATTGTCACGCAACAAGATCAAACTGCTCAGAAAGAATCACCACAAGCCGTACAACCAAAGCAACCAATAACACAACAAAGTCACGGACAACTTCAGCGAACTAAATCTGATTCGAATTCCGCCGATGAGAACTCGACCCCACACCGCAAGATATCATTGGGAATACCAAGGGTAAGAGGACAACCCAGGCAGAAAAGCCTTTTAGACACTCCCCATTGGGCTATTCTTCCTCCTCCGAGTAAATTTACCACAGATACCCCGGAGGAGGTGGTGAGAAGTGGACAGTTTGTACCTACCGGAACTATTATTACCGCTGAAACCAGTGATCGCAGTGAACGAGCTGGACTCGAAAGAACTGCTCCAACGACTCGTGGATATTCTGATTCTGACTCCAGTTCTAGTGAAAACGATCAACCTAAAGATATTAGAGGCAGGGATCAGTCACGTGACATCGACTCTGTATCTTCGTCGTCCAGTCACAGCAGTAGTAATGCACTACGAGCAAGTCGGGAATCTGTTGATGGTGAAAATAGACTCACCGTAGTTGCCCCTGTTCCACCCCCGAGAAGAAAACCTGCTCACTCAAGATCTTCTTCTCTCGATCTACAAAAGTTATTTAACAAAGGTAGTTATAGAATGTTTTCACCGTCCATCAGCGCCATGTTGGTAGAAAAAGTTCTTAAGTGAAAAGAAGGATGTTGATTTCATTATCTGTTGAGCATATCAGCCTTTTATTTAAATTACCGTCATGGCCGCTTTGATGTCTTCATGATTTCAAGCATTTTTGAGCATGGACACTTTGACTATTAACCTACCGACATGGTCGTTGTGCAGTGCCCTAAAGATGAAGTTGACCAGTTATCAATCTCTCGGGATTGAGAATTGGATTATTTCAATTTACGTAACATTTGATTACATACGAAATCCCAAGTTCTTTTCCGTGTCGCTGACGCTGTGATTGTGGTACAAAATTTTCTCCAGTTAAGATGGTGTAGAATTCGTAGGTTTACCTAAGGTGGCGTTAAGGGTGGTTTAGAATTCGTAGGTGTATCTAAGGTGGCGTTAAGGGTCTACCGGTTCACTTGTAGTGGCGTAATGGTCAACTGCTTCTTTTTTGGGTGGTAGTTTTATCAATGTTCTTTAAAATATTCTTTTTTCGTACTTTAGGTGGAAACTCGTTGTCTTTGCAGGTATGTTTTCATGTTCTTCGAATCGAAAGACATTTTGTTTGCCCTGCAGCACTCGTAGTTTTGTTTTAGAAGTACGGAGATCATGGCAAAGACACCTCTCAAGGTAATCAAGAAAACTTCGCTAATTTTGAAGATTTCAATAATAAAGTGGAAAACTTGACTCGTGCAAGTGAAAACCCACCAAGATTTGGTCATCGACGATCTGCTTCACTTGATAGTACACATGTAAGTAATCTATGATATGAAAATATGAAGGAAACTAGAACTGTGTTTTGAAATATCATCATATTCCACAGTTGATCTTGTAGTTCAGTTGGTAGAATATTGAAGACAATGATTATCTTGTTACTATACTTGAGTACATCACAACAACGTGATGTTATTATCTATGATATAAAGATATGAAAGAAACTAGAACTGTGTTTTGAAATATCATCATAGTCCACAATTGGACTCGTAGTTCAGTTGGTACTGTGATATTTACCTTTTGCTACAAGAAAATCTTCATCATCAGCACCTCTCCTGTCAGAGGAACACAGATCTGCCTTTGATCATTTACTAAAATAATCTTCTCATTTCCAGTCAGCTTCAGTCGAACAACCTTCACAACCGACAACCACCGAGGACGTGAAAGGTTAGACTAATGGATTAAATTTCAACCACGGCTTTATTTTACTTAAAGATTTTCTTTTACTTCTAGTCGAAGATGTATCAAACATTAATTCTCGATTTCATTCTCCTGGGTCAGTACCAAGACCTGTACCAAGAAAGGTACTGCTCGAATTAATCTATGATTTTTTTGTTTTGATTTACAGAGACTTTGTAATCATGTAATCTTAGTAATCATTGTTATTCCTTGTTGATAGAAAAATGTATATTAACATGAAGTATATTGTATTTTCAGAAGGCTGGTGGTCCTCCACCTCCATTGAATAGACAGGATAACAGTTCTGATTCCATACCGGAGAAAGAAAAAAAAATCTCAAAAGAGCCAATTCATTTTGTTGTAAGGTACGTAATGGTTTTAACATGAGAATCCTTTACAAATATATTCTTTTCAGATTACTGGATAACACGAGAACGAGGCTTATCACAATTTTAGTATTTTGAGATGGTTACATGCATTATGCACTTAATGTATGCTCCCGAGGGAAATAATGAGTTTCGTCTTTCAAGGGTCTCAATGTTTTCCCAAAGTAACTAGAATTTCTTGTATAGGAAGAAAGATGATTGATTTCGTTAGCCGTTGAATAGAATCAACGTTTTTCGGGGGGATTCTTCCGGAGAAATTTCGAGGGGGGTCTTACAGAGGAAGTTTACGGTATTTTCCATAGCTAGGCATGTATCCCGTATAATATCGTTACTGATCTCGCATAATTCAATTCATTTTAACTTACGTTTGTATTTAGTCGTTTAATCTTCATGTTTTATGTTATTTTACGTAGACCAGTCACCAGACTTGAACAACTTCATGCAAAAATCCGAGATTTAAAATCAAAGAACACGAGATTGTCAAAAATAAATAACGACCTTCAACAGGAAGTGAAAGAGGTACTTGAGTTTACTGCACAATGCATTGTGGTATCAATGCTACGATTTTACCAGAATGCAAAGCGCTGCACCGTGAGAGAAACTATGAAAGAAACAAATAACTGAATAGGTACTGCGCATGCGTCACAAAAAATCTTGTTATTTTTCAGATGATGGAAGCAAGAGTAAGTCTTGAAAGCTCTCTCGAACAATTAAAGCCTTTTCCAAAGTAGTTTGAAGATTTTGCGAATAAGAAATGATCGACGAATAGATCCGCGATAGTTTCATAAAAAGAACAGCCTTCTAAAATGAGCTTTACACCAAGTGCATATTGTAGATATGATGAACTGTTGCGTGTTGCGAAATATGGCAAGCAAAGTTCTAGATTTCGTCGAAAACCAATATTCTTGGCTTACGACGAAGACAATTGTTACAGTGTAACCTATATATATATACAACTAAGAGAATTTGCAAAACACTTACGTTGGTTTTATTCCGATGTCTGTGTTAGTTAGAGATGTCTCTTACATAAAACGCAATAAACGAGTGTGTAATTGGATTTCAAGTAATTATTTACATTTTAGAAGCGTCTCTGTGGAAGTTTTGTTTTGTTACATGGTTATGTCAATATTCCTATTTTTAAAAAAAGTCTTTTCTTTGCAAGGCATATTTGTTCTTGCGAACAAAAAGTAGTGTTCATTGGGCGCCAAAAATGTGACAAAAAATCGACTCGTTGTTTTCAGTTATATTTCTGTTCGCTCGCGAACACCGAGAAAGAAAATTGATCGTTTTTTATGTACAGTTCTTTCGCGCTGGTTTAATTTTACAGACTTCTGTTCAGTTGTCTTTGATATGTCCAACATGTTGTGTGTCTTTCGCATTGAAATGATTTATTTCGCTATCGCTTGCAATACGTTATTTTGTACTTATCTATAAATGCAGGAAATTTTTTCATAAATAAAGTTATAGGCAACCTATAATTTTGTCTTAGATAAAGTAAAGGGAGCCTGTCACCGTAAACTTATTTATTTTAGTTGAAAATACGAATAGTATAGGAATTTGTATATATACACAAGAATAAATAAGTGAAATTTGTAAGAATTTTTGTACTAATTTTTGATTGTGTTGTACTTTAAAGATAGTCGTGTTCATATCGCTATAGAAAGATATAGATTTGCTTTGGAAATATGACAAATTGGTGAGCTGAACGGTGGAAAGTAGATTTATTAAGGGGAGGGGGGCTGTGTGCAATATGTATATTTTACGTTTCTATCGAAATCAATTTTGATTATGGATTTTAACATGAAAATGAGCTACCCCTTGTGTTGATGAATAGTATCGGTGTTCACGTGAATATCACGTGCTCTTGATATCTTTGGGCCATAAATCAATACTTTACGTTAGCCGAATGAAATTAAGAAAGAATCAAAACACAAGCACGGCGCCACTTTTTCACAAGGCTTAAGTTTTTCCTGCCCCCCTCCCTCTCCCCTTTTTTCCCCAAGATAAATTTTTTCCTAACATTTACACATTTTATCTTAACTTAAGGCAAAGTAAGACGCAGTGAATTTAGTAAATATAGTAGTAGACCCTAGGTTCTATTTCATGGCGCCGTCCCTGCAAGAAAATAGTGAAAATTTGGAAACTTGTACAATTTGTTAACAAACTCAGAAAATGCTGACTGGACTGTTTCGGGTAATTCGGAATCTCCGATCGGACTATTATTCGGACTTGAAGGATTGACAGAGGCGGGAAGGTTCAACATGGCTGCCAGCTTGTTATGTCGAAACTCCAAATTTTCTGCATATTTGGGCAAATGTCATCGTTCCGTATCCTTTGACGCTTGCAAAATTATTCAAGCGTTGTTTCATATACTTAAGATGATAAGATTACAGCTATTTATTCCTTAAACACATAATCAGATCTTTAAAATATGCCGTAGTTTTTCAACTAGCGAGGTAAGAAGTTTTGGCTTGTCGAACTGACAATGGTGTATACGGCCCGTATATCTACGTATAATTTTGTATGAAAGTAGTCAAATATTGCTTATATTCTATGATAAACATTTGCGCAGTGCATGTTTAACTTTTGATGCACGGACGAATCTTGATTCTTGACTCGAAGTCAGAAGAGTACATTAAAAACATTTGTATGAGAATTTGAAATATACTCTGTAGCTTTCATTAATCGTGTTAACCTGATGCTGATTCTTATCTAATTTCATACACAGGTCTTATTTTAATTAATGTGAATGGTGTTTATGTTTGCGAACATTTGAAGATAAGCTTTAATTTCGTAACGTTTCCGGTTTCGCTAATTATCTGTAATTAGTGTGATTACATAATTTTTGACAAACTTAAGAACAATTTGGGAAAGTGATTTGAACAAACGCATCGTGAATTTTCTCATATTTAATCATATAAATTTGAAAATTATACTGTGAAAATTCTCATATTTCTTTAAGAAGACATTCATTATGTTCTATAGTTGTTTTTTTGCATGTGAAAATTAGTTATGTTGCTCCCAGTTTGATTTTGAAAGTTGATATCATAGGCCCATTTCAAATGTCAAAATTTACATGAGCTGAACGCATTTTAAATGAAAGATAGTGCGGAAGCTCATCTCATTTTCTCTTGTCTTTAATGCATTTTCTACATGTAAAGTTTGACGTTTGAAACAGGCTTTATTAATTTTCATTTTATTTAAACACTCATGATTAATTTACTATTGTTCGAGTTAGTTTTATTTACAGTATAGTTGACTTGAGGTGGTTGAAGGACTATCAGGTGCAAAAATTAAATCTTTGTAGAAATTAGTTAGGTGACAATAACCACTTAAGCCACTTAAGGAACTTTGTCCCCCCGCCCCCATCCCCCAATGTCTAACTAAGCCACTTCTTGTTTACCAAATTTTCAATTATATTTCATAGGATGTTGTTATAGTAAGTGCAGCAAGAACTCCCATTGGCTCTTTCAGAAGTTCACTGTCATCTGTTCCAGTGTCAAAACTTGGATCTGTTGCCATTCAAGCAGCTGTTGAACGAGCAGGTACTTAATCAATGTAGGAAGTGTGTTATGCTCATTATGAAGCTGGACATTATTGTGACTTTAAAGATAATTATACATCATAATGTTTTGTCTAAACAAAAGACATACATAGTGAGGGACTTTTTATGAAGTATTGAGAGCCTCTTCATGAAATATTGGGAATTGGGGAAGCAATATGAGTCAAACAATTTTTAATCAATGTGTGTGAACTTGTTTATGAGTTTTATGAGTTTGTTTTTTTTGTGAAATGTTTGTACCAATTGTCGTAGAAAATCCCTGGATAACCAACTCCATTTACCTCCACTGTCAAAACACTATTTACATAGCAAGTTGAAAATATTGTTTTTACTACGCTCTCCCTGAAACTGTGTTGCAATTTAAATTATGATATATTTAATACAGAATTCACAATTGCCATGTTCTCGAATATAAACTATTTTATATGTATAACACCATGTAAATATAAAAAAATTTTTAAATTTTTTCAATAAATATAAAAGGTACTTGCTGTACTAAAGTACACACATTTATATCAGCAGTGCGTACCTTCCATAATGTTCACAATAAAAACTGACATCAATACTACTTCAAGATTGAAAGAACTCATTCCTTGTTGTTTGTCATGTACATCTAGCGTACCAACTTTTTCATACTTAGGTGTTTCCACTGATGATGTTCAGGAAGTATTTATGGGAAATGTTTGTGCTGCAGGTGCTGGTCAAGCTCCAACACGTCAAGCTGCCCTTGGTGCAGGTAATTGTCCCTCTTATTTATGGTAATTTATGATACATTCAGATAGTATTCACATTACATCCACAGTTATCCTTGGGTATCTATGATACATAACCCATTATGATACATTACATCCATAGTTGCCCCCTCAGTCACCAACTCACATCTATGATACCCAATATATGATACATCAAATCCACAATTATCCCTTCATATCAATGATCTGTGGCGCATTGTGGTCTATTATGTCCAAAGTTATCCCCTCATATCCATGATCATCTAAATTTTAGTCTATGGGATGCATATAGGGATGCTACGGTTTGTGGCTGAAACTTTCCTGCGTGTGCCAGAATTATTGAGCAATTGAGTTTGAATGAATTACACTAAAGAATTCGCGCTGTTAGTTCGTGCTTTAACTTTATACTGCGCGGAGCTAACTGTGAATATTTTCTGCTACATACAAAAAAAACCCATGAATATTCAGTCATGGAGAAATGTTACGAAAACCCCCATAAATTTCGGTCCTCGTCATAAGTTCCACAACATTTAAAATTTTTCACTGTCGAAGCTTGATGAGTCTTGGCAGTCTGATTGAGATTTGATCAACTTAATGGCCAGTTGACTTCTCTCTAAAACAAAAATTGTTTTAAATTTTTAAATTGTTTCTTTTATGTCATCGATAAAAGTTTCGTTTCTAGTAAACTTTTCAATAAATTTAATGTGATGATATTAAATCGATTGCAATTGATTGGGATATCCGTTATTCTACCCTATCCGTTATTCTACCCTATACGTTATTCTGCCCTAAACGTTATTCTACTCTATCCGTTATTCTACCCTATCCGTTGTTAACCGTGTTTATTTTTTGATTTTCCCCAGGCTTACCGACGTCAACACCTTGCACAACGATCAATAAAGTTTGCGCTTCCGGCATGAAGTCAATCATGTTTGCTGCCCAGTCATTGGCTTGTGGTAGTCAGGTATGTAAATACGGGGGAGAGGCTTACTGCCCAATCATTGGCTTGTGGTAGTCATATATATAAATACGTGGGGAGAGGCTTACTGTCCAAACATTGGCTTGTTGTAGTCAGGTATGTAAATACGGGGGGAGAGGCTTACTGCACTATCATTGGCTTGTGGTAGTCATGTATATAAATACGGGGGAGAGGCTTACTGCCCAATCATTGGCTTGTTGTAGTCAGGTATGTAAATACGGGGGAGAAGGATAGGTAGACGTTGCATTGAAAATCATTCAATTGATTCGACACTATGTTGCCGTACTTGATTCAATTGTAGAAACACAAGTAATTGTAAGTCAATAGCACATGTATCGTTAGTAATCTGATTCTTTGTTTGTCTTGTGATTTAGGTATTGAGATCTGATTACTTTTGTGTTTTTTTGTTCATTCATTGAATTTATAGCGGTTTCTATTTTTTTTTGAACTCTTCCAAATTCTCTTAAAAAAAGAAATCTACTACAATTTGAACTGGACAATCAATGAAATAAAATATTAGTTCTAGAATTACAAAGTTCGCCCCTGTTGACTTCTGTTGACTTGAATAATGATTATACAGAAGGGTCACTCCTGTGTACAACGCGTCCTCATGTCGGCCATTATTCCAGCCAGATGATTAGGATTTCTCTCTTTTTTCCAACCGTTAAAATTACATGACGTCAGTATTTAATAATGAATTCAAGTATATTTTGACTTAAGAAATGACTTCGGATCATTTTAAAGGTTTGGAAAAAGTCAAAAACCCTAATCTTCTGGCTGGAATAATGGCGGCCACCATGCGCGGCACGACATGCGCGAGGACAAAAACATCAAAGGTTCCGACACAAGTGACTCTTCTCTATATTTGTGTTCTGTGTTTTAATGACAACATACATGACGTAATCGTTTAAGTTCACGTTTTGACGGTAGCTAGTTGCGTGCCATAGCAACGATAATTTAACAACACATACATAAACAAACTAGTTTCCATTTTAATGGTTTCTGGTTTTGTATAAATTATGATAGTGAAGTCAGCTTATCGTCAATGTTCAATTCTTACCAGAAAGTGTAGGGTGACTAACTGTCCTCACACTGGTTTTGACATTTTTTTTTCTCCCCGGGTTGATCTTGAATTCTAGGAAATCATGGTTGCTGGTGGCATGGAAAGTATGTCCAATGTACCATTTTATATGAACAGAGATGCACCTTCTTATGGTGGACACACCTTACAGGTGAGGGATATGTAGGTACATTATGCGCATGCGCTACACGGAAGGATCATCGGGAACAAACGGGAACACTGTTTTGTATTTTGTAGGATGGTATTGTAAAAGATGGTCTATGGGATGTTTATAACCAGATCCATATGGTATGTTGTTAAAATTTAGCCATTTAGCCGAGGCCTAGCTTGCGCCGTTAAAGGCCTCGTCTACATTGTCAAAGGCTTGGCGTGCCTTTAAAAAGGCCTGGTCTACATTGTCAAAGGCTTGGCGTACCTTTAAAAAGGCCTGGTCTACAGGGACGTAGCAAGAACGTTGAATTGAGGGGGGGGGGGAGTTATTCATATATTCAGTTGTGCCCGAATAATTTCTTTTGAAAGTGATTTCAAAAACATTTCAGTGTTCACTAGCACCGTAGTTTTCACATTTATCTCCAATATAAGTAAATGTGCGATGAAAGTATCCAAAAAATAGTTCATTTTTTTTGGATACTTTCATCGTTTCAAATAAAGTATCATTTAAAATCAGTTTTGACATGTGTCTATAAATTGAATTTGAAGTGGAAAATCACGTTAAATCTTTCACTATATCAAATTCATAACGTCCTTAAATGTTTGATAGCGTTACCTAACCAAACTCGTTCCATTTAGGGAAGCTGTACTGAGAAGACTGTTAAGGATCACAATCTCACACGAGAAGATCAGGACGAGTTTGCAATCACATCTTACAAGAGATCTGCATCTGCGAATGAGGTGATCTCCAACTCTCTTTACATGAAGTATAATTTAATTGGTGTTGTAACTAGTCAAATCGTTGCAGAAAGGTGTTTTCAAGAAAGAAATAGTTCCTGTTGCTATACCACAAAAAAGAGGTAATTTGGGCTGTGTTTGATGAGCATGCATCTGTTTGATATTTGAAGGTTCCAAGTTTTACAGCTGCCCGCAAGCTCCTGTGGTTTCTTAAACTCCTTTTTACTTATTACTCTGAATTTTGTATTCACATAAGAGATTTTCAAAGGCAGTGGAGTAGCCAGCTCGATATGTGGAGGGGCAATGTTCATATATTCGTGGTCTATTAGGTTCCTTTGAAATCAAATGTTTTCTGCAGATTATAAGAAACTTTTGTGAATAATGACCCCTTTCAATTTTCGATGTTAGCTACGCCACCGTTCTAAGGGTGAAATATCTAATAACTCCGACGTACAATTAAACTTTAGTAACTTCATATTCTCCTGTTATTTATTTTATAAAATAAGGAAAACCCGACATTGTCATTGACGAGGATGAGGAATTCAAGAAAGTTAATTTTGATAAATTTACTCAACTTAAACCAGTGTTTAAGAAAGAAGGAGGTTGGTAAAGTTTGTTTCATCATCGTTCATCATTGTTCATCATTGTTCATCATTGTTCATCATTGTTCATCGTTGTTCATCATCGTTCATCATTGTTCATCATTGTTCATCATTGTTCGTCGTTGCTTAGCAAGTTCAGCAAGTTTCATGAATTTTTTATCCTATATAAATAACCAGATGATCTGAACACGCGAAAAGGATTGGAACTAGTTGTCAAATAGAAATCCTTTTCTCGATTAAAGCATCGTGGATATCTGTTTATTTCAGTTCTAAATTTATATTTGAGTTGTAGTTGTTATATCTCAACATAGTTACCAAATTTTGACTGGTTTTATAATAAATGAAAATCCCACAGCCAAAGAAATTTATTTTTCTTTCAAATCATTCAAACAACATCCTTTTTGGAGCTCTGATTGGTTGAAATATAACTCTAAGATAACTAGGAAGGCGTTTATTTCGATGTATTTGCACCTACCTTACACTTAAATGCTCTAATTTAACTCCAGATGTACTTGACTGAACTGCCTACGTTCTACTATTCCCTTAAAATACCATCACTTCAGCTATCCTTCAGTGTACCACTATGTTCTTCTATATCCTTAGGTACTATCACTGCTGCCAATGCCAGCACACTAAATGATGGTGCAGCAGCACTTGTCTTAATGACTGGTAAAGTCGCTGAGAAAATGAACGTTAAACCTTTAGCAAGAATTATTGGTATGAATAAAAGAACGATGTACCTTGCTATAGCGTACTTTAAAACATTCAAACGACTGCAAACTTCATTGCATTTTGGACAGGACCCATCGTGGGGGGGAGGGGGGGAGTAGTGAATATTCATTTAATCAGATGTGCCCACTTACTTCTTTTGAAAATGAATTGCCTTTCAGAGAAATCTTTCGGGCACAACTGATTTTTGAATAGCCATTTTGCCGTCAGGCATGGTGATACGATTTCTTGAAAATTTTAACATAAAACATGCTCCAAAAGACATCATCTTGTAAACTTTTAGATATTATCTCTTGTCAATATAACTCAAATTTCGAGTTTACAAGATTGTTTCTTTGAACATGTTCAAAACGGGTTTAAAACGGGTTCAAACCATTCACATTTCTTGAAATTGTCGTGCTCGAAATATGATTTTTCAAAATTTCAGTTTCATATGTTGTAGATTTTGTCAAACATTTTGTGTTTCCTCTCAAGTGATATTTCATTTACTTCGAGGTTTCTGTGATGCAGCTGTTGCGCCAATCGACTTTTCTGTTGCTCCTGCTTCAGCCATGCCTAAGGTAAATTTTGCTGATTTTTTTTCATCGATTTTAGCCCACTGCAAGCTATGGTGTTGTCTATAAAACTTTTTGCGACGCGGTGTATTTTTTCAAGCACTTGATGGAACTTTTTACAACGTCGTAAAACTTTTCGACCACGTGATAAAACGTTTTGTCACTTGATGAAATTTTTCAAACACATAATGAAACTTTTCAGCCACGTGATTAATACTGTCGATCATGTGAGGAATTATTTTTGCTACGTCATGAATCTTTTTCATCATGTGACTTAACTTTTCAACCACCGATACTTTTAACCACGTGATGAAACTTTTCAACCACAAGATGAAATCTTTTAAACACGTGATGAAACTTTTTAAGCACGTGGTGAGTTTTTTAAACTCGTGATGAAACTTTATGGGCAAGTGATGAACTTTTTAAACACGTGATGTAACTTTTAAACAGCTGTTGCAGTTGACTGGTCTAAAAAAGGAGGATATTACAATGTGGGAGATAAACGAAGCATTCAGTGCTGTTGTCCTAGCCAATATGGCGGTATGTGTGTCTTACATGAAGTTTATGTAGTTGTCCTAGCCAATATGGCGGTATGTGTGTCTTACATGAAGTTTATGTAGTTGTCCTAGCCAACATGGCGGTATGTGTGTCTTACATGAAGTTTATGTAGTTGTCCTAGCCAACATGGTGGTATGTGTCTTACATAAAGTTTATGTACTTTGATAAACTTCTTTTTTAATGAGTTTTTGTCTTTGTATGATTTTGTGCTTGATATGAATAATTTGCCGATGTTTTTTTGTAGATCTTGGGTTTAGATCCAGCTAAAGTTAATATAAATGGCGGAGCTGTTTCACTTGGGCATCCTATAGGGTGAGAAAAATATTGATATTTTCTTCATAGATTCTCCGCGGAAATTGAGATGGTACGCGTGCTGAAATGTGTCTTCGAAATATGGAAATTTAATCAGTACATTTCTTGTTTCTAACAATAAACTTTGAAACCTGACCTGCTTATCCTTAAGAACACATAAAACATTGTCGTTGACGAGTACTAGATTAAGTAGATTTGTAAATTTGCAAAAATATTCCGTTTGCGTTTTAATCCAACTTTCACGAAACCGGCTCCTCAACAACAATAGGTGGGTGTGCATGTTACGGCAGCCATGTTGGTTATCAAATACAAAAGAATATTTTATCAATGCCATTGTCGGCACCGGCCGACGTGGGCGAGTCACGTTGTTTGGTAATTCCGAGGAGATTGGTTGCAATCCAAGAATATCTCCACGTGATTCAAGCAGAACGTTTTTCTTGTTTAACAGGATGTCAGGTGCTCGCCTTGTCGGTCATCTTGTTCATAATTTGAATCCTGGTGAAAAAGGTTTAGCAAGCATTTGTAATGGAGGTGGAGGCGCCGCCGCTATTGTCGTTGAAAAATTTGATGTGCATGAAATGGTAAGATTGGCATAAGATCTATGTTGAGTTAATGAAGTGTGCTATACTATGGGGGCTGTTTTGTACTTTGACTTTAAACTCCGCTTGGAAATCTAAAATTGCGAAATTTATTTGCGTAAAATATACGAGGAAATGTACCACGCGGTTCGATATTTATCATTTACATATTATTCTGTGGAGTTGAACATGAATTTCACATATTTTAATTAATATTTCCCATTACTGACAAAGTACATATCATTATCCCGTATGTTCCTGTTTGATCCCACGTAATTGTTACATCAGTAATGGACCCATGTGATCCCCTTATTATTAAATAAAAACAATGAAACGTGTGCGCTGATTGGTCAATAACTATGTTTGCATTAGCCAGTACAAACTGATCTGAGCTTAATCATTAAAGAGAATATGCAAATCAATCGTGAATACATGCTAGAAGAAAATTGAAACATTTGTTTTATCTATATGTTTCGCATTATTGTTATTTTATAAAATAGATAAAAGATGTTTTTCGTGTTTGCACTGGCTGGTGTGAAAACTCTCGAACATGTTCAACCCTCGACCTTTGTTCTTGGCTTACATTGATCTGCTCTTGACTTCTCTCAAAGGTCTCTTCGGTTTCATAAGCCTGTGCAAACACAGTAAACAACTTTTATTTCTTTAAAAAAACACAAAAAAGCCGATACTTAATAAATACTCAAAATGTTATTCGAACTTTTTTACATGAAGTACATGTTATTTGTAGTAGACTAAAACAGCTTAAACTAATTGTAGAAACCTTTAGATTAGAATATTGATTACGGTAGTGTGTATTTTGTTTTGTTATAAAGGTACTCTAGCAGTCATTGCCGTAGCAACCTGGATAATTACCGGGGAGGAGGGTATTCACATATGAATGGTAGGCCGAATTATAAAATATACATGTATGAATCTTTGCCTCCTACTTATCGAAGTCAGCTACGTCACTGTTCGCAGTCAACATTAAACTGTCAAGTAATACACCAAAATTTACGTACAAAAATATATTATCGTATATTCAATTTTACATGTATAATGTACAGCTTGCAGTTCATACAAAAATCTAGAGAATAAGTTTCATACATAAGTCGTAACTCGTGTGATTGTCGGGGAAGATCTTCCCGCCTTTTCTAACGCTACTTTGTCTTTTTTCGTCGATTTAGTTCGTTCGTTTACAGATTTTTGTGTTCTTACATTTTTTGCCTTTGAACGAGCAGTGTCTTTCTTTTCCGATTTTGTTGAGGTCTGCTTCACAAGTTTTTTTTCTCTCGAATCACGAGTATTTAAAGGATGGTGAGACAACTCTGGGAAAGGAACGTCAGTCGTGCTTGCATCTTCGTTTCTTTCTCGAATTTGAGTGTTTAATCGTTTTCGAAGAGGTGAAGCTGTTTCTATCGTGAAAATGGAACGAATTTCTTCATTATCTCTTCATTATGTGGACGCAGAAATAAGTTGAAATGTTTTTATAAAATAAACACAATACAATACAATACAATACAGTACAATACAATACAATACAGTACAATACAATACAATACAACACAGTACAATACAATACAGTACAATAAAATACAATATGATACAATACAATACGATACGATACGATACAATGCAATGCAATGCAATACAATACAATACAATACAATGCAATGCAATGCAATACAATACAATACAATACAATACAATACAATACAATACAATACAATACAATGCACTACTATACGATAACATTCAGTAATAATTGATTAAAACTTCATTACCTTCTCCGTCGATTTCTGTTGGTTGTTTTTCATCCAAAACCTGTTTAAGTTGAGTACTCGTTTCTTCAAGTAATTTTCTCAGATCTCTATACTCCTTGGACATTTCGTCTCTTATTTCGTTGACGCTTCTTCCTTGGTTATCCATCAACAAATGATTATTATTACTATAGTCCATACTTGATAAACTCTCCTCCAGTCTATTCTCAAGTCGCTGAAGTTTACAAATGAGCACGTGACGCGTAAAGTCAACTTCAGCCACGCATTTCTCCTGAGTTGCTTCAAGTCTTTCTAACAAAGTGGTGCTTTCAGAACTCTGGAAAGAATTCACACAATCAGGGGTAGCATAAAGGTCTCACTGCCTAAAACATATAGGGCCTCACCAGTGCTGTAGAAGGGGGAGGGGCGCTTGGGGAGAAGCTTCCCTTCTACCTTTGAAATGGGTAATTTTAAAATGGCATTATTGACAAAAACGTCAAGAGAGCCCCCCTCTGATAAATTTAGTTCTACAGCACTGGGCCTCACTGCCAGGGACATATAGGTTCTCACTGCCAGGGACTTATAGGTTCTCACTGCCAGGGACATATAGGTTCTCACTGTCAAGGACATATAGGGTCTCACTGCCAGGGACATATAGGGTCTCACTGCCAGGGACATATAGGGTCTCTGCCAGAGACATATAGGATCTCGTTGCTAGAGACATATAGGGTCTCATTGCTACGGACATATGGGGTCTCACTGCCAGGGACATCTATGGTCTTACTGCCAAGGCGGAACATATTGAGCGTTTATTGCCTAGGAGTATAAAAGGGTACCTACCTGGGACTGATGTAAAGGATATCGCTTCCAAGGTAGTATTAAGCTAGCACAAACAATAGGGTTCACTGCCGGGGGAAGAGAATAAAGGTTTTCACTGCCAGGGACATATAGGGCTCACTGCAGGGGGAGGAGAATAAAAGTTTTCACTGCTAGTGGGAAGGGCTTGAGATTCAGAAGAAAAACTTCCACAATGAGGACTAACTTGATTCGCAATAAAAGATTACCACCACCACCCCCTTTAGAGACCTTTAGCAAACATAACTTTGAAGTTTATAATGGTGTTTGTATCGTGATATTAATAATAACAAAACGTTTACTGTAATTGACTTAAAACTTGGTCTCAGTAACTTTTACCTAATTGAAAATCATTCTTTATCGTGTACCGAAAATACTATCAACCAGTAACTATGGCCTTTCTTACCCTCAATTCCAACCATCCCTCTGTTTTCTTCATTCCTATCATCTCTAGCAACTTTTCCATCTTCTCCAAATCATTCTCGAAACTCTCGTGTTGTTTTGCCCATTTCTTTTTCAAACTTTGGTACTCCTTACTTCGCGATCGCCTGTGGTGTGAAGACCGTCTCTTTTCGTGCGACGAAGACTCGTGTGAGTGGCTACCATCGCTTGTATCGCGTTTCTTATGAATTTTTCCGTTCATTCTCCTGGTGTCTGTATCCTTGTAACCGTCAGTATCATTGAATGTCATCTTACCTCTCCTGGTAACCATTAACTTCCCACCATCACTAGTACCCGTTCTCCCTGAGCGATCACTGCTCTCGTAAATGCTGGATAGCTTATCGTGATGTCTCCTTGACTTCCAATGTTTATTTTGTCGGAGCATGTCATCTCTCGTGCTTTTTTTATGAAGCGATCCTCGATGGCGGCGATGGTGTTTTACCGCTTCAAGGTCTGAATCGCTTGCACTGCGAAATAGCTTCCCGGAAAGTTCGCGTTTGTGTTTAGCGCGTTGCGTGCCGTGTCGGTGAAAATGTTCGTGTTCTTTTCTTTCTCTGTTGGGTGATTTTTTCCTGCGATTTTCCTTGTTGTTGTCTGTCTTTCTCGTGAAGAAATCTTTCACTCTTTGAAAGAGTTTTGGTAAACTACCTGTCCTGTAAAGAACGGCGATAATACTCGTGTTAACCTTCTTTTGTGCAAAAATTATCACCGTTAAGATAATTACATCAAGTTCATTGTGATGTACTCAGGTATAGTCATAAGATAATCATTGTCTTCAATGTTCTACCAACTGAACTGCAAGACCAAAGGTGGACTATAGCCCTATTCACACGGCATAAACTATACTGGGTTCAACCCAGGTTAAAATTAATCCGGTTTCTACCCAAGTTAAAAATTAATCCGGGTTTAACCCAGGTTCATTTTTGCTTGTAAACACTACTAACCCAGGTTTTACCTGGGTTGAACTCAATCTATCTCAAGAAGTAGGTTGAGTTTATCCTAGGTTGAACCTAGTTCAGTAGTGTTTACACGCAAAAAAATAATCGTGAGTTAAACCCGGGTTAGTTTATGACGTCTGAATAGGGCTTATGATGATATTTTCAAGCATAGTTCTCACTAGCTTCTCTATAACATTTTACTATCATAGATAATGTCTTCGCGTTTTGTGATGCGTCCACTTGAAAAAGTGTCGTGGCAAAGTTGAAAAGTCCATTATAAATTTGAGAATATGTCTAATTTGACTTTCAATTAGCTACTGTTTTTCAGCTATACCAATGAATGGTTTCATTTACAAATTTGTGCCTATATTTTTATGAACTTTGAAACTTGTAATTTCGAATATTGTTCTATGAACAAATAGTTCTTGGAATCAAAATCAACCTTCCTTAAAGTCTGTATGAATTAATACACTTTCTTACGTTATCTCTTCTTTCCGTTTTCGATGCGATCTTGATTTGTGTTTTCGATGCTTTTCCTGTAGTTAAAAAAACGAGTTCGTTTACTGGATAAAACACGAAGCACTTTTTTGGCGTTAGATGAATAGATTAAAAATATTGGATTACTTCTAGTGCAGTTTGTGAGCGGAATGTCTGCTAACTGCCAGCAAAATCAGGCTAAGTTTAAAGCGGGCTTTGCGAAAGTATTTGTGAAGGTTAGAGATTATTGAAAGAAACTCTTGGCGCATATAAGTAGATGAAAAACAAATAAAAATCAACAGCTATCCAACATACATTAAGTGGATAAATAAAAGTGAAACTATCAAGACGTTTTTCCAGCTACAGAAATTACAGGATGCTGAATTGCCTGGCGTCTTTTTTTGTTTGAATTTTCACCTACTTTATTTGATTTTCGATGATATTGATATCTTGTGTAATCGTTGTAAAGTTCCGGTATTTTTTTTCTGGAATCTTTCGAACCTTGTCGCATTTGCTGTTTTTCTGAAGCATTATTATAGCGGCGTCTACCGCTTATTCGGTCTTTGCAATTGCGTTCAAACGAACTCGGTTTCTCGGAAGTCAACAAATGAATATTTTCATGTGTTGATAAAATATCGTCGCTCTTCGCTTTCTATATAAGGTCGAACTAAATGGTTAGCTGTTAAAATCTCCACCCATATCACACGAATAGGATTGGGTTCTATGCTGTGAATGATTTGAAACCACGACATAGTGAGTAAAACTGGGTTCTATGGTGTTGACGATTACGTCAATGAAAATGACGAATGAAAATACTACACCCAGACACGCGTGTGTAGTTCAATCAATTTTCACTCCGCGAGAGAATCTCGAAACACTGAACACGCGTGTCAGGGTGTAATCTCGCGTTTCTATGAGTGTAAGATTTGGCTTCAATTATTTGCTTCAGATGGCGTTCCATGTATTTTAGTTCAATGTTTGAAACACGACAAAAGTGAGTAGGACTGGGATGAGGGTGTCAAAGAACTTCTCTTCGTATTCAGCTACTGTCTCCTACATAGATTTCAACTGTATCTCTTCCTCTTGTGTTATCCTGGACAGATATTTGTTTGGCCAAAATTGGAGGTTCTGTCGATGTCTGTGACATTCTACGTAGAAAAAGATTAATACAATATGAAATTATGAACTTTACGATTTTGCGTAATATAAAATGTTTTATGCGTAAGCCCGTGTACATGCCATGTCTTACGAGACTTGAAGAAATTTTGCAGGTGTGTTCATCTTTATGAAATGTAAAGTTAGGATCTTAAGGTTTGGGAGAATGCCAGTAAAGCGTGACAGCACCATGAAAACCGAGTTTTATTATTTTTAAATATTCTTAAGTATGGCCACAATGTAAATTGGAGATGTTTTTAAAACATTTGAAATACAGCGGTGTTGTGGTGTACGTTATTGAACACTGGACGTTGATAATGATTATCTTGTTACTGTACTGTATTTTTCTATAATATTAAGATATGAAAGAAACTAGAACTGTGTTTTGAAATATCATCATAGTCCACAGTTGATCTGTAGCTCATTTGGTAGAACATGGAAGACAATGATTATCTTGTTACTATACCTGAGTACATCACAACAACGTGATGTTCTTATCTATGATATGAACATATGAATTAAACTAGAACTGTGTTTTGAAATATCATCATAGTCCACAGTTGATCTGTAGTTCAGTTCGTAGAACATTGAAGACAATGATTGTCTTGTTACTATACCTGAGGACATCACAACAACGTGATGTTATTATCTATGATATTAAAATATGAATGAAACTAGAACTGTGTTTTGAAATGTCATCATATTGTCCTCGGTGGTCTTATACTGATGTTTTCAGAAACTTCATGCAACCGAGGAGGTAGGCGCTCAAAGAATAAGATTTTCACGCCTTTAATCAACAATGGACATTAGTTTGATGTCTTCCATTTTCATAAAAATCTCTGATGATTGATTATTAGGAAAAAGTAGAAACAATTAAAACGTAAATAACCAAACCTGACAACAAAGACCAAATTTCATGAAAACATCAAACAACTGCAGCAGGTGTTTCTGTAAATCAACATGTTACATTCTCAAAACCATGCATGTACAAAGAAACAGTTCGATTAAGTAGATGCTAGCCACAGCGTCGCTGATCGAAATGAGATAGAAAGGTATCACTTGTTCTGCCTACTGTGTATGGAAAGTTAATGGGAAAATCATATGGATATCGTTATTAACTTGATATAATGCTTAGCTGGTGTGGTTACACAAACATTTGATAGTTAGCGAGAGTTCATTGGAGTGCTTGATCTTGGAAATAATCGTTCGAACATATGTGATAGTCTCATTCTAGTCATAGAAAATTATTTGGATATTTTATTCTATAAGAACGCGTGCTGCTTGGATGAAATTTTAGCCAAGCAATAATAAGATTGTTATTGATCATATATGCACAAATCCATAACTATGAAGGGAGAAGATTGTTATTGATCATATAAGCACAAATCCATAACTATGAAGGGAGAAGATTGTTATTGATCATATAGGCACAAATCCATAACTATGAAGGGAGAAGATTGTTATTGATCATATAAGCACAAATCCATAACTATGAAGGGAGAAGATTGTTATTGATCATATAAGCACAAATCCATAACTATGAAGGGAGAAAAGTATTTACTCCCGTATTCTAAAAGTTCGCGCAAGCTCTCAATCGTTGCGTGGGTGCAACGCAGATATAGTGCTTCCACTAAATGACGAACTCGAATGGAAAACTCAGTTTCTCCATTGATGGAAAGATTTTCGCTAAAATATTTCACATCAAGCAAATTCCGAAAAAGCAAGACATCTTGAGATTGCAAAATATGCATCAAAACAAGACGAGAAGTGAACTGTAAATTTCGACTTTATTTCAAAGTCATCCACAGACAGAATGATATTTAAAAATTCGAAAATTTCTTCTCGTTTTTTTGATGCATATTTTGCAATCTCAAGATGTCTTGCTTTTTCGGAATTTGCTTTATACTGTAGTTCTTTAAATTGTCGGCTGGTCATGGTTATTTCACATCAAGCAATCGGTGTAGTGAAAATATACCCTCTTCGAATAATAATGGAGCGATTTTGAAGCTCCACAGTGCGTGTGAACAGCGAATGCGCGAATGCGAGTCGTCTTTTTAAATACAGGCGATAAAGTCCCAATTTTGCAATGGGCTGAGCTGTGCAGATGTATAACATTATCTGAATAACTAAATATTTATTTAAATTATATCATGTCGTCTCGTTCTTATTAATAAGTCTTCGGAATTGTTTCGATGTATCGTACTTTTAAAACACATTTCAACCCGTAGACACAAAATAAAGATAGAAAATAAGAGCTCCGAGAAAGACTGGGTGTTTGATACCCCAGCTCTTGTTTGTTTTTATACAAGGGTCTCGATGGGGTTTACCGACTAGCGATAAACAGGTTTTATAATTAACTGCCTACCGACGAACCAGAAAAAAGATATATAATGATTTCCAACAAAAATATTTGATGACTAGCAACATTTGCTTTAATTGAAAATCTTAGAACCATTTTAAAGAACGTATTTTTATCAATTTTGTAACATAACCTTTGACAGTATTGTACTGTTTGTACAGCCTGCGCCGAGGTGGTTTTCAAACCTTTTAAACACCACTGGAAAATACTAATCTCCTTTTGCAACGATCAATGATCTTATAATTAGGTTTATTGATTACGACAAAGTAAATGGTTTGAAGTAAATGGATTTAACCCGGGAGTATCGTTACGACAAACATGGAAAATTTAACGACTCACGAATACTCCATCGAGACCCTGTTATATAATGAACATCAAGAAAAAGAAATGTTTATTTTTTGGAATTTGTCTCGAATTCCAATAACAATCTTGCACTGTTGACCTGCAAGCGTGTGCGTGACTGCAGTGAATTGAGCTCTTGGTGATCATGCGCCTATTGAAAAATTAACGAATTTTACCTTTTATAGCTCTTTTGGACTCTACTCATATATTTTTTTTATTTGTGAGCTCGAATGAGCACTCCTTCATATTTTATAACTTATTTTGCATGTATTAATTACTTTTATCAAGTACGGAAGACAATTAGGCAAAGGATGTTGCAGTTTGATCATAGATTCAAATTACCTTCATTGTAAAGTTCACAAATTATTTTGTTTGATGGTATGAAAGATACCTCTTAACTCTAACCTGATAAAACCTTTATTGGCTTGCTTTCTAAAATATTGCTACAGCGATCTAAAGTCAAGAGAATTTCTTCTAGTCGATAAATTTATTGCTGCGAAAAGACAGTTTCTCTAGCACCAAGCAATATTTGTTAATCGTTTCAATTTCCGTTTCTCGACAGGATTTGTTTACAACGCACGCAGAACGAGTATTTAAAAAGTGAGATATTCTTAAACTAAAGGATATTCGTTAACAACAATGAGCAATCGCGCTTTCACATTAAACGCGTTGTCGTCATTGCGAAAGTCATCTTAATACCGATTTCCGTTCGACCAACTATTGACAGTTTTCTTGAAGGCATTTTAAAGAAGGGATGTTGGTCTTTTATGTTTAAATTTAGTATTTATGAATTATGAGTGTAGTATTCATGACTAAATGAAGACGGTCGACCGTGTATTACATAATCGTAAGTCGCGGTATACCGTGTTTGTATCATGAAGGAACTTTATATAAAGTCATATTTGGTCCGCTACTTGCGGTTTTATTATTGATTTATTTATATATTGTAATTGGATTTGGAACTCGTAGATCTCATGTTTTATTGGTTAGAAAATTTTATCTTATAGCAAAGTCGTACTTATGCTAAATTTCTGTATAGAAACTGCTGTTGTTTGTTGTTCGTGCGAATTTTATCGTAGGTCAAACATTGCACTTATAATACCCACGGCCTCTCGTATAAAGTGATAAATTCCTCACCTTCTGAGTGTCTCGAGCGGAAAACCTCAAAACCATCCAAATGTTTTAGGTTTATCGCAGGTAATCACAAACATTCGTGATGGTTCGACGTCGAAATTTCGCGGCCTTTCACGTTGTTGAAAATTGTTAATCTTCTAATCTTTCAAGACGCGATATTGCATCGTTTTCATCTTCTATTTCTCCCCGTTTGTTGTAAGACGGTAGCCATGGCGATGGAAATGTGTTTGTCTAATGTATTTGTGCATGTTGAGGACGGATGTGCCAGATAGTTGAATGTTCGCCCTTTCCCCCGGTGGCAATCTTGTGCTTCCAAATCTCTTTCGTGATTTGAAAGTTTAACCATTTTGAGGTATTTATAACTGTCACAGTAGTGTGTAAGTTGAACATGCAAGTACTATATCATAATGTTCTGATGTAATTGGACACCAACTTTGTAACTGGCTAATATTGACATAAGAATGTTCATCAACGAAACCACGATTTTTTGACGATTTCCGATGTAATGGTAATAAAGGGGATTTTTACTTTGGCCTACAAGTGCAAACACGTATATATACGACATTAAATACACGAGGAAAAAATCAAATAAACGCATAAAAATTGAAATAAGGATCCCATACCCTTGACAACCAATCTTTGCCGAAAATTTCCCCCAACCTTTTCCTACACCTTTTTCTTTTTCGAATTTACTTTATTTTCGGTCTTTGAATACAACGAACCACCCAGATAAAGTCTAAGAGTACTGTTTATTGAAGTGGCTATTCTCTCTCTCGGGCAGTAAGTCGGTACGACTAGCACTGTTTATGGTTTGGGTTTGCTTTTGATGGCCGATCTCCAAGCCGCTCTGTTGCTTGCGGCCGTCTTCCAGTTGTTAGGTGGGATCTGTCTCACTTTCATGTGTCGTTTTACGACGTCTTTGTATCTGAGTCTGGGTCTTCCTTGGTTTCTCTTCCCTTCGCATAGTTGTGAGAACAGCAGTTGTCTTGGGAGTCTTTCCTGATCCATCCTGTGTACATGCCCCAGCCAACGAAGGTTTCTTTCTATCAGAATGTCTGCCATCGAGGGAGGTTAGCACGTTTCAGGATTTCAACATTTGTTATCTTGTCCTGCCATTTGATGCTCATGATATCTCTCAGCTGTCTCATCATAAAAGCATGTAGTTTCTTTACCTGAGTTCTGTAGATGGTCCATGTTTCTGCTCCATAAAGGAGGGTTGATAACACCACAGCTCTGTAGACTTTGCATTTTATCCTGATTGTCACATGCCTATTGTTCCGCAGTCTCTCCTGGAGCTTGCCAAATGCTGTACTTGCCTTCCCAATCCTGGCCTTCAGCTCTTTCTCTATTTTTGAAGAGCTGGAAACAGTGCTTCCAAGATATGTGAAGTCCGTGGCTTGGACAAGCGGGATTTGATCGATGGTGATGTCTTGTGGCTCAGGAGGGGGATTGTGAAGTTTGATCGGCTGATACAAGCACTCTGTTTTCTTGATGTTTATCTTAAGGCTGAACTGGGTAGCAGCCTTTGAGAATCTGTCAACAAGCAACTGTATGTCCGATGCAGTGTGAGGCACCAGAGCACTGTCGTCCGCAAACAGCATCTCTCTGAGGAGGTGTTTTGTTGTTCGTGATTTTGCCTTGAAGTGGGAGACATTGAAGAGATCTGCAGTGTTTATTGAAGTGCCTATTGCGTACATGAAAACAACGTGCATTTTTTTGGATCGAAACTTATCATTTTCCTTTCACTTCACCTGCTTTTGAAAATACCCAACATTAATAGAAATTGATGCATTCAAATTTCGAGCAGCCCGCCTAATTTTGATTGACAAATCATATGTAGAACACGACAAAACCTTCCGAAATACGACAGGTTTTCAAGAGTTGCATTTTTTGTTTATGATTTTGCAAATGGCGCAGCTAATTCTCTAAAGGGATCGAAAAGGCATCCACGAAATGGCCGAAAAATATTTGTAAATTCTGCAAAAAGAGGCAGGACCGGAGTACGGTACTCAGGCACCAATGTGAACACAACATTTTGATGGTGCCATAGTCTTGGTCTGAGCACTACAAAAGGTGGCAGAACCGGAGTGCGGTACTCAGGCACCAATGTGAACACAACATTTTGATGGTATCGTAGTCTTGGTCTGAGCACTACAAAAGGTGGCAGGACCGGAGTACGGTACTCGGGCACCAATGTGAACACAACATTTTGATGGTGCCGTAGTCTAATAGCGCATTCAGACTGAGCGTCGGAGTACGATACCCTGGTTCGTGTACAAATCTGCAGGCCGTTCACGCTATGAAGTATCCATTAGCTTCGTCTATTTATAATTTCATATTTTTTATTGTAATCAAGTTTTAAAACCATGCGTTAAATACGTGCCTCTCTGTACATGTTACTCAGGTGTCGTCGTTCACATTGGTGCCCGTACCCGAGCACCGTACCACTACTTTTACTGGTGCCCAGACCCCGGCACTTTGACTCGGGCACCATCAAAATATTTTGTTCACATTGGTGCCCGTGCCTGAGTACCGTGCCGGGGCACTCAGTCTGAACGCGCTTTAAAGTGCCCTGGTCTGGGCACCACAAAAATAGGTAGTACCCGAGTATGTTGCTCGAGCAGGGGCACCAACGTGAACGGCGACATCTGAGTAACGTTTACAGAGAGGCACGTATTCAGCACATGGTTTTAAAATTTTTTACAATGAAAAAACATGAACTTATAAATAGACGAAGCTAATGGGTACTACAAAGTGTGAATGGCCTACAGATTTGTCCCCGAACCAGAGTATCGTATTCCCGGCACTCAATCTGAACACGCTGTAAGTCTAAAATTTTCCGTAATCACAGCGGCGTAATGATTCATTTTGTAAATTAACAAATGTGATGCATTGTCGTATATGTTTTAGTGTTCGTACATATTTTATTCGTTTATTTACAAACCCTAATTTATCATTAAACCCAAACAAAATTTAGTAATTACAACTCCAACATTACGTCCTCAATCAGTTCTGCTGTTTTGAAAACATCTTATATCAACAAAAGAGTTGGAAATTTCGAAAGGATTTAAAAAAACATAAGCTGTTGCAATTGCAACTATAAAAATTTGCAGAATAAACTTTGTTGGAGGATGTAATTGTTTATGGGTTAAAATGTTTTCTCCGAGTCTTTCCATTCACATCCCCGATAGATAGCGAAGCATGAAGGTTTGACGATCGATCTTCCTCATCGTGCTGCGCAAATATGTTTCGACACGTTTTGTGCAGCTAAATTCTAACTATATGACAACAACAACATTTCTTACAATCGTTCACTGCAATAGGAATAATGAATATAAACGGTATTTTTGTTTTAATTTTTGTCATTACTGCCGATGCATCGGCGAAATCATGTAACTTACCGCCAAGCTTTTTGTGTTCATCGCGTCAAATCGCAATAGAATGCGATGTTGAAAAGCAATGTGATTCGTATTTTTCACCGCTCCCTAAATCAGAAGTCGAGCTCGTGAACTTCACCCTTTACATGGAAAGCCTGTGTCCTGGTTGCAGGGGTTTTATCAACTATCGATTGTGGCCTGCATTCAAAGCCATTGGTGAGATAATGAATTTGGTTATTGTGCCATACGGCAACGCTATTGAGAAGAAAAACGGCGACGGTTGGGAATTTATGTGTCAACACGGCAAGGAAGAATGCTACGGCAACTTAATCGAGACATGTGCTATGCACTACAACCAAAACGCCTCTGTCTTTTTACCTTTTATCCATTGCATCGAATCATCGAGTTTATTACCTCGAAATATCGCCGATAAATGTGCAAAAAAAGTCGGTTTAAATTATTCGTTGATTATCTCGTGCGTGGAAGGACGACTGGGCAACCAGTTGCAACATGAAATGGCTGAAAAAACTCATGCCCTGGAACCACGATTAAAATATGTACCATGGATAACCTTGAATGGTGTGCACACAAAAGCAATTCAAGCCGCAGCTTATACCAATCTTGTGAAGCTGATTTGCGACACGTATGAAGGTGATCCAAAACCCAACGTTTGTTTGCCAAGCAATTTAAAGACATTGGGTTGAGAATTCAATTTCAAGGTCTTGATTAATGTATGATTGAAATTATATCTCACTCAATATATGTCTAGGAAATTTTCAAAAATTTTTTAAATATTATTATTGTTATTGGGTTTCGTGAGAAACAGTCTGCAATGTGCGATTCATATTATACGTAAGTCAACTTGCAAGTTTACTGGTACTATACACATATATTGGCGTTCAGCGAGACCTGAAATGCAAATTCAACAATCAAAAGGTTTAGGGAAAGGTTAGAGTAAAGTTTCGGCTAAGTTTGGTTCCCTCCTGTTATCCAAGAAGGGTATAAGTGATCTTTATTTGACTCCAAAATAACCGAAACTGACGTGTTCGATTTTCACTGCGTGTATTTGATTTTTATTTGCGTGTATTCGATTTTTTATGCATGTGTTTGATTTTGTGTGTGTGTTTGATTTTTTTGCGTGAGTTTCTTGGCCACCGTGGGATTTTAGCAGTTGCTTTTAATCATCCCGAGCGACCATAAATATTTCACAATTCGCTTGTCCAGTGATCATCTTAACAGCAGCAACCCGTACCTAAGTTCATTACATTTTGGAAAGACCTCTAGGAGGGAATTTTGATGAATCACTAGTTGAATGAATAACAAGTTTGGGAGGTGTGATAATTTCTGACAATCACATTAAAGAATCATTAGTACTCGACCGAAGTTCCATTTTCGGGCTGACTTCAGGGTAACTATACTTGTGTTGACGTTTCAATATTGCGTTGATTTTCTTAACAAAACATTGAAAAATTCGATTAACAACGGTGAATAGCTATAGCTATTGCTTCTTTACAGAGATCATCTTACATAACGATTTTCTTTGAGTAGTTATAGTTGAGATTCTTTGCTTGACTTTCATCATTTTCCTTTCGAATACTATGGTCAAGGAAACTCCAGCGATTTGTGAGTTTATGCTTTATCAAGAAGACAATAAAACATAAATAGTTTTTCTTTGTTTCCTTTTCCGCTTTGATGGATTTTTAAAATCACGACAGCTGAATGGCCTTTCATTCATTAAATCTTAAGTATTTCCCCACTGGTCATAATCGACTTAGAGCAAAACCTTTGCATCCGTTTTCTTTTGTCGAACGTAAAATATAATGATATTACAATGGCAGCCTGCCATTGTGCACAGGGAGTTGTGAAACTTATATATAGGTGTTTACTCAGATTATTTTTTCTTGATATTAATGACAAACAAACAAATTAGTTTTTACTTCAATTTAACTGCTAGTCAGCTGTAGTGTTATATAGACAAATATTCTATTGGTCAATATACGCGTGTGCATGCGCGCCATTGGATAATAGTCGTGTGTGATGAAGACTGTAAAGTAAAACGCGGCAGTAACATGCTTGAACACTAACAAAATTCATGACGTTAATTGCCTTGCTAAGCTTTTAAACTTTTTTTTTGTCTGTGGTTGGGTTTGAACACATCTTTGATCGCGTGCATCTCAGCCAACGACCTGTGAAGTGGACTAGTGTTAATGAAATTAAATTACAACAGTTCGTTGTTGAATGTATCCATCTACAAAATACTTAAAATGTCGTCCGAAAGGTAAGATTTTATAGTGTTTGGGATTTAATAACCAATTACATCGTTATTGGGATTTTTTGTGTTTAAATTGAGTTGTTTAGCTGTTGTTATTCATTTGTCTAACCCTGCATCCCCAGCAAAAGTTTAAAAATGCGAAAGAGCCCGATGTATTTCACCATTCATAGTCTCCAGTAATAAAGAATATATTTTCATTAATTTACTGCAATATTTGCTAAAATGAAATTCAGACAACCCGACAAAAGAAGGATTATAACACACTCATCATATTTGTGTCGCTAGTTTCACAAAAGTCAGTTCTACAATATTTACATGAAAGAGGACGGTCAGGACACGTTATAGCACTTTTTTGCAATAGAAATTCCGTACAAATGCGAATTATTATTACAGCGGTTTAATCTTCGATTCTTCGTTGGTTTATCAATTAGAACCGCCGCCATCTTTGAAACCGAAAACGAAGCTTGTTTTTCCGAGTTTTTAAAGGTTTTGCGATACCTTTTTAGAATATCAACAACGATATACATCAAATACATTGGCACAAATTGCCATAAAAAGTTTTGCAACACAAGATTTAGTAATAAACATAAAAACTCAAATATAAATACGGTTAGCACTATTTTCCACCCAGCAAACCGCCCTTTACTTTACACAATCGGAAATAAATTTAAGATGGCGGCTAATGGGAAAGAACCAAAAGCTAAAAGGAAACCATGCATGCTCTGGTGCTAGGTCGTTTTGAGATGGCGAGTAATTTTATATTTCTATAATACAGTTTTTAATATCAACATATGAAAATATTTACAGATAAATGTTACAGTTTAAATTTTCATGCAACCACCTTAAGTTATAAACTTATAATCCTGGCTGGAAAATATGTCGTTTTTCGACGATTGTGTAAAATATTATATAAAATATTATATTGCGTAAAATATTATATTGTGTAAAATATTATATTGTGTAAAATATTATATTTCAAAGTAAAGGGCGGTTTGTTGGGTGGAAAATAGTGCTAACCTATAAATACATCCTGACTTGCTTCAAAATGGCGTATAGAACTAGCATACAGTTACTGTATTACAATTCTTGTTTTTATTACAAACTTTAATTGCAAGTAGAAGTTTCGGGACAGCGATTGCAGATAATTATATATACATATATTTATAATGTATATATAGTGATGTTGAAAAAAATTACGAAAACTACAGGTTCATCCCGAACTTCCTATATTTATAATGTAAGTATGCAAACAATGAAGTTAAGCATGCTTTGTGCAGTGTACCTAATATCATAGCTACAAACATGAAAGAAATTCTGGGTGCTTCCCTGCAGAATATGAAAAATTCCTCTTTCACAAGGCAACTAAGCAGCTGATTGTCATAATGAGTTCCATTATGGCAAAGTAATGAAATTATGAAATAAGGGAAACTACTTTTCATTCAAACATCCTATCCAAGATTCAATAAAATCAACAGAAGTCTATCAGGTCATCTGTGAGGTAACAAAAACTCTTATATCTGCGAATATCTTCTAAAATTTGAACCTTATACATATTAAATGAATCCTGACCTCAATGTTCAAGTTAACACTATATACGGTTGGCAAAATATACTGCTCGTCGATCACGGTAGCTTTTTCAGTTTATAGCGCCCGTATTTAGCCAGTTCATACATAATATTTCCCTTATATACTAAAAATAGCATCATGAGATTTTGAAACATGTCTGATTAGGGAAGTTCGCGTAATTTTTTCAAAAAAAAACCTTTTCCTTATTAGTGAAACAAATCAAGAAATCTACTAGAAACGCCATAAAAAGTCTCTTCCAAAGTAGATCTACATTTTTATTTTTAATATAACAGCACCTGATGGATTCGCTGGAAATAACAATCACATTTAACCAATCAGGACTTAGGAGCAATAAATTGTTCAAAAATATCACAATAGTCATATCATTCAATTCACTCTTGTTGTCACACTGATTCATCAAAATATCCATTATCTAGCTGTGTCGTGAATCGTGACGACTTGACATATCGATAAATGTTTACTGTCTGCCGAAACGACTATCTTTTCCATCTCGTGTGAAAGGATGTTGCTAGTAGACGCTTATTTTGTTTTGCCGTAAGTTTAAAATTGAAGCCATTTTAATGGCGCGCCTTCGTTAAATGAATATTTTAATAATTTAATGTTATAGACAAGTGCCGAAGTATTCCCATTCTATATTCGATTAATGCGCGAGAGTACTAATATGGAATTCCGTGTGAAAAGTAACGCTTTCATTAAATAGAAAATTTTTATCATTTAAGGACATAGATAAGGCTTAAAAACACTAAATTCTGCTGTTTATCAATGGATGGCATGTGGTATTAATAATTTCTATTCATATGTTCGACATTCTGTCGTCTTACATCAGAATTCTTTTAATTGTTGATAAAATAACAGAAATTTGACGAATGAAAGGAGTCAGTCTTAATGGGTAAGCGATCCAACCGGAAATAGCAAAAAAACAGCTCGCAGTCTCTCACACGGTCGGTGTGTTATGGAGGTGATGAAAGAAAACGAGCATCGTTGCGCCCATTGGCTTTATTTCGACCAATGTTTTTAAAGCAAACAAACTGAAAATCTTCAAATATTTCGTCTATGTTTGTGTAAAATATGTGGAGTTGTTGTTTCATATTATTCGTGTATAAGCACAGCCATATTGAAATAGCTGGATTTTAATTTCTGTGAAAACAGGGAATTCACGTGGTCTTTTTCAGTGCGAATGCATCACCGCATGGACCAGCTTGAATGAAGCTTTCTTTTGACTTAACCTTTTTTTATCATTCCAAGCAATTTGTTTCTTTATTCAATACATCAAAAACTATAGGCGGTCCTAAACTGAGCATTTTGCATGAGGGAAAAAATTCATAATTATTTCATTATGTACTTAAAGAGTAACGATTAGGCTTCACATTTGATACCTATAGAAGCTATATCCAGTCTATTATCAGATCAGTCGATGGTACAAGGTCGACCTTCATTGTTTAGAAACAAACTGGAGATTGTATGATGCTGCTTCTTCTTAAAAAATGTAGAAATATTACAGAATCCTACTACTGCTACCAAAATTTCGTCTGCCATGACGTTTATGGAAGATTACTACAAATTTACTTATTTAACAACACTTTGTTATTAACATCGCTAGATTTAAGCAACTTTAGTGGTTTTTTTGATGTGTGACAAATAAATGTGTTCGTTGGCATTATATATTGTATTTTGTTTTCAATCGTTTCCTAACTCTGTTGGGTATTACCTGCAATATTATGAGCACAGCATGTCCATTTCTACGTGTGGAAATTAAAACAATAATCAACTTAATTAAACTGCTAATGTAGGATAAAGTTCTGATATTGCTGTGACTAGTTTAAAGTGCACATTGTTTTATTAAGGTAACTCCCGTGGCCAATGCCACCGACTTTGCATCGTGTGATGGCCGTGTTTAAAACACATGGTCGTGCTTTTTTTGTGTATGTTGCAAGAATAGACTAAATTATTGCCCTTAAAATTGCTTTACTCAGCTTATATCGTGTGAGTTAACACGTAGTGGTTATTTAAAAAGAGAGCAGTCCAATTGACCATTTAAATTTAAAGCTTATACAATTTTCAATTTTTCACATTGAATTTCAGTACCATTTTGTACCATTTATAAAGAAGAAATTTGCTAAGATTACGATTCAATTAAGCTGGATTTTGTCTTGAGATGTACTTCGTTTGTGTGGTTTCGTTTTAACTTTATTAATGTTTTAAAGTGTATAAAATGCTTCTTTACTAAAAGGTTTTCAAAAGTATTTGCCAACTTGTGCTAATGTAAATAAAAGTACCTCTCGATATACATGAAATGTTAGCTATTAGCAGGTGTATGTGTGTACACAATTTGCAAATGGATGAACCTTAGCTGCTCCTTTCTCCCATAACGACGAAAATCATTCATTCTTACTTCTTTGCTCTTTCTTGCTGTTGTTCATTCGAAAATCTCATTGAAAATGCGTTCTTTCGACAAATATATAACACAAATTTTCTTTTAAACATATTTTATTTTGTGCGCACCAAAGTGTCGTGTGGAGATTTTTATTTTGTTTTGCCAACATATTCGCTTTCATAACAGTATGTAATGCTTCAAACGTCACGTTTTTTGTGATGTACACAAAGGAGATTCACCGTGGGGGTATTAGAAGTGTCTGTAAAAAGTGCAAATGTGCAAAGTTGACAATGACTTAAAATTAAGATGTTCTAAAGGGCGGGAATCTTCGTCGGCAGATGTCCAACGATATGAATAAGTCAGTTCCGTGTATTATGCTGTCGGTAACAAGCAAAGAACATAATCCATCAATTGTTTGTGAAAAGGTGCGAAACTACAGCCGAAAACAAGCCGAACGTTTTAATGCAACCATTTCATTGCTCTTACGATTTTGAAGATTATTTCGAACAATTCTTCAAGTATTAACGACTTTCTAAACGAGTTTCTTAACGCTCCGTAAATGCATGTTTGTTATAAAGACTAACATCGAAAGATTGTTAACTGAACACAATCTATTTCGATCTACTCCAACGTAATAAACTAATTATAATATCAAAATTAGCAACACCAAAATTATACTCGTATATGCAAACGTGTTTGCTAGTATGAACGTCGAGTCTCGCCCATCTGGCTATGATGTTCCCACGACTGTCGGTAATGTGAGCGATGAGTTGAATTAGTCAATTCTAACCCTTCCTATATGTGTGTTCCGTTTAGCATGGTTTTGTCAAATTATCCTCACCTAGGTGTGTGCGGCATATGGTTTTGTTTTGGACGACATGGAACGCGCAATCGGGAGTATTTTTGCCGTGCAAGTACTTGCTGATTTACAGTCGTAAAAGTATTGCTAATCGCACAGCATCATACGGCTTATCTTCACCCCACAGAACGTTAAATGGCTCTTTTTAAATGTAATAAATTGGTGAATATTTCTTGACTGATTGCTTCACATTAGGGATCGGTCTCAATCAGTGGCCTCATTAGCTTTTACATAGACAATTTGTTTGATGCAAAAGTATTTGGTTTTTATGTGTTCTGACATCCGTTGTACGTGTATTTGCGACTGTTTGGTATTTCCTGATATTTTGGTATTTCTATCGCTCTCAATTCAATTCGTTCAAATAGTACCATTTGCCTATTTCTAGTCCATCATGCGGTTTCTCTCGCAATTATAGCTTTCCTTCTGCCATGATATCACATAAACAAAAGTCTCTTCATTTTAGCCAGCTTGATTTTGATAAATCTGCGTAGAGCCGACTTACTTGGTCGAAACTTTATCATTTATTTATGAAATTGTCGTCACGAGGCTTATATTTATAATCTAAGGATTATATGTTGCATCCTTTATCTTGTCATGTGCTTGCGTGCTTGAAACATGTATGTGCACTCTTGTCTTTCAATGTCAATTCTCATGGCAAAAATAAAACCTCCTGAGCGACTATCAAAACCTGTTAGATATGATAAGCTCTCGTCGATTGATGGTTCCTGTAATACTAAATTACACGGCTTTAAGAATTCTTTATCTTAAAATCTTTTTGTACTGATATTCGTTCACTGCGTTGTTTGTTTTGCTTTAATGAAAAGCCATCAATGAATGTTTGTGTTTTGTTTAATTTGAATTTATCGCTGTTTCGTGGGAGTTGCTAACAGAACTCGTTTCCTTTGTTTGTGTTTCAACGAGGAAAAATACATGACGTTTTTAAGGAACTATTTTAACGTCTTTACAAACTTAAAGTCTATAGTTACTTGCCATTGTTTAGGCAGTAATTCGAAGCATTTATGATAGAGTGAAAACAGTCGTTCTTATCAACCCGCTGTTGAATACCAAATCATCGCAGTTGTGTAGGTTTTTTAAAAAAACATTAGTATTTTTACACTCGACGGTGCTGTGTTTTATACAACTCGCCATATCTTACGCTCGCAACGGAGACTATTGAGGATAAACTGATCCTGTTATTCATTAATTGTACGTCCCTTGTCAACTCAAATAGGAATTAAAGACGCGCGATTTCATTGGTAGAAACTCTCGCGCAGATTGTATACCGCGCGCTGATTGGTCAGATGCTATTTGCTGTTGAAAGCTGATGGCTGGAAACAAAAATAATTTGAGTGACACTGAAATCTTCGCGACAAACGAACCTTGACATATGAAATTAAATGATAATCATACGACCTCGTCAGTTGGCTGTGTCCTCTGAACGTGTGATGATCTCCGTCATTGTTATTGAACTGGATTAAACCCACAAAGATATTGAATTTGAAAGATCTTGTTTATGTGCTATACTGCCGCTAACATGAAGGGGATTTTTCCGTTGCTCATGATATTCGTCGAATTTTCGAATGTTGTGGAGGTGGCTTCGAAACGTAAAATAAAATGCGAACCATTGACGATAAAGCTTTGCAAAGGTCTGGGTTACAATATGACAACGATGCCAAACAAAATGGGACATGATACACAATGGGAAGCCGAGCAAAGTATTGCTGAGTTTCAACCGCTGATGAAAGCCGGTTGCGCGAGGCATGTTCGCCTTTTCGTGTGTTCTGTGTTTGCTCCTTTATGCGACGGTGACGTCGATTACCCAGTCCACGCGTGCCGCTCGATGTGCTACGAGATGAAAAAAGGGTGCTCGGCTTTACTGGACTACTTTGGCTTCAATTGGCCAGCGCAATTTGAATGCAGCACTTTTCCGATTTATAGTGAAAAAAAGGATAGTAAACTTTGCATGAGGGAGCCTGGCAGCAGTTCCCGCATTCCCTTCCCCAAAGGGCGAACGAATATATATAAATTGTTAAACAAAACAACCTCGGATGTTATCCATAAAACGAAAACCGAAATTATAACATACCCGACAAGCGGTCTCAATGCCACTTTTACTTCACGAAGATCAAAGACTTGCGTTAACACAAAAAAGTTCGTACAGGTTAAAATCAGAAACAAAGAGTACTGCGCAGTGAAATGTGACGCGGACATATTCTTCACTAAAACAAACAAGCAATTTTCAGACATATGGTTGCTGATATGGTCTGTTATTTGTTTCTTATCTACATTGACGACTGTCCTAACTTATTTGATCGATAGAACCCGCTTTAAATATCCAGAGCGACCCATCATCTATCTGGCTTTCTGCTACAACCTATACTCCTCAGCCTATTTGATTCGGCTCATTGCTAAACGAGAAGGAGTTTCCTGCAGCGATGAAGGAAATTATTTAATCATTGACGGGCTAAACACGGCTGGTTGTTCGGTCGTGTTTATTTTGCTATATTTTTTCGGTATGGCGTCTTCTTTATGGTGGGTGGTTTTAACTCTTACTTGGTTCCTTTCGGCCGCTATGAAATGGAGTCAAGAAGCAATCGCGAACAAGTCTGTCTACTTTCACGCAGTTTCCTGGGTCGTACCTGCCGTGCAAACTATTGTGGCCTTAGCTGCCAGGAAAGTCGACGCTGACGAACTGACCGGCTTATGTTATGTTGGTAATCAAAATGTAGAAAATCTGGCAGGATTTGTGCTTGCCCCGCTTTGCGTGTACTTGGTCATTGGTACGACTTTCCTCTTAGCTGGTTTCATTTCGCTATTTCGTATTCGTTCCGTGTTAAAGGATTGCGATACGAACACGCGCAAGTTGGAAAAACTTATGGTAAGAATCGGTGTGTTTTCTGTATTGTACACGCTTCCTGCAACTGCGGTTATAGCTTGTTTTGTATACCAATATTCGAACTTGGATGCCTGGCGCGATGATGTCGAACGCAACTGCCAGAGATTTCTGATAGATGAATGCAAGATGTCATCAAGGCCGAAGGAAGAAATCTATATGGTACGACATTTTATGTCGCTTGTGGTCGGAATAACCTCGGGCATGTGGGTATGGTCATCGAAAACATGCCAATCGTGGAAATTATGTTACCGCAGAAATCTCACCCACAAATACCCGCAAAGGCCACCGATGAAATCGCAACCTTTAATCGTCCACACGTCGACGGAAAAGCAAACTCCTATCACTACTACGCAAAACCGACCTGTTACGGAATTTACCGAACATTGCGTTCCTTCAGAACTATCTCATCCGCTGACTAATTTCACTACGCAGACTAATGGGCAGTTTTCAAGCGGATTTGCGTCCATGCAATAACAGCAGGCTGTATAAATTGATATAACAGAGAAGGTTGAGATGTTCGCCCGGTGTTATCTGTTGATTTCTGTGATAGATGTTCGAGTTATATTTGGGTACATTAAAACACCCCATTACTATCAGATAAACGCGGATTTCTATCGTACTAACGAGGTTAAAGGTTTTCTAGCTACTTAATGAATTGCCAACTCTGACAATCGATGTCGAACATATGTCTGCCGTGCGTGCTAGTTCATAAGAGTCATAGCTCCTATTTACGTTATAATCTTCGCTTTTATACAAAGTTTTTATCCTCATAACTATATAAATAGCTTTTAAATAGCGATATAACTTTACTATTAGAAGAACGTTGTCAGATTCACACTGGAGAATTGAATGACCATTATTTTTTTATTTCTTACGAGCACATGAAGTGTATTGTAGCGAAAATTTATACAAATACAAAACATGTCGAAATGTATTTTAATCTTTATTTACATTACACATGTTTTGCAGAAAGAAAAACAGCGACATTCGTCTTTGAAAGACAAGATAATGAAGCCTGTGGGATTTATAACAATTTATATGTAGGCAATTTCAAAGATAAGTGTTTTTCTTTATGTACATGTCCACTCCGTAGGTGTTCATCATCTTCCTTCAAGAATGCCAAAATAAACGAACTAATTGACTGTTTTCGTGAGACGAGAAGTTGCGGTATCGGAAACACGTTCTATTTATCGATTTACTGGCAAGATTTCTATCACATGTGATCATTATCATCCATTGGTATGTTTACATACGCAATGTGGGCTAGGTTGGTTCGGGTTTCTTCTAGTATTTATACATTCTATAAGTTATAGTTGCTCTTTCGCATCACTTCAGTTTAATGAAGTTTAATTGGATATACTTCATCCTGCCGGCTTAGCGCTTGTAGGATATTATCGTTTATCTTTTCCGACTTATTGCATCTCATAGACAAGAACTGTTGGAGGGTTGAGCTTAAAGCAAAATAAATCACACCATATTGCATCATATCGGGTGTGTTTACATTTAAAAATGTTTTCGAAGCAGTAAATTATAGTCGTAACGTTTTATTCTTTAGAAATTTACTACGGAAAGGATTTTTACGGAGACATATTTTGAATTTAAAACAGAGCTGTTGTAATTTCTTTTTGTCTAACTCTGGAGCCACGAGTTTTTAAAACATTCCTCCTTCAAAAGTTATTTGCGTGCAATGAATTATTGATGTTTTTTGTTAAGTTTGCACGATAACAGTTTGAAGTAAGATTTGCTATCTTATTAAAGCTTCGTTAATCATATTAAAAATTCATGCGTTGAATGTTTTGCGTGTAAAAATAGATCACAATAACATTGACTATTTTGGCGTTCTTTGACAAGATCAAAACGTGAAGTTGACATAATTCAACACCTGCATGGTTAGGCAGCTAGAGCACTACAAACCGAAGCAAAAGGAAAGGTGGAAAACAGAGTTCTGAGGTTGAATATGTTTAATGAAATTCATTGGGAGTTCAGGCCACTTAATGAATACGATTTGCTTGTTGAAAATACTCATCGTCATCTGAAAGAAGTTTTGTCGCCTTATCGTTTATTGATAAAATTATTGCACGAACATCACCTCTCTCTCTAGCAGCAGACTGCACTGGTTTAATTAATTTGTTTCTTAGTCAGATCAAATTTTTCGTACTTTTTGTACTAGAATGAACTAGGGGTAGAAGGGGGACAACAAATTCCCCAATACCCCTCTCGGTACCGGCATTCGTAATTAGAGAAATGAAAATTGAAATGAAATTTTTCTGTGAAAGGGTACCCCCCAATTCCCCGGTGTTTAAACCAATGTTGTCATGTTCAACTGCTGACTCTTCCCTGCAACTGGAGTAAGGAAATTGTCACGTATGATGGTTTCAGTGAACAAAATATCTTGTGGTTTTTCCCAAAATGTAGCTATATGACTTCATTTCTGCGTGCAATAATTATAGACAAGATTATTGAATGAATGCTATTTTCATTTATTGTCTTACTCCAATTCGATATTCTAATTTTCATCAAAGTATTCTCAAATACATATCACTTGATTTCTAGCAACTTTTGATCATTTTGGTAACAATTATAAGAACATTTAATGTCATTGCAAATAGTGTATGTGTTGGATATGGTCGAACACGAAAAATTGCCTCACTTTTGTTGAAACTTGCTAGTGGTAGGGTAGATGATGGAGCAGAGCACTCTGTTTAACTGTAGCTAGTCACTCAAACATTTTTAACGTATGCCATGCAAAAGTTGCTTGAATTCCGTCCATTTTGAAGTTTCTGTTGCTATTGATGCAAGTTTGCTTAATTGTCCCGATTACATCGTGAAAATAGTTCATAGGAAGCTAGCCATCTGTTTGGAAGATAAACAGATCTCTGTTTACTCTCGTGCATGATTAAAATGTAGTCTTTGGTTTGGTTAGTTAAGTGTTTTATTATCCACAAGAATTTTTGCAGCTTATCCCGCACTAAAATTCTGTTATAGAAATATTCTGATATGTAAAGACATTGAAAATATAAACGTCCATTGGAATTGACGATAAAGACTTCAATGAAATATGCTTTGTTATATTTGAAAAAGATATATAAATCCTCCTTTTCCTATGGCGGCTTGTTAAAAGTTCCCATGTTTTTTTTGGGCATTTTTACAATATCGGATTTATCTTGATGACAAACAAAACGTAGTATTATACATGGCATTGTCCGACACTTATTTATTCTCTCGAAACAACATGTTTTTTTGTAATATATCCTAAGGATTGAGCGAAGATTTTATTCGAAAAGTACTGCGTGCGTGGCTCTGCATGGAGTGTTGATTTTATCATGGTAAACTTGGTAAAAAAAAACTAATATTTATCGGCAATTGTTTTTGAATTTTGTCCTCTTGTGCCTTTAAATGTGTATCTTTGTTAAATTTGTGGTGTAGATACATGCACTTCGCCGCAGCGATCTATTTTCACAGATTTTAAAATGCAGAAGTATTTTAACTGATGCCAAAGAAAGTGACAGACTGCAACATTTTTTTATGGAGATTGTAACACTGTCACTGGCAGAAATTTAGTCCTAGACGGAGGGATTTTTCCGAGGATTTTTTTGTATTGTACGCGTTGCAACGCGAACTTTTTGATTTTCCAAAAAACTCTGGGTATTGTTTTATTTACTCAACATTTATTTGTTTTCACATTTCCGACATTACTTAACATTTCTGACGAGCCAGCGAGTTATAGAACGGGAGAGCAGCTCCCCAGACCTCGTCTTTGGATAGTCCTAAAAGCCAAGCTCAAGGTTAATAGAAAGCTTAATGCAGGGGGTAATTTTATCTGACAAAAGATTTTTCATCTTTTCCTGGAGGTTTTCAAGGATCGGCTCTTATCCCTTTGGTATTCTTCACTAAAAATAAATCATTTAATAATTGTGTTTTCTGGATAAAAAAAAATTGTTTTCCAAATATTCTTTCTCTACTGCTTGCATTTGTGTGTGGATTTCTGTTTCGCTTATGAAGTTTTGCAAAGCTTTTTCTGTTTGCTTAAAGACATGTCTTCGCTACTTTTTTCTTAGTAGAGTCGCTGCCCTTCATTCACAATACACACGTGAAAAAATGGAGCATCCTATACATCCATAAATCGTAAGTTTTGAGACAAAGAAACTGATCATTTGCATGATTTCTATCATCAAAGGATTGTTACACATAAGTGTGAATATCCACACTTCCTGTATTAAACCTAAATCACAATATTATACATAACACTTTGTTGTTAGGAAACATATTTGTATGTTTCGTCATTCACAGCTTAAAATCAGATCAATTCAAGCACGACAACATTTTCATGATTGTTGAAAAATAACCAGTGAATCGTACGATTCTGAATGACGTACTTTTTTAGTTTGTTATTTTCGCAACGCTTGTTTGTGATAAAACCAAAAATCCTAAGTTTTATTTCAAGCCGAAAATTTGATAATCAAACAATAAGATCAAGTATAAATACATCATTGCTGGGCTTCAAAATGGCGTATAGCACCAGTATTAGAGTTAGCGTTCCAGTTTACATTATATAGTTCACTGGGGGATCAAAAATTCCCTCATCCCCTTATTACCATTCAAACGGAGTATTTTCTCGCCATTTATTTCTTTATTTAAAGTATTTTAGCAAAAAAACCAGCCATCGATGGAGAAATGAGTTGACGTTTATTTACAGGCTGAGAACACGTGTTCTTTGCACGTTTAGTGTCTTTAGTGATTGGGAGTGCTATTGAGCTTTTACAGGCGTTGCACGTAGACGTGACGACATCTTTTTTATACTTGACGATTTATTTTTTTCTACAAAGCTCTTCTGGTATATATTGGGCGATAAGAGCATGATTGACAGGAGTACTAAAAATAAATGCAACGTCAATCGTTTCTATTCTAGGCTTCATGCTTGATGCGTGAGCAATGGACGTGTTTCGGGGAGTTTATTTACGTTTACGGTCACCAAACGAATATGTCAAGACTGGAAGCGACCATTTATCGTGAAAAGTAGTGGTTATTTCGTTGAGTGGCGAATTACTCGGCAGCCGCTAAATAGGCTGAAGCCTACAGGCCGCCTTTTTGAGAGGCCAGTTTTATTTAGCCATAGTTTTTACTCTTTGCCATTCCAGACTAGCTAAATGTTCTAAAGTTCGACCAAATATGCTGTTGGAAACTGTACGACCTATTGTTTTAATGCACAATGAACAGAACTCATAAAGTATGGTAGTTTACCTCGTTTGAACTTTAAAATTATTCCTCATTGTTTACATTATGAGTTACAAACAGAAGCCGAGAAAGGCGAAAGCAAAGGAGGATGAGAAACGTAAGCGTCCAAAGGCACTGAAATTATTTGGAAGAATAGATATCATTTGAAGGCCCACAATTTTATCTTAGAGCTCCTGTATTTAGTAATATGCCACTGAATAAAGTTATTGTATAAAGCAAATTCCGAAGAAACAAGACATCTTGAGATTGCAAAATATGAATGAAAACAAGGCGATAAATATATATGTGTATGTATGGTTTTAAATATTATTCTGTTTGAGGATGACTTTGAAATAGAGTCGAAAATTTAAAAAAAAAGGAAAACAGTTCACTTCTCGTCTTGTTTCGATTTCATACTATATTTTTTAAATTGTCGGCTGGCCATGGTTTTTGGAATAAAGTTATGTGTTTGAGCTTTTCATGGCAGGATTAAATAATTGATCCGAGCCAGCTGGTTACACTGTAGTCTGCATTTGTCATTACCACAAGAGGAATTTAATTAATCAATCAAATAGATTAAGCTGGACGTTACCAAAGAGCAAGCAACGAGAGAGGAGGAGCGAATGCCTCCAATTATTTAAGATACAACATTTTGAAAACGTTGAATCCAGTAAAACGTTTCCCTACAGACTACAACGACTAACCACGTATATAATTACGTCATCACCATCAATGAACATGATATTACGTAATTCAAGTCACACATATCATGGTGACATAATATAAACAATCTATGATCGCGGACTCATTTCCTATCTTGAGCGGTGTCGTGTCGTCATCACCATGGCACATTATAGGAATATACAGTAGAGCCATTTCGTTGTGCAACTGGCTGCTGTATATTAAATTAGTTTACTGGCTGCCGTTCGCCATATCGTCAATCCTATTGGTCACACAATGCAATTTATTGGCTGCCAATATGGTAATCACATGCGTAAAAAGATATGCGTGGCACAAAATATTCAATGAAGTGGGCACCGAGAAAAGCTAGTTGAGGAGCTGATGAGATCTAGGGGGTGGCCTCACCGCTTCCTCCAGGCTGCTCCCGAGGAACTGCAACGGCAAGTTGAGCTTGCGAGGGAACGAGTAGATGCCCACCTCCGCATGTTAGACTGGGTCCTCGAGGGGAACCCTCTTGACAAGTACTAACTAACTAATTATTACATCAGAACTAATAGACCCCCGACGGCCAGCCGCGCAGGCGCGGGGGGTGGGCCGGCCGTCTTTGGCTCCTGCAGTTGTCCTGGGTTTGACATTCGCTGTCCTTATGCTAGCATACGTACACGAACTAGGGTTGGGGCGCTTAGATTTACGTATACTAGGTATCAAGGTGTGAGGTGGCCCAGAAACGACGCGCTGCATACTACTTTTTAGAGGTTAAAAATTACCACAATTTGGGGTGATTTTCGCCCCCTAAAAGTTACTGCGCAACTGAGTCTTAACAATAATTTTATGAGGACAGTGAGCAAAATTGCACGTATAAACAAGTGAGTAAATGACGTTGAACTAAATATAACTGGAAGGCTATCTTCACGTGGAAATTTGAAGCCGAAGTCGGCAGTATTGTTTCCAGTCTTTCCACGCTTGTGATAAACACGGCCATAACAAAATATTCCAGTGTTTCTGAAGAAACAGTGAAAAAAAGGGAGATAAATCCCAAAAAATAGTTTCAGAAAGATATAAATTTGTCTAGCTCATTCCTAGCAAAATTTTTACGGTAATACATTATTTTATTTTATTTTGTGAATGACAACTTTTTAAATGCATCAATACTCCCAATGTAAATTAACAATTTTTCTAACTCTATCGTATGTTATGTACAAGTGTGTAAAGAAAAAAGCTCACGAGGAAGCTACAGCATGAGTAATGTGTAATTTTAAAGGAATATTTGATAAATCATTTCCATATAGATTTGGTAAAAGTTGCCCAAGAGTGGGTAAATTTAGTGAAGATACCAATTTTACGTTTAAATTTACTTTTATAAGGTTTATTTCTTATAAAAAATTAATATAATTTGAAGTTTAGGTTTGACAAAACAGTATTAGTAGGGCAAATGTGTCGTTTACATTAATCTGACTAGCACTTGAAATGCAAGTTGTTTCCGTTTACCTATACCACTCCTCAACATTTAGACATTTATTTTATGGCGTCTACAAATTGTTTGAATTCATTCAAAGCTGCCGAAGATGGTTTCAGCTCACCATTTATGTCCTCTTTATAATAATGTGTCTTGATGCTCTTTACAGTGTAAACTATACACAAATTGTATCATTTTGCTGCCGAAAATACGTACGTTGCTATTTTGATTTTTTCTCGATCAAATGAATTTGGTTATTTGCAACCACTTCACGGTGTTGTTTTAACAAAGTTTGCAAACGCAGCTATGTTAGAGCAAATCTCTATTGTATAGCAAATGGCAAGTATATCAGATCGGTTGACTTTTCAAGTATATCGGATCAACTGACTATCGGATAGGTTGACAAGACACCAGGGAAATAAGACAAGCCATACGGAAACGGCTTCTAAGATTGTCCATCCTTTCACGTTCACGAGAATTTTGCAAGATAAACAGTGACCTCATGAATAAAACTAACGAATTAAAAAGTATAGTAAATTCTCTAGACTGGACGATACTAAATAAATCTCCGAATATAAATGTAGAAACTGTAGAAACTTAACAGTTAACAACCGTTTACTGACTCACTGCAAGAAACTTAAGAAATTGACTAGAAGCGTAGCTTTACCGTATACCCACTAAGAAACTGTCACACCCCTATAATCATACAAACTCTAACACAAAGAGAATTACTAAAGAATGGTCTGGGCTTTTCTATCAAGTAATCTAAAGTCAACCGATCCGATATATTTGCTTCTTTCGAACGCATCTATTGGCCCTCGAAGAAAAACTATGCAATAAAGAAGAACATACTCTACTAAACAATGAATTTGCTCACATGGCACAAAGTTCTCATCATACAGACCAACTACATCAGATCTGAAGTAATATTAATCGAGGAACAATGACAAATGCGATTGAAACCAGGTAAAGGTAATGGAATAGTTATAATGGAAAAATAAATTTATAAGAGAATCTGCTATTAATTATTAATAATACCACCAAATTCAAATCTTATTAAAGATAGAGAGCATACCTCTACCGACAAAAATTCACACATCTTCAAACACTTCGTATCTTCACCTAACTGCAAATTACATTATAAAGAAGCCTGTTTTACAATTCTTAAAGCTGACAAATTCTCTTCCACTCTTAAAATTAAAGAAGCCTTGCATATAAATAAGTTCAAATCTGAAGTTAATAAGCAGGTTCACCATGTTAACATCTTTCTCAGCTTGTAAGTATATGCTATATACATTCAATGTTGTCACTTCACGTATCACCTGCTTTTCATATGATAATTACTTAATGTAAATAATTGTAACTCTATTACCTGCAAATAACTAATCGAATTTCATATTTAGTACAGAACATTCGTGTAACATAGCTAGCCCATTTGTTCTCACTGGCGATGGCATAAGATTGCCGAAACATGTTTGCTATAAAAAAAGTTTGTTTTATACATTCAGTTAATGATTTCAATTGTGCTTCTACGTAATTTTTACAAATAATTATGTAGATATCTACAAAAATCATACTGGGTATTAAGCGACACTTTAGTTTGAGTAAAAATCTTTGTTTTACTTTTTTTGCAATTCGTGACGAAATTACAAAACTGCATACAGATTAAATGGAAACTAATGTTCTTAAAAAATAGGTTTGAATTTCAGCTACAATCTGGTATTCTCATTGTCCGCACCAATCTTGTGATAACCTTTCCCATTGCAGGTTTTGCAATCTTCGTGCTTTTTCGCGTTTTTTCCACGAGCAAAATCTTTAATTCTTTTCCATAGAGGAAGCAACGATCCAGTTTTTCCCTCAGGTCCAATCATGGCGAGGACCGTAGTGAACAAAAAGAGGGAATAGAGAATAGAAAGCCCTATTGTACAGAAGATGAAGATGCCAAATTGCTGGAAAAAGATAATTTTTGCTGCCAGCATGAAAACGGACGAGCCTAAAGTTGTGCAAGCTCCGGAGAATACAGAAATACCAACATGACCTAATGTATATTTTACTCTGGTAACTCTGTCTTCATTCTTTAACTCCATGTATCCATCAGCTAAATGAACGACGTAATCAACAGCAAGACCAACGACAAGTGTTAGATTGAGGGATTCGAAGACCCCCAGTTTCCAACCAAGCATTGGTATCAAACCCAATACACCACACGTGACCATAGCAATTGTTATAGTTGCGAAAATGCCGACGATTACATTGGTCGTGGCCAGCACAAGAACAACTAAGGCAAGACCTATACCAATGGCAATACCTGATATGGCACTATTTACCAAGACCTAAATAAGCATAAAAACATGAAGTGTAATTATATATCAGCATGCTACAATATCCGAAATCGGCATGCAGTTTAAAAAAGCCTTAGCGCTAATGGAAATACTGTAGGAAATCAACAGAAAAAATGTAATCTGTTGTACTTGTTGTCGTGGAAAAGGATATTGATGGTTTTAATAGTTTTTATCATCAACAGCAAAAGCTGCAGGATTTCTTAAATGATTTAAGAACGAAAGTACAGATAACTCACCTTTTGTACTTTTAACCATTGCCATTCGTTCTGTGCGGAAACGGTTGCTTGAAATCCACTGTTACATGACGATGGCATGTTTCTCATCTACAACAATACAAGAACAATCATTATGAAAGCCCTTACACAAGATGAGTTAGCAATATATTGTTATATGAAGTGTTATAACAATATGTATTGATACACTATATATAAATGGTTGTACATGTAGATCGTCCAGGTTAGTAGAGTCCCGAGAAGGACTGTTAGTGTTGGTGTCATTTGATATTTCAGCAACCTTAGCGGTAATCATCGTCTGAGTTAGGTGAGGAGTAAGCGTCAGGTTTGCCGACTTGTTGTCTGGTTCATACGTCATCGTATAATGTGTACGGGTGTGTGGGTGTCAATTGCGTATTGTAACTGTGGAATTGTCTAAAGTAATATGCTTAATAATTCGTTTGGTTGTATACATTTACAGCCATGTATCGATACTCCCGGGTTCAAACCATTCACTTTCTTATTTATTTATATATTATTGGCGTATGAAGTATTGTTTGCACGGAACACATGTTCTATTTGGGAGGCCATGAAGTATTTTTTGTATTATTTGTATAAATATTCTTTGCATGTTGTCTTTTCTCATTACCTAAAAACACTTAAAAATCAACCGGTTATGGGCCCAGGACGTAGAAAGTCAGTATTTGAGTATAAAAGCATTGTAATGCAAAAAAATTTACAATAGAATTTAAACATGGCCACGTCGGATACTTAGAATAGATTAAAGTGTGCAAAATTGAACTGTACAAATAAGCAATCATGGTTGTTCAACACATGAAGGTATATTTGGAAAGTCTATATCTTTTTGAGCATGCAGAAGGGCAGCCAAATTTCTGAATGAGAATGCTAGAGCTTAAGCACGCAGAAAGCTTAACTCCACTGCAAAGAAAGCGTACACATTTATCTGTTTACCCATGGAACCTAAACAACAAATACAAGTACGCGATACGATAAACTGCCAATAGACATGAGATATTGTAAAAACCAATTTGCCTGAAAATTGCTTCTCCAGAAGGTGAGGTTTCGTCAACAATATTATTTTGTTTGGGAAGCTATTAACTATTTTTATAAATATTCTTGTTATTGTATTTTCTGATTGCAATAAAACACTCAAATATCAAATCAGTAGACTTTTCTTGCAAGCTCTATATATCTAGTAAAAATAGGGAAAAAAGGACGTAATAAATAGCCTTTAGAAATGGGCGTATAGATTTAAGTGGTATTTTAAATCTAAGCATATTTTGCGTTGTTATTGCATTGATGTGCAATGATAAATGAATATGTTTACTAAAAAGTCAGTCAGCTCTCAAAACTTGAAAATCTCACCTCTTTTTTGACAAATTCTTCCCAATAATCATGAACAACTAGACCTTTTTCGTAACCCAAAATTGCAGGATTTAATGTTGTATTTAAAGCTATTGAAGCATACAAGAGACGATTGCCATATCTATTCCCTGTGTTTTAATTAAAGAAATATGTGTGAGTATGCATGAAAAATGTCATTTCAAATGTAAATCAAGCCCGAATAAAAAAAACTTCCCATCACTCTTGCCTACCAGAGAAAAACCAATTTTATGAATTTTAATGAGCAACGCGCGGTGTTTTCAGTAAGCAAATAAACAATCTATCAACTCATCTTCACAAAAATTAACTGACAACAATTGCATCACCTAATAGATTTCGACTACTTTGTAAGGAAGATGGATCCACCTGGCCACCAATCAACCTTTCATACTTTTCGAAGTCATACGACGAAGCGAAATTTGGTGAGCCACCATCAGTCAGAAAATAGCCCATGCCAACTTCAAAGAATCTGTAGTAGGTATCAGGCAGCGAAACGTTATATAAGTGAGGATTATACTTCATCAAGTTTCCCACCTTCTCTGCGTTCAGCGGATAGCTGAAACTCGTATCTACAGGATATTTCGATTTGTTACTTTCAACCTGAAATGAGTAGACGAAAAAATAAAAGTGTGTTAAGAACACAGCGCTAGTTGCCTTATGAAAAGTTTCTGTAAAATGTGATTCCTCTCAAACATCTATCAGAAGAAATATCCATGAACAATTGTAGATTAACATTATAACCACTACAGACTTAAACAAATTTAGTTCATGTGAAAAATCAAAATACTTTCCGAGGTACATTAACAACGATATGCTATGTAGAATATTCTTTTTACCGTTAAATAATCATTCATCCGTTGAAAGATACATTCAATTTCGACTTCCCCTGTAACCTGACTTCTTCGTAACTTCAAATTTTCTTCTTCAAGGCGAGTCAAATTTTTAAACTTTCTGCAAAGTTCCTAAAAAATCAACAAAGATATTTCTCCTGAAACAAATTTTCAAAACAAGTTTGCAAGTTTTATAGTTGAATTCCTACAATCTTTTTATCTTGTTTTTCATCGCAAGTTGTAAAAATACTTATTAAGAAAAATCGTTGCTGTATTGAAATTAATGCTCTTATACCTGTTACAAATGTAATACTATGTCTGGAAATTTTTCTCAACAGCTTGCAATTGATGATGTTAGTGCATTTTATCTGTAATTGCATTGCAAAAATGTGCAATTGGATTTTTTACAATAACGATAAGAATTCCAAAGCAATGATGTATAAGAAGACGTACGCACGGAATTGACGTCACAGAATTTACTGTTTTCAAATTACAAATGAACGGCGAAATTACTTCATAATTTACCTGAACTTATCCCTAAATAGGAAAATAAAGAAGACCTAGTTGAGGCAGTTTATGTATTTGAGCAAAAAGAAAAGAAAGCGCCCGGTTTTCAAATGTTGATTTGTACTTCGTTTTTGATAAAGCAATTTCAACTAAAATTGATCAGCCATTAATTGCTTGTTTATTCTGTTAGCAAATCACATTCTAGCACGTGACTTAAACTAGCCATTGCGATTTCTTCAATCCTATAGATTGTAATGCGTGATAGCATAACATCTTCACTATTTTAATTTTCAAAAAACACCTTAGTTTGCAGGAGAAAAAATGGGGATTTTTCAGATTTATCATATAAAACAAATACATTAAATTCAACCGTTGTATTTGCAGTTATAGGTACACGGATAAGATGTACGTCATTCGTGAAAAGAACAAAAAGTGATCACTAGCCTCAGTGACGACGTTTTTAGTTCTTATTACCCATGACGTCATACCTGAGTGTCTATAACTGAACAGACAACGGTTAAATGTAAATATTATGAATAACAGAATTTGATGAAAAGCAGTGAAACTTTAACAAGCTACTTTGGATTTGAAAAACATGGCAGGTCCTGTGAAGAAAGATTTCCTTACCTACAATTGTTAGAACTTTAAAAAGAATAAAAACACGACAGAAAATATGAGTTTTTGTGAATGCTTAACAAGCTAAGTCAAAACACATATGCAACGTATACTATTAATTGTGTCTAACTTCGAATAAGCACAATGTAAGTTGACATACCAAAACAGCATTTTGACAGGGTGGTGGATTAAGATCAAAGCCTTCGTCAAATACAGTTTTCCCTTCACATTCAAAATCGGTATGATGACAGTCACTACGATCTTGCTCCTTTAAGCCCCAAATAATGTTAACAATAATAACATTGTCTTCTTGACTTGGACGAAAGGCATCTTTGGACAGTGACCGAGCTCGCCCCCAGTTGGTGTTATCTGACCAAGGATTGATCTATAGTTTAAAAAATGTTAATGAGAAAATCTTTCAATTGTCAGTTAAGTTTACATTTGAAATATGATGAGTAAACGAACTGAAAGAATAGTCTGACAGCTACGAAATTCCTATAAAGATCGGACAAGATTTCTAATCTTTGGAATTAATTATCCATTGAAGGTCACATGTCAATCGATACTAGTGTCATATTCATAAAGCAATAAATGTTTTCTTTCACAATAGTACGAATACGACTACAAGTAAGAAATTTCCCCGTGTAAGGGAATGGCACAAGGAAGTTTGTTGTTGCTCTCGCTTCTTCAAAATGTTGTTTAAGTTGTAAACAAACGACACCACCTTTTGTGAAACAGCTACGCCTTTATTTGTCAATTATAATGTCAATGTATCGGTAATAATGATTTTGCGACAATAAAGGACTCCTTAGAGAAGAAAATCTTCACTTTTTTGCATTTTATAGACTATATAATTGCAATATTTTACTGTTTGTATGCAATTCACTTTGCGTCCGAGATGTGTGGAAGTTTTGCTGATCAGACTTTTGTTTTAATTGTACATCTGCGCTTAAAAAAGTTGTTGAAGTATAGCCCATATCATCCAAAGAAGTATTCTTATCTAGCTAATATCTGACGCAATCAAAAAAATGTAACTAATTTCATTGCTTTAACAGTTTTCAAAAAACGTCGTACCCAGGTTGATGATGGCTAAGGCCCTGTTTGCACTATATCGGATTGCTATCGTAAAAGGTTGAATATTCTTTAAATTAAAAGGCAGTGAAATTGTTCAACGTCAGAAGCACAAGCAAATAGACTAAATCTATCAGCTTAATAGGTTTTTACTCTGAACAGTTACCCCATGAAACCAAATGAAGATGTCGTGATCAGCGAATCCGGTATAGTGTAAACGCAGCCTAATTGTTGTTGTCATAATCACAACAATGTTTTCGCGCCAAAATGACGTAATTCGCAGTAGTAGTCGTACTCGCTAAAGCTCCCAATAACTTCTATACTGCACTGACGATATACTTATATAAGATTTTAAGCTCGATGCAAAATACAATCAAAGAATAATCGCTAAATAAATAACTATACTATACCTGTTCAGTATCGGGCTCTAGCTGAGATGCAAAACCAATGGACACAGACAATATTACTGTAAATAAAAAAAGAACAACCCAACGGGTGATTTTATGGGTGACAACGTACTTGACGAACGTTTCCTCGAAGAAATAAGCGATACGTTGCGATATTGTTCTTCTTTCTTGATCTTCCTCAACATTTTCCGTACTTTCGTTGATTTTCCATGGTTTAAAGCTGCACATCGGCCAACAGAAGCATTTGCCATTTCTATCTCGATGATGCATGATTATCACAGTTGGAAAAAACAAAATAACCGAGAGGTAGTTCACAATTATAAGGATTGCTGAGAAGAGTCCAAATGATGATATTGCTAACAGTGGAGATGTAACATTGGACAAAAAGGCCATCATTGTCGTAAATGATGTAATAAGTGTGGCTTTGGCTGCTCTTTTGTAAACTTTACTTAAACGCTTTGCAAGGGTTTGGTGCAAGGTGTTTTCAGACTGTTTCCAGGTGTCCATGAACACGAAGACATCATCCGCACCGATCCCGAGGACGATGAAAATCGATAAAACGTGAAAAATTCCGAAGTATCTGTAGTCAAAAAGGATTCGGTAAATTAGATTGGCAATATTAAAACTAGAAACTACACAGAATATCCCGAACGCAGTGATCCACAGTGATCCAGTCTGCAGCCACATGAAGATAAATATAAACACAAAACTAGCCACGGCTAACATCATATCAAGCACAACTTGCTTTACAATGGCATCATTTCTCAAAGCACGATTTGTATAGACAAAATCCAGTTTTCCAACACCGTCTTCATATTTTCTCTCCAGCTTTGACGCAAGTACGTCCACAATTCGCTTATCTATTTTTTCTTTTTGGTCTTTGTCGCGATCGTCGGTGTTGTTAAAGCCTTCGATGGGCCAACCAAAATACACAAGTGTCCGAGTAAATTTTGAACGAGATTTACTTGGCTCAATCAAAGAGTTTTTCCCGAGATGAAAATTCAAAATAGCCCTGCTTAGACTTGTTCTTTGTGCAGCATTAAGGACTGCAGATATGTTGTCAAAATCTGGATCATAAAGAGTTGGGTCGATCCCCCGGTACGATCCATCAAAGAACCGAAGAATGGATAAAGGTTTCTTACAAGAACTTGTCAAGTTGTTGTACTCTAATTGACAAAGTTTGTTTTGGTAATCAGTGATGTTAAATAATTCGTCTTCAAGCTGTTTTATACTCAACAAATTCTCTTTGGTAAATACATTCCCTTCATCTTCATAATAAAGGGTTAACGGCTGGTATTCTATAACTCTCTTATTCTGATTCCCAACCAGGTTTACGACTGAAGGGTCATCTCTGACATAAAGCCAAGCGTCTGTTCGAAGTTTGGTTGAATCGTCCCCAAGATCAAGTGGAAGTTCTTCGAAGTTGATCGGAACAATATTATAACCAGCAGCTAGCAAAATGCATGTAAGTAATATCATAAGCAGGTGGGCGCCAAGGGTTATGCCTTAATGAACAAAAAAAATAATAGTTTAACAATATGTACAGAATTTATTTTAATCTTTTCTTTAAGAAATATTACTCCCATCATTGTTTCCGAAAGAAAATCTTTCTTTTACTCACTTGAAAGAAAAATTCATTCATGCCGGAAATCATCGAAAGCATTATTATGATACTATTGGCTCTTCAAACTTTATTTAAAAAACGGCTTGCATGCGTGTAGGAAAGCGCTTGAAATTGTCACTATTTCATTGATGCTCATAAAGTACCGGGGAAGAAGCTATGACCGCAGCCAGCATTTTAATAATACATACAGCATTGTGTTGCACAACGAAGTGACACACCATATTTTTTAATCCCTATACTGTGACGCGTCATCGCTATTGTCGTTTGCTTGAAGCTTACAAAAAATTGTGCTTTCCCGTTCCAATTGATGCACTCCATCGACGAGAAGCCTGAACCGTGAAAACATTCATGGGTAAAAACGATTAACTCTTTGCTTGCTTATTTCTTCATTTTTGTGTTTGAAGTTTACTATTCTGTTTTGCGTAGCACAATATTAAATTAAATGACACTAGCTGCACCTGAAAAATGTCGACGAATCAATACATAAAAAAATTACTTTGCTCAATTAGCTATCGCTTGATAAACATTACAAAACTAAATAGACATCTTAGCTACGAACACTTAAACATAATAAACAGGGACAGCGACGTTTTATTTTTTAACCGGTGGCGGATCTAAAGGTATATCAAAATAAATTACTGCAGCACATTTTGGCATATATTTACTTTTCTAAGCTCTTATTAGAGGCAAATCAGATGGTAATTCTTTAGAAATTCAAAACCAATAGGGATTTTCTGAAAGTACTTTAAATTTGAAATTGAGGAGCTACAATTTATTTTGATGAACGCTTGATCCGCTTCCGTATAAAACCATGGCAAAGATAAATAGTGTGTAGTAGAATAAATAATGTATTCTTTGGTTGCAATCAACTGCTGGGTGTTTCAAACACAGAGTTCAATTTGTTTGACCAGTCGGTGCTGTGCATGATTGTTTCATTAAAATATTCTTTTGTATTAAGACACGAAAATAGCTGAAATGGGAACTATGAATTTGTATTGTCTAATATTGGGTATATTTCCGTGCTGACTGCAACTGTAACAACACTAATCCTACGGAAAATTCAATTTACGTAAATTCTCGAATTGCAACAAATCTTTTGCGATTTACCAAACAACAAAATCCCCATCTGCTGGAGTTTACAATAGCATTCACAATTATTTGTATCAGCCTCAAGCATGGCTGACGTAAGTAAAATCAATACCCCTCCAATAAAATGCTTATAATGTTGCATGTGACATAAGATAAATATTGACATCCGATTTTGTTTCTAAATTGATTGCTTATTGTTCTTTAGAGCTATAGTCTCGAAAAATATTGTGTGATATCAATATTACAATATTGCCTTTCCATAGAAGGGAGAAAAGATGCGTTTCACGTTCATTCAGTATCACTGACTAAAAACATTCTGCATACTGAACTGTGGCAAAGACAAAAGTTGCGTATAGTGCGTATAGAAGAGATGAATTATTTAATCACGTCCTATTTGCATCATTTCCCACGCATCCTTTTACATCACTACCTGTGAGGAATTTCCGATGATTTGGTGGGCAGTTGCTAAAACTGACTAGACTTTGGAGTATGGACAGTGGACTATTGACTATATTAGAGTGATTTAGTAAACACGACGTTTTGTCTAAAGCCTGGTTGTCATATAGTCGTCCGAGTCGTTTCAGTCAGAAATTAATCAAACAGTCTCTCGGCAGCGCTAGTATGAATATATGAGAATTCCATAGCTTGAGTCCTCCCATTCGTTTTGAAAAACAACGAAACAACTCGGAACGACTCGGATGACTCAAGCGACTTAATGAGAACCAGGCTTGAGACGTCATCAAATTTTTGCGAGGGATCTGGGTCTAGGACGCACACGTCGTAAAGTATTTGTGATTTAGCAGACCTTTTGTAGGACTTCGTCAAAGAATAGCATAAAACAAGTTTTATGCATTTAGGCATTTTTCCTGCTGGAACGGTTTTCCAATCATTTTAAACAATTTTTTTGATATAAAATATGTACTGCAGTATATTCATTTCAAAATATATATGAGTAAAAGCAAAATCATCGACATACGGCTTTGTGACTAAAATTGTATTGACTCCGAGGAAAACTCCTAAATTAGAGCTGACCCCGGGTTGTTTATTTGTTTGTTTGTTTGTTTACAAAACAAGTATTTCTTAAATGAATATATTTAGGCCAATATAATCTTTTGAGATGCAAATATCAAGAATAATTCCTTATTTTTGTCCAAAAATTGAATTTGTTTCAGCCGTCGTCGATACGACGTCAAATTGTATGTTTTCACGTCGTAGTCGTCAACACGACTGCCGGCGAAGAGTGAATGGGAAGTAAAAGGCGCATGCACGGCATTTTCACGACGTCTTAGACGAAGCGTCGTGTTTGCTAAATACTATACTGACTATATTCGTGGATTACAACCAAACTCCAGGGAATTATCGAACAATGTGGCTTGTCCACCACGGCTGGTGCGTGGTGCCGACAATAACCTTAATAAAATATTCTTTTCTATAATTTCTTAATAGCACTATATATATCAGGCATTTCAAGTGAAAGACAAGTTTTTTTCAAAGTAAACATGTTTCGGCGTGCTTATGCCAACACTATATTCAACTTGTAAATAATTCCATCATCTATAGTACTTCGATACACTCTCACTTTAATAATATAAATAAAACTGTAAATAGATAACATAGTCATTCCTTGTACTGAAAATGGCATAAGCATGCCGAAACATGTTTACGTTAAAAAAACTTGTCGTTCACTTGAAATGCCTGATATTCTTTTCTACATGACCACCAACATGGCGGCCGTGACGTAACATACAATCACCCTGTAGGCCGTGGGATGAGCATTTCATGTTGCATCCTTCGCGAGGAACATACTTTTTACGTAGGTAGATGATAACCTCTTTAACCAGAATCCGTTGCTCCCCAAAATAAGCAGGTGGGAAATTGAAAGAAATCTTCCCTTAAAGTTTGCGATTTACGTGCTTCGATAAATACAACTTACCATTTTATGTGCTATGAACGCATGCGCACACTTAAAAGACCCGTACTACGCACGCGCAATTAGCATAGATGGGGTTTCCCTAAGGATCCCCCCCCCTTGTTTTCCCTTAATTTCTCATGTTGAAAAAAGAGAAACGTTAAAAACATCTTTATTAAAGGCTGTCAGCTGTTGGGTTAAAACACTGTTTTATTAACTGTTTATTGTCAGATAGATAGATAGATAGATATAACGTTCAATAAATCAATAATTGCAGTCTTGTCGACTGAATTATATTAACAATACATGTTTGCAAGGTGAAAAATCGATCTTTATCAAACATGACGGAGAATATATAAATTTGCCAAGGCTCACAAAGTGACAAAAAGACATTGCTGCGTTAATATTTTATAATCACCTGTGTTTTTTAAAGTATTTCATCTCAAGCATTAGGAAACATTCAGTTTATTGGCGAATACAAAACTTTAAGCCGTATGAAGAAGCTCTTATAATTCTAAACAATGTACTATACACATTACCTAAGAAGCTATGTGCAATAGTTATAAAAGTTTATCAGAAATGCTTAGTATAACAATTTTTACTGTGTTTATAACACCGCACTGTCATTGTCATGACCTGCTAAAATTATAATTTACATATATATTAAGTATAATTTCCGTTTCACTTAGAATAGAATGTAATTACAATTAGCGTTTCATTGGATGAACATATCAAAGTGAATAAAATGCATAAATGCACAAAATTAACATACATAAGTAACACCTTTCAAATGGTGGTTGCTAACACAATTTGCCTACGGCGCTTTTTCATGTTAACAATCCTATTTCGATTCCGTTCTGTATAGTATCGTACAAATCATTTCTTGTAAATAGTTTAATTACTTTTCACCAAACTTTTCATCGACTAAAGCAATGTTTCAAATCAAGATCATTTTAAGATAGAAAACTTACCAAAAGCCAAGCGATGATGATTTACAATGTAGAGACAATAACCTAAGGAAGTGTCTTCCTCGTCTTCATTTTTAAAACCTCTGCTCTCATACACCCCATTGAACTGTGAATTTTTTGCTCCACTTGTCTTCTCTAAGCCGTTTATCTGAATGGCGGTATCGTTGTCATAAGATTGCTGCGCCACACTGTTATCTAGTCCAAGCTCAGTTTCATTCATTTTCAATTTGATACTGCGTACAAGTGCTTTTCAATTATTTCTAAGGTCTCTGATCTTACTTATGTTCGTGTCATTAGTTGCAGTCATTATTTTGTGACGTCAAGCCCCACACACGCCTACTCTTTTTTTTGCGTCAGCAGCAAAGTTGGGGTTTTGTTTGATACAACATTTGCTGTAATATAACAAAGAATAACGGAAGCACAAACGACGTGAAGTATGAGATATATTTTCTATCGTTCAAATAAGAAGGGGGTTTGGCCAAAGGATTCACAATAATATTGACTGAAATACCAAGCTGACTATCGATGTATTGTTAAGGTTCAATATGAGTTCATATTTTCAAAGTCAGCTATTTCAAAAACAATTTCAACAGGCAATTTCACAGTTGGATTGCGTTTGTATACAAATCATCCTTAGCTAGAGCCACAGTATAGGTATCATACAGTATGCTCACTCTCGGAGAAACTTGTCCTCGCGCATGTTAGCTCGCTCATGTTGGTCGCCATGTTGTCAGTAAGGAAAGAGGAGTGAGAATATTAAGAAATGTATTACGGAAATGTAAAGTATACCAAGTAATTGGCAATATTTTCGATTTTCACGCATCGATCGGCTTTACCTTTGTACAAGAACTACTTTGAGGATAATACTGCGTAGTTTCATGAGTGCTTGGAGAAAATATATAGAACTAAGAATAGAACTAAGCAATATATATCCTCAAAGCAGCTAATTTATTCAGCTAAAGCCAATCGGTGGACAAAAACGCAAAAATATCGCCATTTAATTGTAAAAATCATATTTCTGCAAAACAAATCTCAGCAATCTCACTCCTCTTTCCTTACTGCAAACATGGCGGCCAACATGGACAAAAAGTTCAAAGGTTCCGACGAGAGTGAGCATACTGTATAATACCTATACTGTGGCTATAGCAAAGAGTTCTTCTTACAACTGAGCGCCAAAAAAAAATTGAAACTCCAACTTGTCACAAAATGCAAGTGCTTCACCCAAATCTAATTTGAAACTCTCCTTTTCCCGTCAATAATAGTTATGTAACAAGAGGTGGGACGCAGGGACAGGACACCCCCCTGTCAAAATACTTGCCTTCCTTGAGTATTAGGTTTAACGTACATTACAAAATAAAAAAATTACTGTTGTGTCCCCCTTTTCCTATTTACTGCCCTCTTAAAATCCTAGCTAGGCCAATGCTTCATAAGTGCTCCATCTACATTAAATGAAAGACTGGAAAGCCTTTTGTAAAGATTGCAACAAATAGTCTTTTCTGTTATAACAGACTACATTAATTAATAATTTAATTTAGAAAACTGTCATTATGATATAAATTTAAATAACATTGGACTGTTTATTATTTATGCGACCGAAATGCTGGACACCATTAATAGACAACTTGCATTATACGTCACATAGCGCAAAGCGCGCGTTGTATTTTGGTCTTAGTAATCGCGTGACTAAGAAACATTTCAATATGGCCACAAGCGAAAGTGAGTTTACTGCTGTTCTTAGTCACGTTTCTGAGTCAAGAAGTACGACTAAAGGCCTTACTTCTTTAACTTCTTTTGAGAACTCTTGCCCGGGTCTGCAGGAGACTTCTAGCTCAGAAAGTCGCGGCGAATCTACGCTAGACGATGTATCGTCAATAAAGCGAAAAGGTGGTGCTGGTCGATTTACATGTTGTGTACCTGGCTGCCGTTCAAACATCAAAAGAAAGAAAGCTTGAGCTTTCTTTTTACAATTTCCCTCAGGTCAAAGTAAGGAGTCTCCACTTCTTTGAAAGAATTTCTTATTTCTCGCAAGAATTTCAATCCAACGACCGGCCACAGTGCATTTGTTCATTTTCAACTTTCAGCTGCTGATTTTCCAACCTCGATTTCTTATTTGGACGTAAAAGTTCAAACATTTCATCGTTCAAAGTAGCGAGCTCTTCGGTCCTTACGGCAGCATCAATAATGGCCTCATCAGCTTGTTGAGGAAGTTCGATGGGGTCATTGTCTATTTCAGTTGGAGAAAACAATCGGCTTGGTTTCAAGCGTTTCGTAATTCGAACAAAAGGTGTCCTGATTCTTTCTTTTTCAGTTGGACAAGTTTTAGTTTGAGAAGGTTTGTTGGCTTTCGGAGCAATAGTTGGTAATAGATTTAAAGACGTCTTACGTCCACCTGGGAAATGTAGAGAACACACTCGGTGGCCGGCCGTTAAAATTCTTGAGAGAAAAAAAGATTGATACATTTCTTTCGAAGGTCTAGAGACTCCTTACTTTGACCTCATGGGAAAATTGTAAATAGAAAGCTCAGGGTTTCTTTTGTTGCTTGAAAAGCAACAATGAACACAACATGTAAATCCACATGAATTTCCTTTTCGTTTTGTTGACGATACATCGTCTAGCGTAGATTCATCGCAAGTTTCTGAGCTAGAAGTCTCCTGTAGACCCAGGCTAGAGTTCTCGAAAGAACTAGAGACTACAGTCGTTCTACTTGATTCAGAAAGATGAGTAAGAACAGCAGTAAGCTCTCTTTCGCTTGTGGCTGTATTACAATGTTGTCATGTGTGTGACTACTAAAACCAAAATGCAACTCGCGCTTCTCCTATTTGACGTAATAATGCAAGTTGTCTCTTAAAGTATCAAGAATGTTTACTGCACATTATGTAATTTGTATTTTGTATATACGAATATCATAAATCGTTGTATGCTGTTAATATGACCAGAATTTGCTGCGATAATAACCATAAATTGTAAGATTTTGAACAAAACTCGTTGTACGCTACGTTATTTCTGATTACCGAGACTTTTTGACAATTTTCCCCAATAATTTTGTCTGTTATCCTAAATTGGTCTATGAAGCCCAGGAGCGTCTTAAATTTGAAGCATTTCTGGTATCGCTTGATAAAAAAAAGAAGAATACATATACAACATTGTTTTCTACATGTGCAATCCTTTCCTGAAGAGGCATTCATAAACAACATCAATAGTCCAGAGTTTGAAACAATTCGCGAAAATTACGACAAGTTCATCAAAAAGTCATCTCAGAAATCCAGAACTTTCGCATTTTGGAACATGTATTTGCGAATGACAGGTACAGCATATGAATATTTAACTTGTAAGAGTACAAATGCCAATGCGGTAGGATGTTGTAAGAAAAAGCATTTATTCATAGAACCTCTCTTATCCCCAGGTATTAACACATTAGATAGAAAATACACCATGTAATTGACAGCATACTCATTTTTTTCTACCATATTGATGATCTTACTATCACTTATACGTTAGAAAAGTGATTGAAAACAAGTTGTTGACGATGTAGTATTTGTGGCAAAAGTTTATCATTAAAATTTGTGAGATATCTTAAGGGCTGTATTTTCCTTGATGTGACCCCAGTCACATATTATGCAATCTAAGCAAGGAATTTCAGAAAATACAGAAAGGGTTTGTGACAGTTCAACTGAGTCATTCAATTGAACAATGAGCAAAAAGCTCATTTTCAAGGCTTGAAGAAGCTTGGTGCATTTAATTACAAAACATATACAGTATTCAAACTGTGCTTATTATTCTAGTCCATTTTGAGGCCATATATTTGACACGCTACCCCTATTGGCTACCCACATAATCGATATTCGTAAGCGCTTTTCATCTTGAATTTGCTAATCATATGCGAGCATACTAAGTTCATAAAGATGCTAGGCTGCAAACGATTTAAAATTTTTTCTGATCTGTATAACATTTGTTTATTAATTCATTATATATTTCCTTTCATTAGTTTATTAATTCAATCATTTGTTCTGAATTTTCAAAGGTCCTCTTAGTCGCCATAAAAATAATGAAAGCTTTAATGATAACAGTTCTGATGATGACAGTACTAGAGATGACAGTTCTAGTGATGATAATTTCATCAATAATAGCCCTGGTTATGGTGCGTCAAATGATCTCTTCAAATCCGATGATGATCATTTATTTGAAAAGATGTTTCTTGATGATGAATATGACATTAAAGAAGATGTGCACATAAAGCTCAAAAGGTTATTTTCTCGATAGTTACGTCTATAGTCTTACTGTTAGTAAAAGAGGATGATATTCCGTATGATCTTAATAGCACTAGATTAATTAAGCATTTAAAATATAGACAATCGACTTATAACATTAAGTCATCTTCAATTTATAAATGAAGCAGAGTATTTACAATGGTAAATATACAGTATGACATGCATATGAGACATATGGAGTAGTAATCAGTAGAGGGATGATTTTTTATAATAAAGTCTTAGATTAGAAGTAATATTTACATAGCATGCATTGTGAGTGTCATAGAGACTAATTGAAATATTACGTTTGTTGGTTGAGATCGGTTTGTGTTTGCGTATGTGTAGACATCTATAAGTTTGAGAGAAAATTTTGTGTTGGCAGTGTCTAAGATGGTGAGGCAAAAGTGAGTGTATTCGGATTTGCAGTTAAGATTTTTTATATTTTTTTCGGAAATTATGTGCTTTTTAAGCCAGGTGCTTGCCAGGTGGCTACATGACGGGTTATCATTCACCATGACAAATACGCTGTTCAGAGCCAATTTTAAATTTATTAGCACGACGAATTTCTTATTTTTCACTTTTATTTTACAGTTTGCCTTGGATGCGGGGCGTTTATGGAAAAGTCGGTCCAAACGAGAAAATACAGTATTTCCATTTGTTTATCACAGTTGATTACGAGAATGTTCATGAAGCTAAATTGAAAGATAAAATAGATCGATAAAATTTCTTCATCCGGTAGTTTTCCTGTTCTGATAATATGGTTACTAGTTTGTCAATGCATCGAAGATTATTTTACAAATTCCGCAGAGATTGTGCTAAGATCACAAAAATTTTGAGAAATCATTGTTTTTAATTCAATTTTGTAACATTTGAATGTCAATTAATTGTGTAAAGGATCTTACTCAGGATTCAGGAACACCTGATTCTTTCACAATCATATTTGTATAGGAAGCGTACGAATCTAGGAAGTCACACAGTGTAGTTTTCAAATTGTAATAAGCACTGGATATTGAATGAATCTTCGAGAATCTACTCGTTTTATGCATGTTGTTAAATGTTATGTATAAACCTTGTAGAGCTCTACTGCTAGTTTAAAGACAAAGTTTTGCAGGACCTTTGATAAATTTTTGCTGAAAGCTTAAAAATGTATTGGTATGTAGAAGTCAATGTGGTAGGTTATAATGCATACGAGAACGTTTAAACTTCCAAAATCTAAAGCAGAGGCCGCGGAGAAGGGGGCAAGGGGGAGGGGGAAATTGCTCCCTCACTTTTTTCCTTATTTCTTGTTTTTCAAAGTGTAAAAGTATAAAAATCCGCTTTAACAAATACTTACATTTGATAAGTATCGATTTTTAACAGTATTTCATGTCTCACTTATCTTCTACTTTAATTTTATAGGGTACGTTAGATTGATCAATTATAGCACGTTTAGACTTATTGCCGGAGTACGATACCCTGATTTGGGCAAAAATCTGCAGGCCCTTCACACTACGTAGTGCCTACTAGCTTTGTCTACTTATAATTTCATGTTTTTCTTTGTAAACAAGTTTTGAAACCATGTGCAAAATACGTGCCTCTCTGTACACGTTACGCAGGTGTCGTTGTTCAAATTGGTGCCCTTGTCCGAGCACCGTACTTGCGTACTATCTATTTTCCTGGTGCCCAGACCCGGGCACTTATACAAGGGGCACCATCAAAATGTTTTGTTCACATTGGTGCCCGTGTCGGAGCACCATGCTAGGGTATTCAGTTTGAACGCTCTATAATAAACTTTACAAACAAAATCAAACAAATTTTGTATATTGAACGATTCCTGATAAAACTGTTAAAAACAGCTTTGCTAACAACAATGCGATTCTGCGACTTTCTTTTGCCCCCTTACTTTTCAAACCTCTACGCGGCCCCTACAAAGCACGGATAATTTAAATGTATCGTTTTTTAAGGGCCAGTATGCGAAAATTTTTCTCATTCAATTACGTTTCCATTGAGGAAAAATCTTAAAATGGTAGTGGACTTTCTAAAACATTTTATTCAGATCTCTTTTCTTTCTTAAGATATTAAAGTTTTTCTAATGTCTGATGTGCACAGCCAGTGACTTCATAATCATCGTTGCAAATTTATAGTTATCCTTGGATGAAATACTTATGCAGAATTACATATCATTGACACTTCACAACCGCAGGAACTCAGTCCGGTTGAAGTGCCAGCAAATACTGAATCCAATACAAAAAATTTCAAACTCATTACGTAACGTGACGTCATTGGTCGTCTAGTGAGACGTGTTTACAGAAAGTCCACTGTAATTTTAAAAGGTCTCTTTAAAACGTGTAATTTAAGTGAGCAAAATTTTTGCTTCAATGGCCCTTTCAATGCCATTTTTTACAATCCTCCCCATACGTGGTGGAAGTTGATGATTAGGAGGGGGGGGATATATTCCTATTTTCAAATTGTACAATCCGTAATCGCACAATTGATTTGAATTGAAACTAAAGAATAAAGTAGAACATGCAAATATGAATGTTAGACCCCCAATTAGTGATATCCACCGCCCTCGATCCTTCTCAGCATTATTTTTGCAAACATTGCATAATTAAGTGGAAATTCGAATGTAAATTATTGCGTGGGAGAATAATTAGGAACAAAACAACTTTCAAGTAACAAATAGCACAATATAATTATTTAAACTATAAACATGGCTGGTATTGAGTCTGGATTTGAACGCAATAAAAGTCCAGAAGAGCTAATAAAAAAGTTCCAGAAATACGGGTAATCTTGAGGAACATTGCGGATGAGTTAACAACATCTGAATTGAATGCAATGATATTTTTGGCCAGAGATGATCTGCCCAAGGGTAAATGCGAGAATATGACTCCGCTAGCATTTTTGGTGGCTTTGGAGGAACGACAATTAATTGACACTAAGGAGAAGAAGATGGATTACTTAGTGAATCTTTTAAGTCTTTTACCGCGCGTTGATTTAATGAAGAAGCTTACGGGAAAGAATTATATTTCGTTTGGATATAGTCAGGTCGAGAATGTTGTTATCGAAGAAAATGTTACCATTAATAATTGTGTCGTCGCAAGCGCAACAACTGAGAAAAACATTGTTGAAATTCATTCCACTACAAGTAGTTTTGAGGAAAATGAAGTGAGTGGCATTAAACAATTTTTAGAGGAAGCCGATGTGATGTATCAAAGATATAGGCAAATGGAAATTGATTTAGGAGAAGCCATGGCAGGAATGCCGAATTGATAAGAAAAAACCAAGAATTAGAATCAGAAATTTACGAGTTGAAGAACGATCAGTGCCATTTGACACAAGAACGTAATTGTGCTTTAGGGGAAAAAGCGAAATTTGTTTTTCGAGAGAGCGAAGCAAAAAAAGAATTGTATGATTTAAAGTGCATGGTTGACTCGTTGAGCAAGGAAAGTGCTAAAGATAAAAGCCTTATTTCCAATAAAGATAGACAGATCAATGAGTTAAATGAAACTTTAAAGGTGTACGAACATGCAGCCATTCAAATGAAATCTATTAATGAAAAAATTAATGAAGACAAAGCGGAACTGGCGAAGCAATTGTTAAAATGGAAAACAGAGACCAAAGAAAATACTCAAGTTTTATGCAAACGTTGTGGATTAATGTTCGATCCAGAAAATAACTCAAAGGATGCATGCGTTTCACATCCTGGAGTATTTGAATGGGCTGGCTCTGTGTTAAAGAGAAGGGAATGGTCATGTTGTAAGAGTACAAATGCCAATGCGGTAGGATGTTGTAAGAAAAAGCATTTGTTCATAGAACCTCTGTTATCCCCAGGTATTAACACATTAGACAGGAAATACACTATGTAATTGACAGCATACTCAGATTTTTTCAACCATATTGATGATCTTACTATCTCTTATACGTTAGAAAAGTGATTCAAAAGAAGTTGTTGTGGCAATAGTTTATCATTAAAATTTGTGAGAAATCTTAAGGGCTGTATTTTCCTTGATGTGACCCCAGTCACATATTATGCAATCTAAGCAAGGAATTTCAGAAAATACAGAAAGGGTTTGTGACAGTTCAACTGAGTCATTCAATTGAACAATGAGCAAAAAGCTCATTTTCAAGGCTTGAAGAAGTTTGGTGCATTTAATAACAAAACATATACAGTATTCAAACTGTGCTCATTATTCTAGTCCATTTTGAGGCCATATATTTGACAGGCTACCCTATTGGCTACCCACATAATCGATATTCGTAAGCACTTTTCATCTTGAATTTGCTAATCATATGCGAGCATACTAAGTTCATAAAGATGCTAGGCTGCAAACGATTTAAATTTTTTTCTGATCTGTATATTATTTGTTTATTAATTCATTATGTATTTCCTTTCATTAATTTATTAATTCAATTATTTGTTCTGAATTTTCAAAGGTCCTCTTAGTCGTCATAAAAATGATGAAAGCTTAAATAATGACAGTTCTGATGATGACAGTACTAGAGATGACAGTTCTAGTGATGACAATTTCATCAATAATAGCCCTGGTTATGATGCGTCAAATGATCTCTTCAAATCCGATGATGATCATTTATTTGAAAAGATGTTTCTTGATGATGAATATGACATTAAAGAAGATGTGCACATAAAGCTCAAAAGGTTATTATCTCGATAGTCATGTCTAGGGTCTTACTGTGGGTAAAAGAGGATGATATTCCGTATGATCTTAATAGCACTAGATTAATTAAGCATTTAAAATATAGACAATCGACTTATAACATTAAGTCATCTTCAATTTATAAATGAAGCAGAGTATTTACAATGTTAAATATACAGTATGACATGCATATGACACATATGGAGTAGTAATCAGTAGAGGGATAATTTTTATAATAAAGTCTTAGATTAGAAGTAATATTTACATGGCATGCATTGTGAGTGTCATAGAGACTAATTGAAATATTACGTTTGTTGGTTGAGATCGGTTTGTGTTTGCGTATATGTGTAGACATCTATAAGTTTGAGAGAAAATTTAGTGTTGGCAGTGTCTAAGATGGTAAGGCAAAAGTGAGTGTATTCGGATTTGCAGTTAAGATTTTTTATTTTTTTCGGAAATTATGTGCTTTTTAAGCCAGGTTCCTGCCAGGTGGCTACATGACGGGTTATCATTCACCATGACAAATACGCTGTTCAGAGCCATTTTTAAATTTATTAGCACGACGAATTTCTTATTTTTCACTTTTATTTTACAGTTTGCCTTGGATGCGGGGCGTTTATGGAAAAGTCGGTCCAAACGAGAAAATACCATATTTCCATTTGTTTATCACAGTTGATTACGAGAATGTTCATGAAGTTAAATTGAAAGATGAAATCGATGAAATGTTTGGACCGAACGCTTCGAGGTACTTTGAATTTCGTCCAAAACCATCGAAAACACCAAAGCTTCAACTGCTATCAAAGATTGCAGTAGAAAGAAACAGTCGGTCAGTTTCAAGAGGCACATTAACGATGTTCTGTTACCAGAACGGGAAACATTACGCGTTGACCTGTTGTCATGTTTGTTACAACTGAGATGGTGATGACAAACTTTATGAAATGCTCAATCAAAACAAAAATCAATACAACTACACATCATCTTCAGAACCCAAAATTCACTTAGGCCATTTCAGCTACTATAATTTACAAACTGATATGGACATTTTGTCAATAGAAGTCAATGAAGATTTTAAAGAAAATTGCAGACGAAATAGAATACACAGACCTTCTTGGAATGATGTATGGAGGGAGCTGAATAAACGAGTTCATGTTGCGCACGAGACAGTTGAAGTAAAAAAGTATGAGAAGTAAAAGATTGGGAAAATTTATGATGTTTCTTTTTCCTGTAATGATCCTGAAGGGAAGGTCGTGTATCAGGATGCCGTTCTGGTGAAAAGCAAAGAACATTTCCTTAAAAGTGGTGAGTCTGGCGTGCTAGTATATTTTCGGGATGAGCATGGAAGAAGAATTCCCTTTGGTTATGGTATTGCTCGGGTTTATCACGAGGAACTCTGCGAGCCAGGGTATAAGTATTATATATTCTTCAAACTGAGTAAGGCTTTAAAAAAGTTATTTGGTGAAGAAAACTGTGAGAGCTGTGGCTGTTTTCATGATTGTGCAAATGCCATGCAATGATGGCGCTTGATTGGAAAGCATCTTTTCATCTTGCTTATATTCTGTTGAAGTATATTACACACCACGCCCGTATTGACAATTTCATAACATCTCCAATTTATATAGGAGAGTTTATATTTAGCCTTACACTTATTATAATAGATTAATCACTGAAATATAGAATTGTTTTTGTATTGTGTACAAGGTTACTGGAGGATCAAAACTGGAAAGTTATATGCCCTTTTAGCAGTAAAAAAAATGAAGCAATTCTTGAGAGCTGCATTTTTTTTTGAAGTTAACTCACTCGCTGTTCAAATATTTTTATACAATATATAACAATTTATCATGCAGTTGTATGAATTTGTAGAAGGAAAGATCTTAAGGAAATGAATTAAAGTTAAAATTTATTTTTCATTATTTTTTTAGTTGTGCAAGTCAAATGCCTGAAAAATGAAGAGGGTTGCGTCTTAAGGAAGAACATCCGGCTTAAAAACCATTGCCAAAATGAAATATGTACATCAGTTCTTTGTCTTCCATACCAGATCAGTCGCATAGCCTGCTGGAAATGGAATTGAATTACTGTAGGTCTGCAAAGAGGAGAAAACGTATCTTCACAAAGAAAGAGTTGACGAATGACAGAGTTAAGCACTGCATGAAGTTAGAACTTTAAATGTTGGGATAATGTAAGTAAAAGCTAGACAGTTGGTGGACATAATGTAATGGGAAGAAGTAAATATCTTGAAGGGAAAGGTAATAAAGCTAGAAGATGAGAGCAGGATTTATAATGAGTGGACTGAAAAGCCGCATCAAGTAATTTTTATGAGGGGAACTAAGTTTTTGTCCACTTGTAAGTTTTTTTCATTAAAAAAAGAGAAGGATTTATCTTGATGGAGGAGTTTATCAAGAATGTTATAGAGAATAGAAATTCAGTAATGTGCGTGAAGTTAAAAATCAAAGGTTTGATGTTTAATGCAAGAGGTGGTTCATATTAAGCTCCAAATGTAGAATGCAAATTAGAGGAAGATATTTTTAGTGCCTAAGATGAAGTGGTACAGAAAATTTCATGAAGTGTGAGGATAGTTATTGGTTCTGACTTCAAAAGACATTTGACAAAATGTCTCCAGTTGACAAAATGATGGCACTATAGGTTTTCCTTCAGCTATGAGTTTCGGCATCCATGTTGTCGCAATGTGAAACCACCTGTACTGCGTTTCGAGCATGACTTAACCAAGACATCTCAAGACATCAGAACTACAAACATAATCGCTAGCACATAGTTAGAACACATAGTTACAAAAAAATTAGAATGCACAGAAGTTACAGTGTTACAACTTATAGTCAAAATGACAGTGGAAAACCAGTTTAATTACAGAATGTGAGAATGCCATAATTTTCCAAAAAGACTACCTCGGAGGTGCTCAAATGTTTCCAAAAAATCTCACCAGGTCAACTGATATTTCAAGAATTGGTACGCAGCTTTGTACAAGTCGGTAGCCATACCATAGGAAACAAACAGTAGTCAGTACTCAGTACAGTCTTGTTTACTGCGTTATTGTGTATCTTTCATTAAATAAAATATTGGCTGTGGTTAATCATCTGCACGCTCCTATTGGTCACAAAATTCAATTTACCTGGCAAAATTACGTTAATCATATTAGCAATAAGATACTTGTTACAAAAATATATTCAGTAGAGTTGAAGGAATTTTTCTTTCTATACTGTGGTCTTGCGATGAACTGCACTTGAACGATAAAGCACATAAAACTGTATAAAACAATCTTTATTAAAATCAAAAATTCATCACAGGCTACCCACAAAAACGACTTCAGTTGTTTTAATCTAATGCAAAAAAATAATTCTGAATTAAGTATGTAGAATACATACCATGCACGCACACCTTTATTGTAATGCTAGAATAAAGTTGTGTCATAGTGATTTCTTTCTGTTAAAATGTTACGAACGAGCTTGTTAAACTGAAATAAAGCATGTGGTTAAGACTAGTATGAAAATTATACATGAAATTGATTCGTGCGAATAAATTTATCAACAATATTAAATTTCTCACCATGTTACATGTAGGTATGCAGACAGTCGTTTGTGCATCATTTAAAGTGGCTATTAAAACAAAAAATTTCTATCTAATTTATATTTTCGTCTGACGTAACTTTCAAAATGACAGAAGAATTTCGAAAACAATCAATGCATATCACTTTTTTTTTACTATAATATCGTTTTTAGAAAACAAATGACATCCCATTATATATTGACAACTTGAATTATCACTTATATTTACTGACATTTCTTCATCCGGTAATTTTCCTGTTCTGATAATATGGTTACTAGTTAGTCAATGCATCGAAGATTATTTTACAAATTCTGCAGAGATTGCGCTAAGATCACAAAAATTTGAGAAATCATTGTTTTTAATTCAATTTTGTAACATTTGAATGTCGATTAATTGTGTAAAGGATCTTATTCAAGATTCAGGAACACCCGATTCTTTCACAATCATCTTTGTATAGGGATCGTAAGAATCTAGAAAGTCACACAGTGTAGTTTTCAAATTGTAATAAGCACTGGATATTGAATGAATCTTCGAGAATCTACTCGTTTTATGCATGTTGTTAAATGTTATGTATAAACCTTGTCGAGCTCTACTGCCAGTTTAAAGACAAAGTTTTGCAGGACCTTCGATAAATTTTTGCTGAAGGCTTAAAGTGCTACTATGACGAAAATTTTGCCTCTCGAAAATTTTTTCATAGATTAATAGTGTATGTAAAAAAATGTCTTCTGGCAAAATTTAATGCCAGATTTAATCGCAATATATTTAATGCTGCTCGAGTTACGTAGCGATAAAACTTGAACTTTAAGAGCCGCCATTAAAAGGCGCCATATTTAATTTTCAAGAAGGAAGGTGCTTGTGACGTCATAGTGTTAACTCGCGGCTGTTTACAATATAACACTATATACATATAGAGATTTAAAAGGTTGTATAACTCAATTTTTTTAACATCCCAACACGCTGTGTCGGGCAAGATTGCAGTAATAAAACTGATAGAAGTACAGGCATTTCTTTGCATAAAAGCCCAAATGACGAGTCTTTTGAGAAGAATTTGGGTTAAATTTGTTCAGACGAAGCGCGCAAATTTTAATCCGAGTTCGCGCGAAATTCGATTTATGATTTGTTCGAATCACTTACATTTGATAAGTATGGATTTTTAACAGTATTTCATGTCTCACTTATCTTCTACTTTCATTTTTTAGTTGACGTTAGATTGATCAATTATAGCACGTTTAGACTGATTGCCGGAGTACGATACCCTGATTTGGGCAAAAATCTGCAGGCCCTTCACACTACGTAGAACCCAATAGCTTTGTCTATTTATAATTTCATGCTTTTCTTTGTAAACAAGTTTTGAAACCATGCGTTGAATACGTGCCTCTCTGTACACGTTACGCAGGTGTCGTCGTTCAAATTGGCGCCCTTGCCTGAGCACCATGTTAGGGTATTCAGTCTGAACGCGCCATAATAAACTTTACAAACGAAATTAAACAAGTTTTGCATATTGAACGATTCCTGATAAAACTGTTAAAAACAGCTTTGCTAACAACAATCCGATTCTGCGACCTTCTTTTGCCCTTTACTTTTCAAACCTCTACGCGACCCCTGCAAAGCACGAATAATCTTAAATTTATCGTTTTTTAAGGGCCAGTACGCGAAAATTTTGCTCATTTAATTACGTTTCCATTGAGTAAAACTCTTAAAATGGTAGTGGATTTTCTTAAACATTTTATTCAGATCTCTTTTCTTTCTTAAGATATTGAAGTTTTTCTAATGTCTGATGTGCACAGCCAGTGACCTCATAATCATCGTTGCAAATTTATAGTTATCCTTGGATGAAATACTTATGCAGAATTACATATCATTAACACTTCACAACCGCAGGAACTCAGTCCGGTTGAAGTGCCAGCAAATACTCATGAATCCAATGCAAAAAATTTCAAACTCATTACGTAACGTGACGTCAGTGGTCGTCTAAATGAGACGTGTTTACAGAAAGTCCACTGTAATTTTAAAAAGGTTTCTTCAAAACGTGTAATTTAAGTGAGCAAAATTTTTGCTTCAATGGCCCTTTCAATGCCATTTGTTATAATCCTCCCCAAGCGTGGTGGAAGTTAATGATTAGGAGGGGGGGATATGTTCATATGTTCAAATTGTACAATCCGTAATCGCACGATTGATTTCAATAGAAACTAAAGAATAAAGTAGAACATGCAAATATAAATGTTAGACCCCCCCCAATTAGAGATATCCACAGCCCTCGATCCTCCTAACTATTATTGTTGCAAACATTGCATAATTAAGTGGAAATTCGAATGTAAATTATTGCGTGGGAGAATAATTAGAAGCAAAACTTTCAAGTAACAAATAGCACAATATAATTATTTAAACTATAAACATGGCTGGTATTGAGTCTGGATTTGAACGCGATAAAAGTCCAGATGAGATAATAAAAAAAGTTCCAGAAATACGGGTAATCTTGAGGAACATTGCGGATGAGTTAACAACATCTGAATTGAATGCAATGATCTTTTTGGCCAGAGATGATCTGCCCAAGGGTAAATGCGAGAATATGACTCCGCTAGCATTTTTGGTGGCTTTGGAGGAACGACAGTTAATTGACACTAAGGAGAAGAAGATGGATTACTTGGTGAATCTTTTAAGTCATTTACCGCGCGTTGATTTAATGAAGAAGCTTACGGGAAAGAATTATATTTCGTTTGGATATAGTCAGGTCGAGAATGTTGTTATCGAAGAAAATGTTACCATTAACAATTGTGTCGTCGCAAGCGCATCAACTGAGAAAAACATTGTTGAAATTCATTCCACTACAAGTAATTTTGAGGAGAATGAAGTGAGTGGTATTAAACAATTTTTAGAGGAAGCCGATGTGATGTATCAAAGATATAGGCAAATGGAAATTGATTTAGGAGAAGCCATGGCAGGAATGCCGAATTGATAAGAAAAAACCAAGAATTAGAATCAGAAATTTACGAGTTGAAGAACAATCAGTGCCATTTGACACAAGAACGTAATTGTGCTTTAGGGGAAAAAGCGAAATTTGTTTTTCGAGAGAGCGAAGCTAAAAAAGAATTGAATGATTTAAAGTGCATGGTTGACTCGCTGAGCAAGGAAAGTGCTAAAGATAAAAACCTTATTTCCAATAAAGATAGACAGATCAATGAGTTAAATGAAACTTTAAAGGTGTACGAACATGCAGCCATTCAAATGAAATCTATTAATGAAAGAATTGATGAAGAGAAAGCGGAACTGGAGAAGCAATTATTGGAATGGAAAACAGAGACCAAAGAAAACACTCAAGTTTTATGCAAACGTTGTGGATTAATGTTCGATCCAGCAAATAACTCAAAGGATGCATGCGTTTCACATCCTGGAAAATTTGAATGGGCTGGTTCTGTGTTAAAGAGAAGGGAATGGTCATGTTGTAAGAGTACAAATGCCAATGCGGTAGGATGTTGTAAGAAAAAGCATTTGTTCATAGAACCTCTGTTATCCCCAGGTATTAATACATTAGACAGGAAATACACTATGTAATTGACAGCATACTCAGTTTTTTCCTACCATATTGATGATTTTAGTATAATTTGTAAGAAAAAGTAATTGTTCATAGAACCTCTGTTATCCCCAGGTATTAACACATTAGACAGGAAATACACTATTTAATTGACAGCATACTCAGTTTTTTCTACCATATTGATGATTTTAGTATAATTTGTAAGAAAAAGTAATTGTTGATAGGAATTTTATCATCCCCTGATATTTACCATTAGGCAGGAAATATGCAATTGACCAAAGGTCTTTGGTCTTTGCAACTATATTGATGATTTTAAAATAAATAAGATGTAAGAACCTATATTATATTCCCAGATATTGACACATTGGGCAGTAAATACACTATGCAATAGAGAAAATACACTTAGTTTTTGTAATTTATTATTTATTTTTTATGAATTTGTTACATCCATTGATTTATAAAGTTGACACTGCACTTGTAACATGAAATTACGTCATCACCCAATTTTTGAACTTCATTCTTGAAACGACAAGTTTGTATGTTATTGTATTAAAATATACATGAAATGTAAATTTTTAGAGAATTCATGAGCATTTTTTCATAATTAATTAAAACCTTTTTTTCATATGCCAATGGAGAGTTGACTCAAATTCTTTGAATAATATGAGAGCTTAATTCTAAGAAAAGAGGAAGGCAATGTGAAACTGAACATGTTGTTTTTGTGTGCCAGTACTGAAATTTGACATTTGCTATAATCCAAATATTGACTTGGTGTTGACATATCTGTAATATATCAATATTTTTAAATTTAATACCACTCCTTTGGCTGATTTGTGGTGAAAATTTATTGTTTGAGGAGGTTTTGCATATAGCTTGTTGCTAAAAGAGTGTGCAGTGAGTCAGAACTGCCTTTTTATGGGGTTTTTTGCTGCTTATTTGAGATTTTACAGTATATATTATTTGGTCCTGCTACATTAATTTTTCTGTGTTCACTCAAAAACAACACTGTAAAAATAACAGATTTCTAAAGAAATGAATACTGTTAATGATCTAAAATTTACATGGCAGGACCAAAACATGCGAGCTGGCTATGCCACTGAAAGTTCATACTATTGTGATCTGCACCATATTTTCTAGAGATGCACAAATTGATTTAGTACTGCACATTTTGTGTTGAACTACCTGATAAAAAACCTGTCTTGAAGAAAGTCTTTACAACATCATTACTGTATAGCAGGTGAAAGCTAAAGTTTTTTTATTAACTTAGAAGTAATTTGTGAACTTACTCCATGACATTCACTGTGAATTCTCAATGACATGAAAGAGTGTTCAAAATAGTTCTTTATAGGGGCAAGGAGTATCATAGTTTGTTTTAAGTTCTTTGTGCTCCCAACCACTTTCTAGTCTCAATCATTCTTCTCTTTAAAGCCTCCCCCTGGCGAGATAGCTTAAGGTGTTTTGAACTGCCTTTCTAAAGACCGAAACTAACTTGATTTTTGACATTATTATAGGTTCTGAATGTGAGACACTCGAAGAGTAACTGCAGAGGCAGTCAGACTCAGACAGCTTGTATAAACCTGTCATATTTTCAATATAAAATTACAACTGACAAGTACAAACTGCCGACATGCGCTGATGCGCAACAGAACAAATATAACGTGTTTGCTCACTTTGGCTGCACTCAAAATTTCACCAAACGACGGAACGTGGATGAAGAAGAAAAGAACATTGCGATTTTGCGGAAATTTAATAAGTAGTTGTAGAACAATGCTGTTATTAAAGACGACTTGTATATAAATATAGAAACAATTCTATTTATGTATCGAAGAAATGAACAACAATGAAAGGCGTTAAATAGTTTAAAATTAATGATATAGGTGTGGTATTTTTCTTCACCATTGGTGGCCGTCTTTTGAAAGTGATGGTTATTTTTAACTTAGGCCCGGTTCAAACGTCGCATTTTACATGCGCCGAATCAAATGCGAGAATTATGTGCATGTAAAATGCGACGTTTGAATCAATTAAATTCGACGGATTTTAATTTAATGCGACTTTAGTCGCATATTCGACTGAGTTAGTCGAATATTCGACGGAAATTCGATGTTGATTCAAACGTCGCATTTTACATGAGCCGAATTTAATGCATAATTTATTTTAAGATATTTCTAAGCAAAATCAATTATTTCCATGCTAAATGCCATGCGCAAAGTTGTAAAACATGGCGGCGGCGAGTGATGGTAATGGCCCTTGTATTTCGTGCACAAGTTTAACAAAATACACTTGTTTAAAGTGCAAAAAATTTATATGTACAAGGAAAGTTTCCTCGAGATACACGAAATGTTTTTTTGAATCAGAATAAATACTCCAAACTTTCTTCCACCAGCCGGAATTTCTATCTTGTCTTCGACATGATCGATAAGGAGGGCTACGTATGAAGGCTTTTTTTTTACCAATTAACGGTAGAAAAACATGGGAAATTTGCAGAAGCTGCCGTCTCGTTTCTAATAGTTTATTTGCTGTAACATGCATCAATATTCGTCTTTTCCTATTAACACGAATCATATTTGAAATGCATAAACTCAACATTTTTCTGTTCGCCATTTTAGGAAATTAGTACAAGAAAATGAATAAACTATGAAAAAGTGGAAGCATAACTATAATAAATGCGACTATTAAATTCGACGTCTGAATCAAACTACGCATAAAACTATTTTAGTCGACTAAAACTCAGATTTGATTCGGCGCATGTAAAATGCGACGTTTGAACCGGGCCTTATTTGCAAATCAAGCGAGGCTTTCGCTCTCAAATATATTATAATTTGTACTTGCTTTCTCCGCGTCGTTTAATTTTTAAGTCGAAATTCGAACACCATTGAGGCCGAGTCTGGCCGACAGCCGACTCACTGATGAGATGAAAAAGATTCGGAGCAGTTTAAAAGTTTTAAAAACCAGTTAGTTACAAATTTACTGATATTTTTTCGATAACAAGGCGAAGATATTTGGCAGAGCAGATAACGTAGCTTCTTGGTGACAGCATGAGGCCTCCAAAAATTGTTTTCGAAATCAATTCAATTCACAACCTCATTGAGTGTTTTATTTTAACGAATACTTAGTATTCAAAGACGCAACAACTTTTGGCTCGAGTTTCATAATTTTAGTTTAACTCTGTACTGTAGAGACTGGCATGCAATTTATCTTGCTCAGCAAGCAATTTATTTATAAGCCGATTTACAAGCCGATCTGAGCTCAATCAAAGAGAATTTTCAAATTAATCATTAGTACATGCTACAGGAAAATTCAAAACTTTTGTTTTAAATTTATTTATTTCGTGAAACCTCGGAGACATTTGTGAGAAACTATTTTGTCTCGGGCTTGCAATGATCTGCTTCGATAAGTCTGTGTAAACGAAGTAAACATCTTTCATTTATAAAAAACATATTGACGTAGGGGCGATCGCTTACTTTTGTAACCTTTTGTATGGAACATATACATCGAAGGTATACAGGTCAAACAAATGGCACTGGATCAATTGGTTGGTCACCTGTGTTAAGTGGTCACGTGGCAATGTCGCAAAATTTCACAAAACCCACTTTCTCTCTTAGTCACCTTTATTGAACGGGTTACCTCTATAAAACGGACGCAGTCAACTTTTCGAAAGTCGCAATCCCGAACTTAATATTTCATTATTTTGTCAAAAAAGCGAAAATCTGTCGTGAAAAGTATGGGAGTCATGAGAGTGTAGTATTAGTTTTCCTAATGTTTTACACTATGTAATCCTTGATTTTTAGAAAAGTGGAGGGGACATGTCCGCTCCCCAGGATTTGCGCATTGGTATGAAAATATAAAACGTTCGGGTAAAGTAACAGCACATAATACAACATGTGATTCAATATTTCAGTCTTCAGAAACTTGCCAAAGTCTTTATTTTTGAGCAGGATGCAAAAACAAACAAAAAGTCATGTCGTTTTTACAAGACTTGTAGTCAACCATGTCAAATCGCCAAGAGTACCGTTTAACACAGATTTGACTTTATTTTATGATCGAATGCTTTTAGGTATAATCAGATGTAGAAACTTCTTGGCCCTCGTTTGCTCAAGACTTTAAATGATTAATTCAGCTTTTGTATATTTGCATACTGTTCTTCAATGGTTTGTCATCCCAATTTAAGAATAATTTTTTTTTATTAACATCGTAACTTGATCGAATTATAACATGTGCATCTCTTTTATGTAATTTTTGTAATGGATTAAACCAAATACAAACCAAGCATCTCCGCAGTAGTTAAAATAAAGTTGTACAATAGCTTCGTATTTGTCAACATGCTCTATCAGTCATTTAATAGCACCGATATCTGTAGAAAGATCTTAAGTATTATTTTTCCAGAAAAAATTTTGGTTGACAAATCAGCTTAGTGTTTTACATTCCGAAACCTGTCTGAAATTTCCATCATGTAAGTATTTTGATATTTGTTTCAGACTTTTGTCCTGAAAAATAATAAACAAATGGGTACCAACACCAGGTGCAAAGACGCATCAGTACTGTTTACGCTGTGGAAGTTAGACAAATTGGGTGGAAAACAGCCATCAGCATCGAGATTGAGTAAAAGAGGCCAAAAGGCTAAAATATCGTCTGAAATATCTTCTAAACCGATTATAAAAACGCAAATCTCGGGTATTTGAACTCAAGAAGGCCAGACTGACAATTTTGTATTCTTATTTCTGCAATATTTGAGGTTCTTATGCATGAAAATTAGATAATACAGGGATCATTAAATCTGTTTTATAATATTTCGCTGTTTCGCTTCAAATTATGGTTGCTGTTTTATCTAAAAAATATTGTTGTTGTGAAAATTAGTGACCTGCAACGGCGGTCAAAAAAGCTGCTCAAATTGCTGTTTCCGATACAAGTAAAAGTGTTAGCTTGCTATGAAATTTTGCACTTTGTTGCTAATTGCGGAGTTCTTTAGGCTATTCCCTAAGAAAAATTGTTGGTAAAGTGGGTCAAAGCCATAAAGTGCTTCGTTCCCATAAGTCTCCTCTCTGGTAAGAGATTTTAATCCTTGCGCCTTGAAAAAAACACGTTGCTATGTGTCTGTGGCCTTTGCAAAGGAGGAAAATTGCGCATATGTTCACTCTGGAGTAATTTTTTTGTTATTTTACCTGGTATCATTAATAAAAAGATTACACGCTCGTAAAACACAGCAATCAAAGTGTTGTAAATTTAGCGAAAATTGTTTCAAAAATTGGAAAAATTTATTGTTCTCCATCGTGAATCATCATCTTTTGGTCTCTCCAATTCTTTTTATAAAACTTCTGGATATTTCTGTTCAAATCCCAGTGGAAGTAATTCAAGTTTTTTGCTTGTCGTTCTGTGAGCATTGGTTACGTACTTTTAGAAATTTATGATTATTATTTGTGGCAATATATTTCGATGTAATGGTACCATGTGTCAGTGTGAATCGACCCAGTGTGCTCTTTTCTCCTTAATCGTCTCCACAAAAATGTTTCACGCGATGATTTTGAACATTGTAAAATCGTGAATAATTAATGGCGATCCCTTGAACGGATGTTAGAGTTTGTCTGGTTGTTGTTTTTGGTATTTTATGATTATTTTGGTTTTAGTTTATAGCTGTTTTGGTTTGCTGTTTTTGTGTTGGTTTTTGATCTAACCGAACAAAGTTCAAAGGGCTAAGAGTTTTTTTATCTTAATTATGATGCGTATTCAGATACAATGCGGTTAGGACGAAGCGGAAAGAATTTATGTTTTTTAGCACGAATTGGACTAAATCTTAGACCAATCTGAAAAGTGTATACGGTATTGTTAATCGATGTTCTAATTTCTTGAGGAAGTTGCAATTAACGTATAATTATCAATTATGGAAGCAATTTAGTCTGTAATTTCTTCGAATCCTCGTGAGGGTTTTTGGCAGCATAAGTTAAGTGATGTATTGATTGAAGCTTCGTTCTGCAGCAGTTGCCTGTATAGGGTTTCGTCGCGATTTCAGCGTCTGCAACGGAAGGAATTTGAGGTATTATGCTTTATTTTTGTATTGAAGTGGCGCATATCAGTTTACTGCCAGCCATTAAACGTCATCTGTCATCGCGCGTTTTTGCACTACTGCGGTGAACCGCCGTGAAAATCGACATGAGTCCTGCGAAAGTACAACCGTTTTGATTTGGTTTGTTTGCCAGATTAACTATCACGGTTGGATAGTGGCCTTCCTTTGCCCTTCGAGCACTCTTACATTTTACGCATGCCTTTAAGTTTCCCCGTCTTATCTCGTTCATAATGGGGGCGAAGCTAGATTAACCAATGGGATTGCTTATCGAAGCGACTAATTGATACGTCTACTTTGAAATTGGACGTGAGGCGGAGTTGTTAATATGAAAGAAGCGTTGTGATTGGCCAAACTCCTCTTGTATTTCTGACATAAACAAAATAGGCAACACTTGCCAGCCAAGACAAGAAATGTCGCATAGTTTATCGTCTTAAATTCAGTGAATGCCAGGGAGATTTTTATTTATGCGTTTTGACATGGCGAGATAGGAGGCTCTCCTTGTTGTGCCATTCTTTCAAAAGTAAACCAACTTTTCAGAGTGTCGCTTGCACGTTTCCAAGCCCGTGGTATGCTCTTGATCGTCAGTGTACACACGAAGTTAACATGAGTAAACTTTTTCTAAAAATACAAACATGCTTTGTTGTTATTCTCGTGCTTTTGCCCTTGGTATTGGGTTTTAAGAACGGCGAAGAGTTCCACGCAAAATGTCAACCAATGGACGTTGTACAATGCCGCTCAATTGATTATAATGTGACAGGACTTCCAAATATGTTCGGTCATAAAAATCAGATACAAGTTGAACAAAGTCTCAGGGATATCACAATGCTATTGACTTCAACTTGTGCCGAACCTGTCCGTTTCTTCTTTTGTTCTATGTACGCTCCGATGTGTTCAAAACAGACAAACAGTTTGATCACAACATGTGGTTCGCTTTGTACGTATGTCACGAAGCGATGTAAACCAACTGCGATGTCGCTGGGCATTCCTTGGTTGAAAGAATGGAATTGTTCTCAGTTTTACTGGAGGAATAACCGAGATGAGATGTGTATGGAAGGGTCCACATTCAACTTTAGTCCCTTTGATCCGTCCACAAATGTACCTGCAACTGAAGGTACAAAATTTCTGAAGAACGTTCACAGTAATAATGTTCGCAAAAGCTCGACACTTCGCTGCCACAGCACGCGAATTTTCACGAAAGACGACCAGGAATATGCCGAAGTATGGATGACTGTATGGTCCATTGTTTGTTTCGTCTCAACGAGCATTGCTTTGCTTGCCTTTATTTTTGGCAGAAAGAAATATCGTTATCCGGAGCGCTGTATTGTTATTCTCGCCATGTGCTATAATCTACATTGTGTCGGTTATATTGTGCGTGTGATCGTCGGATATAGTGAAACAGCATGTGTTCTCGACGAAAACTCCGAGCTGCTATTGACGAAGAACAAATTGGGGAATCCTCGTTGCGCTATCGTCTTCCTCTTTCTGTATTTCTTCGGCATGGCCGCATGCGTTTGGTGGGTGATCTTAACACTCACATGGTTTCTCGCGGCGGGAATGAGATGGAGCTTCGACGCCATCGAGAATTACACGAACGTTTTTCATCTCATCGCATGGGTATTGCCCGCTTTAAAAGCTGCCGTTGTGCTAATTCTTCGTAAGGTGGACGGAGATGAATTGACCGGCTTGTGTTATGTCGGCAATCAAGATTTACTAGCTTTGACTGGCTTTGTCCTTGGACCACAGTTTACTTATTTAATTACTGGAGTTTTGTTCTTGCTTGCCGGCTTCGTTGCTGTGTATCGAATGAAATTTGAGCAAAACAAACAGCGCTTGCATGGGGTTGAGAAATTCGATGTTGTACTCTTTAGAATAGGCATTTTTGCTGGGATTATATGCCTTCCCGCCTCCTGTATGATAGGAATCCATTTTTACGAATATAATACTCGCGATAAGTGGGCGAAAGGCGAGTCGGGAGCGTATGTGACAGTACTTATGATGAAAATCTCTGCAAGCGTATTTGCTGGTTTACTGTGCAGCTTTTGGTTATGGACGTATAAAATCATTGTGACTATGAAAAGCTTTTTTAAGCGGAAATTTCCAAAAGAAAACATTTCTGAGAACAATCAAATTGCATTAAGAAATTTGACCGTGAATGGATTCCAAACCGACGCAGATGTATAAAAAAAGGCGAGGAAAATTGAATGTATAAAATACGCACATTTAAAATATGAAATACTTGTAAACTATTAAATGGATGTCTGTAGATAAGGTCAAATGACTATTTAAGATTGCCGTTTCCCTGTGTTATGTCTGCGGAGATTATTGTTTACCCCCAGTCGTTTGGTAAATTATGAACAAACGATAAAATCTAAACGCAAGTAAAGTAATTAGCACCTCATTATTTGGGTCTATTCATTAATTTGTTGCTTAAAGAGAAAATGCTTTCAGACATTCAATGTACCACTGTGAACTGCACGAAAGACGCTTCTCTCTGCGTCTGTGGTGCAAAAGTGCGTTGATGCTATATGATAATTTGCGTGTTTATTTTCTGGCAGGTCTGGCTTATAAGTATTTACAGCGTTTGTTCCTTCCATACATGGATTTGATGGCGTCTTTAGTCACAGAACATGCTTTGGTTTTGAGCTGTTAAATAATATTTAAATAATATTCAATTTAAATACCAACTACCTCACTGGTGTTTATATTTTGTGCCTTACTTGGCACCAGGGATAGTATTTAATGTTCCTTAAAACTCTCACAAGTATTTGATGTTCTTAAAGTTTTGAAGTGGCAACAGCTAGTTTGTGTCGTATTGCCCATCTGAATATGAACCAGTTGCGTTGAAGGGACCTGAAATTTTCAAGTGACATGTTGAACCTGTTGAACATGCTTGCGCCTTTATAGGGGGTCCATCCTTCCAATGTTTAGAAATAGGATAAAGCGTTTTCGCTCATTCCACTGGGATCAAATCAACAGGACCATGGAGGAGCAACCATATCGCCGCTCCAAGCCGTACTCCAAGTTACATATCAGAGCTTGATTAACCAACATGGCCACTATTACGTCGGGAGAAAACGCTCTATAAACTACACTGTTTTTCTCAAGTGTAAATACATTACTTTACTACGTTATTAACCATTGTTATTCGCATGTACATTTGTTGGCAAGTACTTTCACATATTGCCTTTTTATTACCTGTATTACCAGAGGTATTGGCGGTATTGCTATTGGCTTATTGTTGACGTGACCTGCATATTTTCGGACACAATTTCACGTTTCAGATTTAGCACAATAGATACAGTTTCTCCAAAACCATTCAAAATAATTTAGTTTTAGTTAATTGCTGCTAATTTCCGAGTTTCTGGTTTAATTTCTTGAATTTCGTGTGAACCCACGTGTGAAATACAAAGACAACAATACATCTTGCTTGTGTAAACCCCCCGTTTGTTTTGGAGTTTGATAAATAATTATATATTTTAAGTTAAATTTGCTGGGGGGAAGGAATGAACTGTGTTTTCAACTTCACGACAGGTTCTCCAGCACAAAGAAGCACGAGCCACGAGAAGGATTAAAGGAACTTAAGCGTCCGAATTTTGTGTGTAAAAATTTAAAGTGCGACCTAATTTGGGTGATCTTTTGGTATAAATGCCGGACATTCGTCAACGGAAGCAACAGCGTAAGACGGAACATGGCGTTAAACCTAAACATAAACATGAAAAGACAAAGACTGTCGAGAGTAATGGCGTTAACAACGAGGAAGAAAAATCCAGGATCTCTTCCGTTATTTCGCAATACTTTAATATTTTATTGGGAGTATCTGCGTCTTTTTATATTGGATATCGTTATGCATTGTACATGAAAGAGTTGCACGAAAATGATATGTGGTTCTCAAACATTGGCGTGAGTCTTTATAAAGAGATTATTTATGAGTTGCAATTTAATAGTCCTTTGTCTTGTTGTGCATGTGTTTCCGAGCAACAATGTCTACAGTCTAGCTTTGAAAAGTTGTTTTTATTGAAGTGACCCCATTTTTCAAATGCTGCCATTGACATATCTTTGTTAAATTAGTTGTTCATTTATAAATGCTTATGCTTTCTTTGAAACAATAACATTTGTCATATCTAGTTAAGAAATTCATGTTTCTAATGGTTTTAACATAATTTATGGTGTGTGAACCCTGTTTACATAGAGTAGTATACTTTACCAATCACTAAAGTTCTGACTTGCTTCTGTAATTGCTTCTTGAAAAGCTTTACCATATAAACTGATTTATATAAACAAAGCTAGTTTGCCTTCCCTTTATCTCAGATTTTACAAATCTCCCTACAAAAGGACCAATGCTGGTTGTGTGCTTGTTACTCATTAAAATGTAGCTTGTAAAAACCATGTCATACATGGTGCATGTCAATTTTTGGAAGGTGCTAGTCAGTTTTAGATGGTGCACCCCCAGAAAATCCGCCCATGGATGATGTATGATTAAAATAATTTTTGGAGCTACGTAATGTTTTCAAACTTCATGACTGTAGTACATAAATAGGTAAATGATGTCATAATTCCAATGTTTTAATTTTGGGAAATTTGTGTATTATCTTAGCAACTTGAACGGGAAATCTCATTCAGAACTGAATCTGGATTGTATTTCTCATATTACAAGCAGCTAGTCTTGTCACCTACCTTACGACAAGGTTTGTTGGCTAGTTTATTGATAAACTTTTATTTGTTTCAACATCTAATAGTTTTAACTACTTTAGGCAATAACATTTATTTTGCCCCCCCTCATCTTTGGTATCATATTTTATCTGTATGTCACTTTTGATTTTAGGTGTTCATGATCTAATGGTTGATAATAAAACAGAGCATTTAAGAACAATCAATATCCTGGAGAGATTCAACATTTATCAAGAAGTTATATTGGCTATTATATACAGGGTGACATCATTAAAGGTACTTTTTTCAACATTTCTTATGTTTATGTCATACATGTCTTCATTTGTCTTATGTTTATGTCATACATGTCTTCATTTGTCTTATGTTTATGTCATACATGTCTTCATTTGTCTTATGTTTATGTCATACATGTCTTCATTTGTCTTATGTTTATGTCATACATGTTTTCATTTGTCTTATGTTTATGTCATACATGTCTTCATTTGTCTTATGTTTATGTCATACATGTCTTCATTTGTCTTATGTTTATGTCATACATGTCTTCATTTGTCTTATGTTTATGTCATACATGTCTTCATTTGTCTTATGTTTATGTCATACATGTCTTCATTTGTCTTATGTTTATGTCGTACATGTCTTCATTTGTCTTGTGTTTATGTCAAACATGTCTTCATTTGTGTTATGTTTATGTCATACATGTCTTCATTTGTCTTATGTTTATGTCATACATGTCTTCATTTGTCTTATGTTTATGTCATACATGTCTTCATTTGTCATATGTTTATGTCATACATGTCTTCATTTGTGTTATGTTTATGTCATACATGTCTTCATTTGTCTTATGTTTATGTCATACATGTCTTCATTTGTCTTATGTTTATGTCATACATGTCTTCATTTGTGTTATGTTTATGTCATACATGTCTTCATTTGTGTTATGTTTATGTCATACATGTCTTCATTTGTCTTATGTTTATGTCATATGTCTTCATTTGTTTCATGTTTATGTCATACATGTCTTCATTTGTCATATGTTTATGTCATACATGTCTTCATTTGTGTTATGTTTATGTCATACATGTCTTCATTTGTCTTATGTTTATGTCGTACATGTCTTCATTTGTTTCATGTTTATGTCATACATGTCTTCATTTGTCTTATGTTTATGTCATACATGTCTTCATTTGTCTTATGTTTATGTCATACATGTCTTCATTTGTCTTATGTTTATGTCATACATGTCTTCATTTGTCTTATGTTTATGTCATACATGTCTTCATTTGTCTTATGTTTATGTCATACATGTCTTCATTTGTCTTATGTCATGTCTTCATTTGTCTTATGTTTATGTCATCTTCATTTGTCTTATGTTTATGTCATACATGTCTTCATTTGTCTTATGTTTATGTCATACATGTCTTCATTTGTCTTATGTTTATGTCATACATGTCTTCATTTGTCTTATGTTTATGTCATACATGTCTTCATTTGTCTTATGTTTATGTCATACATGTCTTCATTTGTCTTATGTTTATGTCATACATGTCTTCATTTGTCTTATGTTTATGTCATACATGTCTTCATTTGTCTTATGTTTATGTCATACATGTCTTCATTTGTCTTATGTTTATGTCATACATGTCTTCATTTGTCTTATGTTTATGTCATACATGTCTTCATTTGTCTTATGTTTATGTCATACATGTCTTCATTTGTCTTATGTTTATGTCATACATGTCTTCATTTGTCTTATGTTTATGTTATACATGTCTTCATTTGTCTTATGTTTATGTCATACATGTCTTCATTTGTCTTATGTTTATGTCATACATGTCTTCATTTGTCTTATGTTTATGTCATACATGTCTTCATTTGTCTTATGTTTATGTCATACATGTCTTCATTTGTCTTATGTTTATGTCATACATGTCTTCATTTGTCTTGTGTATTAGCACACACGCCTTACATTTGTTTACTAAATTTTTGCCTCATTGTGTTCAGGAAAGAATAGAGTATGTGTATTTCTACATCAATACTGTGTTTGGCCTTCATGGAATGTATATGGTTTCATTGTTTGCTGCAGCATGGCTGCTAAGTGGATCATGGATAGCTGGTATTTTGGCCAATGTGTTTTTCATATTTAACAAGTGAGTTCAATACATCATGTTATATTCTGGCTGTCTTACATTCATGGTTGTCTTACGTACATCCTACTGTATCTAAGGAATAGTAAATTCAGCATCCTGCAATGATTGCAAACAGTGTTACCTGTTTTGGTCTGTTGTTCATGTCATGTTGCACAATGTTTATAGATTACTTTGTTACATCAAAACAGCGTAGACTTATTTATAAGTATCTGGTAATGTCTTAGAAAAATTAAGATTTTTCTAATGGATTGCAATTTAATCCTTTTTGTGGGTGATTTTGTCCGCAATGGACATTCGAAATAAATGCAAGCTCTAATTTAAGCAAGTCAATGTGAGATTAAAGTTGATTAAGTGATGGTCACAAATGATTACGTTATGCCTTTACCACCAGTCAAGTTCAGGGGTTAGAGTGCTAGATCTGAGAGTAAACACTACATATGTACTGTGAAGTTCAAGCACTGATGGTTGCAATGCAGTACCATATCTCTCTTTAAAGAACAAGTGAAATTTAATTATTTAACGAAAAGATGTGTGAGAGTAGGTTTTTGGTTTGGGCAATTTTGAAGATGTAAAATTTCACTCACAATTGTAAGTGACAAATATTGTGGTTGTGGGAAGGAAGCTTTCTTTTTCTTTTTATGTTTAAGACTATACTTGACAAGTTCATCATTTTTGCCATCTTTTGAAGGTAATATCACTAGACCATTCCTTGCAATTCCTTTGACTGTAGTGCCTCTATTTTCCCTATATTTTTGAGCTGATATGACCTGATTGTCCTTCACAATTCCTTTGCGATGTGCGAATTAGTTGAGAAAAAACGATGTGCAATTTTTTTTGACAAAAGTGTTTCTTTAGAAGCATAATCAAATCGATATTACGTTAATTATTATACAGCGCTAATTGCTAAATTAATATTTTTAAACGTGCACAAATTCATATGATTTACGACAATGTTTTTCGTTACAACCGCTGATCCAGTTACAAATGTATGAGAGAAATTTTTTGTGCATGTTATTCTCTCCTCTTTTTTGTGCAAAGTTTACAGCGCAATAAATTAACCACTTGGCCATCATCCCAGTAATCAAGCGAGTCAGCATTTAATGTTTCCATCCATTTTTTTACTGTATTAACTTTGCTGATAGCCTTTCGACAAGATGGCAAGAAAGACAAAAGTGAAAAGAGAAACACCGATTATACTTTTGCCTTCTGATTATTAACAGTAACATCCTTGATGTTTACTTACGATAAAAACATCATATTTATGTCATATTACAAACAATAAGTAAAAGCAAAAAGTATGGCTGATCAAGGTTGCCAGTTTGGCTTAATGTTTCTTGCCAAATTTGACTGAAAATATTCAAAATAGCTATGATGCCAAAAACAGTACGTAACGGTTTACAAAACAACGCAAATGCAAAATTTGACATAAATAATGTATTACATCCTTATTGTTACAAGCATATAAGCACCATGTATGTGGTCTCTTGACAGACTTCCCAGTACCAAAAAGACAACGTGTTTGAATTTGATGACATTGTGTCAACATGGATTTTAATGTCGTGCAGCGCACTCGTTTATAAAGGAAAGATCAGTAAAAACTAAGCTTGAAAACTTTTTTCAATTTATTTGGTGGTAATCAATAAAGAAGTTTTTTGCATATCGTTTGAAAAAGTGATGTGCAATTGTGTTCATTTTAGCTAAAACGATGTGCAAATTGCACATTGCACACCGTTAATTCCCACACTGCCTTTGCCTGTAGTGCATGTATTTCTCATATATTTTAGAGCTGATATGACCAGATTGTCCTTCACAATTCCTTTGCGAGAGAGTTTTGGGTTTCCTTTTCTCTATGTTCAAATAGCCATCACAACAGCTTATTTCAAACAAGACATAAGTCGTGGAAAGCAGGTTTGCTAAGAAATTTTTATGCAAAAAATATTTCCATTTTAAACATGATAGCCCAACATAAGACTTTTAAAAAAGCCATTGAGACAATGAATTAGAAATAAAGATAAAAGGTTTTTTAATAATGACGTTTCGATGATAAGAATACACACAAGGCTTTAAATATAAGCATATATGTACAGGGTCTTAAATTACATAATAGATAATAAATTACCTATTTACATCCTGTAAATATATGCTTATATTTAAAGCCTTGTGAAATTTTTATCATTTCATGTGAAGATGTCTTAAGTTAAAGATGAAATGCCATTCTTAAAAAACCTTTCATCTTTATTTCTAATTTATTGTTGCCATGGCTTTTTTAAAAGTCTTATGTTGGGCTATTATGTTGTCTCATGAAAATGCGCTTTCCTCCTGGCAAATCTCTGGCCACGATTTTAAACTTATTTCATTGATTTAGATTCTCTGTTTGTTGCTGTTGGCTATTTTTACATTTCTGTTCACATTAGTATGGCAGTTTGCACAGTTCATTCTTTTGTTGCAAGGCATGGCTATTTTTGGTGTATTTTGTCTTGGTTTTGTACCATCTCATAAGGTATGTTTTATCGTAATTTACCAAAACTTCACAAGCAGAGAGAGAATTTATTCAATATGTGACATATAATGATCTGCTAGGTGAATTGTGTTTATTTAAGTACATTGTCTTGAGGGTGAATTGTGTTTATTGGAGTACATTGTGTTGAGGGTGAATTGTGTTTATTTAAGTACATTGACTTGACGGTGAATGCTTCATTAAAACACCTGGTAGGAAGGTTGGTTACTTCATTACCAAGTCAAAAGGGAAAATGTGCTATTCATAATTATGTTTTGGTATATTCTTGTATACTCCTATTATCAGCATTGATTTCACCCTCCCTCCCTTCCCTTCCCTCCCCTCCCTCCCTTCCCTCCCGTCCCCTCCCTCCTGTCACCCGAATAGCTTACTCTGAGAAATACATATCACATTTTCCATATTCAAATTCTATGGTGCTGTGAATATTTTCATTTTAGATAAAAAATATGTTCTTTATAATTATTGGTTCCTTGTTGTTGGTCTTCGTTCTCCAGTTCATGAATGATATGATCATTAGATCATTGGCTTTAAGCTTTTCATTTTCATCCTTATTGGTTATTTCTAAAGTTAGCAAGGTATGTGTTAAAGACATTGGTGTATTTTTAGGGTTATAAGAGATTTTAGGGTTTGTGTAAAATAACTAATGGAGTGAGTTGATTATAAGATAAACTGAATGTTGTAGTGGTGTATGGTTATATGTAATAAGGAAGAATTACGTCATAAGATAAACAGAATGATGTAGTGGTGTATGGTAATATGTAATAAGGAAGAATTACGTCATAAGATAAACAGAATGATGTAGTGGTGTATGGTAATATGTAATAAGGAAGAATTACGTCATAAGATAAACAGAATGATGTAGTGGTGTATGGTAATATGTAATAAAGAAGAATTACGTCATAAGATAAACAGAATGATGTAGTGGTGTATGGTAATATAAATACAAAGAAGAGTGGAATGTGGTGAATGAATCAACGAGAAAGAAGGATATGTATTGTTTTGGTCCATGCGTTGGTTTCCAAGATTGCTAATTTCAAATTAAATTTTTTGTTCTGTACGACATCAATTTTATCATATTTTTTTGTTATAATCCTTACTTCTACACAACTTTGTCAAAGGCTAGGGAGTCGTGTTATGGCATACAATAAAGCCTGGAATTATCTCCCATTTTTTTTCTTCAGATTGACAAATGTGATGGAATTTTGAAAAATCTGATGAAAGTTGTGGCTCGTGTATTTGGCGTCTTGACGTTGACTGTTGTTTTGAATATTTGTGTCAAGGTATGTTTATGATGAAAGGGGATAACGCGAGATATATGAGGATATGTTTGGACGTGTTTGTAACATAGTACACGAGGATAAACCATGACACACGAGTATAAGGTTTGACATGTTTGTAATATAGTACATGAAGATAAACCATGACACACGAGTGTAAGGTTGGACATGTTTGTAATATAGTACATGAAGATAAACCATGACACACGAGTAAAAGGTTGGACATGTTTGTAATATAGTGCATGAGGATAAACCATGACATACGAGTATAAGGTTGGACATGTTTGTAATATAGTACATGAAGATAAACCATGACACACGAGTATAAGGTTGGACATGTTTGTAATATAGTGCATGAAGACAAACCATGACACACGAGTATAAGGTTGGACATATGTATACGTACATAATGGCATGAACCCTCTATTAACATTGCGAGTAGCTACTTAGTTAATTAATGACCATCACAAAGTGCAAATTGTTTACGCTTTTCATTATATTATATTTTAGTTGTTCGTAAAAGCCAGCTCTGACGAACACATATTCAAGTTTTTACGAGCGAAATTTGGCTTTGATGAAGCAAGGTACGTGGTAATGTGTTTTTTTATTGAACTATAAGATTGAACCTACATATGGACCAGTGATTGTATCTTTGAGGAAGATGTAAAGAGGAGAAAGTGCTTTAGTTTGGGTTGGACTTATTTGGTCAGTTTTTCTTAGATTTCTGTGACTACTTAGTGTGTTACTATGGATAGGAGAGGACAACCCTCTCCTCCAGCATACATACATACGTAGTAAATGTGTGTTACCATGGATAGGAGAGGACAACCCTCTCCTCCAGCATGCATACATACATACGTAGTAAATGTGTGTTACCATGGAGAAAGGAGTTACAGCCCCCTCCTCCAGCATCCATCGTAAATATGTGTTACCATGGGGAAAAGCCTTTTCTTTTCCTTCAGCATCCATAGTAAATCTATCTTTGTGTTTAAGTTTAGAAATACATAATCTTGGCTTGAATGCTGAAAAACCGTATCCAGCTAACCTTGTATATATCATATAGGATCTGTTCCTTGTACAACTGGTTTTTTCTCCATTGTGTAGAGATTTTGATGCTATGCTGTACCTATGTGAGATGTCATTTCGTATGCTACCTGTAGACACATACTGGCGTTTGACTGAGGGTGTGGTCTTTCCTTGTTATGTATTTGCTGTGGTCTTTGGTTTTATATTACTGGCTGTTGGTGTTCTTGAAGAATGGAGGTATGCCTGTATTTTTGTTACATTCTGACAAGTTTTACTTGATTAAAACATGGTCATGATTTTAACATTTGAAATTTATCGTTGATCATTTGAAATTTGAAACATTGATTTGTAAAACAAAGAGGGAATTTATGTTTCAGTACCTGGAGCTTTGACAGTACATAATGACTTGTTGGTATTGTCCATGGCTGGTATTCTTGGGTTCTGAGAAATGTTAAAGTGTTATCACTAGTGATGCACCAATATACATATTTAGCGATATACCAATTAGCAGATATTAAAATGCCGATATTGTGCCGATACCGATATTTTACGCCATTTTACGAAACTTAAGCATCATAAAGTATGCCAATTTGTGCTCACCATTGACTGTTCATTTCATAAAAAAATATAAAATTCAAAGCGGTTATTTACACTGCAGCAATCTTTCACAACACAACCCAATTGTCAATGGAAGTTGATATCATGTGGAACTAAAAAGTTTAAAGTAATATTAATTTAAGAAAAATTGTTAAGGTAATATATATTTAGTATTGTTAAACTATGATTCATTTCAATTGTATTTCTATTTCGATGCAATGTTTAAATGTCGGTATTATGAGCAATGAGGACGAAAAATACCAATGTCGTTATTCTGTTTTGGAGCCGGTACGCAGATATCGATGTCCGTATATCACTAGTTATCACCTTGTTCATATCGACTGCCGGTAATATATAAAACGCTGGTAATATATAAAACATATAGACTGTACTTAATGCTGGTAATATATAAAACATATATTAATGCTGGTAATATATAAAACATATAGACTGTACTTGTAGGGGTAGAAAGGGTTATAGTGAGGGTTACACCGATAATTTTTCTCAAAGGGTTACACCGATAATTTTTCTCAAAACATGCTACATTTCTTTTTTAGTGGTAATGATTTTATTTCATGGGGGAAAAATGTTCATACTTCGTTGAAAAGACGTCCTGAAGTCGTTTATCATCTTGTACAAACATTCTTCTTTACCTTTATGGCCGTAACTACGTTGAGATTTAAGTTTTTATGGATGCCACATATTTGCGTTGTCGCCGCAGGAATAATTTGTTCACAGGATTTGTGGAGCTTTCTTTTGTCGAAAATTTACCTGACATGTGCAAAGGTACGAGATTATATTAAATAATATGAAATGACATGTTTGTAAATGTAGATCGTCCAGGTTGGTAAAGTCCTGACAAGGACTGTTTTTGTTGTTGTTGACTGACGTTTCGACAACCTTAGCGGTAGTCATCTTCCGAGTCAATATGAATTTGAATCTGACTTTTGACTCTGACGATGACTACCGCTAAGGTTGTCGAAACGTCAGTCAACAACAACAAAAACAGTCCTTCTCAGGACTATACCAACCTGGACGATCTACATTTACAAAAATGTAGCGATACTCCCGGGTTCGAACCATTTACTTTAATGTGAAATGAATTACAGAAACTCAAATCACAACTCGGTTGTGCATTTTATGAGCAACTTTAAGGTATATACATCAAGGTACATGTTAAACACTAGATCGTTAAACGATCCATAAAGATACAACTAAAAGCAATTTTGAAATACACTATGATAATTTATACAACTCATTTAGATACATTCAGACATTAACATGCATTATGCAAGAGCATTAACATACATCAGCATCATTGTGTAAGATACATTAACATTCTTCAGCATACATAGTGTAAGAACTTTAACATACATTAGCATACATTTTAAGATTAAAGATGCATTAAAAAGATCCATGGAGATACATTGTAAGAGACATAATTTTTTACATTAAACATACATCAGCATACATTGTGTAAGATACATTAACATACATCAGCATACATTGTGTAAAATACATTAACATACATCAGCATACATTGTGTAAGAACTTTAACATACATTAGCATACATTTTGAAATTAAAGATACATTAAAAAGATCCATGGAGATACATTGTAAGAGACATAATTTTTTACTGCTAGATGTTCGTTTTATTTTTGAACTAATAGTGATTTGTCGTCATTGTTTTACGATGAGATGAGACTGTCTCAGAAGATACTCATTTAAAGTTATATGTGACCAAGTATCTTTATCAAGGGATCATCGTAAATTTGCTCTTTTTCACAGGCTAAAATTGGAAGTTCCTTGGTTCCGATAATTTTGATTGTTTTGGTGTTGTATCAGGTACAATGTGATCTTAAATATTAACAGTTTCTGCTGAAGTTATTTTATATTTTAATCAAGGCGAGATTTTAAGGGGAGGCGCGGGGAGGTGGGCACGTTTCCTAAGATCGCTTTTCCCCTGACATGTTTCCCACCTTCCCTTGAAACGTAGAATTTTTCCCATTCACTGCCAAACACACGCCACAAACTCGAAATATAAATTCTTAAGTAGAACTGTAGAAAATAAGACATTTCCGTTATCTGTCAAATGAAATCCGGCAAACCATGAATTTGAGGAGAATTCAACCAATCAGAGCCCAGGTTTTTAATGGGCTATTTTATAATAAACTCTAGTGTATGCAGTATTCATTGATATTTATTAGTATACTCGTTAAAAGTCTTAAATCATGTTAAGTATGTTCACAGGGTTATCGAACGTTAATAGAGAGGACCATATTTATATATTCTCCAATGCCAGGCTGGTTTCTTTTGAAACTGAAATTGTTTTCAAAAGATAATAGCCAAGTATAGCTGAATATATGAATATAGTGCCCCACCTCCAATTGACGTACATACCCTGACAAGGCAAACAACCAGACCTCCACGCACCTTAAATCCGGCATCGAGTTTAATGTGATGTATGTGATTACTCTATAGAGAATGGAAGGAGCGTTGAACGAATTAAAAGATTTGAAAGAGTTTTACGACCCGGACACAGTGGATTTAATGAGATTTATCAAGTAAGTAATCTGATAATGTCGATTTAGTAACTGTAAGAAAATTCATAAAAATTTTTTCAACCCTAACCCTCAACATAACCTTAACCCATAATTTAACCGTAAAGATAACTTGTATAACGTTTTTTCACTCGTTAAAGAATGATACGGCGTTTAGCTGTGAAGTTATTGATTAGCATTTTCCCGCTATTTACTGCTGTATGTGCCCACAATCTTCATGGTCATCGAAATATGGCCACCGGTGTCCGCTAAACTGTACCCTAGCCGAAGTTGCAAACAAAAAGTTACAAAACATAGCCTTTTACCAACCATTATTTTTCCTGGAAGTTTATTTTCAGGAACATATATTTTTGTTCAAACATCGAATGTACCTCAAATGTTTTTATTTCAAAATACCTACATCTGCTGGGGGCTTAATCACTATTTCACATTTCAGTGAGAAAACGGGAAAAGGGAGATCTTTCAGTGGAAGTATGCAACTTATGGCTGCAGTAAAATTGTGTACAGACAGACCAATAACAAATCATCCACATTATGAAAATAAATTATTGAGACTACGAACAAAGGAGGTAAGTGAAAGTTTTTGTAATTTCGATCTGAAAAGTTTGTGCTTGGAGATTGAAGATGCAAGGGTGTTAACCAATAGGTATTTGAACTTCAAAATACCACAGAAACAATGTCATTTGTCATGGTTTGATTCTAAAGAGAAACAGATTACCATTATTAAAGTATGATATTGTGTTTTGAAATTCAAATTTCTGTTCGTGGTTTTTCATGAATTGTATTTTTCAGTTGTATTTTTCACTTCATTTCGAATCTTTAAAAAAGCGATGAGAACACGATCTATGTGATGTTAGGAGTATTCAATGCTATCGTTTTAATGTTCAAATTATAAAGCACGTACTGAAATCACAGTAAATTGTGGGTAAATTATAACAAGTGACTGTGAACTACAATTTTAAAGATGAGAAAGCAACGAAAATACAAGGGCCGTTTAGAACCGATAATTTCAGATGATGAAGTTATTATAATACTTCGAAAAGTAGTTTTTAAGCTCAAAGTTTGAAATCCATTGATGTTTACATACTAACCCCTTTGTTGTGCTGTAGCTTTTAACTGCCTGAGTGCAGGAGGTGACCGGATTAAAGGAAATTTACTTTAACTCCACCACCCCCTGCACCTTGGGAGTGTTGTCAAGCGGTTGACCTTCACTGACGATATTATGTGGTCAGCGGATGACTAACAACAAATTAATTACAAATTTACAAGCGGAAAAAGAGGTCGAAAGTTATGTTTTAAAACTATAACAAATTCATCATCAGGTACACAGGTCTTGAACGTTGAACTAAAGATGAACTGTTATTCTGTATCATAAAACTACTTTAAACAAAACTGGTTTTGATAAACTCTTCGGAGAACTTTCCATAGTTCATTTACACGAGCGACTAATATTCATAAAAACAGATTAATTTCTAGTAGAACTTTTACTCTTCTATTTCATTATATTTTGATGTTTAAAAATTTAAACCGTTTTGGCTGTCGTCATTCACGACGCCACTTATTTTTAAAATTTTTGTTTCTCCGTCCAGATCTATCAAATTTATGCCAAGCGAACGCCGAAAGACGTCTATCATTTGCTGCGAAAGCATGGGACTGACTATGTGATCTTAGAAAATAGTATTTGTTATTCTCGACAAAAGTTAGGTTGTAAGATTAAAGATATCTTAGATTATAATAACGGTCATGTTATAGAGGGTGGAGTTGCCGACAGGGGTCTGGTACATAGTGATGTTTCCCGCTTCTGTCATGCAATTAAATCAGGTGGCGAGGAATTTAGTTTATATTTTAAGAAGGTGTTTGAAAATAGAACATTTTATATGTATAAATTATTAGGTAGTGGTAGTTAGGGATAGTGGTGGATAACGGCTGTACAGGCATGTACAGTGTGGAAGCCTGCCCAAATTTTTACTCCTACAATGCAGATTTTTTACTTTAGAAAATTATTTCTATTTATTGTTTTTCCGTGAATGAACACAAAAATATTTGCACTGCAGGAGTACAAAGCGAGCTGACTTCGCTAGTGGATATTTACATTGATAGTCAAAAACAGGTTTTTAAACTAGAGTTTGTCACTTAGCAGTACTTTAGCCAATGGAGAAATTTTGCAATTTCTTAATATCGTTAATGAATGACTAAATTGATGCCGTTTTTAATTTATGAAAAATGTTCCAATATCAAAATGTGCACTTTTCACCACTATATGATATAGGATTGGAAATTGTTATTCGTACATGTGAGCGTTCGTATGATAATCTTATGTTTTGTGAAATATTTGTGTACTGCAAACTGTTTTCAATGGGGGTATATTTTATCATGGGTAAATAATTTTTATGTGTACAAATAAACTCCAGTAAGAGTAGGTTTCAATTCGTATTAATACTGTACATATACAGATGATCTTTTATGGCTGTTGAGGATAAATTGTTTATACCTTATATAGCTATCAACTATAAAGGAATTGACTTCATTCTAGCTTTCCTAGCTGGAGTAATGTACCATGTCGATATAGTCAATGGGACGTTGGTTTGTTTTTCAATAGTTCATCCATAAGTGCAAATAAGTTACAACTGAACTGTATCGAAATTATAACTAAAATATCCAATCAAAATGCTGCTACTAATATAATATATGTGTTCACTCGGGCTACTCAAGAACAATGTTATATATAAAACGAATGAAAATTTAAGTTGTGAATGAAAATTCATAAAAAAATTTTCAACCCTAACCCTCAACATAACCTTAACCCAAAATTTAAACGTAAAGATAACTTGTATAACGTTTTTTCACTCGTTAAAGAATGATACGGCGTTTAGCTGTGAAGTTATTGATTAGCATTTTCCCGCTATTTACTGCTGTATGTGCCCACAATCTTCATGGTCATCGAAATATGGCCACCGGTGTCCGCTAAACTGTACCGTAATATATGTGTTCACTCGGGCTACTCAAGAACAATGTTATATATAATAGTTACCAGATGCAACAACTAACTTAACGGTGATGCAATGTCACATCATATGTGGTAATCTATTATGTAAGTAAATCGTCATTCATTAAACATTCATTTGTGACACTCACGCGTGATTTAGAAAAAAATCGAATTTTAAACTCGTCACTTCGGTAGCCCAAGCAACAACACCGTCAATTCTTCTTGGCGATGCACCAACCTGGACGATAAACATTTACAAACATACATTTATATTAACGGGTTCAAATCGTTTATTTTATTTACAAAAATTTATTAGAGAAACAACAAACCATTTCCTGTGTTTCTGGGTGCGATTTAGTATAATTCGTTCGTAACATAGACAATTCACTGGTCATCACCTCCATCATAGTTTCTACACGGACTTCCTTTTTCACAATGGCGCTCCTTCGATTGAATGTGAGGGCTAAGCCCCACTCCTCCTCTTCTTGTAAACGTTACTGTCAATCAATCCTTGTAAATGTCTATCCACATTATAAACCAGCATGAATCTTTACGTGTCGAATGAAGCTACCACGCGTTGCAAATCTTTTACCACAGTGTTCACATTGATAAGGTTTCTCCCCAGTATGTATCCTAATGTGTGTTTTCAAGTCACCCTTGTTATTAAATCTTTTACCACAATGTTCACATTGATAAGGTTTCTCCCCAGTATGTATCCTAATGTGTGTTTTCAAGTTACCCTTCTTATTAAATCCTTTACCACAATGTTCACATTGATAAGGTTTCTCCCCAGTATGTATCGTAATGTGTGTTTTCAAGTTACCCTTGTTATTAAATCTTTTACCACAATGTTCACATTGATAAGGTTTCTCTCCGGTATGTATCTTTATGTGACGTTTTAAGTTACCAAGCAGTGTAAAGGTTTTACCACAGTGTTTACATTGATAAGGTTTCTCTCCCGTATGTATCCTTACGTGTTTTTTTAAGTTACCAAGCACAGTAAATCTTTTACCACAATGTTTACATTGATAAGGTTTCTCTCCGGTATGTATCCTAACATGTTCATTCAATTTAGAAAGTTGTCTAAATGTTTTACCACAATGTTCACATTGATAAGGTTTCTCTCCGGTATGTATCTTTATGTGACGTTTTAAGGTACCAAGCAGTGTAAATGTTTTACCACAATGTTGACATTGATAAGGTTTCTCTCCTGTATGTATCCTAACATGTTCATTCAATTTAGAAAGTTGTCTAAATGTTTTACCACAATGTTTGCATTGATAAGGTTTCTCTCCTGTTTGAACCCTCACATGTCGTTTTAATCGTGGATTTTTTCCGCATTCATTTTTCATGTGAACATTTAGATAGTCTTCACTACTGTACTTTCGACCACAACGTGGACATTCCCAAGGATTCGTACAAACAAGCATTGGACATCGTTTTAAATGTTTTTCTAAATAATCGGGATAAGTATACATCCTTCCACAGTGTCTACAGCTGTGACCTCCAACTAAAAAGAAAAGTTAGAATTACATCACAGGATAAAGAACTAAATGATCATACATAACTAAGGCACTTCGTATACGTAAACTGACTAACCTTCAAACTGATGCTTGTCATTATCTTCCTCATCAAACAACGATATTCCTAACTGTTCAGCATACTCATCTCCATACCAAACGAGCAATTCTTTATCGGCTTCAATCTCTTTATAAACTCGGTAGTAAATTTCTCCATTATATTGATATGCAATTATATTTTGTTCTTCTTCAAATCGGGCACAATTCACAAATCTCATCCAATTACCTCGAGCAAGATCCTTACCATCAATGCAATATACAACCTTTCCTCCTTGTACAATCTGTAAACACGGACAGATAAATAATTATGACAAAGCATGTATGTTTAATATCTGCATGGTGAAAATAGAACAGGCAGAAAATATTTTAATAAAAAGAAATTATTCATTTATTTAAATATGTTCACCTCCCACATATACGAAGTATCTCTTCCATCCTCTGCGTCTTTAAGCGAAAGTACCTCTCCTCTGTATGGTCCAAAATGAGTGTTAATTTCAACTTTTTTCCTTGTAAAAACACCCCTGCCTGCTTTGGGGATTGTAGCGGTATTTATGTAAAGATCTTTTGGAAGTGTCTTCATAGCATTTGATGTTCCCTTCCATTGATGTACTTCAAAGAAATGAAATTTGTTCGAAAAGTTCTCCATCGTTAAAACAACTGCATTGGTCACAATTTTAAATCAAATATCAAATCACAGTAATGAACTGATGTTTAACTATTCATGACTCTACACTAAAAGTAAAGTACTTACAAATGTTAAGATCATCATCAGATACATCTTCCTCTGTATGAATCTTTATGGATGACTTTCTTAATGATCGTCTTAAAGAAGTCTTTTTCAGAGCTTTACAGTTATATTTGATGGATTTTCTTTTAATAATGGATTTAGTTTTCTTATCATTTACATCGTTGACCTTGGGTTTTGATGTTGAGGAATTACCGATTGTTTTAGAAGAAACCTGTAAAAACGTTTGATTGAAATTCAACCAAGAAATGTGAAAATGTTTACTTAGCGCTCATCCTTTCCTTTTACCCATTTTCTAAAACATACCTGTTTATTTGCAAATTTCTTCATGACTTCAGTTTTTAATGTTGTTTTAAAAACTATAAGAAAGCAATTTCATTTTTTATAAAACTATACTTCTTACAGTCAAAAGTAAAAATTACAAAAGAAATTCCCAGTGAACGACGTGTCATACGCTTGCACGAAATCTTTTTAAAGCAAATTGTTGGAGATGTAATGTTTATCTCAAAAATAGTTTTTGTTCAAAATCGCAATGAACTTGTAACTTTGTTGATTTATACTACAGCAGACAGAAAAACATGACGATCATTTCATACGCTAAGACTAAACTGAAACACCACTACGGTTGAAGCTGTTCTATGGTGTAAAAAGAGGCTTGTCAGAGACCATCAAAAATAAAATCAAGATTAGGGCAGCCTCCACCATACAATTGTCCTCTATGTGTGAAAACACATTTATTTCAAGGTAACAGAGGCCGCGCAAGTTCGATAATTGGGGGCAAATATTCATATATGCATGTCCTACCTTAGTAGCTTCTATTGAAATTTATTTTGGGTATGGATTTAACAAAAGATTAAAACATACCAATATATAAATACTTTCTCCTTCAATTATCAATCTTGCGACAATTATAAATTGTCACACAACATGAGCTTTTATAGTTTTTTTAGTACAGTGTTTGTTTTGGCGCCGCATACGGGCAGTGCACGTAAGGGAATTAAAAAGTGCCGCGGCGTTAAAACGAGCATTCACAGAAAATAAGCTGTGCATAGATGATGTCATAAAAACCTTTAAAAACCTCTAATGTATCATGTTTCTACATATTTGATTCCTTATAAATGATGGAGAATATCTAAAGGTTGCAATTATATTTCATAATGTGATATGTAGTCATCTAATGGTTGCAATTACATTTCATAATGTGATATGTAGTCAAATCACTCAAATACAGTTAAAGTACATCATGTAAAAAAATTTAATGAAGATAACAACATTGAACTAATATAATTAAAAAGTAAAGTTCCATCGTTCAAATTAAATACGTTTCATCATTGCTACCTACTTGAATCCAGAGACGAAGCAACTTGAAATTGTCGATAAAACTCTGTTTGATGTAGAAAGTTCCCAAATTTTTCAAGCTTTTAAACTTGAATTCAGACGTTTATTGCTCTTTAAAATCATACACACTCAGTGCCAAGTAAATATTCAACGTTTACCGTAGGTTTTGAATGTTTTGTATTACATTTCAAGTTTTGGCGGAAATATGGCGCATGCGTGGTAGGCTTTGTCTAGCAGCCGGAAATCCCCGTACCATGATCGGAGATGTCTTTTACATTTAAATGTCGTCTTTACACTCTTGCACTGTGTTTTACAACATTTATTGAGTTGAATGCTGCTGAAACGTCTTCCAAGCAAAGACTGTGTCAAGATTAGTTAGTATGCAAGAAGAACAACACAAAATATCTCATACTTTATCATATTCAGGTGAGAGTGGGGAGGTGTACTTGTTCTTGGTTTAATTTTAATGACAGAGAGGATGGAGTTCAGCATTGAGTTGAGGAAACTGTCAAATTGACTGATTCGTCGAGATTTCTAAATTTACATGACTTTCCTTTAAAGGTATGAATTACATATGAGCATTGATACATTAAACAATGTGTATTGAGTTAACAAATGCTTGTTAATAATTTGACCATTTGTTGTGTCTTCATTAAATTCAAATCGAGATTTCATTAGATTTGCATAAAGACTAAAAAGATGACGGCTGCAAAGGGAATTTACTTGATTTAACATAATTTCAAATTTTGACATTAAACTTGTTGTTCGTTTCTTGGAAATATCATAAAAATTCATCTGCTTGACAGTAAAAATTTGCATCTAGTTTTCATTGTGAAACATGCAGCTGACAAATTGCAGAAGAAACAAACGTTACAAAAATGCATTCCTGAAGTGGCAAGAAAATTGAAAAATTTCATGGAAAGAAAACATTTACTAAAGTACCTGGTAGGAGGGGTGGTTATTTTATGACAGAGTCAGTAGGGTGAATGCTTTAAAAAAAGCAATTTACAGGAAGGATGGTTACTTCATAAGTTCAAGAAGATAATACTCCCATTCATAAATGTGTTTGAAACATAAACATATATCATGATTATCAGCATTTATTTTATCAACAAAATGATGTGAATATTTTCATTTTAGTTATGAAATATGTCCTTTGTAATCATTGGTTCCCTGTTGTTTGTCTTTGTTCTCCAGTTCATGAATGACGTGATCATTTAATGATTGGGGTTAACAGTTGCATCATAATTGGTTATTTCAAAAGTTAGCAAGGTATGAGTTAAAATGATGAATAAATTTGCATGTAGGTAATAGCATGGTTTCTTGTGCAATTTGGAAAGAAACTTGCGCAAGTGAGTTTTTAACTATCAAATCAATACAGCATGAGTCTGAAGGATGAGAAGAACTTAGAAGTCCATGTTTTGAAAACTATGCAATTACTTATTATTAATATGCTTAAAAAATTTCCTCGATTTTGTTGATTGTTAGCTTTAGCACAACAACATTTTGAACCAAAAGTTATTGAAATCAATTGACTTATATTTTTCAATTTGATAGATATTATTTTCGTTGCACCATTGCCTGCTTCCACACATGCACATAGCCAAAAACATGGTACTTTTGAAAGTGTTCATAATTTTGGCAATGTCATGCAAATGCTGAATTCTAGATTGGGTCACCAAAGACAAAGAAAAATCTACTTAAAATTTACAGTGAGTTATGCCAGGCACTGTTATTGCATTTTGTTACATTATTGTATATTTACAACTTGCAAATGTTTTATTTCATTGGTTTTTATGACTTTATCATTGTTTTGAGAAACCTTAAGGAGCAATTTAAAAAATTATTAAATGATATTGACTCCTGGATGTATAAGCTTGAGATTGATCCAAGAAGAATTTGTATAGGGCATGCTTTGGTTTAGATTAGATTTTGAAAGCTACTTTGAGTGTGTTACTATTGATAAGACGGGTATGACCCTCTTGCAACATCGATAGTAAATCCATCTCTACGTATGTTTAGATAATGAGAGACAAAGTTGGCTTGATTGCTAAAGAAATGTGCCCAGCAAACCTTGTTTGTATCATATACAACCATCTTCTTATACAACTGTTTTTTTCTCAATTGTATATATATTTTCATGCTATGCTGTACTTATGTGAGTTGTCATTTCGTATACTACCTAAGGACACATACTAACGTTTGACTGAGTGTGTGGTCTTTCCTTGTTATGTATTTACCGTGGTCTTTGGTTTTATATTACTAGCGGTTTGTATTCTTGAAGAATGGAGGTATACCTGTATAATTGCTACATTCTGACAAGTTTTACTTGTTTAAAACATGATCATGATTATAACATTTGAAATTTATCGTTGATCATTTCAAATTTATCGTTGATCGTTTGAAATTTATCGGTGATCATTTAAAATTTATCGTTGATAATTTGAAATTTATCGTTGATCGTTTCAAATTTATCGTTGATCATTTGCAATTTGAAACATTGATTTGTAAAACAAAGAGGGAATTTATGTTTCAGTACCTAGAGCTTTGATTGTAGATAATGACTTGTTGGTATTGTCCATGCCTGGTATTCTTGGGTTCTGAGAAATGTTAAAGTGTTATCACTAGTGATGCACCAATATACATATTTAGCGATATACCAATTAGCAGATATTAAAATGTCGATATTGTGCCGATACCGATATTTTACGCCATTTTACGAAACTTAAGCATCATAAAGTATGCCAATTTGGGCTCACCATTGACCAGGGGCGGATCTAGGATTTTTCAAACATCAGTCATAAAACGTCGAAGGCGCTCCGCACCTGGGGGGGGTCTGAGGCATTCTCCCTGAGAAATTTTGAATTTCAGAGCCTTGAAAATGCCATTTTCAGCGTTTTAGAGTAGTACAAAATGTATTTGTGGGCATCGTTTTTGCGTAAAAACAACACATTTTGCTTACGTTTTTTTTCAAAAAAAAATGAAGTGAACAATACTTGAATGTTTTGCCAATAATTTAGGCTCATTATCATGTCTAGGAACGTAAAATTTATTTTACAATAATGCTATTCAAAAACAGATATAGTCTTTAAAAATTTCTACCAAGTTGTCAGGCATAGACTCCCCTAGAGACCCCCATTCAAACCTCAATGTAATGAGTTTAGTTAAGTTAGAAATTTGGTACTACAAGTGACAGTTCATAGATATAGAAAAGCTCAGACTTCAAACCATGCAAGTTTATTGTAACCCTTTACCCATCTCCACATCAGTGCCAGCAAATTCACCTTTTGAGAAAAAACTAAAAAATTTTTCTGCCAAAGGTTAAGCAAAAATTATCAGAGTGAAAATTTGCAGTTAAGGACAGCTTAATGCCATAAATGTTTATTAGGCATTTCACTAGACTATTATCTTCTGTAAGTATATGCAAGGTGTGCTATATAGCAATCACTAGTAGCATTGTATTGGCAAATACAAACAGAATGTAACCAACATGTCTTTAATTATATAATTACATGAATGTTAAAATTGGTTCATGTGTCATGTTTACTGGTTATGATAAATATCTTTTCATATGATCAAAGCTCGTTTAAATGTAAATCTGAAATAATTTAGTTTAGAAATTATAATGATCATCAGAAAAATTACCTAGTGATCATGAAAAATACTTTGCTGTTTTGCCAAATTTCAAGGTTTATCTGCATACATAGAAAGACATTTTTACTTTATAGAAAATGCTTTTCACACATCAATAGCCCTTTGGAATTTATGGCAAACAATCTGGTATGAGCCGTAGATTAACACACCTTTACATCTCTACATGAGGTGTTCAGTTAGAAAAGGGGACAATATGTGACATGGGACAACATTTCATGTATGTGAAATACTCAGGTTTAATACCATTTCAGTCAAATTGTCAAAATAAAAAGCTTCATGGATGAGAAGACTCAAAATCACAGGTTATAGTAAACAGCTTCTCATGTAATCAATGTTAGTTTTCTCAAATCTTAAACACTATGTAGTATAACTGTCCAATGATTGAATGACCAATGATCATAAACTGAAAAGCCCCAAACATTTGTTTATGATTAAGTAAATAATAGTATGGCGCCTTATGGCCACAGATTTTTTTTCCATTGAAATATATTTGCAGGAATGTAGGATTTCGCTGCCGTATAACGGCCACGATTCCCCAAGCACTAAAGAAATCATAGCTAAAAGTCCTTTGTCAACAACAATTTTAAAAGCATCGATCTGCTTACCATACGCCATATTGACATAAATCGCATCACCACTCGCATAATTGACTTTGATATATTACATTCATGCATACACTTAACTTGTCCTTTACTTACGATTTTGGATGTAAATTTCTGCTGATAAAACTCAAAACAATGTTGGCTTGCTTTTGAACATCAATGACTGAAATGTCGCTCGCGAGATCGTCTTTGCCAAACATTTATAATTCATCCATAAATTTTTCGCCCTCTTGAAAAAATTCCCATTTTGGAAAGCAGCATTCATGTCAATATATAAATTTGTAAAAGATTTCCATAAATTCCATCTGATTGTAGTTTAGTTTCTATCATGCTTATAAAAATTACTATGAAACGATCAAACATTCAATTCAGACAGTGAGCTTCACTATGTTAGTTCAGTTGGCTATCAGTCGAAATCCGTCAAACCAATCACAATAAAACAAAAATTCAAATGAACCAATTGTAAGATAGCAATTGGACTCCCTTATACGTCCGGCCACCCTTATTATCAGTCGAGACCATTCCAGACTGTCCACTGATCTGGCTATTGACCAATAAAATAAGCGTTTTTGACGTTCATAGACTCCTTTATAAGTCGAACCAGTCAAGCCACCCGCTTTCAGTCGGTTATTCCAGGTCAATTAAAATTCAACTGATCTGGTTACCAACGAGATATTCATTGGATTAGTCATTAGTTTTCAAATAATAAATAATGCGGGATTTTTATCACGAAGTAAATGCGATAAGAAAGTAAGAATAATTAATGAATTTTTAATTAATATGAATAGGTAATTTTTGAATTTCAAACATCAATCGCGCGACGGATTTGACATACTCTAGATCCGCCCCTGTCATACATTGTGTAAGAACTTGAGATACATTGTAAGAGACATAATTTTTTACTGCTAGATGTTCGTTTTATTTTTGAACTAATAGTGATTTGTCGTCATTGTTTTACGATGAGATGAGACTCAGAAGATACTCATTTAAAGTTATATGTGACTAAGTATCTTTATCATGGGATCATCGTAAATTTGTTCTTTTTCACAGGCTAAAATTGGAAGTTCCTTGGTTCCGATAATTTTGATTGTTTTGGTGTTGCATCAGGTACGATGTGGTATTAAATATTAACAGTTTCTGCTGAAGTTGTTTTATATTTTAATCAAGGCGATATTTTAAGTGGAGGCGCGGGGAGGTGGGCACGTCTCCTAAGATCGCTTTTCCCCTGACATGTTTCCCAACTTCCCTGGAAATCAATGCACCTCCCTTGAAACGTGAAATTTTTCCCATTCACTGCCAAGCACACGCCAAAAACTCGAAATATAAATTCTTAAGTAGAACTGTAGAAAATAAGACATTTCCGTTATCTGTCAAATGAAATCCGACAAACCTTGAATTTGAGGAGAATTCGACCAATCAGAGCCCAGGTTTTTAATGGGCTATTTTATAATAGACTCTAGTGTATGCGGTATTCATTAATATTTATTAGTATACTCGTTAAAACTCCTAAATCACATGTTAAGTATGTTCACAGGGTTTATCGAACGTTAATAGAGAGGACCATATTTATATATTCTGCTATGCCAGGCTGGTTTCTTTTGAAACTGAAATTGTTTTCAAAAGATAATAGCCAAGTATAGCTGAATATATGAATATAGTGCCCCACCTCCAATTGACGTACATACCCTGAGAAGTCAAACAACCAGACCTCCACGCACCTTAAATCCGGCCTCGAGTTTAATGTGATGTATGTGATTACTCTATAGAGAATGGAAGGAGCGTTGAACGAATTAAAAGATTTGAAAGAGTTTTACGACCCGGACACAGTGGATTTAATGAGATTTATCAAGTAAGTAATCTGGTAATGTTTATTTAGCAACTTTAAGAAAATTCATAAAATTTTTTCAACCCTAACCCTCAACATAACCTTAACCCAAAATTTAACCGTAAAGATAACTTGTATAACGTTATTTCACTCGTTAAAGAATGATACGGCGTTTAGCTGTGAAGTTATTGATTAGCATTTCCCGCCATTTACTGCTGTATGTGCCCACAATCTTCATGGTCATCGAAATATGGCCACCGGTGTCCGCTAAACTGTACCCTAGCCGAAGTTGCAAACAAAAAGTTACAAAACATAGCCTTTGCCAACCATTTTTTTTTCTGGAAAATATTTTTTCGTTCAAACATCGAATGTACCTCAAATGTTTTTATTTCAAAATACCTACATCTCCTGGGGGCTTAATCATTATTTCACTTTTCAGTGAGAAAACGGGAAAAGGGAGATCTTTCAGTGGAAGTATGCAACTTATGGCTGCAGTGAAATTGTGTACAGACAGACGAATAACAAATCATCCACATTACGAAAATAAATTATTGAGACTACGAACAAAGGAGGTAAGTGAAAGTTTTTGTAATTTTGATCTGAAAAGTTTGTGCTTGGAAATTGAAGATGCAAGGGTGTTAACCAATAGGTATTTTAACCTCAAAATACCACAGAAACAATGTCATTTGTCATGGTTTGATTCTAAAGAGAAACAGATTAACCACTGTAAAAGTATGATTTTGTGTTTTGAAATTCAAATTTCTGTTCGTGGTTTTTCATGAATCCGTTACTCGAGTTTGAACAAAAGTTGTATTTTTTACTGATTGGAATCCTACGATGAACAAAAGTTGTATTTTTTACTGATTGGAATCTTTAAAAAAGCGACGAGAACACGATCTATGTGGTGTTAGGAGTATTCAATTCTATCGTTTTAATGTTCAAATTATAAAGCACGTACTGAAATCACACTAAATTGTGGGTAAATTATAACAACTGACTAAGAACTACAATTTTAAAGATGGGAAAGCAACGAAAATACAAGGGCCGTTTTGAACCGATAATTTCAGATGATGAAGTTATTATAATACTTCGAAAAGTAGTTTTTAAGCTCAAAGTTTGAAATCCATTAATGTTTACATACTAACCCCTTTGTTGTGCTGTAGCTTTTAACTGCCTCAGTGCAGGAGGTGACCGGGTTAAGGTAAATTTACTTTAACTCGACCACCCCCTGCACCTTGGGAGTGTTGTCAAGCGATTGACCTTCACTGACGATACTATGTGGTCAGCGGATGACTAACAACAAATTAATTACATATTTACAAGCGGAAAAAGAGGTCGAAAGTTATGTTTTGAAACTATAACAAATTCATCATTAGGTACACAGGTCTTGAACGTTGAACTAAAGATGAACTGTTATTCTGTATCATAAAACTACTTTAAACAAAACTGGTTTTGATAAACTCTTCGGAGAACTTTCCATAGTTCATTTACACGAGCGACTAATGTTCATAAAAACAGATTAATTTCTAGTAGAACTTTTACTCTTCTATTTCATTATATTTTGATGTTATAAAATTTAAACCATTTTGGCTGTCGTCATTCACGACGCCACTTATTTTTAAAATTTTTGTTTCTCCGTCCAGATCTATCAAATTTATGCCAAGCGAACGCCGAAAGACGTCTATCATTTGCTGCGAAAGCATGGGACTGACTATGTGATCTTAGAAAATAGTATTTGTTATTCTCGACAAGAGTTAGGTTGTAAGATTAAAGATATCTTAGATTATAATAACGGTCATGTTATAGAGGGTGGAGTTGCCGACAGGGGTCTGGTAAATAGTGATGTTTCCCGCTTCTGTCATGCAATTAAATCAGGTGGCGAGGAATTTAGTTTATATTTTAAGAAGATGTTTGAAAATAGAACATTTTATATGTATAAATTGTTAGGTAGTGGTAGTTAGGGATAGTAGTGGATAACGGCTGTACAGGCATGTACAATGTGGAAGCCTGCCCAAACTTTTACATATACAGATGATCTTTTATGGCTGTTGAGGATAAATTGTTTATACGTTATATAGCTATCAACTATAAAGGAATTGACTTCATTCTAGCTTTCCTAGCTGTAGTAATGTACCATGTCGATATAGTCAATGGGACGTTGGTTTGTTTTTCAATAGTTCATCAATAAGTGCAAATAAGTTACAACTGAACTGTATCGAAATTATAACTAAAATATCCAATCAAAATGCTGCTACTAATATAATATATGTGGTGACTCGGGCTACTCAAGAACAATGTTATATATAAAACGAATGAAAATTTAAGCTGTGAATGAAAATTCATAAAAAATTTTTCAACCTTAACCCTCAACATAACTTTAACCCAAAATTTAACCGTAAAGATAACTTGTATAACGTTTTTTCACTCGTTAAAGAATGATACGGCGTTTAGCTGTGAAGGTATTGATTAGCATTTTCCTGCTATTTACTGCTGTATGTGCCCACAATCTTCATGGTCATCGAAATATGGCCACCGGTGTCCGCTAAACTGTACCGTAATATATGTGTTCACTCGGGCTACTCAAGAACAATGTTATATATAATAGTTACCAGATGCAACAACTAACTTAACGGTGATGCAATGTCACATCATATGTGGTAATCTATTATGTAAGTAAATCGTCATTCATTAAACATTCATTTGTGACACTCACGCGTGATTTAGAAAAAAATCGAATTTTAAACTCGTCACTTCGGTAGCCCAAGCAACAACACCTTCAATTCTTCTTGGCGATGCACCAACCTGGACGATAAATATTTACAAACATACATTTATATTAACGGGTTCAAATCGTTCATTTTATTTACAAAAATTTATTAGAGAAACAACAAACCATTTCCTGTGTTTCTGGGTGCGATTTAGTATAATTCGTTCGTAACATAGACAATCCACTGGTCATCACCTCCATCATAATTTCTACACGGACTTCATTTTTCACAATGGCGCTCCTTTGATTGAATGTGAGGGCTTAGCCCCACTCCTCCTCTTCTTGTAAACGTTACTGTCAATCAATCCTTGTAAATGTCTATCAACATTATAAAGTTTTCTTACCAGCATGAATCTTTACGTGTCGAATCAAGCTACCACGCGTAGCAAAACTTTTACCACAGTGTTCACATTGATAAGGTTTCTCCCCAGTATGTATCCTAATGTGTGTTTTCAAGTTACCCTTGTTATTAAATCCTTTACCACAATGTTCACATTGATAAGGTTTCTCTCCCGTATGTATCCTTACGTGTTTTTTTAAGTTACCAAGCACAGTAAATGTTTTACCACAATGTTGACATAGATGAGGTTTCTCTCCTGTATGTATCCTAAGGTGTTTATTCAAATCACAATTCTGTGAAAATGTTTTACCACAATGTTGACATTTATAAGGTTTCTCTCCTGTATGTATCCTTACGTGACTTTTTAAGTTACCAAGCACTGCAAATCTTTTACCACAATGTTTACATTGATAAGGTTTCTCTCCTGTATGTATCCTAAAGTGACGTTTAAAGCTACTATGCTCTGTAAATGTTTTACCACAATGTTCACATTGATAAGGTTTCTCTCCTGTATGTATCCTAAGGTGTTTATTCAAATCACAATTCAGTGAAAATGTTTTACCACAATGTTGACATTTATAAGGTTTCTCTCCTGTATGTATCCTTACGTGACTTTTTAAGTTACCAAGCACTGCAAATCTTTTACCACAATGTTTACATTGATAAGGTTTCTCTCCTGTATGTATCCTAAAGTGACGTTTAAAGCTACTATGCTCTGTAAATACTTTACCACAATGTTGACATTGATAAGGTTTCTCTCCTGTATGTATCCTTACGTGACTTTTTAAGTTACCAAGCACTGCAAATCTTTTACCACAATGTTTACATTGATAAGGTTTCTCTCCTGTATGTATCCTAAGGTGTTTTTAAAGCTACTATGCTCTGTAAATGTTTTACCACAATGTTCACATTGATAAGGTTTCTCTCCTGTATGTATCCTAAGGTGTTTATTCAAATCACAATTCTGTGAAAATGTTTTACCACAATGTTCACATTTGTAAGGGTTCTCTCCCGTATGTATCCTTACGTGTTTTTTTAAGTTACCAAGCATAGTAAATGTTTTACCACAATGTTCACATTTATAAGGTTTCTCTCCTGTTTGAACCCTCACATGTCGTTTTAGTCGTGGATTTTTTCCGCATTCATTTTTCATGTGAACATTTAGATAGTCTTCACTACTGTACTTTCGACCACAACGTGGACATTCCCAAGGATTCGTACAAACAAGCATTGGACATCGTTTTAAATGTTTCTCTAAATAATCGGGATATGTATACATCCTTCCACAGTGTCTACAGCTGTGACCTCCAACTAAAAAGAAAAGTTAGAATTACATCACAGGATAAAGAACTGAATGATCTTACTTAACTAAGGCACTTCGCATACGTAAACTGACTAACCTTCAAACTGATGCTTGTCATTATCTTCCTCATCAAACAACGATATTCCCAACTGTTCAGCATACTCATCTCCATACCAAACAAGCAATTCTTTATCGGCTTCAATCTCTTTATAAACTCGGTAGTAAATTTCTCCATTATATTGATATGCAATTATATTTTGTTCTTCTTCAAATCGTGCACAATTCACAAACCTCATCCAATTACCTTGAGCAAGATCCTTACCATCAATGCAATATACAACCTTTCCTCCTTGTACAATCTGTAAACACGGTCAGATAAATAATTATGACAGAGCATGTATGTTTAATATCTGCATGGTGAAAGTAGAACAGGCAGAAAATATTTTAATAAAAAGAAATTATTCATTTATTTAAATATGTTCACCTCCCACATATACGAAGTATCTCTTCCATCCTCTGCGTCTTTAAGCGAAAGTACCTCTCCTCTGTATGGTCCAAAACGAGTCTTAATTTTAACTTTTTTCTTTGTAAAAACACCCCTGCCTGCGTTGGGGATTGTAGAGGTATTTATGTAAAGATCTTTTGGAAGTGTCTTCATAGCATTTGATGTTCCCTTCCATTGATGTACTTCAAAGAAATGAAATTTGTTTGAAAAACGTTCTCTATCGTTAAAACAACTGCATTGGTCACAATTTTAAAGCAAATATCAAATCACAATAATGAACTGATGTTTAAATATTCATGACTGTACACTAAAAGTAAAGTACTTACAAATGTTAAGATCATCATCAGGTACATCTTCCACTGTATAAATCTTTGTTGCTGACTTTCTTAATGATCGTCTTAAAGAAGTCTTTTTCAGAGCTTTACAGTTATATTTGATGGATTTTCTTTTAATGATGGATTTAGTTTTTTTGTCATTTACATCGTTGACCTTGGGTTTTGATGTTGACGAATTACCGATTGTTTTAGAAGAAACCTGTAAAAACGTTTGTTTGAAATTTATCCAAAAAATGTGAAAATGTTTACTTAGCGCTCATCCTTTCCTTTTATCCATTTTCTAAAACATACCTGTTTATTTGCAAATTTCTTCATGACTTCAGTTTTTAATGTTGTTTTAAAAACTATAAGAAAGCAATTTTATTTTTTAAAAAACTATACTTGTTACAGTCAAAAGTGAAAATTACAAAAGAAATTCCCAGTGAACGACATGTCATACGCTTGCATGAAATCTTTTTAAAGGAAATTGTTGGAGATTTAATGTTTATCTCAAATATAGTTTTTGTTCAAAATCGCAATGAACTTGTAACTTTGTTGATTTATACTACAGCAGACAGAAAAAACATGACGATCATTTCATACGCTAAGACTAAACTGAAACACCACTACCGTTGAAGCTGTTCCAGCGTATAAAAGAGGTTTGTCAGAGACCATCAAATATGAAATGAAGATTAGGGCAGCCTCCACCTTACAATTGTCCTCTATGTGTGAAAACACATTTATTTCAAGGTAACAGAGGCCGCGCAAGCTCGATAGTTGGGGGAGGGGGGGAAATATTCGTACATGCATGTCCTACCTTAGTAGCTTCTATTGAAACAATTGTGGGTATGGATTTAACAAAAGATTAAAACATACCAATATATAAATACTTTCTCCTTCAATTATCAATCTTGCCCCCACCTCCGCATAAATTGTCACACAATATGAGCTTTTATAGTTTTTTTTAGTACAGTGTTTGTTTTACCGCCGCTTATGGGCGGTGAACATTAGGGAACTAATAAGAGCCGCGGCGTTATAACGAGCATTCACAGAAAATAAGCTGTGCATAGATGATGTCGTAAAAACCTTTAAAAACTTCTAATGTATCATGTTTCTACATATTTAATTCCTTATAAATGATGGAGAATATCTAAAGGTTGCAATTATATTTCATAATGTGATATGTAGTCAAATCACTCAAATACAGTTAAAGTACATCATGTAAAAAAAATTTAATGAAGATATCAACATTGAACTAATATAATTAAAAAGTAAAGTTCCATCGTTCAAATTAAATACGTTTCATCATTGCTACCTACTTGAATCCAGAGACGAAGCAACTTGAAATTGTCGATAACACTTTGTTTGATGTAGAAAGTTCCCAAATGTTTCAAGCTTTTAAACTTGAACTCAGACGTTTATTGCTCTTTAAAATCATACACACTCAGTGCCAAGTAAATATTCAACATTTACCGTAGGTTTTGAATGTTTTGTATTACATTTCAAGTTTTGGCGGAAATATGGTGCACGCGTGGTAGGCTTTGTCTAGCAGCCGGAAATCCCCGTACCATGATCGGAGATGTCTTTTACATTTAAACGTCGTCTTTACACACTCTTGCAATGTGTTTTTCAACATTTATTGAGTTGAATGCTGCTAAAACGTCTTTCAAGCGAAGACTGTGTCATGATTAGTTAGTATTTAAGAAGAACGACACAAAGTATCTCATACTTTATCATATTCAGGTGAGGTGGGGGGGGGGAGGGGTACTTGTTCTTGTTTTAATTTTAATGACAGAGAGGATAGAGTTGCGCATTGAGTTGAGGAAACTGTCAAATTGACTGATTCGTCATGATTTCTTAATGTACATGACTTTCCATTAAAGCTATGAATTACATATGAGCATTGATACATTAAACAATGTGTATTGAGTTAACAAATGCTTGTTAATAATTTGACCATTTGTTGTGTTCTCAAATCGAGATTTTTTTAGATTTGCATACAGATTACAAAGATGACGGCTGCAAACGCAATTTACTTGATTTCAATATAATTTCAAATTTTTACAGTGAACTTGTTTTTGGTTTCTTTGAAATATCATAAAAATTCATCTTCTTGACAGTAAAAATTTGCATCTAGTTTTCATTGTGAAACATTCAGCCGGCAAATTGCAGAAGAAACAAACATTTAAAAAATGCATTCCTGAAATGGCAAAAAATTGAAAAGATTTCATGGAAAGAAAACTTTTACTAAAGCACCTGTTAGGAGTGGTAGTTATTTTATGACAGAGTCAGGAGGGTGAATGCTTTAACAAAAGCAATTTAGAGGATGGATGGTTACTTCATAAGTTCAAGAAGGTAATTCCCGCCATTCATAAATGTGTTTGAAACATAAACATATATCATGATTATCAGCATTTATTTTATCAACAAAATGATGTGAATATTTTCATTTTAGTTATGAAATATGTCCTTTGTAATCATTGGTTCCCTGTTGTTTATCTTTGTTCTCCAGTTCATGAATGACATGATCATTAAATGATTGGTGTTAACTGTTGCATCATAATTGGTTATTTCAAAAGTTAGCAAGGTATGAGTTAAAATGATGAATAAATTTGCATGTAGGTAATAGCATGGTTTCTTGTGCAATTTGGAAAGAAACTTGCGCAAGTGAGTTTTTAACTATCAAATCAAAACAGAATGATTCTGAAGGATGAGAAGAACTTAGAAGTCCATGTTTTACAAACTATGCAATTATTATTAATGTGCTTAAAAAATTTGCTCAATTTTGTTGATTGTTAGCTTCAGCACAACAACTTTTGAACCAAAAGTTATTGAAATCAATTGACTTATATTTTTCAATTTGTTAGATATTTTTTTCGTTGCATCATTGCCTAATTCCACACATGCACATAGCCAAAAAAAAGGTACTTTTGAAAGTATTCATAATTTTGGCAGTGTCATGCAAATGCTGAATTGTAGATTGGGTCACCAAAGACAAAGAAAAATCTACTTAAAATTTACAGGGAGTTATGGCAGGCACTGTTATTGCATTTTGTTACATTATTGTATATTTACAACTTGCAAATTTTTTATTTCATTGGTTTTTATGACTTTATCATTGTTTTGAGAAACATTAAGGAGGGTTTTAAAATATAACTAAATTATATTGACTCCTGGATGTATAAGCCAGAGATTGATCCAAGAGGAATTTGTATAGGGCATGCTTTGGTTTAGATTAGATTTTGAAACTAATTTGAGTATGTTGCTTCTAATAAGAGGGGTATGACCCTCCTCCAACATCGATAGTAAATCCATCTCTACGTATGTTTAGGTAATGAGAGACAAAGTTGGCTTGATTGCTAAAGAAATGTGCCCAGCAAACCTTGTTTGTATCATATACAACCATCTTCTTATACAACTGTTTTTTCTCATTTGTATAGATATATTGATGCTATGCTGTACCTATGTGAGTTGTCATTTTGAATGCCTCCTGTGGACACATACTGGCGTTTAACTGAGTGTGTGGTCTTTCCTTGTTATGTATTTACTGTGGACTTTGGTTATATATTACTGGCTGTTGGTGTTCTTGAAGAATGGAGGTATACCTGTATAATTGTTACATTCTCACTAGTTCTACTCCATTAAAACAAGATTATGATTTTAACATTTGAATACTATCGTTGATCGTTTGAAATTTATCGTTGATCATTTGCAATTTCAAACATTGATTTGTAAAAGAAAGAGGGAATTTATGTTTCAGTACCTGGAGCTTTGATTGTACATAATGACTTGTTGGTATTGTCCATGGCTGGTATTCTTGGGTTCTGAGAAATGTTAAAGTGTTATCACTAGTGATGCACCAATATAAATATTTAGCGATATACCAATTAACAGATATTAAAATGCCGATATTGTGCCGATACCGATATTTTACACCATTTTACGAAACTTAAGCATCATAAAGTATGCCAATTTGTGCTCACCATTGACTGTTCATTTCATAAAAAAATATAAAATTCAAAGCGGTTATTTACACTGCAGCAATATTTCACAACTCAACCCAATTGTCAATGGAAGTTGATATCATGTGGAACTAAAAAGTTTAAAGTAGTATTAATTTAACAAAAATTGTTAAGGTAATATATATTTAGTATTGTTAACAGTGCTGCCATTCGTAGGGGAAATACCCCACAGTAGCGGGATTTAGTGGTTTGTAGGTGGTAGGGGAAACCTACAGGGAAAACTGTAAATTGTAGTGGGATTGTAGAGAGAAAAGAAAATCGTTTAAAAATGAGCCTCATTTTTGCCCAAAATACTCTTTTCTTCCTGTGTTCTCACCATTTAGCAAGTGATTGCAACAGAATCTTTCTTCTGGCATAATCATATGATGTTAAACTGTCAACTCATTTGACTAATATTGAAATTAAATGAAACGTGAAAGCCAGAAAGACATAATTGCAGATGACGATTAAATATCGTGGCCAGAGATTTGCCAGGAGGAAAGCGCATTTTCATAATGAACATAATCGCCCAACATAAGACTTTTAAAAAAGCCATCACGGCAATAAATCAGAAATAAAGATAAAAGGTTTTTTAATAATTACGTTTCTTCTTTAACTTAAGAAATCTTGAGGTTAAATGATATAAGTTTTTACTTGAGGCTTTATATAAGCATATATTTACTGGGTAGTAACCAGGGATATACCGGGCGGCAACAGTGGCGTGGTGGCAGGGGGGCAAGCCTCTCCCCCGAGCTGTTGATTTCTGGAGGGGGGGAAGTAATAAATATGAGTCACGAAGTTTTAAATTTGGGCTAGAAAAATGAGTTGAAGCAGAACAGTTATTTCCACAGTTATAATATACAGTTAATGAAGTTAACTTTGGGGAAAAAGTAAGACTGATCAAAATGAAACCTTGTAAGTGGGTCGTTTTATAGTCTATTAAGGAATAAAGTAATTCAGGAGCATTCTTGATGTTTCTTATGTGGCCACAACACCTGACTTGTCAATTGTCACAATGACTGTAGACAACATACAGGGCCAAATTTAGTGTCTTCTTAGGGGGCGCAACAAGGCGTGAAATTGTATAGTTTTTTGCCTATTTTAATGAATTTTATTTGCTTTCTCCCACAGACAGGAATCGTTACTGGCATTGCATCTTATTATTAATCCAAGCTTAATAATATTTTTTGTGGGTAGCCTTCTCACAAGCTATTTACAATGTTATACTAAAAAATGTCCAGATGTCCAGGTGTAAGAACGGTAATTCACGAATTGACACGACTACATGACGATGATGCGTTACGGAAAATATTCGAAAGTATAAAATTAAGGAAATTTGTAAAATTTTACTGGCTATAGTTGAAATAAACATCTCAAAATATCATACAGGTATACTAAAGGTTAGTATTAATACTGAACATCAGTCATCTACAATTCAAGACCTACCGTAGGATTAAAATAGAAAGATATTGTATAAAATTCTGTTATAAAGATTCTGTATTGAAGTGAAAAAAAAAATTATTTTTTGCTAAAATTTTTGAGATTTCTTGAGGACGTCGCTACTGTTGTTATAATGGCAAGCCTACTTAGCAGGTCTATTGAGTCATTGACTGAATCCTGTCTCTCAAACAGACGTCTGACTTGTTTTAGTCGTCAGTCGTCCATAGAGCGCTAGCTAATAAACTAATAAGACAGACTTTTAGTTGGTGGTAATTGGAGACAAAATTATCATTTTGTTGATAAATGATCTATAATATTTTGGTTATCATTACAAAAAAATGACCGTCGGACTTCTCTAGTGATTTCTCATGTAGTTAATTAAATATTAGTCATTTACGCTGTTCGCGTACCTATTTTTAATTTTTTGGTGGTAGCGCAGTCATCGGTAGAGTGTAATCAAAATGCAAAGGCTAACATAAAGTATCGAGACTCAATATTACTGCGGCATGTACTGCAAATTTCATTAGTTCAAAGGTGAAGGGGGCGCGAAATTTGCTTTAGCCTCCGCAGTCAAAATTGCACCACCACGCTACTGGGCGGGAAGCGAATTCTTATTATAAATATTAAAGCCCAGCAAAGTGCTTTTAAAAGAGCCATTCAATACAAAAATAATGTATAAAAAAGAAATATTTATTAGCGCAACGTTTCGTCTTGACTCTCAAGGTATCATCAGACAGTAGTAAATTACAAGTAGTGAGGGATTTATATAAAATAGTTATTTATATAATATTAAATTACATGGTGGGATGAAAAACGTGACCCCCAATAGTAAAGCCAGCACGTTTTTCACTGCTACAATGTAAATATTTTTGTGTTCAATCACCGGAAGACAATAAAATAAACCAATTTTGTAAAGACATCGAAACATTTGAATTGTGGGAGTAAAAGATCAGGCTAATTTCGTCACTGATTATCTCCATCATAATTTCTCTAAGGATATCATTTTTTCATGATGACAGTCCTTCACAAGATTAGAAGGGCCAAGGCCTCCTTCTTGTCAGCCTTACTCTCAATCAATCCTTTGTAAATCCCTTGCGACAGTATTAATATCATAAATGTTACTTACGAGCATAGATCTTACCGTGTTGTTTCAAGTTACTCTTCTTATTAAACGTTTTACCAAAATGTTCACACTGATAAGGTTTTTCTTGTGTGTATCCTCATGTGTCTTTTAAAATTATTAGACTTATTAAATGTTTTACCACAATGTTCACATTGATAAGGTTTCTCTCCAGTATGTATCATTACGTGACTTTTTAAGTTACAAAGCTGTGTAAATGTTTTACCACAGTGTTTACATTGATAAGGTTTCTCTCCTGTATGTATCCTAAGGTGTTTATTCAAATCACAATTCTGTGAAAATGTTTTACCACAATGTTCACATTGATAAGGTTTCTCTCCTGTATGTATCCTAAGGTGTTTTTTCAAATCACAGTTCTGTGAAAATGTTTTACCACAATGTTCACATTTATAAGATTTCTCTCCTGTGTGTATCATACCATGACGTTTTAAGCTACCAAGCTGTGTAAAGGTTTTACCACAATGTTGACATTGATAAGGTTTCTCTCCTGTATGTATCCTAAGGTGTTCATTTAAATCATAATTCTGTAAAAACATTTTACCACAATGTTCACATTTATAAGGTTTCTCTCCTGTATGTATCATACCATGACGTTTTAGGTTACCAAGCACTGTAAATCTTTTACCACAATTTTCACATTGGTAAGGTTTGTCTCCAGTATGTATCCTAACATGTTCATTCAATTTAGAAAGCTGTCTAAATGTTTTACCACAATGTTTGCATTGAAAAGGTTTCTCTCCTGTTTGAACCCTCACATGTCGTTTTAGTCGTGGATTTTTTCCGCATTCATTTTTCATGTGAACATTTAGATAGTCTTCACTACTGTACTTTCGACCACAACGTGGACATTCCCAGGGATTCGTACAAACAAGCATTGGACATCGTTTTAAATGTTTCTCTAAATAATCGGGATAAGTATACATCCTTCCACAGTGTCTACAGCTGTGACCTCCAACTAAAAAGAAAAGTTAGAATTACATCACAGGATAAAGAACTAAATGATCATACTTAACTAAGGCACTTCCCATACGTAAACTAACCTTCAAACTGATGCTTGTCATTATCTTCCTCATCAAACAACGATATTCCCAACTGTTCAGCATACTCATCTCCATATCAAACAAGCAATTCTTTATCGGCTTCAATTTCTTTATAAACTCGGTAGTAAATTTCTCCATTATATTGATATGCAATTATATTTTGTTCTTCTTCAAATCTTGCACAATTCACAAATCTCATCCAATTACCTTGAGCAAGATCCTTACCATCAATACAATATACCACCTTTCCTCCTTGTACAATCTGTAAACACGGACAGATAAATAATTATGACAAAGCATGTATGTTTAATATCTGCATGGTGAAAGTAGAACGGGCAGAAAATATTTTAATAAAAAGAAATTATTCCTTTAATTAAATATGTTCACCTCCCACATGTACGCAGGATCTCTTCCATCCTCTGCGTCTTTAAGCGAAAGTACCTCTCCTCTGTATGGTCCAAAACGAGTGTTAATTTCAACTTTCTTCTTTGTAAAAACACCCCTGCCTGCCTTGGGGATTGTAGCGGTATTTATATAAAGATCTTTTGGAAGTGTCTTCATAGCATTTGATGTTCCCTTCCATTGATGTACTTCAAAGAAATGAAATTTGTTTGAAATGTTCTCCATCGTTAAAACAACTGCATTGTTCACAATTTTAAAGCAAATATCAAATCACAGTAATGAACTGATGTTTAACTATTCATAACTCTACACTAAAAGTAAAGTACTTACAAATGTTAAGATCATCATCAGGTACATCTTCCGCTGTATAAATCTTTTTGGATGACTTTCTTAATGATCGTCTTAAAGAAGTCTTTTTCAGAGTTTTACAGTTATATTTGATGGATTTTCTTTTAATGATGGATTTAGTTTTTTTATCATTGACATCGTTGACCTTGGGTTTTGATGTTGACGAATTACCGATTGTTTTAGAAGAAACCTGTAAAAACGTTTAATTGAAATTCAACCAAAAAATGTGAAAATGTTTACTTATTGCTTATCCTTTCCTTTTATCCAATTTCGAAAACATACCTGTTTATTTGCAAATTTCTTCATGACTTCAGTTTTTATGTTGTTTTAAAAACTATAAGAAAGCAATTTCATTTTTTAAAAAACTATACTTCTTACAGTCAAAAGTGAAAATTACAAAAGAAATTCCCAGTGAACGACGCGTTATACGCTTGCACGAAATCTTTTTAAAGCAAATTGTTAGAGATGTAATGTTTATCTCAAAAATAGTTTTTGTTCAAAATCGCAATGAACTTGTAACTTTGTTGATTTATACTACAGCAGATAGAAAAACATGACGATCATTTCATATGCTAAGACTAAACTGAAACACCACTACTTTTGAAGCTGTTCTATCGTGTAAAAGAGTTTTGTCAGAAACCATGAAAAATGAAATCAAGATTAGGGCAGCCTCCACCATACAATTGTCCTCTATGTGTGAAAACACATTTATTTCAAGGTAACAGAGGCCGCGCAAGCTCGATAATTGAGGGGGTGCAAATATTCGTATATGCATGTTCTACTTTAGTAGTTTCTATGGAAATCAATTGTGGGTATGGATTTAACAAAAGATTAAAACATACCAATATATAAATACTTTCTCCTTTAATTATCAATCTTGCGCGCCCCCCGCATAAATTGTCACACAATATGAGCTTTTATAGTTTTTTTAGTACAGTGTTTGTATTGGCGCCGCATTCGGGCGGTGAACATAAGGGAAGTAATAAGTGCCGCGGCGTTAAAACGAGCATTCAAAGAAAAAAGCTGTGCATAGATGATGTCATAAAACCTTTAAAACTTCTAATGTATCATGTTTCTACATATTTAATTCCTTATAAATGATGGAGAATATCTAAAGGTTACAATTATATTTCATAATGTGATATGTGGTCAAATCACTCAAATACAGTTAAAGTACATCATCTAAAAAAAAAATTTAATGAAGATAACCACATTGAACTAATATAATTAAAAAGTAAAGTTCCATCGTTCAAATTAAATACGTTTCATCATTGCTACCTACTTCACGATCTTAACAATCCAGAGACGAAGCAACTTGAAATTGTCGATAAAACTTTGTTTGATGTAGAAAGTTCCCAAATTTTTCAAGCTTTTAAACTTGAATTCGGACGTTTATTGCTCTTTAAAATCATACACACTCAGTGCCAAGTAAATATTCAACGTTTACCGTAGGTTTTGAATGTTTTGTACTACATTTCAAGTTTTGGCGGAAATATGGCGCATGCGTGGTAGGCTTTGTCTAGCAGCCGGAAATCCCCGTACCATGATCGGAGATTTTTTTACATTAAAACGGTCGTCTTTACACACTCTTGCACTGTGTTTTTCAACATTTATTGAGTTGAATGCTGCTAAACGTCTTCCAAGCGAAGACTGTGTCATGATTAGTTAGTATGCAAGAACAACGACACAAAGTATCTCATACTTTGTCAAATTCAGGTGGGGGGGGGGGAGGTGTGTACTTGTTCTTGGTTTTAATTTTAATGACAGAGAGGATAGAGTTGAGCATTGAGTTGAGGAAACTGTCAAATTGACCGATTCGTCATGATTTCTAAATGTACATGACTTTCCATTAATTAGTTAATAAATGCTTTCTAATAATTTGACCATTTGTTGTGTTGGCATTAAATTCAAATGGAGATTTCATTAGATTTGCATACAGACTAAAAAGATGACGGCTGCAAACGGAACATACTTGATTTCAACACAATTTCAAATTTTGACAGTGAACTTGTTTTTGGTTTCTCTGAAATATCATAAAAATTCATCTGCTTGACAGTAAAGATTTGCATCTAATTTTCATTGTGAAACATGCAGCTGACAAATTGCAGAAGAAACAAACATTACAAAAATGCATTCCTGAAGTGGCAAAAAAATTGAAAAGATTTTATGGAAAGAAAACTTTTACTAAAGCACCTGTTAGGAGGGGTTGTTATTTTATGACAGAGTCAGGAGGGTGAATGCTTTAACAAAACCAATTTAGAGGAAGGATGGTTACTTCATAAGTTCAAGAAGGTAATACTCACCATTCATAAATGTGTTTTGAAACATAAACATATATCATGATTATCGGCATTTATCTTATCAACAAAATGATGTTAATATTTTCATTTTAGTTATGAAATATGTCCTTTGTAATCATTGGTTCCCTGTTGTTTATCTTTGTTCTCCAGTTCATGAATGACATGATCATTAAATGATTGGGGTTAACAGTTACATCATAATTGGTTATTTCAAAAGTTAGCAAGCTATGAGTTACAATGATGAATAAATTTGCATGTAGGTAATAGCATGGTTTCTTGTGCAATTTGGAAAGAAACTTGCGCAAGTGAGTTTTTAACTATCAAATCAAAACAGCATGAGTCTGAAGGATGAGAAGAACTTAGAAGTCCATGTTTTGCAAACTATGCAATTACTTATTATTAATATGCTTAAAAAATTTGCTCAATTTTGTTGATTGTTAGCTTCAGCACAACAACTTTTGAACCAAAAGTTATTGAAATCAATTGAATTATATTTTTCAATTTGTTAGATAGTTTTTTCGTTGCATCATTGCCTACTTCCACACATGCACATAGCCAAAAACATGGTACTTTTAAAAGTGTTCCTAATTTCAGCAATGTCATGCAAATGCTGAATTGTAAATTGGGTCACCAAAGACAAAGAAAAATCTATTTAAAATTTACAGTAAGTTATGGCAGGCACTGTTATTGCATTTTGTTACATTATTGTATATTTACAACTTGCAAATGTTTTATTTTATTGGTTTTCATGACTTTATCATTGTTTTGAGAAACCTTTAGGAGCATTTTAAAAAATGATTAAATGATATTGACTCCTGGATGTATAAGCCAGAGATTGATTCAAGAGGAATTTGTGTAGGGCATGCTTTGGTTTAGATTAGATTTTGAAAGCTACTTTGAGTGTGTTGCTAATGATAAGACGGGTATGACCCTCCTCCAACATTGATAGTAAATCCATCTCTACTTGTGTTTAGATAATCAGAGACAAAGTTGGCTTGATTGCTAAAAAAATGTGCCCAGCAAACCTTGTTTGTATCATATACAACCATCTTCTTATACAACTGTTTTTTTCTCCATTGTAAAGAGATTTTGATGCTATGCTGTACCTATGTAAGTTGTCATTTCTTATGCTACCTGTGGACACATACTGGCGTTTGACTTAGGATGTGGTCTTTCCTTGTTTTGTATTTACTGTGGTCTTTGGTTTTATATTACTGACTGTTAGTGTTCTTGAAGAATGGAGGTATAATTGTTACATTCTGACAAGTTTTACTTGATTAAAACATGATCATGATTATAACATTTGAAATTTATTGTTGATCATTTAAAATTTAGCGTTGATCATTTGAAATTTGTCGTTCATCATTTGAAATTTATCGTTGATCATTTGAAATTTAGCGTTGATCATTTGAAATATATCGTTGATCATTTGAAATTTATCGTTGATCATTTGAAATTTATCGTTGATCATTTGAAATATATCATTGATCATTTGAAATTTGAAGCATTGATTTGTAAAACAAAGAAAGAATTTATATTTCAGTACCTAGAGCTTTGATTGTACATAATGACTTGTTGGTATTGTCCATGGCTGGTATTTTTGGGTTCTGAGAAATGTTAAAGTGTTATCACTAGTGATGCACCAATATACATATTTAGCGATATACCAATTAACAGATATTAAAATGCCGATATTGTGCCGATACCGATATTTTACGCCATTTTACTCTTCTTATTAAATATTTTACCACAATGTTCACATTGATAAGGTTTCTCTCCAGTATGTATCCTAAGGTGTTGATTTAACTCACTATGCCCTTTAAATGTTTTACCACAATGTTTACATTGATAAGGTTTCTCTCCCGTATGTATCCTTACGTGTTTTTTTAAGTTACAAAGCTCTGAAAATCTTTTATCACAATATTTACATTGATAAGGTTTCTCTCCTGTATGTATCCTAAAGTGACGTTTAAAGCTACCATGCTCTGTAAATGTTTTACCACAATGTTGAGATTGATAAGGTTTCTCTCCTGTATGTATCCTAAGGTGTCTATTCAAATCACAATTCTGTGAAAATGTTTTACCACAATGTTGACATTGATGAGGTTTCTCTCCTGTATGTATCATACCATGACGTTTTAAGTTACCAAGCAGTGTAAATGTTTTACCACAATTTTCACATTGGTAAGGTTTCTCTCCTGTATGTATCATAACATGAGATTTTAATGCGTCAAGGTGTGTAAATATTTTACTACAATGTTCACATTGATAAGGTTTCTCTCCTGTATGTATCATACCATGGCGTTTTAGGTTACCAAGCACTGTAAATCTTTTACCACAATTTTCACATTGGTAAGGTTTGTCTCCAGTATGTATCCTAACATGTTCATTCAATTTAGAAAGCTGTCTAAATGTTTTACCACAATGTTTGCATTGATAAGGTTTCTCTCCTGTATGTATCCTAAGGTGTTTATTCAAATCACAACTCTGTGAAAATGCTTTACCACAATGTTCACATTGATAAGGTTTCTCTCCTGTATGTATCCTAAGGTGTTTATTCAAATCACAATTCTGTGAAAATGTTTTACCACAATGTTCACATTTGTAAGGTTTCTCTCCCGTATGTATCTTTACGTGTTTTTTTAAGTTACCAAGCATAGTAAATGTTTTACCACAATGTTCACATTTATAAGGTTTCTCTCCTGTGTGTATCATAGCATGACGTTTTAAGTTACCAAGCTGTGTAAATCTTTTACCACAGTTTTCACATTGGTAAGGTTTGTCTCCAGTATGTATCCTAACATGTTCATTCAATTTAGAAAGCTGTCTAAATGTTTTACCACAATGTTTGCATTGATAAGGTTTCTCTCCAGTTTGAACCCTCACATGTCGTTTTAATCGTGGATTTTTTCCGCATTCATTTTTCATGTGAACATTTAGATAGTCTTCACTACTGTACTTTCGACCACAACGTGGACATTCCCAGGGATTCGTACAAACAAGCATTGGACATCGTTTTAAATGTTTCTCTAAATAATCTGGATAAGTATACATCCTTCCACAGTGTCTACAGCTGTGACCTCCAACTAAAAAGAAAAGTTAGAATTACATCACAGTTTAAAGAAGTAAATGATCATACATAACTAAGGCACTTCGCATACGTAAACTGACTAACCTTCAAACTGATGTTTGTCATTATCTTCCTCATCAAACAAGGATATTCTCAACTGTTCAGCATACTCATCTCCATACCAAACAAGCAATTCTTTATCGGCTTCAATCTCTTTATAAACTCGGTAGTAAATTTCTCCATTATATTGATATGCAATTATGTTTTGTTCTTCTTCAAATCTTGCACAATTCACAAATCTCATCCAATTACCTTGAGCAAGATCCTTACCATCAATGCAATATACAACCTTTCCTCCTTGTACAATCTGTAAACACGGACAGATAAATAATTATGACAAAGCATATATGTTTAATATCGGCATGGTGAAAGTAGAACGGGCAGAAAATATTTTAATAAAAAGAAATTATTCGTTTATTTAAATATATTCACCTCCCACATATACGCAGGATCCCTTCCATCCTCTGCGTCTTTAAGCGAAAGTACCTCTCCTCTGTATGGTCCAAAACGAGTGTTAATTTCAACTTTTTTCTTTGTAAAAACACCCCTGCCTGCGTTGGGGATTGTAGCGGTATTTATGTACAAATCTTTGGGAAGTGTCTTCATAGCATTTGATGTTCCCTTCCATTGATGTACTTCAAAGAAATGAAATTTGTTCGAAAAACGTTCTCCATTGTTAAAACAACTGCATTGGTCACAATTTTAAAGCAAATATCAAATCACAGTAATGAACTGATGTTTAACTATTCATGACTCTACACTAAAAGTAAAGTACTTACAAATGTTAAGATCATCATCAGGTACATCTTCCGCTGTATAAATCTTTTGGATGACTTTCTTAATGATCGTCTTAAAGAGTCTTTTCAGTTTTACAGTTATATTTTCTTTTAATGATGGATTTAGTTTTTGTCATTTACATCGTTGACCTTGGGTTTTGACGTTGACGAATGACCGATTGTTTTAGAAGAAACCTGTAAAAACGTTTGATTGAAATTCAACCAAAAAATGTGAAAATGTTTACTTAGCGCTCATCCTTTCCTTTTATTTTTTCTAAAACATACCTGTTTATTTGCAAATTTCTTCATGACTTCAGTTTTTATGTTGTTTTAAAAACTATAAGAAAGCAATTTCATTTTTAAAAAAACTATACTTCTTACAGTCAAAAGTGAAAATTACAAAAGAAATTCCCAGTGAACGACGTGTCATACGCTTGCACGAAATCTTTTTAAAGCAAATTGTTGGAGATGTAATGTTTATCTCAAAAATAGTTTTTGTTCAAAATCGCAATGAACTTGTAACTTTATTGATTTATACTACAGCAGATAGAAAAACATGACGATCATTTCATACGCTAAGACTAAACTGAAACACCACTACTTTTGAAGCTGTTCTATCGTGTAAAAGAGTTTTGTCAGAAACCATCAAAAATGAAATCAAGATTAGGGCAGCCTCCACCATACATTTGTCCTCTATGTGTGAAAACAGATTTATTTCAAGGTAACACAGGCTGCGCAAGTTCGATAATTGAGGGGTGTGTGTGTGTGCAAATATTCATATATGCATGTCCTACCTTAGTAGCTTCTATTGAAATCAATTGTGGGTATGGATTTAACAAAAGATTAAAACATACCAATATATAAATACTTTCTCCTTCAATTATCAATCTTGCGCGCCCCCCGCATAAATTGTCACACAACATGAGCTTTTATAGGTTTTTTAGCGCCGCTTATGGGGCGGTGCATGTTTATGACTTTCCATTAAAGCTATGAATTACATATGAGCATTGATACATTAAACAATGTGTATTGAGTTAACAAATGCTTGCTAATAATTTGACCATTTGTTGTGTTGTCATTAAATTCAAGTCGAGATTTCATTCGATTTGCATAAAGACTAAAAAGATGACGGCTGCAAATGGAATTTACTTGATTTCAACATAATTTCAAATTTTGACAGTGAACTTGTTTTTGGTTTCTTTGAAATATCATAAAAATTTATCTGCTTGACAGTAAAAATTTGCATCTAGTTTTCATTGTGAAACATGCAGCTGACAATTTGCAGAAGAAACAAACGTTACAAAAATGCATTCCTATAGTGGCAAAAAATTGAAAAGATTTCATGGAAAGAAAACTTTTACTGAAGCACCTGGTAAGAGAGGTGGTTATTTTTTGTCAGAGTCAGGAGGGTGAATGCTTTAACAAAAGCAATTTAGAGGAAGGATGGTTACTTCATAAGTTGAAGAAGGTAATACTCACCATTCATAAATGTGTTTTGAAACATAAACATATATCATGATTATCAGCACTTATTTTATCAACAAAATGATGTGAATATTTTCATTTTAGTTATGAAATGTGTCCTTTGTCATCATTGGTTCCCTGTTGTTTGTCTTTGTTCTCCAGTTCATGAATGACATGATCATTAAATGATTGGTGTTAACAGTTGCATCATAATTGGTTATTTCAAAAGTTAGCAAGGTATGAGTTAAAATGATGAATAAATTTGCATGTAGGTAATAGCATGGTTTCTTGTGCAATTTGGAAAGAAACTTGTGCAAGTGAGTTTTTAACCATCAAATTATAACAGCATGAGTCTGAAGGATGAGAAGAACTTAGAAGTCCATGTTTTGAAAACTATGCAATTACTCATTAATAATATGCTTAAAAAATTTCCTCGATTTTGTTGATTGTTAGCTTTAGCACAACAACATTTTGAACCAAAAGTTATTGAAATCAATTGACTTATATTTTTCAATTTGATAGATATTATTTTCGTTGCATCATTGCCTGCTTCCACACATGCACATAACCAAAAACATGGTACTTTTGAAAGTGTTCATAATTTTGGCAATGTCATGCAAATGCTGAATTGTAGATTGGGTCACCAAAGACAAAGAAAAATCTACTTAAAATTTACAGTGAGTTATGCGAGGCACTGTTATTGCATTTTGCTACATTATTGTATATTTACAACTTGCAAATGTTTTATTTCATTGGTTTTTATGACTTTATCATTGTTTTGAGAAACCTTAAGGAGCATTTTAAAAATTATTAAATGATATTGACTCCTGGATGTATAAGCCTGAGATTGATCCAAGAGGAATTTGTATAGGGCATGCTTTGGTTTAGATTAGATTTTGAAAGCTACTTTGAGTGTGTTTCTATTAATAAGAGGGGTATGACCCTCCTGCAACATCGATAGTAAATCCATCTCTACGTATGTTTAGATAATGAGAGACAAAGTTGGCTTGATTGCTAAAGAAATGTGCCCAGCAAACCTTGTTTGTACCATATACAACCATCTTCTTATACAACTGTTTTTTTCTCAATTGTATATATATTTTCATGCTATGCTGTACCTATGTGAGTTGTCATTTCGTATGCTACCTAAGGACACATACTAACGTTTGACTGAGTGTGTGGTCTTTCCTTGTTATGTATTTACCGTGGTCTTTGGTTTTATATTACTAGCGGTTTGTATTCTTGAAGAATGGAGGTATACCTGTATAATTGCTACATTCTGACAAGTTTTACTTGATTAAAACATGATCATGATTATAACATTTGAAATTTATCGTTGATCATTTGAAATTTATCGTTGATCATTTGAAATTTATCGTTGACCTTTTGGACTTCATCGTTGATCATTTAAAATTTATCGTTGATAATTTGAAATTTATCGTTGATCATTTGAAATTTATCGGTGATCATTTAAAATTTATCGTTGATAATTTGAAATTTATCGTTGATCGTTTCAAATTTATCGTTGATCATTTAAAATTTATCGTTGATCATTGCAATTTGAAACATTGATTTGTAAAACAAAGAGGGAATTTATGTTTCAGTACCTAGAGCTTTGATTGTAGATAATGACTTGTTGGTATTGTCCATGCCTGGTATTTTTGGGTTCTGAGAAATGTTAAAGTGTTATCACTAGTGATGCACCAATATACATATTTAGCGATATACCAATTAGCAGATATTAAAATGCCGATATTGTGCCGATACCGATATTTTACGCCATTTTACGAAACTTAAGCATCAGAAAGTATGCCAATTTGGGCTCACCATTGACTGTTCATTTCATAAAAATATAAAATTAAAAGCGGTTATTTACACTGCAGCAATATTTCACAACACAACCCAATTGTCAATGGAAGTTGATATCATGTGGAACTAAAAAGTTTAAAGTAGTATTAATTTAACAAAAATTGTTAAGGTAATATATATTTAGTATTGTTAAACTATGATTAATTTCAATTGTATTTCTATTTCGATACAATGTTTAAATGTCGGTATTATGAGCAATGAGAACGAAAAATACCAATGCCGTTATTCTGTTTTGGAGCCGGTACGTAGATATCGATGTCAGTATATCACTTGTTATCACCTTGTTCATATCGACTGGCTTTAATGCTGGTAATATACAAAACATACAGACTGTACTTGTAGGGATAGAAAGGGTTATATTGAGGGTTACACAGATAATTTTCTCACTTGAAAAAAAACAACATGCTACATTTCTTTTTTAGTGGTAATGATTTTATTTCATGGGGGAAAAATGTTCATACTTCGTTGAAAAGACGTCCTGAAGTCGTTTATCATCTTGTACAAACATTCTTGTTTGCCTTTATGGCTGTAACTCTATTGTCGCCGCAGGAATAATTTGTTCACAGGATTTGTGGAGCTTTTGTCGAAAATTTAGCTGACATGTGCGAAGGTACGAGATTATATTAAGTAATATGAAATGACATGTTTGTAAATGTAGATCGTCCAGGTTGGTAAAGTCCTGAGAAGGACTGTTTTTGTTGGACTGTTTTTTGTTTTTGTTTTTACATAGTGTAAGAACTTTAACATACATCAGCATACATTTTAAGATTAAAGATACATTAAAAAGATCCATGGAGATACATTGTAAGAGACATAATTTTTTACTGCTAGATGTTTGTTTTATTTTTGAACTAATAGTGATTTGTCGTCATTGTTTTACGATGAGATGATACTGTCTCAGAAGATACTCATTTAAAGTTATATGTGACCAAGTATCTTTATCATGGGATCATCGTAAATTTGCTCTTTTTCACAGGCTAAAATTGGAAGTTCCTTGGTTCCGATAATTTTGATTGTTTTGGTGTTGCATCAGGTGCGATGTGATCTTAAATATTAACAGTTTCTGCTGAAGTTATTTTATATTTTAATCAAGGCGAGATTTTAAGGGGAGGCGCGGGGAGGTGGGCACGTTTCCTAAGATCGCTTTTCCCCTGACATGTTTCCCACCTTCCCTTGAAACGTAGAATTTTTCCCATTCACTGCCAAACACACGCCACAAACTCGAAATATAAATTCTTAAGTAGAACTGTAGAAAATAAGACATTTCCGTTATCTGTCAAATGAAATCCGACAAACCATGAATTTGTGGAGAATTCAACCAATCAGAGCCCAGGTTTTTCATGGGCTATTTTATAATAGACTCTAGTGTATGCAGTATTTGTTGAGATTTATTAGTATACTCGTTAAAAGTCTTAAATCACATGTTAAGTATGTTCACAGGGTTATCGAACTTTAATAGAGAGGACCATATTTATATATTCTGCTATGCCAGGCTGGTTTCTTTTGAAACTGAAATTGTTTTCAAAAGATAATAGCCAAGTATAGCTGAATATATGAATATAGTGCCCCACCTCCAATTGACGTACATACCCTGAGAAGGCAAACAACCAGACCTCCACGCACCTTAAATCCGGCCTCGAGTTTAATGTGATGTATGTGATTACTATATAGAGAATGGAAGGAGCGTTGAACGAATTAAAAGATTTGAAAGAGTTTTACGACCCGGACACAGTGGATTTAATGAGATTTATCAAGTAAGTAATCTGGTAATGTTAATTTAGTAACTGTAAGAAAATTCATAAAATTTTTTCCCCAACCCTCAACATAACCTTAACCCAAAATTTAACCGTAAAGATAACTTGTATAACGTTTTTTCACTCGTTAAAGAATGATACGGCGTTTAGCTGTGAAGTTATTGATTAGCATTTTCCCGCTATTTACTGCTGTATGTGCCCACAATCTTCATGGTCATCGAAATATGGCCACCGGTGTCCGCTGAACTTTACCCTAGCCGAAGCTGCAAACAAAAAGTTACAAAACATAGCCTTTTACCAACCATTTTGTTTCCTGGAAATTTATTTTCAGGAAAATATATTTTCGTTCAAACATCGAATGTACCTCAAATGTTTTATTTCAAAATACCTACATCTGCTGGGGCTTAATCACTATTTCACATTTCAGTGAGAAAACGGGAAAAGGGAGATCTTTCAGTGGAAGTATGCAACTTATGGCTGCAGTAAAATTGTGTACAGACAGACGAATAACAAATCATCCACATTACGAAAATAAATTATTGAGACTACGAACAAAGGAGGTAAGTGAAAGTTTTTGTAATTTCGATCTGAAAAGTTTGTGCTTGGAGATTGAAGATGCAAGGGTGTTAACCAATAGGTATTTAAACCTCAAAATACCACAGAAACAATGTCATTTGTCATGGTTTGATTCTAAAGAGAAACAGATTACCACTGTAAAAGTATGATTTTGTGTTTTGAAGTTCAAATTTCTGTTCGTGGTTTTTCATGAATCCGTTACTCAAGTTTGACTCCTACGATGAAGAAAAGTTGTATGTTTCACTTATTAGAATCTTTAAAAAAGCGATGAGAACACGATCTATGTGATGTTAGGAGTATTCAATGCTATCGTTTTAATGTTCAAATCATAAAGCACGTACTGAAATCACAGTAAATTGTGGGTAAATTTTAACAAGTGACTGTGAACTACAATTTTAAAGATGGGAAAGCAACGAAAATACAAGGGCCGTTTAGAACCGATAATTTCAGATGATAAAGTTATTATAATACTTCGAAAAGTAGTTTTTAAGCTCAAAGTTTGAAACCATTGATATTTACATACTAACCCCTTTGTTGTGCTGTAGCTTTTTACTGCCTGTGTGCAGGAGGTGACCTGATTAAAGTAAATTTACTTTAACTCGACCGCCCCCTGCACCTTGGGAATGTTGTCAAGCGGTTGACCTTCACTGACGATACTATGTGGTCAGCGGATGACTAACAACAAATTAATTACATATTTACAAGCGGAAAAAGAGGTCGAAAGTTATGTTTTAAAACTATAACAAATTCATCATTAGGTACACAGGTCTTGAACGTTGAACTAAAGATGAACTGTTATTTTGTATCATAAAACTACTTTAAACAAAACTGGTTTTGATAAACTCTTCGGAGAACTTTCCATAGTTCATTTACACGAGCGACTAATATTCATAAAAAAAGATTAATTTCTAGTAGAACTTTTACTCTTCTATTTCATTATATTTTGATGTTATAAAATTTAAACCGTTTTGGCTGTCGTCATTCACGACGCCACTTTTTTTTTTAAATTTTTGTTTCTCCGTCCAGATCTATCAAATTTATGCCAAGCGAACGCCGAAAGACGTCTATCATTTGCTGCGAAAACATGGAACTGACTATGTGATCTTAGAAAATAGTATTTGTTATTCTCGACAAGAGTTAGGTTGTAAGATTAAAGATATCTTAGATTATAATAACGGTCATGTTATAGAGGGTGGAGTTGCCGAAAGGGGTCTGGTACATAGTGATGTTTCCCGCTTCTGTCATGCAATTAAATCAGGTGACGAGGAATTTAGTTTATATTTTAATTTAATTATTTAATATTTAGTTTATAATATAGAACATTTTATATGTATAAATTGTTAGGTAGTGGTAGTTAGGGATAGTGGTGGATAACGGCTGTACAGGCATGTACAGTGTGGAAGCCTGCCCAAACTTTTACTCCTACAATGCAGATATTTTACTTTAGAAAATTATTTCTATTTATTGTTTTTCCGTGAATGAACACAAAAATATTTTCACTGCAGGAGTACAAAGCGAGCTGACTTCGCTAGTCGATATTTACATTGATAGTCAAAAAGAACTTTTTAAACTAGAGTTTGTCACTTAGAAGCAGTACTTTAGCCAATGGAGAAATTTTGCAATTTCCTTAATATCGTTAATGAATGACTAAATTGATGCCGTTTTTAATTTATGAAAAATGTTCCATTATCAAAATGTGCATTTTTCACCACTATATGATATAGGAATAGAAATTGTTATTCGTACTTTCAAGGTTAATGGTTGTAATCCTTCTTACATGTAAGCGTTCGTATGATAATCGTATGTTTTGTGAAATTATTGTGTACCGCAAACTGTTTTCAATTGGGGTATATTTTATCATGGGTAAATAATTTTTATGTTGTACAAATAAACTCCAGTAAGGGTAGGTTTCAATTCGTATTAATACTGTACATATACAGATGATCTTTTATGGCTGTTGAGGATAAATTGTTTATACGTTATATAGCTATCAACTATAAAGGAATTGACTTCATTCTAGCTTTCCTAGCTGTAGTAATGTACCATGTGGATATAGTCAGTGGGACGTTGGTTTGTTTTTCAATAGTTCATCCATAAGTGCAAATAAGTTACAACTAAACTGTATCGAAATTATAACTAAAATATCCAATCAAAATGCTGCTACTAATATAATATATGTGTTCACTCGGGCTACTCAAGAACAATGTTATATATAAAACGAATGAAAATTTAAGTTGTGAATGAAAATTCATAAAAAATTTTTTCAACCCTAACCCTCAACATAACCTTAACCCAAAATTTAACCGTAAAGATAACTTGTATAACGTTTTTTCACTCGTTAAAGAATGATACGGCGTTTAGCTGTGAAGTTATTGATTAGCATTTTCCCGCTAGTTACTGCTGTATGTGCCCACAATCTTCATGGTCATCGAAATATGGCCACCGGTGTCCGCTAAACTATACCGTAATATATGTGTTCACTCGGGCTACTCAAGAACAATGTTATATATAATAGTTACCAGATGCAACAACTAACTTAACGGTGATGCAATGTCACATCATATGTGGTAATCTATTATGTAAGTAAATCGTCATTCATTAAACATTCATTTGTGACACTCACGCGTGATTTAGAAAAAAATCGAATTTTAAACTCGTCACTTCGGTAGCCCAAGCAACAACACCGTCAATTCTTCTTGGCGATGCACCAACCTGGACGATAAATATTTACAAACATACATTTATATTAACGGGTTCAAATCGTTTATTTTATTTACAAAAATTTATTAGAGAAACAACAAACTATTTCCTGTGTTTCTGGGTGCGATTTAGTATAATTCGTTCGTAACATAGACAATCCACTAGTCATCACCTCCATCATAATTTCTACACGGACTTCATTTTTCACAATGGCGCTCCTTCGATTGAATGTGAGGGCTAAGCCCACTCCTCCTCTTCTTGTAAACGTTACTGTCAATCAATCCTTGTAAATATCTATCCACATTATAAAGTTTTCTTACCAGCATGAATCTTTACGTGTCGAATGAAGCTACCACGCGTTGCAAATCTTTTGCCACAGTGTTCACATTGATAAGGTTTGTCCCCAGTATGTATCCTAATGTGTTTATTCAAGACACTATTGTAGGTAAATGTTTTACCACAATATTTACATTGATAAGGTTTCTCTCCTGTATGTATCTTTATGTGACGTTTTAAGTTACCATGCTCTGTAAATATTTTACCACAATGTTCACATTGGTAAGGTTTCTCTCCTGTATGTATCTTTATGTGACGTTTTAAGTTACCATGCTCTGTAAATATTTTACCACAGTGTTCACATTGGTAAGGTTTCTCTCCCGTATGTATCCTAACGTGTCTATTTAAGGCACTATTGTGGGTAAATGTTTTACCACAATGTTTACATTGATAAGGTTTTTCTCCTGTATGTATCCTAAGGTGTATCTTCAAGCTATCACTCGCTATAAAAGTTTTACCACAATACTCGCAATGATAAGGTTTCTCACCTGTATGTATCCTAAGGTGTTTATTCAAGACACTATTGTCGGTAAATGTTTTACCACAATGTTTACATTGATAAGGTTTCTCTCCTGTATGTATCTTTATGTGACGTTTTAAGTTACCATGCTCTGTAAATATTTTACAACAATGTTCACATTGGTAAGGTTTCTCTCCCGTATGTATCCTATCGTGTCTATTCAAGGCACTATTGTCGGTAAATGTTTTACCACAATGTTTACATTGATAAGGTTTCTCTCCTGTATGTATCTTTATGTGACGTTTTAAGTTACCATGCTCTGTAAATATTTTACCACAATGTTCACATTGGTAAGGTTTCTCTCCCGTATGTATCCTAACGTGTCTATTCAAGGCACTATTGTCGGTAAATGTTTTACCACAATGTTTACATTGACAAGGTTTTTCTCCTGTATGTATCCTAAGGTGTATCTTCAAGCTATCACTCGCTGTAAAAGTTTTACCACAATACTCGCAATGATAAGGTTTCTCACCTGTATGTATCCTAAGGTGTTTATTCAAATCCAAATTCTGTGAAAATATTTTACCACAATGTTCACATTTATAATGTTTCTCTCCTGTATGTATCATACCATGACGTTTTAAGCTACCAAGCAGTGTAAAGGTTTTACCACAATTTTCACATTGGTAAGGTTTGTCTCCTGTATGTATCCTAAGGTGTCTATTCAAGTCATCTTTCTGTGAAAATGTTTTACCACAATGTTCACATTTATAAGGTTTCTCTCCTGTATGTATCATACCATGACGTTTTAAGTTACCAAGCAGTGTAAATCTTTTACCACAATTTTCACATTGGTAAGGTTTGTCTCCAGTATGTATCCTAACATGTTCATTTAATGTAGAAAGATGTCTAAATGTTTTACCACAATGTTTGCATTGATAAGGTTTCTCTCCTGTTTGAACCCTCACATGTCGTTTTAATGGTGGATTTTTTCCGCATTCATTTTTTATGTGAACATTTAGATAGTCTTCACTACTGTACTTTCGACCACAACGTGGACATTCCCAGGGATTCGTACAAACAAGCATTGGACATCGTTTTAAATGTTTCTTTAAATAATCGGGATAAGTATACATCCTTCCACAGTGTCTACAGCTGTGACCTCCAACTAAAAAGAAAAGTTAGAATTAGATCACAGGATAAAGGGCTAAATGATCATACATAACTAAGGCACTTCGCACATGTAAACTGACTAACCTTCAAACTGATGTTTGTCATTATCTTCCTCATCAAACAACGATATTCCCAACTGTTCAGCATACTCATCTCCATACCAAACAAGCAATTCTTTATCGGCTTCAATCTCTTTATAAACTCGGTAGTAAATATCACCATTATATTGATAAGCAATTATATTTTGTTCTTCTTCAAATCTTGCACAATTCACAAATCTCATCCAATTACCTTGAGCAAGATCCTTACCATCAATGCAATATACAACCTTTCCTCCTTGTACAATCTGTAAACACGGACAGATAAATAATTATGACAAAGCATGTATGTTTAATATCTGCATGGTGAAAGTAAAACAGGCAGAAAATATTTTAATAAAAAGAAATTATTCATTTATTTAAATATGTTCACCTCCCACATATACGCAGGATCTCTTCCATCCTCTGCGTCTTTAAGCGAAAGTACCTCTCCTCTGTATGGTCCAAAACGAGTGTTAATTTCAACTTTTTTCTTTGTAAAAACACCCCTGCCTGCGTTGGGGATTGTAGCGGTATTTATGTACAAATCTTTTGGAAGTGTCTTCATAGCATTTGATGTTCCCTTCCATTGATGTACTTCAAAGAAATGAAATTTGTTCGAAAAAGTTCTCCATGGTTAAAACAACTGCATTGGTCACAATTTTAAAGCAAATATCAAATCACAGTAATGAACTGATGTTTAAAATATTCATGACTCTACACTAAAAGTAAAGTACTTACAAATGTTAAGATCATCATCAGGTACATCTTCCACTGTATAAATCTTTTGGATGACTTTCTTAATGATCGTCTTAAAGAAGTCTTTTCAGAGCTTTACAGTTATATTTGATGGATTTTCTTTTAATGATGGATTTAGTTTTTTTGTCATTTACATCGTTGACCTTGGGTTTTGATGTTGACGAATTACCGATTGTTTTAGAAGAAACCTGCAAAAACGTTTGATTGAAATTCAGCCAAAAAATGGGAAAATATTTACTTAGTGCTCATCCTTTCCTTTTATCCAGTTTCTAAAACATACCTGTTTATTTGCAAATTTCTTCATGACTACAGTTTTTAATGTTGTTTTAAAAACTATAAGAAAGCAATTTCATATTTTAAAAAACTATACTTCTTACAGTCAAAAGTGAAAATTACAAAAGAAATTCCCAGTGAACGACGCGTTATACGCTTGCACGAAATCTTTTTAAAGCAAATTGTTAGAGATATAATGTCTATCTCAAAAATAGTTTTCGTTGAAAATCGCAATGAACTTGTAACTTTGTTGATTTATACTACAGCAGAGAGAAAAACATGACGATCATTTCATACGCTAAGACGAAACTGAAACACCACTACCGTTGAAGCTGTTCTATCGTGTAAAAGAGTTTTGTCAGAGACCATCAAAAATGAAATCAAGATTAGGGCAGCAATCACCATACATTTGTCCTCTATGTGAGAAAACACATTTATTTCAAGGTAACAGAGGCCGCGCAAGCTCGATAATTTGGGGAGGGGGGTGCAAATATTCATATATGCTTGTACTACTTTAGTAGTTTCTATTGAAATCAATTGTGGGTATGGATTTAACAAAAGATTAAAACATACCAATATATAAATATTTTCTCCTTCAATTATCAATCTTGCGCACCCCCCGCATAAATAGCCACACAATATGAGCTTTTATAGGTTTTTAGTACCGTAAGTGTTTGTTTTGGCGCCCCATACGGGCGGTGAACATAAGGGAATTAATAAGTGCCGCGGCGTTAAAACGAGAATTCACAGAAAATAAGCTGTGCATAGATGATGTCATAAAAACCTTTAAAAACTTCCAATGTATCATGTTTCTACATATTTAATTCCTTATAAATGATGGAGAATATCTAAAGGTTGCAATTATATTTCATAATGTGATATGTAGTCAAATCACTCAAATACAGTTAAAGTACATCATGTAAAAACATTTAATGAAGATAACAACATTGAACTAATGTAATTAAAAAGTAAAGTTACATCGTTCAAATTAAATACGTTTCATCATTGCTACCTACTTGAATCCAGAGACGAAGCAACTTGAAATTGTCGATAAAACTTTGTTTGATGTAGAAAGTTCCCAAATTTTTCAAGCTTTTAAACTTGAATTCAGACGTTTATTGCTCTTTAAAATCATACACACCAAGTGCCAAGTAAATATTCAACGTTTACCGTAGGTTTTGAATGTTTTGTATTACATTTCAAGTTTTGGCGGAAATATGGCGCATGCGTGGTAGGCTTTGTCTAGCAGGCGGAAATCCCTGTACCATGTTCGGAGATCTCTTTTACATTTAAATGTCGTCTTTACACACTCTTGCACTGTATTTTTCAATATTTATTGAGTTGAATGCTGCTAAAACGTCTTTCAAACGAAGACTGTGTCAAGATTAGTTAGTATGCAAGAAGAATGACACAAAGTATCTAATACTTTATCATATTCAGGTGAGGGGGTACTTGTTCTTGGTTTAATTTTAATGACAAAGAGGATAGAGTTGAGCATTGAGTTGAGGAAACTGTCAAATTGACCGATTCGTCAAGATTTCTAAATGTACATGACTTTCCATTAAAGCTATGAATTACATATAAGCATTGATACATTAAACAATGTGTATTGGTTAACAAATGCTTGTTGTTAATTACAGTTAAACAAATTGATTCAACAACAACACTAGTACGCAAACTTAACAGCAAGATCTTCTCTATGAGAAAATCTAACATATCTGAACGTAGTTACTATAGACTTAGATGTTCAGTACCACGACCACCCAGACTATACGGTCTACCAAAACTTCACAAACCACAAATACCATGCGACCAATTGTATCATTCTGTGGTTCGCTTACTTACGAACTTTCTAAATACTTGACTTACATACTGCAACCACTTACAAACAAATCTAACAAATGCGTGCTAATAATTTGACCATTTGTTGTGTCGTCATTAAATTCAAATGGAGATTTCATTAGATTTGCATACAGACTACAAAGATGATGGTTGCAAAAGGAATTTACTTGATCTCAACATAATTTCAAATTTTGACTACAGTACACAATGACAACAGTGAACTTGTTTTTGGTTTCTCTGAAATATCATAAAAATTCATCTTCTTGACAATAAAAATTTGCATCTAGTTTTCATTGTGAAACATGCAGCTGTCAAATTGCAGAAGAAATAAACGTTACAAAAATGCATTCCTGAAGCGCAAAAAATTGAAAAGATTTCATGGAAAGAAAACATTTATTAAAGCACCTGGTAGGAGGGGTTGTTATTTTATGACAGAGTCAGGAGGGTGAATGCTTTAACAAAAGCAATTTAGAGGAAGGATGGTTACTTCATAAGTTCAAGAAGGTAATATTCACCATTCATAAATGTGTTTTGAAACATAAACATATATCATGATTATCAGCATTTATCTTATCAACAAAATGATGTGAATATTTTCATTTTAGTTATGAAATATGTCCTTTGTAATGATTGGTTCCCTGTTGTTTGTCTTTGTTCTCCAGTTCATGATGACATGATCATTAAATGATTGGGGTTAACAGTTGCAACATAATTGGTTATTTCAAAAGTTAGCAAGGTATGAGTTAAAGTGATGAATAAATTTGCATGTAGGTAATAACATGGTTTCTTGTGCAATTTGGAAAGAAACTTGCGCAAGTGAGTTTTTAACTATCAAATCAAAACAGCATGAGTCTGAAGGATGAAAGAACTTAGAAGTCCATGTTTTGCAAACTATGCAATTACTTATTAATAATGTGCTTAAAAAATTTCCTCAATTTTGTGGATTGTTGGCTTCAGCACAGCAACATTTTGAACCAAAAGTTATTGGAATCAATTGACTTATAGTTTTCAATTTGTTAGATATTTTTTTCGTTGCATCATTGCCTGCTTCCACACATGCACATAGCCAAAAACATGGTACTTTTGAAAGTGTTCATAATTTTGGCAATGTCATGCAAATGCTGAATTTTAGATTGGGTCACCAAAGACAAAGAAAAATCTACTTAAAATTTACAACTTGCAAATGTTTTATTTCATTGGTTTTCATGACTTTATCATTGTTTTGAGAAACCTTAAGGAGCATTTTAAAAAATGATTTAATGATATTGACTCCTGGATGTATAAGCCAGAGATTGTGTCAAGAGGAATTTGTATAGGGCATGCTTTGGTTTAGATTTGATTTTGAAAGCTACTTTGAGTGTGTTGCTATTGATAAGATGGGTATGACCCTCCTACAACGTCGATAGTAAATCCATCTCTACTTGTGTTTAGATAATTAGAGACAAAGTTGGCTTGATTGCTAAAAAAAGACACTAGTATATAGTTGTCCGGTAATTGTATAGTGGTCAGTTTTTTAGTGAAAGTTTCTGTGGATTGTAGCTTGTGTTTTGATTTGCTTGTAATTGGTTGCAGTATGTCAGTCAAGTACTTTGAGAGTTCGTATGTAGGCGAACCACAGAATGATACAATTGGTCGCATGTGTATCTGTGGTTTATGAAGTTTTGGTAGTCCGTATAGTCTGGGTGGTCGTGGTACTGAACATCTAAGTTGATAGTAAATACGTTCAGATATAATGTTAGATTTTCTCATAAAGAAGATCTTGCTATTAAGTTTGCGTACTAGTGATGGTGTTGGGTCTCGTTTGAGTTGTCCGTAAGTTTGTCTGTCGTTAACAAGGGTGTCCATTTTGTCCTAGTAATTATTCCTGTCCATGACCACAGTCACACGTCCTTTGTCTGATGGTAAAATGACGATGTTGTTGTCGCGTTCGAGTGCTTGTTCTTCGTCCTTAGTCAAGTTGTTGTCACATATAGAGGACGATTGTAAAGTGGAGGCTACCCTGCTTCTGATCTCGTCTTTGGTTGTCTCTGACAAGTCTCTTTGATACGGTAGGAAAGCCTCGACACTTGATACTATCGTCTCAGTCGGGATTCGTCTAGGTGTTATGGAATGTTTTAGCCCGTAAGATAGTAGTCGTGTTTCAGTTTCGTCTAATGAGCGGGAAGAAATATTCCTCACCCAGTTATCGTCATGTTTATGTCTTGTACATGTTTTAGTGCGTTTTAAATGTTCAAGTTTTTGTTGTTGTTTGATTTGGTGTTGTGTCTCTGTCTCGTTTGCTTGTTTCTCTGCAATAGTTTGTATCGTAGAAAGTAAAGTATCACTTACTGTCGTTGGCATGAGTTCCTTCAGCTTGTTCAGTCTTTGTTCTTGTTGCTTGATGTAATTGTTGATTCGTCTATGACAGTCGTTAATCCGTGCTCGTATCAGTCGTCTGCTGGTGGATTTGACAATCTGAATAGCCTCTTGTGTGTTCAACGGGGACTTAATTTTAAAAAAGTCCTGCCGGAACGAGACCAAAATCCTTGCAGCGGTGGTTGAACCAGAGTTGTTGGCGTATGCGTCTGACTTGCAAAACGTATGTAGTCGTTACCAAGTTGTTCGCTCTGTCGTCCGAATGATCGTATTAAAGTAAATGGTTTGCACCCGGGAGTATCGTTACATGTTTGTAAATGTAGATCGTCCAGGTTGGTATTGTCCTGAGAAGGACTGTTTTTGTTGTTGTTGACTGACGTTTCGACAACTTTACTAGTATTCGCCTTTTGTTGTTGTTGACTGACGTTTCGACAACCTTAGTGGTATTCATCTTCAGAGTCAAATGAGGAGTAAACGTTAGGTTAGTCGTGTTTGTACTGGAAGTAAGTCGAGGTGAGGCAGAGCTCCAGTAGCTCCATAATGTCTTCTGTCGGTAATGGCAGTACGTCCGTGGTGTTTGTAATGAAGGTTTTTCTACAAGTAAGTGCCAGATTAAGTGGAATACTGGTGAACAGTGATTTCACATCAAAAGACACCAGTATATAGTTGTCCGATATTTGTATAGTGCTCAGTTTTTTAATGAAAGTTTCAGTGGATTGTAGCTTGTGTTTTGATTTGCTTGTAAGTGGTTGCAGTATGTCAGTCAAGTACTTTGAGAGTTCGTAAGTAGGCGAACCACAGAATGATACAATTGGTCGCATGGGTATTTGTGGTTTGTGAAGTTTTGGTAGTCCGTATTGTCTGGGTGGTCGTGGTACTGAACATCTAAGTCGATAGTAAATACGTTCAGATATAATGTTAGATTTTCTCATAGAGAAGATCTTGCCGTTAAGTTTGCCTACAAGTGATGGTGTTGGGTTTCGTTTGAATTGTTCGTACTCGCCTGAGTTGGCATCTTGTTTAATCTTAGATTATTACATAGATATTGTAAAAAAGTAAATGGTTTGAAACCGGGAGTATCGCTACATGTTTCTAAATGTATATCGTCCAGGTTGGTATAGTCCTGTTTTTGTTGTTGTTGACTGACGTTTCGACAACCTTAGACGTTTCGACGTTTTTTTTCGACGTTTTGACGTTTCGTCAACCTTCAGAGTCATTTGACGAGAAAATATTCAAATGTAACCCGCAACACAAGGCCCCCGACAAATTTAAGGCGGTAGAGATTAAAAATACTGAAATGCTTTTACCTTTCATGACAACAAAGAACAAAGATAAATGAGTTCCCTTTCCAAAACCATCACCATTCATATAGATCTTAGCACACATCTTGTAACCATATTGAGAACTGTAGAATGGTGCACTGTACAATGCTGTTTTGATACCATTAATGGCGTCCTGTCTTTTTCTATTGTAGTTATCTATTTTCCAAAGTAACGAACCATTGTAGCTGTGTATGGCTTGATTCGACCCCAGTGCACGCGAGCCACGTTGCGCTTCAAGGTCGGTCATCTTCACCGTGTTTCTAGCTAGTGATTCGTCGATTTGATCTAAGCGCTCACGATATCGTAGTAAAGTTGAGGATTTTCTCTCACTTGTCGTTCGAGAGTTGGAATTTTATCACGCATCGAAGAAACCTCTAATGACGAGTTGGCATTATTACTATCGTTATCACCACGAACCTCCAGATTCTCAATCCTCCTTTCAAGACCTGTAAGTTTACCCACTAACATAACAAATCTCTCTGAAAGATTTGCACGAACAGTAGTAACTTGGTCACCCATATTTTGAACAGCAGTGGTAAACGCAGTGGTAAACTGCATTCCATATAAAAGTTTTACCACAGTCTTCACATTTGTAAGGTTTCTCTCCCGTATGTATCCTTACGTGTTTTTTTAAGTTACCAAGCTCTGCAAATCTTTTACCACAATGTTTACATTGATAAGGTTTCTCTCCTGTATGTATGCTAAGGTGTTTATTCAAACACAATTCTGTGAAAATGTTCTACCACAATTTTCACATTGGTAAGGTTTGTCTCCAGTATGTATCCTAACATGTTTATTCAATTTAGAAAGGTGTCTAAATGTTTTACCACAATGTTTGCATTGATAAGGTTTCTCTCCTGTTTGAACCCTCACATGTCTTTGTAATCGTGGATTTTTTCCGCATTCATTTTTCATGTGAACATTTAGATAGTCCTTACTACTGTACTTTCGACCACAACGTGGACATTCCCAGGGATTCGTACAAACAAGCATTGGACATCGTTTTAAATGTTTCTCTAAATAATCGGGATAAGTATACATCCTTCCACAGTGTCTACAGCTGTGACCTCCAACTAAAAAGAAAAGTTAGAATTGCATCACAGTATAAAGAACTGAATGATCATACATAACTAAGGCACTTCGCATACGTAAACTGACTAACCTTCAAACTGATGTTTGTCATTATCTTCCTCATCAAACAACGATATTCCCAACTGTTCAGCATACTCATCTCCATACCAAACAAGCAATTCTTTATCGGCTTCAATCTCTTTATAAACTCGGTAGTAAATTTCTCCATTATATTGATATGCAATTATATTTTGTTCTTCTTTAAATCTTGCACAATTCACAAATCTCATCCAATTACCTTGAGCAAGATCCTTACCATCAATGCAATATACAACCTTTCCTCCTTGTACAATCTGTAAACACGGACAGATAAATAATTATGACAAAGTATGTATGTTTAATATCTGCATGGTGAAAGTAGAACAGGCAGAAAATATTTTAATAAAATGAAATTATTTCTTTATTGAAATATATGTTCACCTCCCACATATACGAAGGATCTCTTCCATCCTCTGCGTCTTTAAGCGAAAGTACCTCTCCTCTGTATGGTCCAAAACGAGTGTTAATTTCAACTTTTTTCTTTGTAAAAACACCCCTGCCTGCTTTGGGGATTGTAGCGGTATTTATGTAAAGATCTTTTGGAAGTGTCTTCATAGCATTTGATGTTCCCTTCCATTGATATACTTCAAAGAAATGAAATTTGTTTGAAAAAGTTCTCCATCGTTAAAACAACTGCATTGGTCACAATTTTAAAGAAAATATCAAATCACAGTAATGAACTGATATTTAAATATTCATGACTGTACACTAACAAAAGTAAAGTACTTACAAATGTTAAGATCATCATCAGGTACATCTTCCACTGTATAAATCTTTATGGATGACTTTCTTAATGATCGTCTTAAAGAAGTCTTTTTCAGAATTTTACAGTTATATTTGATAGATTTCTTTTAATAATGGATTTAGTTTTCTTGTCATTTACATCGTTGACCTTGGGTTTTGACGTTGACGAATTATAAGACTTTCTCTTTTAATTATCAATCTTGCCTTCCGCATAAATTGTCACACAATATGAGCTTTTATAGTTTATTTTAATACAGTGTTTGTGTTACCGCCGTTTATGGGCGGTGAACATAAGGGAACTAATAAGAGCCGCGGCGTTATAACGAGCATTCACAGAAAATAACTTATGCATAGATGATGTCATACAAACTTTTAAAAACTTCTAATGTCTCATGTTTCTACATATTTTATTCCTTATAAATGATGGACAATATCTAAAGGTTGTAATTATATTTCATAATGTGATATGTAGTCAAATCACTCAAATACAGTTAAAGTACATCATGTAAAAAAAATTTAATGAAGATAACAACATTGAACTAATATAATTAAAAAGTAAAGTTCCATCGTTCAAATTAAATACGTTTCATCATTGCAACCTACTTCAATCCAGAGACGAAGCAACTTGAAATTGTCGATAAAACTTTGTTTGATGTAAAAGGTTCGCAAATTTTTTAAGCTTTTAAACTTGAATTCAGACTTTTATTGCTCTTTACAATCATAAACACCAAGTGCCACTTAAATATTGAACATTTACCGTAGGTTTTGAATGTTTTGTATTACATTTCAAGTTTTGGCGGAAATACGGCGCATGCGTGGTAGGCTTTGTCTAGCAGCCTGAAATCTCCGTACCATGATCGGAGATCTCTTACATTTAAATGTCGTCTTTACACACTCTTGTACTGTGTTTTTCAACATTTATTGAGTTGAATGCTGCTAAAACGTCTTCCAAGCAAAGACTGTGTCAAGATTAGTTTGTATGCAAGAAGAACAACACAAAGTATGTCATACTTTATCATATTCAGGTGAGGTGGGGAGGTGTACTTGTTCTTGGTTTAATTTCAATGAGAGAGGATAGAGTTGAGCATTGAGTTGAGGAAACTGTCAAATTGACCGATTCGTCAAGATTTCTAAATGTACATGACTTTCCATTAAAGCTATGAATTACATATAAGCATTGATACATTAAACAATGTGTATTGGTTAACAAATGCTTGTCGTTAACAAGGGTACACCCTTGTTAACGACAGACAAACATACGAACAACTCAAACAAGATCCAACACCATCACTAGTACGCAAACTTAACAGCAAGATCTCTATGAGAAAATCTAACATTATATCTGAACGTAGTTACTATAGACTTAGGTGTTCAGTACCATGACCACCCAGACTATACGGACTACCAAAACTTCACAAACCACAAATACCCATGCGACCAATTGTATCATTCTGTGTTTCGCCTACTTACGAACTTTGACCATTTGTTGTGTCGTCGTTAAATTCAAATGGAGATTTCATTAGATTTGCATACAGACTACAAAGATGACGGTTGCAAAGGGAATTTACTTGATCTCAACATAATTTCAAATTTTGACTACAGTACACAATGACAACAGTGAACTTGTTTTTGGTTTCTCTGAAATATCATAAAAATTCATCTTCTTGACAATAAAAATTTGCATCTAGTTTTCATTGTGAAACATGCAGCTGACAAATTGCAGAAGAAACAAACGTTACAAAAATGCATTGCTGAAGTGGCAAAAAATTGAAAAGATTTCATGGAAAGAAAACATTTACTAAAGCACCTGGTAGGAGGGGTGGTTATTTTATGACAGAGTCAGGAGGGTGAATGCTTTAACAAAAGTAATTTACAGGAAGGATGGTTACTTCATAAGTTCAAGAAGGTAATACCATTCATAAATGTGTTTTGAAACATAAACATATATCATGATTATCAGCATTTATCTTATCAACAAAATGATGTGAATATTTTCATTTTAGTTATGAAATATGTCCTTTGTAATCATTGGTTCCCTGTTGTTTGTCTTTGTTCTCCAGTTCATGAATGACATGATCATTAAATGATTGGGGTTAACAGTTGCATCATAATTGGTTATTTCAAAAGTTAGCAAGGTATGAGTTAAAATGATGAATAAATTTGCATGTAGGTAATAGCATGGTTTCTTGTGCAATTTGGAAAGAAACTTGCACAAGTGAGTTTTTAACTATCAAATCAAAACAGCATGAGTCTGAATGATGAGAAGAACTTAGAAGTCCATGTTTTGCAAACTATGCAATTACTTATTATTAATATGCTTAAAAAAGTTCCTCAATTTTGTTGATTGTTAGCTTCAACAACAAACAAACAAACAACATTTGTATACCGGCCAGTATTAATCGCCGCCAGGGGGGTTGACCGGTCCATGAATTTTTCCATGCCAAACGTCTCTATCTCTCGCCATATCTCTCGTTATACCCATCGCCTTCATATCACTGTTCACAGCATCCATCCATCTCTTTCTCGGTCTACCTCGTTTGCGGACTCCATCAACATTCATATGCAACGTTCTACGAATTTCAGCACTTTCTTCCCTCCTTTCCACATGCCCAAACCACCTCAAACGCTGGCGCCTTACCCAATTCTCGATACACTCAACACCAACTCTTTCTAATCTCTTCACTTCGAATCCTATCCATCAACGTTACACCACACATCATCCTAAGCATTCTCCTTTCCGTCGACGCCAATCTTCTCAGGTCCTCTGCTTTCGGCGCCCAACACTCTGCTCCATATCCAAAACACTTCTAACACATGCCTTATACAATTCTCCTTCTGCTTCAACGAAGTCGACTTTCCGCACAACATTCCCGACAACTCTCTAAAACTCCACCACGCTGCTTGAACTCTGTTCCTCACCGCTTGCTCGCACCTCCACCATCATTTAACACATCGCCCAGATATTTAAACTCCGATACACCTTCCAAACTCACGTCACCCAGTTCAAACCGTTCAATCGCGACTCGCCCACCACTTCGACACGTCCCGCACTCAAAATCAGTTACTCTTGTCAATGCACCACGGACACCTGAACATCTTCCATGAACCCACTTACTGCATTTCCCACACATTATCGAATTCACTCCAACTCTTTTCCCACACACACCACATGGCCATTTATCACTGTCCTTCACCTCCACCTGCCTCGAGCATCTCATGCACTTCGTCTTTGCCTCATTCACTTTCAGTCCCTTGACTTCTATTGCCGTTTTCCATTCTCGGTACCATTCCATGACTTTCTGCTTCGACTCCGCCACCAAGACAATGTCATCTGCATACAACAAACACCAGCATCCTTCTTTCTTCTCACTCCTCTGTCAGTACATCCATGACACAAGCAAACAGTAACGGCGACAAGACTGAACCTTGATGAACACCAACTTTTACCTCAAAAACACCAGATCTAACACCTTCCTCCGTAACCACCGCCTCTACACCTTCATAAGTCTCCATAACTGCCCGAACCATATTCTCTGTCACACCTTTCTTACGCAGCGCGTACTCGATCACCTTTCTCGGAACTCTATCAAACGCCTTCTCCAAATCTACAAACACCATATACAATTCTCTGTCCTTCTCCAAAATTCTCCTGCAGCTGCCTCAACACAAAACACGCATCCGTCGTTCCTCTCCGGTATGAATCCATACTGCTCTTCCCCATCCGAACAACTTCCCTCAACCTTCTTTCAAACACTCTCTCTACTATCTTCAACGCATGCTCCATCAGCTTAACAGTCCTGTAATTCCCACATACCGTCGCTGCTCTTTTCCTTTGTACAGCGGGACCACTAGACTCTTTCTCCATGTACTCGGCATCTTTGAGCCCCTCAAAACCTCGTTCGCTACATTACACAACTCTCTCACGCATAGTTCATTGTCCAACATTTCGCTACCCACTTCACTCGGTCCCGTCGCCTTTCCTTTCTTCATCTTGCGCAGAGCCGCCGCCACCTCATCAACAGTCACTATTTCCCACGGCCCCAAAACTTCATCCGCTTCAACTTCTCCATTCCACTCATTCTCTACATTCATCAAACGGTCACAGTACGCCCTCCACACTTCTAACCTGTCTTCCAATAACACCTTCAACCCCCCATCTTGGTTCTGCACGCCGAGCACCAAAATATCGTTCCTCTCCTTCTTGCTCCTTCTAGCAGTTCTAAACAACGCTTTTCGTCCATTCTCCTGCATTTTACGAGCTCTTTCTGATGCCTTTCTATCGCTTTAGCCACCTTTCGCGCGAACCGGTAATCGATCCTATCTGCTTCAGTCCGCGACTTTCTCCACCTTTAAATGCCAACTTTCGCGCCAATCACTTCGCTGACTCGTTGATCCCACCACCATGCCTGTTCTTCTACTACACCGCCTTTATTTCTAAACATACCTTCTCCGCTGCCTTTAAAACACCTTTCTCCAAGCACGTCCATCGCTCCTCCACCGTCTCACCCTCAACATTCAATGTCGCAATTTCGTCACGGAAACACTGCTTCCCTTCATTCGATCGTAACTTCCATAGCTTAAGCCTGCCTTTACCCTCAACCTTTCTCCTCTTCACCTTCCTGATTCTCCAGTCCATGACCAGCAGCTTGTGCTGGATCACACATTCTTCTCCTGCAATCACTTTGCATCCTTCACGTTTTTCCTCTCTTCTTCATTCACCAGTATATAATCCACAACCGTCCTACTGTCACCAGATTCATACGTCACAAGCTTGCTTTCTTCCTTTATAAACCACGTATTCACTACCACCATCCCACAACTCGCTGCTAACTCCAATATCGCCTCGCCTTCAGCATTCATATCACCAACTCCAAAACCTCCATGCGCACAGTATCCTTTTCTTACGCTTCCCACATGACCGTTCCAATCACCAAGCATCACACATCGCCCTCTAATGTCTGCTCTCACTCTATACACGCTGTCGTAGAACTTTTCCTTCTCCTCCGCACTTCGTCCAACCTGCGGAGCATACACCACAACGAAACTCACAACTTCGGCCTCAATAACTACATCAACTCTCAGGACTCTGTCCGAAACTCTCTTCACTGCTACAACCGACTTCGCCCAATCCTCTCTTATCGCAAAGCCAACACCATTCGTGCCACTTCCGTTTCCCTTCCAAAACCACTTAAATCTCGCTCCATTATCTTCACCCTTTATGACTCTCGTACCTTCACCTTTAAACCTTACCTCCTGAAACCCACACACATCAACTTTCCTTCTCTTCAACATGTCCGCCACTTCTGCACTCCTTCCCTTCATTGTCCCAACGTTCACTGTGCCTACCCGAAGGGTGACACTTCCACCAACATTCGATCCGGAGATTCTTCGCACCCCCTGCCCACTGAAGGGCTGCCGGGGACTGGGGGCCATATCTTCTTTTTCAAAGTACATGAATTTTGTTGGAGCAAAAGTTTTACGGTAGGATGCCCTTCCTTACACCAACCCCTTTTAGTCGTCTTTTACGACACGCAGAGGATACGTTGGCGCAATTCTAAGCCGGCAACCACACGGCAATATTGTTAGCTTCAGCACAACAATATTTTGAATCAAAAGTTATTGAAATCAATTGACTTATATTTTTCAATTTGTTAGATATTTTTTTCGTTTCATCATTGCCTACATCCACACATGCACATAGCCAAAAACATGGTACTTTTGAAAGTGTTCATAATTTTGGCAATGTCATGCAAATGCTGAATTGTAGATTGGGTCAATAAAGATAAAGAAAAATCTACTTAAAATTTACAGTGAGTTATGGCAGGCACTGTTATTGCATTTTGTTACATTATTGTATATTTACAACTTGCAAATGTTTTATTTCATTGGTTTTTATGATTTTATCATTGTTTTGAGAAACCTTAAGGAGGGTTTTAAAATATGACTAAATTATATTGACTCCTGGATGTATAAGCCAGAGATTGATCCAAGAGGAATTTGTATAGGGCATGCTTTGGTTTAGATTAGATTTTGAAAGCTACTTTGAGTGTGTTGCTTCTAATAAGAGGGGTATGACCCTCCTCGAACATCGATAGTAAATCCATCTCTACGTATGTTTAGATAATGAGAGACAAAGTTGGCTTGATTGCTAAAGAAATGTGCCCAGCAAAACTTGTTTGTATCATATACAACCATCTTCTTATACAACTGTTTTTTTCTCAATTGTATAGATATTTTGATACTATGCTGTACCTATGTTAGTTGTCATTTCGAATGCCTCCTGTGGACACATACTGGCGTTTAACTGAGTGTGTGGTCTTTCCTTGTTATGTATTTACTGTGGTCTTTGATTATATATTACTGGCTGTTTGTGTTCTTGAAGAATGGGGTATACCTGTATATTTGTTAGCTTATGACTAGTTTTACTTGATTAAAACATGATCATGATTTTAACATTTGAATATTATCGTTGATCATTTCAAATTCATCGTTGATCATTTGAAATTTATCGTTGATCATTTAAAATTTATCGTTGATCATTTGAAATTTATCGTTGATCATTTGAAATTTATCGTTGATCATTTGAAATTTATCGTTGATCATTTGCAATTTCAAACATTGATTTGTAAAACAAAGAGGGAATTTATGTTTCAGTACCTGGAGCTTTGATTGTACATAATGACTTGTTGGTATTGTCCATGGCTGGTATTCTTGGGTTCTGAGAAATGTTAAAGTGTTATCACTAGTGATGCACCAATATACATATTTAGCGATATACCAATTAACAGATATTAAAATGCCGATATTGTGCCGATACCGATATTTTACGCCATTTTACGAAACTTAAGCATCATAAAGTATGCCAATTGTGCTCACCATTGGCTGTTCAATTCATAAAAAAATATAAAATTCAAAGCGGTTATTTACACTGCAGCAATCTTTCACAACACAACCCAATTGTCAATGGAAGTTGATATCATGTGGAACTAAAAAGTTTAAAATAGTATTAATTTAACAAAAATTGTTAAGGTAATATATATTTAGTATTGTTAACAGTGCTGCCACTCGTAGGGGAAATCCCCTACACTAGCGGGATTCAGTGGTTTGTAGATGGTAGGGGGAAACCTACTGGAAAATTATAAATTGTTGAGAGAAAAGAAAATCGTTTAAAAATGAGCCTAATTTTTGCCCAAAATACTCTTTTCTTCCTGTGTTCTCACCATGAATATGAGTCACGAAGTTTTAAATTTGGGCTAGAAAAATAAATTGAAGCAGAACAGTTATTTCCACAGTTATAATATACAGTTAATGAAGTTAACTTTGGGGGAAAAGGAAGACTGATCAAAATGAAACCTTGTAAGGGGTTCGTTTTATAGTCTATTAAGGAATAAAGTAATTGAGGAGCATTCTTGATGTTTCTTATGTGGCCACAACACCTGACTTGTCAATTGTCACAATGACTGTAGACAACATACAGGGCCAAATTTAATGTCCTCTTCGTGGGCGCAACAAGGCGTGAAATTGTATAGTTTTTTTGCCTATTTCAATGAATTTTATTTGCTTTCTCCCACAGACAGGAATCGTTACTGGCATTGCATCTTATTATTAATCCAAGCTTAATATATTTTTGTGGGTAGCCTGCTCACAAGCTATTCACAATGTTATACTAAAAAATGTCCAGATGTCCAGGTGCTAGGACGGCAATTCAGGAATTGACACGACTACATGACGATGATGTGTTACGGAAAATATTCGAAAGTATAAAATTAAGGAAATTTGTAAAATTTTACTGGCTATAGTTGAAATAATCATCTCAAAATATCATACAGGTATACTAAAGGTTAGTATTAATACTGAACATCAGTCATCTACAATTCAAGACCTACCGTAGGATTAAAATAGAAAGATATTGTATAAAATTCTGTTATAAAGATTCTGTATTGAAGCGAAAAAAAAAATTATTTTTTGCTAAAATTTTTGAGATTTCTTTAGGACGTCGCTACTGTTGTTATAATGGCAAGCCTACTTAGCAGGTCTATTGAGTCATTGACTGAAGCCTGTCTCTCAAACAGACGTCCGACTTGTTTCAGTCGTTTAAGTCAGTCGTCCATAGAGCGCTAGCTAATAAACTAATAAGACAGACTTTTAGTTGGTGGTAATTGGAGACAAAATTATCATTTTGTTGATAAATGATCTATAATATTTTGGTTATCATTACAAAAAAATGACCGTCGGACTTCTCTAGTGATTTCTCATGTAGTTAATTAAATATTAGTTATTTACGCTGTTCGCGTACCTATTTTTGATTTTTTAGTGGTAGCGCAGTCATCGGTAGAGTGTAATCAAAATGCAAAGGCTAACATAAAGTATCGAGACTCAATAATACTGCGGCATGTACTGCAAATTTCATTAGTTCAAAGGTGAAGGGGGCGCGAAATTTGCTTTGGCCTCCGCAGTCAAAATTGCACCACCACGCTACTGGGCGGGAAGCGAATTCTTATTATAAATATTAAAGCCCAGCAAAGTGCTTTTAAAAGAGCCATTCAATACAAAAATAATGTATAAAAAAGAAATATTTATTCATTAGCGCAACGTTTCGTCTTGACTCACAAGGCATCATCAGACAGTAGTAAATTACAAGTAGTGAGGGATTTATATAAAATAGTTATTTATATAATATTAAATTACATAGTGGGATGAAAAACGTGACCCCCAATAGCAAAGCCAGCACGTTTTTCACTGCTACTATGTAAATATTTTTGTGTTCAATCACCGGAAGACAATAAAATGAACCAATTTTGTAAAGACATCGAAATATTTGAATTGTGGGAGTAATAGATCGGGCTAATTTCGTCACTGATTACCTCCATCATAATTTCTCTAAGGATATCATTTTTTCATGATGGCAGTCCTTCACAAGATTAGAAGGGCCAAGGCCTCCTTCTTGTCAGCCTTACTCTCAATCAATCCTTTGTAAATCCCTTGCGACAGTATTAATATCATAAATGTTACTTACGAGCATAGATCTTACCGTGTTGTTTCAAGTTACTCTTCTTATTAAACATTTTACCAAAATGTTCACATTGATAAGGTTTTTCTTGTGTGTATCCTCATGTGTCTTTTAAAATTATTAGACTTATTAAATCTTTTACCACAATGTTGACATTGATAAGGTTTCTCTCCAGTATGTATCATTACGTGACTTTTTAAGCTACAAAGCTGTGTAAATGTTTTACCACAGTGTTGACATTGATAAGGTTTCTCTCCTGTATGTATCCTAAGGTGTTTATTCAAATCACAATTCTGTGAAAATGTTTTACCACAATGTTCACATTGATAAGGTTTCTCTCCTGTATGTATCCTAAGGTGTTTATTCAAATCACAATTCTGTGAAAATGTTTTACCACAATGTTCACATGTATAAGGTTTCTCTCCTGTATGTATCCTAAGGTGTTTATTCAAATCACAATTCTGTGAAAATGTTTTACCACAATGTTCACATTGATAAGGTTTCTCTCCTGTATGTATCCTAACGTGTCTATTCAAGGCACTATTGTGGGTAAATGTTTTACCACAATGTTCACATTGATAAGGTTTCTCTCCTGTATGTATCCTAAGGTGTTTATTCAAGGCACTATTGTGGGTAAATGTTTTACCACAATGTTCACATTTATAAGGTTTGTCTCCTGTATGTATCCTAAGGTGTTTATTCAAATCACAATTCTGTGAAAATGTTTTACCACAATGTTCACATTTATAAGGTTTCTCTCCTGTATGTATCCTAAGGTGTTTATTCAAATCACAATTCTGTGTAAATCTTTTACCACAATGTTCGCATTTATAAGATTTCTCTCCTGTGTGTATCATACCATGACGTTTTAAGTTACCAAGCTGTGTAAATCTTTTACCACAATTTTCACATTGGTAAGGTTTCTCTCCTGTTTGAACCCTCAAATGTCGTTTTAATCGTTGATTTTTTCCGCATTCATTTTTCATGTGAACATTTAGATAGTCTTCACTACTGTACTTTCGACCACAACGTGGACATTCCCAGGGATTCGTACAAACAAGCATTGGACATCGTTTTAAATGTTTCTCTAAATAATCGGGATAAGTATACATCCTTCCACAGTGTCTACAGCTGTGACCTCCAACTAAAAAGAAAAGTTAGAATTAGATCACAGGATAAAGAACTAAATGATCATACATAACTAAGGGCCTTGGCATACGTAAACTGACTAACCTTCAAACTGATGCTTGTCATTATCTTCCTCATCAAACAACGATATTCCCAACTGTTCAGCATACTCATCTCCATACCAAACAAGCAATTCTTTATCGGCTTCAATCTCTTTATAAACTCGGTAGTAAATTTCTCCATTATATTGATATGCAATTATATTTTGTTCTTCTTCAAATCTTGCACAATTCACAAATCTCATCCAATTACCTTGAGCAAGATCCTTACCATCAATGCAATATACAACCTTTCCTCCTTGTACAATCTGTAAACAAGGACAGATAAATAATTATGACAAAGCATATATGTTTAATATCTGCATGGTGAAAGTAGAACGGGCAGAAAATATTTTAATAAAAGAAATTATTCATTTATTTAAATATGTTCACCTCCCACATATACGCAGGATCTCTTCCATCCTCTGCGTCTTTAAGCGAAAGTACCTCTCCTCTGTATGGTCCAAAACGAGTGTTAATTTCAACTTTTTCTTTGTAAAACACCCCTGCCTGCGTTGGGGATTGTAGCGGTATTTATGTAAAGATCTTTTGGAAGTGTCTTCATAGCATTTGATGTTCCCTTCCATTGATGTACTTCAAAGAAATGAAATTTGTTCGAAAAACGTTCTCCATTGTTAAAACAACTGCATTGGTCACAATTTTAAAGCAAATATCAAATCACAGTAATGAACTGATGTTTAAAATATTCATGACTGTACACTAACAAAAGTAAAGTACTTACAAATGTTAAGATCATCATCAGGTACATCTTCGTCTGTATAAATCTTTTTGGATGACTTTCTTAATGATCGTCTTAAAGAAGTCTTTTTCAGAGTTTTACAGTTATATTTGATGGATTTTCTTTTAATGATGGATTTAGTTTTTTTATCATTTATATCGTTGACCTTGGGTTTTGACGTTGACGAATTACCGATTCTTTTAGAAGAAACCTGTAAAAACGTTTGATCGAAATTTATCCAAAAAATGTGAAAATGTTTACTTATTGCTTATCCTTTCCTTTTATCCATTTTCTAAAACATACCTGTTTATTTGCAAATTTCTTCATGACTTCAGTTTTTAATGTTGTTTTAAAAACTATAAGACAGCAATTTCATTTTTTAAAAAACTATACTTCTTACAGTCAAAAGTGAAAATTACAAAAGAAATTACCAGTGAACGACGTGTCATACGCTTGCACGAAATCTTTTTAAAGCAAATTGTTGGAGATGTAATGTTTATCTCAAAAATAGTTTTTGTTGAAAATCGCAATGAACTTGTAACTTTGTTGATTTATACTACAGCAGAGAGAAAAACATGACGATCATTTCATACGCTAAGACGAAACTGAAACACCATTACCGTTGAAGCTGTTCTATTGTGTAAAAGAGTTTTGTCAGAGACCATCAAAAATGAAATCAAGATTAGGGCAGCCTCCACCATACATTTGTCCTCTATATGTGAAAACACATTTATTTCAAGGTAACAGAGGCCGCGCAAGCTCGATAATTTTGGGGGGGGGGTGCAAATATTCATATATGCTTGTACTACTTTAGTAGTTTCTGTTGAAATCAATTGTGGGTATGGATTTAACTAAAGATTAAAACATACCAATATATAAATATTTTCTCCTTTAATTATCAATCTTGCGCGCCCCCCGCATAAATTGTCACACAATATGAGCTTTTATAGTTTTTTAGTACAGTGTTTGTATTGGCGCCGCATTTGGACGGTGAACATAAGGGAACTAATAAGTGCCGCGACGTTAAAACGAGCATTCAAAGAAAATAAGCTGGGCATAGATGATGTCATAAAAACTTTTAAAAACTTCTAATGTATCATGTTTCTACATATTTGATTTCTTATAAATGATGGAGAATATCTAAAGGTTGCAATTATATTTCATAATGTGATATGTAGTCATCTAAAGGTTGCAATTATATTTCATAATGTGATATGTAGTCATATCACTCAAATACAGTTAAAGTACATTATGTAAAAACATTTAATGAAGATAACAACATTGAACTAATATAATTAAAAAGTAAAGTTCCATCGTTCAAATTAAATACGTTTCATCATTGCTACCTACTTGAATCCAGAGACGAAGCAACTTGAAATTGTCGATAAAACTTTGTTTGATATAGAAAGTTCCCAAATGTTTCAAGCTTTTAAACTTGAATTCAGACGTTTATTGCTCTTTAAAATCATACACACCCAGTGCCAAGTAAATATTCAACGTTTACCGTAGGTTTTGAATGTTTTGTATTACATTTCAAGTTTTGGCGGAAATATGGCGCATGTGTGGTGGGCTTTGTCTAGCAACCGGAAACCCCCGTACTCTTTTACATTTCAATGTCGTCTTTTACACACTAAAGTGTTTTTCAACATTTATTGAGTTGAATGCTGCTAAAACGTCTTTCAAGCGAAGACTGTGTCATGATTAGTTAGTATGCAAGAAGAACAACACAAAGTATCTCATACTTTATCATATTCAGGTGAGGTGGGGTGTACTTGTTCTTGGTTTAATTTTATTGACAGAGAGGATAGAGTTGAGCATTGAGTTGAGGAAACTGTCGAATTGACCGATTCGTCGAGATATCTAAATGTACATGACTTTTCATTAAAGCTATGAATTACATATGAGCATTGATACATTAAACAATGTGTATTGAGTTAACAAATGCTTGTTAATAATTTGACCATTTGTTGTGTTGTCATTAAATTCAAATCGAGATTTCATTAGATTTGCATACAGACTACAATGATGACAGCTGCAAAGGGAATTTACTTGATTTCAATATAATTTCAAATTTTGACAGTGAACTTGTTTTTGGTTTCTTTGAAATATCATAAAAATTCATCTGCTTGACAGTAAAAATTTGCATCTAGTTTTCATTGTGAAACATGCAGCTGGCAAATTGCAGAAGAAACAAACATTACAAAAATGCATTTCTGAAGTGGCAAAAAAATTGAAAAGATTTCATGGAAAGAAAACATTTACTAAAGCACCTGGTAGGAGGGGTGGTTATTTTATGACAAAGTCAGGAGGGGGTGAATGCTTTAACAAAAGCAATTTAGAGGAAGGATGGTTACTTCATAAGTTCAAGAAGGTAATACTCACCTTTCATAAATGTGTTTGAAACATAAACATATATCATGATTATCAGCATTTATCTTATCAACAAAATGATGTGAATATTTTCATTTTAGTTATGAAACATGTCCTTTGTAATAATTGGTTCTCTGTTGTTTGTCTTTGTTCTCCAGTTCATGACTGACATGATCATTAAATGATTGGGGTTAGCAGTTGCATCATAATTGTTTATTTCAAAAGTTAGCAAGGTATGAGTTAAAATGATGAATAAATTTGCATGTAGGTAATAGCATGGTTTCTTGTTCAATTTGGAAAGAAACTTGCGCAAGTGAGTTTTTAACTATCAAATCAAAACAGCATGAGTCTGAAGGATGAGAAGAACTTAGAAGTCCATGTTTTGCAAACTATGCAATTACTTATTATTAATATGCTTAAAAAATTTCCTCAATTTTGTTGATTGTTAGCTTCAGCACAACAACATTTTGAATTAAAAGTAGTTGAAATCAATTGACTTATATTTTTCAATTTGTTAGATATTTTTTTCGTTTCATCATTGCCTGGTTGTACACATGCACATAGCCAAAAACATGGTACTTTTGAACGTGTTCATAATTTTGGCAATTTCATGCAAATGCTGAATTGTAGATTGGGTCACCAAAGACAAAGAAAAATCTACTTAAAATTTACAGTGAGTTATGCCAGGCACTGTTATTGCATTTTGTTACATTATTGTATATTTACAACTTGCAAATGTTTTATTTCATTGGTTTTTATGACTTTATCATTGTTTTGAGAAACCTTAAGGAACATTTTAAAAAATGACTAAATGATATTGACTCCTGGATGTATAAGCCTGAGATTGATCCAAGAGGAATTTGTATAGGGCATGCTTTGGTTTAGATTAGATTTTGAAAGCTACTTTGAGTGTGTTGCTTTAATAAGAGGGTATGACCCTCCTCCAACATCGATAGTAAATCCATCTCTACGTATGTTTAGATAATGAGAGACAAAGTTGGCTTGATTGCTAAAGAAATGTGCCTAGCAAAACTTGTTTGTATCATATACAACCATCTTCTTATACAACCGTTTTTTTCTCATTCGTATAGATATTTTGATGCTATGCTGTACCTACGTGAGTTGTCATTTCGTATGCCTCCTGTGGACACATACTGGCGTTTAACTGAGTGTGTGGTCTTTCCTTGTTATGTATTTGCTGTGGTCTTTGGTTTTATATTACTAGCGGTTTGTATTCTTGAAGAATGGAGGTATACCTGTATAATTGCTACATTCTGACTAGTTTGACTCGATTAAAACATGATCATGATTTTAACATTTGAATTTTATCGTTGATCATTTGCAATTTGAAACATTGATTTGTAAAACAGAGGGAATTTATGTTTCAGTATCTGGAGCTTTGATTGTACATAATGACTTGTTGGTATTGTCCATGGCTGGTATTCTTGGGTTCTCAGAAATGTTAAAGTGTTATCACTAGTGATGCACCAATATACATATTTAGCGATATACCAATTAACAGATATTAAAATGCCGATATTGTGCCGATACCGATATTTTACGCCATTTTACAAAACTTAAGCATCATAAAGTATGCCAATTGTGCTCACCATTGACTGTTCATTTCAGAAAAAATATAAAATTCAAAGCGGTTATTTACACTGCAGCAATCTTTCACAACTCAACCCAATTGTCAATGGAAGTTGATATCACAGCGCTATAACCAACAACTACAAACAATAACGACCTTATCTAACAACATTTGAGAAATTAACCTTCCACTCCTCTTCCTTGTAAACCAGACAAGTCTACTCAAAAGCAGAGAGCCTTATACGCTACAAGTCCCGGGCTTGTGACCGGTATAGCAGAGTTAAGATGTTGTTAGATAAGGTCGTTATTGTTTGTAGTTGTTGGTTATAGCGCTGTGCTATCATTCATTTTGTTTAATAACATTCCAACTATTTAACCTTGTGGAAGTTGATGTCATGTGGAACTAAAAAGTTTAAAGTAGTATTAATTTAACAAAAATTGTTAAGGTAATATATATTTAGTATTGTTAACAGTGCTGCCACTCGTAGTGGAAATTGCCCTACAGTAGCGGGATTTAGTGGTTTGTAGGTGGTAGGTGAAACCTACGGGGAAAACTGTAAATCGTAGGGGGTTTGTAGGGAGAAAAGAATCTTTCTTTTGGCATAATCATATGATGTTAAACTGTCAACTCATTTGACTAATATTGAAATTAAATGAAACGTGAAAGCCAGAAAGACATAATTGCAGATGACGATTAAATATCGTGGCCAGAGATTTGCCAGGAGGTAAGCGCATTTTCATAATGAACATAATAACCCAACATAAGACTTTTAAAAAAAGCCATCACGGCAATAAATCAGAAATAAAGATAAAAGGTTTTTTAATAATTACGTTTCGTCTTTAACTTAAGAAATCTTGAGATTAAATGATATAAATTTTTATTTGAGGCTTTATATAAGCATATATTTACAGGGTAGTAACCTGGGATGTACCGGGCGGGAAGCGAATTCTTATTATAAATATTAAATCCCAGCAAAGTGCTTTTAAAAGAGCACTTCAATACAAAAATAATGTATAAAAACGAAATATTTATTCATTAGCGTAACGTTTCGTCTTGACTCTCAATGTATCATCAGACATTATTAAATTACAAGTAATGAGGGATTTATATAAAACAATTATTTATATAATATTAAATTACATGGTGGGATGAAAAACGTGACCCCCAATAGCAAAGCCATCACGTTTTTCACTGCTACAATTTAAATATTTTTGTGTTCAATCGCCGGAAGACAATAAAATGAACCAATTTTGTAAAGACATCGAAATATTTGAATTCTGGGAGTAAAAGATCAGGCTGATATCGTCACTGATTACCTACATGTTAATTTCTCTAAGGATTTCATTTTTTCATGATGGCAGTCCTTCACAAGATTAGAAGGGCCAAGGCCTCCTCATTGTCAGCCTTACTCTCAATCAATCCTTTGTAAATCCCTTGCCACAGTATTCATATCATAAATGTTACTTACGAGCATGGATCTTACCGTGTTGTTTCAAGTTACTCATCTCATTAAATGTTTTACCAAAATGTTCACACTGATAAGGTTTTTCTTGTGTGTATCTTCATGTGTCTTTTTAAATTATTAGACTTATTAAATCTTTTACCACAATGTTCACAATGATAAGGTTTCTCCCCAGTATGTATCCTAATGTGTGTTTTCAAGTCACACTTGTTTGTAAATGTTTTACCACAATGTTCACATTGATAAGGTTTCTCTCCAGTATGTATCCTAAAGTGACGTTTAAAGCTACCATGCTCTGTAAATGTTTTACCACAATGTTCACATCGATAAGGTTTCTCTCCAGTATGTATCCTAAGGTGTCGATTTAAGTCACCATGCGCTTTAAATGTTTTACCACAGTGTTTACATTGATAAGGTTTCTCTCCCGTATGTTTCCTAAGGTGTTGTTTCAAGGCTACATTCCATATAAAAGTTTTACCACAATGTTCACATTTGTAAGGTTTCTCTCCTGTATGTATCCTTACGTGTTTTTTTAAGTTACAATGCTGTGTAAATGTTTTACCACAATGTTGACATTGATATGGTTTCTCTCCTGTATGTATCTTCATGTGACGTTTTAAGGTACCAAGCAGTGTAAAGGTTTTACCACAATGTTGACATTGATAAGGTTTCTCTCCTGTATGTATCCTAAGGTGTCTATTCAAATCACAATTCTGTGAAAATGTTTTACCACAATGTTCACATTTATAAGGTTTCTCTCCTGTATGTATCATACCATGACGTCTTAAGTTACCAAGCTGTCTAAATCTTTTACCACAATTTTCACATTGGTAAGGTTTCTCTCCAGTATGTCTCCTAACATGTTCATTCAATTTAGAAAGCTGTCTAAATGTTTTACCACAATGTTTGCATCGATAAGGTTTCTCTCCTGTTTGAACCCTCACATGTCGTTTTAATCGTGGATTTTTTCCGCATTCATTTTTCATGTGAACATTTAGATAGTCTTCACTACTGTACTTTCGACCACAACGTGGACATTCCCAGGGATTCGTACAAACAAGCATTGGACATCGTTTTAAATGTTTCTCTAAATAATCGGGATAAGTATACATCCTTCCACAGTGTCTACAGCTGTGACCTCCAACTAAAAAAAAATTTAGAATTACATCACAGTTTAAAGAACTGAATGATCATACATAACTAAGGCACTTTGCATACGTAAACTGACTAACCTTCAAACTGATGCTTGTCATTATCTTCCTCATCAAACAAGGATATTCCCAACTGTTCAGCATACTCATCTCCATACCAAACAAGCAATTCTTTATTGGCTTCAATCTCTTTATAAACTCGGTAGTAAATTTCTCCATTGTATTGATATGCAATTATATTTTGTTCTTCTTCAAATCTTGCACAATTCACAAATCTCATCCAATTACCTTGAGCAAGATCCTTACCATCAATACAATATACAACCTTTCCTCCTTGTACAATCTGTAAACACGGACAGATAAATAATTATGACAAAGCATGTATGTTTAATATCTGCATGGTGAAAGTAGAACAGGCAGAAAATATTTTAATAAAAAGAAATTATTCATTTATTTAAATATGTTCACCTCCCACATATACGCAGGATCTCTTCCATCCTCTGCGTCTTTAAGGGAAAGTACCTCCCCTCTGTATGGTCCAAAACGAGTGTTAATTTCAACTTTTTTCTTTGTAAAAACACCCCTGCCTGCGTTGGGGATTGTAGCGGTATTTATGTAAAAATCTTTTGGAAGTGTCTTCATAGCATTTGATGTTCCCTTCCATTGATGTACTTCAAAGAAATGAAATTTGTCCGAAAAACGTTCTCTATCGTTAAAACAACTGCATTGTTCACAATTTTAAAGCAAATATCAAATCACAGTAATGAACTGATGTTTAAAATATTCATGACTCTACACTAAAAGTAAAGTACTTACAAATGTTAAGATCATCATCAGGTACATCTTCGTCTGTATAAGTCTTTATGGATGACTTTCTTAATGATCGTCTTAAAGAAGTCTTTTTCAGAGCTTTACAGTTATATTTGATAGATTTTCTTTTAATGATGGATTTAGTTTTCTTGTCATTTACATCCTTGACCTTGGGTTTTGACGTGGATGGGTCACCGATTGTTTTAGAAGAAACCTGTAAAAACGTTTGATTGAAATTCAACCAAAAAATGTGAAAATGTTAATTATTGCTCATGCTTTCCTTTTATCCATTTTCTAAAACATACCTGTTTATTTGCAAATTTTTTCATGACTTCAGTTTTTAATGTTGTTTTAAAACTATAAGAAAGCAATTTCATTTTTTAAAAAACTATACTTCTTACAGTCAAAATTGAAAATTACAAAAGAAATTCCCAGTGAACGACGTGTCATACGCTTGCACGAAATCTTTTTAAAGCAAATTGTTGGAGATGTAATGTTTATCTCAAAAATAGTTTTTGTTCAAAATCGCAATGAACTTGTAACTTTGTTCATTTATACTACAGCAGACAGAAAAACATGACGATCATTTCATACGCTAAGACGAAACTGAAACACCACTACTGTTGAAGCTGTTCTATCGATTAAAAAAAGTTTGTCAGAGACCATCAAAAATGAAATCAAGATTAGGGCAGCCTCCACCATATAATTGTCCTCTATGTGTGAAAACACATTTATTTCAAGGTAACAGATGCCGCGCAAGCTCGATAATTGAGGGGGGGGGGCAAATATTCATATATGCATGTCCTACTTTAGTAGCTTCTATTGAAATCAATTGTGGGTATAGATTTAACAAAAGATTAAAACATACCAATATATAAATACTTTCTCCTTCAATTATCAATCTTGCGCCCCCCGCATAAATTGTCACACAACATGAGCTTTTATAGCAGTAAGTGTTTGTTTTGGCGCCGCATATAGGCGGTGACCATAAGGAAATTAATAAGTGCCGCGGCGTTAAAAAGAGAATTCACAGAAAATAGCCTGTGCATAGATGATGTCATAAAAACCTTTAAAAACTTCTAATGTATCATGTTTCTACATATTTAATTCCTTATAAATGATGGAGAATATCTAAAGGTTGCAATTATATTTCATAATGTGATATGTAGTCATATCACTCAAATACAGTTAAAGTACATCATGTAAAAACATTTAATGAAGATAACAACATTGAACTAATATAATTAAAAGTAAAGTTCCATCGTTCAAATTAAATACGTTTCATCATTGCTACCTACTTGAATCCAGAGACGAAGCAACTTGAAATTGTCGATAAAACTTTGTTTGATGTACAAAGTTCCCGAATGTTTCAAGCTTTTTAACTTGAATTCAGACGTTTATTGCTCTTTAAAATCATACACACCAAGTGCCAAGTAAATATTCAACGTTTACCGTAGGTTTTGAATGTTTTGTATTACATTTCAAGTTTTGGCGGAAATATGGCGCATGCGTGGTAGGCTTTGTCTAGCAGCCGAAAATCACCGTACCATGATCGGAGGTCTCTTTTACATTTAAATGTCGTCTTTACACACTCATGCAATGCGTTTTTCAACATTTATTGAGTTGAATGCTGTTAAAACGTCTTTCAAGCGAAGACTGTGTCAAGATTAGTTAGTATGCAAGAAGAACAACACAAAGTATCTAATACTTTATCACATTCAGGTGAGGGAGAGGGGGGGGGGGTGTACTTGTTCTTGGTTTAATTTTAATGACAGAGAGGATAGAGTTGAGCATTGAGTTGAGGAAACTGTCAAATTGACCGATTCGTCAGGATTTCTAAATGTACATGACTTTCCATTAAAGCTATAAATTACATATGAGCATTGATACATTAAACAATGTGTATTGAATTAACAAATGCTTGTTAATAAATTGGCCATTTGGTTTGTCTTCATTAAATTCAAATCGAGATTTCATTACATTTGCATAAAGACTACAAAGATGACGGCTGCTAGGGGAATTTACTTGATTTCAACAAATTTTTAAATTTTGACAGTGAACTTGTTGGTTTCTTTGAAATATCATAAAAATTTATCTGCTTGACAGTAAAAATTTGCATCTAGTTTTCATTGTGAAACATGCAGCTGGTAAATTGGAGAAGAAACAAACGTTACAAAAATGCATTCCTGAAGTGGCAAGAAAATTGAAAAGATTTCATGGAAGGAAAACTTTTACTAGAGCACCTGTTAGGAGGGGTTGTTATTTTATGACAGAGTCAGGAGGGGGTGAATGCTTTAACAAAAGTAATTTAGAGGAAGGATGGTTACTTCATAAGTTGAAGAAGGTAATACTAACCATTCATAAATGTGTTTTGAAACATAAACATATATCATGATTATCAGCATTTATTTTATCCACAAAATGATGTGAATATTTTCATTTTAGTTATGAAATATGTCCTTTGTAATCATTGGTTACCTTTTGTTTGTCTTTGTTCTCCTGTTCATGAATGATATGATCATTAAATGATTGGGGTTAGCAGTTGCATCATAATTGGTTATTTCAAAAGTTAGAAAGGTATGAGTTAAAATGATTAATAAATTTGCATGTAGGTAATAGCATGGTTTCTTGTGCAATTTGGAAAGAAACTTGCTCAAGTGAGTTTTTAACTATCAAATCAAATTAGCATGAATCTGAAGGATGAGAAGAACTTAGAAGTCCATGTTTTACAAACTATGCAATTACTTATTATTAATGTGCTTAAAAAATTTCCTCAATTTTGTTGATTGTTAGCTTCAGCACAACAACATTTTGAACCAAGATTTATTGAAATCAATTGACTTATATTTTTCAATTTGTTAGATATTTTTTTCGTTGCATCATTGCCTACTTCCACACATGCACATAGCCAAAAAAAAGGTACTTTTGAAAGTGTTCATAATTTTGCCAATGTCATGAAAATGCTGAATTGTAGATTGAGTCACCAAAGACAAAGAAAAATCTACTTAAAATTTACAGTGAGTTATGGCAAGCACTGTTATTGCATTTTGTTACATTATTGTATATTTACAACTTGCAAATGTTTAATTTCATTGGTTTTCATGACTTTATCATTGTTTTGAGAAACCTTAAGAAGGATTTTAAAAAATGACTAAATGATATTGACTCCTGGATGTATAAGCCTGAGATTGATTCAAGAGGAATTTGTATAGGGCATGCTTTGGTTTAGATTTGATTTTGAAAGCTACTTTGAGTGTGTTACTATTGATAAGACGGGTATGACCCTCCTGCAACATCGATAGTAAATCCATCTCTACTTGTGTTTAGATAATTAGAGACAAAGTTGGCTTAATTGCTAAAGAAATGCGTCCAGCAAACCTTGTTTGTATCATATACAACCATCTTCTTATATAACTGTTTTTTTCTCATTTGTATAGATATTTTGATGCTATGCTGTACCTATGTGATTTGTCATTTTGAATGCCTCCTGTGGAAACATACTGGCGTTTAACTGAGTGTGTAGTCTTTCCTTGTTATGTATTTACTGTGGTCTTTGGTTATATATTACTGGCTGTTGGTGTTCTTGAAGAATGGGACCTGTATATTTGTTAGCTTAGGACTAGTTTTTCTTGATTAAAACATGATCATGATAATAACATTTGAAATTTATCGTTGATCATTTGAAATTTATCGTTGATCATTTGAAATTTATCGTTGATCATTTGTAAAAGAAAGAGGGAATTTATGTTTCAGTACCTGGAGCTTTGATTGTACATAATGACTTGTTGCTATTGTCCATGGCTGGTATTCTTGGGTTCTGAGAAATGTTAAAATGTTATCACTAGTGATGCACCAATATACAAATTTAGCGATATACCAATTGGCAGATATTAAAATGCCGATATTGTGCCGATACCGATATTTTACGCCATTTTACGAAACTTAAGCATCATAAAGTATGCCAATTTGTGCTCACCATTGACTGTTCATTTCATAAAAAAATATAAAATTCAAAGCGGTTATTTACACTGCAGCAATATTTCACAACTCAACCCAATTGTCAATGGAAGTTGATATCATGTGGAACTAAAAAGTTTAAAGTAGTATTAATTTAACAAAAATTGTTAAGGTAATATATATTTAGTATTGTTAAACTATGATTCATTTCAATTGTATTTCTATTTCGATGCAATGTTTAAATGTCGGTATTATGAGCAATGAGGACGAAAAATACCAATGTCGTTATTCTGTTTTGGAGCCGGTACGCAGATATTGACAAACCATGATTTTGAGGAGAATTCAACCAATCAGAGCCCAGGTTTTCAATGGGCTATTTTATAATAGACTCTAGTGTATGCGGTGTTTGTTGATATTTAATAGTATACTCGTTAAAACTCCTAAATCACATGTTAAGTATGTTCACAGGTTTATCGAACGTTAATAGAAAGGACCATATTTATATATTCTGCTATGCCAGGCTGGTTTCTTTTGAAACTGAAATTGTTTTCAAAAGATAATAGCCAAGTATAGCTGAATATATGAATATAGTGCCCCACCTCCAATTGACGTACATACCCTGAGAAGTCAAACAACCAGACCTCCACGCACCTTAAATCCGGCCTCGAGTTTAATGTGATGTAAGTGATTACTCTATAGAGAATGGAAGGAGCGTTGAACGAATTAAAAGATTTGAAAGAGTGTTACGACCCGGACACAGTGGATTTAATGAGATTTATTAAGTAAGTAATCTGGTAATGTTAATTTAGTAACTGTAAGAAAATTCATAAAAATTTTTTTTAACCCCAACCCTCAACATAACCTTAACCCAAAATTTAACCGTAAAGATAACTTGTATAACGTTTTTTCACTCGTTAAAGAATGATACGGCGTTTAGCTGTGAAGTTATTGATTAGCATTTTCCCGCTATTTACTGCTGTATGTGCCCACAATCTTCATGGTCATCGAAAGATGGCCAACGGTGTCCGCTAAACTTTACCCTAGCCGAAGTTGCAAACAAAAAGTAACAAAACATAGCCTTTTACCAACCATTTTGTTTCCTGAAAATTTATTTTCAGGAAAATATATTTTCGTTCAAACATCGAATGTACCTCAAATGTTTTTATTTCAAAATACCTACATCAGCTGGGGGCTTAATCACTATTTCGCATTTCAGTGAGAAAACGGGAAAAGGGAGATCTTTCAGTGGAAGTATGCAACTTATGGCTGCAGTGAAATTGTGTACATACAGACCAATAACAAATCATCCACATTACGAAAATATATTATTGAGACTACGAACAAAGGAGGTAAGTGAAAGTTTTTGTAATTTTGATCTGAAAAGTTTGTGCTTGGAGATTGAAGATGCAAGGGTGTTAACCAATAGATATTTAAACCTCAAAATACCACAGAAACAATGTCATTTGTCATGGTTTGATTCTAAAGAGAAACAGATTACCACTGTAAAAGTATGATTTTGTGTTTTGAAATTCAAATTTCTGTTCGTAGTTTTTCATGAATCCGTTACTCGAGTTTGGCTCCTACGATGAACAAAAGTTGTATTTTTCACTTATTGGAATCTTTAAAAAAGCGATGAGAACACGATCTATGTGGTGTTAGGAGTATTCAATGCTATCGTTTTAATGTTCAGATTATAAAGCACATACTGAAATCACAGTAAATTGTGGCTAAATTATAACAAGTGACTGTGAACTACAATTTTAAAGATGGGAAAGCAACGAAAATACCAAGGCCGTTTAGAACCGATAATTTGAGATGATGAAGTTATTATGATACTTCGAAAAGTAGTTAAGCTCAAAGTTTGAAATCCATTAATGTTTACATACTAACCCCTTTGTTGTTCTGTAGCTTTTAACTGCCTGAGTGCAGGAGGTGACCGGGTTAAGGTAAATTTACTTAACTCGACCACCCCCTGCACCTTGGGAGTGTTGTCAAGCGGTTGACCTTCACTGACGATACTATGTGGTCAGCGGATGACTAACAACAAATTAATTACATATTTACAAGCGGAAAATAAGGTCGAAAGTTATGTTTTAAAACTACAACAAATTCATCATTAGGTACACAGGTCTTGAACGTTGAACTAAAGATGAACTGTTATTCTGTATCATAAAACTACTTTAAACAAAACTGGTTTTGATAAACTCTTCGGAGAACTTTCCATAGTTCATTTACACGAGCGACTAATATTCATAAAAACAGATTAATTTCTAGTAGAACTTTTACTCTTCTATTTCATTATATTTTGATGTTATAAAACTTAAACCGTTTTGGCTGTCGTCATTCACGACGCCACTTATTTTTAAAATTTTTGTTTCTCCGTCCAGATCTATCAAATTTATGCCAAGCGAACGCTGAAAGACGTCTATCATTTGCTGCGAAAGCATGGGACTGACTATGTGATCTTAGAAAATAGTATTTGTTATTCTCGATTAGAGTTAGGTTGTAAGATTAAAGATATCTTAGATTATAATAACGGTCAAGAGGGTGGAGTTGGCGACAGGGGTCTGGTACATAGTGATGTTTCCCGCTTCTGTCATGCGATTAAATCAGGTGGCGAGAAATTTAGTTTATATTTTAAGAAGGTGTTTTAAAATAGAACATTTTATATGTATAAATTGTTAGGTAGTGGTAGTTAAGGATGTGGTGGATAACGGCTATACAGGCATGTACAGTGTGGAAGCCTGCCCAAACTTTTACTCCTACAATGCAGATATTTTACTTTAGAAAATTATTTCTATTTATTGTTTTTCCGTAAATGAACACAAAAATATTTGCACTGCAGGAGTACAAAGCGAGCTGACTTCGCTAGTCGATATTTACATTGATAGTCAAAAAGAACTTTTTAAACTAGAGTTTGTCACTTAGCAGTACTTTAGCCAATGGAGAAATTTTGCAATTTCCTTAATATCGTTAATGAATGACTAAATTGATGCCGTTTTTAATTTATGAAAACTGTTCCATTATCAAAATGTGCACTTTTCACCACTATATGATATAGGAATAGAAATTGTTATTCGTACTTCAAAGGTTAATGGTTGTAATCCTTCTTACATGTAAGCGTTGGTATGATAATCGTATGTTTTGTGAAATATTTGTGTACCGCAAACTGTTTTCAATGGGGGTATATTTCATAATGGGTGAATAATGTTTATGTTGTACAAATAAACTCCAGTAAGGATAGGTTTTGATTCGTATTGATACTGTACATATACAGATGATCTTTTATGGCTGTTGAGGATAAATTGTTTATACGTTATATAGCTATCAACTATAAAGGAATTGACTTCATTTTAGCTTTCCTATAGCTGTAGTAATGTACCATGTCGATATAGTCAATGGGACGTTGGTTTGTTTTTTCAATAGTTAATCAATAAGTGCAAATAAGTTACAACTAAACTGTATCGAAATTATAACTAAAATATCCAATCAAAATGCTGCTACTAATATAATATATGTGTTCACTCGGGCTACTCAAGAACAATGTTATATATAAAACGAATGAAAATTTAAGCTGTGAATGAAAATTCATAAAAAATTTTTCAACCCTAACCCTCAACATAACCTTAACCCAAAATTTAACCGTAAAGATAACTTGTATAACGTTTTTCGGTTATAAAAGTTAAGCCCCACTCTCTTCTTGTAAACGTTACTGTCAATCAATCCTTGTAAATATCTATCCACATTATAAAGTTTTCTTACCAGCATGAATCTTTACGTGTCGAATGAAGCTACCACGCGTTGCAAATCTTTTACCACAGTGTTCACATTGATAAAGTTTCTCTTCCGTATGCATCCTAAGGTGTTTATTCAAGGCACAATTCTGTGAAAATGTTTTACCACAATGTTCACATTTATAAGGTTTCTCTCCTGTATGTATCCTTACGTGTCTATTCAAGGTACTATTGTGGGTAAATGTTTTACCACAATGTTCACATTGATAGGGTTTCTCTCCTGTATGTATCTTTATGTGACGTTTTAAGTTACCATGCTCTGTAAATGTTTTACCACAATGTTTACATTGATAAGGTTTCTCTCCTGTATGTATCTTTATGTGACGTTTTAAGTTACCATGCTCTGTAAATATTTTACCACAATGTTCACATTGGTATGGTTTCTCTCCCGTATGTATCCTAACGTGTCCATTCAAGGCACTATTGTGAGTAAATGTTTTACCACAATGTTCACATTTATAAGGTTTTTCTCCTGTATGTATCCTAAGGTGTATCTTCAAGTTATAACTCTCTGTAAAAGTTTTACCACAATGTTCACATTGATAAGGTTTCTCTCCTGTATGTATCCTAAGGTGTTTATTCAAGGAACCATTCCGTATAAATGTTTTACCACAATGTTCACATTGATATGGTTTCTCTCCTGTATGTATCCTAAAGTGTCTATTCAAGGCACTATTGTGGGTAAATGTTTTACCACAATGTTTACATTTATAAAGTTTCTCTCCGTATGTATCCTAAAGTGTCTATTCAAGGCACTATTGTGGGTAAATGTTTTACCACAATGTTTGCATTGATAAGGTTTCTCTCCTGTTTGAACCCTCACATGTCGTTTTAATCGTGGATTTTTCCGCATTCATTTTTCATGTGAACATTTAGATAGTCTTCACTACTGTACTTTCGACCACAACGTGGACATTCCCAGGATTCGTACAAACAAGCATTGGACATCGTTTTAAATGTTTCTCTAAATAATCGGGATAAGTATACATCCTTCCACAGTGTCTACAGCTGTGACCTCCAACTAAAAAGAAAAGTTAGAATTACATCACAGTATAAAGAACTGAATGATCATACATAACTAAGGCACTTTGCATAAGTAAACTGACTAACCTTCAAATTGATGCTTGTCATTATCTTCCTCATCAAACAACGATATTCCCAACTGTTCAGCATACTCATCTCCATACCAAACAAGCAATTCTTTATCGGCTTCAATATCTTTATAAACTCGGTAGTAAATTTCTCCATTATATTGATATGCAATTATATTTTGTTCTTCTTCAAATCTTGCACAATTCACAAATCTCATCCAATTACCTTGAGCAAGATCCTTACCATCAATGCAATATACAACCTTTCCTCCTTGTACAATCTGTAAACACGGACAGATAAATAATTTTGACAAAGCATGTATGTTTAATATCTGCATGGTGAAAGTAGAACAGGCAGAAAATATTTTAATAAAAAGAAATTATTCATTTATTTAAATATGTTCACCTCCCACATATACGCAGGATCTCTTCCATCCTCTGCGTCTTTAAGCGAAAGTACCTCTCCTCTGTATGGTCCAAAACGAGTGTTAATTTCAACTTTTTTCTTTGTAAAAACACCCCTGCCTGCGTTGGGGATTGTAGCGGTATTTATGTACAAATCTTTTGGAAGTGTCTTCATAGCATTTGATGTTCCCTTCCATTGATGTACTTCAAAGAAATGAAATTTGTTTAAAAAGTTCTCCATCGTTAAAACAACTGCATTGTTCACAATTTTAAAGCAAATATCAAATCACAATAATGAACTGATGTTTAACTATTCATGACTCTACACTAAAAGTAAAGTACTTACAAATGTTAAGATCATCATCAGGTACATCTTCCACTGTATAAATCTTTTTGGATGACTTTCTTAATGATCGTCTTAAAGAAGTCTTTTTCAGAGCTTTACAGTTATATTTGATGGATTTTCTTTTAATGATGGATTTAGTTTTTTTGTCATTGACATCGTTGACCTTGGGTTTTGATGTTGACGAATTACCGATTGTTTTAGAAGAAACCTGTAAAAACGTTTGATTGAAATTCATCCAAAAAATGTGAAAATGTTTACTTATTGCTTATCCTTTCCTTTTATCCATTTTCTAAAACATACCTGTTTATTTGCAAATTTCTTCATGACTTCAGTTTTATGTTGTTTTAAAACTATAAGAAAGCAATTTCATTTTTAAAAAACTATACTTCTTACAGTCAAAAGTGAAAATTACAAAAGAAATTCCCAGTGAACGACGTGTCATACGCTTGCACGAAATCTTTTAAAGCAAATTGTTGGAGATGTAATGTTTATCTCAAAAATAGTTTTGTTCAAAAGCGCAATGAACTTGTAACTTTGTTGATTTATACTACAGCAGACAGAAAAACATGTCGATCATTTCATACGCTAAGACGAAACTGAAACACCACTACCGTTGAAGCTGTTCTATCGTGTAAAAGAGGTTTGTCAGAGACCATCAAAATGAAATCAAGATTAGGGCAGCCTCCACCATATATTTGTCCTCTATGTGTGAAAACACATTTATTTCAAGGTAACAGAGGCCGCGCAAGCTCGATATTGAGGTGGGCAAATATTCATATATGCATGTCCTACCTTAGTAGCTTCTATTGAAATCAATTGTGGGTATGGATTTAACAAAAGATTAAAACATACCAATATATAAATAGTTTCTCCTTCAATTATCAATCTTGCCCCACCCCCGCATAAATTGTCACACAATATGAGCTTTTATAGTTTTTTTTATTACAGTGTTTGTGTTACCGCCGCTTATGGGCGGTGAACATAAGGAAACTAATAAGAGCCGCGGCGTTATAACGAGAATTCAGAGAAAATAAGCTGTGCATACATGATGTCGTAAAAACCTTTAAAAACTTCTAATGTATCATTTTTCTACATATTTAATTCCTTATAAATGATGGAAAATATCTTAAGGTTGCAATTATATTTCATAATGTGATATGTAGTCAAATCACTCAAATACAGTTAAAGTACATCATGTAAAAACATTTAATGAAGATAACAACATTGAACTAATATAATTAAAAAGTAAAGTTCCATCGTTCAAATTAAATACGTTTCATCATTGCTACCTACTTGAATCCAGAGACGAAGCAACTTGAAATTGTCGATAAAACTTTGTTTGATGTAGAAAGTTCCCAAATGTTTCAAGCTTTTAAACTTGAACTCAGACGTTTATTGCTCTTTAAAATCATACACACTCAGTGCCAAGTAAATATTCAACATTTACCGTAGGTTTTGAATGTTTTCTATTACATTTCAAGTTTTGGCGGAAATATGGTGCACGCGTGGTAGTCTTTGTCTAGCAGCCGGAAACCCCCGTACCATGATCGGAGATCTCTTTTACATTTAAATGTCGTCTTTACACACTCTTGCAATGTGTTTTTCAACATTTATTGAGTTGAATGCTGCTAATAGTCTTCCAAGCGAAGACTGTGTCATGATTAGTTAGTATTTAAGAACAACGACACAAAGTATCTCATACTTTAACATATTCAGGTGAGGAGGGTACTTGTTCTTGGTTTAATTTTAATGACAGAGAGGATAGAGTTGAGCATTGAGTTGAGGAAACTGTCAAATTGACTGATTCGTCATGATTTCTAAATGTACATGACTTTCCATTAAAGCTATGAATTACATAAGAGCATTGATACATTAAACAATGTGTATTGAGTTAACAAATGCTTGCTAATAATTTGACCATTTGTTGTGTTCTCAAATCGAGATTTTTTTAGATTTGCAAACGCATTACAAAGATGACGGCTGTAAACGCAATTTACTTGATTTCAACATAATTTCAAATTTTGACAGTGAACTTGTTTTTGATTTCTTTGAAATATCATAAAAATTCATCTTCTTGACAGTAAAAATTTGCATCTAGTTTTCATTGTGAAACATGCAGCTGGCAAATTGCAGAAGAAACAAACGCTACAAAAATGCAATCCTGAAGTGGCAAAAAAATTGAAAAGATTTTATGGAAAGGAACTTTTATCAAAGTACCTGGTGGGAGGGTGGTTATTTTATGACAGAGTCAGGAGGGGGTGAATGCTTTAACAAAAGCAATTTAGAGGAAGGATGGTTACTTCATGAGTTCAAGAAGGTAATACTCGCCATTCATAAATGTGTTTGAAACATAAACATATATCATGATTATCAGCATTTATCTTATCAACAAAATGATGTGAATATTTTCATTTTAGTTTTGAAATATGTCCTTTGTAATCATTGGTTCCCTGTTGTTTGTCTTTGTTCTCCAGTTCATGAATGGCATGATCATTAAATGATTGGGTTTAACAGTTGCATCATAATTGGTTATTTCAAAAGTTAGCAAGGTATGAATTAAAATGATGAATAAATTTGCATGTAGGTAATAGCATGGTTTCTTGTGCAATTTGGAAAGAAACTTGTGCAAATGAGTTTTTAACTATCAAATCAAAACAGCATGAGTCTGAAGGATGAAAAGAACTTAGAAGTCCATGTTTTGCAAACTATGCAATTACTTATTAATAATATGCTTAAAAATGTTCCTCAATTTTGTTCATTGTTATCTTCAGCACAACATTTTGAACCAAGAGTTATTGAAATCGATTGACTTATATTTTTCAATTTGTTAGATATTATTTTCGTAGCGTCATTGCCTGGTTGTACACATGCACATAGCCAAAAACATGGTACTTTTGAAAGTGTTCATAATTTTGGCAATGTCATGCAATTTGAATTTGAATCTGACTTTTGACCCTGACGATGACTACCGCTAAGGTTGTCGAAACGTCAGTCAACAACAACAAAAACAGTCCTTCTCAGGACTATACCAACCTGGACGATCTACATTTACAAACATGTAGCAATACTCCAGGGTTCAAACCATTTACTTTAATGTGAAATGAATTACAGAAACTCAAATCACAACTCGGCTGTGCATTTATGAGCAACTTTAAGGTACATACATCAAGGTACATGTTAAACACTAGATCGTTAAACGATCCATAAAGATACAACTAAAAGCAATTTTGAAATACACTATGATAATTTATACAACTCATTTAGATACATTCAGACATTAACATGCATTATGCAAGATGCATTAACATACATCAGCATCATTGTGTAAGATACATTAACATTCTTCAGCATACATAGTGTAAGAACTTTAACATACATTAGCATACATTTTAAGATTAAAGATACATTAAAAAGATCCATGGAGATACATTGTAAGAGACATAATTTTTTACATTAAACATACATCAGCATACATTGTGTAAGATACATTAACATACATCAGCATACATTGTGTAAAATACATTAACATACATCAGCATACATTGTGTAAGAACTTTAACATACATTAGCATACATTTTTAAATTAAAGATACATTAAAAAGATCCATGGAGATACATTGTAAGAGACATAATTTTTTACTTCTAGATGTTCGTTTTATTTTTGAACTAATAGTGATTTGTCGTCATTGTTTTACGATGAGATGAGACTCAGAAGATACTCATTTAAAGTTATATGTGACCAAGTATCTTTATCATGGGATCATCGTAAATTTGCTCTTTTTCACAGGCTAAAATTGGAAGTTCCTTGGTTCCGATAATTTTGATTGTTTTGGTGTTGCATCAGGTGCGATGTGATCTTAAATATTAACAGTTTTTGCTGAAGTTATTTTATATTTTATTCATGGCGAGATTTTAAGGGAGGCGCGGGGAGGTGGGCACGTTTCCTAAGATCGCTTTTCCCTGACATGTTTCCCACCTTCCCTTGAAACGTAGAATTTTTCCCATTCACTGCCAAACACACGCCACAAACTCGAAATATAAATTCTTAAGTAGAACTGTAGAAAATGAGACATTTCCGTTATCTGTCAAATGAAATCCGACAAACCATGATTTTGAGGAGAATTCAACCAATCAGAGCCCAGGTTTTTAATGGGCTATTTTATAATAGACTCTAGTGTATGCGGTGTTTGTTGATATTTAATAGTATACTCGTTAAAACTCCTAAATCACATGTTAAGTATGTTCACAGGTTTATCGAACGTTAATAGAAAGGACCATATTTATATATTCTGCTATGCCAGGCTGGTTTCTTTTGAAACTGAAATTGTTTTCAAAAGATAATAGCCAAGTATAGCTGAATATATGAATATAGTGCCCCACCTCCAATTGACGTACATACCCTGAGAAGTCAAACAAACAGACCTCCACGCACCTTAAATCCGGCCTCGAGTTTAATGTGATGTAAGTGATTACTCTATAGAGAATGGAAGGAGCGTTGAACGAATTAAAAGATTTGAAAGAGTTTTACGACCCGGACACAGTGGATTTAATGACATTTATTAAGTAAGTAATCTGGTAATGTTAATTTAGTAACTGTAAGAAAATTCATAAAAATTTTTTTTAACCCCAACCCTCAACATAACCTTAACCCAAAATTTAACCGTAAAGATAACTTGTATAACGTTTTTTCACTCGTTAAAGAATGATACGGCGTTTAGCTGTGAAGTTATTGATTAGCATTTTCCCGCTATTTACTGCTGTATGTGCCCACAATCTTCATGGTCATCGAAAGATGGCCAACGGTGTCCGCTAAACTTTACCCTAGCCGAAGTTGCAAACAAAAAGTAACAAAACATAGCCTTTTACCAACCATTTTGTTTCCTGAAAATTTATTTTCAGGAAAATATATTTTCGTTCAAACATCGAATGTACCTCAAATGTTTTTATTTCAAAATACCTACATCAGCTGGGGGCTTAATCACTATTTCACATTTCAGTGAGAAAACGGGAAAAGGGAGATCTTTCAGTGGAAGTATGCAACTTATGGCTGCAGTGAAATTGTGTACAGACAGACCAATAACAAATCATCCACATTACGAAAATAAATTATTGAGACTACGAACAAAGGAGGTAAGTGAAAGTTTTTGTAATTTTGATCTGAAAAGTTTGTGCTTGGAGATTGAAGATGCAAGGGTGTTAACCAATAGGTATTTTAACCTCAAAATACCACAGAAACAATGTCATTTGTCATGGTTTGATTCTAAAGAGAAACAGATTACCATTATTAAAGTATGATTTTGTGTTTTAAAATTCAAATTTCTGTTCGTGGTTCAACGAAAATACAAGGGCCGTTTAGAACCGATAATTTCAGATGATGAAGTTATTATAATACTTCGAAAAGTAGTTTTTAAGCTCAAAGTTTGAAATCCATTAATGTTTACATACTAACCCCTTTGTTGTGCTGTAGCTTTTAACTGCCTGAGTGCAGGAGGTGACCGGGTTAAAGCAAATTTACTTTAACTCGACCACCCCTGCACCTTGGGAATGTTGTCAAGCGGTTGACCTTCACTGACGATACTATGTGGTCAGCGGATGACTAACAACAAATTACTTATACATTTACAAGCGGAAAAAGAGGTCGAAAGTTATGTTTTAAAACTATAACAAATTCATCATTAGGTACACGGTCTTGAACGTTGAACTAAAGATGAACTGTTGTTCTGTATCATAAAACTACTTTAAACAAAACTGGTTTTGATAAACTCTTCCGAGAACTTTCCATAGTTCATTTACACGAGCGACTAATATTCATAAAAACAGATTAATTTCTAGTAGAACTTTTACGCTTCTATTTGATTATATTTTGATGTTATAAAATTTAAACCGTTTTGGCTGTCGTCATTCACGACGCCACTAATTTTAAAATTTTGTTTCTCCGTCCAGATCTATCAAATTTATGCCAAGCGAACGCCAAAAGACGTCTATCATTTGCTGCGAAAGCATGGGACTGACTATGTGATCTTAGAAAATAGTATTTGTTATTCTCGACAAGAGTTAGGTTGTAAGATTAAAGATATCTTAGATTATAATAACGGTCATGTTATAGAGGTGGAGTTGCCGACAGGGTCTGGTACATAGTGATGTTTCCCTTCTGTCATGCAATTAAATCAGGCGAGGAATTTAGTTTATATTTTAAGAAGGTGTTTGAAAATAGAACATTTTATATGTATAAATTGTTAAGTAGTGGTAGTTAGGGATAGTGGTGGATAACGGCTGTACAGGCATGTACAATGTGGAAGCCTGCCCAAACTTTTACTCCTACAATTCAGATATTTTACTTTAGAAAATTATTTCTATTTATTGTTTTTCCGTGAATGAACACAAAAATATTTGCACTGCAGGAGTACAAAGCGAGCTGACTTCGCTAGTGGATATTTTCATTGATAGTAAAAAAGAACTTTTTAAACTAGAGTTTGTCACTTAGCAGTACTTTAGCCAATGGAGAAATTTTGCAATTTCCTTAATATCGTTAATGAATGACTAAATTGATGCCGTTTTTAATTTATGAAAAATGTTCCAATATCTAAATGTTCACTTTTCACCTCTATATGATATAGGAATAGAAATTGTTATTCGTACTTCAAAGGTTAATGGTTGTAATCCTTCTTACATGTTAGCGTTCGTATGATAATCTTATGTTTTGTGAAATATTTGTGTACTGCAAACTGTTTTCAATGGGGGTATATTTTATCATGGGTAAATAATTTTTAAGTTGTACAAATAAACTCCAGTAAGGATAGGTTTTAATTCGTATTGATACTGTACATATACAGATGATCTTTTATGGCTGTTGAGGATAAATTGTTTATACGTTATATAGCTATCAACTATAAAGGAATTGACTTCATTCTAGCTTTCCTAGCTGTAGTAATTTACCATGTCAATATAGTCAATGGGACGTTGGTTTGTTTTTCAATAGTTCATCAATAAGTGCAAATAAGTTACAACTGAACTGTATCAAAATTATAACTAAAGTATCCAATCAAAATGCTGCTACTAATATAATATATGTGTTCACTCGGGCTACTCAAGAACAATGTTATATATAAAACGAATGAAAATTTAAGCTGTGAATGAAAATTCATAAAAAATTTTTCAACCTTAACCCTCAACATAACCTTAACCCAAAATTTAACCGTAAAGATAACTTGTATAACGTTTTTTCACTCGTTAAAGAATGATACGGCTATTAGCTGTGAAGTTATTGATTAGCATTTTCCCGCTATTTACTGCTGTATGTGCCCACAATCTTCATGGTCATCGAAATATGGCCACCGGTGTCCGCTAAACTGTACCGTAATATATGTGTTCACTCGGGCTACTCAAGAACAATGTTATATATAATAGTTACCAGATGCAACAACTAACTTAACGGTGATGCAATGTCACATCATGTGGTAATCTATTATGTAAGTAAATCGTCATTCATTAAACATTCATTTGTGACACTCACGAGTGATTTAGAAAAAAATCGAATTTTAAACTCGTCACTTCGGTAGCCCAAGCAACAATACCGTCAATTCTTCTTGGCGATGCACCAACCTGGACGATAAATATTTACAAACATACATTTATATTAACGGGTTCAAATCGTTTATTTTATTTACAAAAATTTATTAGAGAAACAACAAACCATTTCCTGTGTTTCTGGGTGCGATTTAGTATAATTCGTTCGTAACATAGACATTCCACTGGTCATCACCTCCATCATAATTTCTACACCACGACTTCATTTTTCACAATGGCGCTCCTTCGATTGAATGTGAGAGCTAAGCCCCACTCCTCCTCTTCTTGTAAACGTTACTGTCAATCAATCCTTGTAAATGTCTATCCACATTATAAAGTTTTCTTACCAGCATGAATCTTTACGTGTCGAATGAAGCTACCACGCGTTGCAAATCTTTTACCACAGTGTTCACATTGATAAAGTTTCTCTTCCGTATGCATCCTAAGGTGTTTATTCAAGGCACAATTCTGTGAAAATGTTTTACCACAATGTTCACATTTATAAGGTTTCTCTCCTGTATTTATCCTAATGTGTCTATTCAAATCACAATTCTGTGAAAATGTTTTACCACAATGTTCACATTGATAAGTTTTCTCTCCGGTATGTATCTTTATGTGACGTTTTAAGTTACCAAGCTGTGTAAATCTTTTACCACAATGTTTACATTTATAAGGTTTCTCTTCTGTATGTATCTTTATGTGACGTTTTAAGTTACCAAGCTGTGTAAATATTTTACCACAATGTTCACATTGGTAAGGTTTCTCTCCTGTATGTATTCTAAGGTGTCTATTCAAATCACAATTCTGTGAAAATGTTTTACCACAATGTTCACATTTATAAGGTTTCTCTCCTGTATGTATCATACCATGACGTTTTAAGTTACCAAGCAGTGTAAATGTTTTACCACAATTTTCACATTGGTAAGGTTTGTCTCCAGTATGTATCCTAACATGTTCATTTAATGTAGAAAGATGTCTAAATGTTTTACCACAATGTTTGCATTGATAAGGTTTCTCTCCTGTTTGAACCCTCACATGTCTTTGTAATTGTGGATTTTTTCCGCATTCATTTTTCATGTGAACATTTAGATAGTCTTCACTACTGTACTTTCGACCACAACGTGGACATTCCCAGGGATTCGTACAAACAAGCATTGGACATCGTTTTAAATGTTTCTCTAAATAATCGGGATATGTATACATCCTTCCACAGTGTCTACAGCTGTAACCTTGAACTAAAAAGAAAAGTTAGAATTAGATCACAGGATAAAGAACTGAATGATCATACATAACTAAGGCACTTCGCATACGTAAACTGACTAACTATCAAACTGATGTTTGTCATTATCTTCCTCATCAAACAACGATATTCCCAACTGTTCAGCATACTCATCTCCATACCAAACAAGCAGGTCTTTATCGGCTTCAATCTCTTTATAAACTTGGTAGTAAATTTCTCCATTATATTGATATGCAATTATATTTTGTTCTTCTTCAAATCTTGCACAATTCACAAATCTCATCCAATTACCTTGAGCAAGATCCTTACCATCAATACAATATACAACCTTTCCTCCTTGTACAATCTGTAAACACGGACGGATAAATAATTATGACAAAGCATGTATGTTTAATATCTGCATGGTGAAAGTAGAACGGGCAGAAAATATTTTAATAAAATGAAATTATTCCTTTATTTAAATATGTTCACCTCCCACATATAAGAAGGATCTCTTCCATCCTCTGCGTCTTTAAGCGAAAGTACCTCTCCTCTGTATGGTCCAAAACGAGTGTTAATTTCAACTTTTTTCTTTTGTAAAAACACCCCTGCCTGCGTTGGGGATTGTAGCGGTATTTATGTAAAGATCTTTTGGAAGTGTCTTCATAGCATTTGATGTTCCCTCCCATTGATGTACTTCAAAGAAATGAAATTTGTTCGAAAAACGTTCTCCATCGTTAAAACAACAGCATTGTTCACAATTTTATAGCAAATATCAAATCACAGTAATGAACTGATGTTTAAAATATTCATGACTCTACACTAAAAGTAAAGTACTTACAAATGTTAAGATCATCATCAGGTACATCTTCCACTGTATAAATCTTTTTGGACTTTGACTTTCTTAATGATCGTCTTAAAGAAGTCTTTTTCAGAGTTTTACAGTTATATTTGATGGATTTTCTTTTAATGATGGATTTAGTTTTTTTGTCATTTACATCGTTGACCTTGGGTTTTGACGTTGACGAATGACCGATTGTTTTAGAAGAAACCTGTAAAAACGTTTGATTGAAGTTCATCCAAAAAATGTGAAATCAATTTTCTAAAACATACCTGTTTATTTGCAAATTTCTTCATGACTTCAGTTTTTAATGTTGTTTTAAAAACTATAAGAAAGCAATTTCATTTTTTAAAAAACTATACTTCTTATCGTCAAAAGTGAAAATTACAAAAGAAATTCCCAGTGAACGACGTGTCATACGCTTGCACGAAATCTTTTTAAAGCAAATTGTTGGAGATGTAATGTTTATCTCAAAAATAGTTTTTGTTCAAAAGCGCAATGGACTTGTAACTTTGTTGATTTATACTACAGCAGACAGAAAAACATGTCGATCATTTCATACGCTAAGACGAAACTGAAACACCACTACTGTTGAAGCTGTTCTATAGTGTAAAAGAGGTTTGTCAGAGACCATCAAAAATGAAATCAAGATTAGGGCAATCTCCACCATACATTTGTCCTCTATGTGTGAAAACACATTTATTTCAAGGTAACAGAGGCCGCGCAAGCTCGATAATTGAGGGGGGCAAATATTCATATATGCATGTCCTACTTTAGTAGTTTCTCTTGAAATCAATTGTGGGTATGGATTTAACAAAAGATCAAAACATACCAATATATAAATACTTTCTCCTTCAATTATCAATCTTGCCCCACCCCCGCATAAATTTTCACACAATATGAGCTTTTATAGTTTTTTTTTATTACAGTGTTTGTGTTACCGCCGCTTATGGGCGGTGAACATAAGGAAACTAATAAGAGCCGCAGCGTTATAACGAGCATTCACAGAAAATAAGCTGTGCATAGATGATGTCATAAAAAGCTTTAAAAACTTCTAATGTATCATGTTTCTACATATTTAATTCCTTATAAATGATGGAGAATATCTAAAGGTTGCAATTATATTTCATAATGTGATATGTAGTCAAATCACTCAAATACAGTTAAAGTACATCATGTAAAAAAAATTTAATGAGGATAGCAACATTGAACTAATATAATTAAAAAGTAAAGTTCCATCGTTCAAATTAAATACGTTTCATCATTGCTACCTACTTGAATCCAGAGACGAAGCAACTTGAAACAGGGGCGGATCTAGGATTTTTCAAACATCAGTCATAAAACGTCGGAGGCACTCCGCACCTGGGGGGGGTCTGAGGCTATCTCTCCTGAGAAATTTTGAATTTCAGAGCCTTAAAAATGCCATTTTCAGCGTTTTAGAGCATTACAAAATGTATTTTGTGGGCATCGTTTTTGCGTAAATACAACACATTTTGGTTACGTTTTTTTCAAAAAAAAAAAAATGAAGTGAACAATACTTGAATGTTTTGCCAAATATTTAGGCTCATTATTATGCCAAATATATGGCTCATTAGCACGTCTAGGAACGTAAAATATATTTTACAATAATGCTATATTCAAAAACAGATATAGCCTTTAAAATTTTCTACCAAGTTGGCAGGCATAGACCCCCCTAGAGACCCCCATTCAAACCTCTATGTAATGAGTTAAGTTAGAAATTTGGTACTACAAGTGACAGTTCATAGATATAGAAAAGCTCAGACTTCAAACCATGCAAGTTTATTGTAACCCTTTACCCATCTCCACATCAGTATTAGCAAATTCACCTTTTGAGAAAAAACTCAAAATTTTTTTCTGCCAAAGATTAAGCAAAAACTATCAGAGTGAAAATTTGTAGTTAAGGACAGCTTAATGCCATAAATTTTTATTAGACATTTCACTTGACTATTATCTTCTTCAAGGTGTGCTATATAGCAATCACTAGTAGCATTGTATTATCAAATACAAACAGAATGTAACCAACATGTCTTTAATTATATATTTACATGAATGTTAAAATTGGTTCAGGTGTCATGCTTACTGGTTATGATAAATATCTTTTCATATGATCAAAGCTCGTTTAAATGTAAATCTGAAATAATTTAGTTTAGAAATTATAATGATCATCAGAAAAATTACCTAGTGATCATGAAAAATACTTTGCTGTTTTGCCAAATTTCAAGGTTTATCTGCATACATAGGAAGACATTTTTACTTTATAGAAAATGCTTTTCATACATCAATAGCCCTTTGGAATTTATGGCAAACAATCTGGTATGAGCCGTAGATTAACACAACTTTACATCTCTACATGAGGTGTTTAGTTAGAAAAGGGACAATATGTGACATGGGACAACATTTCATGTATGTGAAATACTAAGGTTTAATACCATTCCAGTCAAATTGTCAAAATAAAAAGCTTCATGGATCAGAAGACTCAAAATCACAGGTTATAGTAAACAGCTTCTCATGTAATCAATGTTAGTTTTCTCAAATCTTAAACAATATGTAGTATAACTGTCCAATGATTGAATGATCAATGATCATAAACTGAAAAGCCCAAACATTTGTTTATGATAAAGTAAATAATAGTATGGCGCCTTATGGCTACAGATTTTTTGTCCATTGAAATATATTTGCAGGAATGTAGGATTTGGCTGCCATATAACGGTCACGATTCCCCAAGCACTAAAGAAATCATAGCTAAAAGTCCTTCGGCAACAATTTTAGAAGCATCTATCTGCTTACCATACGCCATATTAACATAAATCGCATCACACACTCGCATAAATTGACTTTGATATATTACATTCATTCATACACTTCAGTTGTCCTTTACTTACGATTTTGGATGTAAATTTCTGCTGATAAAACTCAAAACAATGTTGGCTTGCTTTTGAACATCAATGACTGAAATGTCGCTCGCGAGATCGTCTTTGCCAAGCATTTACAATTCGTCCATAAATTTTTCGCCCTCTTGAAAAAATTACCAGTTTGGAAAGCAGTATTCATGTCAATATATGAATTTGTAAAAGATTTCCATAAATTCCATCTGATTGTAGTTTAGTTTCTATCATGCTTTAGAAAACTATTATGAAACGATCAAACATTCAATTCAGACAGTGAGCTTGACTATGTTAGTTTAGTTGGCTATCAGTCGAAATAGGTCAAACCAATCACAGTAAGACAAAAATTTAAACGAACCAATTACACGATAGCAAGTGGACTCCCTTATAGGTCCGGCCACCCCGCTTATCGGTCGAGATTATTCCAGATCGTCTACTGATCTGGCTATTGACCAATGAAATAAGCGTTTTTGGCGTTCATAGACTCCTTTATCCGTCGAACCAGTCAAGGCACCCCGCTTATCAGTCGGTTATTCCAGGTCAATTAAAATTCAACTGATCTGGTTACCAAGGAGATATTCATTGGATTAGTTATTAGTTTTCAATAATAAATAAAGCTGGATTTTTATCACGAAGTAAATGCGATAATAAAGTAAGAATAATTAATGAATTTTTAACTAATATGAATAGGTAAGTTTTGAGTTTCAAACATCAGTCGCGCGACGGATTTGACATACTCTAGATCCGCCCCTGACTTGAAATTGTCGATAAAACTTTGTTTGATGTAGAAAGTTCCCAAATGTTTCAAGCTTTTAAACTTGAATTCAGACGTTTATTGCTCTTTAAAATCATACACACTCAGTGCCAAGTAAATATTCTACGTTTACCGTAGGTTTTGAATGCTTTGTATTAAATTTGAAGTTTTGGCGGAAACATTGCGCGTGCGTGGTAGGCTTTGTCTAGCAGGCGGAAATCCCCGTACCATGATCGGAGATCTCTTTTACATTTAATTGTCGTCTTTACACACTCTTGCACTGTATTTTTTAACATTTATTTAGTTGAATGCTGCTAAAACGTCTTCCAAGCAAAGACTGTGTCATGATTAGTTAGTATGCAAGAAGAACAACACAAAGTATCTCATACTTTATCACATTCAGGTGAGGGGTGTACTTGTTCTTGGTTTAATTTTAATGACAGAGAGGATAGAGTTGAGCATTGAGTTGAGGAAACTGTCAAATTGACCAATTCATCAAGATTTGTAAATGTATATGACTTTCCATTAAAGCTATGAATTACCTATGAGCATTGATACATTAAACAATGTGTATTGAGTTAAGAAATGCTTGCTAATAATTTGACCATTTGTTGTGTCCTCATTCAATTCAAATCGAGATTTCATTAGATTTGCACAAAGACTAAAAGATGGCTGCAAACGGAAATTACTTGATTTCAACATAATTTCAAATTTTGACAGTGAACTTGTTTTTGGTTTCTCTGAAATATCATAAAATTCATCTTCTTGACAATTAAAATTTGCATCTAGTTTTCATTGTGAAACATGCAGCTGACAAATTGCAGAAGAAACAAACGTTACAAAAATGCATGCCTGAAGTGGCAAAAAATTGAAAAGATTTCATGGAAAGAAAGCATTTACTAAATCACCTGGTAGGAGGGGTGGGTAATTTATGACAGAGTTAGGAGGGTGAATGCTTTAACAAAAGCAATTTACAGGAAGGATGTTTCATAAGTTGAAGAAGGTAATACTCACCATTCATAAATGTGTTTTGAAACATAAACATATGTCATGATTATCAGCATTTATTTTATCCACAAAATGATGTGAATATTTTCATTTTAGTTATGAAATATGTCCTTTGTAATCATTGGTTCCCTGTGGTTTGTCTTTGTTCTCCTGTTCATGAATGACATGATCATTAAATGATTGGGGTTAACAGTTGCATCATAATTGGTTATTTCAAAAGTTAGCAAGGTATGAGTTAAAATGATGAATAAATTTGCATGTAGGTAATAGCATGGTTTCTTGTGCAATTTGGAAAGAAACTTGTGCAAGTGAGTTTTTAACTATCAAATCAAAACAGCATGAGTCTGAAGGATGAGAAGAACTTAGAAGTCCATGTTTTGAAAACTATGCAATTACTTATTATTAATATGCTTAAAAAATTTCCTCGATATTGTTGATTGTTAGCTTCAGCACAACAACATTTTGAACCAAAAGTTCATGAAATCAATTGACTTATATTTTTCAATTTGTTAGATATTTTTTTCATTTCATCATTGCCTACTTCCACACATGCACATAACCGAAAACATGGTACTTTTGAAAGTGTTCATAATTTTGGCCATGTCATGCAAATGCTGAATTGTAGATTGGGTCACCAAAGACAAAGAAAAATCTACTAAAAATTTACAGTGAGTTATGCCAGGCACTGTTTATTGCATTTTGTTACATTATTGTATATTTACAACTTGCAAATGTTTTATTTCATTGGTTTTTATGACTTTATCATTGTTTTGAGAAACCTTAAGGAGGGTTTTAAAATATGACTAAATGATATTGACTCCTGGATGTATAAGCCAGAGATTGATCTAAGAGGAATTTGTATAGGGCATGCTTTGGTTTAGATTTGATTTTGAAAGCTACTTTGAGTGTGTTGCTATTGATAAGACGGGTATGACCCTACTGCAACATCGATAGTAAATCCATCTCTACTTGTGTTTAGATAATTAGAGACAAAGTTGGCTTAATTGCTAAAAAAATGTGCCCAGCAAACCTTGTTTGTATCATATACAACCATCTTATACAACTGTATTTTTTGTCAGTTGTAAAGAGATTTTGATGCTATGCTGTACTTGTGTAAGATGTCATTTCGTATGCTACCTGTGGACACATACTGGCGTTTGACTGAGGGTGTGGTCTTTCCTTGTTATGTATTTACTGGTCTTTGGTTTTATTACTGACTGTTGGTGTTCTTGAAGAATGGGACCTGTATATTTGTTAGCTTATGACTAGTTTTTCTTGATTAAAACATGATCATGATAATAACATTTGAAATTTATCGTTGATCATTTGAAATTTATCGTTGATCATTTGTAAAAGAAAGAGGGAATTTATGTTTCAGTACCTGGAGCTTTGATTGTACATAATGACTTGTTGCTATTGTCCATGGCTGGTATTCTTGGGTTCTGAGAAATGTTAAAATGTTATCACTAGTGATGCACCAATATACATATTTAGCGATATACCAATTAACAGATATTAAAATGCCGATATTGTACCGATACCGATATTTTACGCCATTTTACGAAACTTAAGCATCATAAAGTATGCCAATTTGTGCTCACCATTGACTGTTCATTTCATAAAAAAATATAAAATTCAAAGCGGTTATTTACACTGCAGCAATCTTTCACAACACAACCCAATTGTCAATGGAAGTTGATATCATGTGGAACTAAAAAGTTTAAAGTAATATTAATTTAAGAAAAATTGTTAAGATAATATATATTTAGTATTGTTAACAGTGCTGCCATTCGTAGGGGAAATTCCCTACAGTAGCGGGATTTAGTGGTTTGTATATGGTAGGGGAAACCTACGGGGAAACTGTAAATTATAGGGCGATTGTAGAGAGAAAAGAAAATCGTTTAAAAATGAGCCTAATTTTTGCCCAAAATACTCTTTTCTTCCTGTGTTCATTTAGCGCCCCTGCGCCTGGATTATCACGTTGTAGTCGTGCAGGGGCTTAAGTACTTCACTGAAGGAAAACTAAGAATGATCCAAACCCAGTCTCCGAACTTCGATGTCGAACTCTCGGAACCACACCTCCAATCTCTGCTGGCTTCATGAGACATACATGGAGGTGTGACTACCATACAAAACTACTACTACTACCATTTAGCAAGTGATTGTAACAGAATCTTTCTTTTGGCATAATCATATGATGTTAAACTGTCAACTCATTTGACTAATATTGAAATTAAATGAAACGTGAAAGCCAGAAAGACATAATTGCAGATGACGATTAAATATCGTGGCCAGAGATTTCCCAGGAGGTAAGCGCATTTTCATAATAAACATAATAGCCCAACATAAGACTTTTAAAAAAGCCATCACGGCAATAAATCAGAAATAAAGATAAAAGATTTTTTAATAATTACGTTTCGTCTTTAACTTAAGAAATATTGAGATTAAATGATATAAATTTTTACTTGAGGCTTTATATAAGCATATATTTACAGGGTAGTAACCAGGGATGTACCGGGCGGGAACCGAATTCTTATTATAAATATTAAAGCCCAGAAAAGTGCTTTTAAAAGAGCCATTCAATACAAAAATATTGTATAAAAAAGAAATATTTATTCATTAGCGTAACGTTTCGTCTTGACTCACAAGGCATCACCAGACATTAAATTACAAGTAATGAGGGATTTATATAAAATAGTTATTTATATAATATTAAATTACATTGTGGGATGAAAAACGTGACCCCCAATAGCAAAGCCAGAACGTTTTTCACTGCTACAATGTAAATATTTTTGCGTTCAATCACCGGAAGACAATAAAATGAACCAATTTTGTAAAGACAACGAAAAGTTTGAATTGTGTGGGTAAAAGATCGGGCTAATTTCGTCACTGATTACCTCCATCATAATTTCTCTAAGGATTTCATTTTTTCATGATGGCAGTCCTTCACAAGATTAGAAGGGCCAAGGCCTCCTCCTTGTCAGCCTTACTCTCAATCAATCTATTGTAAATCCCTTGCCACAGTATTCATATCATAAATGTTTCTTACGAGCATGGATCTTACCGTGTTGTTTCAAGTTACTCTTCCTATTAAATCTTTTACCACAATGTTCACATTGATAAGGTTTCTCTCCAGTATGTATCATTACGTGACTTTTTAAGCTACAAACCTGAGTAAATGTTTTACCACAGTGTTGACATTGATAAGGTTTCTCTCCTGTATGTGTCCTAAAGTGACGTTTAAAGCTACCATGCTCTGTAAATGTTGTACCACAATGTTGACATTGATAAGGTTTCTCTCCTGTATGTATCCTAAGGTGTTTATTCAAAGCAGAATTCCGTGAAAATTTTTTACCACAATGTACACATTTATAAGGTTTCTCTCCCGTATGTATCCTTAGGTGACTTTTTAAGTTACCAAGCACTGCAAATCTTTTACCACAATGTTTACATTGATAAGGTTTCTCTCCTGTATGTATCGTACCATGACGCTTTAAGCTACCAAGCAGTGTAAAGGTTTTACCACAATGTTGACATTGATAAGGTTTCTCTCCTGTATGTATCCTAAGGTGTTCATTCAAAGCACAATTCCGTGAAAATCTTTTACCACAATGTTCACATTTATAAGGTTTCTCTCCTGTATGTATCATACCATGACGTTTTAAGTTACGAAGATATCTAAATCTTTTACCACAATTTTCACATTGGTAAGGTTTGTCTCCAGTATGTATCCTAACATGTTCATTCAATTTAGAAAGCTGTCTAAATGTTTTACCACAATGTTTGCATTGATAAGGTTTCTCTCCAGTTTGAACCCTCACATGTCGTTTTAATTGTGGATTTTTTCCGCATTCATTTTTCATGTGAACATTTAGATAGTCTTCACTACTGTACTTTCGACCACAACGTGGACATTCCCAGGGATTCGTACAAACAAGCATTGGACATCGTTTTAAATGTTTCTTTAAATAATCTGGATAAGTATACATCCTTCCACAGTGTGTACAGCTGTGACCTCCAACTAAAAAGAAAAGTTAGAATTGTATCACAGTATAAAGTACTGAATTATCATACATAACTAAGGCACTTCGCATACGTAAACTGACTAACCTTCAAACTGATGTTTGTCATTATCTTCCTCATCAAACAACGATATTCCCAACTGTTCAGCATACTCATCTCCATACCAAACAAGCAATTCTTTATGGGCTTCAATCTCTGTATAAACTCGGTAGTAAATTTCTCCATTATATTGATATGCAATTATATTTTGTTCTTCTTCAAATCTTGCACAATTCACAAATCTCATCCAATTACCTTGAGCAAGATCCTTACCATCAATACAATATACAACCTTTCCTCCTTGTACAATCTGTAAACACGGACAGATAAATAATTATGACAAAGCATGTATGTTTAATATCTGCATGGTGAAAGTGGAACGGGCAGAAAATATTTTAATAAAAAGAAATTATTCATTTATTTAAATATGTTCACCTCCCACATATACGCTGGATCCCTTCCATCCTCTGCGTCTTTAAGCGAAAGTACCTCTCCTCTGTATGGTCCAAAACGAGTGTTAATTTCAACTTTTTTCTTTGTAAAAACACCCCTGCCTGCGTTGGGGATTGTAGCGGTATTTATGTAAAGATCTTTTGGAAGTGTCTTCATAGCATTTGATGTTCCCTTCCATTGATGTACTTCAAAGAAATGAAATTTGTTTGAAAAACATTCTCCATCGTTAAAACAACTGCATTGGTCACAATTTTAAAGCAAATATCAAATCACAGTAATGAACTGATGTTTAAAATATTCCTGACTCTACACTAAAAGTAAAGTACTTACAAATGTTAAGATCATCATCAGGTACATCTTCCTGTATAAATCTTTTGGATGACTTTCTTAATGATCGTCTTAAAGAAGTCTTTTCAGAGCTTTACAGTTATATTTGATGGATTTTCTTTTAATGATGGATTTAGTTTTTTGTCATTTACATCGTTGACCTTGGGTTTTGGCGTTGACGAATTACCGATTGTTTTAGAAGAAACCTGTAAAAACGTTTGATTGAAATTCAACCAAAAAATGTGAAAATATTTACTTAGCGCTCATCCTTTCCTTTTACCCATTTTCTAAAACATACCTGTTTATTTGCAAATTTCTTCATGACTTCAGTTTTTAATGTTGTCTTAAAAACTATAAGAAAGCAATTTCATTTTTAAAAAAACTATACTTCTTACAGTCAAATTGAAAATTACAAAAGAAATTCCCAGTAAACGACGTGTCATACGCTTGCACGAAATCTTTTTAAAGCAAATTGTTGGAGATGTAATGTTTATCTCAAAAATAGTTTTTGTTAAAATCGCAATGAACTTGTAACTTTGTTGATTTATACTACAGCAGACAGAAAAACATGACGATCATTTCATACGCTTCAGACGAAACTAAAGCAACAGTACCGTTGAAGCTGTTCCAGCGTATAAAAGAGGTTTGTTAGAGACCATCAAAAATGAAATCAAGATTAGGGCAGCCTCCACCATACATTTGTCCTCTATGTGTGAAAACAGATTTATTTCAAGGTAACAGAGGCCGCGCAAGCTCGATAATTGAGGGGGGGCAAATATTCATATATGCACGTCCTACCTTAGTAGCTTCTATTGAAATCAATTGTGGGTATGGATTTAACAAAAGATTAAAACATACCAATATATAAATACTTTCTCCTTCAATTATCAATCTTGCGCCCCCATAAATTGTCACACAATATGAGCTTTTATAGTTTTTAGTACAGTGTTTGTTTTGGCGCCGCATACGGGCGGTGAACATAAGGGAATTAATAAGTGCCGCGGCGTTAAAACGAGCATTCACAGAAAATAAGCTGTGCATAGATGATGTCATAAAAACCTTTAAAAACTTCTAATGTATCATGTTTCTACATATTTAATTCCTTATAAATGATGGAGAATATCTAAAGGTTGCAATTATATTTCATAATGTGATATGTAGTCATATCACTCAAATACAGTTAAAGTACATCATGTAAAAACATTTAATGAAGATAACAACATTGAACTAATACAATTAAAAAGTAAAGTTCCATCGTTCAAATTAAATACGTTTCATCATTGCTACCTACTTGAATCCAGAGACGAAGCAACTTGAAATTGTCGATAAAACTTTGTTTGATGTACAAAGTTCCCGAATGTTTCAAGCTTTTTAACTTGAATTCAGACGTTTATTGCTCTTTAAAATCATACACACCAAGTGCCAAGTAAATATTCAACGTTTACCGTAGGTTTTGAATGTTTTGTATTACATTTGAAGTTTTGGCGGAAATGTGGCGCATGCGTGATAGGCTTTGTCTAGCAGCCGAAAATCAACGTACCATGATCGGAGATCTCTTTTACATTTAAATGTCGTCTTTACACACTCTTGCAATGTGTTTTTCAACATTTATTGAGTTGAATGCTGCTAAAACGTCTTTCAAGCGAAGACTGTGTCAAGATTAGTTAGTATGCAAGAAGAACAACACAAAGTATCTAATACTTTATCACGTTCAGGTGAGGGAGAGGGTGTACTTGTTCTTGGTTTAATTTTAATGACAGAGAGGATAGAGTTGAGCATTGAGTTGAGGAAACTGTCAAATTGACCGATTCGTCAAGATTTCTAAATGTACATGACTTTCCATTAAAGCTATAAATTACATATGAGCATTGATACATTAAACAATGTGTATTGAGTTAACAAATGCTTGTTAATAATTTGACCATTTGGTTTGTCTTCATTAAATTCAAATCGAGATTTCATTACATTTGCATAAAGACTACAAAGATGACGGCTGCTAGGGGAATTTACTTGATTTCAACATAATTTTAAATTTTGACAGAGAACTTGTTGGTTTCTTTGAATTATCATAAAAATTCATCTGCTTGACAGTAAAAATTTGCGTCTAGTTTTTATTGTGAAACATGCAGCTGACAAATTGCAGAAGAAACAAACGTTACAAAAATGCATTCCTGAAGTGGCAAGAAAATTGAAAAGATTTCATGGAAGGAAAACGTTTACTAGAGCACCTGTTAGGAGGGGTGGTTATTTTATGACAGAGTCAGGAGGGGGTGAATGCTTTAGCAAAAGTAATTTAGAGGAAGGATGGTTACTTCATAAGTTGAAGAAGGTAATACTCGCCATTCATAAATGTGTTTGAAACATAAACATATATCATGATTATCAGTATTTATCTTATCCACAAAATGATGTGAATATTTTCATTTTAGTTATGAAATATGTCCTTTGTAATCATTGGTTCCCTGTTGTTTATCTTTGTTCTCCAGTTGATGAATGACATGATCATTAAATGATTGGAGTTAACACTTGCATCATAATTGGTTATTTCAAAAGTTAGCAAGGTATGAGTTAAAATGATGAATAAATTTGCATGTAGGTAATAGCATGGTTTCTTGTGCAATTTGGAAAGAAACTTGCGCAAGTGAGTTTTTAACTATCAAATTAAAACAGCACTAGTCTGAAGGATGAGAAGAACTTAGAAATCCATGTTTTGCAAACTAAGCAATTAAAAAATTTCCTCGATTTTGTTGATTGTTAGCTTCAGCACAACAACTTTTGAACCAAAAGTTATTGAAATCAATTGACTTGTATTTTTCAATTTGTTAGATATTTTTTTAGTTGCATCATTGCCTACTTCCACACATGCACATAGCCAAAAAAAGGTACTTTTGAAAGTATTCATAATTTTGGCAATGTCATGCAAATGCTGAATTGTAAATTGGGTCACCAAAGACAAAGAAAAATCTACTTAAAATTTACAGTGAGTTATGCCAGGAACTGTTATTGCATTTTGTTACATTATTGTATATTTACTACTTGCAAATGTTTTATTTCATTGGTTTTCATGACTTTATCATTGTTTTGAGAAACCTTAAGGAGCATTTTAAAAAATGACTAAATGATATTGACTCCTGGATGTATAAGCCAGAGATTGATCCAAGAGGAATTTGTATAGGGCATGCTTTGGTTTAGATTAGATTTTGAAAGCTACTTTGAGTGTGTTGCTTCTAATAAGAGGGGTATGACCCTCCTCCAACATCCATAGTAAATCCATCTCAGCGTATGTTTAGATAATGAGAGACAAAGTTGGCTTAATTGCTAAAGAAATGTGCCCAGCAAACCTTGTTTGTATCATATACAACCATCTTCTTATACAACTTTTTTTTCTCAATTGTATAGATATTTTGATGCTATGATGTACCTAGGTGTGATGTCGTTTCGAATGCTTCCTGTGGACACATACTGGCGTTTGAGGATGTGGTCTTTCCTTGTTATGTATTTACTGTGGTCTTTGGTTTTATATTACTGACTGTTAGTGTTCTTGAAAAATGGAGGTATACCTGTATAATTGCTACATTCTGACAAGTTTTACTTGATTAAAACATGATTTTAACATTTGAAATTTATTGTTGATCATTTAAAATTTATCGTTGATCATTTGAAATTTGAAACATTGATTTGTAAAACAAAGAGGGAATTTATGTCTCAGTATCTGGAGCTTTGATTGTACACAATGACTCGTTGGTATTGTCCATGACTGGTATTCTTGGGTTCTGAGAAACGTTAAAGTGTTATCACTAGTGATGCACCAATATACAATTTTAGCGATATACCAATTAGCAGATATTAAAATACCGATGTTGTGCCGATACTGATATTTTACGCCATTTTACGAAACTTAAGCATCATAAAGTATGCCAATTTGTGCTCACCATTGACTGTTCATTTCATAAAAAATCATAAAATTCAAAGTGGTTATTTACACTGCAGCAATATTTCACAACACAACCCAATTGTCAATGGAAATTGATATCATGTGGAACTAAAGTTTAAAGTAGTATTAATTTAACAAAAATTGTTAAGGTAATATATAATTAGTATTGTTAAAAGTGCTGCCACTCGTAGGGGAAATCCCCTACTGTAGCGGGATTTAGTGATTTGTAGATGGTAGGGGAAACCTACGGGGAAAACTGTGAATTGTAGGGGGATTGTAGAGAGAAAAGAAAATCGTTTAAAAATGAGCCTCATTTTTGCCCAAAATACTCTTTTCTTCCCGTGTTCTCACCATTTAGCAAGTGATTGTAACAGAATCTTTCTTTTGGCATAATCATATGATGTTAAACTGTCAACTCATTTCACTAATATTGAAATTAAATGAAACGTGAAAGCCAGAAAGATATAATTGCAGATGGCAATTAAATATCGTGGCCAGAGATTTGCCAGGAGGAAAGTGCATTTTCATAATGAACATAATCGCCCAACATAAGACTTTTAAAAAGGCCATCACGGCAATAAATCAGAAATAAAGATAAAAGGTTTTTTAATAATTACGTTTCGTCTTTAACTTAAGAAATCTTGAGATTAAATGATATAAATTTTTATTTGAGGCTTTATATAAGCATATATTTACAGGGTAGTAACCTGGGATGTACCGGGCGGGAAGCGAATTTTTATTATAAATATTAAATCCCAGCAAAGTGCTTTTAAAAGAGCACTTCAATACAAAAATAATGTATAAAAAAGAAATATTTATTCATTAGCGTAACGTTTCGTCTTGACTCTCAATGTATCATCAGACATTATTAAATTACAAGTAATGAGGGATTTATATAAAATAGTTATTTATATAATATTAAATTACATGGTGGGATGAAAAACGTGACCCCCAATAGCAAAGCCAGCACGTTTTTCACTGCTACAATGTAAATATTTTTGTGTTCAATCACCGGAAGACAATAAAATGAACCAATTTTGTAAAGACATCGACATATTTGAATTGTGGGAGTAAAAGATCAGGCTGATATCGTCACTGATTACCTCCATCATAATTTCTCTAAGGATTTCATTTTTTCATGATGGCAGTCCTTCACAAGATTAGAAGGGCCAAGGCCTTCTCATTGTCAGCCTTACTCTCAATCAATTCTTTGTAAATCCCTTGCCACAGTATTCATATCATAAATGTTACTTACGAGCATGGATCTTACCGTGTTGTTTCAAGTTACTCATCTCATTAAATGTTTTACCAAAATGTTCACACATAAGGTTTTCTTGTGTGTATCTTCATGTGTCTTTTTAAATTATTAGACTTATTAAATCTTTTACCACAATGTTCACAATGATAAGGTTTCTCCCCAGTATGTATCCTAATGTGTGTTTTCAAGTCACACTTGTTTGTAAATGTTTTACCACAATGTTCACATTGATAAGGTTTCTCTCCAGTATGTATCCTAAAGTGACGTTTAAAGCTACCATGCTCTGTAAATGTTTTACCACAATGTTCACATCGATAAGGTTTCTCCCCAGTATGTATCCTAATGTGTGTTTTCAAGTGACTCTTGTTATTAAAGTTTTTACCACAATGTTCACATTGATAAGGTTTCTCTCCAGTATGTATCCTAAGGTGTTGATTTAACTCACTATGCCCTGTAAATGTTTTACCACAATGTTGACATTGATAAGGTTTCTCTCCTGTATGTTTCCTAAGGTGTTTTTTCCAGGCTATATCCCATATAAAAGTTTTACCACAGTGTTCACATTTGTAAGGTTTCTCTCCCGTATGTATCCTTACGTGGCTTTTTAAGTTAGAAAGTTGTGCAAATCTTTTACCACAATGTTTACATTGATAAGGTTTCTCTCCTGTATGTATCTTTATGTGACGTTTTAAGTTACCAAGCAGTGTAAAGGTTTTACCACAATGTTGACATTGATAAGGTTTCTCTCCTGTATGTATCCTAAGGTGTTTATTTAAATCACAATTCTGTAAAAACATTTTACCACAATGTTCACATTTATAAGGTTTCTCTCCTGTATGTATCCTAACGTGTCTATTCAAGGCACTATTGTGGGTAAATGTTTTACCACAATGTTCACATTTATAAGGTTTCTCTCCTGTATGTATCCTAAGGTGTTTATTCAAATCACAATTCTGTGAAAATGTTTTACCACAATGTTCACAATTACAAGGTTTCTCTTCTGTATGTATCATACCATGACGTCTTAAGTTACCAAGCAGTGTAAATCTTTTACCACAATTTTCACATTGGTAAGGTTTCTTTCCAGTATGTATCCTAACATGTTCATTCAATTTAGAAAGGTGTCTAAATGTTTTACCACAATGTTTGCATTGATAAGGTTTCTCTCCTGTTTGAACCCTCACATGTCGTTTTAATCGTGGATTTTTTCCGCATTCATTTTTCATGTGAACATTTAGATAGTCTTCACTACTGTACTTTCGACCACAACGTGGACATTCCCAGGGATTCGTACAAACAAGCATTGGACATCGTTTTAAATGTTTCTCTAAATAATCGGGATAAGTATACATCCTTCCACAGTGTCTACAGCTGTGACCTCCAACTAAAAAAAGTTAGAATTACATCACAGGATAAAGAACTGAATGATCATACATAACTAAGGCACTTTGCATACGTAAACTGACTAACCTTCAAACTGATGTTTGTCATTATCTTCCTCATCAAACAAGGATATTCCCAACTGTTCAGCATACTCATCTCCATACCAAACAAGCAATTCTTTATGGGCTTCAATCTCTTTATAAACTCGGTAGTAAATTTCTCCATTATATTGATATGCAATTATATTTTGTTCTTCTTCAAATCTTGCACAATTCACAAATCTCATCCAATTACCTTGAGCAAGATCCTTACCATCAATGCAATATACAACCTTTCCTCCTTGTACAATCTGTAAACACGGACAGATAAATAATTATGACAAAGCATGTATGTTTAATATCTGCATGGTGAAAGTAGAACAGGCAGAAAATATTTTAATAAAATGAAATTATTCCTTTATTTAAATATGTTCACCTCCCACATATACGCTGGATCTCTTCCATCCTCTGCGTCTTTAAGCGAAAGTACCTCTCCTCTGTATGGTCCAAAAGGAGCGTCAATTTCCACTTTTTTCTTTGTAAAAACACCCCTGCCTGCGTTGGGGATTGTAGCGGTATTTATGTAAAGATCTTTTGGAAGTGTCTTCATAGCATTTGATGTTCCCTTCCATTGATGTACTTCAAAGAAATGAAATTTGTTCGAAAAACGTTCTCCATCGTTAAAACAACTGCATTGGTCACAATTTTAAAGCAAATATCAAATCACAATAATGAACTGATGTTTAACTATTCATGACTCTACACTAAAAGTAAAGTACTTACAAATGTTAAGATCATCATAAGGTACATCTTCCTCTGTATAAATCTTTCTCGCTGACTTTCTTAATGATCGTCTTAGAGAAGTCTTTTTCAGAGCTTTACAGTTATATTTGATAGATTTTCTTTTAATAATGGATTTAGTTTTTTTGTCATTTATATCTTTGACCTTGGGTTTTGATGTCGACGAATTACCGATTCTTTTAGAAGAAACCTGTAAAAACGTTTGATTGAAATTTATCCAAAAAATGTGAAAATTTTTACTTAGCGCTCATCCTTTCCTTTTATCCATTTTCTAAAACATACCTGTTTATTTGCAAATTTCTTCATGACTTCAGTTTTTAATGTTGTTTTAAAAACTATAAGAAAGCAATTTCATTTTTTAAAAAACTATACTTCTTATAGTCAAAAGTAAAAATTACAAAAGAAATTCCCAGTGAACGACGTGTCATACGCTTGCACGAAATCTTTTTAAAGCAAATTGTTGGAGATGTAATGTTTATCTCAAAAATAGTTTTTGTTGAAAATCGCAATGAACTTGTAACTTTGTTGATTTATACTACAGCAGATAGAAAAACATGTCGATCATTTCATACGCTTCAGACGAAACTGAAACACCACTACCGTTGAAGCTGTTCTATTGTGTAAAAGAGTTTTGTCCGAGACCATCAAAATGAAATCAAGATTAGGGCAGCCTCCACCATACAATTGTCCTCTATGTGTGAAAACACATTTATTTCAAGGTAACAGAGGCTGCGCAAGCTCGATAATTCAGGGGGTGCAAATATTCGTATATGCATGTCCTACTTTAGTAGTTTCTATGGAAATCAATTGTGGGTATGGATTTAACAAAAGATTAAAACATACCAATATATAAATACTTTCTCCTTTAATTATCAATCTTGCGCGCCCCCCGCATAAATTGTCACACAATATGAGCTTTTATAGTTTTTTAGTACAGTGTTTGTATTGGCGCCGCATTTGGACGGTGAACATAAGGGAACTAATAAGTGCCGCGACGTTAAAACGAGCATTCAAAGAAAATAAGCTGGGCATAGATGATGTCATAAAAACTTTTAAAAACTTCTAATGTATCATGTTTCTACATATTTAATTCCTTATAAATCATGGAGAATATACAAAGGTTGCAATTATATTTCATGATGTGATATGTAGTCAAATCACTCAAATACAGTTAAAGTACATCATGTAAAAACATTTAATGAAGATAACAACATTGAACTAATATAATTAAAAAGTAAAGTTCCATCGTTCAAATTAAATACGTTTCATCATTGCTACCTACTTGAATCCAGAGACGAAGCAACTTGAAATTATCGATAAAACTTTGTTTGATGTAGAAAGTTCCCAAATGTTTCAAGCTTTTAAACTTGAATTCAGACGTTTATTGCTATTTAAAATCATACACACCCAGTGCCAAGTAAATATTCAACGTTTACCGTAGGTTTTGAATGTTTTGTATTACATTTGAAGTTTTGGCGGAAATGTGGCGCATGCGTGATAGGCTTTGTCTAACAGCCGGAAATCCCCGTACCATGATCGGAGATGTCTTTTACATTTAAATGCCGTCTTTACCCACTCTTGCAATGTGTTTTTCAACATTTATTGAGTTGAATGCTGCTAAAACGTCTTTCAAACAAAGACTGTATCAAGATTAGTTAGTATGCAAGAACAACGACACAAAGTATCTCATACTTTAACATATTCAGGTGAGGTGGGGGGTGTACTTGTTCTTGGTTTAATTTTAATGACAGAGAGGATAGAGTTGAGCATTGAGTTGTGGAAACTGTCAAATTGACAGATTCGTCGGAAATTACGGCTGCAAACGGAAATTACTTGATTTCAATATAATTTCAAATTTTCACAGTGAACTTGTTGGTTTCTTTGAAATATCATAAAATTCATCTTCTTGACAGTAAAATTTGCATCTAGTTTTCATTGTGAAACATGCAGCTGACAAATTACAGAAGAAACAAACGTTACAAAAATGCATTCCTGAAATGGCAAAAAATTGAAAAGATTTCATGGAAAGAAAACTTTTACTAAAGTACCTGGTAGGAGGGGTTGTTATTTTATGACAGAGTCAGGAGGGGGTGAATGCTTTAACAAAAGCAATTTAGAGGAAGGATGGTTACTTCATAAGTTGAAGAAAGTAATACTCGCCATTCATAAATGTGTTTGAAACATAAACATATATCTTGATTATCAGCATTTATTTTATCAACAAAATGATGTGAATATTTTCATTTTAGTTATGAAATATGTCCTTTGTAATCATTCGTTCCCTGTTGTTTATCTTTGTTCTCCAGTTGATGAATGACATGATCATTAAATGATTGGAGTTAACACTTGCATCATAATTGGTTATTTCAAAAGTTAGCAAGGTATGAGTTAAAATGATGAATAAATTTGCATGTAGGTAATAGCATGGTTTCTTGTGCAATTTGGAAAGAAACTTGCGCAAGTGAGTTTTTAACTATCAAATTAAAACAGCACTAGTCTGAAGGATGAGAAGAACTTAGAAATCCATGTTTTGCAAACTATGCAATTACTTATTATTAATATGCTTAAAAAATTTCCTCAATTTTGTTGATTGTTAGCTTCAGCACAACATTATTTTGAACCAAAAGTTATTGAAATCAATTGACTTATATTTTTCAATTTGTTAGATATTATTTTCGTTTCATCATTGCCTACTTCCACACATGCACATAGCCAAAACCATGGTACTGTTGAAAGTGTTCATAATTTTGGCAATGTCATGCAAATGCTGAATTGTAGATTGGGTCACCAAAGACAAAGAAAAATCTACTTAAAATTTACAGTGAGTTATGGCAGGGACTGTTATTGCATTTTGTTACATTATTGTATATTTACAACTTGCAAATGTTTTATTTCATTGTTTTTATGACTTTATCATTGTTTTGAGAAACCTTAAGGAGGGTTTTAAAATATGACTAAATTATATTGACTCCTGGATGTATAAGCCAGAGATTGATCCAAGAGGAGTTTGTATAGGGCATGGTTTGGTTTGGATTAGATTTTGAAAGCTACTTTGAGTGTGTTGCTTCTAATAAGAGGGGTATGACCCTCCTCCAACATCGATAGTAAATCCATCTCAACGTATGTTTAGATAATGAGAGACAAAATTGGCTTGATTGCTAAAAAAATGTGCCCAGCAAACCTTGTTTGTATCATATACAACCATCTTCTTATACAACTGTTTTTTTCTCATTTGTATAGAGATTTTGATGCTATGCTGTACCTATGTGAGTTGTCATTTCTTATGCCTCCTGTGGACACATAATGGCGTTTGACTGAGTGTGTGGTCTTTCCTTGTTATGTATTTACTGTGGTCGTTGGTTATATATTACTGACTGTTAGTGTTCTTGAAGAATGGAGGTATACCTGTATATTTGTTACATTCTACTAGTTAAACTCCATTAAAACATGATTTATTGATTTTAACATTTGAAATTTATCGTTGATCGTTGATCGTTTGAAATTTATCGTTGATCATTTGAAATTTGAAACATTGATTTGTAAAACAAAGAGGGAATTTATGTTTCAGTACCTGGAGCTTTGATTGTACATAATGACTTGTTGGTATTGTCCATGGCTGGTATTCTTGGGTTCTGAGAAATGTTAAAGTGTTATCACTAGTGATGCACCAATATACATATTTAGCGATATACCAATTAGCAGATATTAAAATGCCGATATTGTGCCGATACCGATATTTTACGCCATTTTACGAAACTTAAGCATCATAAAGTATGCCAATTTGTGCTCACCATTGACTGTTCATTTCATAAAAATATAAAATTCAAAGTGGTTATTTACACTGCAGCAATATTTCACAACACAACCCAATTGTCAATGGAAATTGATATCATGTGGAACTAAAAGTTTAAAGTAGTATTAATTTAACAAAATTGTTAAGGTAATATATATTTAGTATTGTTAACAGTGCTGCCACTCGTAAATCCCTACAGTAGCGGGATTTAGTGGTTTGTAGGTGGTAGGGGAAACCTACAGGAAAACTGTAAATTGTAGGGGATTGTAGAGAAAAGAAAATCGTTTAAAATGAGCCTCATTTTGCCCAAAATACTCTTTTCTTCCTGTGTTCTCACCATTTAGCAAGTGATTGTAACAGAATCTTTCTTTTGGCATAATCATATGATGTTAAACTGTCAACTCATTTCACTAATATTGAAATTAAATGAAACGTGAAAGCCAGAAAGACATAATTGCAGATGACAATTAAATATCGTGGCCAGAGATTTGCCAGGAGGAAAGTGCATTTTCATAATGAACATAATAGCCCAACATAAGACTTTTAAAAAAGCCATCACGGCAATAAATCAGAAATAAAGATAAAAGGTTTTTTAATAATTACGTTTCGTCTTTAACTTAAGAAACCTTGAGATTAAATGATATAAATTATTACTTGAGGCTTTATATAAGCATATATTTACAGGGTAGTAACCAGGGATTTACCGGGCGGCAACAGTGGCGTGGTGGCAGGGGGGCAAGCCCCTCTACCCAGCTGTTGATTTCTAGACGGGCGCAGAAATGAATATGAGTCACGAAGTTTTAAATTTTGGCTAGAAAAATGAATTGAAGCAGAACAGTTATTTCCACAGTTATAATATACAGTTAATGAAGTTAACTTTGGGGAAAAAGGAAGACTGATCAAAGTGAAACCTTGTAAGGGGGGGGGGTCGTTTTATAGTCTATTAAGGAATAAAGTAATTGAGGAGCATTCTTGATGTTTCTTATGTGGCCACAACACCTGACTTGTCAATTGTCACAATGACTGTAGACAACATACAGGGCCAAATTTACTGTCCTCTTAGGGGGCGCAACAAGGCCTGAAATTGTATAGTTTTTTGCCTATTTCAATGAATTTTATTTGCTTTCTCCCACAGACAGGAATCGTTACTGGCATTGCATCTTATTATTAATCCAAGCTTAATAATATTTTTTATGGGTATCCTGCTCACAAGCTATTTACAATGTTATACTAAAAAATGTCCAGATGTCCAGGTGTAAGAACGGCAATTCACGAATTGACACGACTACATGACGATGATGCGTTACGGAAAATATTCGAAAGTAAAAAATTAAGGAAATTTGTAAAATTTTACTGGCTATCGTTGAAATAAACATCTCAAAATATCATACAGGTGTACTAAAGGTTAGTATTAATACTGAACATCAGTCATCTACAATTCAAGACCTACCGTAGGATTGAAATAGTAATATAATTGTATAAAATTCTGTTATAGAGATTCTGTATTGAAGCGAAAAAAAAAATTATTTTTTGCTAAAATTTTTGAGGTTTCTTGAGGACGTCGCTACTGTTGTTATAATGACTTAGCAGGTCTATTGAGTCATTGACTATTAAAGCCTGTCTCTCAAACAGACGTCTGACTTGTTTCAGTCGTTTAAGTCAGTCGTCCATAGGACGCGAGCTAATAAACTAATAAGACGGACTTTTAGTTGGTGGTAATTGGAGACAAAATTATCATTTTTGTTGATAAATGATCTATAATATTTTGGTTATCATAGCAAAAAAATTACCGTCGGACTTCTCTAGCGATTTCTCATGTAGTTAATTAAATATTAATCATTTACGGTGTTCGCGTACCTATTTTAATTTTTAGTGGTAGCGCAGTCATCGGTAGAGTGTAATCAAAATGCAAAGGCTAACATAAAGTATCAGACTCAATACTGCGGCATGTACTGCAAATTTCATTAGTTCAAAGGTGAAGGGGCGCGAAATTTGCTTTGGCCTCCGTCAAAATTGCACCACCACGCTACTGGGCGGGAAGCGAATTCTTATTATAAATATTAAAGCCCAGCAAAGTGCTTTTAAAAGAGCCATTCAATACAAAAATAATGTATAAAAAAGAAATATTTATTCATTAGCGTAACGTTTCGTCTTGACTCTCAAGGTATCATCAGACAGTAAATTACAAGTAGTGAGGGATTTATATAAAATAGTTATTTATATATATTAAATTACATGGTGGGATGAAAAACGTGACCCCAATAGCAAAGCCAGCACGTTTTCACTGCTACAATGTAAATATTTTTGTGTTCAATCACCGGAAGACAATAAAATAAACCAATTTTGTAAAGACATCGAAACATTTGAATTGTGGGAGTAAAAGATCAGGCTAATTTCGTCACTGATTACCTCCATCATAATTTCTCTAAGGATATCATTTTTTCATGATGGCAGTCCTTCACAAGATTAGAAGGGCCAAGGCCTCCTTCTTGTCAGCCTTACTCTCAATCAATCCTTTGTAAATCCCTTGCCACAGTATTAATATCATAAATGTTACTTACGAGCATAGATCTTACCGTGTTGTTTCAAGTTACTCTTCTTATTAAACGTTTTACCAAATGTTCACATTGATAAGGTTTTCTGTGTGTATCCTCATGTGTCTTTTAAATTATTAGACTTGTAAATCTTTTACCACAATGTTCACATTGATAAGGTTTCTCCCAGTATGTATCATAGACACTTTTACCACAATGTTCACATTGATAAGGTTTCTCTCCAGTATGTATCAATGTTTTACCAAATGTTTTACCACAGTGTTGACATTGATAAGGTTTCTCTCCTGTATGTATCCTAAGGTGTTTATTCAAATCACAATTCTGTGAAAATGTTTTACCACAATGTTCACATTGATAAGGTTTCTCTCCTGTATGTATCCTAAGGTGTTTATTCAAATCACAGTTCTGTGAAATGTTTTACCACAATGTTCACATTTATAAGGTTTCTCTCCTGTATGTATCATACCATGACGTTTTAAGCTACAAAGCTGTGTAAAGGTTTTACCACAATGTTGACATTGATAAGGTTTCTCTCCTGTATGTATCCTAAGGTGTTTATTTAAATCATAATTCTGTAAAATGTTTTACCACAATGTTCACATTTATAAGGTTTCTCTCCTGTATGTATCATACCATGACGTTTTAGGTTACCAAGCACTGTAAATCTTTTACCACAATTTTCACATTGGTAAGGTTTGTCTCCAGTATGTATCCTAACATGTTCATTCAATTTAGAAAGGTGTCTAAATGTTTTACCACAATGTTTGCATTGATAAGGTTTCTCTCCTGTTTGAACCCTCACATGTCGTTTTAATCGTGGATTTTTCCGCATTCATTTTTCATGTGAACATTTAGATAGTCTTCACTACTGTACTTTCGACCACAACGTGGACATTCCCAGGGATTCGTACAAACAAGCATTGGACATCGTTTTAAATGTTTCTCTAAATAATCGGGATAAGTATACATCCTTCCACAGTGTCTACAGCTGTGACCTCCAACTAAAAGAAAAGTTAGAATTACATCACAGGATAAAGAACTAAATGATCATACATAACTAAGGCACTTCCCATACGTAAACTAACCTTCAAACTGATGCTTGTCATTATCTTCCTCATCAAACAACGATATTCCCAACTGTTCAGCATACTCATCTCCATACCAAACAAGCAATTCTTTATCGGCTTCAATCTCTTTATAAACTCGGTAGTAAATTTCTCCATTATATTGATATGCAATTATATTTTGTTCTTCTTCAAATCTTGCACAATTCACAAATCTCATCCAATTACCTTGAGCAAGATCCTTACCATCAATACAATATACAACCTTTCCTCCTTGTACAATCTGTAAACACGGACAGATAAATAATTATGACAAAGCATGTATGTTTAATATCTGCATGGTGAAAGTAGAACAGGCAGAAAATATTTTAATAAAAGAAATTATTCATTTATTTAAATATGTTCACCTCCCACATATACGCAGGATCTCTTCCATCCTCTGCGTCTTTAAGCGAAAGTACCTCTCCTCTGTATGGTCCAAAACGAGTGTTAATTTCAACTTTTTCTTTGTAAAAACACCCTGCCTGCGTTGGGGATTGTAGCGGTATTTATGTAAAATCTTTTGGAAGTGTCTTCATAGCATTTGATGTTCCCTTCCATTGATGTACTTCAAAGAAATGAAATTTGTTCGAAAAGTTCTCCATCGTTAAAACAACTGCATTGTTCACAATTTTAAAGCAAATATCAAATCACAGTAATGAACTGATGTTTAACTATTCATGACTCTACACTAAAAGTAAAGTACTTACAAATGTTAAGATCATCATCAGGTACATCTTCGCTGTATAAATCTTTTGGATGACTTTCTTAATGATCGTCTTAAAGAAGTCTTTTCAGAGCTTTACAGTTATATTTGATGGATTTTCTTTTAATGATGGATTTAGTTTTTTGTCATTTACATCGTTGACCTTGGGTTTTGACGTTGACGAATTACCGATTGTTTTAGAAGAAACCTGTAAAAACGTTTGATTGAAATTCAACCGAAAAATGTGAAAATGTTTACTTATTGCTTATCCTTTCCTTTTATCCATTTTCTAAAACATACCTGTTTATTTGCAAATTTCTTCATGACTTCAGTTTTAATGTTGTTTTAAAACTATAAGAAAGCAATTTCATTTTAAAAACTATACTTCTTACAGTCAAAAGTGAAAATTACAAAAGAAATTCCCAGTGAACGACGTGTCATACGCTTGCACGAAATCTTTTAAAAAATTGTTGGAGATGTAATGTTTATCTCAAAAATAGTTTTTGTTCAAAATCGCAATGAACTTGTAACTTTGTTGATTTATACTACAGCAGACAGAAAAACATGACGATCATTTCATACGCTAAGACTAAACTGAAACACCACTACTTTTGAAGCTGTTCTATCGTGTAAAAGAGTTTGTCAGAAACCATCAAAAATGAAATCAAGATTAGGGCAGCCTCCACCATACATTTGTCCTCTATGTGTGAAAACACATTTATTTCAAGGTAACAGAGGCCGCGCAAGCTCGATAATTGAGGGGTGCAAATATTCATATATGCATGTCCTACTTTAGTAGTTTCTATGAAATCAATTGTGGGTATGGATTTAACAAAAGATTAAAACATACCAATATATAAATACTTTCTCCTTCAATTATCAATCTTGCGCGCCCCGCATAAATTGTCACACAATATGAGCTTTTATAGTTTTTAGTACAGTGTTTGTATTGGCGCCGCATGGGCGGTGAACATAAGGGAAGTAATAAGTGCCGCGGCGTTAAAACGAGCATTCAAAGAAAAAAGCTGTGCATAGATGATGTCATAAAACCTTTAAAACTTCTAATGTATCATGTTTCTACATATTTAATTCCTTATAAATGATGGAGAATATCTAAAGGTTGCAATTATATTTCATAATGTGATATGTAGTCAAATCACTCAAATACAGTTAAAGTACATCATGTAAAAAATTTAATGAAGATAACAACATTGAACTAATATAATTAAAAGTAAAGTTCCATCGTTCAAATTAAATACGTTTCATCATTGCTACCTACTTGAATCCAGAGACGAAGCAACTTGAAATTGTCGATAAAACTTTGTTTGATGTAGAAAGTTCCCAAATGTTTCAAGCTTTTAAACTTGAATTCAGACGTTTATTGCTCTTTAAAATCATACACACTCAGTGCCAAGTAAATATTCAACGTTTACCGTAGGTTTTGAATGTTTTGTATTACATTTCAAGTTTTGGCGGAAATATGGCGCATGCGTGGTAGGCTTTGTCTAGCAGCCGGAAATCCCGTACCATGATCCTTTTTACATTTAAATGTCGTCTTTACAACTCTTGCAATGTGTTTTCAACATTTATTGAGTTGAATGCTGCTAAAACGTCTTCAAGCGAAGACTGTGTCAATTAGTTAGTATGCAAGAAGAACAACACAAAGTATCTCTACTTTATCATATTCAGGTGAGGGTACTTGTTCTTGGTTTAATTTTAATGACAGAGAGGATAGAGTTGAGCATTGAGTTGAGGAAACTGTCAAATTGACAGATTCGTCAGATTTCTAAATGTACATGACTTTCCATTAAAGCTATGAATTACATATGAGCATTGATACATTAAACAATGTGTTTGAGTTAACAAATGCTTGCTAATAATTTGACCATTTGTTGTGTTGTCATTAAATTCAAATGGAGATTTCATTAGATTTCATACATAATTTCAAATTTTGACAGTGAACTTGTTTTTGGTTTCTTTGAAATATCATAAAAATTCATCTGCTTGACAGTAAAATTTGCATCTAGTTTTCATTGTGAAACATGCAGCTGACAAATTGCAGAAGAAACAAACGTTACAAAATGCATTCCTGAAGTGGCAAAAATTGAAAAGATTTCATGGAAAGAAAACTTTACTAAAGCACCTGTTAGGAGGGGTTATTTTATGACAGAGTCAGGAGGGTGAATGCTTTAACAAAAGCAATTTAGAGGAAGGATGGTTACTTCATAAGTTGAAGAAGGTAATACTCACCATTCATAAATGTGTTTGAAACATAAACATATATCATGATTATCAGCATTTATCTTATCAACAAAATGATGTGAATATTTTCATTTTAGTTATGAAATATGTCCTTTGTAATCATTGGTTCCCTGTTGTTTGTCTTTGTTCTCCAGTTCATGAATGACATGATCATTAAATGATTGGGGTTAACAGTTGCATCATAATTGGTTATTTCAAAAGTTAGCAAGGTATGAGTTAAAATGATGAATAAATTTGCATGTAGGTAATAGCATGGTTTCTTGTGCAATTTGGAAAGAAACTTGCAAGTGAGTTTTAACTATCAAATCAAAACAGCATGAGTCTGAAGGATGAGAAGAACTTAGAAGTCCATGTTTTGCAAACTATGCAATTACTTATTAATAATATGCTTAAAAATTTGCTCAATTTTGTTGATTGTTAGCTTCAGCACAACATAATTTTGAACCAAAAGTTATTGAAATCAATTGACTTATATTTTTCAATTTGTTAGATATTTTTTGTTTCATCATTGCCTACTTCCACACATGCACATAGCCAAAAACATGGTACTTTTGAAAGTGTTCATAATTTTGGCAATGTCATGCAAATGCTGAATTGTAGATTGGGTCACCAAAGACAAAGAAAAATCTACTTAAAATTTACAGTGAGTTATGCCAGGCACTGTTATTGCATTTTGTTACATTATTGTATATTTACAACTTGCAAATGTTTTATTTCATTGGTTTTTATGACTTTATCATTGTTTTGAGAAACCTTAAGGAGGTTTTAAAATATGACTAAATGATATTGACTCCTGGATGTATAAGCCAGAGATTGATCCAAGAGGAATTTGTATAGGGCATGCTTTGGTTTAGATTAGATTTTGAAAGCTACTTTGAGTGTGTTGCTATTAATAAGATGGGTATGACCCTCCTCCAACATCGATAGTAAATCCATCTCAACGTATGTTTAGATAATGAGAGACAAAGTTGGCTTGATTGCTAAAAAATGTGCCCAGCAAACCTTGTTTGTATCATATACAACCATCTTCTTATACAACTGTTTTTTCTCCATTGTAAAGAGATTTTGATGCTATGCTGTACCTATGTGAGTTGTCATTTTGATGCCTCCTGTGGACACATACTGGTTTGACTGAGTGTGTGGTCTTTCCTTGTTATGTATTTACTGTGGTCTTTGGTTATATATTACTGGCTGTTTGTGTTCTTGAAGAATGGGTATACCTGTATATTTGCTACATTATGACTAGTTTTTAAAACATTATCATGATTAAAACATTTGAAATTTATGTTGATTATTTTAAATTTATCGTTGATCGTTTGAAATTTATCGTTGATCGTTTGAAATTTAAAATTTATCGTTGATTTTGTTTGAAAAACAAAGAGGAATTTATGTTTCAGTACCTTGAGCTTTGATTGTACATAATGACTTGTTGGTATTGTCCATGGCTGGTATTCTTGGGTTCTGAGAAATGTTAAAGTGTTATCACTAGTGATGCACCAATATACATTTTTAGCGATATACCAATTAACAGATATTAAAATGCCGATATTGTGCCGATACCGATATTTTACGCCATTTTACGAAACTTAAGCATCATAAAGTATGCCAATTTGTGCTCACCATTGACTGTTCATTTCATAAAAAATATAAAATTCAAAGCGGTTATTTACACTGCAGCAATCTTTCACAACACAACCCAATTGTCAATGGAAATTGATATCATGTGGAACTAAAAAGTTTAAAGTAGTATTAATTTAACAAAAATTGTTCAGGCAATATATATTTAGTATTGTTAACAGTGCTGCCACTAGGGAAATCCTACAGTAGCGGGATTTAGTGGTTTGTAGGTGGTAGGAAACCTACAGGAAAACTGTAAATTGTAGTGGGATTGTAGAGAAAAAGAAAATCGTTTAAAAATGAGCCTCATTTTGCCCAAAATACTCTTTTCTTCCTGTGTTCTCACCATTTAGCAAGTGATTGTAACAGAATCTTTCTTCTGGCATAATCATATGATGTTAAACTGTCAACTCATGTCACTAATATTGAAATCAAATGAAACGTGTAAGCCAGAAAGACATAATTGCAGATGACGATTAAATATCGTGGCCTGAGATTTGCCAGGAGGAAAGTGCATTTTCATAATGAACATAATAGCCCAACATAAGACTTTTAAAAAAGCCATCACGGCAATAAATCAGAAATAAAGATAAAAGTTTTTAATAATTACGTTTCGTCTTTAACTTAAGAAACCTTAAATGATATAAATTATTACTTGAGGCTTTATATAAGCATATATTTACAGGGTAGTAACCAGGGATTTACCGGGCGGCAACAGTGGCGTGGTGGCAGGGGGGCAAGCCCCTCTACCCAGCTGTTGATTTCTGGAGGGGCGCAGAAATGAATATGAGTCACGAAGTTTTAAATTTTGGCTAGAAAAATGAATTGAAGCAGAACAGTTATTTCCACAGTTATAATATACAGTTAATGAAGTTAACTTTGGGGGAAAAGGAAGACTGATCAAAATGAAACCTTGTAAGGGGGTCGTTTTATTGTCTATTAAGGAATAAAGTAATTGAGGAGCATTCTTGATGTTTCTTATGTGGCCACAACACCTGACTTGTCAATTGTCACAATGACTGTAGACAACATACAGGGCCAAATTTAATGTCCTCTTAGGGGGCGCAACAAGGCCTGAAATTGTATAGTTTTTTGCCTATTTCAATGAATTTTATTTGCTTTCTCCCACAGACAGGAATCGTTACTGGCATTGCATCTTATTATTAATCCAAGCTTAATATATTTTTGTGGGTAGCCTGCTCACAAGCTATTCACAATGTTATACTAAAAAATGTCCAGATGTCCAGGTGCTAGGATGGCAATTCACGAATTGACACGACTACATGACGATGATGCGTTACGGAAAATATTCGAAAGTATAAAATTAAGGAAATTTGTAAAATTTTACTGGCATAGTTGAAATAAACATCTCAAAATATCATACAGGTATACTAAAGGTTAGTATTAATACTGAACATCAGCCTTCTACAATTTAAGACCTACCGTAGGATTAAAATAGAAAGATATTGTATAAAATTCTGTTATAAAGATTCTGTATTGAAGCGAAAAAAAAATTATTTTTTGCTAAAATTTTTGAGATTTCTTGAGGACGTCGCTACTGTTGTTATAATGGCAAGCCTACTTAGCAGGTCTATTGAGTCATTGACTGAAGCCTGTCTCTCAAACAGACGTCTGACTTGTTTCAGTCTTTAAGTCAGTCGTCCATAGAGCGCTAGCTAATAAACTAATAAGACAGACTTTTAGTTGGTGGTAATTGGAGACAAAATTATCATTTTTGTTGATAAATGATCTATAATATTTTGGTTATCATTGCAAAAAAATGACCGTCGGACTTCTCTAGCGATTTCTCATGTAGTTAATTAAATATTAGTCATTTACGCTGTTCGCGCACCTATTTTTAATTTTTTAGTAGTAGCGCAGTCATCGGTAGAGTGTAATCAAAATACAAAGGCTAACATAAAGTATCATGACTCAATACTGCGGCATGTACTGCAAATTTCATTAGTTCAAAGGTGAAGGGGGCGCGAAATTTGCTTTGGCCTCCGCAGTCAAAATTGCACCACCACGCTACTGGGCGGGAAGCGAATTCTTATTATAAATATTAAAGCCCAGCAAAGTGCTTTTAAAAGAGCCATTCAATACAAAAATAATGTATAAAAAAGAAATATTTATTCATTAGCGCAACGTTTCGTCTTGACTCTCAAGGTATCATCAGACAGGAGTAAATTACAAGTAGTGAGGGATTTATATAAAATAGTTATTTATATAATATTAAATTACATGGTGGGATGAAAAACGTGACCCCCAATAGCAAAGCCAGCACGTTTTTCACTGCTACAATGTAAATATTTTTGTGTTCAATCACCGGAAGACAATAAAATAAACCAATTTTGTAAAGACATCGAAACATTTGAATTGTGGGAGTAAAAGATCAGGCTAATTTCGTCACTGATTACCTCCATCATAATTTCTCTAAGGATATCATTTTTTCATGATGGCAGTCCTTCACAAGATTAGAAGGGCCAAGGCCTCCTTCTTGTCAGCCTTACTCTCAATCAATCCTTTGTAAATCCCTTGCCACAGTATTAATATCATAAATGTTACTTACGAGCATAGATCTTACCGTGTTGTTTCAAGTTACTCTTCTTATTAAACGTTTTACCAAAATGTTCACATTGATAAGGTTTTTCTTGTGTGTATCCTCATGTGTCTTTTAAAATTATTAGACCTTAAATCTTTTACCACAATGTTCACATTGATAAGGTTTCTCTCCAGTATGTATCATTACGTGACTTTTTAAGTTACAAAGCTGTGTAAATGTTTTACCACAGTGTTGACATTGATAAGGTTTCTCTCCTGTATGTATCCTAAGGTGTTTATTCAAATCACAATTCTGTGAAAATGTTTTACCACAATGTTCACATTGATAAGGTTTCTCTCCTGTATGTATCCTAAGGTGTTTATTCAAATCACAGTTCTGTGAAAATGTTTTACCACAATGTTCACATTTATAAGGTTTCTCTCCTGTATGTATACCATGACGTTTTAAGCTACAAAGCTGTGTAAAGGTTTTACCACAATGTTGACATTGATAAGGTTTCTCTCCTGTATGTATCCTAAGGTGTTCATTTAAATCATAATTCTGTAAAAACATTTTACCACAATGTTTACATTTATAAGGTTTCTCTCCTGTATGTATCATACCATGACGTTTTAGGTTACCAAGCACTGTAAATCTTTTACCACAATTTTCACATTGGTAAGGTTTGTCTCCAGTATGTATCCTAACATGTTCATTCAATTTAGAAAGGTGTCTAAATGTTTTACCACAATGTTTGCATTGACAAGGTTTCTCTCCTGTTTGAACCCTCACATGTCGTTTTAATCGTGGATTTTTTCCGCATTCATTTTTCATGTGAACGTTTAGATAGTCTTCACTACTGTACTTTCGACCACAACGTGGACATTCCCAGGGTTCGTAAAACAAGCATTGGACATCGTTTTAAATGTTTCTCTAAATAATCGGGATAAGTATACATCCTTCCACAGTGTCTACAGCTGTGACCTCCAACTAAAAGAAAAGTTAGAATTACATCACAGGATAAAGAACTAAATGATCATACTTAACTAAGGCACTTCCCATACGTAAACTAACCTTCAAACTGATGCTTGTCATTATCTTCCTCATCAAACAACGATATTCCCAACTGTTCAGCATACTCATCTCCATACCAAACAAGCAATTCTTTATCGGCTTCAATCTCTTTATAAACTCGGTAGTAAATTTCTCCATTATATTGATATGCAATTATATTTTGTTCTTCTTCAAATCTTGCACAATTCACAAATCTCATCCAATTACCTTGAGCAAGATCCTTACCATCAATACAATATACCACCTTTCCTCCTTGTACAATCTGTAGACACGGACAGATAAATAATTATGACAAAGCATGTATGTTTAATATCTGCATGGTGAAAGTAGAACGGGCAGAAAATATTTTAATAAAAAGAAATTATTCCTTTATTTAAATATGTTCACCTCCCACATGTACGCAGGATCTCTTCCATCCTCTGCGTCTTTAAGCGAAAGTACCTCTCCTCTGTATGGTCCAAAACGAGTGTTAATTTCAACTTTTTTCTTTGTAAAAACACCCCTGCCTGCGTTGGGGATTGTAGCGGTATTTATGTACAAATCTTTTGGAAGTGTCTTCATAGCATTTGATGTTCCCTTCCATTGATGTACTTCAAAGAAATGAAATTTGTTTGAAACGTTCTCCATCGTTAAAACAACTGCATTGTTCACAATTTTAAAGCAAATATCAAATCACAGTAATGAACTGATGTTTAACTATTCATGACTCTACACTAAAAGTAAAGTACTTACAAATGTTAAGATCATCATCAGGTACATCTTCCGCTGTATAAATCTTTTGGATGACTTTCTTAATGATCGTCTTAAAGAAGTCTTTTCAGAGCTTTACAGTTATATTTGATGGATTTTCTTTTAATGATGGATTTAGTTTTTTGTCATTTACATCGTTGACCTTGGGTTTTGACGTTGACGAATTACCGATTGTTTTAGAAGAAACCTGTAAAAACGTTTGATTGAAATTCAACCAAAAATGTGAAAATGTTTACTTATTGCTTATCCTTTCCTTTTATCCATTTTCTAAAACATACCTGTTTATTTGCAAATTTCTTCATGACTTCAGTTTTATGTTGTTTTAAAACTATAAGAAAGCAATTTCATTTTTAAAAAACTATACTTCTTACAGTCAAAAGTGAAAATTACAAAAGAAATTCCCAGGGAACGACGTTTCATACGCTTGCACGAAATCTTTTTAAAATAAATTGTTGGAGATGTAATGTTTATCTCAAAAATAGTTTTTGTTGAAAATCGCAATGAACTTGTAACTTTGTTGATTTATACTACAGCAGACAGAAAAACATGACGATCATTTCATACGCTAAGACTAAACTGAAACACCACTACTTTTGAAGCTGTTCTATCGTGTAAAAAGAGCTTTGTCAGAAACCATGAAAAATGAAATCAAGATTAGGGCAGCCTCCACCATAATTGTCCTCTATGTGTGAAAACACATTTATTTCAAGGTAACAGAGGCCGCGCAAGCTCGATAATTGAGGCGGTGCAAATATTCGTATATGCATGTTCTACTTTAGTAGTTTCTATGGAAATCAATTGTGGGTATGGATTTAACAAAAGATTAAAACATACCAATATATAAATACTTTCTCCTTTAATTATCAATCTTGCGCGCCCCCCGCATAAATTGTCACACAATATGAGCTTTTATAGTTTTTTTAGTACAGTGTTTGTATTGGCGCCGCATTCGGGCGGTGAACATAAGGGAAGTAATAAGTGCCGCGGCGTTAAAACGAGCATTCAAAGAAAAAAAGCTGTGCATAGATGATGTCATAAAAACCTTTAAAAACTTCTAATGTATCATGTTTCTACATATTTAATTCCTTATAAATGATGGAGAATATCTAAAGGTTACAATTATATTTCATAATGTGATATGTGGTCAAATCACTCAAATACAGTTAAAGTACATCATCTAAAAAAAATTTAATGAAGATAACCACATTGAACTAATATAATTAAAAAGTAAAGTTCCATCGTTCAAATTAAATACGTTTCATCATTGCTACCTACTTCACGATCTTAACAATCCAGAGACGAAGCAACTTGAAATTGTCGATAAAACTTTGTTTGATGTAGAAAGTTCCCAAATGTTTCAAGCTTTTAAACTTTAATTCAGACGTTTATTGCTCTTTAAAATCATACACACTCAGTGCCAAGTAAATATTCAACGTTTACCGTAGGTTTTGAATGTTTTGTATTACATTTCAAGTTTTGGCGGAAATATGGCGCATGCGTGGTAGGCTTTGTCTAGCAGCCGGAAATCCCCGTACCATGATCTTGCACTGTGTTTTTCAACATTTATTGAGTTAAATGCTGCTAAACGTCTTCCAAGCGAAGACTGTGTCATGATTAGTTAGTATGCAAGAACAACGACACAAAGTATCTCATACTTTGTCATATTCAGGTGAGGTGTACTTGTTCTTGGTTTAATTTTAATGACAGAGAGGATAGAGTTGAGCTTGAGTTGTGGAAACTGTCAAATTGACAGATTCGTCGGAAATTACTTGATTTCAATATAATTTCAAATTTTCACAGTGAACTTGTTGGTTTCTTTGAAATATAAAAATTCATCTGCTTGACAATAAAAATTTGCATCTAGTTTTCCTTGTGAAACATGCAGCTGACAAATTGCAGAAGAAACAAACGTTACAAAAATGCATTCCTGAAATGGCAAAAAATTGAAAAGATTTCATGGAAAGAAAATTGACAGATTCGTCGAGATTTCTTAATGTACATGACTTTGAGGAAACTGTCAAATTGACAGATTCCTCAAATTGACAGATTCGTCGAGATTTCTTAATGTACATGACTTTGAGTTGAGGAAACTGTCAAATTGACAGATTCGTCGAGATTTCTTAATGTACATGACTTTGAGTTGAGGAAACTGTCAAATTGACAGATTCGTCGAGATTTCTTAATGTACATGACTTTCCATTAATTAGTTAATAAATGCTTTCTAATAATTTGACCATTTGTTGTGTTGTCATTAAATTCAAATGGAGATTTCATTAGATTTCCATACAGACCATTAAGATGACGGCTGCAAACGGAACATACTTGATTTCATCATAATTTCAAATTTTGACAGTGAACTTGTTTTTGGTTTCTCTGAAATATCATAAAAATTCATCTGCTTGACAGTAAAAATTTGCATCTAGTTTTCATTGTGAAACATGCAGCTGACAAATTGCAGAAGAAACAAACGTTACAAAAATGCATCCCTGAAGTGGCAAAAAATTGAAAAGATTTCACGGAAAGAAAACTTTTACTAAAGCACCTGTTAGGAGAGGTGGATATTTTATGACAGAGTCAGGAGGGTGAAGCTTTAACAAAAGCAATTTAGAGGAAAGATGGTTACTTCATAAGTTGAAGAAGGTAATACTCACTATTCATAAATGTGTTTGAAACATAAACATATATCATGATTATCAGCATTTATCTTATAACAAAATGATGTGAATATTTTCATTTTAGTTATGAAATATGTCCTTTGTAATCATTGGTTCCCTTTTGTTTGTCTTTGTTTTCCAGTTCATGAATGACATGATCATTAAATGATTGGGGTTAACAGTTGCATCATAATTGGTTATTTCAAAAGTTAGCAAGGTATGAGTTAAAATGATGAATAAATTTGCATGTAGGTAATAGCATGGTTTCTTGTGCAATTTGGAAAGAAACTTGCGCAAGTGAGTTTTTAACTATCAAATCAAAAGAGCATGAGTCTGAAGGATGAGAAGAACTTAGAAGTCCATGTTTTGCAAACTATGCAATTACTTATTAATAATGTGTTTAAAAAATTTGCTCAATTTTGTTGATTGTTAGCTTCAGCACAACATAATTTTGAACCAAAAGTTATTGAAATCAATTGACTTATATTTTTCAATTTGTTAGATATTTGTTGTTTCATCATTGCCTACTTCCACACATGCACATAGCCAAAAACATGGTACTTTTAAAAGTGTTCATCATTTTGGCAATGTCATGCAAATGCTGAATTGTAGATTGGGTCACCAAAGACAAAGAAAAATCTACTTAAAATTTACAGTGAGTTATGCCAGGCACTGTTATTGCATTTTGTTACATTATTGTATATTTACAACTTGCAAATGTTTTATTTCATTGGTTTTTATGACTTTATCATTGTTTTGAGAAACCTTAAGGAGGTTTTAAAATATGACTAAATTATATTGACTCCTGGATGTATAAGCCAGAGATTGATCCAAGAGGAATTTGTATAGGGCATGCTTTGGTTTAGATTAGATTTTGAAAGCTACTTTGAGTGTGTTGCTATTAATAAGATGGGGATGACCCTCTTCCAACATTGATAGTAAATCCATCTCTACGTATGTTTAGATAGTGAGAGACAAAGTTGGCTTGATTGCTAAAAAAATGCACCCAGCAAACCTTGTTTGTATGATATACAACCATCTTCTTATTCAACTGTTTTTTTCTCCATTGTAAAGAGATTTTGATGCTATGCTGTACCTATGTGAGTTGTCATTTTGAATGCCTCTTGTGGACACATACTAACGTTTGACTGAGTGTGTGGTCTTTCCTTGTTATGTATTCGCTGTGGTCTTTGGTTATATATTACAGGCTGTTTGTGTTCTTGAAAAATGGTGGTATACCTGTATATTTCTTAGCTTATGACTAGTTTTACTTGATTAAAACATGATCATGATTATAACATTAGAAATTTATCGTTGATCATTTGAAATTTAAAACATTGATTTGTAAAACAAAGAGGGAATTTATATTTCAGTACCTTGAGCTTTGATTGTACAGAATGACTTGTTGGTATTGTCCATGGCTGGTATTCTTGGGTTCTGAGAAATGTTAAAGTGTTATCACTAGTGATGCACCAATATACATATTTAGCGATATACCAATTAGCAGATATTAAAATGCCGATATTGTGCCGATACCGATATTTTACGCCATTTTACAAAACTTAAGCATCATAAAGTATGCCAATTTGTACTCACTATTGACTGTTCATTTCATAAAAAAAATATAAAATTCAAAGCGGTTATTTACACTGCAGCCATATTTTACAACACAACCCAATTGTCAATGGAAATTGATGTCATGTGGAACCAGAGGCCGCGGAACTGGGGCATTGGGGCAAGTGTCTCCCCACTTTTACAACAGGGAAAATTTGTTCTTTTCTGGAATGAAAGTGCCCTTTTTCATGGTGTAGAAATGCCCTTGTTTTAGGTAAAATTGGACTGAAGAAGTTTTTCTTAGATACAAGTAGCCCCGAGAGTAGATCAAAGTCTGTCGGCATCATGCAAAATCAGCTATAGCTTAGTTTTTTATCTTGATTACCCAGATGGATCAAAAATCGCGTTTGTCGATTGGGGTTGTCTTCGCAGACGTCCGCCCAGTAACTTAACAAACAATGAGAAGTCGCAATTTATGATCCACATGAGACTATAAATTCTACGGCTACGCATTGCTCCCGTCGTATTGTCTTTCAGGCCATTGGTTCTACAAAACTGATGACAATTCATAATCATAATAATTGAAAATTTTGCGGTTTAAATCACTTCTAATCAAAATCATCATGCTTAGAGCTGCTAGGTGAAAACGAGAAAAGGAAAAAGAGCTTGTAGAAACAGCTAAAAGGATGCGAAAACTGACGAGTTTTTTAGTAGTGCTCCAGAAGAGAACGTTGTTGACCAAAACATCGACTCTAGGTCTAGTTTGACACTGCCGTCAGCTACAGAAACTCCATCAACGTATTTATCTCCTCATTCTCATTCCAAACCAAAATTCGGCGATTCTGACTTTACAACGTCTTTAGAGATACTAGTCGCGCCGCCGACCGAGCCAGTTCACACACCTTCTCAAAACCTAACGTATGCGTCTTTGCCAAGTTCCACGACTACCGCCCTATTGGTAGGACCTATGCAAATTGAGTCAACGGAATGTTTGCTAGGACTCGATTGTAAGCATTTGTGCTGTACAGGCCGACAGCCTTACCATCCTACACTAGAAGAAATAAAGCACACGTCTTACCTTGATTTACCTTGTTGCTCCGATGAGCGCATCCTCTGGAAAACTTTTTTTTCTTGCCAGTGGCTTGTCAAACACATCTCAGGAGCACAATGACGGCAGCACGCTACAATAATCTTATTGTTATGCATGTAAACAAGGCCAGAACTGACGAACTGGACTTACGTTTAATAGCTAAGGACTTTGTTCTGAAAAACGAACGTAGGGTTAGATTTTTTGGGAAATTTTATTGAGATCGCTTTACTTAATAAAATTGTTCATTTCGTCATCTTAGTTCAATTTGTTAGCACGCACGCCGAGCAGTAGAGAATACGCATAGCATTCTAAGAATGTTTACCAATATTTTGCAGACTTTGAAACTTAATCATGATTCATGAAACAAGGCATATATAAAATATACTAAAACAGTAAACTGCAAACTCACATGCCCTTTTCGGTCAGTGCCCCCCCACTTTTGAGATACTTCCGCGGCCCCTGTGTGGAACTAAAAAGTTTAAAGTAGTATTAATTTAACAAAAATTGTTAAGGTAGTATATATTTAGTATTGTTAACAGTGCTGCCACTGTAGGGAAATCCCTACAGTAGCGGGATTTAGTGGTTTGTAGATGGTAGGGAAACCTACGGGAAAACTGTAAATTGTAGGGGACTGTAGAGAGAAAAGAAAATCGTTTAAAAATGAGCCTAATTTTTGCCCAAAATACTCTTTTCTTCCTGTGTTCTCATCATTTAGCGCCCCTGCGCCTGGATCATCACGTTGTAGTCGTGCAGGGGCTTAAGTACTTCACTGAAGGACAACTAAGAATGATCCAAACCCGGTCTCCGAACTTCGATGTCGAACTCTCGGAACCACACCTCCAAACTCTGCCGGCTTGATGGGACATACATGGAGGTGTGACTACCATACGAAACTACTACTACCATTTAGCAAGTGATTGTAACAGAATCTTTCTTTTGGCATAATCATATGATGTTAAACTGTCAACTCATTTGACTAATATTGAAATTAAATCAAACGTGAAAGCTAGAACGACATAATTGCAGATGACGATTAAATATCGTGGCCAGAGATTTGCCAGGCGGAAAGCGCATTTTCATAATAAACATAATAGCCCAACATAAGACTTTTAAAAAAGCCATCACGGCAATAAATCAGAAATAAAGATAAAAGGTTTTTTAATGATTACGTTTCGTCTTTAACTTAAGAAATCTTGAGATTAAATGATATAAATTTTTACTTGAGGCTTTATATAAGCATATATTTACTGGGTAGTAACCAGGGATATACTGGGCGGGAAGCGAATTCTTATTATAAATATTAAAGCCCAGCAAACTGCTTTTAAAAGAGCCATTCAATACAAAAATAATGTATAAAAAAAATATTTATTCATTAGCGTAACGTTTCGTCTTGACTCACAAGGCATCATCAGACATTATTAAATTACAAGTAATGAGGGATTAATATAAAATAGTTATTTATATAATATTAAATTAAATGGTGGGATGAAAAACGTGACCCCCAATTGCAAAGCCAAAACGTTTTTCACTGCTACAATGTAAATATTTTTGTGTTCAATCACCGAAGACAATAAAATGAAATAATTTTGTAAAGACATCGAAAAATTTGAATTGTGGGAGTAAAAGATCGGGCTAAAATTCGTCACTGATTACCTCCATCATACTTGTTATACGGATATCATTTTTTCATGATGGCAGTCCTTCAGCAGATTAGAAAGGCCAAGGCCTCCTCATTGTCAGCCTTACTCAATAAATCGTTTGTAAATCCCTTGCCACAATATTGATATCATAAATGTTTCTTACGAGCATGGATCTTACCGTGTTGATTCAAGTTACTCTTCTTATTAAATGTTTTACCAAAATGTTCACATTGATGAGGTTTTTCTTGTGTGAATCCTCATGTGTCTTTTAAAATTATTAGACTCTTTAAATCTTTTACCACAATGTTCACATTCATAAGGTTTCTCCCCAGTATGTATCCTAAAGTGTTTCTTCAAGTCATTATTCCTTCTATTTTTTTTACCACAATGTTCACATTGATAAGGTTTCACTCCTGTATGTATGCTGATGTGTGTTTTCAAGTTACCCTTGTTATTAAATCTTTTACCTCAATGTTCACATTCATAAGGTTTCTCCCAGTATGTATCCTAATGTGTGCTTTCAAGTTACTCTTGTTATTAAATCTTTTACCACAATGTTCACATTGATAAGGTTTCTCCCAGTATGTATCCTAATGTGTGTTTTAAGTTACTCTTATTATTAAATCTATTACCACAATGTTCACATTGATAAGGTTTCTCCCCAGTATGTATCCTAATGTGTGTTTTTAAGTTACCCTTGTTATTAAATCTATTACCACAATGTTCACATTGATAAGGTTTCTCTCCAGTATGTATCCTCAGGTGTCGATTTAACTCACTATGCCCTGTAAATGTTTTACCACAGTGTTTACATTGATAAGGTCTCTCCCCAGTATGATGTATCATAATGTGTGTTTTCAAGTTACACTTGTTAGTAAAGCTTTTACCACAATGTTCACATTGATAAGGTTTCTCTCCCGTATGTATCCTTACGTGACTTTTTAAGTGACCAAGCACTGCAAATCTTTTACCACAATGTTTACATTGATAAGGTTTCTCTCCTGTATGTATCCTTAAGTGACGTTTAAAGCTACCATGCTCTGTAAATGTTTTACCACAATGTTGACATTGATAAGGTTTCTCTCCTGTATGTATCCTAAGGTGTTTATTCAAAGCACAATTCCGTGAAAATCTTTTACCACAATGTTCACATTTATAAGGTTTCTCTCCTGTATGTATCATAAGGTGTTTTTTCAACTCATAATTCTGTGAAAATGTTTTACCACAATGTTCACATTTATAAGGTTTCTCTCCTGTATGTATCCTACCATGACGCTTTAAGCTACCATGCAGTGTAAATGTTTTACCACAATGTTGACATTGATAAGGTTTCTCTCCTGTATGTATCCTAAGGTGTTTATTCAAAGCACAATTCCGTGAAAATCTTTTACCACAATGTTCACATTTATAAGGTTTCTCTCCTGTATGTATCATACCATGACGTTTTAAGTTACCAAGATGTCTAAATCTTTTACCACAATTTTCACATTGATAAGGTTTCTCTCCAGTATGTATCCTAAAATGTCTATTTAATCGAGAAAGCTGTGTAAATCTTTTACCACAATTTTCACATTGATAAGGTTTGTCTCCTGTATCCTAACATGTTCATTCAATTTAGAAAGCTGTCTAAATGTTTTACCACAATGTTTGCATTGATAAGGTTTCTCTCCTGTTTGAACCCTCACATGTCGTTTTAATCGTGGATTTTTTCCGCATTCATTTTTCATGTGAACATTTAGATAGTCTTCACTACTGTACTTTCGTCCACAACGTGGACATTCCCAAGGATTCGTAAAAACAAGCATTGGACATCGTTTTAAATGTTTCTCTAAATAATCTGGATAAGTATACATCCTTCCACAGTGTCTACAGCTGTGACCTCCAACTAAAAAGAAAAGTTAGAATTAGATCACAGGATAAAGAACTAAATGATCATACATAACTAAGGCACTTCGCATACGTAAGCTGACTAACCTTCAAACTGATGTTTGTCATTATCTTCCTCATCAAACAACGATATTCCCAACTGTTCAGCATACTCATCTCCATACCAAACAAGCAATTCTTTATCGGCTTCAATCTCTTTATAAACTCGGTAGTAAATTTCTCCATTATATTGATATGCAATTATATTTTGTTCTTCTTCAAATCTTGCGCAATTCACAAATCTCATCCAATTACCTTGAGCAAGATCCCTACCATCAATACAATATACAACCTTTCCTCCTTGTACAATCTGTAAACACGGACAGATAAATAATTTTGACAAAGCATGTATGTTTAATATCTGCATGGTGAAAGTAGAACAGGCAGAAAATATTTTAATAAAAAGAAATTATTCATTTATTTAAATATGTTCACCTCCCACATATACGCAGGATCTCTTCCATCCTCTGCGTCTTTAAGCGAAAGTACCTCTCCTCTGTATGGTCCAAAACGAGTGTTAATTTCAACTTTTTTCTTTGTAAAAACACCCCTGCCTGCGTTGGGGATTGTAGCGGTATTTATGTAAAGATCTTTTGGAAGTGTCTTCATAGCATTTGATGTTCCCTTCCATTGATGTACTTCAAAGAAATGAAATTTGTTCGAAAAAGTTCTCCATCGTTAAAACAACTGCATTGGTCACAATTTTAAAGCAAATATCAAATCACAGTAATGAACTGATGTTTAACTATTCATGACTCTACACTAAATGTAAAGTACTTACAAATGTTAAGATCATCATCAGGTACATCTTCGTCTGTATAAATCTTTTTGGATGACTTTCTTAATGATCGTCTTAAAGAAGTCTTTTTCAGAGCTTTACAGTTATGTTTGATGGATTTTCTTTTAATGATGGATTTAGTTTTTTTGTCATTGACATCGTTGACCTTGGGTTTTGATGTTGACGAATTACCGATTGTTTTAGAAGAAACCTGTAAAAACGTTTGATTGAAATTCAACCAAAAAATGTGAAAATGTTTACTTAGCGCTCATCCTTTCCTTTTATCCATTTTCTAAAACATACCTGTTTATTTGCAAATTTCTTCATGACTTCAGTTTTTATGTTGTTTCAAAAACTATAAGAAAGCAATTTCATTTTTAAAAAACTATACTTCTTACAGTCAAAAGTGAAAATTAAAAAAGAAATTCCCAGGGAACGACGTTTCATACGCTTGCACGAAATCTTTTTAAAATAAATTGTTGGAGATGTAATGTTTATCTCAAAAATAGTTTTTGTTCAAAATCGCAATGAACTTGTAACTTTGTTGATTTATACTACAGCAGATAGAAAAACATGACGATCATTTCATACGCTAAGACTAAACTGAAACACCACTACTTTTGAAGCTGTTCTATCGTGTAAAAGAGTTTTGTCACAAACCATCAAAAATGAAATCAAGATTAGGGCAGCCTCCACCATACATTTGTCCTCTATGTGTGAAAACACATTTATTTCAAGGTAACAGAGGCTGCGCAAGTTCGATAATTGAGGGGTGCAAATATTCATATATGCATGTCCTACCTTAGTAGCTTCTGTGGAAATCAATTGTGGGTATGGATTTTAAAAGATTAAAACATACCAATATATAAATACTTTCTCCTTCAATTATCAATCTTGCGCGCCCCCCGCATAAATTGTCACACAATATGAGCTTTTATAGGTTTTTTTAGTACAGTGTTTGTCTTGGCGCCGCTTATGGGGCGGTGAACATTAGGGAATTAATAAGTGCAGCGCTGTTAAAACGAGAATTCACAGAAAATAAGCTGTGCATAGATGATGTCATAGAAACTTTTAAAACTTCTAATGTATCATGTTTCTACATATTTAATTCCTTATAAATGATGGAGAATATCTAAAGGTTGCAATTATATTTCATAATGTGATATGTAGTCAAATCACTCAAATACAGTTAAAGTACATCATGTAAAAACATTTAATGAAGATAACAACATTGAACTAATATAATTAAAAAGTAAAGTTCCATCGTTCAAATTAAATACGTTTCATCATTGCTACCTACTTGAATCCAGAGACGAAGCAACTTGAAATTGTCGATAAAACTTTGTTTAATGTAGAAAGTTCCCAAATGTTTCAAGCTTTTAAACTTGAATTCAGACGTTTATTGCTCTTTAAAATCATACACACTCAGTGCCAAGTAAATATTCAACGTTTACCGTAGGTTTTGAATGTTTTGTATTACATTTCAAGTTTTGGCGGAAATATGGCGCATGCGTGGTAGGCTTTGTCTAGCAGCCGGAAATCCCCGTACCATGATCAGAGGTCTCTTTTACATTTAAATGTCGTCTTTACACACTCTTGCACTGTGTTTTTCAACATTTATTGAGTTGAATGCTGCTGAAACGTCTTCCAAGCAAAGACTGTGTCAAGATTAGTTAGTATGCAAGAAGAACAACACAAAGTATCTTATACTTTATCATATTCAGGTGAGGGGAGGTGTACTTGTTCTTGTTTTAATTTTAATGACAGAGAGAATAGAGTTGAGCATTGAGTTGAGGAACTGTCAAATTGACCGATTCATCGAGATTTCTAAATGTACATGACTTTCCATTAAAGCTATGAATTACATATGAGCATTGATACATTAAACAATGTGTATTGAGTTAACAAATGCTTGCTAATAATTTGACCATTTGTTGTGTTGTCATTAAATTCAAATCGAGATTTCATTAGATTTGCATAAAGACTAAAAAGATGACGGCTGCAAATGGAATTTACTTGATTTCAACATAATTTCAAATTTTGACTAAAGTACACAATGACAACAGTGAACTTGTTTTGGTTTCTTTGAAATATCATAAAAATTCATCTTCTTGACAATAAAAATTTGCATCTAGTTTTCATTGTGAAACATGCAGCTGACAATTTGCAGAAGAAACAAATGTTACAAAAATGCATTCCTGAAGTGGCAAAAAATTGAAAAGATTTCATGGAAAGAAAACATTTATTAAAGCACCTGGTAGGAGGGGTGGTTATTTTATGACAGAGTCAGGAGGTGGTGAATGCTTTAAAAAAAGCAATTTAGGGGAAGGATGGCTACTTCATAAGTTGAAGAAGGTAATACTCACCATTCATAAATGTGTTTTGAAACATAAACATATATCATGATTATCAGCATTTATCTTATCAACAAAATGATGTGAATATTTTCATTTTAGTTATGAAATATGTCCTTTGTAATCATTGGTTCCCTGTTGCTTGTCTTTGTTCTCAAGTTCATGAATGACATGATCATTAAATGATTGGGGTTAACAGTTGCATCATAATTGTTTATTTCAAAAGTTAGCAAGGTATGAGTTAAAATGATGAATAAATTTGCATGTAGGTAATAGCATGGTTTCTTGTGCAATTTGGAAAGAAACTTGGGCAAGTGAGTTTTTAACTATCAAATCAAAACAGCATGAGTCTGAAGGATGAGAAGAACTTAGAAGTCCATGTTTTGCAAACTATGCACTTACTTATTAATAAAATGCTTAAAAAATTTCCTCAATTTTGTTGATTGTTTGCTTTAGCACAACAACATTTTGAACCAAAAGTTATTGAAATTGATTGACTTATAATTTCTAATTAGCAGCAATTTTAAAAAACACTTGAGAAAAACGACAATTTTTTTGAGAGCAAACATGTTTCAACATTATCAGAATGCCATCTTCAGTGCAGAATGATTAGTGTTAAGTAATATGATACATAATGATAATGTCGAAACATGTTTGCTCTCAAAAAAATCGTCGTTTTTCTCAAGTTTTTTGATTGACTTATATTTTTCAATTTGATAGATATTTTTTTCGTTGCATCATTGCCTACTTCCACACATGCACATAGCCAAAAACATTGTACTTTTGAAAGTGTTCATAATTTTGGCAATGTCATGCAAATGCTGAATTGTAAATTGGGTCACCAAAGATAAAGAAAAATCTACTTAAAATTTACAGTGAGTTATGGCAGGCATTGTTATTGCATTTTGTAACATTATTGTATATTTACAACTTGCAAATGTTTTATTTCATTAGTTTTTATGACTTTATCATTGTTTTGAGAAACCTTAAGGAGCATTTTAAAAAATGTCTAAATGATATTGACTCCTGGATGTATAAGCCAGAGATTGATCCAAGAGGAATTTGTATAGGGCATGCTTTGGTTTAGATTAGATTTTGAAAGCTACTTTGAGTGTGTTACTATTGATAAGATGGGTATGACCCTCCTCGAACATCGATAGTAAATCCATCTCTACGTATGTTTAGATAATGAGAGACAAAGTTGGCTTGATTTCTAAAGAAATGTGCCCAGCAAACCTTGTTTGTATCATATACAACCATCTTCTTATACAACTGTTTTTTTCTCATTTGTATAGATATTTTGATGCTATGCTGTACCTATGTAAGTTGTCATTTCGAATGCTTCTGTGGACACATACTGGCGTTTGACTGAGGATGTGATCTTTCCATGTTATGTATTTACTGTGGTCATTGGTTTTATATTACTGACTGTTGGTGTTCTTGAAGAATGGGGGTATGCCTGTATAATTGCTACATTCTGACAAGTTTTACTTGATTAAAACATGATCATAATTATAAAATTTGAAATTTATCGTTGATCATTTGAAATTTATCGTTGATTATTTGAAATTTATCGTTGATCATTTGAAATTTATCGTTGATCTTTTGGACTTCATCGTTGATCATTTAAAATTTATCGTTGATCATTTGAAATTTATCGTTGATCTTTTAAAATTTATCGTTGATCATTTGAAATTTGAAGCATTGATTTGTAAAACAAAGAAAGAATTTATATTTCAGTACCTGTAGCTTTGATTGAACATAATGACTTGTTGGTATTGTCCATGGCTGGTATTCTTGGGTTCTGAGAAATGTTAAAGTGTTATCACTAGTGATGCACCAATATACATATTTAGCGATATACCAAATAGCAGATATTAAAATGCCGATATTGTGCCGATACCGATATTTTACGCCATTTTACAAAACTTAAGCATCATAAAGTATGCCAATTTGTGCTCATGTTCATTTCATAAAAAAAATATAAAATTCAAAGCGGTTATTTACACTGCAGCAATCTTTCACAACACAACCCAATTGTCAATGGAAATTGATATCATGTGGAACTAAAAAGTTTAAAGTAGTATTAATTTAACAAAAATTGTTAAGCTAATATATATTTAGTATTGTTAACAGTGCTGCCACTGGTAGGGGAAATCCCCTACAGTAGCGGGATTTAGTGGTTTGTAGGTGGTAGGGAAAACCTACGGGGAAAACTGTAAAATGTAGGGGGATTGTAGGGAGAAAAGAAAATCGTTTGAAAATGAGCCTAATTTTTGCCCAAAATACTCTTTCTTACATGTTTGTAAATGTAGATCGTCCAGGTTGGTATAGTCCTGAGAAGGACTGTTTTTGTTGTTGTTGACTGACGTTTCGACAACCTTAGCGGTAGTCATCTTCAGATTCAAATGAGGAGTAAACGTCAGGTTAGCCGTATTTGTTATCTGGTTCTTACGTCATTGTATTGTGTATACAGGAAATGTGTATTTTCATTGTGAATTAATGTGAAGTGAAATATTTTTATTTTAGTTGTGATGTGTGATTTAGGTGTGATGTTTTTAGTTGTAATGTGTGGGTGTCAATTGTATATTGTCATTGTGAATAATTAGTGTGAAGTGTAATGTTTTTAGTTGATCGTTTGTTTGTATTGTGAATAAGTTGTTTGTAAGGTGCTGGTAATTGCGGTGATCTGTTCAGGGGGGTTTGTTCCAAGTTGGTATACCAACTTTCTAATGTAAGCCTTTGTCTATAGTCAGTACTGTAAGTAATGCATTTTGCCGAGTCCCAGTCAATGTTGTGCTTTGTGATTCGGTGATGCTCGGCAATGTGATTAGTTTTGTCTTGTTTCTTAGTAGCTCGTTTGTGTTCAGTAAGTCTTATGTTTCAGTTCATGCCAGTTTCCCCAATATAAGAGGCGTGGCAGTCGGAGCAGTTTATTTTGTAAACTGCACCTTGTCGTTCGTTGGGTTGTTCTTTGTCCTTTATGTTCGTTAATAACGTTGTGATTGGTTTATGTGCGACATGTATGTTGTATAGTCGTATGATACGCGAGATATCATACACATTTCCTGTACACACAATACAATAACGTAAGAACCAGATAACAAATACGGCTATCCTGACGTTTACTCCTCATTTGACTCTGAAGATGACTACCGCTAAGGTTGTCGAAACGTCAGTCAACAAGAACGAAAACAGTCCAGTAACAGTTTAATTATTACCTTTTGTCTTTAACTTAAGAAATCTTGAGATTAAATGATATAAATTTTTACATGTGGCTTTATATAAGCATATATTTACAGGGTAGTAACCAGGGATATAGTGGGCGGGAAGTGAATTCTTATTATAAATATTAAAGCCCAGCAAAGTGCTTTAGAAAGAGCCATTCAATACAAAAATAATGTATAAAAAAGAAATATTTATTCATTAGCGTAACGTTTCGTCTTGAATCACAAGGCATCACCTTACATTATTAAATTACAAGTAATGAGGGATTTATATAAAATAGTTATTTATATAATATTAAATTACATGGTGAGATGAAAAACGTGACCCCCAATAGCAAAGCCAGCACGTTTTTCACTGCTACAATGTAAATATTTTTGTGTTCAATCGCCGGAAGACAATAAAATGAACCAATTTTGTAAAGACATCGAAATATTTGAATTGTGGGAGTAAAAGATCCGGCTAATTTCGTCACTGATTACCTCCATCATAATTTCTCTAAGGATTTCATTTTTTCATGATGGCAGTCCTTCAGAAGATTAGAAGGGCCAAGGCCTCCTCCTTGTCAGCCTTACTCTCAATCAATCCTTTGTAAATCCCTTGCCACAGTATTCACATCATGAATGTTTCTTACGAGCATGGATCTTACCGTGTTGATTCAAGTTACTCTTCTTATTAAATGTTTTACCAAAATGTTCACATTAAGGTTTCTCCGCAGTATGTTTCCTAAAGTGTTTCTTCAAGTCATAATTCCTACTAAATCTTTTACCACAATGTACACATTGATAAGGTCTCTCCCCAGTATGTATCCTAATGTGTGTTTTCAAGTTACCCTTGTTAATAAATCTTTTACCACAATGTTCACACTGATAAGGTTTCTCTCCAGTATGTATCGTAAGGTGTTGATTTAACTCACTGTATGTATCATACCATGACGTTTTAAGGTACCAAGCTGTGTAAATCTTTTACCACAATTTTCACATTGATAAGGTTTGTCTCCAGTATGTATCCTAACATGTTCATTCAATTTAGAAAGCTGTCTAAATGTTTTACCACAATGTTTGCATTGATAAGGTTTCTCTCCTGTTTGAACCCTCACATGTCGTTTTAATCGTGGATTTTTTCCGCATTCATTTTTCATGTGAACGTTTAGATAGTCTTCACTACTGTACTTTCGACCACAACGTGGACATTCCCAGGGTTCGTACAAACTAGCATTGGACATCGTTTTAAATGTTTCTCTAAATAATCGGGATAAGTATACATCCTTCCACAGTGTCTACAGCTGTGACCTCCAACTAAAAAGAAAAGTTAGAATTACATCACAGTATAAAGAACTAAATGATCATACATAACTAAGGCACTTCGCATACGTAAACTGACTAACCTTCAAACTGATGTTTGTCATTATCTTCCTCATCAAACAACGATATTCCCAACTGTTCAGCATACTCATCTCCATACCAAACAAGCAATTCTTTATCGGCTTCAATCTCTTTATAAACTCGGTAGTAAATTTCTCCATTATATTGATATGCAATTATATTTTTTTCTTCTTCAAATCTTGCACAATTGACAAATCTCATCCAATTACCTTGAGCAAGATCCTTACCTTCAATACAATATACAATCTTTCCTCCTTGTAGAATCTGTAAACACGGACAGATAAATAACTATGACAAAGCATGTATGTTTAATATCTGCATGGTGACAGTAGAACAGGCATAAAATATTTTAATAGAAAGAAATTATTCATTTATTTAAATATGTTCACCTCCCACATATACGAAGGATCCCTTCCATCCTCTGCGTCTTTAAGCGAAAGTACCTCTCCTCTGTATGGTCCAAAACGAGTGTTAATTTTAACTTTTTTCATTGTAAAAACACCCCTGCCTTTTTTTAGCGGTATATACTAGCGGTATTTATGCAAAAGATCTTTACATAAATACCGCTACAATCACCCGTTGGGGATTGTAGCGGTATTTATGTAAAGATCTTTTGGAAGTGTCTTCATAGCATTTGATGTTCCCTTCCATTGATGTACTTCAAAGAAATGAAATTTGTTCGAAAAACGTTCTCCATCGTTAAAACAACTGCATTGTTCACAATTTTAAAGCAATTATCAAATCACAGTAATGAACTGATGTTTAACTATTCATGACTCTACACTAAAAGTAAAGTACTTACAAATGTTAAGATCTTCATCAGGTACATCTTCCCCTGTATAAATCTTTATGGATGACTTTCTTAATGATCGTCTTAAAGAAGTCTTTTTCAGAGCTTTAAACTTAATCCATCATTAAAGACAATCCATCAAATATATTTGATGGATTGTCTTTAATGATGGATTTAGTTTTTCATTTACATCGTTGATCTTGGGTTTTGACGTTGACGAATTACCGATTGTTTTAGAAGAAACCTGTAAAAATATTTGATTGAAATTCAGCCAAAAAATGTGAAATTGTTTACTTAGCGCTCATCCTTTCCTTTTATCCATTTTCTAAAACATACCTGTTTATTTGCAAATTTCTTCATGACTTCAGTTTTTAATGCTTTTTTAAAAACTAGTCAAGAAAAGAATGTCAGTTTTAAAAAACTATACTTCTTACAGTAAAGACTGAAAATTAAAAAGAAATCTCCAGTTATACGCTTGCGCAAAATCTTTTTAAGGAAAATTGTTGGAGATATAACATTTATCTAAAAAATAGTTTTTGCTCAAATCACAATGAATTTTTACTTTTGACGATTTAAACTATAGCAGACAACTGCTGAGACAGAACAACGAACTCAGTTATACTATGATATCAAGTGTCCAAACAGCCCTTGCGTATATAAGAGATTTGTCAGAGACCATCAAGAAAGAAATCAAGGTGAGGCTAGCCTCCAACTTACAACAAGGCGCTATACGTGAAAACAATTTGACAAAGGACTCATAAAAAGTACTCCAGCAGCACGACAACAGCTTCGTCATACTACCAGCAGACAAAGGACGTGTGACTGTTGAACAAGATGCAGTTCAACCCAGCAGTATTATCAAAGCAAAGAAGAAAAGTCATCAAGAAAGACTTAAGGCTGTGGTAGGAACAAGTATTACATACAATTGGTTAAGCATGGCCATGGTAGAAATCTTATTAAGATCCTTTAAAACCTTATAGGATTTTGTTAGTCTTTCTGTAAGATCTTAAGTAAGATCCTTGCAAGATTTTTATCAAGAGTTTCATTAAAACTAGCATTGAAACAAGCATGCTCTGAAGCTTATGAAGATATGAGACATGGTGAAATCCAAGCTACAACAAATGAAGATTTATCTTGTTGGCATGAATGTCAGGTATTGAGAATATTGCAGATTAGCTCACTCCACGTAGCTTTGGTGTGGTCACATAAGGATGAAGTCTTTCCTGAGCTGTGTTTATAGGACAATGTTTACATTTACAAATATCACTATAGTATGTATTGATGTGAAATTGTATTAATGTCGATTTTGGAACTCAAGTGTAGTAATTGTATAGAAACAGGTTGAATA